CCTGCCCTCCTCTCCAAGCAGTCCCCCCACTCAGAGTTCAATGTCCCTGTTCTCCTTCAAGAGGAACTCTGTCCTGGTTGAATACGTCCAAGAAAATTCTCGCGTCTGTCAATCATCGACCCAGTTCTCGTCTTCTCCTGGTATTGTGACGTGCTCGTGTCAAGAGTACAGTCCATTCCGACAAGAGCTTCCAGTCGTACTGCAATAATGATCATCTTGATCGACTTGATCGAGCGTTCAGTCTGGTAGCCAGAATTAGTTTACGACTAGGAAATATCTTTCAGCTGCTACGATACTTGAATGCTCTCTCGTTGCTGGCTTTTGTTCTATTGATTTGAGTCTGACCAGGTCTGTGAAGGTATGACTTCAAATACTTATCAATCTCTGAGTACTCTGCCAGGGTTCATCTCTGGGTACTGTACTTGTCTAGATTATCAAAAACCGCATACCCCGTCCAACACGCTTCTCGGAACATCCTTCAAAGACCATGTCAAATCATACCTGGTGGTTTCGTCGTAACAACTGGTAGGGAAAGTCCTTCATTGTCGGATCGATTTCGTTCCAGAGTTCAAAATCTGTTCCATTAGGTGGAAAGGGCTAATCAGTTGGTCCTAGATCCAAAACTACTACTACACCTACCAGTACCATCTCCAACCCCGCCAGTACCATCTCCAACCCCGCCAGTACCATCTCTAACCACGCAACTGGAACCTGAGGTAAACAACCACTTCAAAAGTCCACTCCTCCAATCACAAAGTGGGTTTTCTATCGCCATCGGAATCGTCATAAAATTATGAACATACTCATACTTTTTTCACCTCTAGTTGTCACAGTATATTCCCGTGAAACCGGTCCATTATCTGCGACAGTAAACTCCACTAAACGTTATCAAATTTCCCAACAAAAACCTCCCACTTAAACTACTTCAACAGAAAAATCCAACGTCTGGAAATACATAGCGACTCAACACTTGTCTGACTGTCAATCAAATTCACCCCGTTTAACCTATCAAAATACTCCAAAAGACCTCCTAAATCCAACGGTACCAATTTGCACCTCTTCAGACCAACTCTCATCGAGTTTTCAAATTCCGCCCACAAAAACCGAAATACCAACTCACTAAATCCAGTCCTAACAACCACCTCGCCCGCCTCAAATTACCAAGCTGAAACCCTCGCCATGCTCACCCGAAATCCGCTCGTATACGTACGCATATCTGCATTTTTGTTTGTGTTATTAAGAGTATGCTTATTTGGAGTCTCTCTTGTCAATTTGCCAAGCTGCACACAAAGAGCGGAAAAAGTAACGACGTGGGGCGAAATGATGTTATGAGCAACAAGACAAGGGACGACCGCCGTGGGTCGATAGATTATGACCTCTTTCACAATCTTTGAATGGCCCAGTCGCTGAGATCACGTGATGTGGGGCGAGTATGGTGTAGTTGTGTATCCTTTGTATGCACTCCTGCAGGTGTTCCGGATTGGGTTGAGTGCATGTCTGTTTTGTGGCAATATCAATACGGCGGACTACTGGGGTGTTATGTAACGGATACGCGAGGCGGTTTAGATAATCGCCTGGGTGCACGTCACGTAAATTGGTGACGTCAAGCGTTTACGTAATCGTCGGGAACTGCGTTACGTAACCATTCATGTACGCAATCGTCGGGTTGAAACACTCGCTGCAAGTGTCGTATGATTGGAGCATCTCACATCACCACACGCGTTGATTGGGCGTGTCTTGTGGAGTGCATGGAATTTGGGAGAAAAAAAAAACACAAAAACTGCTGCAGAAAATGCAGAAAAAATGCAACCAAGATGAAACAGAAGTGCGAGTCGAATAAGACCCTTCATTTTACCGATATGAAATTTGTGACATTTGTTTTCTGATTTTTGGCTATTTTTTCTGTGACTTTCTGGATTTTTTAAAATATATCAATATATAAATTGTCCCAAATTAAAAATACACAAAATCCAAACAAGGTAAAACCAACCCAATTTAAACAAACCAACATAGACAAGACAAAATTAAAGTGCCAATGTGGGAAGCCTAATTTACGGTGCCTTCCGTTTGGCGAGTCCGGCCCTGTTGTCGACATTCCCAGTGACAAATCGGTCAATTTGAAACGTCAAAAAAGAATATTTCCATATCTGTATGTCGGCTCCATGATCCCGATGACCCCCACCCGGTGAGATGCAGCCGCGGCTCTGCCGATACGCACATTTTACCCCTCAGTTGGAAGTGCAGCGGCACATAGGACGCATATGCATGTAATAATATGCATGTATGGATATATACATGTATACATGCTCATGCAGCCTGCAATGCAGCCATGCGCAAGGCCAAAAGGAGGCTCCGGTTTGGGGGGAGATTGGCCTAATCGAATCACGTGATCGAAAACAGACTCAAGGTTGCAACTAGCAGAGTGGATCCTTGTGCAGGGCCATGCCAGACATGTACGGCTGAAGAGAATCGCAGGATGACATGTGGAAGTCACGTGATGCGGGAGGGGCGGGAGGGGCGGGAGGAGGGAAGAAGTAATCTTGCGTTTATGGTAATTGCACTCACCGCCTTGTCACGTGAGAAGAAAGCAAGAAGAAAGCAAACAAATGAGTCCTCCTTCATTTTCGCAACTTTTTTTTCTGGACTTTTTTCTCATCTTTCTTTTTATGTTGCACGGCTGGTAAACTTTCACTTATCGTAATTAGCAACCGAAAAACAGCAGATGGTGTTTAGTTGTCTCCGGTAGATTGTAGATTGCAGTAGTGCTGGTCGGTAGTCACATGATGGTGTGAACGGGGGAGTTTGGTCACGTGACCTTGGATCGCACGGGGGGGGAGGGACAGGAAGGGGGGCTTGGATTGGTCTCGTGGTGGGGAAGGAGTGATGGGAGTAGCAACGCATTTCTGTGCACCATAGAAGAAACTGGTTCGATTCCCATTGTCGAGTTATTTTCGTTTGTACAAGATGCCTGTGGTAGCGCTAAGTACTTGCAGCTACTGTACCGAGAATCACCTTTCCGACGTGGTTTTTCAAGGCGAGTGTCAACAGGTGGTCTTTCCTTGATAGACTTCAGATCGAACAAGCATCCCAGATATGGACAGAGCATTTCGTCGCTGTCATCGGCTACCATAACCTCCTGTGCTCCAAGTATAGTAGCGGCATGGTTAGGATGAGTGAATCCCAGCGGGAATAATCGGTGGTGATGCCATATCCCTAGGATCGAAAAGAGTGATATGTGGAGTTGGTAGAAGGGTATATATACTTGTTGCAAACGGTGACATTGACTTGTCTCTTGGTCAACCTCAAGTGTTGATGCTCTATTTGCAGAGGAGGTGGGCCAAAGTCCAGTGCATGGAGGATCAGCTCGAAAACACTTGTAACTCTGGTGAAGGGTTGAGATGTGCTATTTGGATTCAAAGGAGATCAAGTCTCATCGGGTCATCACATCAGATCATCGCATCAGATTATATCATGTCGAATTGTAACACATGACACCATCATCCTGACACCATCACATCTCACCTCCATCACATCTCACCCCCATCACATCTCACCTCCATCACATCGAAACACCTCACCACCACCTCATCACATCAACGTGACATTCTCTCACGCACCACTGCAGGTCGACTCACCCAGTTTTTGTACAATTGTACTTGTATGGATCAGACTCAGTACAGTAGAGTACGAACTTCCCCTATTGCACATTGCACGGTCCAGTCCATTGATGGACATGCCAGATCTGGTTTTGACGGTGATATAATCATCAGATTATACAGCACTATCGACATCTTTTCGGTTGTTTGGGTGGCAAATTACTGACGTCTTGTGGTGATCTTGTGGTCAGCTTGTTTGTGTTTCCAAGGGCGCAATCTGATCGGTCCGATTTCGCTGGAGTGCTCGTTTCGCCTCGTGTGGATTCGAAACCAGTCTCTTTCGAATCCCCCGAGCGCGCTGAATCCAGCCGTGGGCGTTATATTTCTCCAGCATCTCTGTAGAAGGAGATGGCTGGAGTTTTAGATACCGCAGTCAATGTGTGGTGACTCGTAATTAACAAATGTGCATTTTCCATCTTTTTTTTGGCATTCCCAATATCATGTCCAATATCTCTCTTTAAACAAAGAACTCAGTTGACGACCTTAATTCCAAATATCCGGAAGAGCGCGAGTGAATTTTGAAGAAAGTGATGATCAACCGACGCAGCCCGATTCTCCAGCCTGTCACAAACACGCCAACTTCTTTGGATTTCAGATAGCACGTCTGCAGACGGAGTTGTGTTCGAAAGGAGATTATGCTGACCATTGGACGTCATGCAGCTGCATTCATCCAGCATCAGAGTCTAATCTTTTTTAGGCCACCTTTATATCTGTCGATTGGGGAAAAACGCAAACGTGATCGAAGAGGTCGCAAATGTAGTTGTACAAGTATAACAATAGCACCATTGCGTTCCCCGCGTCAACAGCATTCCAACGGTAGTCATATCTCCACCCTAGACTGGCTAAATGGAGTCCAGGTGTCGTTGACAGAACTAAAAGAACAGAAAAGATAGTCCAACCACCAAGTCGACCAAAATACATCTGAGCGAGTCGATATTAGTGTCATTGGAATCAGCCGGCGATTCTGAGTCGAATGGTGTATTGTTTGTCTTTCTCCTCGCGATCTGTCGTGGTTTATCAATCTCAAAAGAGGCATAATTGTTGAAATATTAAATAAAATTGGAAATAAAATTGGAAATTTGAACAATTTGAAATAAAAATCGTCAAACTACAGACACTTGGTCAGTAACTCTCGCGCTCATGGCATAAATCATTAATAATACAGAAAGAAGGACGTTAGTTGTTAATAGATACCGACGTGGGCGGACCTGGGCTCACGGGATTAGGCTGGTGGCAGCAGTGGAGGTGGTACCGTCTGTTGCAGACTGCTAATTATGCATTCACAGATACCATTGCAATTATCGCTGCTCATAGTGTAAACGACAACGCAAATGTTTGCTGCAATCACATTTGCTGTGGATGCGAATGAGGCATGTTGGTGTAGCTGTAATTATACCCCGTGGGCACCTGGTAATACGGCATGTTCTCCATATGATGCTGCATGGGCATGGGCAGCCCCGGATGTTGCTGCTGTTGCTGCTGCGCCTGCTGTTGGGTCTGCATGGGGTAGTGGTACTGGTGCTGGGGGTACGACGTCTGGTTGTACTGGTACTGTGGCGGCGCTGTCGTCGACTGCGACTGGCTGGTCTGTTGGGCCTGAGCCTGAGCCTGTGCCTGGGCTTGAGCCTGGGCTTGGGCCTGTTGTTGCTGGCTGAGCTGTTGTTGACTGAGCTGCTGTTGCGCCTGTTGCTGCTGCTGTTGCGCCTGTTGCTGCGCCTGCTGTTGCGCCTGTTGGTTAATCTGCTGTTGTCCATGTTGCTGTTGCCCGTGCTGCTGCTGTTGTTGGTTCACCTGCTGCTGGTTAACCTGCTGCATGTTCATATGTTCCAAGCTGTCGCGCTTCATGTCGAACGACTCGCGCTTCTCGTGTTGCTGTCCGGGGTACGGATACTGGTACATGGCGGCGTTCTGGCCCGGCTGCGAGTGCTGCGAGTACTGCTGCTGAGAGTACTGGCTCTGCGCGGTCGCGGGCGTCTGCAGCGGGCTCTGGTGGTGCAACGGCGAGTGCTGTGTGATTGGTTGCTGTTGCTGCTGCGAAATCTGCTGTTGCGAAATCTGGGGCTGTTGCTGCTGCTGGGGCTGAGGCTGCGACTGCGACTGCGATTGGGATTGCGACTGCGCCTGCTGAGCCATGGTCTGCTGCGGTTGGGACACATGACGCGACGTAGGTGAAACATAGGCCAGATTCTGGGCCATTTCCATCATGGGCTGCGATGGCGGACGAGCCACCGGAGGAGAGGTGGCCATGCCAGCCTGTGCAGCCACCGCGCCGGTCTGGAGAGCTCCCTGGGGCATCTGAACGTTACCTTGCATTGCGGGTATCGTCGACGAGGTCTGGCCCACGGCGCTGGGGGGGTTGAGCGGTCTGCGGGTGACGGCCTGGACCTCGGGATGGCCCTTTTTGTTCTTCTTCTGGGGCGAAAACTTGTAGTCCGGATGCATCGCACGATGGAGCTCTTTTTCCTCTCCGGCAAAACGGGCGAACTCCTCCTTGGTCTCGCCGCTCTCAGTCTGCCACATAAGTCCAATGATTCGGGAAATGGACTGGTGGTTAAGCTTGAGGTTGGCGGCGGCGGCGTAGGCCAGCGCGCTCTGGGTCTGGCTCTTACGGTATAGCATGAAAGAGTTAAGTGGGCGCTTGATGTAGGTGACCTGGCCATCCTTGCCCTTGCGCACTGCCGAGTTGGACGACAGCGAAATTTCCACGTAGGGATCCTCCTCAGACACAAACTGCTGCAGAATCGACTCCACCGTCTTGTACGGAATGCCCTTGACCTCGGCGAGTTCCTTGATGCGGTCGATTCGCTGGGGCGTCATTCTGCCCACCTTGACTTTGCGCGAGTAGGGCTTTTGGCCGCCGGCCAGGTTCTGCTGGAGATTTTGCTGTTGTTGGGGGTGTTGTGCCAGGTTCTGCTGCTGTGGGTTCAGCTGCGACGGGTTGGCCAGCAGCTGGGCCCCGGGCATACTTCCCGACGCGTTGGAGGCGCTCTGCACCTGGCCCTGGGTCAGCATATGGTTATTGCTGAGTAGATGGTTGGTCATGGGCATGGACATTTGCATGGACATTATGGTGGCAATAGTGACGAGAGTGTGTCAGCACAGTGGCGGTGTAGTGCGATGGAAGTGCGACGGAGTTGGAGATGTAGAGACAGTGGTGTAGAGAACAGATATCAAAGTCTTGTCAGTACAAGTACTCGTGTTTATGTTGGTTCGTCGGTAGTCGTGTTTGTGTCTGTCGGCTTGTTGGTAGTCGCGTTGGTGTATGTTGTCGTGTCTTCTGTCGTTGTGTCTGTCGTCGTGTCTGTGTCTGTCGTCTTGTTTCTCTTGTGTCAGTTGGTCTCAATCGTATCGTCAAATCGGTGCGGCCAAACCTCCTCCTCAATCTCTCTGGTATCTCCGGTTAGGTTTTGTCATTAATTTAGGAACTCCCCCGATATTTATCACAAACAGCGACGCCAAGGTTCTCACAAGGTTCAGACAAAGCGCCAATTGGAATGCAAACAAAAGAGGATGCATGCATGACTTTGTGCAGCACTGCATGCATCAAAGAGGGGAACGCTGGCGGCACCACCACCCACAGTCGGACAAAAATGCACCTGCACTCCTCCAAAACCCCAGTTTAATTCCCCGCCATACCCATCTTCAAACTCACACCCCACCTACAAACCCTCCCCCAGTATTACCCGGTTCACAATCACATGATCCGTCGGTAAAATAACCTTTCTTGGCTGCCACCAACTAGGGCCTAAATAGAGTTTCGTAAAATGGAGAGAAACAGAAGTTGGAGAAAAAAACGGGAGGCCCAAAACAAAAATGTTGCTTTTGTCGTATAAATTGTGCAAAAAATCCTGCTTCATCAGATAGTGGTACCTGATATATTAATATTTTTTCCCATTTTTTGGGACCCCATAAATAGCCCCTTTCACTCCCCTTATCTACATCCAGCCGCACGCCGCTTGGAACAAAACCTTAATTGCCAATGACTGATACTTTTGTCCGCTGTTCTTGGCAGTGGCCACAGATAGGGGGGAAAAGGGAAAAAAAGGAAAAAAGTCAACACATGAGAAAGGGACAATAGTGTCAGTGGCATAACGACTCTCCATAATATTGTTGACAGAAATACAAGGCTCTAGAACAACACACGTGATCGTTAACGCCCGTCAAGTCCTGTTTCCTCACCCCCAGATCGCCACGGCTCACTCTGGGTTTGCTTCTGTTCAGAACACCCTAACTCTATTTTAATCTTTTGATATTGGAGTAATGCGGCCCTTGTTCTTGCCCAAATAACCTTGGCTCTTTGTCTGCCCCTCCTTTGTCTTGGCACCTGGGCCAGAAAAGTGGCTGCACCCAACCCCGCGAGAGCGACGGGGAGGCTACGACTCGACGACTATGATGACGATGATGGCCAAGGGGTGGGCACGACGTGAGCTGGGTCGTTCCCGCGACAGCCGCCATGCCATGACAGGACATGACATGTCCTTGGTCGTGACACCCGCTAGCGTCAACGACATGTTGCAGTGCGGGTCTCTTAGTGTGTTTCCAAACACTGGCGACAAAGACAAGCAAGCAAGGCCGGAAAGGAGACAAGAGTGGGGAGTGTGGGGTTGGTGGACAGTTGGAAAAATGGGGAAAATGGGAAAAAACGAAGGAAATTGGAAGTGGCAAAAAGGTGGCAAAAAACGGCAGAAATTACGTCTGTTTGGGTGCTACAGAGATGTTATACGTACAGAGAGTTGTGGTGGTGCTGTTATTTTGTTTTGTTTTGTTTTTTCCGATTTTTTCCGATTTTTACCGTTTTTTACCGATTTTTTCCCGGTATTTTCCCGGTATTTTTTTTGTTGGCAGATTCTTTTTCCCATTTTTCCTAATTTTTTTCAATTTCCAAATTTCCAAATTTCCTTTTAAATTGCCCAATCTCCAATCATCCACCACCCAAAATTGTCTGATCTTTTTTTCCCCCAAAAATCAACCATCCCTGGCATACCCGAAACGCCCCTTATCTGAGTCAGGAACACAAAACAAACACAAACGCCCTAAATATGCACAAAACGAACAAGTCGCTTTCTTTTCGCCCTTTTTTCCCACACAAAAAACATAACAAGTGCAACATACTTGTTCCCCTTGACCCCTTGTATGATAGCCAAAGTTTGTGACACGATCGGCGGTCGTATAGTGCTCTATGATGTCATTGTGGATGTCAGAAAGAGGTCAAGCTTTTTGACATGTGTCGGTGGTTGTTTCGGATGGATTTTTGGGAAATTTGGGATTTTCGGGGGAATTTTGGCAAAAAACGGAAATATGAAAAAAAAAACGGGGCGCTTGGGAATTTAGATATATATATGTATATTTGTAAAAAAAATATGAAAGAAGAAAAAAAACCGATATGGACTTCATCACGTGACCAGAATGTAATCCTTTTTGAAACCCAAACCATTGACTTTGCACAGCCCTCAGGAGCCCCATTAGTGTCATTTCAGCAACCAGACGTGTTGGTGAAAAAATATTAGAAGAAAAATTTTAAATAAAAAATTAAATAAATAAAAAAAAAGGTGATATAATAACCAGCAGTCTTGAATTCACGTGATGGCAGGTGCAAATTCATGTATGTATGTATATATGTGTGTGTATGTATGTATTCATTTGATTTTTATCACGTGATTGCGCACGTAATGAGACTCCAGATCTCTCCAGCTCTCGTGTCAGGAACAATCCCCGTCTAGTAATGACGTACTTTTCCTACTCGACGATCGCGTCAAGGCGCCGCGTGACCCCAGAATTTCGCAACCTCTTCCAATTTTCCACCTCCTCACCTCAAATATCAGATACTTGCAACCATGATGCGTCACGTGATCTCTCCACCTCACCTTCTCGCACGGCTACTTTTCTTGGTGCTTCCCGAAATGAAACCTAACTATTGAAGCAGTTGTTTAACTATATTTAGGTTAAGAATAAGTAAAAATTTGAAGAGCTTAAACAAAAAGTAAACGTCATGCTGAGACAGCAGAAGGAATCAGATTAGGAGTGTTCCTGGCCGATAGGGTCACGTGATGTGGAGAGAGTGTGGGCTACCGAAGGAACTGAGACAAAAACGGTGATTTGCTGGGATGAAGGTTGGGTTGAATGGTTGTTTTGAGTGGTTCCGGTGAAAGGTTGCTTTGAAGGTTGCCTTGAATGGTTGTATTCACCTCAAACTGTTGCTATACCGCTTAATAACACCCCCCCCCCCCACGATTAGTCATATTGCTTAATAACAACCCCCGATTAGTCATCCCGCTGAGTAATACTACCAACTAGTATCCCTTGTTGCTCCTCCTCCCTCTGTTTGTCTACATCCGCTTGTTCAATTCCCCATCGTGTCTATAAATTACATTTATGAATATAGACTCCTCTTGTGTGCGTCGCTTGTGCTGAAAATACAGTTAGACGCGTGAATCAGGAACAAACACAAGCATGTCCGACAGACACGCCCCCCGGTCATGTGACCCGCCAGCCCAACCAATATCTTCAGCGCAATCTCCGCTGCTGGCACTTTTCACCCTTGGATATTGACATTGCCGAGGATCGAACCTGGGTACAGTATGTACATACTCCTCTTGGGATGTGCCGTCACATGATCCGAAAAAAATGATCATCTCTCCCCACACACTGGTGATCTCTCCTTGTCTCAATCTCATCGCTGTCTCAATGGCTTGTCTATCGTCGGCGTCGTCTCCTTGTATTGTCCTGCAAGGGCGGCTAATCGGCGGTAAATTTCAACCTTAATTAATTTTTTTTTCTTTGATTTTTTTTGTTCAATTTTTTTTTGTTCAAATCTCACTTGTACAGCCTCGGCTCTTGTCTCAACGCTGCAGAACAATAGACTCTCCAAAGTAGAGGTAGTTGTACTATACCTGTATCACGTGATATCGCAGCGACCCTCGCTTTTGGCGTATGTAATCAGGACAATCGTTGACTTGGGTGTGTTGTATTGGGTGTGTATGGAGAGCGACAGGAATTTGGGTTTTTGAGTATTCGCAATTATTCGCATCATAAAAGCCTGAATTGCGGTTGTCACGTGACAAGTGCAAGAGTGCAGGGAAATCACGTGACCTACTCTTTGGAGCTGTTTTTCTGTAGTGTTTTCGTGAGACTGCGATTGTTTCAGTGGAGAGTTTGAAGTCAATTGGTTCCAGTTGTCTCAATATCAATGATGGTATGCGCTGAATTCCCCAAAGTCAGAGGAGCATTTGACACCAATAATGGACCGTACAGCTACCGTTAGATTTGAAGTATCGTATATTAGGAGGTGCGAATCCAACACCCAGTTGCCGTTGTCAGGACGGTTATCACTCGAGAACTGTCGCTGAATTCTTTTTTTTTCCCTGCTCTGCCCCGAATGAAGTAATCGGCCACCATTCATGGATCCACACGAAACAGATCTGTATTGCGCGAACCGGAATCGATGTTCTCGGGTGTCCCACTCTTTTCATCACTTGACGTCTGTTTGTATGTGTATACTGTGTGCTAGAACGCTCTCAAACATTTTGACACGAAACACCGACTCCATAACAGGAGGACTGCACTGGGAACGCTTTCTCAGACGCTCAAGGAGGTCAACTTGGGGTTTCTCACATGTGCGCTACTTCCAGCAATGAGTCGTTTCTAAGGTCCCATGGAATGTCTCTCTTGCGTGACTCCTGGAGTGTGGCGATCTCAGAAATGCCACATGTATCACATGCGGAAACAGGGGCTGTCGTCAGAAACATCAGCAGATGCAAAAGTCGGAGAAATAACATGTAGAAGTAGGCGCAACAATGCTCTCCACCTCGATTCCAGTTCATTCTCCATGGTTCTAGCCTCTTCAGAGTGGTTATTTACTTCGTGACGACTTGAGCAAGATGTGAGAAGCAAGAGAGCTGGAATGAGAAGCGAAGACACACAGCGCGTCATTGATTTGGTGAAAAACCGCACTTGGCCTGAGACTTTTGCACTTGGAAATGCTTTAGCCGACATGGTGGGCTGGGTATTTTGTTGTCTGTTGTGTCATGTAAGAGGTTAAGTAAAATGAAATATACGTAAAATAATAAGCAAACTCCCAACTAATTCAGTAAACATATCACCTGTTTTCTTTAAGAATAAATGTAGGTGGATATAAGTCAAGTATAAAATTTGTTTTCTTGTTTTCTTACACACCACTAAACAACTCAACTCGGCCTTTTGGTACGGCTTGAATCCGGTCAGAACCATACACATCAATCAATGTTACATCGAGACGGTCAATCATAGACTCAGTTGGTCCCCAAACGTGCGATGCGAGATTATGTGCTATCAGTGACGAGCTCAATGGATCTCTTGGACCATGGTGGACACTACAAGTATGTACTGTATGTAGTCTACAGGACTTACTTGTAATGAGACCAGGAGGAGGCAAAGCTAACAACAATTTTTGTTGAAGATTCCCACGAACAGCCTCTCTGCGCTCTTACCAAGACGGTAGTACGCCATCCCATCGTCTTGGCTTCTCCTCGCTCCAATCAGAAACAAATGAGAAATCAGATTCTAATTCTGAACGGTGGATTTGAATCTGAGGTGTTAGGATTGTCAGAACTTCCAGACACACGGCATCAATAGATCCACCCACTCGGTCAGCTCGAGCCGTTCCGCAGCCCACCACGTGCAAACATGGAGAGCTTTGAGTATCTGGTCTATCCTTAGACAGAAACCACAGCCAGATAGGTAATTAACTGTCGCAATTGTCAGAGTACCATGATAACCGAGTCTCCGTTTATCTTGGTACTTCTTGTTGCCCTCCTTCTCGGCTCTATCACCAAGCCGTGGACATACCGCATGTTGCACGGTTGCACCTCTTAGACACCTGATTGAACTGAGGTTCAGAAAGAAGTTGGGTCAAACCCCCAGTCAGATGATGGACGGGATCCAGGCTGATGACCTGACCGCCTTTTGGGTCAAGTGGACAGCTCCAACTACTGTGCTCTGAGACCCTTCAATTGAAGGATAACCTGTTCTGAATATTCAAGTCACCTCCCGCTTCCGCTGTATCCACATGACGGTTATGTTGCTAGAAATACCTTTTCAACATCTAAGAAAAAGGTCCCCGCAAAGCTTCCAAACCTGTGTCTATTGGTGCAAGTCGTCTCGTGACTCAGCACACCATACAGTCGAGTCTCAGATCGATAGATTCAGAAGATGACAAAATATCAAGACTTGTCATCCTCCAAATTGATACGAGATACAAAGACAGTGACGCATCTATATGTTTCCTCGTGTCTACCCTTTCCTAATGACACTGTGCGTGAGTTGACAATACTGGGAGAAAGAAAGTCCTCTACAGGCTCAGAACGGCGAGTTCGAGCTTCGTTTTTGACAAGAGTTGTTCGTACCGAGAAGCTGTTCCAAATGGTATCACAATGTCGTCGATCTGAACAATATTGCAGAAGTTGGTAAAGCCCGTGATGCGGGGTCATTCGAGTTGAAAAAACTAAGAAAACAACTAAGAAAACAACTAAGAAAACAACTAAAAAACAACAAAAAAAGCAAACAGAAAACCAAGTTTACAACTATATATTTACACAGATCGACGCCTTATCAACACAGTCCTTCCTTACCCTGAGCACTGGAAACCGTCTAGAAGTTACCGACTTGAAATTTCTTCCAACCATTCTCCCTAATGACTTTTGCAAATCAACTTGGAGCAATCTCATGACCATCAATACTTTACCTATACACCGTTCACGCCGCTCGTCACGTGACCGTTCCCGTTCTCCGTCGTTGGAGATGCCACAGCAGGAGATGCCACAGCAGGAGAAGCCATTGGGTTGGTCACTGAAGGAGAGGTGTTTGTTTGGTTTGCATTTGTCACTGGAGGAAGAGAAGTCACAGCAGGATCAGTCACATGAGCGGGATGATGGGCCACTTGAGACAAAGGATTTTGAATAACTGGGGAATGGGTCACATGACTCGGACTAGTCACATGATTCAGACCACTCGCATTACCACTTGCATGGTTAACAGACTGGTTCACGTGACTTGGACTCAGTTGAAACTGTCCTTGGCCAAGTTGAGGATGGCCATGTGTAAGTTGGCCCATTGGAGATGATCCGGTAAAGTGTTGACCGAATGGTGGCTGTGCTTGGAACTGTTGTTGACCAAACGGGGGCTGTTGATGGCCATATTGAGGAGCATGTGACTGGAATTCTTGTCCCTGATGAGAAAACGGTTGAGAATGAGGTTGAAGGTGTCCTTGAGGAGACCCAAATTGCTGAGGAATTGGAGCAGATTGAGGTGAAACATGGGCCTGAAAAGATGAGCCACCAGAATCATTCTTTTCTACACGTGATTCGGCTGGTTTCTCCTCTGGTTTCTCCTCACGTGCCTTCTCACCTTCCCTCTCACTCTCCCTTTCACGAGCCTCCTGCTCCTTCTTCTCCTTCATCCGCTTCTTGCGCTCCTGCCACCGGGCAGCATTCTTCTCCTTCTTAAGTCTCGCCTTTTCCTCCTCGGCCTTGGCCCTCTCCTCCTCGGCCCGCCTTTTCTTTTCCGCCTTCTCCTCCTCCACCCGAGCCTTCTCACGGGCCCGGGCCTCCCGTTCCTCACGAGACCCACAAACATCGCATTCAAACGACTCCGTGTCCACATTTCGCCGGTCCCGCAAACACTCAATGTGCATCCACGTCTTGCACGTTTCGCACTCAATCATGGCTTTATCATCCTCGTAGTTCTCGCCGTGAATTCCGCAGACACAATCAAACGTCCACGTGACAGCTGCAACAGCAGCAGCCCGCCGCGGAGGCTGACGTCTCCTGTCACGTGACTCGGCAGCTGGCGACTCGGCACCAGCAGACTCTTCGCTCTTCAAATCGCGGTTCCCATTCCTCCTTTCAAACCGCCTCTCTCGAGCCAGTTGCCTCTCCTCCATCTGCTTGCGCTGCAGCTCAATTCGCTCAAGTCGCTTGCGCTCCATCTTCTGGGCAGCACGTGACTCTGCCTCCTTGCGCTCGAGTTTGTCCTGCTCCTCTTTCTTGGCCTGAAGAGCCTGGATTCGAGAAGACGTCTTACGCGTAGCCATGGCCGCCTCCAAAAGCCGTTCCTTGTCACGTGACGCAGATGAACGCGCCTTCTCCACAAAAACCTCAGACACAACCGGCATCACGTCACGTGAGAAGAACCCATACAGTTCCGAGTCGTATTTCAACGACTCCACATCAGCGATTGCCGCCTTCTTCTTGCTCTTGCCCTTGTGCTTGCCCACCTGCTGCTTCAGCTCCTGGTCACGTGATTCGAGCCCTGCCATGAACACTTCCCAGTCTTCCCACGTGGCGCACACACACGACCACGTGTCCAGATCCAGGTCCAGCACGTCAAATCCGCTCGAATTGGTTCGTTCTTCTCGCTTGTACAAACGCGAGTCTCCAAACAGGTAGAAAACGTGGTTTCCAGAGTCGTTTCCCAGCGGCTCCGATCGCAACTCTTCTGGCTTGTAGTCGGTGAGCCGAAGAGTCGTTTCCACCAGCTCACGTGACTTGTCTTCATGGTCGAAAATCCACTGAATCAGCTGGTACCAGATTTTGACCAATTGGAACGCGGTAAATCGGCTAAACGACGAGACCAACGTGGGCGAGTCTGCAAAGGGGTTGAAATCCAGATCGGGAATGATCAGCTTTCTCAGATGATTCCGCTGATCCAAGTCACGCGAGAACGCCGCCGCTGCCGCGAGCTCGGCCTCCTCGTCCACCTCGGGCGTCTGCGGCGGCTCCTCCTTCTTCTTCACACGTGACTTATCACGTGACTTGGTGCCGCCCGCCGGCGCTGCTGCTGTCTTTTTCTCCTGCTCCTCCTGGGCTGCTTCTGCCTCGGCCTTGGCACGGGAACGTGTAGATCGAGTTCGTTTCGCTGGAGGAGACGGAATAGGCGACGGCGAGCGCTTCAGATCATGTGACAAGTCGCGTGACGTCTCGTGATCTGCTGAATCATCCTTTCCGTTGACCGAATCGGTTGTGTGGGTTTTTGCGGGTTCTGAAGATTCAGTTTGCTCACCACCGAACGCATCGATGCTGGCATCTCTAAGTCGTTCCTGTTCCTCCTCCCACTCCTCTCTATGTCCCTCCCACACCCGTTTTGCCATGTTCCACAGCTCCACATCATCTACCTGTTTCTTCTTGATTCTCATGTGGGCTCTGATGAGAGCCCACGTGATCTGGCGCGTCAATCGTCCAAAGTCGCACGTGATCAGCTCCTCCTCTAGCACCTCAATCTCCACCGGCTCGGCCACCTGCAGCGCTCGTTTGAACAGATGCACCATCTGGAACGACTGCGCAAACTCGGGCATATTACGTAATTGCGCGAGAAACGCCTGGTTGTTTGGCTGACTCAGCGGACCCCTGAGGGCTGTCTCGGTTAAAGCGGGCGACTCGGCTTTGGCGGATTTTCGACGGCTCATTCTGATGCTGATCGAGTCGTGATGTTGATAAAATCCAACTACGAGTAGCGCGGAATATTGCTGCACGATAGAGTTTGAACAAAGGAGAGCTGAGTAAGCCGGAAGGATTCCAGAGGACATTAGAGGGAAAGAGCGAAATTGCGGCGGGCACGTGTCCCAGGACGTGGTCACGTGATTCCCTTCTTGTCCTGCTGGTTTGAATTTGATTTTGTTTTCGAGACTTGTTCCATGTGGAGTAACTCAAAGTGGTATGAGTATCAGTGCAAGTTCGAGGTGTGCACGAGAACACTGTAGTTGTTAGAGAATGGCAAGTTTTGGGGAAATTAGGACTTCTCGGCGTTTCCCGGTCACGTGAGAAGAAATGAGCGATCAAAATCATCTTCTGGTTTGACTTTCCGGAAACGGAAGAGGGAGAAACATGCATGTCTTGGTGTGGATTGATGAAGACTGCAAGAATGACCTGAAGGAGTATAGAAGAGAGTATTGAATGTTCGTAGGTGGATTTAATTACATTTAAAATGTCTCTATAGCAAGTTATAGCTCAGAAGCTCTTCTCAAAGACGAATTGTAGTGACATTAAGACCACCATTGAAAAGTTATAAAGCGAGTTGAATGTAAGATATTGACACTATTAAACTGTTGAAAAAGTAATATAAATGTTCAATAAGTCCGAATTTCAACTCCTCTTTCGTCCGATTGCTCTACCCATCGTACAACATACATTCACAGTTTCAACTTCACCACATATTATTGTTCATATATCTTCCGAACGTGACTTAATCGAGAAACAGGTTTCACCATTGAAACCAGCACATATAATTAACTAAGATAACCCTTTGGAAACGTCAATACGGGCAAAAATTCCAAAAAACTATTTTTCTCCTACCGGACTTCACTTCTTCAACAAAGTCAAAAAATTGGCCCGATGGTTTAGTGGTATAATTCTCGCTTAGGGTGTCCTAGGCAATTTGCGAGAGGTCCCGGGTTCAATTCCCGGTTGGGCCCAATTATTCTTTTTCCCACCTTACGACAGAAGGAATTTTTTTGTTTTTTTTTTTTATTTTTGCACTAATCTGTACGAGTACTCGTTCAGTGCTCCAAAGTTGACCGCGTCCAGACATGCCCCATTCCCGTGACGCCCCTCAGCTCCTAATCACGTGACTTACCACGTGATCGACGCGTGTCCCCAACATGAAACCTTATTATCCCCTGTTTCTTCCTACGTGACGGAAAAATGAGTGATGGAAGTCCAGAGAAAATCGAGCAGCTTGAGGTGAGTTTAATCCGTGACCACGTGACACACTTGGTTTGTGCACGTGATACAACACGGTCACATGATGCACAATGTTCGTCAGGCACTAACCCAGAAAGACCTCAACGGACTCAGAACGTTCCGAGCGTCGTTGGAGTCCGTGAGACTGCTCACAGAGTCGATCAGAGAGGACATCGAAACGTCACGTGATAACCATGAGACGATGAAAAAAACGCTGGCCGATTTGCAGGCCTTGTTGAAGGAGTTGCCGGTGACACAAGAGTAAATCACCTGTATTTATATGTATTTATGGACTTGAAAATGGAGTTGTAGCAAAGTGGCATACTTTGAGGTAAGGAAGCCGTTATAATGTAGCCAGTCATCATCTAGCCGATAAGTCTTATGACAATACTGGCACTATAGTGACGAGACTCGACAGTTTGCCCGTAGACCATACCTGTAGATAGCCAATTGAGAGACTCTTGTGGTAGATGCATTCTAATGCTCTACACACCTGCGGTTTTACCTATCCCCTGGTGTCATCCCGAACTACATCCACCGCTCCAAGTGTCGAGCATCCATTACTATACCTCTATGTACTAATACAGCCATTGGGCAAAGGCGGTTTACTAGGGGCCATGGAAACCCCGAGTCCGTGAGAGATACGGCTCGAAGACAGCCGTCATTCACCGTGGGGCCAACCAGTCAGCTCAGACTCGCGCAATGTTCAACGAGCCTTATCCACGCGAATCGGCTGAGCTCAACCAGCTTAGTGGGTTGTAGTCGCACTACGAACGACTGGGGCTCGCTGATAACGTAACCCCTTAGCCCCTTCCTCCCCTGCCCGGTCTCGGCCGTCCTTTTCGTTCCTTTTTGATTCTGGACGCCGAGCCCGCGGCAGCGTCGATCGCCGCCAGCGCAGCGTCCGCCTGCTCCTCCGTGTCGAAGAAAATCATGGAAAAGGGCTTGGAGCCCTTCATGCTCTTCATTTTGATCACCACCTGGGTGATGTTGGCGCGGTGCTCGGGTGGGAAAAAGCCCCGGATCAGATCCTCCGAGCCGCCCACAGGCACCCACACGCCGGGACCCTCCACAATATGATCCTTGGAGGATGCAGACCCGGGCTCCGCAGGGCCCGTGGGCGTGTTCTTCAGCACGGGGTCACGCTCCCGCTCCTTCCAGCCGCCCCTGGGTGCGTTGCCAGCACCTCTCTTACGGTTACTCAGATCGAAGCCCTCGGAACTCATCTCTGACCCTAGCCGGCCGTTCTTCCACGACAGCACCAGGTTGCCGTGCGTCATGTCCGGCAGGTTAAAGTACCACAGCCGCTGGAAAAGCACCGCAGTCGTGTTGCGCAATGCCTCGTTTTCCGCGTGGTTAAGTTTGACCAGGCCGTTACCGTTGATCTCCTCGTCCTTGAGCCGAGGCACTGTCAGAAAGATGTTGGCCGCTAGGTCCAGTAACTCGAGTTTCTGCGGCGTCAATGACGTGAGATCGTTGCTGTGTCGCAGACGCTGCCACACTGCAGCAAAGGCCGCGGACCGCTGGCCCAGAGCGCTCACATACGTCTCAAAGCTGGGCGTGACCGCAAAGTGGTTGAAACTGAGCCCGTAGAAGAAATGCAGCCCACCGCAGATGACGTAGTCGGCCCGCAGAGTGTGCGCCAAGTGGCACAGCAACTCCTCCTTGAGCGGCGAATTGTGGCAGAGGAAGACACGGATCTCGTCGACCGCGTAAGTGTCGCGCACGTTGCACAGCAGCTCGCCCACGCCCAGCAGCGTTGACCATGTTGCGCCGACCATGCCGCCTATGCTGGATGTCATCGACGCGCCGTGGTCCAGCAACTTGGGCACGATGAACGCGCCTCCGAGACCGAGAAGACGGATCTTGAGCCCCCCAGGGCATGTGATCAGCGGGCAGGGGGTGTCCGACGCCAAGCCAACAATGTGCAGGTTGGGGACGTGGAGTTCGCTGCTGGCAAACTTTTCTACCACTCGCACATCCTCGGACGAGCCCCAGATGGTGTAAACTGGGACAGCGAGACGTTTGGCGCCGGAAATAAACTCGGGGAGTTCGGACAGGAGACAGGTCGATGTGTCTGGGGACTGGGACTTGAGGAACTTACGAATGTCCGCGTCTTCCTCGGATGGGAGGGATGTGGGGTCAAGTTTGGGGGAAAAGAATGCTAGGTGACGAAGAAGACTGGGTTAGCAGAAGTGACGGGTGGACAAGCCGACCTGTAAGAGATCCTGAGGTCGAGTAAACCCCTAAAAAAAAAACAAAAAAAAACAAAACAACAGGATGACAGATACGAGGAGTATTTAGTGAAAAATGCTCTGCAACGGGTGTATTGTGATGTGCTTATGCTGGACGTATCACACATCTATCGGGTAGAGGTCACCGGGTATCCCACATGCACAATTCAACTCACCAGACCCCTCACACGACCAGCTCAATTGATTGCGCATACATTGCATAAGCCCTCGTTTCACATTAGTGAACTGCATAGACCGGTGAGCATATGGGGACCGTGGGCTGAACGACTATGAAGGCAGTAAGAGGGACTGGACTTGCCGGGTTTGAGCGGTGTATCTGAGAGTGTCATGATGAGAGCATATGAACTGTTCGCGAGTGGGAGTGACGCAGGAGACACCATTCAAGGAAGCATCAGTGATTTCCCGTCCCCCTGAAAACACAGGCATCTGTATCTGTGTCTGTATCTGTGTCCGTGACATCTCCGCCTATTCGTACGTCACAGAGTCGTCATCACAACGCCACCGTTAGTGGCAGCTATAGCAACAGCTACGTCTGAGGAATTGCATGCTTGTCGATATCAAAGCATCAACAGAACCGTGTCGGCGTCAAGTGACGTGTCTGTCATTGTCATTGTGGGGTGTCTGTATGGTGTCTGTGTCGAATTGTGTGTACCTGTGTCTTGGTGTGCGAGTGGCGAACAGCAGGGCGCGAAATTGCTACCCTGTCCTTGCCACTCATCCACCAGTCCGGGGACACATCCCCCGAGTCGTGGTTCGCCACCCAAAGTAAGGTGGTGACACAGACACATGATTACACAAACACTTGACAACACAATGCAGACAAAAACACCACCCGACCTTGTAACTGAAATGGGGGAAGAAGGAAAAACAAGAAACCCATCCGAACAATCCGTGTTCAGACTTCAACCAGCGCTCGCTGCGCTCCCGCCCGGAATACTCACCCTGCTGGAGCACTCTCTACTGTCTCATTATCCAGAAAACCAAACGTGCCGATATGAATCACACAAGTCGCGTTGTGCTCCTTGGCCAACTCGTTGAGCATGGAAAGATTACCGCGGGCGTCGGCAACGCATAAAATGCGGCTGCCTTGCACGGGCAACACAGACACGTGCGGTTTGGAACTCATGTTGTGTGTGGTGATGTTGTATGGTGGTCGAATGCAAGGTTCGTGACTGTCTGGGGACTAAGTTAGGAGTATGTAATTCGGAGTAATTAAACCATAGGGGCGATTTTGGAGAAAATACAAAAAAACGAAATAAAATAGATGGACATAGAATGAAGCGGAGGATTATTAATCAGAAGCAACATAAAACATTATCGAATTGAAAAAAAACGAAAACTCTCACTCAGCCTCCCCAATATGAGACATACGCACTGTATGAAGGCTATGGGAAAGACGTTTTACATTCAGAAGAAGCCATGAAGGAGATATTCTCTTGGAAATGCTGCTAATCAACTCGGTACGTACCCTGGATTAGATTCATAAAAGTTTTATTCAATACATATACCTCTAGATACCAATGTACATACAACCTAGAGTTGTGTTACGTCAGCAAAAGGCACCTATTTTTTTTCTTTTTTTTCTGCATATACATTTTTTTTTCTTTTTGTTATCTACAAGTACAGTACTAACCAACTAACTACTTACGAATGGCAAATGTCTTTAAAGAGACCCAATTAAACTCCCCTTAAAAATCTCAGAACTCTAGTTTTCTAGATATTTCACTTTCGCACTGGAATCAAGCTAGTCAGAATGTCAAGCTGACCATAGAACGCTCAACAACGCCCATTTAACCAGTCTAATTGAATGTATATAATACTCATGTCAAGAGCGCAATCCTGGTCAACTTCTCATGATGTCAGCTCCAAAACTGAGCGTCTCGTAGAACTTCCAGCCGGTTTCTATTTTTGGAACCCGTCTATAACTGCTGTAAGAAGATACCAAATCGGCTTCTGAGCTGAAAATACCTCAATGAAACGACGCGCGAAAATTCCAATCACGTGACCTCGCTATGAGGTCGACAGACGGGAAATATCTCGATTAGCTCTGAGACAGCAGCCCCGCTGGAGGCTCATCACATGACCGTTGCAGCCGCCCCGGTCCCCGGCTGAAGGTCACGTGACCATCTACAACGGGGGAGAGGCGCTCGCTTTTGATGACTAAGTAAGTCGCTTTTGATGACTAAGTAAGTCGCTTTTGATGACTGAGTAAGTCGCTCTCGTTGATTTCGAATTCGCTTACACAACAGGTGCTGTATGGTTTTCTGTCTCTTTACACCTTTGAGCACATGATGCTGGAGGCGGGGTCAGACCCATAAAATACCAAAACCTGTTGAGGAGTGCATTAGTCAGCTCCTGTTTAGTCAGCAGACAATATACCTGTCTTGTGTATCTGTCGTATTAATCGCAGGGCTGGCTGTGGAGGCTGGATTTGTGGTATTTTTAGAGTTGAAAATGGAGAGACTGGAAGGGGGTGTTTATACTGATAATTTGAAATTTAAAGACCATAGCCGTGGTCAGACAAGCTCCAGAGTGATCCCATTCCATGTCCAAAGGTGGATTTTGTTATCAGTTTTTTTTTTTTTTCTATTCTTATTGACTCTTAGGATTTCTGATTTTCATGAGGGTTAAATTAGGTTGAGGTGGTTGATGAGTGATATGCGTTTGGCTATCATAGGGATTTGGAATTGAGATGGAAAAAATCGTATCGGATGCAGCGTTCTTTGAGGTATTTATTTCTCTTTTGCTCGGTTTTATTCGCAATTTATTCAATTAGTTGCGTTGAAATCAGTTTCTACGGACTGCACTCTATTGGGTTTAATAATGAGCGACTTTATGGTCTAGAGATGATGCCCAGAAAGAGCAGGAGAAATTTCTAGGGCGGATATATTTCCAATAAATGAGCAAAAAAACAAAAAAGTATAAGTAGCAAGTACTTGTATCGAGATTTCCCCAGTTTTAATAATTCGGATAGATGCCATTTATTTCATAGCAGCCACCGCACAAACAACTACAGTAATAGCCCCATTTCTGTATCTCCATTGGGACAGCAACATTGGACGGGACTTTTGGTACAAGTATCCCGTGACCTCCCAATTGGGACAGCCGAAAAGTAATGTCTATCTCCGACGAGCACGACATGAATATTTCTTGCTACCGAGCCCCGATTGCAGCCGGAGATGGCCCCCAAAGGAGCCACGACGGCTCGAGAAATGTTTCCGAGTCTTTCTGCGCCGGTATCTCTGCATCTGGCCGACCTACAGCGTTTTCCGGTGTTGCGGCCCGCTGCAGACTCTGCAGAAGCGCCAAAACACTGCTGTGGGCTATCGCGGACTAATACCACAGCTTGCACGGCTTTTGCGTCGCTGGTCTCGGTGCTATATCAAACTTTGACTCTTGGGCATTGTTTCTTTACATGACTGTACATGTAGGTACACTGTAATAGGCTATAAATTGGGGGTGGTGGTTATTAGGCGGAGCAAGAGTAGGCGGAGTGTAGAATGGGCTGTGATGACCGCAGAGCTTCGCGGAGACTCGGGTTGTAATCTCCGTAGCAGAATTGACCGATTTCCGTTTTCCCAAAGGTGCTGGAGCCCCCGCAACCTCTCCATCTATTCTTCTCCCCCAAATCCTTACTACTCCCAACCTGCATATCGCAACCTGACATCTCTCTCACGACTAGGACCACTTGACCACCCCCTCCATTCTTCGGACTTCTTCGATTGGCGGTCCAGCAGGTATCAGGCCGAGTTCTTTGAGCGACGACAGCAGTTGCGCAGCGGCAGAAAGTGACTGGTCACGTGAGTATTGCGGTTTGTGTGGAAATTCGCGCATGCTAACACAGACAAGACACCAGAGACACAAAACGGAAGACTTCGAAACGACATCATCAAGTGCGCAGCGCGACACAAGACCAGCGACAGACAGATTAGCAAGCGTCGACAAAACGACTCCCGGCGTATTATTCTTGCTCTCGACTTTGCCACTGTCTACATTCGACCCAAAACACACATCCACGGACCCACATCAGCTCCGTGATCAACGACAGTATCTAAGGCCCCCCCCCCCCCCCCCCCCCCCCCTTCCCAACCCCTCCGTGACCCACAATATTAGTGCAGTCACCCCATATCACATCACACACAACCTCTGTCTCTACCCCTTCTAGCATGACAGAACCAATGACATCACCGGCACCAGTGCCGGCGCCTCCCCCCGAGAAACGGATGCAGAAACGACGCTCAATCGGCGAGTGGGACTTTGTGAAAACAATCGGAGCAGGCTCGATGGGCCAGGTTAAACTCGCCAAGTCCAGAGTCACCGGCGAGCTCTGCGCCGTCAAAGTGATCCCGAAGGCCACAGCCCAGCACAAGCGACCGCCCGATGAAGAGGCCAAGGAGTCGGACATCAGCAAAGACATCCGAACGGTCCGAGAGGCAGCCATTGGCAAACTACTGCACCACAAGTACATTTGCGAAATGCGCGAAATGTACACCATGACGAACCACTACTACATGGTGTTTGAGTACGTGGCTGGAGGCCAGATGCTGGACTACATCATTTCGCATGGCTCTTTGAAAGAACGACACGCGCGAAAGTTTGCTCGAGCCATCGGATCGGCTCTGGACTACTGCCACCAGAACAGTATCGTGCACCGGGATCTCAAGATTGAGAACATTTTGATTTCAAAGTCCGGAGATATCAAGCTGATTGATTTTGGCCTCTCGAATCTGTTTGCGCCCAATTCCCAGCTCAAGACCTTTTGCGGCTCGCTGTATTTTGCAGCCCCCGAGCTGCTGAAGGCACGACCGTACATTGGCCCCGAGGTCGATGTGTGGTCGTTTGGCGTAGTTCTCTACGTCCTGGTGTGCGGCAAGGTCCCCTTTGATGACAAGAACATGCCGCTACTGCACGCCAAAATCAAGCAGGGCAAGGTTGAGTATCCCAACTTTCTGAGCCCCGAGTGCAAGGACATTTTGGCACGTATGCTCGTGGTCAATCCGCTACAGCGAGCTACGCTGGCGGAAATTCTGCAGCACCCATGGATGAGCAGGGGCTACGAAGGCCCTCCCGACTCGTACATTCCATACAGAGAGCCTCTGACGCTGCCCCTGGACCCACAGGTTGTCCAGGAGATGAGCGGTTTCGAATTTGGCTCTGAGGCCGAAATCGCCCAGAATCTGGCGGCGCTTCTTGAATCGCCAGAGTACATCTTAGCCTGCCACAACTGGTACAAGGCACACGAGAGCTCGCCGTCTACCTCCCGGTTCTCGTTCGACCTGCTCAAACGAACGAGCGGTGGCATGGGTGGTGGATCATCAGATTCCATTGATCTGACCGCCACCCCTATGAGTACTGCCGATCCCACAGCGGCCTACCACCCACTCATTAGCGTGTACTACCTGGTGCGTGAGCGATTGGAACGGGACGCTCGAAGAGAGCAAGAGCGGGCTGGTGCCCCCTTTGTGGGCTATCGTCAGGGCGCCGGGAGCGGCAGTGGCAGCGACGAGTTTGGTCATCATTCTGGCCACCATTCTGGTCATCAACATAGTCACAGCGGCCATGTGAGCATTCCAGCTCCTCCCACAGTGGTGCCTCCTCCTGAGGCTGCTCACTCGCACCACACCCACACCCACAGTCAGTACTCGCCATTCCTGTCTGGCCAGGGTCCCTCCCGAGCACGTGCTCGAACCCACGGTGCTTCCGACCTGCAGCCCCCGCAGCAGCATGGTGCACATGGACAGCCCCAGGCGCCCCAGCGGGCGTATGACGCGCCTCACGACCACCACCAGGGTGGCCAACCGGGACCGCAGCCGCACCAGCTCGCATCCCCGCCTCCGCTGTCGCCTCCGCCTCAGCAATACTCCTTCCCCGAAAAGAAGGAACCGAGTCTGGCATCATCGCTGCTCCGGCGGTTCTCATCTCGACGAAGCAAGCCCAGCGACAGCAGCAACCACGCGCCAGAGCCTCCCTCGCCAGGCGGGCGACTCAAGGTACAGCAGCCAAGCTCTCCTCTTGGCAGATCAACGTCTGTCAACGAGAAGCAGGCTCGAAAACCGGTTGGATACGGCACTCCTGGCACTCCCAGCAGCGCGAAGTTCTCTTCGGGGACACCCGGCAGTCCTCTGCGCAACGAGCGGTCCATTCGGCATCTCCATCGGTGGATATGGCTGGTCTTGGGGTTCCTCACATGCCCAGCGCATCTTCTAACGCTTCTGGCTCTCATGTGACCCCCCACTCGTCTCAGGACGGCGTCGACGGGCCTCCGCAGACTCCTCCTACGCGACCCACGGCAACTTTCGCGCCTGGTTCTGCCCAGCAGCCGCCAACTACCACCCGAAAGCAGTACCACCCATCTGCGCGGGCGAAGTCAATGGGTCACGTGCGCAAAGAGTCAATCAACACCAAGGCGGCGGCTCCTCCTTCGGAGTCCATGCCTCCTGTTCCTCAAGAGTTTGAGGATGACGTCGCCCCTGTGCAGTCGCGTCAGCACCACGTTAAGATGGACGACGTGGATCTGGCAGACCACACGCCTACACCCTCGATCGACTATCCTAAGCAGGTATTCCTCAAGGGTTTCTTTTCCGTGCAGTCGACGTCCACCAAGTCTTTGCCGTTTATTCGGTCTGACATTATCCGTGTACTGACTCAGCTGGGCGTGCGGTTCAAGGAGATCCGGGGTGGATTCATGTGCATCCACGAGCCCAGCCTTGCGCGTGAAGAAGACCCTTCGCCCGGCCACCTGAGTCCACGGGTGGATACGGGCGATACATCGAGCTTGTCGCCTCCCGGCTCGCCTGCGAATGCTCACTGGCGTAAGCTGTCGTTTAACGGAAGAAGACGGGATCATTCTGGTTCCGGCCACTTTGATTTCTCCGACGACTTCTCTTGTGACTCGTTTGGCGGCTCTACGGAGCGGCATCATGCCCAGGGCGGAGGCAGTGATATGTTGGGCTACACAGCGACAAATTCGTCGGTGCGAACGCCGCTGCAGTTTGAGATTTACATTGTCAAGGTTCCGATTCTGTCGCTGCATGGAGTGCAGTTTAAGAAGATGACGGGTAACTCGTGGCAATATAAGAATCTGGCGGGTAAGATTTTGGCTGAGCTGAAGTTATAGGTGGCGAAGACCGTAGGTCTTAGCAGACAAGAAGCTGTCATGAGTTGGAGAAGCAAGAAGCAGCTACAAGTAGTCTGCGGGATTGAGCAGCAAGAAACAAATAGCTGCAACTACAATACTCATTGGAGGTACATAATAATAGAGCACTTATCATAGACTGCTTGGATAGAGGAGAAGAGGTGTGATTGGGGGCTCGACGGGATGTGTTGTTGGAAGAAGTTTGATGACAGGCGGTCTAGAGGGGCTCTAGAGGTGTAGTCTGGGGATGTCTGTCTAAACTGGCTTCATATGTAGTAAGTTTGGTAGAGTGGATCACTTCCAAGACAGTAGGGCTACCATGGAACAAGTTTTACTGAACTAAGTCTTGGCTCAATGGTAGAGGTTTACAGATGTTGTTACGGTCTAATGTGAAATCTTTTGCGGGTGTTTGGGTCCGTTATAAAGTGAATATCTCTACGGAGAGGTTCTTGTTCGACAAGTTGGTTAAGTCGGATTGAAAATATGGGATTGAAGGCATTTCCAAAAGGAAAACAACTCCAAAAGCTCCAAAAAATTACTCCAGAAAGAAATCAGACGTCTGATCTTCTCCTAAAGACAAATGTCTCCAACTTATATTCAGTCACAGGTGAAACATGTGTGTTTGGCCATCATTTCAGGATTCGTTAATGGTGTTCTTTTGGCTAGTCCATCCGCTTAGCGGTTGGAATTTGGTCAGTATCAGCTGTTCTATGTCTCAGATAGCTATCCAGGTGCGGCAACTAGGGTCAATCAGAGCAATGTTCAGGTCAATGTTCAGGTCAATAGGTTCGGGTACATACAGTGTATGTACTGTAGCCCCCCATGCTGGTTCCGTTCGTTTCAAACCACTCCTTCCTTCCTGCGGGCTTCGACATTGGATCAAGATGCGACTCGAAACACACTCCAGGCTAGATGATGGCCAAAATACCATCGAAACTGGCGGAAGCAGCGACATTGCTGGTCACTCTCGCCAGACGAGTCTTTGGGCTGGGTGTTCGGGATGAGCGGAATGAGCCTGGCTGACTTACCACTCTCGGATCATCCAACTCTGTCATCCCTCTTCACTCTTTGACTCCTTCAACTGACGCTGTCTCGCCCTCACCACCCTCCGAACTCTGACGCACACACAGCCTTATCCAGGTGCAGGGTGCATGGCTTGAAAATATAAATTGGTGAGACATTTCCAAAATTTAAAAACGCCATGGGGAAGAGTTTGATGTGACAAATCCAGCCCCGTTCCCCGTCAATCGATCCGAACACTGGAAACCCGTCTTTAGTCCACTAACTCGACACTCCACTCTACAGAACGCTACAACCATAGCCTAAACTTTTCAGACATCAATGCATGAAAATTGGAAATTGAGGTGAGACAACATGAAAAATATATTTTTTTGAAAAAAATTTGGAGCAAAGCAACTGTGAAACAAACAACGGCTAGACTGACGACAAGGAATGGCAAAAATCGTGAAAAATGGCAATTATTCGCAGCTAGTCCCGTGACCGGGAGATATTCGGTTGCCGGTTTACACAGATTTTCATTTAGCTGGATGATAAGGGAGTCTGAAGATCTGTCATGATGTTTTACATCAGATTAGTTTCGGGAGAGAAACAAAGGCCAGCTACAATATCACACCAGATAAAAGAAGCAATTGAGAGACGACATAATGCCCATGATAAATTCTCTTTTCTCAGGTCATGTGACACACCAGATCACCTGATCCCATCTTCTCTGTCAGCTTATCACCACGGTCTTAGTCCATAAACTTGTACCAACAAGATACATACCACTGCAGTATGTACAGTAGCACATCTCGATGCCTCCTGAAATCGCACAATAGGCAGTCAGATTAGGCAGTCAGATTAGTGCACTCACGTGGCTCGACCATATCAAGTCATGTGGCCCCTAGCAGTACGTCACGTGATCCAATCCACCATACCACAACGAGTATCCTCTCTCCTTCGATGTATCTCTGATGACATCATACTACCTTTTTGGTCACTGATTAGGTTTAGAGAAGGGGGAAGATACGGTGGTAATTGTCAGTATTACGGCGGCTAAAGTGGCTACCTGAAGGAAATAAACCCACAAAACTAGTCTCTAGATATGGTTTGGTGCGCAGACTCTTTTCAGCTGTCTCGCCAGCTCCTTTTGAAAAGTTTCACCAGGGTTAGGCCGCCAATTCAGTGCTTTCCCCCAGGTTAGGGTTGCTCCGTACTCTGGCTCGTGGTTTCAGACAACGGAGCAATTGGGGTGACATTGATTGGAGACGCTGATAGTAGATTGGTCAGGGCTAGGGTAAGAGAATCCAGGGTTAGGGGGTGACCGAGAGAAGAAGAAGCAAAAAAAATACCTTGGAAAAAACTGCACTTCCGCCGGTCTTGTCAGTGGGTAATCTAGCATCTGATTTTTTTCTCTTCTCCCATATTCCAGCAACTCAGTTCATCCGGGTAACACTTTCAAACCTTATTTTTAAACTTTCAAAAATTTTACACCTCCGTTATAAAAGTGAGTACGGCAAAATCACCATCTTTCCACAACACCAAAACACACTATACAAAATGGCTGTGTCTTCCAGTAAAGCCAAGCGAGAAGCCAAGAAGGCCGAGAAGGCCGCCGCCAAGGCAAAGGCCGAGGGAAAGGAGGTTGGAAAGTCCGTGGACGAGATTGTGGCGGAGAACACTGAGAAGATCAAGGAGCTCAAGATGCAGAAGGACAAGGACGGTCTGTCGGATCGAGTTACCACCGGTGTGCTGGCCTCTCTGGAGACGTCACGTGATCTGAAGCTGACTTCTGTGTCGCTCAATTTCCACGGAAAAGTGCTGATTCAGGACTCCACTCTCGAGCTCAACTACGGCCAGCGATATGGTCTTCTGGGAGAGAACGGATGTGGAAAGTCGACTTTCCTCAAGGCTTTGGCCGAGCGAGAGTACCCTGTTCCCGAAATTATCGACATCTATCTTCTGAACGAGCCTGCTGAGCCCTCCGAGTGGTCTGCTCTGGAGTACGTTGTGCGAGAGGCCGAGGCCGAGCTCAAGCGTCTGGAGCACCAGGTTGAGAAGATCCTTGAGGAGGATGGCCCCGAGTCGCCCATTCTGGAGGATCTGTACGAGCGAATTGACGACATGGACCCCACCACCTTTGAGTCTCGAGCCTCTCTGATTCTGGTCGGTCTGGGTTTCAACTCCAAGACCATTAAGAAGAAGACCAAGGATATGTCTGGAGGATGGAAGATGCGAGTTGCTCTTGCCAAGGCTCTTTTCGTCAAGCCCACTCTTCTGCTGCTCGATGACCCCACTGCCCATCTGGATCTGGAGGCCTGTGTCTGGCTTGAAGAGTACCTCAAGAAGTGGCCTCGAACCCTGATTCTCGTGTCGCACTCCCAGGATTTCCTCAACGGAGTCTGCACCAACATGCTTGATATGCGAATGAAGAAGATGCTACTGTACGGAGGAAACTATGACTCTTACGTCAAGACCCGAAACGAACAGGAGACCAACCAGATGAAGCAGTACCACAAGCAGCAGGAGGAAATCGCACACATCAAGAAGTTCATTGCTTCCGCCGGTACTTACGCAAACCTGGTGCGACAGGCCAAGTCGCGACAGAAGATTCTGGACAAGATGGAGGCCGACGGTCTGATTGAGAAGGTGGTGCCCGACAAGGTGTTTGAGTTCCGATTCCCCGCCGTTGAGAAGCTGCCTCCTCCCGTTCTGTCTTTCGACAACATCACCTTCTCCTACTCTGGTAACCCCGAGGAGAACCTGTACGAGAACCTCAACTTTGGTGTTGATATGGACTCTCGAATCGCTCTGGTTGGTCCCAACGGTGTGGGTAAGTCCACTCTGCTGAAGCTCATGACCGGTCAGCTCCAGCCTACCGGAACCGAGGGCCGAATCTCGCGACACACCCATCTCAAGATTGGTGTCTACTCCCAGCATTCTCAGGACCAGCTGGATCTCACCAAGTCTTCTCTGGAGTTTGTCCGAGACAAGTTTTCCCACATTTCTCACGACTTCCAGTACTGGCGACAGCAGCTGGGTAGATTCGGACTTACTGGTGAGGGCCAGACTGCCCTCATGGCCACTCTTTCCGAGGGTCAGCGATCTCGAGTCGTTTTTGCCCTGCTTGCCATTGAGGCTCCTAACATGATTTTCCTTGATGAGCCTACTAACGGTCTGGATATTCCCACCATTGACTCGCTGGCTCAGGCCATCAACGAGTTTGACGGAGGAGTCGTGGTTGTTTCACACGATTTCCGACTGTTGGACAAGATCGCCAAGGATATTTTCGTGTGCGAGAACAAGACCGCTACCAGATGGGATGGCAGCATCTTGTCGTACAAGGCCAAGCTGGCCAAGAACGTGGTCGTTTAATCTGGCTTGTAGCGACAGACTGAACGTTTCAGATTGTGAGCATAGCCGGCAATCTGGACACTTTTTTCACACACATCTTCACACACCGCTGATTACGGTCAATGGTTAGAAAGGGGACGAAAATAGAGTAGAGTAGATAGACTAATGATTCATTGAGACTCGTGTATTGCGTAGCGACTAGATTCAGCGCCACTGGGCTCTCCTCGAGTTGTAGGTATTGGGGAGGTACAGGTAACTGTAGCTACAGGTAGATTGTCCTTGGTCAGTCCGACTGGTTACGCTAAATCTCGTGGATGGACTTCTGGACTGCTGCTCTGATGATGTTGGCTGGAGCGGGTGAAACCTCCTCAATTACTTGGGATTAGTTAAGAGTAAAAGTCTGCTAGGGGTGCAAAAACGGTCTTCGAGATATGCTAGAGATATGCCGATTGTTTCAGATTGTTGAGAGAAGACGTGAAATATCGATTGGATCATGGCATTATAAATGTCACATACAATATTTCGAGCTGTTGAAGTTTTTCTGCGGATCCCGAATGTATATTACTTAGACTTTGTTGAAGAAAAATAGAATACAATAGAATAGAATATGAATAAAAAGATACGCAGAAAAAAAAAGAAAAAGGGGGTGTTCCACTGGGCTGGGATACTGTGACAGAACATGAAACCAAACAACAGATATAGCATTTTCAACTGAGATATAGACTGCCTTATATTTCTACACCTCTACTTCCAACTAAAGTCCATTCTAAAGTCTCACTAAAGTCCCACCAAAGTCCCACTAAAGTCCCACTAGAGTTTCACTAAAATCCCACTAAAATCCAACCACTTCCAACTACTTCCAACTAATCCCATCTAAAAGTCAGTGTTTTGACGGCACTGTACATACAGCACTAGAGAAATCACTGCAACACCAATTCTAGAGGAAGAGCACGTCGACTTACATCCAGCTGCTTATTCACATCTCCTCTTCATGTCTGATTATTCAGCACCACCCATCTCCATCCCATCCCCAGTCCGCCCAACAAATGTTCCACCCGCTGACCCACTGTATCAAACTAAGACACACTCACAATACATACATGGGCTATGAATCGTGACTGTGAAAGGAAGATGCGCCATTATAAATGGAGCTCCGAAGAACGTGGACTAGGCTGGAGTGTGAAGTGTCCCCTTTTTTATATCAATTGAAAAGACTCTGCACTGGTTCTGTTGGTGGTCTGTGTCTATCCACCTCCCCCAAAGTTCGTCAGCCCGGTTCCCAGTTTTTGGCCAGTGCTCGTATTTACTCCCTACCGTTTTCGTGCTGATACCGCCCCGTGCACTCTGACATGTGATGTCTACATGACGAGGACATTTGTATATGTAGCGATTTCGGGCCGGCGGGTATTTGAGGGAAAATGCAGAAAAAATGGACAATATTTTTCTGGCCAAGGAAACAGCTGGCTTGTGAGCAAAGGCGCCATATATCGAGCCAGTTTTTCAACGCCAAAAAACAAGGCTGATTATTTCTGCCTAAAAGCACTTTTTGGACAATGGCATTGGGTTTCAAACAAGGTTGGAGACTAATCTATTTTTGGGGGAGTGCGAATCACAACAGACCTTCCAACGGGAGTAGATAGTGGAGATATCGAAATTTCGAGGCCACCAGGTTTTTCGCCCAGTCTCGTGGATTCCAAAAATATAAATATCTTCCCAGAATCTCCACTATCTGTAAACTTTAACCTCCCAGAACCCCCCCTCTAAACTTCCCAGCCACCTACAATATTACTGTAGGTACAGTACATTCAAGTATCGGACATACCCACTACGAATACAGTACAGCACCGGTACTATTCCTGCCCCTCACAACTACACCCCTGTCGTTCATGGGCCTGTTTACGAAAAAGTCCCGTGAGGCGCTCAGCGACACGCCCAAGCTGTCTGCCCTGGCACAACAGCCCGACCTCCCCGTTCTGAGTCCCCCTCCGCTTCCTGCAGCGTCGCAAAGAGCCGTTTCAGGGGGCTCGGTCTCCTCTCTCAATGAGCCCAAGGGATACACTTTGCGAGGCAAGCTGGGGCTGGCCAAGGCTCCACAGAACGTATTTGACGGGTTTGACGGCGCCCAGGTGCCGGACGGAGCTTCTGGATACAACGACTCAATCTACGATGAACAGCTCCCGGACGACGACGCAAGCATCTACGACAGAAGCAGATACGAGGAGAGCGTCTACGGAGATGAGAGGAATGCACAGAAGCAACAGCCACCTCAGTCGGAACACTCCTCGTCGAACAATACAGACTCCAATCTGCCACCACCAATCAACACCTTTGTTCAGCATGGCACTGTTAAGCAGTACACTCCTGAGTTTGGAGGGGCAGAGTTTCCACCCGGAGGAACTGATGGCTCGTCTCATTCGCCCCACAGCTCGCAATTTGCATCGCCTACAGGAGAGTTTCATTCAAACCGAAGTTCGCCCGTAAAGCCGCCCCCTATCACTATTCCAAAGGGAAGATCGTCTCCGCTCGCCTCTGGGAAGTCGCCCATCGGGATCTCTTCTTCTTTTGGAATGAGCCCTTCTACTAATCAAATTAGAAGCCCACTGGGTTCTCCTTCATACATGCTTCCTACATCTACTTATGGAGAGTCACCCAAGGGCAGTGGTATGGCTTCAGCAGCAGCAGCTCTGGCGATGGGAGTATCCTCGTTCAAAACCCCTCCGCTGGCCCAGAAAGCCCAATTCGGCTCTCCACAGACCTTTTCAACTCCCTCTCAAGCATTGGAAAGCACCCATCCTGCTGATCACGTCAACTGCTCCCATGGAGGTCATTCACACTCACATGCTGCCTCTCCTGGGTCCCCTCGAGTGACTTCTCCCACAGTAAGATCTCCTCCACCTCCTTTGGCTCACCCAGGCTACCCCAAAGAACACTACATTGCGAAAAAGAAGAGTTCTGAGGCCCTTGGAGAGGTGCTACCTGGGAGAGATCTCTACGCCGAAGCCAAGAATGACTACCCTTATCCACTTACTCCGGCTGACCTTAAGACCGCCCCTTACCCTACCTGTTATTATCAGAAGGGATGCCGTGAGATTGGCCCTCATTCCCATGAAGAAGAGGAGAAGGTGGATCCTGTTTTCGCGACTTTTGACCAGTCAAAGTATGACGAGATCCAGCGTGAGTCACGTGATCAACAAGAGAAGGAGAAGCTCATGTGGGGCAAATCGGGTTCCAGCGATAAGCGCTTGTCTACTGACCAACAACGAGCAGAATTGTCTTCTACAGGTTCAGACAAGTCTAGAGGTTCAGACAAGTCTAGAGGTTCAGAGCCACATGATACGGGATCTGGAGACTCTGCATCAAACCGAACAGAGTCACGTGCGGTCGATTCATCCGACTCTCGGTTTGCCGAGGCTGAATCTCGGGCCACAGAGTCTGCGGAATCCAGGTTTGAGGAGGCCCAATCACATCCGGGATCGTCTCATGCTGAATCAGTTGAACCAGAGTACATTCCAGCAGACTTGCACAGGGCAGAGTCTTCAATTTACCCTGCTGAATCTGTGTATTCTGCCAACCGAGCTGAAGAGACTGATCCGTATGCCGAGTCTGTGTATTCCACCCAGCAGGAGCAGCAATCTGAGTCATATGATCAGAATGTGAAAGAGTCCCATGACCAGTCGACCGACCACCATCACAATCCACCTCCCTCGTCCATCGACGACTTTGACTTCAACTCAGGAGCACACACTCCAACAAACAGACTGCCCTTGGACTCGCCGGGAACGCCAGGAACACCCGAATTGACACGTGATTTCAACCGACTGTCTGTGTCTCATATCAAGGGTATGGGCCTACCTCTGGATACACGGTCGATTGGTAGTGGTGAAGGTCACGCCCCACAAAACCATGTCAACCACTCGGTGCATCACGTGGGACACGAAGCCGATCTTAACCACGGTCAAGTGACCCACGGCCAGGTTGTTGGAGGTGGTTCTACAAATCACATGATGCTAGCTGAGCCTAGTCAGGCGGAAATCCTACGATCTTCTTATATTTCCACGGATTCTGGAGGTGGGTTGAGTCACATGGGCGGTCCGATCGGCTCTACGGGTCATGTGATGGACCGTCACATGATGTCACCGGACCAGGAAGTCTTGGAGGGTCATGTTATGGACGAGATTCAGATTGACGGAAATGGGCATGTGATTCAGAACCCGAGTCCCGGTCACATGAACTCCCGCTCTGGCACCATGATGACTAACATGACTGGTTTGAACTCTCCCTCTGCCGCTTACTATCCTGCTCCAATTCCCATGAATCTGAAGCTACCCCCCCTACTTAGTAAGAAGAATAGGCGCTTGTCTCGTTCTGGAATTTCTCCCTTTCCTTCTCCTCGCAAGAGTTCGTTTTCATCTGCTTTGGACAAGCCTGGAAACCGTTCCTCTTTCATGTCTCCTTGGTCTCATACTCCAGATGGATCGCTACTTCATTATGAAGGCTTTGCGGAGGACTTTGAGCGCTCGGGACGTTCTGTGCATCGACAGAGTCTTGGATCGCGGGGTAGTTCTCCTCTGAAGAAGCTGTACCTATCCGGGGACTCACGTGAAGCATCTAGAGACGCTTCTAGGGACGTTTCCAGACTCTCCCGCGACTTTGATGAAGTTTATGGCGAATTCGACGAATCGGCTATTGATTCATCGGACACCGATTTACGTGATCCATACTACAATCCTCAGAAGCGAGGAAGACGACGAACCATGTCCCTGACTTCCATTAATGTCAACATGGACAATTCTGAAGTGAGAGAAGAACTGGACGAGGGCGACGTTGAAGGCGATGTAACTGATATGCAGCGATACGAAGCTTCTGCCAACGCCTTTACACGTGTTCATATCGACTCAAATGCCATTGTTCCTCCCTCGGCTGCTGCTGGCTATGGAAACGGTATTTCTCCCGGTCTTGATCAGAAGCCTGGAACTCTAGTCGAAGAGTTGGAGCTGCGGAAGAAGGACAAGAAAGCTGTTCGAGGACATCTCAATAAGTCTATGCATCAGTATGCTGCTGACGGCACTGAGACTCCTCTGATTCAACAGATTCACGATTCTCAGTCTGCTTATGGTTTTGATGATAGACGCAATTCGTTGATTTCAGACAAGAGAATGTCCATGATGACTGGAATGTCTGGAATGACCGGGATGACGACCAAGGAGCACTCTTACGAGGATCCCAACCATCATAGAATGTCTCTGTTGGCTCTGGACTCGCTTGCTCAAATGGATTACCAGCAGAGTTACTCCAAGCCCGGAGCTGCCCAGATCAGCAAGCAGTACAAGGCTTCGCGTGATGACGACGAGCCTCTGCGGGTGCGAAAGCAGCGGTTGAAGCGGCAGTCCCAGCAGCTGCTCGAGCAGCGACAGCTCCAGGAAAATATCGAGAAGCAGCGACTTGCGTCGATCGAGCTGGAGAAGAAGCGACAGGAGGTCAAACAACAGAGACGCAACCAGTTTGGACAGAATGCGGCTGCTGCGGGGGCCCAGAAGAAGGGCAAGGTGTTGATTGGGCCTGGTGGAGAGGTGATCAGAACCTAGCTGTAAGCGAAGCGAACAGTTATGGACTGAGGACGAGGAAAGTCTGGAAGAGTTCAAGGGAAGTCAGGACGGGTGCCTGAAACTCTTGTGTCATTCTTTTGTCACTGACAAGATGGTTGTCTCTTCTTGCATGTAATGAATTTATCGAATGATGTTTATTACAGTACGGCATGCTTGTAGACTGTGTATCGTAGGGTGTATAAAGAGCATCTATTAGTTTTTTTGTTTTTTTTTTGTTTTTTTTGTTGAAGTGATCCTAGTTGTACTTGTACTTGTACTGTACCAAACTTTTTGCCATCTCGTTTCGGTGATCTTTTTGATATCCAAAAAGTTGGGATTTTTTCTCTATCTCCAACATACACACTGAAAATAGGAGCTGTATTCGCAACTCACATTGAACGAGAAAAAGGAAACAAATGTCACTTTATTCGATGGTGGATGTGACGTGAAACAACCACCACAATTATCTACAAGTCCCTTGTACAAGGAACATGGCCATATTGACGGTTTCATGTTGCACACTCCTCAACTAAAAAATTAACAATTAGACATGTCACTAAGTAATCCTCACTAAAAGACGGCACTTTGGATGCCACATAAGATGACAATTTCAACAATATAAGATGAAATTTGTGTTGAAATGTGGCAACGTGGAATCTAACCATAGTAGTTGTGGCCTCAGTTGGTTCATTGGTGGTGCTCCTAGATGAGTTCAGTTGGCTACAGATGACTCAACAGCTATGACCTAATCAATATGCAAATTTAGCCAGGTTTAGCCTCTAGATAAGCATGAGTGGGGTGTATAGGAGTGTTCATAGTCGGGACATTATATAGCTCATGTGACAAGCAAGCCAACAAATGCAGCTCTTAGAGCGTCGGTATTCAACTGCTTCCCACCAACATCCTATCGGAGACCTGAGCATCCCCCAATTTCCTATCCTTGTCTCCACCAATCCTCTTCTCCAAACCTTGCCCCAAAGTCTAATACAAGTAGGAGTCATCATAGTCTGCATATGGTGAAATTTCCAGTCTGACTGATCAAATTCTAGATCAGTTATAAGAGGCCGATTCTGCACCCCGAAATCGTCACCATCGCAAAATGAACCGATTCAGCAAGATCCGACAGTATTCGACCCTGCTCCAGACGGCAGAAAAGTACTCGGTGCCAACCTACGCCAAACCCAGCGTGATTCTGACCAAGGGAAAGGGCGCGTACCTGTGGGACAGCAATGACAACAAGTACATTGATTTTTCGGCCGGCATTGCCGTCACGGCTCTGGGCCACTCCAACCCCGAAATCACAAAGATCCTGGCCGAGCAGTCGTCGCAATTGATGCACTGCTCCAACCTGTTCAACAACGAGTGGGCTCCCCGTCTGCAGGAGTCGCTAGTGGAGGAGACCCTCAAGAGCGGAGGAATGAAGGGTGCCAGAAAGGTGTTTCTGGCAAACTCCGGAACCGAGGCAAACGAGGCTGCTCTTAAGTTTGCCCGAAAGGTCGGCACCTTGAGCTCGCCCGATAAGACGGAGTTTGTCAACTTTGAGAAGGCTTTCCATGGCCGAACTATGGGCGCTCTTTCCGTGACCCCTAACCCCAAATACCAGGCTCCTTTTGCTCCTCTGGTCCCTGGAGTGAAGACCGGCGTCTACAACGACCCCAAGGCTGCCGATCTCATCACCGAGAAGACCTGCGGAGTCATTGTGGAGCCTGTGCAGGGCGAGGGAGGCGTGTACAAGGCCAACGACGAGTTTCTCCAGGCACTGCGAAACAAGTGCGATGAGGTGGGAGCCATGCTCATCTTCGACGAGATCCAGTGCGGTCTGGGCCGAACCGGACGACTCTGGGCACACGACAAGGTGCATCCCGATATCCTTACCATGGCCAAGGCGCTGGGCAACGGATTCCCCATTGGCGCCACCATGGTGACTGAGGCTGTGGCCGACAAGATTGCCATTGGCGACCACGGCACCACCTACGGAGGTAACCCTCTGGCGTCTCGAGTGGGCCACTATGTGCTGAGCCAGGTGGCCAGCAAGGAGGTGCTTGACAATGTGAAGAAGGTGAGCCAGCAGATTCGAGACGCAGTTGCCGAGGTCCAGGAGGAGTTCCCTGAGCTCATCACCGAGGTGCGAGGAGACGGTCTGCTGCTCGGAATCCAGTTCAGCAAGGATCCTTCCAAGGTTGTTGCTGCTGCTAGAGAGAATGGTCTTCTTGTCATCACCGCCGGAACTAACACCGTTCGACTGGTCCCTGCGCTTAACATTGACCAGGAGGCGGTTACCGAGGGTCTGGAGATTCTCAAGAAGGCGATCCGAGACAATGCCAAGGACTTGTAAGCCACTTTAGGAGGTGGTGGTCGCAAGGCCGACTAGGCTAATGAGGAGAAAAAATCATCCTCCTCTACACCCAGGACTACTGAGTTGACATTCTCTGCGGACACGAGGGATCAGCGTGGTCATGAAAGGGGTCCAAAAGCTCACCTGTCTCCAGTCTGGTTCTCAGCCCCATATAGAAAGTAATACGTGAATGAAAATTGTTCCGAGATTGGAAACGGGGAGGGACATGGATAATTCTGCTATTGCGGTAACATGGTGGTGGTATCCATGTCTGTAGAGTGTTAGTGTGATTGGCTAGTCTTTCTCTCTCTCTAAAGATGAGATGCGACGGGTCTGAGGGGACAGAACTCCATTGTTGATAGAAGCACGAGAGCAGTGTAGACCACCTTTACGACCTGGTTGAACCTGCTTTTCAGGCCGAGGATCTTCACTTTTGGAAGACGGCTGTTCGTGACTTGAAGGGGAAAGCTCTGGACACCTGCCTGAAAATCTACCATCAGCTTCCCTAAGACACCGACGAAACGCGCACCGTCGGAGACATGTTGACGGGATGGTGTCACAAGACGTGAAATGTGGCATATCTGGATAAACAAGATGAGAAGTAATCTCTGCCAGAGTAATATTACCCAGAATGTACTCTACGCCTTCCTTCAAAGAGTCATCTAAACGGAGTTTTGGTCACGTCAACGGTGGACAATTCTAGTAGTATGTATACTATATATCTTGTCTCGTACTCTCAACAAGACTTTGTCGGCGCTGGTTCTCGATATCACTTGTCTGGAGCTCACCATTCTCCATATGAGATTTGGGTCCACCGTTGGCGAAGAAACGCTCCTTGAATGGAGACACTTGGCGTACTTGCTGGTATCAATAGTTGAGTAAAAATGGGACGTCTTTCTGTCATTAGGCCACGCAATATATATGAAGTGCTCGTTTGGAGCTGGTCATATAGGGCTACCAACTGGGTTGAAGGATGAAGGGTTGAAGGTTGAAGGGTTGAAGGTTGAAGGGTTGAAGGGTTGAAGGGTTGAAGAGTTGAAGGAAGAGCGGTACGAGTGCAAGGAAGAGCGAAAGCGAGAATTTTCGAGTTGTGCGAATGACTCTGAATGAGTAGTGAATCTGCCCGTATATTCTACGTTAGTCAGAGTCAGTCAGGCTGGTACTGTAAGTACATACTGTACTGCCTAGATTTTCCCCCGTCGAGTCTCAATTAAATAATGTCAGCTGGAGGCCGTGATCTCGTGTTCCTGGAGTAAAGCAGCCTGGAGTAAAGCAGCACCTGAGAGACAATTACTTGGAGTTTTACCCTTGACCGTTCAGTCACCACGAAATCATGAATCACTTTTGTTCTTCAGCAGCGGACAAAATGTGAATTCACTGGTCCCACTCTTGCTCAACTAGTGCCCGGTTTCGTCACTATACCCCCGACAGTTTTTTAATCGTCCATTATCTATACGTTTTTGTACCGTGAATTCAGCGTTCACAATGTGTAGACAGAGCTTTCAAGCCATCACTCTTGAATGAGACAGTCACAAGACCACCCTGAAGACGTGGCAAATCACCTTGTAATCATTGGTCTCGACCTAAGTACTAGGTACAGTCTTTCATCCCCAATCCACCAAGCAACCAATCCACCTGCAACCAATCCACTTCAATAAAAATCCTTTTCCCTCCGTTTTAAGATAGATGCACTTGATATCAGCCACTCAGCAAGCCTCTTGTGTCCATCGGTGTTACCCTTCTCATTGTCCATGTCACGTACTAACTAGCTGCTTGAGGTTCTTCCTCCAACGTCAAACGAGCCTTGTTCTCGATCTCGATCCCTAGCCATGTCCCAATGTCGAAACACGAGCTACACTCATGTTTATGCCCCCTTGAGTCCTCCAATTACCGTCTCCACGCAGGCTCTCCACTAACGCCCCCCTGAGTCTGGCTCTGGCTTCTTCCCAGCTGTCTTAGCTTCTCCCTCATTCTGTCGTTGCCTGGGTTACCGTTTGCTCCTCCACCATTGCCCTGCGCCGGGCGTCCGTACGCTGTCTGTGCTCCATAAGCCGTTTGACCTCCGTACTGCTGTTGAGGATAGTTGTACTGAGACTGTTGCTGAGGAGCGCGGTTCACCTCAGCCGAAGAGCCTCGTCGAGCGTAAATATCTTGTAGAGAAGAAGGCGTGGAAGACACAGAGGGCCGTTTCGAGTATTGCCCTTGCTGCTGTTGCTGACTCTGTCCATAGGGGTTGTTTTGATTCTGGTTCTGATACTGCGACAAATCGGTATGTTCCGACCCGGGAGGCTCCAGCCAATCAGGAACAGAACCCGTCTTGGTGGCGTAGAACTTGACAAGCGACTGGTGAACGACGGTCGAAGTCTCAGTCTCTCCGTCCTGATCAGTGGAAGACGACACCGAGAGAGCAGACATGCTCATATTGACACCGCCGAAATCCTTCATTCGAGACCACACGCCCCGGCCCTTGTCCACGGGCGCCTTTGTGTTGCTGGTGTAGTAGGACATGGTAGTTAATGAGTGTAGTGTTGGTGGTGATGTTACTATTAACTTGACGATGAATGGGTGACGCCGTATGGTGTGGGGGTGTGTGCGAGTTTGGTCATGTGATTTTTGAACACCATATTGTGATCATATTAAAGTTCAATTGGTACCAATCGAATCCTCTCGGTGTCCTAATCTCAGTTACAACACAAACATGTCCTTATAACTACTCCGCAGCCCTCTCTGACGGACTGAAATCCTTCCTCTCTCATTCATCCTATTAATAGGGGTTTATGCCAAATTAAGGTTGTGATGACGTTTATCGCTTATTTAAGGTTCGGCTATTTTTTTGTCAGGGTTAGTAAGCGAAATACCGAGATATAGATTTCAGGATGGGATTGTCAAAAGTGATCATATCGAGCAATGGAAAGTACCGTTGATATTCTGAGGTTTTCAGCTGACCAATGGTAGTAATTCCAAACTGATTGGGTCAATAGTGCCGGTGGGAGATGACACTCATTGGTCGACTCCAAGTCTCGAACGCTGTGAGCTGTATTATGGTACGAGTGCGCGCTACACCACGATATTGTAGCATGGGTATTTGTGTCTGGTTTGCCAAAGTTCGACTTATAACGACTGCGGTTTTTCAAGAGATAGAAATTCAATACAATTTCCATTGGCACGATTGCAATAGTTCAAGGAGTATGTATGTTGTTTCAGAATCAACATCTGGCAATTTGTAGTAAATCTAACTGAACTCTGGGTATTGGACCGCTGTATATTGGAAGCTCTTCTCCTTGGTTTTGTATCTCTTTTTTGAGACTTCCATATAATTATGTATAAATAAAACCAGTTTTGGTCGATTTGTGAGCATTCCACAATGAGCAGCACTCTCATCGTCGATCCACGGCCATATCAAGTGAATAGTTGATGCAAGCTCAAAGAGATGGAGTTGCCTACTTGTAGGAAATGCGCGGTGAAAGCATTCTGGAAGTAGAAAGATACAGTACCTACAGTAAAAGAACAATTAGCGTACGTACTGTACTCGTACTCGTAACTTCCTAACGTTCAGCCCTGGATATCCTCAATAGAACCCTCCATACCACTCGTCTAAAAGATGATAGAACCATCTCACGAAGAGCTCTAACATCCAGATAATGACCATTTAACACCTTGTTTTGATACACAGGTGTGCCAATGCTGGTGATCTATATGTGAGTTGAGCCCCGTAGTCCATTGCCAACAAATCTACAGACCCCATCACCTTGGCACCTCAAGATAACCACCCGAACCTCCTCATCATGGTGCGTCAAATGATACCGTATACTATAGAGGTACTGTACCTTACAGAATACGTAAGTATGTGCTGATAAATCGACTCTCATCGCGGATACCTTCTCTACCCTAACCCAAACTCTGATCTTGTCATCCCCCTTTGCTGTATAACAGTCTGGGCAATGCAAGTTCATGTGGGGGTGTTGGCGGATGGCTATAAAGTCGGCTTTGAGAGGATCAAGGGTTAGGATCATATAGAGCAGGGTTTGGGATTCTGCTGGTGTCGTTTGGTTCCATCTGTCTACTGTCGACGTCCTTTTGAAGTGTCTTCCTTTTCCTTTGACACTTTTCGAAGCACATGGAAGGCTGTAAAAACCTTATCGAGGGGTGAAATTTCAGTGAAAAAAATATAGTGGCGGATTTGAGTGTGTTGCAGGGCTCGTATGGAGAAAAGGGAGGCAATGTTGGAATCGGCGTCACGTGATTGTTCGATTGGTCGTTTTAGAATTCGGAAAAGCTGCGAATCGGCGAATTCGACTCGGTCCACGTTCGTCATGCACTATGACCCATACTTGGGGTTTGGTCTCGATGTCAATAGTATATGATTGAGGTACGATATTGGAATAATGATACCGGCAATCGACTTCAACGAGCGAGAAGACCCCATTGAGAGGTTTAACTGGACCAAAAGTCGCATTTTCCAGCCAGCTCCGTTATCGGCAGAAACACATGGAAGACGATAGAGTTTCGATAGGTGAGTGGAGCAGCGCTGGAAATGGTGGTCTATAGCAGGGGGTACAGGCAAGAGGTGAGATCCGGAATAATGGCAATCGCTTTGGAAGGCTCGAATTAGTCAGCATTGAAAAGCTCAACCTGATATATTAGCCAGATCACCAGAAATGGAGTTGCTTCTGTGTTCATCCCATGATAACCGCACACAGAGGAGAATTATAGAGATGACTCCTACAGGATGCAATAATGGAGATAATCGAAAAAAGATACTACCAAACAAATCTGTAGACTCGAAATATCCATTCCAGCTTCTAAAACCCATCTCAAACTGTCCATCACACCCACACATCCCACCCTTCCACCATACGTCACCATACACTGTGCCAAACCTTATGCCAGAGTACATAATGACTCACCCATCCTCTTTCTACCCTCCTTCCAACTATACAACTATACAAAATGGCCGCCAAACAAGTTCTTCTGCTCGGCTCCGGCTTTGTTGCCAAGCCCACTGTCGATATTCTCGCTGCCACTGACGGCATTGAGGTCACTGTCGCCTGTCGAACTCTTGACAAGGCCAAGGCCCTTGCTGGCGATGTGGCCAAGGCCAAGTCTGTGGACGTTGAGAACCCCGAGTCCCTCGATGCCGCCATTGCCGAGTGTGATCTGGTCATCTCGCTGATCCCCTACATCCACCACGCCACTGTCATCAAGTCTGCCATCAAGCACAAGAAGAACGTCGTCACCACATCCTACGTGTCCCCCGCCATCCAGGCTCTGGAGCAGGAGGCCAAGGACGCCGGCATTGTTGTCATGAACGAGATCGGTCTTGACCCCGGTATCGACCATTTGTACGCCGTCAAGACCATTGACGAGGTCCACCGAGCTGGCGGAAAGATCAAGTCTTTCCTGTCCTACTGTGGAGGTCTTCCTTCCCCCGAGGACTCCGACAACCCGCTCGGATACAAGTTCTCGTGGTCTTCCCGAGGAGTTCTGCTGGCTCTGCGAAACGCCGCCAAGTTCTACAAGGACGGCAAGATCGAGGAGGTGTCTGGCGAGGACCTCATGACCCTGGCCAAGCCCTACTTCATCTACCCCGGCTACGCCTTTGTCTGCTACCCTAACCGAGACTCTTCTCCCTACAAGGAGCGATACGAGATCCCCGAGGCCGACACCATCATCCGAGGTACCCTGCGATTCCAGGGTTTCCCCGAGTTCATCAAGGTGCTGGTCGATCTCGGCTTCCTGTCTGACGACAACGTCGAGACCTTCGCTGTCGGCTCCAAGCCCGCCTGGAAGGATGCCCTGGCCGCCCAGGTTGGCGCCAAGGGCAACTCTGAGGAGGAAATCATCGCCGCCATCTCTTCCAAGACCAAGTTCAAGGACGAGGACGACAAGGAGCGAATCATCAACGGTTTCCGATGGCTGGGTCTCTTCTCCGACACCCCCATCACTGCTCGAGGCAACCCTCTGGACACTCTGTGTGCCACCCTCGAGGAGAAGATGCAGTTTGGTCCTCGGGAGCGAGACATGGTCATGCTCCAGCACAAGTTTGGCATCGAGTGGGCTGATGGAAAGACCGAGACCCGAACCTCCACTCTGGTCGCCTACGGAAACCCCGACAAGTACTCTGCCATGGCTGAGCTTGTTGGTGTCCCTTGTGCCGTTGCTGTCAAGCAGGTGTTGAACGGTACCATCAGCACTCCCGGTATCTTGGCTCCTGTCAACCCTGCCATCAACGGTCCTCTTATCAAGGAGCTGAAGGAGGATTACGGCATTGAGCTGATTGAGAAAACCCTCTAAGCGAACCACTTGAGAGTCTCTGAGAGAGTCTGGAACCAAGTTACAGGCCAACAATAGCCAGCTTGCGGTGAAAGCCAGCGTAAATAGTATTATATGATTGTTTATACGAGATCGTAACCGAGTCTGGAGCGAGGCTTCAAGTGAAAGGACTGTACACAGGGGATTCCCTAGATGAATTACAACCGAATCATCATCACCACCTAACTACAGCATCTTTTTGTAGTAGCTTGGTATGGCCCCAGAATCAGCATTGAAGCAGCATGAAGCCTCACAACGTCTAAAACGCGTTCGGCTTCTCACCGCCCCCCTAATGTTTCAGTGCCCATATCAGCTACGTTAAAGAACAAAAGCTGGGCCACCCACGTGTTAGCCAACGTCTACGGCGTATCAAGCCCCGAAGTTCAGACTTTTGGCCAACGACTTCAGAGTCTCACTTCGATCTTGAGGTTCCAAAAATTCCTCTAAAGCCGACTGTGGCAAGCCACAAGGCAATAGAGAGCGGTCATGGTTAAGTTTTCAACCAGCAAATACACAATCTCGGACGAATCCTCACTGATATGCGTAATGCCCGAGCATAAAGATGGGGAAAAAAAAAAGAAGCCGGAGGAGGCGCACCACAGGTGTATATATAGTTGGGAGGAGGGTTAGGGTTGGAGAGAAGGGTAAGTTTGAGAGTTACCCGGGGTGGGAGATGGTGTAAACTACTGTATATACAGAACTTCCAAGATGGCGTCTACTTGTACTGGCTTATTGCAAATAAATAATTACTGTGTCCTAAATATTTAGGCCCCGTCCCTGTGCTTCTGGTTGCCCTCGAAGTCGTCGACAATCACATCAACAATCTGGTCAACTTCGTCCTCCGTCTCAGTTGTCTCGCCCTTGGCGTCCTTCATCTCCAGAGGCCGCTCCTTGATGAGGAACACAAAGAGATAGCCCAGACACAAGCCCAGACACGTCCAGAACATGTCTTTGAAGGATCTGGAGTACATGAGCTTGGCTACTTTCTGAACGGGCTCAGAGTAGTTCTTGATGAGTGTAGTAGAAGCAGCAGCATCGGCACCAGTCAGTAGTTCTCTCAAGTCCGCAGGCAGCAAGTGTCCCAGTTCTTCATTCTCAGTCTGCATCTTGTTCTGGAACACAACTCCACCAATAGCAATACCGATGGAGAACCCGATGGTTCGAAGGAAGCCCCAGGTCGATGTAGCCGTGGCAATGTCCTGAGACTTGATATGGGTATGTAGAGCAATCAGAGTGGACTCAAAGTTGGGACCAATACCAATACCCCAGACGGTGACCCACATGATCTGCTTGGCGGTGTTGGAGTCGGGATTGAGAGTGACTATCATTCCGTTGAAGATGGCTGCCAGGGAGAAGCCAACAATCATGATGATCTTGTACTTGCCTGTCTTTGTAATGATGTATCCACTGATAGCAGAAGCCAGGCCCATGACAATGGCCTGGGGAAGCAGGTAGACGGCTGCTCCAATGGGGCTCTTGTTGTAAACAGACTGGTACATGAAGGGCGTAAAGTAGGAAACTGCCATAAAGGTGGTGGAGTGGAAAAAAGTGCAGAGAAGAGCTCCAGTTCGAGAGAAATTGGTGAATAACCTGGGGGGCATCACGGGCTCGTTGGGGATGTATTTTTCACACAGGACGAAAGCAATGTAAAGAACTCCACTCAGAACCAGACACACAATGACAGGAGCAGAGTTCCAGGCAAAATGAACTCCTCCCCAGTCCAGAGCCAAGAAAAGACACACAGTGGCGCACGTAATAAGAATAATGCCCAGAAAATCGATTCGTTTGAGTCCGTCTCTCAACGTCGTAGGAGGAGACTTAATGTTAGCCAGCCAAGCCATGAAAATGAAGCAAACCCCTGCAATGGGCAGGTTGAGGAAGAAACACCATCTCCACTGTCCTCCAGAGGCAAAAGCTCCACCAAGAAGAGGTCCCATGCATCCTCCAACGGCCCAGGTGGCTCCAATGGCACCCATAAATGTACCTCGGTACTTGAGATCAATGATATCGGCCACAATGACGTTCACCAGGTTGGAAATACCTCCTCCTCCAATACCCTGAATGACACGTCCACTGATCATCATGCCCATGTCGGTGGCAGCTCCAGCAATAGCAGAGCCAATCAGGAACAGTGCAATTGACAAGAGAATGATCGGTTTACGCCCAAAAATGTCTGCAAGAGCTCCATATGCAGGCATGGAAGAAGCACATGCAAGAAGATAAGAGGTTCCAATCCACGTATATCCAGAAGACGATTTCAAGGCAGCCACAATCTCAGGAAGCGCTGTAGTGATGATAGTCTCATCGATAGCCACGAGAAGTGTGCAGACACACAACATGAAACAAATAAGATATCGTCGTGTTTGAGATAAATGGTCCTGAGTCACATGCCCAGGTAAGGCGGGGGTTTCCGAGTTCATCGCGTTACCAGATTGGTCACCTGACTGCTCCTCGGAGTGATGACTCAGCCTTGATACTCTGGAACGATGGGTAAGTGTTCTCTGAAGGGTCAGTCCAGCCAAGGGTGGGATAGGGTAAGAGTTGTGTCTGTGGAGTGAGTCAGCACGCTGGCCATCTACCGCTGACTCAGCAGCCTTCTCGGCTTGCTCCTCCAAATCACGTGCTATATCAGGTGATGGGGTATCTCCTATTTTCTCTGAACCTGGGTCTAAGTCTAGGTATTCCTGGGATTCTTGCATGGAAGGGCTGTCTGTGAAGTTGCCAGTTGGGTCACATGAGTGAGACTGATCCGTCGAGTGCGTGATGTCGTCCAGTGGATCACGTGATCTGCCATATGACCCGGTCTTTTCTATCGACAGTGTATCTGGCATGTCTTTGATGTATAATGTGTGAATTATGCTGTGTATGCTGTAGTCACTTTGTATGCTTGGTCGCTTGTAAAACCTGAATGCTGAGTCACGTAGTATGCTTGTCACGTGTGTGGTCACGTGCTTTTGTTGAAGACCGTCTTCTTTCTTGTTAGTATAGGTCTTGAATCAGCCGGACCCAGGCTATATAAGTTGTACGGCTCCCACTATTTTTTGCCGCACTAAATATGCAACCTTTTTTTTTTTTGTCGAAGCTTAGACCAGCTTAACGAGAGGTTAAAAGCAGGGACACCATGCTCTGTTGTGATCCAGGACCAATGGAGAGTCATTAAAGGACGCATTTCGTTCGGAATGGCTGTCCGAGAATACCTGGGTTTTTGGTTTCATCAGAGCTCGAGTATCGGGCATGTTCAGATCCCCCCTTCATCCTACATCACTACGTCCCTATCTAACGTTAAACGGCCCCGATAGTGACTCAGAGATACGGTAGAGACGAAGGAGAAACACAGATACGTGGTGGAGCAGAAGCGAATCAGAAATTTTGACTCTCTAGAGCTGTTTCCGAATTGCTCTCAAACATTTCTGACCCTCCATTGCTCCTATATCACTCTACCAAATTTCAACGTTGCTATCTCGCTTATATTTAGCGCGGACTTCTCCGAACTTCATTCGGAACTTTGAATATGTCGCTGAAAAGTTGACGAAAGAGGCTCAGTTTGTGGCTGGAGACAGTTGGGACGGGGCCTTGGGACGGTTACCAGAGTATTGGCGGATTCCCAAAGTGTACAACTCGTTATCGAGCTTGATACAGGTCCTCGGAAAAGCCGAGGCGTTTAGACTGTAGCTAAGGGCAGTGCTACCACGAAACAACTTTTCAGATGCTACATGGACTAACCACCATAACCAATGACCCAGAGAACGTTTCACCGCGGAACACATCTCGGAAAAAAAGAAATCAGCCCATTTGCCACCGCTTGGCACCAGTATGACAGCCGTTGGTAAGCAGGTATCTGTAGGTACAGAGTTTGGCTTGGGGGGATGGGAAAGTCACCATAACAAGGCGAGAAAACATCGCAACGGAATTCTGATCAGATACATGCATTCGTCTTGGTGCGAGGAATCCAATGGTGTAAAAAAATTCATAATATCTTCATCAAGACTTATTCTAGCACAACTATTTTCACATTATGCTTATTTTCGCATCTATTACCAAGAAACGAGTCTAGACTCAGCCACATGTGAAGCGGATAAAAACAAGTGGGGCAGACGCGTTGCAAAGAGTCAGCATTGTAATGTGACGCCAAGAAGATGGGATTCCGTTGCTCTAGTCACGTGACGTCGTTGTGGCCCACTCATGACTAATCTGTGTACTCTCGAGTTTTGGTCGGATCGACATTCCGTTTTGAGAAATGCCTATTTGGGAGAAGCGGAAATTTCGCCACTTGTGCGAGTACTGTAGCCACAGATACACCTCGGAGAGTAGGTCGCGTGATATATAGGCTGTAGGACAAGTACAGACGATGTCGTGGTATTTTGTTAAATGTTAGTGCGATGCATAGCAGATGTTTTATAGGTGGAGAGAGGGGGAATATGGGGGGACAGTGGTTTGAGGAGTATGATGGCTTTTATTACAGCGAGTTGAGTAGAAGATGGTAGTATTTCACGTGATGAGGAGAGTAAGAGGATGAGAACGGTGATGGTTTTGTTGGTGGTGTGTGGGTTTAGATAGAGGTTGGTGAAGTGAATGTTTTTGTTTAACTATTTATTGAGTGATATTTAAAGTTTTATGGGTTATTTTGTTTATAACGAAGGGTAAGTGCCTAGACCGTATATGAGGCATTGAGGTGATATAGATGATGTAATAGAGTGATTGGTGTGCTAATTAAGAGTACTTCACTAAGTAGTACCCGGGGTCATTTATTTTCAAGACCGTCTTTTACCCTCGTACTGAACAGCATCGAAGTCCCTGTTGAAAGCCCTCCATCCGATTATATGTAACCACTGGATATTATAGTCTGGCTGCGACGCGAAAACTAGTCATGTGACTTCAGACTCAGAAACGCTGCACTCGTGACATTTGATATGAGTCATTTCTGGTCTCATTTGTAACTCTTTAGACGTGTTGAAGATCGTAAATGTAGGCTGAGAAGTTACTACTACAGTATAGTTACAGGTTGAGATGCCAGCTTTGAGAAGGGTCCGACTTTGGACCAAACCAGGACTTCATAGGGAATTGCCCCAAAAGAGCTTATGATTATTTCAATTTTCAATAAATCATTGAGTCGATGTATATGAAACAAATTTATGTCTCATTAATTTATTTAATTTTTAATAATTCACAGTATCATTCCGTCAAGCGAGCTCCATTGATGTGGTTAAGCTTCACAATTGGGCGATATATTAATCGGAGCCGTTAGAGGAGTGTTTCAGAACATCCTTATCAACACAACCGTTAAGCAACCACGTCAAATCCAAACATTCCCCCGAAGTTTCCCTACTTACTGGATACCACCAGAGAGTCTTGCATTTCAATCCGTGTTTGCCCTAGGACGTCAACACATATTCTCCCCCCACCACCAAGTCCAAATAAACTTCCACCATGCATGGCCAACCACATCAACATCTACACACCAGCCCTACAGCACCATTCAACATGACGATACCGTACCAGCCGTCGACATACTACGGCTGCAGCAACGTGACCGAGTCGTACAAGCCGCTGGGTAAAATCGGCGAGGGAACGTTCGGTGAGGTTTTTCGAGCTGAGCAAATCACCACCAAACGACATGTCGCTCTGAAAAAGATTTTGCTGCATTCCGAAAAGGAGGGCTTTCCGGTGACTGCGCTGCGGGAAATTCGGATTCTGAAGCTTCTGCGACACGAGAACGTGATCCCGCTAGTCGACTTGGCCGTGGAGCGAGGAGATCAGTCGAAAAAGGAGCGAGGGTGTGTCTACATGGTAACCCCGTACATGGACCATGATCTGGCCGGGTTGCTGGGAAACCAGTCGGTGCAACTTTCCCCGGCACACATCAAATGCTACATGCTGCAGCTGCTGGAGGGGATTGGGTACTTGCACGCCAAAAAGTTCTTGCATCGAGATATCAAGGCAGCCAACATTCTCGTGAACGACCAGGGCATTTTGAAGCTGGCAGATTTCGGCTTGGCAAGAGGCTACGACGGTCCCGCTCCAAACTCGCAAACTGCTGGTGTCAACACAGAGAATCTGACCGCTATGGTTGTCACAAGATGGTATAGACCCCCGGAGCTCATTCTCGGAGACAGAAAGTACACCACAGCTATCGACATGTGGGGAATTGGATGTGTGTTTGGCGAGTTCTTCACTCGAAAACCAATCTTCCCGGGAGCTTCTGATGTCGATCAGGGCTCTAAAATTTTTCAGGCAGTTGGAGTACCTACAGAAGACACCATGCCTGGATGGAGCGTGCTTCCTGGCGCCCAAAACTCTAACATCTGGGGCACAGACGCAACCAATAAGCTGGACAAATTGTTTGGGCGGCTGTCAAAGGACGGACTGGACTTTTTGAAAGGCTTGTTGTTGCTAGACCCTACAAAAAGACTGACAGCGATTGGAGGAAAGAACCATGCTTATTTCAAGACAGAGCCACTGCCTTGTCAACCACACGAGCTGCCAAAGTGGCAGTCGTCCCATGAACTCGATAACCATAAACGCAGAGAGCAGGAGAAGAATGAGTCAAAAGTTCAGCCGCCACCAAGAGAAAAACAGCCTCCCGTGAGAGAGCCACGTGATAGAGATAGATCTCGTGACTCAAGGCCTCCTCGGGAGCGTGACTCCCGTGACCGTCGTCCTCCGAGAGGCCGCTACGATTCGTTTGAACGACCCGAACGGCGTCCAGAAGGTCCACGTGATGGCCCGAGGGATAGAGACCGCGATGAGTATCCACGAGAACTCCCACCACGCGACCTACCTCCCCGTGACCTGCCCCCACGTGACCGAGATTACCCTCCTCGAGAACGAGACTGGGATCGACGGCCTCCTCCCAGAGATAGAGATTATCCGCCTAGAGAGAGAGATTATCCACCCAGGGACTCACGAGACCGAGATTATCATCCCAGGGATAGAGACTACCCTCCCCGGGACTCACGTGATTACCCTCGAGATTCACGTGACTCCCGTGACTCCAGACCCATTTCCCCTTCTAGAGAGCGGTTCCACAAACGTCCTCAATTCGACATGTACTCGGATACCGATTATGACCGAGAACGGGACGAAGACGACAGGAGACGGCGTCCGCTACCACGAGATAGTTCACGTGATATGACACGTGACGTGTACGTTCCTTCACGAGGTAGGGAGCCGAGGGAGCTACCCAAGGGTCCCCCCCCTGCGCCGGGAGATAAGGTGGAGGATAAGGGAGAGTCACATAATAAGGACGATAAGCCGTGTGATACGGAAAATCCACGTGATTCGGACAAATCGCGTGACTTGGGGCCTCCTCCAGGGCCTCCTCTTCCTGCTGACGGTCCTCCTCCTCCGCCTTCGTCGAATCCTCCTCGTCCTAGTGAGACGTATGGAGGAAGTCGACCTCCGTGGAGACGGGATTCACGCGATAGACGAGAGTCACGGGATCGTGACGGAAGGGATAGAGATGGACGGGATCGTCGCTTGTCATCGTCGAGATATGCTCGGGATGAGTTTGACGAGTATGGGAGGAAAAGACCGAGAATTGAGAGATAGCGAGCCAGCAGGAGCAAACAAGAAAGAACAAGAAAGCAATTGATTGGCTGTATGTTGTGAATCGGTGTTTTACCATTGGTCTGCTTGCTTTTCTCTACCGCTTGAGAGGTACCTTGGAGGAAATAGTTACTGGATAATGTACTTCAAGAAGAGACCCCCCAACAATATACAGCATATAATAAAAGAGTATTAACATCGTATGGCTGTAGATGAGATGATCAGATGAGGACTTGGTTAGAGTGACATTGAATACTTAGCTGATGCACATGTGTATAGACCAGTTGCTCCAATGTCTCTATACCAAGGCTCCTTGGCTATTCTGGAACCGAACCAATACTAACAAACGTACAAGTAAAATGACTTATAAGTCTCTATATTACTTTAGATGTTTGTTCAACTTAACACCAGAAGAACCGTAGGTGTAAGCTCTCGTGGCACCTGGATTAATCAAACTACTCCTGTAAAATTCCGTCAAATACACATTCACTTCAATCAATGACCATCAGTTGACTACCGCCTAGACTTTTTCTCTCTTCCTCAGCTTTCCAAACAGTTTTTGAGATGGGCTTCGAACTGAGCGCTTGTGAAGAGCTCTCCGCAGATTGGACATTGTAGTTGCTGTTCGTCCATGATTTTGGGCTGTTCTGTAGGTGTTGTAATGATTAAATGTCCCCCAGTTCGTTTATAAACTGGCCAAAATATCGACAGCCTCAAATGTCACACTTGTCCACAAACTCCAGAATCGAACAACCAGCAAAAAAAAACATACAGAGTTTCTCATGAGCTGGAGAGTGTGTGCCTCTTGACTGCACGCTGGAATGGATCACTCGTTCTGTGGAGGGAATTTGGGATAATATTGGCACTATTTGAATACCGGAGCTCTCATAGTAATATCCTGATATTATCTGCTTATACATCGAAGAAATAGCCGAGTCGTGGCCTGGCTTTCCATGTCCGTCGTGTGTCTGGCGTATGAACCCGACCCCACATTTGGGGCTGACTGACGTAGGAAATTGGTGTTGGTGTTGTACAGTAGATGAGACAAAATTGATATTGATTTTGAATAATAGTCAAAGGTGCCAGATATTCTATCAGGTTTCCGTACGCTCAATTGGTTTTGATTCACGTTTTGGATTCTCTCGCTTGGTTGTGCTGAGTGGAATGTAGAAGACCGATGTTTTCCTCACACATTCCTGACTGGTCCAAAAATGATCAACTCGTATCGAACTTGAGCCTGTATACATTCTCCACCATATCTCCTTGTATGTACGATACTTCTCGTATGTCAGACAGTACATAGTGTACGTACTGTACCTTTTTTTAATTTTTATAATACTGTACCATTATACATCGTCAGCCCCAACTTCACCTCAACTAATTCCATGAAGTCCGCTGATTTTCCAACTAAACACACAGACCATGCGCAGCAGCTCCTGAATCAGACTCACACAACTGGATCTCTCAAAACACAAGAGAGAAATAATAACTATATCATCAATAGCCCACCAAATGGACCCCTTCCATATTTTCCTTCCACCTCTGCTCCAACCCCAACACGGATACAAAACTGAATCTATCTATCACATCAGTTGACCCATACACCTTGGAGATATCACATCAGGAAATGTCGATATGGGGCATTGAATCGTACACTAATATAAGTCCCTCATCATTATCTCCGTATCAGACACAAACACCATCATTACTCTCTGGACTATTATGAGTTGGGGACACGAACACGATATTTTTGTTGCCAGCTACGTGGAGCGACATCAGAACGAAGACATCCAAAAGTCCGTTTCTTACCTGTTTGTTTATTTCAAGGGTCAATTTGACTATGAGGTCATCTACGACAAGGTCTTATGGTGGAAGGGTCCCATTTAGCGGAGCACTATCGACGTATTGAATATGTTTTTGGCTGTATTTGCACGTAGATGAATCACTGAACCGTAGAGGTATCGGCCGTGTGTTGGACTTGCAACCTATCGCGAGATCACAATAGAACACAATATTACAGTATGTACTAAATTTTTACATTCAACATTTATGTATACTTCTGAAAGTATTTATTAAATATATAACCAAGTTTCCACACAAGCCTCATCCTTGCCTCGCCAGCACAGCTGTTACACTATTGTGGACATAATTTGGGGAGACAGATGGTGGGGGCATTATTTGACCTGTTATCAGTTCATTCCACGGTCTATGAGGAGAAAACATTGTCGCACATTCAGTGCAAGAGACCCGTTTTGCATCATTGTTCTAGATCATACTCGTCACATATCCTTAACGAGAGCAAACGAAACGATAGTGTATTGTACAAACATGGGGCCAAAAATTCAGTATATAATATATACTGTACGTAAATACGAGTTACGAGTGGCACAGATTCATTGTATTTCAGCTACGACTACGATACCACGCTTGGCAATGAAGTGGGAAAACGAACACGACGAATTTGTGGCGAGATACGTGGAACAGAATCCGGACGACCATGTCGATTTGTCTGCATTCTTTCTCTTTGGCTACTTCAAGGGTCGGTTTGACATTGACTTTATCAAGAGGAAAATCAAGATATGGAGGGGTGAGATTGATCCTTTGGATTAATATGCGTCTGTAATGAAAGTAATGTCAGAAACGTCTGTTACTATAGTGTGAAGTATTTCTAGATAGCTACTTGTAGGTTCTTCAGCCTCATTAACCAAACGATTCTAAGTCTTACCTTTCGTTTTTTTACGGTACAATTTGTCAAGTCTATCAAGTAGCTATCGGGGTTGGTTCAGGTTGGAAAATGGCTCTATAAGTAGCACATCGTCTGCATACAACAAGTAATGTACTCACGACTACTGTAGACAGACCAAGATTTCGAGACTGCAAAGACCCAAAGATAAACGATACTCCTGCCTTTATTACAGTGCCAGAATTCCATCAGTAGCTTTGCCGATCTCCTCACAATGACTATCGCAAATGAACATGCATCCTGCTTGTAACCACATTCCAACATCTACACTGCTTGGATCCAGACTGTACACATAAGGACTTTGCGACCCCGCAGACCCTGAAGATGTATCTGTAGCAGCACGGTGACATATTATTGAGCTGCGTGTCCCATGGTTGTCTAAGTATGAGTCTCTCTTTGTTCGAAGAGAGCTATTAGTGGGACCTACTGCAAGCCCCATCCCCAGCCCCATATCACCCCAGACAGCAGATGATATTATTTGCGATGCTGAATTTGGAGAGATTGAATTTGAATATACTTGGGGCCAACAGCTTTATATATAGTCGCCAAAATTCGTACCTTGTATCCTATATCCCGTCACAAACACACTCGCTACTACCACTTTCGCAACTCGCCATCATGGACTCCTGGGGACTGAAACAAGACCAAATTGTGGTGCGCTACATCGAGGCCCACATGACCGAGCCGCCCGAGTCGACGGCCAGATCGCTGATGCCAGTGCTTCCCGAATTCGACTTTTCCTTCGTTCTCAAGAGAGTCAAGTACTGGAAGGGTATTCCCTAGAATCCGGTTAACCTCTCCGCGAAACCCCACATCTACATTGTGTCCCAAAGTTCCATAATTATATGCATGTCGTATTTCGTGCGTCGCTCATGTAGTCCTGCAGGTTCGATGCGGTCAGACTTCGAAGTACGATTGTACAAAACAGAAAGATTACGACTAATTGTAGAATGCAAATCAGCTTCTGGATTAGATATCTTGTACATAGAAGCGGTTTGAACCCATAGGCGATCTCCGTAGTACGGTATGAAGACTCCTTTACAGTCACTGAGTGAATATACTGGAGCATTTCGGAGTAGCCCTGTTGAAAGATCCTATACCAATTCATCGCCTGATATTTGGCAATTGTGGTGCCTTAAACTACAAGAAAACATGATATCAATATGTGAGATTTTTTGAGAGGTTCTTTGGATTGGTGATATATATACATGGAAGTGATACAATTGGAAATATATGGTGCTGTCGGTCTCTTTCATTTCAATTGTCTGAGCCTGATTTATAAAAGCAGCACTATTCTGAAGAGTATTGGTTTCAAGATTATTAGGAAAATGGACTAACACGGTCGTTCTGGTCTCAAAACACAACTTTCCCTGACGTCTGGACGCTCAGGCTACATTTTATGAGTATCAGGTTGGATATAAATCTAACCATCAGTCAACTGGAGTCCTGCCAATCGCAAAAAAATGATATATTGAAAGGAGAAGCTAAAGAATTGAAAATCTAGCAGAAAATACCAAAGAGATCACAGAAGTCGAAAGGATCTTCGGGCTGGGAAGACTCATCGGGCTGAGCCGACTCCTCAGGCTGAGCAGATTCCTTGGGCTGGGAGGTAGTAACGATGGCGAGAGTGGATCTCTGAACAGTGGAGGAAGCCGCCGAAGAGGTAGTGGTCGACGAGACAACAGAACTAGGAAGAGGCTTACCAGCTAACCAATCCTCGTAATTGACAGTTCCGGGGATATCTCCTGTGATCTCAACCACGTCAGACTCGTCGGTGAACTTGGCCTTGCCAATAGTGATGGTGTCTCTGTGATTATCGTAGATAACCAAAGCCTGGGAGATGACAGGAGGACCGTTAAGCAGAATATCAGTATCGTCACTAACAGGTTTGATGCCACCAATCCAGCAGTCTCCATGGGGAGAAGGCAGCATGTAGGGTTTGAGATCAATGTCGATATCGGTGTATCCAAAGTTGAGAGTAACAACGGGGTTAGTATCACACTTGCACTTGAAGTAACCAGGAGCTTCGTAGACGCCATTACCGCCGTAGGCCTCGGACAGAGCCTTGATAGTTCCATTAGGTAGGGTAAGATTGATTCCTCCAGTGTCAAGGACAATCTGATAGTCTCGGGTGGTCTTGACCCGCTTTCCCTCAATGGAAATACCGCCCAGAGGCATGGCATAACCGTTATGATGATCGCACTTGATGGTCGTCAGAGGTCCCTGGTACTTGGCTCGATCATAACCTCCATAGTAGACGTTGTTTACGGTGCCTTTGCTGGACGGTTTATTCCAAAGAATGGGTTTCTCGGCGTTGAGAGAGTAGACAGCTCGTGAGATCTTTCCTGAGTCGGCCAGACCTTGAACAAATGACTGTCTAGGATCATCAGTTCCTGACTGGCCAAAGATGCCAATTTCAAACCACATGTACGGATCTCCCTTGGAAACCCAGGTCTCGAAGTCTGTGAGGGTCTGGCCGGCGTAGGAGACGGTTTCATTTCCCCAGTTGCCGATACCGCCCCAGTTGTTGCTCTCACTGAGGTAGTGCCAGGTGGACGACTTGGATACATTGAAGCTGCCTTGGCAATGACCCTGCAGGCACTGAGTGGAGTTGGAGCCATGGACCCATAGCAGGGGAGATCCGGTGTCAAAGACGGCCTTGACCACTTGCGGGGGAGTTCCAATCTCGAGCTCCGTCTCGTAATACAATCTACCCATCTGCGGGGTAGCATGGTAAATGTCTCGTTTGGCTAGATAAGCAGCGACCTGGGGAGACTCGGAGATTGACCGGGCAGTGAGGGGGGCGTGTACAACACCTGCGGAGGCCACAGATGCCACAGAAAGGAGTAGGATGTTGCTAAGGAGCATGTTGGTGACTTGCAGTCCCCATACTGAGGGGCTTCCTGTTATTTATACACCGGACGAGAGCTTATAAAGCTCAGAGAAAACAAAGCCCCGAGGTGATGAAACTCAGGGATAGCCTTCAATTGGTGCAGCAAGTAACTCCAATGTAGAATCATGGTGCGATGATTGACATGAGTGGAGTCTGGAGAGAGATCCATGTTGGTCACACTGTGTCGCTCAGATGTAGGCTGGTTTGTTGAGAGTGTGTCTGGTGAGTCAATGTTGATGTGTGGGCATTTCAGGATGGTCTCGGCAGCGTAGACGGCACAACCTGGAGGCTCTAAGCTCCATTGACCCACAATATCATCATCTATACGTGCGAACTTTCGCTCGCAGGACAATGCGCGCACCGGCGGTTAATCTGCACGGGTCCAAAGATCAGCGTTGCGGGATGCTGGCAAGAAGTTGGGGAGATGTCTGAACAGATCGCGTCGCCGACACTGGGTGTGAGACAATGCGATCCAGACATTGTGGATGTGATTGAGCTGGATGTGGCTGTTTTTTTGGCAGTTCTTTCGCCTCACCGCGCTTAGAAGAACCTTCTCCAACGAGCCGTTCAGTCTGTACAGTACAAGGTAAGATTCAAGATCGTCGAGTTTATTGTGGGACCCGCTAGAAGCAGTGGTGTGTATTGTAGTGTGTGAGTATGTTGATACTGGACCAAGTTGTAGGGCGCAATAAAGACGTCAAGGATTCAGACCCGGGTTAGAGGTGAGACGACAACGTCAGTGGTCTTCACGCCAGTCTTGCAGGCACATGGCGTTTAGTTGCTAATGTTACCCTGAGAGTTAGCCTCAGAGCCAAACAGAACCTTTGAGTCAGTCACCCTAGAAATGCCGTTTTCAGGTGGGGATCCTGACTCACCACAAGTTTTTCATTGCAATTTGTCTCTCGTATTCTGTTGGTGCCAGGCGAGGCAATATGGCCTGTGTCATTCATCTGGTATCGTATCCGGTATCAGTTAGAAGACAGTACAGGTTGTTTTTTTTTCTGCATATACATTCAGGTACTGTACTGTAATTGCGTATGTACTATCGCGGATCATAAACTAATTATGTTATACTGAAGTCAAGGTGGAGGACAACGTTTTGAGATAACTATTTTTTTGTTCAGATAGTCAATGTTGGGTTATCCACTCGAGCTGCACCATTGCTACATGTTCTTGAAGTCTGATATCGGCAAGTCAGACGAGTTTCTGAGGTTCAAGGAGCCCCCAGTCGTGCTCCAGTGCGTGACCAGTCTTCTTGAGCTCGATATCCCGATCCCAATGATATAGAACATCTCTTACCATATCCAGTAATATATCTGAGTAACTCTTCATTAAACTATAAAAAATAGTAGAGTCTTTTGTGGGCTACCATGCAGTACAATACCGATTATTGATGCTGTGTGGAGGAGCTTGAGCACTGTACATTTAAAATGTACCCTCTTGTCATACAGTGAAATTTGGTATTTATTCTCTAACCATGGTCACCCTGGAGTTCACTTGGAGAGTTGGCCGTTCACTTAGTATGCTACCAGCGACCTCCTCCATTTTTCGCCCAACTTTTTCATCTGGTATAACACTCCTGCAGCCACTCCCTTGACCCTCTCATCGATAACTCCCTCCCAGACATCTTCCAGCCATTTCTGGAGATCGACAAACTCACGAGGCCACTTTTGCACAATGTACTCGTCCGAATGAGTGTCTAGCACCACCAAAATGCAGGTGCAAGCGGACTCAATCACCTGCGGATCGTCAATGTAGACGTAGGAGCGCAGCTTTAGCAGCATGGCCAGCAGCTCTGACGTCATATCGGTCAGTTTTGGAGCACTGGGGGCAGCTGTATACAGCAAAAGAGCGAGAGTTTTGAAATAGTGCGCCTGAATGATAGACGAGAACGAGCCAGCCATGATTCCGGTACCTGCTTTCCACCATGAGTCGATCAGCGGGAAGATAAATAGATGCGCGACCTTGGAAAAGTGGTTGGTTGTTATGGTGGTGTTTGTTTGTCCCTGGCGTTGTTTCTGGAGACTAGAAGAGACTCTGAGCACTTTAGGGCCGTTCAGAGCCTCACTTTCACGGGACTCGGCGATTGTAGGGGAGAGAAGAGTCTGTTGGAGGTCAGAAGAAACGCTATTCAGTGGCTGAGCTGTCACCCCGTCCTCTGAAGCGTCTCCAGCTGGCAGAGCTGACTGGTTATTTAAATCAAGCAATCCACTTGTTCCTGTAAGTCTAGTTCCAGTGAGACTCTTGGTCCCAATATTCAAGTCGTTGAAACGAGCTGCAACAGCTGCTGGCAACTTCTTCATCTCCATTGGTTTCACATCAACAGTGTCAGTGAATCCATTCACAAAGCGAGCTCCAAGAGACAATGACGTCAACAACAACAGCCGATCATTAATGCTAATGTCTGCCGTATAAAACAAATCCACAATGTACGGAGCAATCTCAGGCTGAGTGCCCACCAGCACCACCAATGCCTGGGTTCGATGTTTATGGTAGTCTGGAAAGTCGAAATTATCCTTGAACTGAACCAGGGCCTTGGCCAGATCCTTAGCGTGCACCTTGACCTCGTTTCCATACTTTCTCTTTTCGAGAATGAGCCTAGCAGCCGTTTTCAGGGCAATATCTAGCTTGTCGTACTGGTCGTCGCCGTCTGGTGCCTTGAAGTACTCCAAAAGTTGTCTGATGTACACTGGTTTGCTGACTGTCTTGTTCGAGGGGTCTTCATCGTCAGAATCCTCTCCTTCGTCATCAGAATCCTTCATGTGACTTCTGACATCAAACCCGAGCTTCTGGTACCTGCTTTGAGTGTTTGGCTTGGCACTTCTCTCACTCAACACATCTGAAAAGATGGACGGAGCCTCCGAGTCGGGAATGCTTACATCCGGATCAGCACCTTCAGCGTCAAACAGAAGCCTTAGTGAATTGTCAGCCATCTTGTCAACGGACAACCCAGACCAGTCTTCTGAAGACTCAATGCCGAAATTCAGAGGAACAGAGCCATATTGAGCGACTTTTTCACCAATCAAGATGCCGAAATCTCGAACCCGCGATGAAGGAGAAGATAAATGATTAGTAATGCCATCCAGAAATGCAGGAGTCGCAGTCAGCTGCTGCAAGAACGGTTTAGTCAGCAGAGACAGACTCACGAATAACACTTCTGTCTGATGACGTTGCAGGGCAACGGGCGATTTTGAAATGTTCAATTTCGACCCCCATAGACTGAAAAGACCCATGACCTGCTCCTGGAAAATCGACTGGTCACGTGATGCCGAGATTAGTAGAGACTTGACCATATTCAGGCTGTTGACGGTGCTTGTTTGTCGAAAGAGGTCAATGACTGGAATGTTCAGCTGTGTTAACAGCTCAGCCAGAGGAGCAATTTGAACATCGTCAGAAAATTCAGAAGTGAAGTAGTTCATGGAGAAACTGAGCAGTTGCTTCAATTGGAACGGTTTCGTGTAATTAGCGACCGTGACAAGTCGTTGAATGAATGCAGAAGAGTAGATGCAGGAACAGATGAAGTTGTTGTTAGTGTGCAATTTGAGGGCTGAAATGATAATTATACCGATTAGTTCGTGCGATGCCGTGTTGTCACGTGATATAATCACACCTCCTAGCCATTTCAAATATTGTTCAATGTTCCATTCGAATTCCACCAGACCATTGAAGAGACGCGATCCAGTTAGCAGAGACGAAATCTCCCTATTGTAGGCGGAACTCGATTCTTTCTGAAACTCCACGTATCCCAGATCCATGACCGATCCCAGGACTGTCTTCAAATTGTCCATTTTGGCCGCTGTATATTCATTGCTGTCGTTCTTCAAGAGTCGGATTGTAGCTATCAAAATGTTCAAGCCAGTGAGATTAGCAAAAAGAGGTGAAATGTGGTCTAGGTCAGGTAATGGGTTGCTCAAAAGGACGTTGAGAGCTTCTGTTTGTGTCCTCGTCCGCTCATCGGGCGATTGATGTAGATATGACTTGGTTGAAAGCTCGGCTATGAGTTGCTGTGGCGTAACCGATGGGATAGAGCTTGAGTCAAGTGTTTCATCGGTGCGATACGAGTCGATTGGCGTAATTTTGAGGTCATGTGAGTCGGTATTGCGCGTGGTTGAGATGGCTTCCATGATTTCTAGATGTTTGGCGAGATTGAGGGCTGATTTCTTATGCATGGTGAAATATAGGGTTAAGGTTTGTGACAATATTAAGAGGGTATGCTTTGGGGGTGTTATTAAGGCGCAGTTACAGGTAGTTCTCTTGGGTGTGTTCCTGCGATTTTGTTGATAAGATTACATTCTCATGTTTGTTAGCTACACCGTTCAGTTTGATTTCCTTTGAATCATTTCGATCGATAGAATATTGGCTGTTTTGAACATACTTGGATGAACTTAAGTATTATTGTTTAGGTTACTTGACAATTCTCTCATAGATAACCACATCCGATGTCATCAACCCTACAGGGAGTCCTATCCCATGCATTCTCAATTATTATACCATTCACACTAACAATTCCCAGTCAGGCGCCCCTGTTCTTCACAGGTTTGAAGGCCGGTCATCTTCCCTTGGCACAAGTTCACTCGGTCCAGTAATCTAAACCGGCTCCTCCAATCAACAAACCACCCTCGTAAGGACACACACATCCAGTATCAGCCACAGTGGTAAACTCATCCGACATTAGCTTGAGCTCTCCGTCAGAAAACTTCCACTTTCGGACATTCTGATCAACAGAGACAGAAACAATGTCAGCTTCTGATCCGTCCAACGGAGCCACCTCCGTGATGGTACTAGAGTGAGCAGAAGCGATGGATGCTATCTCTCTCAGCTCACCGTTCTTCAGCTCGGTCACCACAAGCTTGTTATCGTCTCCTCCAGAGAAGATTAGTTCGCCCTTTCTGCAGAACCTCACAGAGCTTTGATGGGCATAAATGTGGCTCTTGGGTCGCAGAGAAGGCAGCTCATAGACCGAAAGAGACCCGTCGGTGGCACTGATAAGCGCCGACTTGTCATCTTCGACAAGATCCACGTTCAGCAGGCAATGCTGAGTGTACTTGAGGTCTGACACGAGAGTAAAGGAGGAGTTGTCGTACTTCCACAGTCGGAGGGAAGAGTCCGAGTAGACGCAAAGGAGCTCAAATCCCCCGTCGCAGGCTTTGTAAACAAAGTCCATGATTCGCAGGTCGGGATTATCACCTCGAGGAAGAGACAGCCAGGGAGTGAGAGTCTTTTCGGAGGCATTAAACTTCCAGATGAAGAGTTCTTCTCGTGCAGACGACGAGATGAGCAACTCCGGACTCACCCACTTCAGGGTCTGGATACCGGACGTGTGTTTTCTGTATGTGAGGAGGTTGTGCAACTGGCCGTCCCGCACTTCGGACAGAATAACATTGGTGTCTTCAGCTCCTGAGGCAACTACGGAGCCGTTGACGTCAATGGCTCGCACCTCTCGACCGTGGGAGTAATATGACGAGACAGGGATGACGTTACTGGCGATTTCGCACATGATTGACTTTCGCACAAAGTTGAACAGCACTTTGTTGTCACCAAAAAGCACGTCCCAGCTTCGATGAGCTCCTCCACAGTCGGCAGCAAACAACTGGGCGTTGGCAGACTCGTCTGATATGACGAACGAGTTGGTTTTGAAACCACACGTGATGAGAGGAGACAGACACAGAATCTTGAAGATGCTGTTCTGGCTCGATTTGTTGAGCAGTGAAAACTGTTTAGTGCGAATATCCAGATTACCATAGAAGCCATTCTTAGTGGTGAGAGTCACGCGGATCTCGTCTGTAAAGAGCACGTCAGTGACGGTCTCTGCGTTGATGGCCTTTCTGAAAATCACAGGAGTTGCATCCACGGTGTCAAAGTAAGCAAGAGCTCCGAATCTGGATCCCATAACCACATTACCCTTCTCGTTTACGTCAAAACACGTGACTGGGAAGGTGTCCATAGCTTTGTACCGTTTCTGGGTGTCCGTACCCACCTCGAGTAGAACATTATCATCTTTATCGTTTTGAGAAGTAGCAATTAGGTACTTTGCACCGCTAAGATCACGTGTCAGCATACCAGACACCTTTCCTTCAAACACCTTGGTTTCCGAAACCTGCTTTGTTTCCGTGTTGATGACAAACACCTGTCCAAACCGACTTCCTACAGCCACGAAAGGAGACCCAGGCCATCCAGCCATTAGATTGAGAGACCTCAAAGCGTCGTTCTGGTAAATCAGGCTCCAGGTCACGTCATCGCTGCTTCTGTCGACTAGATAGACTTCTCCATTGGCAGTTCCAACGGCAGTTTTGGTAAAGGACAGGTTGATGAAGTTCTTGAAAGCACCAGAGTTTCCAATCACGTGATCGTAGTCATATTCGGTCAAGTGATCGATCTCCAAGTCGAATTCCCGCCATCGTCCGTCCCCCCCTCCGGTGATAAGGCTCTTGTCTAGAATGTCAAAACACCACATGTTCTTGCCCACGTGACCGGGAAACTGCTTGGCGGGCTCCAGCAGACCACGTGACTCGTTATGAGACCACAAAATCGCAGTCGAATCCTCGCTGCTGCTGACGTAATTGTTATCTCCGTAAAACCCAACCTGCCAGATTCGAGCCCCATGTCCGAAGCCTGAGCCGACCAATTTTCCGGCTTTCAAGTCAAACAGCTTGACGAACCGGTCGTCGGAACACGAGATGACGTAAGCAAAGTCTGGGGAGATCTTAACGTCGAAAATGGAGCCCTCATGGTCCGTGAAGTTGTGCATAATCTTTCCATTAGCCAGCTTCCAAATATAGATTCCATGTAGCACAGTTCCCGAGGCAACTAGCACAGATTCAGAGTCCTCTGTCACGTGAAGTGAACCGGAATACAGCAGAGAGTTTTCCGAGCACGTGACAATCTCCTTGATCTTGAGATCGCTGTCCAAAATCAACACCCTATTGTGAGCAGTCAGAACGTAGATAGTGTCATTGTCAGATCCAAACTTGGCATCACAAATCCAGTCGCCCACAGACCGCTCATCACGTGATGAGCACTCCAGATCGGTCACCAGAATCGAGTCTCCTCCAAAAACCAGCATTTTGCCCTTCTTCTGGTCAATATCAATGCCATGGATCTTGTTGCGTCCAAAAAGCCGTTGGCTCCACCATTTGTCCCCAGAAAGAGAATATTTCGTGATGGACCGGCCCTGTCCGGTGTAAAGGCAGTCACGTGATACAGCTTTCACCGCAGTGATTGCTCCGTAGTTCGTTTTAGTCATGTTGGCGAAATTTTGTATGGGGAAAAAAATCTTGGATTAACTTTGGGATGCAGATACGAGCGTAGCGAGGATGCTGAGTTTGAGATTACTAAGCAGTCGATTGAGGTGTTGATAGGGGGTCAGGATCTTGGTTGAAAGGGTTTCAATTGTGCATCTGACCAAGATGGGGATCTTTTCATTGAATAATTTCAGCTATTTGCCAATAGTTTTGAGTTAGTGACCCCATATGAGTATGAGTTTTTTAAAGTATTAAGTATTTTTGTTAGAACATAGTCTGTAATTACTTTACAAAAACGAAACCTTACTTAGCTTAGTTGGCACATGTCTCTAGACGGACTTTCCTAGACAGTCTAGTTCCCCGGAAACAGGAGATTTGGTCCAAGTTGGTGATGCGGAAGGCTGAGGGTCTGGAGCATCAGGAGAAGCATCAACAGGCCCTGGACCAATGGACGTTGCTGGTGAGCAAGGGATTCACCACGAAGCTTGTCATGGATGGTAAGCGACGATGCCAGATGATTTTAACCCCCAAGTCTGCTCCTAAGACTGCTCCTAAGACTGCAAAGCCTGCTGTTAGACCTACTGCCAAGCCTGTGTCGTCTGCACCCACTCCAGCAGGCAAGTACGAGAACCTTGATCGTGTACGGGCCAGCCATGCTAAGATCGCCAAGGAAGAGGCCCGAGAAAGCTGCTCTGGGCGATGTCGTTGCTGTCAAGATTGAGACGTGGCGATCCGGCAACGAGGACAACAAGTATATTATTTGGACTTATATCTACTTGTATGACCATTATGCCTCTATAGAGATATATACTGGTTTAGATATATGTATCTTGTCTCTATCGCTTAATAACTCCATTGCTTACTAGTAGTTGAAACTTGGACTATAATACCCAATGGAACTATTCTATCTCGACCTGACACTTGGCTTTAATGTCTGTCTTATCTTTATCACTGACGAACATCTTCCCTCTCTCAATTCAACACCATCTAACCATCCTAACAAAAGGAACTTCCTCTGTTTCGACTAGTAAGTACTAGTACAGGACTCATCTACACGATGTTTATTTCTAAGGATTACCATCTACCGTATACAAGTATGTATAGTAGTTGCCTGATAGTTTATCGTAGAGACACTTGACGCCAATTCTGTCGTCTCAATCTCCCCAAGTAGGCTAGAACAGCCCTACATTTCTGTAAAGTAATTTGGCATATGTATTCTGAAACAATGTCACATTCTGAAGTCCTTGCCAGAACTATTTACACTGTTGTTCATATGTGGCCTCCCACTTTGCCCGCATCGGCTTAGCCCCCTAAACCCGACCGACAGTACATGTTCGGCCCGACTGCCGGCAGCGTGCCACAAACTAATGGTGTATAACCAACAACGGCGATTAACGGCTGCTCCTGACGATCGAAATTTACGTAAGCATATGAGGTACAACCACGTTTCCGAGACCCTCCCCATGAGGCCGGTAATATTGGTTCAAGCCGATTGGCCGGCGGCTTCGTACTTTTACGAGTACACTGTATGGTACAGTATGTACATACGAGATAGGGCAGCAGAAAACAGGAGAACGTAAATAATCTAGGTGTCTACATGGAAAAAAAAAGAAAAGTTCCTAATAGGGGAGACCAAACGTGAACGGGCTGGTTTTCGAGCAGGAGACCCTGTGAACGAAAAGAAATCCTTTCGCGGACTCCGTGTGTGTATATCTCATCTGTGCCGTTTTCTAAAGAGCTTCTGTTGAGCCATCAAACCTCATTTGGAACAGACCCCGGGACACTGAGGATATCAGTCGTTTTTGAAGATATTCAAATTCCGAAAATCGCAATCAACTCCTTGAGGCAGCATTATTCGCCTTATCTGGTCAGTTTTCTACTAGATCCACTTGTCGATCCCCTGTAACCCATTTTTCTGCACTTTGGCTACATTGCCTGTTTAAGAACCACTGTGCATGTACACACTGTTCGGTGCGTCACTGGACAATGCTCCAGAGAAAAAGACCACACACGCACATACACACACACAACACCTTTTCTTTGAGAACAGTTGGAACCACAATTAGTAAGCAAATTGGATCTGAAATTAGATTCAGGTGACTGCGTCACGGTTGCTCTCTTGTTGCCGTTCCTGGAGGTCCGCTTCTCTCTGTCTTCTACGGCGGGCTGCTTACACCTGAAACCTTCACCCTGCATAACATACTTGTCTTGACAGCAGCGTTTAATACTGTCACGTGACGCCGTTTGGGCGGAGTCCGAACTTCAGTCTCCGTCGACTTCTTGGAGAAACGGGTCTGTTTCCCCTTCCCCTCATAATCGCGGCTATTTTCGGGGCCGATTTGCGATCACTCATCAAATAATAATAAGCTCTAGGTTATGTTGCCTTGAATGTGAAACAGCTGTTTGAGTTTCATTCCAAACGGCGGGCGTATTGGAGTTGTAAGTAAGCAGCTGTATGTGAATGTGACAGCGTGAGGCGGGGCGGAGAGAATGGTGTGTCACGTGACCGATCTGGCTCTGTCGGAGAGAAGAAGAAGAAGAAAAGGGGGCTGGGGGTGGGGGTTGGTGTTTTCACGTGACCTCTACTTGGGGACGTTCGCGTTTTTGGTCAGGTGACTTTCCCCGTGATTTTGCCCGCTGCCGAAATACGCCCGGTTATACTGTCACCTCGAATCTATAGAAGTCAAAATTAGGGTAACAGGTTATGATGTTTTGGGACCGTCTCCAGAAGCTGTTGTGGACCAGCTGCAGGCAAACCGACGGGGTCAATCGAATCTCCGCGTCTCCAGCTCTCGATTGATACCAGAAAATATACACACACTCTTATTAAATAGCCCTCCAAACTTCCCAACTAACCCGCAATACAGTTCCAGTAGACCCCACACTCCACCACATCAGCACCTCCATCTTGCACTCTTTCGCACAACATCGACTGCTCAAATGGACAAACCAAAACGCCGGCGAGTGCGCACGGGCTGTCTGACGTGTCGCGAGCGGCATCTCAAGTGCGACGAGGGAGTGCCGGACTGTGTCAACTGCATCAAGTCTCGCAAGGTGTGTCGACGAGGCATACGACTCAACTTCATTGATTGCAAGGTGGGAGACGCCTCTCACTATGAAGTTAGTGACAGCTGGCGGCCAAGGATCTTTGACGAGTCACGAGATATAGCGGCGGGCTACGACGGAGGCCTCGGGCTCTATGCCAGATACCCTACTCCTGTCAATGATGTTGACATGGATGATGTGGGAGGTTCTCAAGCTACACAAACGGGTGTGGCAACGACAAATCGACATGCGGGCGGACAGATTACACACACACTAGGCGCATCCATGCCCAACCCGCTACAGGCGTTTCGACCGCCCCAAATACACAAATATGCATATTCGTCCGCCAAAGGAATGACTCTCAACGACCCCACGACGCCGTCACGTGATCCAGACATGAGCGAACTGCTGCCCGTGTTTGTGGAGTATATTGCGCCAATGTTGGATTTGTTTTGTGGCTCGGAAATGTTTTCCAAGGTCGTTCCTGTGATTGCCTTGACTCAGCCGACCTTGCAGTACTCGGTCTTGTGTTGTGGAGCGGTCATTTTGGCGCACAAAAGCAAGACAGTTGAGGCTGAAAGACGAGCTGAGAAATACTTTCTACAGGCCACAAAGTCATTGTTAGGCGATATGACCTCTTCTCCCAAAGACCTGGAGTTGTGTGTCTTGTCCACAATTTGTCTATCGGTCTATGAACTGATTCAGGAGGTGTCTGAGGCCCGAGGAAGGCGTATTTCGGGCGTTAATCAAATGATTGAAGAGTTCCATTGGGTTGTTATGCCCACTGGACGGCCTGAAATGAACTCTCTGGTGGAAAAATGCTGTTTTTGGGCCAACATGATGATCGATTTCATCTTCTCGCGCCGAGTCGATTCAGGCCCGTTTCTGAACCCCCACAATTGGGGGTCAGTACACGATGTACATACCTTGCCCTCAAACACGCCCCCTGACGCTTGGTGGATGCATTCCATATTGCATCTATCTGCCTGTGCTAACTACTTTAGCCAGCAGTGCCACGTGCCTACTTATGACGAGTTTGTGCACAACCAGCGGTGGATCGAGTGGAAGAAGATTGTTTTGGATATCAAGAGATGGAAAGACAGACTGCCTAGTCGACTAGGAGCGATTGTGGATCTGAAACTGCCTTCCAATCAGTCACATTTTGACACAATTCTGTTTGCGTCTTCGTCAGCCATGTACGCAAACATTTGCTACCATGGAGCCTTGTTGCTCATGAACAAATGCAAGCCATACACTGCCTACCCCATCCACGATCCAGAAGTGGCTATAGATGTGACGTATCACTCTCGACGGATCCTGGGAATTAATAGACAAACCAAGAACGTGATTCACGCCATCATGAGCCTGTGGACAGTGCGACTGGCGTGCTTTCATGTGACGAATTATGTGGAGCAGGTGGAGATTGTCAGACATTTGGACTACTTGCAGGAGGCGGGAGCATGGAAGACGAGCGACACAAGGGAGTTCTTTCAGAGTTATTGGGGATGGCAAACATCATAACGTCACAGCGCGTTGCATAACTGTGGGCCATGTGGGAGCACTGGATGATATTAGTGAGGAAAGACGAGCCGTGTGACGAGCCGTGATGATGGAGAATTTGGACTGTTGGTGTATAACACTCTGTAATTCTGTCACTTCTCTCCAGCCATGATGTTCATTGTTGGAGCTACCGGTTCCCCTCCCTGGATCCGACTGTACATTGGGCCCGCTCCTGTATAACCTAGACTGGCTAGCTAGGCTATTATTTATTAATTGTATATTAGTTGCATGACTCGAGATTGTAGATGGTGCTTTTGGTCTTGGTGGCCTCCTTCAAGAGGAGTATTTGTAGCTGGACAAGCTCGAGAGTGTACCGTACTCTCGTCTGCTAACCTCACTAGAGCTCTAGGCGACATTCTTCAGCAGAGAGATAATCAACAGAGCTATCCTGCAGTTTTATGGCAATTGTACGTAGGATTACTGGATTTGTGGTAACAAGAAAACCACCCTGCCTAGTGACTCGATGATAAGACTGATTCTGCGTCTGAGGAGAAGGGAGAATATGTGAACGAGGGTGAGTAAACAGTACATACCTGTAGAGTGCCACGCGAGTGTATATTGGGTGCATACTACCAGGTTGTAGGGCCGGGGTCCGAGTTGAGTTCTCCAATAGAATCTCTGTCATGTTCATCTACAAGTGGTTGTTGGCAGTGGCGCAATCACCAGACAGCGTTTACACGGCATGCCGTCTGTGCAGCGGCTAAGATACAAGAACTACAAGTAGACATCTAAGCTCGCAGATTAAATAATTGTTATATATTTGTTCGACTCATATTCTCAAGAGTAGTGTGAAGTTGTAGGAAGTCTTAAGAGAGAACCATTGGTATTGCACATACCTGTTGCCACTTGAAGGAGCCCTTGATCGTGAGACATTCAGATCACGTCCCCTTATATCCTCCTCATATACTAACCCTCAAATAAATCATCCTGCTTAATCGCATCCTTCTCTCTCTGCGTGTTGATTTCTGCCCAGGTCCAATCCAGCTCGAGATCACTGTCACCATTGTTATACACAAACTTCTTACCCGGCTTGTTCTTAGCAAACAACCAAGCAGCCTTGGCATAGTAATCCTTGGGCACAGAGTCGGCTAAATCAGGTCGATGTTCATGAACAAACTTATCTGCAAACATGAGAGCTCGGATAGCCTTGACGTAGTGCTCGTCGAACCGATCTTCAGAGCCCAGAGCGAGTTCCACAGCCTTGGGGTATGCGTCTGCAAGGACAGGGGTGTCAGCGTCAATAATTCGCTTGGGGTCAATGGTGGGTCTCAGATGGTACATGTAGAGAACAATGAAGTTGACCCAGACGAAATAACCGAGAGTCTGGGCAGCGTTGGGGTCCTTGAACACCTCTGGGAAGTGCTTGGAAGCGACGATCTCACACAGTGCTTGCGATCCTGTGAGTCCATGTAGAAAGAAGAAGGAATATCGGGGCTTGTCGTCCTTATGAGAAGCGCCAAAGTACGCCACGGAATCGTGTACAAGAGTAGCGGCTAGCTTAAGAGGATCATCTGGAAGAGCCAGCATATCGGCATACTTGATGACAGTATCGAGCTGCTTGTTGACAGGGTCCATGACAAGATCGAATTCGACACCATCCAGCGACTTATCCTGCTGCAGCAGCTTCAGAACCTCCATAGGATTGGAGTACTGCACAGCGGGTGGATCTCTTTTCTCCATGAGCTTCCTGGCACTCTTTCTGAAATCCATACAGGCTAGGGTCATGGCTTCAACGGCCACAGGAGCAGCATCGAGCTCAAACGCATACGACAGGTGGATCAGAGGATGCAGCAGTCCAAACGCCAACCCCGGAAACAGGGCTCCCGAGTTGGGCACGCCTTCTGTGTGGCTGTAAACCTCATTTGCCACGGCCTTCCAGTCGTAAGAGGCCACGTCAGTCACTTCTTCCTGGAACAGATCAAAGAATCCTCGCTCGTAGCGCACGTCTCCCAGATGTTTCACATAGGTGGTCATGTCCAGCTCCTCCGGACTGTCTTCCTTCCACTCCACCAAGTCCTTGATGTCCTCCTCGTAAATGGCCGTCAGTTGCTGTGGAGACGCTCCCAGGTAGTACGCCGCTCCAAGAATGTGTGCCAGGTGGTTGTGGAACTTGCGGTCGTTGAACTTGACCTGGTAGTTGCTATGGTTGGCTCGCAGCAGTTGGTGGGCTTTCTCAAGAGACTGGGCCGTGGGTTTGGGACATCCTGGGGGAGCCTCGTATCCTAGACCGTCAAAGGCGGTTTTCGCTGTAGTAGATAGTAAATTGCCCATTTGTAATTTGGTGATAGCTGAAGAAATGTGTACTGGTCGCTTTAGTGTGAACATGACGAGTCTATAGTATCAGGTAATGTAGGTTTATGCAGGCGTGCCCCAACACTCAACGGAGATATACGGGAGCGATAGAATGCGGGTCCTGAGAGAGAAAATACGGCCCCGATTAAGGTTTGGAGACCAAGAGCAATGCAGCAAGTCCAGACGGTTTGATCAAAGACGCTTGCAACTCGCTAGCATGTTTTTTCGGCGAGATAGAGACAGATCTGATAAAGTTCCACGACCTTGAAAACGGTGTTTAAAACCACATGAGACGTTTCATTGCTTCCTTTTATGGTGAAAATTAGGTAATACAGCGTCTTTCGTCACAATTGTAGCATCACAATCCAGATACCTCTCTTCGTCATCGAGATACCGATACCGCCTTTTTCTTAGAGTTGTGGGGTATGTACGAGTATATGGGAGGGAGCAACTTGAAGATAACCCCAGGAGCTACTGAGATGAGTATTTAGACATGTAAAGGCAACTATCCGAATGCAATTACATGGACGAGTCGATTGCTACTATTTTCTTACTTCTACACCATGTAAATATCACACTTTCTGTTCCGCCTCGCCACTCGATAAAGTTCATCATAAGCCGCAGCTTACTCCAGAGCAATCTCATACGCTGCTGATGAGGCGGCTGAAAATTGCAAGGGGAGACATGTGTGTTTGAGGGGGATCGAACTCAGGAGAATTGGGGGTCAATAATATTGAGGATGCCTCGAACACGATAATGTTCATGACGAAGAAATCACTCCATCATGCGGCTTCACCGTTAGATAGAATCCGTGCTTGTTACCTTTGACGGGGAATTCGAGAGCTCGCCCTACCAGCAGATTGTAGACTTGCTGGGAGAGCCCAGAACATCGTGGTTGGCGTAGATGGTAAAGCGAAGAGCAGGATCGTGATCATCAATATGATTGTGTGCAGGTAATCCGTGATGACGGTGGCCTTGATGCTTCGAAACAGAGTGTACTATGACTCCAAGGGGAAGAATACAGGCAGTTATGACGTTCATGCTGTGAGATCTTTAACAGTCACCGGGATGCTGGCGACAACTTCCAGGTAAGTATGAACTCCTGGAGCTCGTCGTGGGTGCTCAATAACCAGAGTGGCTAATAAAATTATGTACTGTACTGTACAGTACATGCCTGAACGGTCGCGCCAGTAGCGTACCAAAGAGGCCCCGAAACTCCAATGACGGGATGGTGGTTTGCAGGAGTGGCAACTCAGGGTCACGAAGACACCACCGAAGCAAAACAAAATTAGACCAGTCTTGACAGATCTACAGTCAGTAGAAAACTCCTCTGCTAACATATCTTCAAGTTGGTAGCGTTGTAGAGCCCAGGTGATGAAGATCATGATCATGCAGAAACCCAGACCCACACCGCCGATTACACCATTTAATGAAACTAAATACGAGATTAAGGAAGACCTTACCGTACCTGGGATGTTTAATAAGGGGCTTATGCTATTTCTTCTAGTCTATTCTCGTCGTCTTAATAGATACGTGTGTACTGTTCTGGGACGGGTTCTTCTCCAGGGGACATAAATTGGTGAATAATTGTATTATTGGGAAACTTACTATACCTTATCACAATTTTTAGAGTCTGTTTTGCTACAATTATTTGTCAATAGATCTTCGTCTCCTTCTAATATCCACAATGTCTCAAGGATGAGCGTTACCCTAGATTTGCTACAGATAAGACTGGAGATGAAGAGAAGACGATGAGTACAGTAAATCACCAAATCTATATTTCTAGAAGCTACAGTTGACCTTGTTACGACTCTCTTTAATGACTGTCAAGCGCGACACAGGGTCATGAAGGATGAAGGGTATGTATGGACTTGTCATTGCGAGAAGTTGAAACCGAAGTTGAACTTTAGTGGAAATTCCTTCCCCAAAATTGGAGTTAGAGGAGGTCGATTAACTGACTGGTGAGATTGATTTGGTCATGTTTCTTTAACTAGGCAAGAGCCCCGCGTCTACCGTTCATTTGAAAGTATTCAACGACGTCCGAATGTTTAGACATGGTAAATCAACAGGCCAAAATGTTGGAAACAATAGAGATCTGATTATTCAGAAGATTTTGTAGTTGAGAGTATTAACATTACTATCAGATCAAAAGAGTCTAACACCAGTTGACATATGGACGGAATTTGTGGACTTGGTATTATTATACAAGACAAAAGAACATATCAGCCCTGACCATATTAACACATACATCTTTGAAATACATCTGCTTTCACTGCGTCTAGACAACTATTTTGTCAACCAGTCCGGTAGTAAAGTATCAAAGAAGACTCAGTACTAATTACGTCAAGTCAAGATTCTTCACCATTTGTCCAAGATCCTACAGCGTCATAGGTCACAGCTCCTCCTTGTACTCATGCTATCCCATACAGTGGCAACAACTGACATTGAAAAATGATTCACTAGTCTGATTCTATAATTACAAGCTGAGCTTGTCGTTTTAGAATAGTTCCACATCTTGATGAGTTGATTAAAAGAGAGTAACAATCTCTTCAACTCAGTCCTCGGGGAGTGGCTCATATTTGGAGTTCTTAACTCTGCAAGGATGAGAACTGGAGTATGGGAATTAACCATATAAACTTGTTATCAACTCCTATTCCTTCAAAATAGACAGTTGGTAAGAAGATATGAAGGAGTTCCAAGCAGCTCATAATTCTCAGACAATCACTTGTTGCAACATCAGTCATCATCGAGACAACAACAAGGATAACAATAGCGTGGGTCGATCAACTTTCTCGGAAATTCAATTGCCGTATCCGTACTAACCTCGATAAATGTTACTACTTGTGGCAAACATGCGACGCAAAATCCATCTGTCTAACTGTAGAACTTCCGGTGCAGTACAGACCTACAATACTGTACTTAATATCTTTAGGAACAGCAGGGTGCTTGTGGGAAGTCAATCCAAGTCTAGTAATGCGTCGTCTTCAAAAACCTTTCGCAATGGTCATTTAAGTCTCATATAACTCTTTTGGCCACTTTTACCGCTTCATTCGACATTTTCCCTTCTCAGCTTCACTCACGATATCACATATTTAAGCTCTTCGTATTAAAACCTTGAATGTTAAATATTAAACCTTAACTGCTTCGAGAAAATGTGAAATCCTAACCAAACAATTAATCCCTAAATCAGATAGAGATTCAACTCATATAATCCCGAAACTGGTTTTTTTGGAAACTCTAGCTTCTATAAAACTTTCAGAATTCGTTGTGTACCTTGTGTTGAGTGATGTTGGACATCCATCGGAACCCAATGCGATCTGAAGAGGCAACTTATTTGAAAGACGTAATATCGCACCTCTGATCACACCATCATACTTCCCTGATTGAGGCGATTCGAATTATACCACTTATATGCTATTATATAGCGAAATTAAAACCATAAACTACTCTTCATATACGCGCCACCCACCCGGAGCTCCACCAAGGGTCTAGTGGTGTAATGGTTATCACGTCTCGCTCACATTTGTTCTCAATTGTGCACCGAGGAGGCTCGGAGTTCGATCCTCCGCTGGATCATGTGACCTATAAACAGGTCTCATGTTTTTTTCCCATGTTCCGATGAATTTCGAAAACTATAAGTTCACACATTTATGCTCTCGAATATGAGATGGCGGCTACTGTACTCTTGGTCTGGGTTGAATGTGCAGTCATTGACGGGTTGGAACAGCTTTTTTTTTGGTCTGCCTCGTTATCTCCTACCTCTTTTGCGCTCAGCCGACTTTTTGGGGGTGCTTCAAAGAGCTATGGCAAGTTGCTATCAATCATTTCATTACTATGCTATCCTTTAGTTATTTTTGAGCACAAGCTTTCACAGAGACTGAAAATAGCTCTGGAGAAACAAGCCTTGACTCTCGCTCAGACGTGGGCTCGTTATTCAAGCACATAGCCACCCATGGCACTCTCTCCGGAGTTGTAAACATGCTTTCTGGACCGGTCCAGCATCTTCTTTCTGGCCTGGGTCTCGTCCAGACTTCCATCCTTATTGACCTTGATCTTTTCAGGGTCCTTCTTCTTGCCCAACTTTCCTGGAGCTTCTCGCAGTGCGAAAGACTTGGCCAAGTGTCCCAGATGCAGCATTCTGACGTTAAACATGTCCTTTTCAGCTGCAATATGAGTCGCGTAGGCTCGAATATGCGATGTGAATCCCCGTCGAGCTCTGTCCAGAGCAGTTTCATCTCCCAGCACCCATCTCTCAACATCCAGATGGTAGTTGGTAGCAGCAAAGTCCCATCCCTTTCCTCCAAATCCGGCAGCCAGAATGTTCTCGTACGTGGTTTTCTTCATCTGCTGACTCTGCTTGAGCTTCTCAACGTATCCCTCCTCGGCACCGGGCAGTAAGAAAAGCAGAGCTCGACCGTCCTGACCTGCTCGCGCAGTTCGACCAACTCGATGCAAATGGTCCTCGATGGAGAATGGAGGATCGTACTCGATAACATGAGTGATCTTGGGCAGATCCAGACCTCGAGAAGCAACATCAGTACAAAGAAGAATAGAGGGAGTGGAGTTCTTGGCGAATGACGCCAGAGTCGCTGTTCGGGCCTGCTGAGACAGAGAACCGTGCAGTTTGTAAACAGAAGTGGAAACATCGTCCAACAAGAGAGGGGCAGTCTTGGCAGTATCCATCTTGTTAATCTGAGAGCCGTCACGTGAAAGAACATCGAAATGGAAGTCCACAGAGTCCGAACAAGACAAGAAGACAATCACCTTGGTGTTAGTCTTTTCGGAGCTCTGCAGAATATCTCCTCGGAGGGCTCCAAGAAGAGTCACTAGCCTGAGCTTAGCAGGAACGACAACCCATTCCTGAACAAGCTGAGAAGGAGCAGAGAACGTTTCCACAGAAGTCTCAGCAAGAGCATCCTCAACAGAATCGTTAGACACCCAATCGGCGTCCTTCAAAGTGCTCTTTCCAAGCTCAGTGACTCCTCCCTTCATCGTAGCGGAACAGAGAACAGTGACTCTTCTGGAAGGCAAGGGTTTGAGGTTCTTGGGGATATCCTTGAGATAGTTTTCGCCCCGTAGAACAGACTTCCACTCGATGGTTCGCAGAATTTTGGTGATAGTCTCCTCGAAACCAAGCTCCATAAGTCGATCGCCTTCGTCCAGAACCACCCATCGCACCTGACTCAGATCCAGAGCTTCTGTGTTGTCAAAATGATCAGCCAGTCGTCCAGGAGTGGCTACCAGGATGTTGACACCCTTTCGAATTCGGGCCTTTTCGCTCTTCTTCTTCTCTCCTCCAATCACAATACCAGGAACAATCCAGGGGCAAGCCTTTCGACATAGAGTCTCCAAAACAGAGTAGATCTGCGTAGTCAGCTCACGTGTAGGAGTCAGAATCACGGCAAACAAGCCAGTCTCACGTGACACATCATCACATGACATGATTCGCTCCAAAACAGGCAGAACAAAAGCGAGCGTCTTTCCGGAACCGGTCTGCGCCTGGACAAACAAATCTCGCTCTCGTTGAATAAGCCGGGGGATTGTTGCACGCTGGATCTTGGTAGGCTTAGCCAGTTGCATGCCGACTAAGGCATCCACGAGTCGCTGGCTGCATCCAAGACCAGAGAAAGTAGTGGAATCCTTTAAAGCGGCGTTTGACGACTCTGCGTTGTTCTCTGCTTCTTCTTCCTCCTCATCCTCCATCTGAACATCTTCTCCGGCAATTCGATCTTCCTTCTTCTCAGAGAAAATAGAAGACACATAAGTGCCCTTGATACCTCCCTTGGCTCCAGTCTTTTCTCGAATTCGTCTAATCAGCGAGCCGTCTTCACGGGTACCGATCACGTCTCGATCATGGTGTTTAGGAGTCGCATCTTGCGACTGGTCCTTTCCAGCCTTCTCCATATCTCTTCTGTTCCGGAAGTTTCGCTGAGGCACCCATCTTTCCTTCTCGGGCCGCTTACCTCCCTCCATGAGTCGCTGGTATTTCTCTTCGTCGGTCTCCTCAACAGGTTTAGACGCAACAGGTTTGTCGTAGGACTTCTTTTCATAAGGCTTCTTCTCAAAGGGTTTCTTCTCATAAGGCTTCTTCTCATAAGGCTTATCGTAGGGTTTCGGTCTCACTGGAGGGTTATCCTGCTCCCGTCGCTTCATTCGATCCTCGATTGTCGTCGTAATTCCTCCTTGTTCCTTCTTCCAGGCGTTTTTTTTCTCCTCTTCTCGCAGAGCCTTTCGCTGGGCAAACGAGAGGCCAGACTTCTTCAGCTTGGCGGCCTTCTCGCGCGCAGACAGCTGTCGAGGGCCGTCCGCCACCACCAGATTCAGCATCATTCCGTCGTCTTCCATTGTGTAGTGTTAGTGACAGGAGTTGGGTTGTGTAGTTGTGGAATTTGTCAGGTCTCAATTTTATCGACATGCAGGAATTTTTTAAAAACTTGCAGATTCTAGGTGGATTAAGGTTTCTTAACAGGGTGTTGTAGTGGATGGTGGAGAGGACTTGGAGACAGTTGTGACTAGCAGTATTGGTATTTCAGCGACTGTTTATAAGTAGTATCAATTTCGAAGAAATTGGGTGAATTTTAAGGGAGTTGGAAGGACTTTGGTTTAGTTACTATAGTTGGCTGGAATAGTTGCAATTTTGTTAAGCAAAACCTTACTTCGATTCTCGACCCGGCCGTGAGATTTCTTCCAATGAATATAGGACTCCTGAGAGCAGTAAAAGATAGTGCAATAAATTTCCTTTTGATAACATACAAATATTTGGCCTGGCTACATCATCTTGCTGCCTCACGTTGGCGCACTGTATGTGCAATATGTACCGTACATCATATTACTGGTGGCTCATGGATATCGTGGAAGTAACAGACTTCGTCAAAGTGTCTATTCGAACATCATTCAAAGCTTCGTCAAGCATCAGATAGATATTGATCAAGCAAACCCCTCACGAACTACTTCAACTCTCGACCTTGCTGTTCAAGGAACTTTTCGGTTCAGACTTCCAGACCCGTAGTTTCCCGTTTGAAATACCCACCATGGCAAAGTAATCTTGTCTAGAACGTCCATTGTAGACCAGCCTTACTTCTAGGGCAGTTTAACAATACGCTCATTATATTTGATGACGATGCCATATTGAGGATACAGCTCTCCTGAAACAGTGAGTAATCCTGGACCAGCAGAGTACAGCAAGTCTTTTCTCCTTTCAACCCAAACTCCATGGAAGTACATGTGAACATCGTAGACAAAGTCGTCGTCGACAAGAACCCCCTGGGAGGCTGTTGTCGGCGTGTTTGAACAGCATGACTGTGTTCTCAAGTACAGTATATGAATGTTCGACCTTGTTGTGTCTTGTACCTCGACCACTTTGTCGGCGAGTTTGCTAGGGTTGGAGTTATCTTCTCTGCTGAAACTCATTGACAGAAAGGTACGACCAGTATTATCAACCGTCAATGCTGCGACGACTTGCGAAGACAATCTCAATCCCTTGGATTAATTGGCCAGAATTCTCGGAATTCTCATATCCAGAGGCTTTTGGAACTTGATATTCTCGTCCTGGTTCTTGACCAGGTTGTTTAGTACTCTCGATACTCGGGGCAGTATTCGAGGGATCTATACGCATTAGAGACGTGTTTGTCACCTTGTCAAAGCTTCAAACCCCAACTCCGATCTTGCAAAGACCATCTCGACGTACACAGAAGTCTACAGTATGTACTGTACTGTAAGAGCCACTCGGCTCTGGGCTTGTTTCAAGTTCATTACTATATACATATCCTCCTGCTGGGTAGATCGAATGAGATGTACGGATGCCATCCATCTGGTTGTGTTCGATGTACAGACACTTGCTCCTCTCGTATCTGTCTAAACCCACTGCTTCTTCTCTCGCTCCCGTCGCTCCAATCTCTCCCAGTGTTTCTTTCCCTTTGCCTCGGCAATCTTCTCGTCCATGGTCTCCAAGGCCTTGGCAATCTTTTCCTTTCGCGACTCCTTGGTCTTTTCTCGGATATGCTTCTTCCACACCATCTCGCCAATCAGAGGCTTGGCCTGCTCGTGTCGGGTCTCGAAGAAGGTCTTTTCCATGGGAGGAAGCAGCTCGTGCACTCCGTGCTTATGGGCCAGCTTGTACAGGTCCGACTGTCGTCTCAGCGAGTACAGAGGCTTGTGGGTCTTGTTGGTGACTCGCGACTTGTTGGGCAGGAAGGGGTTGGCGTTGGGGGCGTCCTTGAACCCCTTCTTGGCCGAGTAGTTGACAAATGGCTGGGGAGGGAACCGCTGGAAAAAGTCCTGCAGCTTCTGGGGCAGCTTGGCGAAGTTGGCGTTGGGGATGTACGACGGAGAGGCGTCGATGACGGGCACCTGAGCCTTGACGGCGCTGGAAACGGCCTGCTTGAGCATGTTGACCGACGGTTTCATTTTGTGTGGTGGTGATGACGAATCGGTGTGCAGGTCAATTTTTGATCCAAGTGGAAAACCTTAATTGAACTGGAGGTGAAATTTTTGGCCGTCGATTGTGGAACAGTATTAAAAGGTCAAATTGTGGAATATATGAATAAATGAGAATAAATATGTTTTTATAATCTCCTTTTTTTAGTTCAGGTTCATTTTTATTTCATTTTCAGCTGTACTGGAACAGTTTTGAGAGCGTATAGGAGTACTCGTTTGTAGATTATGAGTAAGTTTAGTAGTAGTCTGATCGAGAATCGAACCCCGGTCGTTCCGCGGAAACGTGGTTGTAGGTCGAGTGAAGAGATGCTCTTTTCAGGGTATTGAGTCGATGGTCTCACTTGGTTTGTTAGGAAGTCTTGTTTCAGCCACGAGATGAAATGATTGCAACTTTTTCCACTCATTTTGGACCATTACTCAGTGATATTGATGCATTCCAGTTATCGTGTACTTCTCAACAAATATATCAACTGAGTTTGACATATCTGTTGAGCTCATAAGTACCGTATTAACACGACTTTGACGGATTAACCCATAACTTGGTTAGTTTCGACGCTTCTGACTTACAAGTGGTATCTTTGGATGGATATGAACCGCTATGTAGACTCACTACTCTGCACACCAAGGACGTCGTGAAATACGTAAGTAGTGAAGTGAAGCGTCGGGTAATTGTTTCAATATCACCTTTTATGGCTCCATAGTACATACAATGGTATACTGTACATGTAGCTTCTGCAAACTGCCTACTGAGCATCTCCAAACATTGGATCCTGCACCCGATGCGAGGGTGTGGCTCCCGGTGGAGTGGTGATGGAGTGTGAATAGTCACACTGTGGAGGTAAATATCGAAATATCCAAAGGAATAGGGCTTGTTATGCCCGAATGAACATGAACATGTTTAATGAATGTGTGCCTTCATCTTTCAGCACTCCGCTCACTTGGAACGATCTGATGCTGAATAAAAGCCATAGGCTTCTCTGCACGCCAGTAGAGCATATAACTACAGGTATTCTTACAGAGTCTTAATCTAACCAAGACGCCAACACGCTATAAATTCCTTTTATCAAAACACAACGGCCCCTTTGTTAGTTTAGACCATCTCCTATGTTAGCCTACACCTATTCACATCTAGTTAAAGTCTTTGTTCAGCCGGACAAAGAGCGTTCAACAAAGAGACCAACAAAGGGACCAACAAAGATCATGCAGGTTGCTTATCAGAGTTGGAAATAAGGGGAGAAGGACTTGCACTTGTATTTAGATAAGTACTCGGAAATGAAGAAGCCAATAGAATAAACCAGGCGTAATTGGCAGTTGAACGTTCAAGTTTGGCCTCTGCCAACTCCATGCCACATGACGCCCCCACAATCTTTTTGAAGTTTCACTTTTCACCTTGTGAGTCACAAAGCACATCTCCGAGAATACGACTGGATGAGTTTATCTATGAATGTGAACGCCAGCATGGGACGAGGAAATGGGCGAAGCGAATGTCCTTTCTGGCGTGTTACAAGTATAATGGTCATGGGGTCTACATCAGGGGGTATATGTATATAGTTAGTGACGGCGGTTACAGTATCGTATGGTCACATAGTTATCGGACTACTGAATCAAACGACCCCATCTTTGCTCATGTCCTGATTGGAAGATGGAAAAGTGAATTATATCAATGTGCGTAGATGAAAAAGTTCAATAGACATCCGTGTATTTATCAATTAGGTCCAATGATGCAGGGCAGTGGCAAAACACGGACGCTCGTGGGGGTCGTGTGGGAGCTGGACAATGTCACGATGACAATACCAAAACAGGAGATCACGAGACTGGATTGAGATGGGCTCAAAAGCAAAGGTGATGGGCTCAAAAAGCAAACATCTGGGTTTGAATGACATCATGGTGGTTGAGACATGTTTGTCCAGTGATCTATATGGACTTCACTGTAGCCGAACATGGGGAGAGATGTGCCTCTAGTAGAGTACTGTACGAGTATTTGTGAGCCATTGCTGATACTCGGTCTACAAGAGTACGAGGAGTATACGGTGTATTATACGTTGCCCATCAGATACTCCCGTGTAACCCCTATACGTCCCAAGTCGCTCCAAACTCTTGCCTACATTTTGCTTACGAGTACCACCAAGTACATCTGGGTCACACGATACCCCTGACATTCTCACGGTACAGAAAAACAAAACCCCCAGTCGTGGGGAACATGTCCGATCACCCGACCATTTTCTGAATCAGTCGAATATGAACACCCCATTTTGACATTCCAACAGTGTTTTCTTCTCCATGTGGGATCTGGGGGGTGCGCTGGATTGAGGTTGTTTTAGGCGTTTGACTCTCGGATAGTTGAAATAGCCCCGATAAAATGCCACGGCGTCTGTAGGGCTGGATCTAGGTGGACAAACGGCGCTCAGAATTAGCAACACACCCAGTTGGGTTACTTGTACGTGTGGATATGGCGAACTAGCAAGTCTTTTACTACCGGCCGAAATGACCTTGTGTGAACTTCAGAGTTGTCGGTGAAGCGTCATTGATGCTGCTACGACGGACCTGAGACCCTTTGCCAACCGCCAGTACCATTTGTTTCGAGTCATTTCTGTAATTTCCTTAACAAAACTAGCCAACATTGAACTGATCCACAAGATCTTCATACCACAAGGATGTTCATTCTCGTCACAGTCTCGCCGCCAGATCAGTGGCGACTCGCAGTGGCGACTCGCCTACCGGCTCCTGGCGGATTATTGGGTTTCGGTGATCCAGCCCAGCGGTCTGAGACATGATTCAAACGGTTTAATTCCAGAAAATGGCGGGCGGCGGAACGTGGGGCGAAATGAAAAATTCAAACCGGGCAAAAAGGCGAAATTCATTGGTGGGGCAAATTGCCATCTCAGCCTTACCGTGGTTTCTTCATTCCGTCCCCATTCCTTCTTGTTGCACACGCCGTAATGGCTCTGCGTACCTGATCGACTGTTTACATGTACCAGTGCAGACCTGTGCATGGCCGCCAAGAAAAATGTATCTGCTCCTTGTGCATGACGGGTGATGTTTGGCGTGAAAAAGAGTTGGAGCTTGAGCCAATCCACTTCGGACTATTCCAAGAACGAAAAAAAATGCGTCCATGGTGAAACGACAACCAGAACAGTTGTACAGTAGTCGGAAATGGGCCTTTTCAGCTCTGGGTGAAACTCGTCTGTAATTGGACTGCAACTGTTTTCATGTTGATATGTGTTAGGTACTTTGATCTACAGCCAAACTCACCCCATCTAGGGTCAGGGGCCAGGTGAGATAATAATGTGAAATGAGGAGGTGGGAAACATGTTGAATTATAGTGGGAATGAAACGAAACGGAGGACGCTTTCGGATTACAAGTACAAGTACAAGTACAGTACATGTAGCAGTAATTATGTGCTCGTGTTTGGTGCGAACGCACACATTGTTGACCTCGGTAATGCGCCATTATGGTCTGTGCAGATGATGGCGAGATTCCCGTAATTGTCTGCCCATTCCATCTTGGTATTTACTGTTTGCCATCTGTTTACGCTGCACGCCTGTTTACCATCTTCCCGTCAGCCTCGTGGACTGTAGATGTAAACATGGTGATTAGCTCCAGCGAGGTGAACTTGTATCGCACTTGTCGACAGTAAGTTGTATACAGTTTGATTTACTTCAACTCAATTTAACGTGGTAAACACGGGCAAATGTGGGGCAATGAGGTATAGGGAGAGCTCTTGGTACAGTACGATGGGTGAGCTGGAGGATGCCGCCTGGAGGCGCTTTGTGACAGAAGGTGGTCAAAACATGGTAGAGAGACCAAGAATGTCGACTCTGTGGCTGAGCCTTGACCTCCACCATGCATCCGTCACATGTTGAGCCACTGATGCAGCAACGGTGCGTATCATAGTGAGTATAGAACGCGTTCACAAGGAGGTGCGGTATGGTACTCGTGCTTGAACTAGTAGAACAAGTAGCTGATGGTCGAGCCGTGGATTCTCGCGGCACAGTGTCTATGCTGGACCGGCTCCATCTCAATTACACGGAGCTGGTTCCTTTACACTCCACCAGCTCCCCAGCCTATTCAGCCCTGGAACTCTGGAGGTTCAGCCTCCACCACTAAGGTTGAGGTATTATCGTGGTGGGAGGAGTTGACAAGAGTCCGACTGTGGATTTGTTGGCGATCCATGGTCGCGATAGCTCCAATGTTACACTCTGCGGATCTCTCTGCCCCGGTTTTGATTTCATGGGTCGGTTTTTCCCTTTCTCTGTCCAACGTTGCTACTTTTCTCGACCTCGCAGCCAGGGGGATTCCATACATGACGTGTCTGGGTGAGACTCAAAAGTGGATAGTGTTTGGGAGCTTGTATGGAAGGAGAAAGGGGCACGCGAGTCATGGCCGGCCGAGTCGGAAGGGGGCGGGTCGTCTATGTCGGCGGCCAACAGACCATTTGGAGGCCGGCCCATAGAGACACAAACCCCAACTCGGGGCCAAAACCAGCTATGGTCCCCTTAGCAACCTCCTGTTTTTCGTTCGTTTCAACTCGGTCTCTTTTTTTTTTTTTTTTCACTTTCAATTTCAACTTTCAGCTTCACACACTACTTGTAGTCCAGCTAACATTAGCTCAGTCTCACGCGTCGGATTTACCGCCTCTGAGGTGCAAAGCTTATTCGTGACGATACCCTATTTCGACCCTCTCCAAAAGCCTGAGCTTGTGGGCCATGTATAAACAAAGCTTTTCCCCAGCAGAGGACTGGCGATATTGACGACTGACGATATTGACGACTGACGATATTGACGACTACGATATTTCACAAGACGAGACCTTCCCGCATCGTACGCAGACGACAGTGTACAACCGACCGAGCACACAAAACCACAAGGAAATCCTCCACAACCACTACAAGACACACCACCATCTACTTGTACACGACACAGGTAGTTCCATAGCAAAGGTCTATCAGACGAACAAATTGCAAGATGTGAGTATGGCAGCATGAGCAAAGCGAATGCTTGGAATCCGATCAAACAGGGATGCTGTCGCTTGGAGCAGTTCATGCCAAGGCTGTTAGTAGACGTCAATGCAGGTGTCAGGGTCAGAGCAAGTTTGAGCTGAGCTGGTCGAGGCGAACCAGAGGATCATGGATCGACTGTGTGATCAGGTCGGCGACGATCATGGCAAATACCTTGTTCCGTTGTCCTACCCGAGATTGGTCACCGGTTATACATGAGCGGCGTGGTGGCGTTGTACAATGGTTCTCCAACTTTCGTTTGCCACACTTGTCTGGTATCAATCACATGTTCCTTCTTTGGACATGTCGAGGATTCCCAGTGGCGCAACTTGTTGTTAACTGGTGGTCTTCTACAACCCTATGATCATCTCCCACCCGGTGATCAAGTTGATTACTTCTTGGAGGTTGTGTCGGATTGCCACTCTTGTCTCACACTGGTAAGACTGCTCGTTCCCAGTACGCTGAGACAACTCAGTTACTCAGTCAGACGTTCACTTACGGATTGGACATGAGCAGATTTCGACTCATGACTGACTACTGCAGTCCTTGTTCCTGATCTCTACATTGGGTTTGGCATATGCTCCGACGTGGTGTGAGTTTGTCTCTGCATCATTTGTCATCTGTACTCCAACGCTGTGACAAATCGGTGTTGGATACATATTACCGTCCAACGCGGAGATGTTTTTTTAATGACATTTGTTGCTGTTCAATCTATGGTCAGTCGTATTAACTCAGCATGGCCACCGTCCTACCTCTAGGCCTCCCATCACACATGAAGTTAGCACCCCCAGACCTGTCGGTGTCTGACCACAATCTCTCCGAGCCCGAACATGCGGACCTCTCGTCCTCGTCGCAGGACTCGGACGACGACCATCAGCGACACAAGCGCGCAGCCGTTGAGTCCTTCTTCTTTGCGCGCTCTCACAACAACAAGGCTGGGCTCGTGATGCAAATCCAGCGACTAGCACCCAAGGGCGACCAAAAGACGCGCCCCACACCGCTGTTCAACGTCCAGCGAAAGAAACACAGACTGTTGAAACCCGTGCATGGAATTCTACGATCGGTGGAGGGAGCGGCTGGCATTGTTGGCGCAAACTCGTCCCGAAGACATTCGGACCAGTTCTACTGCACCCGCCACTCGACCACAGCTCTGTCGCGAAACAATTCGGGCAGATGTCGAGTCGTCGAGGGAGCCACTCTGCCCGTCCCCAAGTCCGGTTTTAACCAAATCGCCTTTGATGGCATTGAGATGGAGTCGTCGCCACCCACTTCGCCGTACCTCGGTGGGGCAGATCACTCCTTCTCCTCCGTGTCACTCCCAGATGTGGCCAACACAACCACGGGGAGTCACGTGCCCGCCCATCACACTGGCGAAGATGACTCTTCTTCTGACAGAGGCGTCTACCACGTATACACTGTGGACGAGCATCCGCAGTCAGCCGGCCGAATCACTCACTCTGACATTCGTTTCAACGTGTCCGCCTCTGAGGCCGACCAGTCGTACATCAAGGACCCCTCATCGGTCTCCCCACAAACCTCTGCCACCGGGGGGTCTCGACGCCAGACCCTTCCGCCACGTGACTCGCTGCAGGCCTTCCTGGCAACGCCCATCACGTGGCATCTCAAGCAGGTTGGCGCCCGCACCTACCGACTCGTCGACTCGTCCACAGATATGGCCATTGGCTACTGGACCGGCGAGCGTGGCTGGCGGTTTGTGTCCAAGGGCGAGACCCTCATGTCTCTGTCCGAAAAAGTACGTGTGTACTCGCCCATGTTCCGCAAGCCCATGTACCTCGACCAGGTGGTGCACCGGCTGCGAACCAAGCATTGGGCTGACAAGTCTGACGAGGACAGCCATCAGTCCCGGCGGCGAAGAGCGTCGACGGTCCCCCACGCACACGGCCACAATTACCGTGTGACGTTGGTGGATGCGATTCTCTTCTCCGCCATTCAGCTGCTCATGCAGCAGCAGCTCCAGCAGGCCGCAGCCGAATCCATGGTTGTGGCCACACCGTCGCTGTACACTCTGCCTCAGTCTGACTCGCAGCTGAGTTTCAAGAATGTGCGACGGTCGCTGAGTCTGTCACGACCCAAGTTGGATTCGCGACAGTCGCTCCAGCTTGATCACAACACACGGCCTGAGACTGAGAAGCGAAAATCGTTTTCCGAGCACCGCAAGTCGTGGACAGGCTCGATTTCGCACCGACGCAAGTCCGTGACACCGTCTCCGCCGCCAAACAAGCGCATGCTCGACGTCAGAGACGTGCCAGATCTCCAGGAGCATCACCATAGCACCCCCAAGAAGGCTGTGAAGCCCCCCAAGACCGTGAAACATACACGGTTCGACTCGCAGCCGGAAAACATCCCAACGCTGCATGAGCCGGCGAGAGACGTGAACGTGAGCGTACCTGCTCGACGCCACTCCCACCGCTCGTCCCGACGCTCGGCTCCCCCCGCCCCAGTCGTCTCGCATTTCCACGAGGCCATTTCCGAGCCCATTCCTGCCGTTCAGGCCGCCAAGAAGAGAAACTTGGTGGCTCGCTTCTTCCAGAAGGTGAAGCAGAACATGAAGTAGGATATAATTTATTGCATTACATACAAGTACAAAGTGGTTGTACATTGATTGAACAACAAAGACTATAGGACAAGTGTAGACTGTGATGTACACATGCTAGTGGCTATGGCGTTAGTGACGATGAAGATTGAAGAGTGTCCCGATTGTGTGTATCGTTATCTGGTTGTTTCTCATGTCAATGACATGTGGCTGGGAAACACATCCTTCTGGTAGGCATGTACTTGTACTTGTTATGAAGTGTCTACTCGAAAGGGTATAGGTATAAGACTCGACCCACTTGTAGTACAGAAATTCCTGTGGAGCTGAGATAGCAAGGATGCGCGCCTGAAGGAAGGTGCGCACTGTTACGACCTACTGAAGATTAGGAGTGGACCCGATGGGTTGTTGTCGTAGTATACATAGGGCCATTTTCTGGTAGTACAATATAAACGTATAGACTGGTTTGCACAGTATGGAAATCAATCTTGTAATAACTCGTACAAGTAGTCTGAAAGCTGAGAAGAATCAGGACATGCTGTAGCAGCAGTACATATAAGACTTTTTACAGGAAGGACTTTCAGGGACATCGGTTGTGGTATCAAGAGTAGAGCAACGTTAACATGCCCATTATGAAACATCACAGACTACAATTGTACAGTATAGGTGCATTCTCTCTAAGAGTGTGATTTGGTTAGACTCTTGTAGATTATGCTGACCGTCTTTTTTGAGCAACATGGTCTGCCCTGATGTGTATAATGGTGTCCGGATAAGTATACTGAGTATCGGGTCGTTGATCTTACGATACTGGGCATTTTTGGCCCAGTATTCTCATGTGCTTGGCTGGATACATCTTCGCATGCGGTTGTGAGTTGAAACAAGATGTTGTTTTCGCCAGGGCCAAAACATCGCGAAGGGTCCGGTAATGACAAACCCTCCAGTAACAACAACCTTCCAGTAACGACCGAAGATTCTCCATCAACCGACGATCTTCCACCAACCGACGATCATCCATCAACCGACGAAGCCCCTCCTACTTACACTCCTTGTGCTGACCTCAGTCTCGCTGCTCCCCCGAAAACCCATGTTCATGATTGATGTATTTCGATCTTAGCAAATATCCCAGGCGACCATTGGAAAGCAATTTCACTGTCAGATATGCTATCAGAGCAGATGGTCAATACACTCATTGGACTACTGACTCAAACGGCGTGATCAGAGTGGGCTGGACATCAGTCATATGTGTGATAGGTACTGATAGTGATAAGAGGAGTTTGTCTGGTAGAAGTAATCTAGTAGGCGGTAGGTTGAGAGAGCAAGACAGGGAGGGTGTCAAACCATTTACAAGGAAGCGATCGGGGATAATAAATATTCTTCAGGTTTACCTACTGTGGGGAAAAGTAGCTGTCGGAAGCTCATGTTCGGTCACGGAAGTTCACAATCTATCTGTTAAGACAAAAGAAATGCCATAGGTTGATGTGAAGTCTCAGTTAATAACAAAACAACTCATCCTCTCAACTTCAAACAGATTGCTCATTGACAGGTCTGAAGACTTGAACAGCAATGTGAAGGTGGTTTGACCAAAGAGACAAGCTAGAGGATTAAAGAACCCTAACAAGCTATGTCATCTCATTTCGCTGTATGGCAGTGAACTGGTTTGGTTGCAACCAAAGAAATCTGCAGTCAGATCGTCTTTGCTTGTTGCGTGTCTCACACTACTTATCCTAGCAAACCGTCTAGAAAATCCTGCTGTCCTTTGGTCGGCAACTTTCCAACCTTTCTTTTCTCTTCCGTCTTCTCCTCCTCTCTCTCCACCCCGTCAATCTCTTTGAAAAAGTCGTCATCATCCACATCGCCCTCCTCCATCTCTGTCGCCATGAACTTTTTCTTGAGGTTCATGAGTTGGTTTGCCTTGGCCCGTTTCTCGCGCATTTCCTTGGCCTTGGCTTTCTCGGCCTCGGACACTTCTTGGAGCATTCTGGAGGCCTTTTTGGAGCCCTCCTCATCCTCATCGTCATTGTCGCTATCGGAAAACCCTCCCTTGTCTCCATTCAAAATGTTCCGTTCATATAAAGAGCCACGCGGCAGATCCATCTGCTTCGCTTTCAATTTCGAGTAGTCAATACCGTCATCGGAAGATTCTGCTCCTTCGTCCTTGACCTCGTCAAACCGCCAGGCATTGGACGGTAAATCAGGCACCGAATCTCGAATCGCCTCCTGCTTGGCCTTCTCGTGATCAGACACAATTCCGTGCTTCTTTTCATACTGCTTTTTCGCCTTGCGATCCCATTTGCTGTTGTGAAGGACCATTATTGAGTGTGGTTGATGAAGAAGCTCCAGTGCAGAACATCTCCAGATGGAGGAGGTGTGCTTATGTAATCGGACTCATAGTGGTCAATTTGTAAGAAAGTAGCAGTTTCATCGCATACTCAATATTATACGGTGCAGTACTGTCAATGATTGGTGCACTGCCTACACACAGTACTAACATGGTACATACGTATTCGAACTTGATCTCTATTTTATATTGTAAGTTGAGCTTAGAAACTCTAGGAAGAATACTTGACATCGAAAACCCATGCCATAAGTCAAATGTATTTTGTTATAATATTACTTAGATATCACTTAAGACTTACGCATACAAAACTAGTCAAACTTAATGAAACTGTCCTGCTAGTATGCGCTGTACCTGTGTTTTTTTGTCATGAAAAAAGAAGACATCAACAGTCATGACTTTACCAGTTGTCTTCATATACTTATTTCTCAGAAGTGTCAACAACGCTCTCCAGACACTCTTGTGCCGCAACTGCTGTACATCAATGATCAACCTTTGACAATGTGCTCTTACAACATGTACCAAAAGCGAATCATTATCATTTGAAATATTCAGAAGCAGGATGTACTAGTACACCGTATGATCACACTGTACCTGTCTTGTACTTGTATATTAAAACAACTGAATATATTTACTTGTACTAGTGCATATATGCTCATATAATAACGCCGACGCTCCAAACGAGACCAATAATCTGCTCAAATATCACTCTCGATCTCCTCTCCGCTAGCCCACACATTTTTCCAACTACTGTATGTACAGTACATATATTAAAGTTACAGTACCTTCCTAGAGTCATCCCTCGATAATTAGCCGAGAGATCCCGCCCCTTGAACATACTATTCTCGATGGCAGTCACATGACCCAAAAATTGCCACATATTCCACACTTTCCATCTCTCTCGGCTAAAAATATCCCCACACTGTGCATGTCTGTTCTTGGTTGTCCAAATCGGGCCATGCATTACCCATGTGACCCATGTGACGTACGAGTGAGAGAGGTCAGTCACTACGGAAAATTATGAGACTACAAGTACAGTTCGTTTCTTGTAGCTTACGAGAAGTATGAGATGATCTTACAGATCAAGTTGATAGATCGGCTGTTATTCGTGATGTTTCCCCCTTCATAGCATATTCATGAGGCAGTATGTTCCGGCCATATCATGAGTGGCGTATCTACATATCGCCACTCCCCTAACCCCATAATAAACTTCCGCCCACATACTCCACCTTCTCAACCCTTCCACCACATCGCCATCGATCGCATATAACGACACACGAGCCTCCATTTTAGAGACAAACGACGTTTTTTTGACAAGTTGCACCTCACCGAAACATCACGTGACTGCAACCCATCTGACGAGAACCCTGCGTTTGCTTCTTCCACAACTTCCACATGCCGAGTATTAGCAACCATCTGATCATACAATCACAGAAGCGACATTCGACACACACACAGAAGCGATATAAACAGACAAACACACGAGACACACACGCATACACGACTTCCACCACGCGATGTCTAAAACAGGCGCCACATTAAGAAAACACAACAATCTACCTGGAGCTCCTAAAAAGGGTTCCAACAACAACAATGCACACAGCCGGCGACGAGGTTCTCCTGCTGTAAAGGGCAGCAGTGATATCCACGATGACGACAGGGATCTCACCGACATTCTTTTCCCCGATCTGAAGAACAACGGAAGCATTTCCAACACCAACACCCGCAGTGCCAGATCCAAGGACAAGGGACAAGGCAAGGGAAAGACCCAAGGAAAGGGCCAGGGTAAGAACCAGGGCAGAAATCAAGGCTCTGCGGCCTCTGGAGCCTCTGGTGATGACGACAAGGATCTCAAGGAACTTCTGTATCCTTCTTTGTACGGTCCAGCTGCCACCACCCATGTGACTCCTCCCCGTAAGAGCAAGAACTCCTCAACTCCCAACCAGGGCAGTAAGGGCAACAAGGACGTCGATCCCAAATTTGCCGGATCGTCGTTCCATGCTTCTCCCGCCCCTTCCTCCTTGCCCGTACCTAAGATGGCTGGAGGGGCTGCGGTGGCTTCAGTCACTGGCGGAGCTACAGGACCTGTTAGTGCCCCTGCTGCTCCCCGACCTGGAGCTGGACTTGCTCCTCGTCCCAGCTCGGGGCTCGGTGCAGCTCCTATTGCGGCATCTTCCCTTGCTGCTGCAGTCCCCGCTGCAACCCCTGGGGCTCCTTCGGGTGCTCCCCCTAGCGGTACTTTCCTGGACATGCTCATGGAGGCCGACAAAAAGGAACGGGGTGCTGGGCAGCAGATTGCCCAACATGTGATGCCCCAGCAGGCTCAACAAGGTCAGCAGACCCAGCAGGTACCTCATCAACAGCCCGTTCGGCCTTCTCAGCAACAGCAGCGACAGCAGCAACCTACCCAGTCCCAGATGGCTATGGGTCAGCCCCAGATGGGACACATGGCCCCCATGGGCCAGCCTCCGGCTCGAGGTCCTATTATGGCTGGACCTCCGGGCCAAGGCATGCCTCCTCAGGGCGTGCCTCAGGGCATGGGCATGGCTCCCAACATGAGCATGCCCCCTCAGGGCTACTACGGCGTTCCCAGCGCCCCTCACCCTGGTATGCAGTACCCGCCGTACTTTTACGGCAACGGGTACGCCCCCGGGCCCCAGGGATACCCCTACCAGCCCATGGGCGGACATGGTGGACCTCCTGGGCCTCCTCCTGCTCCCGCAGGCTTGCAGACGGCTGACTTGGAGAATGATCTGAGAAAGGCTTTGAAACTCAGTTAAGGGAGTGAGTGGCCGTAGGTCAGGAGCTGCTGACTTTCGTTAGTCTGATTTCTTCTCACGAATGCCTGATATCAGTTTCGTTTGTCTGATCTGCTCCGCTGGAGGTTATTTATTTGACGTTTTGTATATGACAGTATATTTTCGTCAGCATAACGATGAGTTGAAGTATTCCGCCGTAGATAGTGGACAACGAGGTCTTCTTCGCGTAGTTGTAGGTTGTATGAATGTGTAAGTTCCCTTTGCTCAACATGATCAACACTTCAAGTCATTGTACAATTCACTGTCAACTGCTCGATAGTTGTAGCAGCCTTCCAAGTAGTAACACTTTTTCTTTCTGATGGAATCATATACTAGAAAAGTATGCCAGGGTCTTGCCAGAAATATGACATAGTTCACTCTTGATTACCCCAAACAGAGGAAGCTTCATGTATCGATACATACAGTACAGTATGTACATACGTGAGTCAGAGCTCCACGAGATTGAAGAGGATGCGATACAGTTGTGTTATAGATCTACTAGTTCCTAATTGTAAATGGCTGGACACGATATCAACTCAAGTTTGTGTAATTTACTTGCGAGCTGTTCTATTCGTTCTAGGGTACTTTTCAAATTCATTTTTATTGGTCTATAATGAGCCATAGTTCAGTTACTGTGATTTCCAACCCTGGCTATGTATAGATTTTAGCCATCTCATCACCTTCGATATCGGCCCTCTTCAACTTGCCTAGCGTCATCCTCTGCTCTCTTAGGCTTCAGTGGTCAATTTTGGCGACCTTGCTTACTCGTTGGTTCGCTTCAACAGTCTGGAAATCTGCTCAATCTTGATACTCTCAGTAGTGGTAGCAGGCTTGGCCTCGTTCTCCTTGTTGGGAGGCACCACCACGGTCTCGCCCTCAACCTTCCATCCGAGCTCCTTGACATAGTCGGCAAACTTGTTGTCAGACAGATTGAGCCACGATCGGAACACATCCTTGTGAATGGCCTGGGACGAAATGTCGACGGCTCGAGTGATGGAGATTCGAACCAGGTTCTCAAAGTCAGCAACGTCAGCGGTAATGTCAGCATGAGCATCGTCTCGCTCGTAGACGGCCCAGAACTCCGGGAATCGGCAGCCGTCCAGAAGAGTGTACAGGTGGAAGAGCTTCTGGATAGACTCGGCCAGAGTGTCGGCAGCTGGGCTGTCAAGCACGTAGCTGGGCAGAACATGCAGAGCTGTAGTGAAGTCGGAGGTCAGGAAGTTGGCCAGGGCCATGGACAGAATGTTGCAGATGATGTCCTCCTTGTTGGGGTTGGGCTGCTGCTGGAACTGGAGCAGCTTGAGAAGCGCCAGGTTGGCCTCGATGTCGGAATGCTGATCGGCACACTGGGTGGTAGCGTATTCCTGCAGAATCGAGATCTTTTCGGGATTGTATCGGTCCAGAGACGACAGAATGGCCGTAATCTCCTCGGGCCGCTGTTCGGGCTTTTTGCTCAGGGTGTCCATGGTGCTATAGTGGTGATGCGATATCAGAAACACCAAACAGCTTTTTCACTTTTCACACAAGGTTGGTGGGACAGCAGACGTTGTGTGTTCGAGGCGGTGTGTGGTAGTTTTATAACAAGAGTTGGGAAGAGGTGGAAGACATTATGGAGCGATCATATAGGCAAATTTGTGCTATTTAAATGGCTTTTATTTAAAATAAAAAAAATTCGAATATCTCTTCTGCAACGCTCAAAGAAGGCTGTCAATTATGTACCACAGCTCAACTAATACAATCCTGATACTAACTATGAGGGGGAGTATTAATAACTACGTGGGAGAGTATTAGATGGTTGATTTTGGTCATTGAGAAACAATTTTGGACATGAAAATTTGACTGGTTCTTTTTAAAAAAAACGTATGTTTATAAATTTGCAACTTCTTCTGTTCTATTGAGCATCACATGAGCTTCCAGAGAACCCCTTTAACATCTCCTAGTCCTGTTTATCAAGTAATCTTAACTAAATACACTTACAGTACATGTTTCAGGCTGAAGGTAGACTTACAGGAATGTTGGGAGCTAAAGTGAATACACTTGTTGGACGTTTGGGACCTTTCGCACATTGATTTTTAGGGGCTGAAATGACCAATTAGGTCTTCTCACTCAGCTTCCGTGTTTTTTCATCCAATCAGTCGATTTTTTTCAGTCGATTTTGTCTTGTCAACTGATGACTTTCACTCAAGTGAATCTCACGTCCATCAGTTCGAATCCTGCGAATGCACATAACTCTATTTGTGAAACCCTATTTCCAGCCAATTACAGTGGGCTGAAATGCACAACTCTAGCTCTGTGCATCACCACTACATTTCCAAAACCACCGGATTTTTTCGATTTCGATACAAAATGGCTGGTCACCACACTAACTACAAATGGAACGGGCCTCTTCCCCGGCCCCATGTCTCTGCTGGACACAGAATCGCCACCAAGTTCCTTGGAGCTACCATGTTTTTCTGGATGTTTCTGAGAATTAAGGAGGTGAGTAAGCGAGCAAGTCGAGCGGCGAGCGGAGTGGAGCTAAGCGCGGCGACGCTTCACACGCACTCTTGAAAAATGAGACACGTGGTCTTTTTCGGTTTTCTGCGATATCATAGACTCATTTGCCGTGTCGATACTATACAGCAACAACTTGATCAGTGAGATGGAGTTTAGCGATCAATTCGCATGCAATGGAACTGAAACCAACAGACACGAACAACTAAAGAAGATACCAGGGCCACATCACAATCGATGGCATAACATACTAGTCTGCAATGGTGGAGGTGAATCATGTTGATGCTGTCGAACCGACGTTGCTGTTGAAACGCTACATGCCAGCCAACGTCACCTGGCCACGTCTGCTGACATGTTGTACATTACTAACTCAGGAATACCCCGCCATGCTTGGCCTGCACAACTTCTACCCCCCCAAGGAGGGAGAGAAGGCCGTGGAGCACTAGATTAATGCATTCAATTATTACAGAACCAACTGCTGGCCGAAGGTCAGGAACCGGAAACACTCAGTTGTAGAAGACAAACTGTCATCTTGACAACCTGCGTAGTGATACGTGCAAGCTGGCCATTGTAGACGCGGTAAACTGTAGCCTTGTACGATGACCATGGCAGTGCCCGCTGTAGTGAAGAGATAATAGAGCTAGGTGATACATATGCGTTCTTGACGGTTGGCAGTACAAGCATCGACACCGACTCCAGTCGACTTTTCGACCTCATGGCCCGTTTCATTCGATTTGGTTGTTAGCTACAAGTACACTGTACTTTATATACAGTACGACCGACGACGAACTGTGTGGCCCTAATTTTTGATTGTCCGTGATATATCTCTCTGAAACACTCTGTGGAACACATCATGATCAATTGCAGTACCATTACATACAGTAGTGGTCTCCGCTGTTAAAGAACCACAAGTCCCTCGATTGTGAATATAACATCATCCAATTAATCTATCCATAAGGCACCTTCAAGGGGTTTTTGCCCGCTCATCTAAACTCCTCCCAGGTTAATGTTCTTGTACATCTTGTTCTTGTACTGCTTGTGACCAAGACCTGTAGCCTTCTGAAGGGCTCTCGAGAACCGGACCAGGAGTGTAAACACATAGGACTCGCAGATCCACGAAACGGCAAACGTCACAAAACCAATGGCCACGATGCCCAGCTTGAAGTCTGCAGGCATGGCTGTGAGCTGCATCAACTTGCCCAGACCAGAGTCCATGTTCTGGATGCTCATGAGCATAGCGGTGGCTCCCAGCAGGAAAATAACACATAGAACAAATGGAACGTTCTTGTACACGTCTTCTCTGTAAGGAGGACCGACAGACAGAGCCACAGCAATCAGGATGTACTCGAAACACGACACAAAGAACAGAGCCGTGTTATCTGACGAAGCTACATCAGCGTCCTCGGCTCCAGGAATGGGAGCAATGTGCCAGGGCTCCTTCTTGACCAGACTCCAGACAATGAACTGGGCCGTTGCCAGCACTGCAATCTCACCAATAAGCGGAATGAGAACCTTTCGAGACACGAGGTTGGCATTGGGCCGTTTGGGGGCAAGCTTGTGGTAGGGCTTGGACCAGGCCATGAAAATGGCGATGGGCAGGATGAGGAACATGTCGATCCACAGAAACTGGAAGTCACCAAGGTTGGATCCGGACGAGTAGAGAATACCAACGGTAACAAACTGAATGGCAGAGTACAGAGACATATACTTGAAGCAAGAGAAGGATGTAACCAGAGCAGCTCGTCCCTCCTTGATAACGTCCACCACACAAGATATTTCAAACACACGAGAAGTAAATGGAGCAGCAACTGAGGCTTCGGCTTCAGACAGAGAAATACCGACATCGGCCGCCTTAAGGGCTCCACAGTCGTTGGCTCCATCTCCGCAGAAACAAGTTGTGTAATCCAGAGCCTGCAGTTTTTCCACCAGCTCGTGTTTCTCGTCGGGAGACATTCGAGCGTAGATCTTTCCTCGCATAAGCATCTGGTGAAGAATATCGTCAGAGCCAAAGTCAATCAGGTACCGGAACACCTCTCCAGTGACTGCCAGACAGTAGTTTGGCACGACCCTGGGGTTCAGGGGACGCAACGTGGCCGAGTTGAGAGTGAGGTTATTGTTGTCGACCGACTCCCATCTGATAGCCAGACCAGTTTCGTGCTCCGGAGACTCTTCAAATGAGGGGACAAAGACCTGAACTTCGTGAGAAGGAACCATCTCACACTCTCGAGCGACAGAAATAGCTGTCAGCACATTGTCTCCGGTGCACATGACGGTTCTAATCTTGGCCTGGTTTTCGAGCTGTCGAATGACGCCAGCAGTGGTCGGTTTCAGCTTGTTTTCAAAGACAATGAAACCGAGGAAATCAAGCTGAGACTCGACCTCCTCACGAGACAGCTTCTGAGCCTTGTGCCACATGAGCTTGGAATACGTCTTGGTGGCACATGCAATCACTCGGTAGCCCTTGTGGGTGTAGTGATGGAGGAGCTCGTGGTAGTTTGAAGGGAAGGACTCGGGTCGACAAATATCCGGAAGAACCTCTGGAGCACCCTTGACAAACACAGACACGTCTCGCGAGTGCATAGTTTTTACCATGACTGACATTCTTCTCAGCTGAGACACAAACTCGAACGATCGGATGATTCCAAACTCGGAGTCCGAGCCAGTCTCGGAGAATCTGCCGGGAGGAGGTCGCACAATCGAAGGGGAGATGGTTTCAGCCACTGCAAAGTTGTCCATTCGCTCGTTGGACGTTTGCGAGCCGACTTCCTCGCCAAACTTGAATCCCTCTTCTTCGAACGACCAGTTGCAGAAGGAGAACATTTTGTAGTCCAGAGGGTCTCCAACCAGCTCTCCGTCGACAGCTCGAAGAGAATGGCAAGTTGCCAGTGTCAGAAGCATGTCCAACGCAGCTTGGTTACCCTTGAGAGACTTGTGGGGGAACAGATCGTCGGTAGTGGCATGCAGGTCGCTGAAAAGACGTCTTCCAGCGTTGGATTCGGCCAAGGTGACTCCCATAATGTCCAGACCGTCTTCAGTGAGAGTTCCAGTCTTGTCAAAGCAACAGATATCGATCTTACCACCGACATTGACTCGAGTAGGGGCAATACAGTAGATTTGCTTCTTCTTAAGCCGAGCCAGAGCAATGTTGGTACCAATAGTGAGAGTAGCAGGCAGAGCAGGAGGGACAACGATAGTGATGAGATCGAGGGCTCGGAAGACAATCAAATGAGTAGGAAGCTGCATCTTGATGAAGTCAATAGTGGAAATGATGAATCCAATACAGGCAATTCCGCTCATGACTCCAATGTACTTGAACGAATCTCGGTAGAACTTGAAACCGGTGGGTTTGGGGAACATCATGGATCGCACCAGCGCTCCCTTAGTAGTAGAGAAACCGGTTCGAACAACTACAGCAAGAGCAGGTCCGTCTTCGGAGTCGCCTCCTTGAGGTCGTCGCACTCGAATTACTCGAGTTCCAGAGAACAAAAAGTTCCGGACAATGTCAGGAGACACATTGGAGCCGATCAGAGAGCCCTGAGACAGGTGGACGAGACCCTCGGACGTGATGGGGATCTTTGTTACGGGAACAGACTCACCGGTCAGCATACTTTCGTTGACGATACAGTCTCCAGACAACAAGACGGAGTCACAGGGGAAGAGAGTCATAGCTGGGTCAGAAATCTCGTAGACGTCTCCAGGGACCAGTTGGGACGAGTCAACGGTAGTCCAGAAGCCATTTCGGAGCACTCGCACCTCGCAGATGAAGCGCGACATTTGTGAAAGACGTCGCATGGTGCTCTTCGTCTCCACCAGAGTGTTGGTGATGGAAATGACTGAAATGATGAAGATACACGTGGCATAATAGTAGTAGGTGTCCGCAGCCCACAGAATCATGGAGAAGACCTGGAAGATGTAAAACGGATGCAATACCTCGTCCACTAGCAGCTGTTGGATACTCTTTTCCTTGATATCAAGGACATTGTGGCCAAACGCCAAAACTCGGTCTTCAAATGAGTCATAAGAAAGACCTTCTTTGACAATGGACATTTCCCGCCAATCTGGATCAGTCCAACCGGCGTTGGTTCGGAAAATGTCCTCAATCGGGTCGTAAATGAACGTAATGTATCTGTAGGAAATAGACCGGAGAACAGGCAGAATGGGATCGGGGTCGTTTTCCATAAAGGAAGAGCTCTCAACCTCCTCACCAGAGTGAATAGTCGCCAACTCGGCATTCTCAGGCTTGAGGGTGAAGACAGTAGACAAGGCTCGGTTGTATCGTGCCTGATGAACATCACAAATCTCCATTTCTCCCCACTGATTCTCAATAACCACCCAATCACAGTCTCCCAGAGGAGCAGGGTCTCCAAGACACGAGATTCTCCATCGAGGGAACCATCGCATTATCAGAAACAGAATTCCTCCTGTAGCCACATACAGCAAGAAGAAGAAGACAGACTTGAGCCGGTTTGTCTTGTATCCAGCAATACCAATCAACAAATCCTCTTCAGCAATGTAGAACCGTTGGACGGTGTTTGTGGCATCAGGAAAGGGTGGGCCAGTAGGAGTCTCGTCATGAAGACCAAAAGTGTACGATCCTCCATCGTCTGAACGACCACTCTCTCGTCGGGGCCGTTCATACGAGTCTCGCGACTCGCGTCTCATCAGTGGTGTGTTATCGTCGGTCGAGAATGTAGATCCTCTTCTATACACGTCGTCCCGGCTCAATGATAGGCTTTCTCTGAACCGGCCACTGGGTCTGTATCCTCCATGGTAGTCGTCTACCTCTTCAACAGCCACCTCGTCCGACTCCTGGGGCATCTCGTCCTCCATGGTCGACGATCCCTCGGCCAATTCCAGCTCGTCTCTGTCGAAAAATCGAAAAGAAGCGGTTGATTCAGCCCGAGGTCGAAACTGCGGCGATTGAAGCACCTCATTGGACGCTCTATGAGATAGAGACATGGACGGACGCCGCGAATCGTCTCCAAGGGACCCACGTGAACGGCTCAGAGACCGTGACATGGATCGCCGTCGGTTCAGGTGCTGATATGACGAATATGACGTGGGAAACGCATCACTAGGAGGGCCTGAATATATCTCGCCCGAGTCCGTCGGATGAGCCAAATAGTCGTAGCGAGAAGAAGACATGGTCGAAGACATGGACGCTATCGAGTCTCCGCGTCTTCGGCCCCGGACAGGGCTTTGGGCAACTTCTGAAACATCCGTGTCGGAGCTGATTCCGTTGGAGACGGCGGTCTGGGGCTGGGAAGAATCCGATTCGATCCCCTCGTTTTCCGCCCGATGTGAGCGCGCAGCAGCCTTGGCTCTCGCTCGTTTTTTCACCCGCGACGAGTTCTTCTTGCCCATTTGTTGTGTGTAGTTAAGTGAGTGATGTTCTGTGATGACATGAAATTTAAAAAGCCATACCGCATGTCCAAAGTGTAACCTACTCTGTAGCTATCCTTTGTACGAGTAGAGAGGTTGAAGATACCCTAGTGAAGGGCTAGAGGTATAAATGTGACATTGCAGGTCGTCGGTTAGATATCGTCTATTCGTTTGTGACACTGCCTAACAGGCTACTTGTACTGTGCCGCCGTCAGCATCATTCACTAAGAAACCACAATCAATGTTGCACTTGCATAGGCGATTGTACTAAGAGCAGTGTGACGGTGTGCATAAAGTCCAATTTTAAGCCAACGTTACTATGAAAGTACGGCTGTAAATTAGTTCAATGAATTCGTCACGTGTTTTTCTATAGTTGTAAACTCTCCCCATGCCTCTCCAATTACTATAACATCCCCCGTACCTCTCATTTTCGGTCTCCACCCACCTCAATCATATTACCATCTCGCTTAAAGTTAAACGCGGGGAGGGTCCGACATACAGGCAAGGGAAGAGCAGAAGTAAAGTGTGAAAAAAGCGATGACCCGGGTGGCATTTCGTTGTTTTTAAAGACGAAATCTAATTATACAACCTCCAATGTCACATTTACGTCTTTGACCCCGAGAAAACCGGCTGAAGCGACCCACATTGCCCTTTCCCATTCGCCGCAACCAAATGCAGCCATGGTTCGAAACGGTAATCGTAATCGCTTATTCGAGCAACTCTGGCACAGTATGTAAGAGTGAGACATGGAACGGCAGAAAAGGGGGATCCAAAACGTGGTTCTGCTGACTAATTTTGGTCGTGAAGTGTTGCTGTAGCTGATTATCTAAGACCCGAGTGGTGGTCATGTGACCTGGCCTCCCCGCCTAACTTTCTCCTCTTACTAATATCTCTGCTTGGAAAGCGTCTGTAATCTTGGGCCTCGCATTGGCGATAATTTTTGGAGCTTATTTTAGCTGGTCGGATAAGAGCGGAGCGTGGACCGTGGAATGTGTAAACCTGTGAACGAAAGACCAAAGGTCTAGAATGGACAGCTACATGCCGTCTTATTGGAGCGGTAGACGATACGTCCATGCAAATTGTGCCCTTTCTTCTGGACCTGAATCCGGCTTTTTCTATCAAACTCCGCCCTAACTCCACCTAACTCCACAGCCAGACATGCGATTGCAATTCTAAGCGCAGTGTCGTGGTCCTCGTGGAGATCTGCACCGGATGGAGCTTTTTCTGTTCTTATTCTGCCAGTTTTCGACCAATTATCCTAGCACTTCATAAGCAACTGAAAACCTGCATTCTACCTCTTCTGGCGGAGGTCCGAAGGCTGCTTTGATGGGACGATGCACCATGTCCGTATTCGGGCCCACTTTAGGCAGTGTTGTAAAATGCCATTGGAGTTGTGGGATTAGTAAGATTAGTAACATCGGAGCTAGTGAGTTATATAGAGCAACTGAGGAGGTCTCAAGTGTGTACTTGTAGACAAATGTGACCACACATGACCCTCCTGGACCAACCTCTGACCATGTCTCATTGTCTCAGGGACAGAGTGTAATTGTAGGATATTTGGGGGGACGGGGGAGCGAAGGAGTTGCTATGGAATGAAAAGTATTGGAGTGGGAGAAGAGTGGAGAGGATGAAGATGATGAACGGGGCTTCCTCTTCCTTTAAGGGCTATCTTTTTCCATGCCAGTTGGCAATATGTGCTCATAGGCCAGACGTGTGGTTTCTCACCTCACACCTCGCGCGCGTGTCGCAGAGAAAGGCTCCGAGTTTTGTGAAATGGGCGGATATCGACGTAACAAAAACACATTTTCTTGGCATTCGCGCCATTTCAAGCTCATCTGTCTCTTCAGAATTGCGGTATCTCGTCTTCAAACTGATTTGAAGACCCCGCCCAAAAGTCGAAAATGACGGTTTGCAAATTAAGAGTAAGTTGCCATAGTCTGCATTGTGTCAGAGTTAGTTTGAGGGGGGAGGTGTTGGGGGACCATATGGCTAGTTGTACGGACCAGCTGCGGCGAAATAGGCGGCATAACCGATCTCCTCTCGGTCACGTGGTCATTTTGACGTCCCGTTGGTCGCAATCGGACCCTGTTTCCAGAATTCTACTTCGTCATATGTCCCCCATTTATCGTGTCCACCTTGGTTAGAGTTAAGGCTATACAGAGGTGATGGCGTACAAGTGTTAGTACTTGTCGCAAGTTTGAGCTGAAAAAGGCCGATTGAAAAGGGGACTAAGACGGGCCCCAACGTGCCATAGACTATTGGAAACACACCCACGCGGCCCAACCGCTCTCCACACACTTGTGCATCGGTCTGGCTGTTGCCTCATCCACACAACTCTGTGCACCTTTAGCTCGGATCTACCATAGATCGAAAGCTGCGAAAATACATGCCTTAGGCCGGGAGATGCGAGGCGACCGAGGCTGGTCTTTGTGCGGATTTGGAGTCGGAAATGGGGAGCGGAAATGAGCGTTTACAAGAGAATACGGCGACTTTCTGACGACACCAAGTCGCTCAATCCGGCCTTGAACACGGTACGGTACCGGTATCAAGACACCTTCCACCCCACTCCACCGCCTTGTCGCTTGGTATACAAGTTTACTGGTACATACTGTATGGTGTCTCTGCAACACCCTGCTGTTGTTGACCTTACATAGTCCCCCTCTGTATCCCCAAGCTTAGGAGAGATGGAGGGTGAAGCAAGCGGCAACGTTGGCATACAGTACGAGCGAGTAGAAAAAGTCGATGGAAAAAACAAGATGGTCAAAAAAAAAGAAGAGATGACCATGACGAGTACAAAACAACGACAAAACAAGAAACAAAAGAGCAGTCCAGTGGCTGCCACTCTTACCAACGCCCTCTGTTCGGACTTCCGCCCGCTCCTCTCCCGCCCCTCTTCCCCCTACTCATACCGCTCTCAGCTATTCGCCTCGTCCATAAGTGTGAGGTGCTGTAGCGCTTGCTCCAAACTGCATGCACACATCGCGTGATTTACGGAGGATCCGAAAAGCTGGGGGAGCGAGATATTGCCACATGAGCGGTACCATTCGAACCGTCGTGGCGCGCTGGCTATTCCGCTCTACTTTTTGTCCCCAGGCGACCCCTATGCCGCCCACAGCATCGACATTTGCCCTCACACCACCCCTTCCCCAGGGAATACCCACCCTGACACCCGTGAGAGTTTATGGGGCTTTTTGGCAGCACCTTAAAATGATAGGCCGGACAAAGGTAGAACTGAGAAGACTCGTGGGAAACACAAGGCGGGAAACAACAGCGAGCTGGACTCATATACATACTCGCGGGAGACGACCACACAGACACAAGGACAGGGACACTGGCGCCACCCCAACAGGCAACCCGGTCCCCATCGTAGGGTGCGTTTTCTCGTCGTCATGCGCTCGCCACAGCTCCTAACTCTAAAAAAAAGCAAAACACAAGGACAAGAATCCACACTCACATGAAGAGACAGAAGCCAGGTTTTATCTTATCTTTGGCTAAATTGGGCAGAGGCAAAAATACCGGTTGGTAGTCCCCTCTTTGGCCTGCAAAAGAGACACGTTAGTTGTCGCTGGGTGGGTCGCTACAACACGTCGTTGTCCCAACGGCCTCCCATTGGCTGGACCTCCACACCCCCAGTTCGGGAAGTGTACCCTGCGCCCTGCTTACCCAATACGTAGTTTGCCACACTAGGGAGTCGTCCGCCGGCGCAAAAGACTGAATCCCCAACCCTCTGGTGCGCCCGCTCCCCCCCCATCCACGCACTACGCTCCACACAGCATAGCTACCGAGGTTACAAAGAGTGACAAGCCGGAAAGCATTTCGAGCGCTCAGCACATCACGTGACACGCGTTAGTGAGTAGCAGCACGCAGCACACGCAACACGCTCCACGACAGGACGACCTCGTCTAACACAGTGAACTCATACCCCAACATGCAAAGCGACATGGGCATGGGTCCCCAGGGATTCATGGACGGAATGATGGACTCGGGCATGGGCCAGATGGACGCGCAGAGCGATCTGGCTACGCCATCGCCTAGCTTTGGCAACAGGCAGGGTCCGGGAACTCCGATGATGGATATGGCGGTGCAGCCGCCGCGAAATATGGAGGATATGAACAGGATTTATGCGGTGAGTATGAGCAGCGCGGGCAGAGCGAGCCAAGCGAGCAGGGCGAGCAGCGAAGTTGCCAGTCTCTCAGTACGCGATAACGTCAACGCTATCAGTCTCGTCAAGTGCACGATGGGACATGATGAAACTGGACAGAAAGATGCACGTGGACGACGTGATGGACGACCTTAATCTATCGCGTGTGAATGATGTCAGCAGTATATCGATCCCACTGACGTCGTCGACACATCATCGATGATGATGAGTTACCCACGACGGGCACTTCCAGACGCGATCTCAGACACACCTCGAGAGACGATGATGACGTTGACAATTATAACCAACGACGCGACTATAGCTGTTATAGTGATCATGGATGTCGATGCATCATGTTCGGTGCAACGATGTCATCACAACAATGACGGTGCCGCGTTGACGTGTCAAGGACTGTTGTTCACGGGTGTCGTCGACGTCGTCAATGATGGCACAGGCATGATCATCGACGTGATGATTCATTGGCACTACCAAATATCTCTGTGTTTTCAGCAGCTAAAGGCACCGTTGTCGTAGGCGTTGTTGACACACCAGTCGTGTCTATAGTCTACAGATGATGTCCGACGTCATATCGTCGTTTTCCACCGTGACTGCCTCACTCAATGGTCTTCTCGTGACGTATGACTACTCGTTCCTCTACTAACCCAGCGCTACAAAGAACTCCAGACCCGTCTCGGAGCCAACGCCAGCTCTTCCCAAGAGTTCGTCGAGCTCTCCAAAATTCTCAAAGCGTACTCGCAACGCCAGCATATGTTCCGCCAGCAGCAACAGCAGCAGCAACAGCAGCAGCACCGGATGAAGGCCATGGGCCAGCCGCAGCAGATGCAGCAGGGCACACCCCAGGGCAACATGACGCCCCAGATGGGCACTCCTCAATTCCCCTCGCCTGGCCAACCCCAGCAGCCCCAGCAACAGCGCAAACCCTCCTCTGCAGGCATGTACCAGAACTCCAACAGCAGCATGCAGAGTATGAACGGCTCTCCCGTTCCGCCCCACAATCAGCCCGGTGTCGTGGGTGCCCAGGGCATGCCCCGGCAGTCGCCCACACCCCACCTGGAGCCACAGCAACAGAACTCACCATACACACCTGACATGCTCATGCAGATGAAGAACCAGCTCATGGCGTACCGACAGCTGAGCAAGGGTGCTGTCATTCCCCCTCAGGTGCTTCAGGCGCTGTTCAGACCCACTGGCCAGCCTCCTCAGATGACTCAGCCCCAGCAGCAGCCTCCGCAGCAGCAGCAGCAACCTCAGATGACTCAGCAACAACAACAGCAGCCCCCGATGCAGCAGCCTTCCATGGGTCAACCCCCGATGGCTCAGCAGATGCAGTCGCCCGCTGGCATTCCTCAGAGCCCCATGTTCCAGAACGCCAACCGGTCGCAGTCACCGGCCGTGTCTTCCGATACAAACTCTCCTGGCATGGGCAAGCGACGAACTCCCTCTCAGACTGGCCTGAGACGATCGTCCAAACAGGAGATCGACGGAGTGACTCCCATCGCAGCCCCCGCTGTCCCTCCCCCTCCTCCAGCTGCTCCAGAAACCATTTCTGGCTACAAGGATCCCTGTCTCCTTTTGGAGGGAACCTTTTCTTTCGATGATATCACCACTCCCGCGTTCCTGGACAAGCGTCGAACCTTTATTCCATCAATTATGCCCCGTGGTATGGACGCCGAGGTGATCAAAGATCTGTACGAGGAGCAGGTTAACAAGCAGATTAGTGATCGGATTACTGAGCTCAAGGAAGGTGATCTAGATGTGCCAGAGCTTGACGAGGAAGTCGACGAGGAGTCTGCTGACTCAACTGGTTCCGATGACACCACAGCACTAGACAACGCAATCGAGCTCAAATCACTGCAGTTAATCGACCACCAAAAGGCCTGGAGAGGCGATCTCCTTGCTGACACGTTCTACTTCAACTCTGTCGGTCTGGATCCCTACAACAAGATCTACTTCACACGTATGAAGAAGACTTCGCTCCAGGAAGCGTTCATGACCGAACAGTTTGGCACGCAGCAGCTCATGGAGCGCCAGCGACACGAGGTGCGAGTGCGGTCCGAGCAGCTCATCCACATCTGCAAGCACGCGCAGGACACAATCAACGCATCTCGTTCAAGACGACTACGACAGGCTCGTGTCGCCAAGGCATGTCAGAACTATCACGTGTTCACTGAGCGTGAGGAGCAGAAGCGAATGGAGCGAAACGCCAAGCAGCGACTGCAGGCTCTGCGGGCCAACGACGAGGAAGCCTACATCAAGCTGCTTGACCAGACCAAGGACACGCGTATCACAGATCTACTGCGACAGACCAATACGTTCCTGGACTCGCTTGCGCAGGCTGTCAAGGACCAGCAGAAGAGCAACAACAGCAACGGCAATCACGTCGACTTTGGTCCTCAACAAGATATGGATGACGAGGATCCCGACAACCAGAAGAAGGCCGACTACTATGCGGTTGCTCATCGAATCCAGGAACCCGTCAGCAAACAGCCCGATATGCTTGTGGGTGGTCAGCTTAAGGAATATCAGATCAAGGGTCTTCAGTGGATGCTCTCTCTATTCAACAACAACCTGAACGGTATCTTGGCCGATGAGATGGGTCTTGGAAAGACAATCCAGACGATTTCGCTCATTGCCTATCTCATTGAGACCAAGAAGATTCCTGGACCTTACCTGGTCATTGTCCCACTCTCCACGCTCACCAACTGGACGCTCGAGTTCGAAAAGTGGGCGCCTGCTATCAAAAAGCTCGTCTATAAAGGCCCCCCCATGGCCCGTAAGGCGCAGCAGAACGCTATTCGAGCCGGAGACTTCCAGGTACTGCTCACGACCTATGAGTACATCATCAAGGACCGGCCTGTGCTGTCTCGAATCAAGTGGGTCCACATGATTATTGATGAGGGTCATCGAATGAAGAATGCGCAGTCCAAGCTGTCGTCCACCCTGACTCAGTACTACCACACCCGGTACCGACTCATTCTGACAGGTACTCCTCTCCAGAACTCGCTTCCCGAGCTGTGGGCCCTGCTCAACTTTGTGCTGCCCAAGATTTTCAACTCGGTCAAGTCGTTTGACGAGTGGTTCAATACCCCCTTTGCGTCTACTGGTGGCCAGGACAAGATGGATCTTTCCGAAGAAGAGACTTTGCTGATCATCAAACGTCTCCATAAAGTCCTCCGACCATTCCTTCTGCGACGTCTCAAGAAGGATGTGGCCAAGGATCTGCCTGACAAGGTGGAAAAGGTGCTCAAGTGCAAGATGAGCGCTCTACAGTCCAAGCTGTACCAGCAGATGATCAAACACAATGTCTTGTTTATTGGTGAGGGTGTTCAGGGTGCTACAAAGACCGGATTGAAGGGTTTAAACAACCAGGTCATGCAGCTACGAAAGATTTGCAATCATCCCTTTGTGTTCGAGGAGGTTGAAGATCTGGTGAACCCCAACCGACTGACAAACGATAACCTGTGGCGAACTGCAGGTAAATTCGAGCTCCTGGACCGAATTCTGCCCAAGTTCAAGGCTGCAGGTCACCGTATTCTCATGTTTTTCCAGATGACGCAGATCATGGATATTATGGAAGATTTCATGCGGCTCAAGGGCTGGCAATACCTTCGACTTGATGGTGGAACAAAGTCCGAGGACCGATCCGGTCTGCTTGGGAAGTTTAATGCCCCCGACTCGCCCTACTTTGCCTTCCTGCTGTCCACTCGAGCCGGAGGTCTTGGTCTGAACTTGCAGACGGCCGACACAGTCATCATCTACGACACTGACTGGAACCCCCATCAGGATCTGCAGGCTCAGGACCGTGCGCACCGAATCGGTCAGACAAAGGAAGTGCGAATCCTGCGGCTTATCACCGAAGACTCTGTTGAAGAAAATATTCTCGAGAGGGCGCACAAGAAGCTGGATATCGACGGCAAGGTCATTCAGGCCGGTAAGTTTGATAACAAGTCGACAGCAGAGGAGCAGGAGGCGTTCCTGCGAGGTCTGCTTGAGCGGGAGGAAAAGCAGAAGGAAAAGGGCGACGATGACGTGGACGACGAGGAGCTCAACGAGATTCTGGCTAGAAATGACGAGGAGCGAATCTTGTTTGCGCAGCTCGATGCGGAACGACACGCCACGTCCCAGTATGGCAAGGGCAAGATTGAAAGACTTTTCACTGAAGAGGAGCTGCCAGAGGCGTATAAGCGGGACATCAAGCTGGCTGTGGAGCCCATCAACACAGACCAATTTGGCCGTGGAGCCCGAGAGCGAAAGGTCTTGCACTACGACGATGGACTCACCGAGGAGCAGTGGCTCGAGGCTATCGACAATGACGTTGACATGGATGAGACCATTGCCAAGAAGCGGGCCGACAACAAGCGACGGCAGGCCAAGAAGAGTGGTGCGGCCGCTGCAGCTGCGACTGCGTCTCCCCTGGACGAGCTGGAGGACCTTGATTCTCCCGGAGTCAAGCGAAAGCGGTCTCGAAAGCAGACCAAGGATCCGATGATGCAGGTGGAGGACGAGCAGCCCAAGAAGAAGGCTCGGGGAAGGGGTAGACCCAAGGACACACTGACCCCCGAGGCTCGAAAGGCGCTGCTGGGCATCATGAAGACGCTGTACAACCACGTGTTGAATGTGGAGGACTCGACTGGCCGGGCCCGAATCAATCTGTTTTTGGAGCTACCCAGCAAGACGGACTACCCAGACTACTACATTCTCATTAAGCAGCCGATTTCGTGCGCCCAGATCTCGAAGCGAATCCAGAGCTCGTACTACCAGAGCCTGGATCAGTTTCTTGAGGAGTTTGCCCTCATGTTTGCCAACGCGAAGCAATATAATGAGGAGGGCTCGTTTGTGTACGAGGATGCAGTGGCGCTGCATAACGCGTTGTTGGACAAGGCCAGCACAATGGAGGGTGTGGAAAGTACGAGGGCGCTGAAGGAGGAGGGCCAGACTCAGTCTGGTACACAGTCTGGCCCCTCGTCTGCTTCTGGCCAGTCGGGCCAGTCTTCCGGACAGTCCCAGCAGGTGTCTCAGCCTCAGATTCCTCAGCAGGTGTCTCAGGTAGCCCAACAGGTGCCTGCTCCTGCTCCTACACCCCAAGTTGTGTCCCAGGCTGTTCAGCAGCCTCCTCCCCAGGCTGTTCAACCCGTGCAAGCCCAGCCAGCTGCACCTTCTCAGGCGATGCATCTGCCCCCCATGGACATGATGAATCTCCACAACGGCCACGGACAGCAGCAGCCGCAACAGCCAGCTGCACCCGCCCCCGGAATGCACCTCGGCGACATGAACTCTCCCGGGTTCGACTCCCGGTTCGACTTGCACCACGAACTCGGAGGCGGTATCCAGGAGGATATGCATCTGGACGAGTTTACTGACAACTACTTGGGCGATTTCACTACCATGGGAGGGTCCTTTGGAGTGGGTGACGATTATAAACACGAGTGATAGAGAATGTATTATTAGGATTATGAGCTGTGGACTGAAGACAGGAGCCGTAGTGAGTACCCACTCTGCTGTAGACCTGAGCAGTAGTTCTGCTATGCATGCATCGTAGCTATGTGAGTTTGACACTCGTCTGTGTGAGCGTCACCGAGTGAGCTGTAAGGATGAACATCAAGCGGAGAGGAGCGTGAAGTGTGCCAGGGTGCCAGAGTGCCTTGAGGCATCTTCGGGGATAAGGGAGGAGGTTATCAGGCGTCATCTTTCACTCAAAAATATCTTTTGTCAGACTAGCCTGGGCAATTTTTTAAGCTAAGTAAACCCAAGCAGTGCCCATATTTTGATCTAACTGAAATCAAGAAGATTTTATTTTTAATAGTAGGAAATTAGTTGAGATGAATTGGTGACTTGATAGAGCTCAGTCACCCGACAAAGCTCATAATCTCATTCCAGGGAAAAGGGATCCAGAGTTACCTGCACGTCGTGTTTATTTTTACCGCCCGTATTTTCGTATCTTCTACCGCTGACTCAGTGCTCCACTCCATCCTCTTATCATTGTCTCATGGACTCCGGTCAAGCTCTGCCTGCATGGAACGGCATTCCGGGGTGCATATATGAAGGACACCAAAGCCCAACACGTTTACCTGTGTACCACGAAACTTGCCATCAGCACCATACCGCCTACTGACAACATGTGTGGATCTGAGTGAGTACAATTGGCAGGAATGAGCGGTCTGACGTTGGCAGGGCAGAAATAAGTTGGCCAGTGACATACAGAGAGAGAGAGAGAGAGAGAGAGAGAGAGAGAGAGAGAGAGAGAGAGAGAGAGAGAATTGAATCACTCTCTGCCACCAGATCAGAGGGACTAAGGCACTACCACAAGCTACTGCTGTTTCTTCTTTTCTGTCTGAATCGATTCAGCGGTATTCTGCTTCTGTTATGGGACCAGTGGTAGCTACTCGATCTTGTGTCTCCAACTCCGTTAAGCCAATCTTCCGTCTCCAGCTTTGGGATGAATCGGTCAATGAGCGCTAACACAGCCCCTCTTCTACGTCCCGGGTGCTCCTACCCACAGACTTCACGCCCAAGTTCTACCACCTGACTCTGGAGCCTGACTTTACCACCTTCAAGTACAATGGCCAATGCGACATTTCTCTCGAAGTTAACACTCCCACCGACACCCTCACTGTCAACTCGATTGATCAGGAGATCTCCCGAGTTGCCATTGAAGAAATTGGAGAGGCGACCGTCACCTACGACAAAGATGCCGAAACGGTCACGTTTAAGTTCCCCAAGATTATTGATCTCGACGAGGTCAAGGTCAAAATCACATTTGTCGGCATTCTCAACGACCTGCTCAACGGTTTCTACAAGAGCACATACACGGATGAGGCGGGAAACAAAAAATACCTCGCCACTACCCACATGGAGCCTGCTTCTTGCCGACGAGCATTCCCCTGTTTCGATGAGCCTGCACTCAAGGCGGTTTTTAACATCACCCTAATTGCAGACAAGAATCTCACGTGTCTCTCCAACATGGCTGTGCGAAACGAGGAGCCCCATGATGGCGGCCAAAAAAAGAAAGTGACGTTCAAACCCACTCCGCTCATGAGCACCTACCTCGTGGCGTTTGTGGTGGGTGAGCTCGACTACGTCGAGGACACTACCAACTACAGACTTCCTGTGCGAGTCTACGCCACTCCTGGCAAGGCACACAAGGGCAAGTTTGCCGCCGAATACGGAGCCAAGACGCTCACATACTTTGAGAAGATCTTTGGCATTGATGTGCCTGTCGAAAAGATTGATCTCATTGGCATTCCCGATTTTGCCATTGGAGCGATGGAGAACTGGGGTCTGATCACTTTCAGAGATGCAGCATTGCTCTACGACGCTGAAACCTGTTCTCTGTCTCAGAAGCAGCACTGTGCTGAGATTGTCATGCACGAGCTGGCCCATCAGTGGTTTGGCAATCTTGTCACCATGGATTGGTGGGAGGGTCTGTGGCTCAAGGAGGGCTTTGCCACCTGGATGTCGTACCTTGCGATGGATCATTTCTTTCCCCAGTGGAACATCTGGGAGGGCTTCTACACCGCCAATGTCGTCAGAGCTCTCGATCTCGACTGTCTGCGATCGTCTCATCCCATTGAGGTCAATGTTCGAACTGCCAAGGAGCTGCCGCAGATCTTTGATGCCATCTCTTATTCCAAGGGAGGTTCTGTCCTGCGGATGATCTCTGACTACCTCGGTCTAGATGTCTTCCTTAAGGGCGTCTCCAAGTACCTCAAGGATCACGCCTATGGATGCACAGTGACCACCGATCTGTGGGACGCTCTTGCTTCCACTTCTGGCAAAGACGTGGTTTCGATCATGACCACCTGGACCAAGAAGGTTGGTTACCCTTACGTAAAAGTTGAGAATGGAGATGGCGAGACCAAGGTGACCCAGCATCGGTTCCTGTCTTCCAATGATGTGACTCCCGAAGAAGACACTCTCTATCCTGTGCTTTTGGAGCTACTGGACGCTTCAACTGGTAAGATCGACAAGAGTCTCGAGCTACGTGACAGAACCTCCACAATCAAGACCCCCTTTGTATTCAAGCTCAATGCCCACCAGGTTGGTACGTACCGAACTCTTTACCCCTCTGCCCTTGTTGCGCTACTCGTTGACTCCGTTCATCTTTCGTCTTTTGATCGGGCAGGCCTCGTGGATGACATGACTGCATTCTCTTCCTGCGGTTTGGCGCCTACCACTGATCTCCTCAAGTTGTTGTCTTCCATCAAGGGCAACGATTCGCTGATTGTGTGGGAGATGATTGCCGGGGCCTTTGGTGAGCTCGACGCGCTGCTGCGGTTTGCTGACAAGTCTACGCTCGTGAAACTGCGAAATCTGCGTCTGTTTGTGCTTTCGGCCGCTCCCTTTGATCTCACTTCCTGGCCCGAAGATGAGGACGAGATTGTGCAGCAGGTGAAGGCTCTGCTCTTCGCCTTTGCTGTCTCCTCTGAGCATCCTGCTGTGACCGGCTACGCCAAGGGTCTGTTTGACTCCTACATTGAGACCCCCACCACTCGAATCAATCCCAACATTATGGCTACCGTCTTCAAGGCAGGTGTTGCCAAGGGTGGAGAAGCCGAGTGGCTGCAGCTGCTCAACATTGCCAAGACCTCCAAGGACAGTGTGATCCCCAACAAGGCCTTTAGTGCCCTTGGAGAGACTCCTCTGGCCGAGCTGAAGCTCAAGACGCTGCAACTGACTCTGGATGGCAGTGTTCGAAACCAGGACTTTTTGTATCCCGTGACTGGCGTTGTTTCTTCGGCCGAGGGAGTGCGCATCTACTGGGACTGGTTCACCGCCAACTGGACCGAGATTGTGGCCTTCTTGCCTCCCAATGGTATCGGCAACATTCTGCCTCGAGCTGTTGGTCTGTCCATCAGTCGGTTCACCTCTGCAGACGACAAGAAGAAGTGCGAGGAGTTTTACAAGGAGAGAAAGGAGGACGCGTTTGCGCGGTCGCTTGACCAGGCGTTTGAGCTCGTGACCACGCGAATTGAGTGGTTGAAGAGGGATCAGGTGGAGATCGAGTCGTTCCTCTCTGCTATTTAGAAGGCGAGACATTCTAGGACATAATCCGAGTGTCGATAGCTCTCTACGTTTGAAACTTGGACCAATGGCAGCTTGAGTAGAGCATATACAAGCACTGAGTACAAGTGTGTTTGTTATATCTACTTTTGTTGACGATCAGTTTTGTCACAACAAAATGCTTAACTGAGAGTAAGTAGCTTTACCAATATTGGTACTGAAGTTACAATAGCATCATAGTACTTGTATAAAAGGCAGTAGAAGGCAATGTAGAAGTATCACACTTGCAATACATGTCAGTCATTATCTAGACTTTTCTTACGACTAAAGCCCTATAAATAATAGTACAAGTACGAGTAATCTCCGTTACTGCAGGTCCTCGAACTAATAAAAATAATGATATACAGTCCTATCATGTACACAACTGCGACACAATTGGTTCGAGACTGGTTAGATTTTATTGGAGAAAATTGAAATCAATATTTCAAGCGGTGTACAATCTAGTTCCTATTATTTATTGGTTTTTTCGAATTTACTGGAGCTTCTACAAGGGGTCCTGTTTTCGGTATCTCCTTTCCCCAACCAAACTCTAACCTCCCACTATGCGCGATATGCATGATATCGATACGGCCTTACGGTTATTCCTTTATCCAGCAATGTCGATTCAACACACACTGTACAGGCCATTGAAGGAGGGAGCGAGTTTGGCGATCCTTGGAGGCGGAATTGGCGGACTTCTATCCGCGGCATTCCTCGCCAGAGCGCGCCCAGACATCAAAATCACACTGTACGAGTCAAAGGCGCAATGTGGAGGATGGATCAAGAGCAAGTTGCTTGAATGCCACGATGGCGGCTCGGAGATGATCGAAAAGGGACCCCGAACGCTCAGAATGCACCCCGGCACACTCATTTTACTCCAGGCCATTTCTCATGTGGACCCAAAGTTCTCCATCTACGGACTACCTACCGACAGTCCAGCCAACACCAAGTGGATCCTCAACAAGGACCAACTCATGTCGCTGAGCGTGTTCAAGAGCCCCGCAAATCTGATGCGGTTCCTGTCGTCGTCTGTCTTTCGAGCCATGGCTATGGGCGCCTTCAACTTCCTCGTATATCCATGGACCCGGAAACGAGACCCTAATGTCCAAGACGAAAGCGTGGCTGATTTCATCGGAAGACGAGCCTCGCCTGCTCTGGGCGATAGAATGGGCTCAGCGATTCTACACGGAATCTACGCTGGAGACCACAAGACTCTGAGTGCTCGAATGACTCTGCGACCATTCTACGGACCTGATAGACTGCTGAAACCGGCCAAATTGTTCACCAACGAGGAGTTTGAGAAACTGTACAAGAAGCTGTTTCCCGAGGCGTCCACGTCGCTGTTTGATCTCAAGAAGTTCCCGGCCATGTTTGCCTTTCCCCAGGGTCTGTCTGGAATGATTGATGTACTCCATAAGCATCTGGAAAAAAGTCCCAATGTGGAGATTAAATGTAACACGGAGATTACCAGAGTTGAAACCACCATTGGAGGCATGCTTGTGTCTGATTCTACCGGTGTTTCTACCACTCACAATGCCGTCTACTCTCTGTTGAGTTACCAGGCTGTGTCCAAATTGCTTCCTGACACTGCCGACCGAGCTCTCATCAAGGACATGTCTTCTGTCGACGTCATGGTGCTCAACTTCTCATTCGAGAAACCCAAGGACCCCAAGTACACCGGCTTTGGATACCTCATTCCCCAGGCCGAAGAAAACCCCGAGCAGGTTCTGGGCGTTATTTTCGACTCTGATGTCGGTCGAGGCAGTGAGCTCATCTCTGGTGAGCCCTACAAGTCGCCTTCGGGCCGAGAAAATGTCACAGTCATGATGGGAGGTCATTACTGGAAGGATGGTAATATTCCGTCTTCCGAGGAGTGTGTGGAGAGAGCAAAGAAGGTGCTCAAACGACACATTGGCCTGGAGGTGACTGATACCACCGAGTACGATGTGGAGCTGCACAAGAGCTGCATTCCTCAGTACGCCGTTGGTCATCTGGAGCGTGTGGACCAGTTTAAGCACATTGTCAGCAAGGAGACTCATCATCGAGTGGCTCTGGCAGGCATGTCGTTCGGTCGAGGAGTGGGTATCTCTGATGCCGCTGTTGACGCCTTTTTGTTTGTGGCTAGTCAGAGTCATGATCCGGAGACGTTGAAATTGACGAGAAAGATTGTGGATCATTATGAGACCACCGTACGACTTTAGGAGGAGATTCGACAGACGCAGTGCGAGTGTCCTAGATCCCATTTTCGGAGTGCGAAGCACGATATGAATCATCAATGAACATCACACACATCACATGCAAACCACACGACATATATACCAAAAAAAAAAAAAAAACAACAAAAAAAAAACAACCTGTAAAATGAATCCATATATAAATAATGTACATAGGGGTCAGTGTAGCCCCCTTCTTAGACTGTTCCCCCATTGTACACACTAGGGTAATACAATGACCGCAACAGGCACAAGCCTTACTGCGACGCTTAGTCTACTGTTAAATACATTCATCTATTTCACCTCACTCTAGCAGCAGAGAGCATACCTAATGAATCTAGCAGCTACTGTTACTGTTTGCGCCACCCTTAGCGAGCGCCAATTTGTTGTGTTGCGCTCACTTCTTGGTCCATAGGCAACTTCCATCAGGGCCAATTCCGTGGGCTTCTTCTGTAACATATCCTGTGAGACCTCGCTCTGAACGTTGTGTCCCAAGATGCTCCCAGAAAAAAACAACAAAATAACCCGTTTGTTCGAAGTTTACTGTTGCTATCTCAGGAAGAGAATGAACAAAATACCCAGGGTGATAATAACCGCCAGAATCAAACTGTCTCGCTTCTTCCGGGTGTTAATCTTGGAAATGACCGTGTTAATGCCTGGAATGCTGCTAGCCGTGTTAAACAGCCGACGCTGGATGTTGGCCAAACTCGCCCGCTGGGTCAGCAGCTCCTCTCGAGTCGCATACGCTTGAGCAAGCAGAGTATCGGTCATGTTATTTGAGTTGTCCACCCGGCCTCGCTCGTGTAACATGTACTCCTCCTCGGCCTGGGGAGTAGCACTTCGGTTTCTGTGTCCCTCGATATCCGACCGCACCGACGACAGCAAGTTGGCCCGGTCTCGTTCCTGCTTGATTCCAGCGTTGATCTTCTTGTATTGCGATCTGTGCTCTGCGAGAGTCTCTCTGTGGCGTTGCAACTGGCCTGTTTGTGTTGCTGTGGCGTTAGGGGTGGAATCCAGCAGACGTTCGAACGACTCCAGGGAGTCGGCGGTCTTCTCAATTACCTGCTCGATATCCCGTCCAATCCGTACCTCGTCTTCGGAGGCTGCTATGGCGTGAGAGGTGGCAAAAGAGGAGTACTCCGAGAGCAGCTCTGCAAGCTGAGACTCTAGCCGTCGCACTTGTGTTCGCGAGCTCGATATGGTCGCCATAATTGGGGGGCTTTGTGGTGTTTTTGGTGGTGCTGGAACTTAGGTACACGTAGCGACAGGTATCGTACCGTGACGCACATGCAGGTGGGAGTTGACTGCATGCACGATACAGTATGAAATTAGCGAGATGATGCTTGTGAAGCAAATAATAGAACAGACAATACCGGGACGGCGACTTAGGCTGAGGGAAGGGGGTTGAGAATACAAGGGACCAACATAGGACTTATACACATACACACATATATATATATATATATATATATAGAGGAATCCTAATAACCCCTCATTTGATTACATAAGGTGAGTGATCACTTGTAGAAGGGGGAGATGGTGTAAATATAAGGCGGATAAATACAAGTATTGGTTCTTGCAGTCAGGTAGAATAAAGCTCGCAAAAAATGACTTACAGCTCTCGACTAATACCGAATAGGTCGTATGGTGGACCACAAGCCTCCTCACCATTTCCCTTGAAGCGACTTGTATCATGTCGACCCTAACCCATTACTCTGATATCATGCACGATTTTTTAACCACCATCAACATATCAGCATGGGCAAGACCAAACGAGAATCGGCTCTTGTGGAGAGCAAGCGGCCTGCGAAAAAGTCCAAGACCGATGGCGACGAACCCACCCCATCGCCAACGCTCTACGTGAAAAACCTCACCGACAAATGCACTAAATCGGACCTCAAACGGTACCTGTACATGCGATTCAGCTCGTACGGACACATTCTCGACATTGTGGCGATGAAAAACGAGCGGATGCGGGGCCAGGCACATGTGGTATTTAACGATATCGATGCGTCGATCTCGGCGCTCAACGGGCTGCAGAAGAGCGAGTTCATGGGCAAAGAGATGGTAATTGAGTATGCTCGATCCAAGTCCCATGCCATTGCCAAGTTGGACGGCTCGTTTACCATTCCCGAACCTCCCGCATTCGAAGAGAGTGTTCTTCCGTTGGCACCTTTTGAGGATGTCACGGCAGAGTAGCGGCAAATCGAACGCAGTGAGCATTGGACTCCTCGGGGGCCAGTGACTCGTGGACGACTTGTGAAACATCGCAAGTCACAAGCCGCGAACCTGCTCTATACAAGCTTCTTGCGACAGTCGAAACGGCAGAAGCATCTGCATCTTTCAGATCATGGGAGATGAAGCGGTTGGCAGGCATACTATGAGCTTGTCATGATTTCAAACCAGGGAGGATTATTTATTGTATAATAGAAAAGGTGCATGGCACCGGATGACGTCATGAACAAATACGGATGAGATGCTGGATCGAAAGAGTAGTTGATCGGTTATGTTCTCCAAAGCACTATCCACTACAACCTCAGTTCAGTGGCCCACCAGTAGTCGGTATCGCAGAGGCACAGAATGGCGAGAGCTGATTCCTACAATGACAGAATGCTGTAATAGAAGCAATCAATCAATTAATAACATAAGAGACTCTTGGTCGGAGCTATCAAGGTGTTCTTGACGACGAGAATGAAATGTCTCTAGAAAGCAGACCGGCAACTCTTCTAACAGCTAGTTCCTGTTGATGTAACAGACGATAAGTGTACTTGGTTTGGTAGGACAAATCACAGGAGAGCTAGAACTAGCCTGTCAATATCTAGCAGTACTCGACTGAACTACTCGTCTGCTGATTCACGTTCGAGACCATGATTGACGAACCTGAGCAATGCGTTTGTCCGTCAACCAACAGAAGAACAGAAGAACCAGTCTGTGCTGCAAGCAATCCTTTCGAAGAACCGCACGAGTAAAATACTTGGACTCTGAACACGTTTTGCATCAAGTATCATATGTCTAGAACATAGGTGTCAGGCGATTGGACATCAGATCTCTTGACATCAGAGCTTTCGACATCAGAGCTCTATCTTGATAGACCAAAGTCACTCTCAGAACCACCAGGGCCAGGTTCGAAGCCCTGGAAGACGTTCAAGACCAAATACACAGGAATGACCAAACAGAACAGACCCCTTGGACCCGGCCTGGGTGAATCCCTGACTCACAGTTCCATCACCCCCGATATTCAACTGTAGCGTAGCTCCTTGATCAGTCATCTCAAACCGCTGGTGAATCTCATCATCGCGCTCGTCGATGAAGACCAACGATTCGGCCATAACTCTCCAACCACACCTCCGCCTCACTCCTCTTGTGCATCTCCTCATCCTGCATCACCAGATCTACCGTCTCCCTCGTTTTACAAGGATGCAGAAAAAACACGGGCAAACCGGTGTGAGGATGCTCACCTTGAGTGATTGCAATGTCAGGAGTAATTACCACCCCAAACTCCGCCATAAACGCCACAAAATCGGCCAGTAACGTCACGGGCTCGCTGTCTCTATAACAGCTCATATATACCACCGGACACACGTATATGTGCGACCACAAAATGTCATATTTGGCCGTTTGGTGTGAAGGCCCTATTCTCGTGATCTGGAGGTTCTGAGTTAGCCTTGGGTACGAGCGAGTACGACAGGTTGGTCATGACGGACGTACACCTGAGGTGCGTGGCAAACGTTGCGGCTTTTGGCCGACGAGGCTGAACTTGTAGAAAAAACGACTTGTGGAGCACAAAGCTCATAACCTGTTAACTCACCTGGTCTCTCCATCTCACGTGACAGTCCTCGGGCCACCCGTCTTGCAGCTCCTTGAATCCTTCCATATTCTCTACTCGTATTCCTGGGTAACGTGTTTGTTCCGGGTTATTGGGAGTCGGGACCGAACAACCACTTAGAGTGCGCCAAATGTGTGCTTGTGCGTGGAGGTAAAATAACGTCTGGAGGACAATGGGGACAACAGAGCGCGTTCAAAGCGGTCTAAAAGCGGTCGAATTTGCGCCGGAAAAGAAATATAAGGAAAACGAAGCATGTTTAGAAGTATGGCGTGCTCGTATTGCACATTCGTCCACTCAATCGCCCAGCACAAAGAACCCTTCTCCTCCCCATTTCACTTCCCCAGACAGCCCGATTTCTCCCGAACCTTAACCTAAACACCGCTCAGCCAATCACAACTCTGCTGATTCAAGCGCTCCCAAATGGACGGCCGTGTGTGCATTCAGCAGTACATAGTTTAGCCTTGGTCCCCTTCTCTTCCCCAGTTTGTTTTTTCTCTTCCACACAACTAACCCACCCATCACACAATGTTCGCGCTCCGAGCCTCAAGAAACGTTCTGAAGAGCCGACCCGTGTTCGCTCGAGGCCTGGCCTCCACCGCCGAGGCCCCTAAGGTGCCTGCCCCCCGAATCAAGAAGTTTGGCATCTACCGATGGAACCCAGACACCCCCGAAAAGAAGCCCGAGCTCAAGGAGTACGAGGTCGACCTGTCACAGTGTGGCCCCATGGTGCTGGACGCGCTCATCAAGATCAAGAACGAGCAGGACCCCACCCTGACGTTCCGACGGTCGTGCCGAGAGGGCATCTGTGGCTCCTGTGCCATGAACATTGAGGGCCGAAACACCCTCGCATGCTTGTGCCGAATCAATCCCGACATCGCCAAGGAGGAGAAGATCTACCCTCTGCCTCACATGTTTGTCGTCCGAGACCTTGTCCCTGACCTGACCCAGTTCTACAAGCAATACAAGTCCATCGAGCCCTACCTGCAGCGAGACGAGGTCCCTGCCGACGGTAAGGAGAACCTGCAGTCCATTGCTGACCGACGAAAGCTCGACGGTCTCTACGAGTGCATTCTGTGCGCCTGCTGCTCCACCTCGTGCCCTTCGTACTGGTGGAACCAGCAGGAGTACCTGGGCCCCGCTGTCCTCATGCAGGCCTACCGATGGATGATTGACTCTCGAGACGAGGCCACCGCCAAGCGACAGCAGATGCTCGAGAACTCCATGTCTCTGTACCGATGCCACACCATTATGAACTGCGCCCGAACCTGCCCCAAGGGTCTCAACCCCGGTCTGGCCATCGCCAAGATCAAGCGATCCATGGCTTTCGTTTAAGCTGAGTGGCTAGAAGGACATGATTATTAACACAAGGAGGTGAAAATATAATACACGCGTCGTCATGCAGACGCGTGGCTTAGATAGCATGAATGGCATTCTGAAAGTGAGGAGGAACCCGAACGGTTCCGACAGTACAGTACCAGTAGTAGGGCGTGCATGTGCCAACTTGTATGACTATATGAATTGTACTCATACTAACACGTATGAGCAAATTGATTTGCGTGATTGGTACTAGTAACTGAGCAAGTACCGGTGGAATTCGTAAAGAATTCGTAGGGTGGCAAATTACATCAATTGGGCCGCTGGTTGCTGTGTATGGTGGCCATTTTCATATTTGAAGATCACATCAGTGAGGTGCGAAATAAAGTTTCATGTACCGAGGTTCATGTGGAGGATATTGCGTTGGCTCTGGCGGCTGATATAGGCGTGCTAGAAGACTTGTGAATTTTCACAGGCCCTATGGACGATATTTTAGAGCTCCACATCAAGACACCAAGGATTTTGGTGCATTTTTGAGCTAGTTGGTGAGGCGGGTATGATTATGTCATATGCTTATGTACACTCTTGTACATACAGTGAGAGCAAAGCTTCTGTATGTAAGGAGATATGGAGCAATTAGGAGGGGTTGAGACGGGTGGAAATTCGGGTGTTGGATTGCTTTCTATTTGTACTGCACTGTAGTACAGTAATATGTCTTTCTTTCACAGGTTACTCCTTGTACGTGTCTTGGAGTTGCCGTGAGTAAGTGGTCCTAAGAACCACGGCGGAATTTCGAACTTTTGTATCGAGATTGTGTAAGAAGAATGGGAAGGGAATTTTGATTCGAATGGTATATTTTTATTGGTACTTTTCATAGAAGTATTGCTAGTTGTGAGTGTTGTTGATGGTGCTGTTGTGCAGTGCCTCCAAGTCCAGTCCAAAGGCATATCTTATTACGCCGCCGTGTAGATACTATAGTTGTAATACATACAGTAGCTCCGTAGCATGTACAAACGGTACAAGTACAAGCACCGGAACTCGTGTGTAGGACGCCGAATTATTGTTTCATGGCGATAACATCTTATGCCTGGTTATAATACATTTGTATCGGTGCGTGTTATGAGATCAATTCATCAAATATGTCTTGTTTTATTTTGTGGATGTTTTATTTTCTGGATGTGTTATCTTCTGGATGTTGTGTCTAATTTTTACAATTTAATCTCAAAATTTCAAAATCCAAAATCCAAAATACTGCTTGTTACCTTTCGTATATATTTGCACCGCAAAAAATCACCCAGATATCTCATATCCGGTTGCATAAAATCACCCCATATATCCCAGCGACTAATCAGATAAATCACCTTCCCCTCCCCTGGACATAACGTTCCACCACCCTCGCTATTACGCTCCGCATTAGGGGGCCATAGAACCCTTCGTATGGCTTTGACAAGCTGCGTTGATAACGCATGTGAGAGACAGGAGGTTTGGGTGATACGGGAAGGCCAGGAGACTCTACTCTACACGCGTTCGATTGATCAGAAAGTCAGGCGGCAAACTCAGCAGCAACGAGAGAGCACGTGACCGAAAAAAATAATCGACAATACAATACTACTATGTCAGACATGTCTAAAGAACCAATCTTGTCTGTTGGCAGGATTACGGTTACCAGGAGAGCTTCAACTCTGATCCGGTATGTGGGGAACATGATGCACTATGGCCATGTGGAGGACTAGTGGTAGGTGGGCGTAGTTTGATACAGTAGTGGCTGTGACATGAGAGTGATAGGTGATAGAATGGTAGTTATAGGAGGAAAGAAAAAGTAGATGAGTGAGGGAGAGAGATCACCCACCGGTTGTACAGGAGGACCACACAGGCTGAAATTGGTGTCTCGTCTCATTATATCCTATGTAGGGTAGCGCAGTCAGGGTCACATCAAAGGGTCAGACTGTACTTATATACGTGCCATTTGCCTTACTGCAAGCGCTTTGTGCTGTATGTAGTGTAGTGTAGCTCAAGGGTCACCTCAAAGCATATAAAGAGACACAAACACGACACGACCTTAACTGGAAGGGCCACACCCGTCGTTACTCCATCTACTTTGGACATGGCTCTCGTCATTTCTTATCTCATCAACGGCCACAAAGCCCGCAAAAAAAGAGCCACAGAAACGCCAGCGATGCACAGCCGCCGCTCGAAAGATATGTATGCCCATCCGGGCATTCTTCACGCCAAGTCGCTGCTTCCTCGAGCAGCAGCCTCTTGTGTTTCAGCAGCAGCAGGGTTCGCCAACATTTGCATCCGGCTCGCCACATATGCGGCAGAGACCACAGTAGAGTCTGCGCGGGTCTCGACCGTGACGTCATTGGCTCTGTCTGTCAAGGCGATCGAAGGACTCATTTCCAAGGCCAACCAAGATACCCCCAAGGCCGAGGGCTGGGCGGAGCTAGGAATAAACACAGCCCAGCAGACAGTCACGCTAGTGCAACTGTTCACATCCATCTCGTTCCACTTCACGTCAACGTCGATTCACACGGTCTCGTCGTCCACCCAGGACGTGATCCACGTGATAGACTCTGTGTTTGGGGACTCAGAGTCCTCCAGAGCAATCAGATACATTCTAGGCTTGGTGCGGCGCGAACTGGGCCAGCAGGTGGGCATCTGGGAAATGTTGTCAGCCATGGTATGCTACTCCGTCGCCCATCCACGAACCTGGAACAACATTGAAGATGCGGAGACCCAGCTGCTTTGGGACGTGGTTGTCCTCGAGACTGGAGTCACCATCTCCCAGCAGCTTCCCGACTCCGACCCTACAGATAGCTTCAACGAAGAGCAGGCCGTGGCACTGCTTCCCCCTGACGCCAGATACTCTCTCACAATCACTGAGGAGAGTATCCGGTCGGTGGCCATCGAAGTAGTGGCCAAACGCCTGCCTCCACACATGGACGTGCCCCGAGATGCCCGCATCGTCTACGAAAAGTGGCAGCGACTGGATGATAACAACATCAGGTATGAGCTCAAGTTTGAGAAGAGCGAAAAGACCTTCCGGGAGAGAAAAGGTATTGCTCGACTAGAGCCCCACGAATGCGACCACGTGACTGACGCTGTCATCAAGACGCCTGATGAAACGTTTAGAGAAGATGACAATATCAAAGAGTCGATCCAGACCCAACGGATCTCGTCCCGGTCTGTTTCCGAAATGGGAATCGAGAATCTGGTCCCTCGAACAGGCGAATACGAAGTGTACCCTCCAGGACACCTCACCAAGAACCTGGCTCGGTACGTGCGGTTCTCCAGTGCCTCTTATGGGCAGTCATTCATGAGACTTTTGGGTATTGGACGGTTCGATGTGCCTTTCAGCACCACTGGAGCCCATCATTCCGAGCATTATGCGTTTGCTCATCATGCTGGGGTCAGTCTCGATCAGATTTTGTTATCCAGCTATAGCGACAAGGTGGTGGATACTTCCAGTGGCATTCTGTTGGATCATTTCATTGTTGTGGACCACGATCCCAAAGCGGTCGTTCTGACAATCAGAGGAACCTGGGGTCTAGATGACGTGCTCACCGATCTGGCGTGCGAGTATGAGAACTTTGAGATCCACGGTTCGTCATACAAGGCCCACCACGGCATTTTGAGATGTGCCCGTAGCATGATTCGCAAGAACAGCCGTGTTCTGAAAACCATCAAAACCGCCATGGACGGAATGGGCCCCGAGTATGGTCTCATAATCTGTGGCCATTCTCTTGGTGGAGGCGTTGGAGCACTACTAAGCATTCTTCTAACAGTATACGACACCGAGATAGATGATTTTGTCACCTCCGAGCAGTCCATGCTGCCCCCTGGTAGACGGGTTCATTGTTTCACATACGGCTGTCCCCCTACCATTTCAGAGCAGCTGCGAATCATGACCGAGCGACTCATCACCTCGGTGGTGTACGGCTGCGACATTGTGCCCAGCTTGTCTCTTGGCATGCTCCAGGACTTCCAAGCCATAGCTCTTGCATTTCGCGATGAGAAGCGCGGGGTTGTGGGCGAGACCAAGAAGCGGCTGTTTGCCCAGCTGGCCACCAGCAGAGTGCCGTACATGTATCGGCAGGATGACTATCTGTTGACCTTGGCCAAGACACTGCGGGGCCTGATGCAGAATGAGAAGCTTGTTCCTCCTGGACGAGTGATCCATATTTCTACCAATGTGTTGCTAGAAGTTCACCAGGGCCGAACCAAGAAGGCCAATCGCGTGGTTGGCAAGGTTGTGTTGGATGTGGAGCGGCGGTTTGGGGAGCTTGTTCTTGGGAAAGGTGTATTTGATCACTCCCCGATTTACTATGAGCAGGCCTTGAATACGTTGGAGCAGGGTGTCAACTCAGCCCCCAGGTAGCACTAACGACCAATTGCCAACTGAGAATAGCCCCATAAACCAACGAGATAGACTCGTGCCACCGCTGCATCCAACACCCAGATCATGATCCCCATAGATTCATGCATATAGCTACTCAAGATTATATTAGATGATTAATTAGCCGTGTATGGCAAGTAATTGATACTGTAAAGTAGTATATTACGGCGATACTCTAACCCAACTGAGACAGATCTTGCAACAATGTTACTATGGTTGTGCGGATGTGGCTTCATCGAATGAAGTCGACTTGGAGGACTCTTAGATATATCTGCTCCGTAAAAGCGTTGGTTGATGACAGTAGTGACATATTCATGGCAAGTGTAGTTCGGAAATAACCAAAAATGTTGCGGGGAGGTTATACGAAGCGATGTGTACCATTAGTGATGGTAATGACACGGGAGAATGCGATTGAGCGATGGATAACACTTCGGTTTACGATACAGTACATAGATACGTGTAAGCAGATATCGTGAGAAGAGTATGTTACTGTACAACGTACGGTTAGGAACCACAACCTTTACTGTGCCCAGACAGTGGTTGTGCTCAACAAATATAATACATTGGCTAGCATTTTGAAACCCGGCAATGTACAACGTGTACGGTAAATGCCTCAGGTTGGAATTAGTGTGGTAGTAGCGAGATGAGAGCAGAGAGAGGTGGGGCAATCGAATCGATTACGACCGGTAAGTGACCTTCTGGCCGCCTCGTCGCTCCATCTTCTCTTGTCGCTTGGACTTGGGGATCAAGCCTTCGTTGGCTGTGGAGCCTGAGGAACCGGAATGTTTGGGTCTGTTCTCGGAGTAAAGAGTGTAGGCCTTGACGACGGCGTACAGGGGGATCATGATGTACAGAGCAAAGCCCCAGTTGGAGGCGAGCACGGCGGACACAAACTTGCAGATCCAGGTGACGTAGACAATGTCCTTGAGGTACTCCATTACTCCTCGCTGGGACAGGTCTTCTCCGGGCCTGATCAGACCTCCTCGCTCGTCAAACTTGGGTCGGCAGGTCTTCTCCAGGTGCACCATGACCACGGTAGCCGGAATGGAGAAGATGATCCAGGGGATGATGGAGGCGGGGTTGCCGAGAAAGTAGTATGAGCTGAGGAAGAGCACGTCGATGGACACGGTGCCGGTCCACAGGGTGATGAGGATCTCCTTGTTGTTGGCGGCCTGTTTTTTGAGCGAGTTTCCTGCCATTTTGAGATCGATCTGCCGAGTGTATGGAAGGAGTCTGGGTCGACGATTTTTTTTTCTTCTACCCTACAGTAGTCTCCGATTTTACTTTACCTTTATTCTCTCGTAATTACACTATCTCATGCCAGCCAAATTCTAATTGCGGGTACAACGTGTCACCAAGAAACAGTGAACTGTAATGTGGTGAATATTAACTCCACCAGCCAGCACCACGACAGCACTTTTGGACTACACCTATTGGCACAGCCTAGAATGTGAGTATGGGAGATGGGGGATGTGGCATTGCATTGCAACACGACATTGCCTGTGCAACGGTGTATTCGTGATGGCCTCAGTTCAACCGATTACCGCGGATCTACAAGGGCTCACACCTTTTCACCTTCACCATGGATGGCATACCACCTCACCATGCTAACACAGAGCTCAGATGGGTAAAAAAAACAAGGCCAAGTCGGCAGACAAGGCGGCAGACAAGGAGCCGGATGTGCCCATGTCCGTTTCGACTGAAGCTCCTGCCGCGCCGGACACTACCACCGACACATCGACACCCACAACTACCAATGGCATTGAAGCGGAGGAACATCTCAAGGTGACTGAGGACTCTAACGAAGAGGGCAAGGCCGAGGCTCTGCCCGGAGATCTCACAACCCAGGCCGAGGAGCCTCCCGTTGCCGCCACCGAGAAGGCCGTGGAGAAGGTCAAGGAGGAGGAGGCTAAGGTGGAGAAGGATGAGTCCAACCCTGAGACTGAAGTTGAGACTGAATCCAAGCTTGAAGCTGAGACTGAATCCAAGCCTGAAGCTGAGACTGAATCCAAGCCTGAGGCTGAATCGAAGCCTGCCACTTCTTCTGATGCCACTTCTTCTGCTCCCATTGACGAACCAACTACAGGAGACATGTCTGCAGAGACTGTGGAGCCAACGAAGCTTGCAGAGAAGACAAATGGAAATGCCGCCCCAGCGATCAGCGTGACAGAGGCAGAGAAGACAGAGGAGTCGAACAAGGCGGCGGCTCCTGCTCCTGCGTCTTCAGGCACCTCTGCCAACGCCTCGGTGTCTGTGCGCCCTTCTCGAGCCCACTCCACCGCCGGATCCATCTCCTCCGTCAATTCCACCCGCTCGTCCATGGCTTCTTCCGTGTTCATCAAAAACTCGCTCAACACCATCTCCACCTCCAAGGAGGCCAAAAAGAATGCGGCCCTGTCCACCGCCGTGGGCAAGGCTCTCTCGTCGCTCGACCGAGACGAAAACCCCTCAGCACAGACCATCTTCGAGCCCATGCGTCTGGTGTGCCAGGGCAATGACGCGGAGATGCAGGTTGTGGCTCTGGACGCCATTGGCAAGATGTTCACATACTCGTTCTTCGAGGACCCTGCTCCCTTGCCCCACAACGAAGAGGCCGGGATTGTTCCCCCTCCTCGAATTCCTCTCATTGAGCAGGCCATCACCTGTGTCTGTGAGGCCCATCGAGGTGACGCCACGGACCAGCGAGTCGAGTTGCAGATCGTCAAGGCTCTCATGGCTGCTGTTCTCAACGAGGAGCATATTGCTCATGGAGCCACTTTGCTCAAGGCGATTCGGCAATCATACAACATCTTTGTCACCTCTCCCTACCAGGCCAACCAGATTGTTGCCCAGGCTTCAATTTCTCAAATGGTCAACGTCGTTTTCGAGCGAGTCAAGGTGAATCTCAAAAAGAAGGCCATTGCCGCTGACAACAACCTTGACTACGTGGAGAGCACGGCTGACATCCTGGCTTCCTCCAACGGCTCGTCTTCAGACATTAAGCTCAACCTGTCCGACTTGAACAGAGCTGATGTCGACGATGAAGACCGAGTCATGGAGGCCAAAACATCTGCTGGCCAGGATAAGAGCGACATTGTGGCCAAGGACGCGTTTCTGGTCTTCCGTGCAATGTCCAAGCTTTCCATCAAGGACATTGAATCGGACTCTGTGGACATTAGATCCAAGGAAATGCGCTCCAAGCTGCTGTCTCTGCATCTGGTCCACAGCATTCTCAAGAGTCACATGACTGTGTTCCTCTCCAAGGACGTGGTCATCAAGTCCAGCGGCGCTGCCAAAAACACCACGTTCGTCAACGCTGTCAGACAGTACATCTGTCTGACTCTGGCCAAAAACGCGTCCTCCATCACTCCCGCAGTGTTTGAGCTCTCCGCTGAAATCTTCTGGCTGCTGCTCTCTAACCTGCGAGGCCAGTTCAAGAAGGAGATTGACGTGGTGCTCACTGAGGTCTATTTCCACATTGTCGAGATGAAGACTTCTACCGCCCACCAGAAGCTGTACTTCCTGGGCATCATTTCTCGATTGTGCAATGACCCTCGAGCTCTGGTTGAGGTCTTCCTCAACTACGACTGTACTCGAGGTGTGGGCAATATATATGAGACCCTCATCAACTATCTGGTGCGTCACGCGACTGCCAGAATCATCATGACCCCTGTGCAAATGCAGCAATACCGAGAATGGAAACACAAGCCAATTGCTGTGTACAACACGTCTTTGCCTCCTCAGCTGGCATCCGCAAATCTCACCAGCACCTCCTACACACCCGAGGTGCTACCTTACCCCGTTGAGTACGCTCTTCGAATGACATCTCTGGAGTGCATTGTCGCTGTGCTTCGATCTCTCCACTCTTGGTCTCACAAGGGTATGACAGCAGCTGGAGGAGCTACCATTTCGATTGCTGCGTCTGATTCCACGACGCCCACCGGTCGACATTCTTCTGTTTCTTCTCTTTCGTCTATTCAGCAGAACGACTTTGTGGACGATCCTTCCCAGTTTGAAGATCTCAAGCTGCAGAAGAGCAATCTCGAAGGAGGCATTCGAATGTTCAACCAGTCGCCCAAGCGAGGTATGGCTGCGTTGATCAAGTCAGGTTTTGTTGCCTCTTCTGCTCCAGAAGACATTGCCAAGTTCCTGATCGAGACTGATGGGCTCGACAAGGCCAAGATTGGAGACTACCTCGGTGGCCATGAGAAGGAGAACGTGGAGATCATGTACGCCTTTGTCGATCACCACGATTTCACGGGAATGCGGTACGTTGACGCTCTTCGAATCTTTCTTCAGTCTTTCCGACTTCCTGGAGAGGCTCAGAAGATTGATCGTTTCCTGCTCAAGTTTGCCCAGCGCTACATTTCTGGCAACCCCGACTCGGCGTTTGTGAATGCTGAGTCGGCGTACGTTCTGGCGTACTCAGTGGTCATGCTCAACGTGGACCAGCACTCCACCAAGGTCAAGAACCGAATGAAACCCGAGAACTTTGTGTCTAACAACCGAGGAATTAATGAGGGTGGAGATCTTCCTCCGGAGTTGCTTCTGGAGATCTTTGAGGAGATTCAGAAGAATGAGATCAAGCTGGATTCCGAGCAGGCCGACGCAGCCATCTCCAACGCCTTTGAGGCGGCTGAGCAGCCCACCGGAATCGCTGCCACTCTCGGTTTCGGAAAGGATGTCAACAAGGAGGCCTATCTCAAGGCTGCCAAGGAAATGACTTCCAAAACGGAACAGTTGTTCCGTGGTTCGTCTTCCACCAACGACGAGCCTGGACTGTACTACGTGGCTTCTCATTTCGAACACGTCCGGCCTATGTTTGATTCCGTTTGGATGTCTGTTGTGGCTGCTCTTTCCGGTCCTCTGCACACTTCTGACGACGAGGAGACTGTAAAGCTGTGTCTGGATGGAATCAAGTACTCCATCAAGATTTCGTGTCTCTTTGACATTGAGCTTCCCCGAGAGTCGTTTGTCAACACCCTGGCTAAGTTCACTTCTCTGAGCCAGCTCCACGAGATGCGCCAGAAGAACATTGAGGCCATCAAGGTGCTTTTGGAAGTTGCTGTGAGTGACGGCGCTGGCCTGAAACGCGGCTGGAAAGACATTCTCACCTGTGTCTCGCAACTCGAGCGATGCCAGCTTATCGTTGGAGGTGTTTCTGCCACAGCCATTCCTGACATTAACGACGCTCGAATCCATGGACGAGCCTCTCTCGACCGGCGACGAACTCTGCCTCCCAACATGGCCAACACCTTTACTCCGGAGGTTGAAGCTGCGCTCAAGTCTGAATCTTTGAACAAACTCACGGACAAGATCTTTGTTCAGAGCGCTTCTCTACCCGTGGACTCATGTGTGGATTTTGTGCGTGCTCTCGCCGAAGTCTCCTGGCAGGAAATCAAGTCTTCTGCCGGCAACGAGAACCCCCGAACGTTTTCTCTTCAAAAGATGGTCGACGTGTCTTACTACAACATGGGCCGTATCAAGATGGAGTGGACTCCGATCTGGGCTGTAATGGGCGCTCAGTTCAACAAGGTCGGTACGATCCCCAACACGATGATTGTGTTTATGGCTCTGGACTCGCTGCGGCAGTTGGCGGGTCGGTTCCTTGATCTGGAAGAGTTGTCGCACTTTAAGTTCCAGAAGGACTTCCTCCAGCCGTTCGAGTACATTATGGAGAAGAACTCGAGTGGAGAAGTCAAGGATATGGTGCTTCAATGCATTCGGCAGCTGCTGTTATCCAAGAAGAGTGCGTTTAGATCCGGCTGGATTTCCGTCTTTAACGTCTGTGGAGCGGCTACTTCGTCGTCGTCAAAGTCTCTCTTGAACACTGCTTTCGACATTGTCAAGAAGGCCCGAGAACAGCTTCTGACTGAGGTCATCCTCCAAGATGCGTTCGTGCCCATGACGAAATGTCTGACCGCTATTGCCATGAACCAGTTGTCTCAAAAGACAGCTCTTCATGCAATTGAGCAGCTCAAGGCGATTATCGTCGATGTCTCCAACGATAAGACCGAAGACAACGGTGTCCCCCATCCTCAGCAGCTCCCCAGACTCTGGATGCCTGTTTTCCAGTCGTTCCACGACATTATCATGACCGGCGAGGATCTCGAGGTTCGGTCACGTGCCCTCAACTACCTGTTTGACGTGCTTGTCCAGTACGGCGGCGGATTCGAGGCCGACTCGTGGGACACCATCTGCACCGAGGTTCTGTTCCCCATTTTCGTCATTCTCAAATCGCGGTCGGAAATGGCCCGGTTCAACAACCAAGATGATGTGTCTGTGTGGCTGTCCACGACGATGATCCAGGCACTGCGAAACATGATTGCACTGTTCACGCATTATTTCTCCACTCTGGACCGAATGCTGGACGGCTTCCTCGATCTGTTGGTCACCTGCATCAACCAGGAGAACGACACCGTATCCCGAATCGGCTCCACCTGTCTCCAACAGCTCATCACCGAAAATGTCAACAACTTCAACGACGCCCACTGGGCCAAGATTGTCGACACCTTTGGCGAGCTGTTCAAAACCAACACGGCTGTGGAGCTGTTTGAGAGCACGAGAAAGCCAGACGATCCCGAAGACAAGCCCCAGCGAACAGACAAGCAGAAGATCTTCAAGACCATCATTGTCAAGTGCATTCTGCAGCTGCTGGCGATTGATACCGTCGAAGGACTCTTCCAGGACCAACAGGTGTACCAATGTATCCCCACCAAGCAGCTCTTGAGGATTACAGACATGTTGCAGGAGAGCTACACCTTTTCCAAGACGTTCAACGCTGACAAGGATCTGCGAATGCGGCTGTGGAAGGAGGGCTTCATGAAGCAGTACCCCAACCTGTTCCGCCAGGAGAGTCATTCAGTGTCCACATATCTGCATCTCACGTTCAAGGTGTATTTGGACCCTGTGAAGACGACTACCGAGCAGCATGATGCGATTGGCAAGCAGCTGTTACCTCTGGCACTCGAGCTCATGGAAATGTACGCGGCCCTGGACTTTGACCAGAACAAGGAAAAGGTCATTTCCACATGGACGCCTGTCATTGTGTCTGTACTGCAAAACTACGCGCGGTTCCCTGACAGCGAGTTCAACGCCAACGCGGAGGACTTCTTTAAGCTGTCACTGAACCTCCTGGAGAAGGACGTGTCGCTGGAGGTGCGAGTGGCGGTCAAGCATATTCTGCACAGAGTCGGCCAGTTGTATATGAAGGGAAAGGGCAAGGAGTAAGGATAGGTAATGAAATGAATGATAGATGAACAGAAAAGTAGTACCACATTGTATTAAAGTGGCCACGACTACTAACAGCAACAATGTGTTCCCATGGGCGATGACTTTTGAAGCAGCCTGGAGTGGTGCCACAGACGGATGCAAAACTTCACTGGCACTCAGTTTGCCTCTCATCCGACAGCTTTGAACGTGTGCCAGGGATTATCAAAGAGCTGGGCGTTTGGCCGGGTGTTTGGCATGATCTCCAATTGTCCAAACACAAAATAATGTAAAAGAGCTGCGAACAAGAAAGAAAATCTGTGAGCTGCTTTAGGCGGCCCATACCAGTATGTTTGTCCCTATCAGTTCATCTGGAATGATACAACGACTTTTCCATGATAAGGAGATCCTGCCAGGGTTGGTACTTCCAGTTACAAAATACAAGGACTATGGGAAAGGCTGGAGCAGTGTACACCATATTGAGGTACAATACACCCATATTGAGGTACAACTCCGGTGGTACAGTAGTATAATCTATAGAAAACTCACCAATGAAAGACTCTGTAAAGCTTTCGTTTCTGAGGTCTACGTCGATCAAGTTGTATCAAGGTTCTTCCAGGGCTGTCCCGTGCATAAAGGAGGGCTTGGCAACATACTGCTCACAGATCGTCAGGGACGCCCTATAGGAGATCTTCTTAATAACAATCTGCACCAGATACGTGGGAACAAAGACCTTTTGCTAAGAACCTGGACAAAGATAACCATGCCCACCTTACCGACAGCCACAATCTCCAAAGACATCAAGCGGACATCCTGGCTATCGGTATCTGGGCTAGTACCACCAGCAACTTCGTCAACATGGTTATCAATTCGGGGACCAGATGCGATCACGGCAACCGTTTTGGTTGAAGGCGACATATTGGCTTACAGGATGACTCAACGAAGTGGGTGCCGTTATCACGGAGAAAACCTGGTATGGGTACAGCAGCTTGTTTTCGGTTTGGCCAAGGAGCATGCCTGACACTGATTGTTTATTGCTAGTCGCGACAAGAACGGCAACGCATTGTCCTTTGTCAGGGGAACTGGTGGACACAAAGTCTCCTCTTCTACTTATTATCAGCAGGGAGACGACTTCCCCAAAAGGAGTTGAAAACATAAAATTATTGTCCTTCAGTCAGCCAGTGGTGCTACCCAAAGTTGGTTTTCCATATTGACTCAGTGATGATTTCATTTCGCACATATTTGCCGGACCAATACGAGGCTAACAAAGTTGAATGCGAACACATGTCATAAATGGGTTGCTTATCTGACTTACATGACTTACATGGAGTCGCCATCAATCTTCAACTCTACGTATTTCAGAACATGGGACCCACAAACAAGGTTTCTTGGCGCCCATCATATGTGCATAGCCGAGAGAAAGACGTTGACTAAAAGTGCAGTCACGTGTTCTAATGAGTTAGAGAGGAGAGAAGAGTTTATGGAAATCCGGTAGCCAGAAACCCCTTTTTGTAACGCTTGCTCTACTACCCCAGTTATCTTCAAGAGTCTACTGAAGTTATGTTTTTCTCCAAAATATCATCTCGATGTCCCACACCTATCCAAATGCTACTGGACCACGCAGATACGCCGTATGAGCCCAGGAGACCTAGCTTGGGTCTCACAATGAGCGGTTGCTACACCGTATGCACTTATTATTGAAAATATAAGTATAGTACAGTGTGCTGATGCTTCCACTGCTTCTTTTTCAACCCATGCCGCATCTACAGGACGAAGAACTCAGACAACAATACTCAATCTTCTGACATGGACACTCGAATCGACAAATTGACCGCCATTGTCGAGCAATTAGTGTCCCACAAAGAGCAGGAATCGAAGTCCTTTGAGAAACTGCTGGTGGACGTCTTGCGGATCCCGTCCTGGACCACCCAGACGTTCTTCACTATCGGGCTCTTTATTTCCGCCTGGGCGTTTCTTGCTGCCAACCAATGCTAGCGGGTTTGCGAGAGTGGTAATACTGAAACCTCTGGTATTTGGATGTAACAAAAACTGTGCTGTTGCTGTTTTTTATGCCTGGTCATGTCATGTCGTGGAAAAGCCGTGGAAAGTACACTTGGAGCCATACGAAGAGAAGACACGATTCTATTATTATTGGTAAGTGTTAGATGAATAACCTTGGTTACGACTTAATTCCATACACAGAAGCGCGCTTACTGTACTTATCTAACTCACCTCACAGCGTTGCGATGTTCTGAGGGAACCCTTCAACTTTCAAGAGGTAGGACACCACGGTATTTTTTCACGGATTTTTTTTTATTTTCATAATAAAATAACGATTCAACTAATTACTGTGTATGAACATGAGAGGACTGACTTTTGAGTAAGAGGGTGGAAGGTGTCAATTTCAAGACGTACGTATTCGGAAAAAGCAGGATACACAGTAAAATAATAAGAAAGATAAAGAAAAAGAAAAAGAAAAAGAAAATAAAGGGCAAAAACTGGAACAAGTAAAATATTCACCTGGAATACTACTACGTCCTCCCGGGTAGCTTCTTCAGCAATCAAACCAGAAGTAGCGTGAAAAATGTGACTGATACAAAGGCGTCACAACCCAACTCGCACCTCCTCATTAGTTCTATGAATCAGCCAATTGATCTACGCTAGATGGCATAGACATAGGACAAGTGCAGTGACTCGGATCTCAACGTCAAAAATTCGGGCTCCGCTTTTCAAGCTGCTGAAGTTGCGTCTCTGAGAGATTTATTCAACATCTGTCACATCGGTGATTGGGTAAAACGTCGCAGCTCTCTTGACTCCAGTTCCATACATTAGCCTGTCACTGTGGCTTATCTTAGACCCACAATTGGAGCCGTGCAAACTATATAATACGAGCAGAAAAGAGAGGTGTCGGTAGGTGGTCGGGTTTTATACCTCGCTATACTTAGAGCATTGTTATTCACCTAGTGGGTGAGATGAAAAACAACAAAACATGCCGTTTCAGCGTGCATCAACTTAGCTTTTTTGTGCTAACATAACCCCCACAGCACACTGTGTGTATGCTCGTGTTCAAAAGTCGACTCTGAGCTGTCGTTTTGTTCAACTCAGACATGGCACTGATGTCACCTCCGCATTAGGCTGCTTGTTTAGACGCCAAATTAGCACCTCGCTTAATTCTAATTAGGCGTTTTAGCAGATACACTTTGGGCAGTGCCAAAAAGTGGGTACCTGGAGATAACGGTTGTAGGTGGGGCTACCGTGGTTGGACTGGGATGGAAAGTGGATCTGAAAAATTTCTGAGCAGCGACGAATTTCAGACCTATCTCTTTGTGTCTGAATCGCATAAGTAACGCGCGGTTTATTACTGCATTTGGTAATATGAAAAGTGCCGTGTCTTGGCGTACGACAAGCAAGAACAGGAGGCGATAGAGTAGGATTTTGGAGCAGCTCGATGAAGGAAACGTCTTTAAAGAGTTGTTATTGTTGTTATTGCTGCTGCTGCTGTTGCTGTTGTTGCTGTTGTTGTCATTTAAAGAGTTGGCTACTTGGAAGCGTCAAAAAACAGGCACAAGGCCCTATTATACTAGTAGGCCTGTTCAATAATTTCGATCTAAATGTTTGAAACTCCTCCCCTGACACTTGGCGTCCAATCTATCTGCTCCATTCCTCTATCTATGCGGGGCATCTGTGGCTTCACTGATACCGCCAAGTGAGTGTTTGATGGCGATAGTGTTTGGCATGATGAAGTAGAAGGTGGAGAGATCAAGTCGATGGAAACCGACTTTAACGTGACAAAAATCACATTTTTCGGAAACTGGAGTTTTCTTTTCTACCTCTAAATTCCCAGATTACTTCCATCACCCGTTTCTGGATGTTCGTATGGACATGTTCTGCCCGATGTGCGAGATACTACTCTATATCATAGCTTAACTCTTATTACACCAAGAGCAGATCTCCCTTGGCACACGGCTCTGTGGCTGTCAGATAGCAACACGTAGTATATAGGCGGGTTGGGGGCATGGAAAAACGTCTATCGACTTTTTATCGTCTTGCCACTGTTCGTCATGACTCAACATCTAGGAGATCATCTGGAGGACCACCTGGAGCCTTCCAAAGAAGACGGTCTTTACTACAAGGACACTGACCAAAAGACTACCCACTCTATCGATAAAGACGACAAAAACGAAATTGAATTCACCGAGATTGAAACCACATCGATCATCTCCCAGGGATACTCTCAGACATGGGCCACCTACACCGATGAACATAACCCCGACGGGCTCAGAATTGCCACAGACGAAGATCGAGCGACTCTAAGACGAGTAGCTGCTCCAATTGGAGCCATGACTTACATGCTGTCTCTTGTTGAGTTCGCAGAGCGAGGCTCGTACTATGGTCTGACCAACGTCATTTCCAACTTTGTCCAGTTCCCTCTCCCTAAGGGCGGAAATGGCTGGGGAGCCACACCTGCCGGTTCTCAGTTGACAGCGGGAGCCCTAGATCAGGGTCTTCAAGTCGCCACGGCTCTGACTCTGGTTTTGCAGTTTTTATCCTACTTGACACCTCTTCTAGGAGCCTACCTTGCCGATTCCAAATATGGACGTTTCAAGACCATCTGGGCCGGTACGATCATCTGTGGAATTGGCCATATTGTGATTGTGATTGCCGGAATTCCCGGAATCATAGAGCACCAGAAAGCTGCTCTAGGAATCTTTATTGCTGGACTAATGATCTTTGCCTTTGGAACCGGTCTCTTCAAGCCCAACTTGCTTCCACTATTGCTGGAACAGTACAGAGAAGACAACAACTGGGTGAAGAAGATGCCCAATGGAGAACTCGTGGTGATTGACAAAGAATCGACTCTTCAACGAATGACTCTCGTCTACTACTGGTCTATCAACGTGGGAGCTTTTCTTGGTCTGGGAACTGCTTATGCCGAAAAAAGAATTGGTTTTTGGCTCGCTTTTCTGGTTCCCACTATTCTCTACTTCTTCCTCCCCCTGTTTCTCTGGATCATCAGAAACAGGGTTTACAAGGCTCCTGCTTCTGAAGATTCTCTCATTGCTGGATTCTTAGGAGTCATCTACCAAAGACTGTTCAAGAAGGACTCCACATACTCCGAGAAGTTTCAAACTGACGTCTGGGCCACTCTCAAAGCCACCCGCTTCTTCCTTTTCTTTCCAATCTACTTTATCAACGATGGAGGCATTGGAGCACTGTCTAATTCTCAGGGTAGTTCAATGATCACCAATGGAGTCCCCAACGATCTTCTCAACAACTTCAACCCTCTCACGATTATTGTGGCAGTACCGATAGTCAACTACGGACTATATCCTCTACTGAGACGCTACAAAATCAACTTTCGGGCCTCGTTCCGAATCTTTTTGGGCTTTATGCTGGCAGCTTTTTCTCCCATGATTGGAGCTATTCTTCAATGGAGAATCTACGAGACTTCCCCCTGTGGATACTATGCCACCCAATGTGAAGCTGGAGTAGCTCCAATCACCATCTGGTGGCAAGTCTTCCCTTATGTCTGTACTGCTTTGTCTGAGATCTTTGCCATCACTACCTCATACGAACTAGCTTACTCTCTGGCTCCAGAACATATGAGATCACTTGTTATGGCACTGCTACTGTTTATGTCTGCCTTCAGTACGGCTATTCAGACAGGTCTGACTCCGGCTTTGGTCGATCCGCATCTCATTTGGCCGTTTGTGGGCATCTCAGCAGCAGGAGGAGCCTTCGCCATCGCCTTTCTCTTTTGCTACTGGAACCTCGGAAAAGGTCAGAAGTTGTCAGTCTAGGAGGTGAATAATAATAGTAATTAATCATGTGTTATTGAGTCACGATAGTGGCATTCACGATATTAGTTGAAGATTCGTGTAGATGTTGTTTGGGCGTCAGTCAGCTTCAGGACAACTCTTCTAAAAGAGCATGCCACCTGACGATAAGCGAAACCTTTTTATACCGTAATATGGGCCACGTGATCCCACAGCAAGTGCCCGATTTTTTTTCACGTTACTGCAGCGTCGCTGGGGGTCGTACCTTGTTTAGCTCTCAACTAGAGCTAGGTAAATAGAAAAGGCACTGATTTCCGTAAGTGGCAACATCAGCAAATGTAGGCAGACTCGTAGTAAATATTATCTTATATTTTCATTTATAAGGGTACAGGTTTCACAATAAGACATTTCATACCGTCCTAAGATACCTGGAACACCGTTTTTGTACCCTAAGTGATGTTTCTTCTTAACTAATTTCTAACAAAATGGAAGGAATAGAGAACGCGACCGAAGAGCCTTACTAAAGCGGTTTTAAGTGAGAAACGCAGAAGGACTTGACTCAAATAGTTACTAAACATATTGGTTTTTGAAATGATTAAAATATTTTATTGCTTTTTTATTTTATTCAAGCGTTGAGTCATCATACATCACCAGGCACAGTCCAGAATTCTCAAAGTCGGCACATTCCTGAGGACGTGGCGTAATGGTAGCGCATTGGATTTCGGTTCTTCTGAACGACGTCCTCCAAAGGCTGCGGGTTCGAGTCCTGTCGTCCTCTTTTTTCCAGCAGGAGAGACGTTCTGGTGGTATTTCTGTCTTTGCCAGTTCGCTCGTATTCTACTTTTTTACTGTTCCTGCATAATCGAAACTCAGTTGAGATGAAAGGTAGGAGTTGTGAAAATGAGAGGGTGTCACGGGATCAAGGAATTTATGGTACTGTAAGATTGAGGAGGGCGAGGTGATTCTATTTACCTTTTTATATTCTTAATTGGAGCATTTCGGGTGGACTGGAGCTCTACTGTCTTACCCGTAAGTGGAACATCATGACAAGGACACTACAAAATGCCGAAGACTGAACCGATTCGAGCGGTCTAAAAGGAAACTTGATCTAGCAGTCTCTATAAGCAATTGTTATCACACAAGTTTCGTTGAGAAATGACTGTAACGATGACTTCTTGTAAAATCACTGTGGAACACCGGTAGTGTTCACTTGCTGCAGGTGCATAAGGCAAACAGGGAATACGAAACAATCATGTAGACAATGATAGTCACGTGGTCTGTACCAAAAAGACCGCCCGAGCGAGCTCTACAGGTGGATTAACTCGATTTCCCAGTAGCACAATATCTACTCATTACAGGCACCGTTGCTTGCACGCCAAAAGTGCTCCACTTCATGAAAACATTCTATTAAATACCTGTTATCCTTTTTCCTCGGCAGTTGGAGATGACACTGAGAGGCTGACAAAATGGATGTCACTGATCAACAGCTGTCTCCTCTCTTTCAATAGCTGTGACTGCGATGTATATTCTCGCAGCCTCAGTGTCCACAACTATCCAGACATTCATATGCTCAAGACTGTGCGCTCATGATAATGCGCTCAAGACGGCGCGCTCATCACTGTTCGCTCACCCCAATCATCGCAGTTCCAGCTTCGCTCAAACTGCTCATGATTGTTGCTGGACAATTTCCCCCTGCACCTTTTCATCAAACACATTCACTCCCTGCTTTAGCGCATCAACCAACAAACCCAGAGTGTTGTCATTAAAAGTCTTGCTCGTTCGCAGCTCGTCCATATCCTTGCCAAACTCGGAGGTGACCAGGTTCAGGTAAAACTTTTGAAACTCGGGGTTGGCTGAGTCAGCTGGAAGAGATTGCAGTTCTGCTGGGATGTCCATAGTCTGGGCCGAAGCGGCAGCAGCAGCATCATCTTTGTCAAACTCCATCATTTCGACGTCACCTTCGTCGATTACGTGATTTGTAGTGTCTTCGTTGTCTTCATTATCGTCTTCTTCCGCCCGGTCAGATTCACTGTCACTGGAGTCGGAGTCCGAAACTTCGGCGGTTCGGGCCTTCTTTCGCCGCCGTTTCTTGGGTTCGTCGCTTTTCACGGCCTTGTTGTTTCTCGAGTCGCTTTTGGCCGACATGTTGTGCTGAGACGAATGGGTAGTGCGAGATGTGAAAATATATTCTGCAACGTGGTTTCATGCATGTAATATGCGGGTGGTGCATTTAAGAAATATACCAAGTAATGTGACCGAAGCTAACAAAGCCTAACTATTGTTGGAGTCCTTGCTTGCTAGGTGATTTTAGGAAAACAAAAAAGAGGAAAACAAAACTAAAAGGAGACAAATAACAATCGGATTGGAAAATAACTCCATTAGAGCCATGTATCCATGTGACAATGGTGCTGATTTCTTCGCTAACCAAAACTGTGCAATCAAGTGACGGCAGAAAACCCCAATACACGAAATCAACAGGGGTGTCTTAGGCTCTTAGTCGACTACAATCCAACTCGATTCAAAACAATACAATATTAATTATACACCAGTAGCGACCATCCCATTGGTTTCTCTCCTACTCCTACTCTTTCTTCTCTTCAGTCTCCTCAGCAGCCTTCTCCTCCACCTTGGCTTTCTTCTCTCCACTCTGTTCATCCTCTACGGCCACAGGAGCAACTCGCTTTGGGGCCTTCTTTCGAACAGCCAATCCAGACAGGTCGTTAACCTGCTTCTCTCCTGATCCGCCGACACCTGCAGCAGCCATAATGTTCTTGACAACATCATCAGAAGAGTTACCCAGAATACCTTCCATGACGGCCTGTTTCTTGGCATCGAAGTCAGCCTGACCCTTGGCAATGGCCTTGAGATCTTTGAGCCGAATCTCCAAATCAGACACTAGATCGTCGTCTTTCTCGCCAGTCATGGCAATTCGCTTCTTCACCGAGTCAATTGCCAGAATCATCTGATCCACGGCCTTTTGCTTGTTGGCCGAGTCCTCGGGACAAAACTCGAGGGCCAGAGAGTACTTGTAATGAGCCTCACTCATGACAGTTGATTGGAACTCATTGTGTTTATCCTTGAGCTCTACCGACCGTCCCAGATCTACCACGGCCTGGTTGAAGTTCTCAGACTCGAGAGAAATCTCGCCCAGGATGTCGTACACCTCGGCCAGCTGTTTCTCAATCTCTGTGATCCGCTCCGCTGAAACCCCCTCCTCGGCAAGTTCATCTTCAAACAACTTTCTGGCCAGATCAGTGACTTCCCAAGCCACCTCAAAATCAGTCTGAGGAGCTTCCTCATCTTCTCCTTCCTCTTCTGCCTCCCCCGCATCACCTTCTTCAGCCTTTTCCTTTCCCTTGCTTTCAGAAACCTCCTCTTCGACCTCTTCAACTTCTTCGACCTCCTCTGGAGCCTCTTCAAACTGAAAAGCTCCAGAAGACTTCACAGGAACCTCAACTTCCTCGCCAGTAGTCTCTCCGGGGTTTTCTCCGCCGCCAAGAACATTGGAAGAACTCACTCCGGCCTGGAAAAGAGCCCGACCGTAAAGAAACAGTAAATGACCATCTTCCTTGCCAGTCTCGTCACTGTACTTCTCACACGCCTGGCCCAGAGTCTCGGTGGCGCTCTCGTAGTGCTTCAGAGCGTATGCCTTGGAGCCCAGAGCCACCAATTGCTCGATTTCAGCGCTATAGGTCATGTTGTGGTGTTTGTAGTGGTGTGTAGAATGTATAGTACAGTATTCCAACAGAAATTTATCGTGTAGAGACGCGTCCTTAATGGAACTTTAAATGGTGCAGTCGACGTCGAGGTCACGGCTTGTTCTGCTTAGTAACAAAAGACTTGCTACCAATCAAAAGTAGCTGCCTAACTGACCACGTGACGTGGTCGCTTTCTAGTCATAATCTGATCGTCATCTGATTTCCCCAACAGGCATGTTCTGGGTGAAGTCTACTCAGGCAGCACCTACTACCGAATGGGACACTCCCTAAACGGTCTCTTGGGATTTTATCCCGAATTGGAAACTTTACCAAGGTAACTTGAAGGGGTGAAAACGTGATCCAGAAGAGATATCAAAATTTTGAGACCACTTTCCTACTGAAATATAGGCATTGTGATCACAACAGAATACCTCGCTTAGCTCTAGTATAGCTGGAGGTTGAGTTAGCACTAAATTTAGGTAAACTTCCATTGTATGTCACATAATCCAGAGGAACCGTCTGAGGAGTGTCGAAAGGGTTTCACATGAGCGTTTCTTCCACAGCAGCTAGAGAGAAAATGAGGCACATAGGCGTTTTAGGTGAATCCTTATATAATATCAATACAAATGTTACTATCTCTTCTCTATCTTTCATCCATTGTTCGTGTGTGAGCTAGGTTACTACAAGTAGCTGTGACTCCTAAGGAACCCTCTCAGCTTGCCTTGCAGTGATATTGGCGCACACCAAACATATATGCGGACTCGTCGCGGTCATACTACCATAAAAAAGTGTCTCCCGATTGTCTCCCAGTCCACGCACACGCATCGCAGAAGCCCGTCAAGTTTCATAAGCTTCGTTTTGTCTCGTCAACTGGAGCCCGTTTGAGGAGAGTCAAAAGACTTACCTTCTAATCCACCTCCAAGAGCTCCTACCGACAATCCGAAGGCACCATTGTACTCCCCACACCAACATTACATACCGACACTCTACCGTTTTGAACTGGCCGTACGGACTAACTCATTTGAAAGATATAATACCAGATGTTCCTCGGGAGAAACGCCTACAACCAAAACATCATGTTGTGTGTTCAACACCACAGCAGTCGCGATGTTTCTGGCGCCTCTCAACATCACCGCGTTTGTTGTTCATGACACTCCAGGCGAGAACGTTGAGTACATTTTCCACGAAACCAGCGAGCAGTGCACCGAGCCGAGAGACAGGGTCCGACCGTGTCTCGTCCACTACAGAGGCCAGGATACCACCTGGTTCACCTCCTATTGAAGCGCTCGTGACGACTATGAATTCATGAGGCCGGCCTCAGGTCTAATTTTACGAGATTGAAGATCAGCGGTTGACTGACCATCCTAGACACGGTTAGGTTGAGCAGGCGTAAATGAGACGTCTATCGACTACAAACAGATTGCGAGCTCTTGTTGTTGTTGCGTATGCCGACAGGATCTCAACCAATTGGTTGAAACCTGTAAGGCCAACAATTCCCAACCCTTGAGGCATACATCTGGCTACATCTAGAAGGACACGAGACAGATGAATGGTCAGGGAGAAGAAGCCAACCGCGCTGAAACCGCGGTACATGCTCACGAAGATGTTTGGTACAACAAAAGGCCATGCTCATCTTATTGGTTAAGAGACAGCAATGGAGAAGATGTTCCCTCAGGCAGTGGTTTTAGGGGAGCGTACAGCCAGCCAAGTATTGTCCTATGTGAGCTACTTGTAGTACATACTGTACTACTGTGTGTATGTACTGTACTTAACTGCTGTACGCAACTGTTGTTCATATAGAGAGTTCAGTGACTGGCGCTGAGTTCACTCTTTACCGAAGTGGGATTTCGACTACACTACATTAGGTACTGTTGTACATACTTGGGATTTAGTTGAAGTCTCCGCAGAGTATTGCATTCTATTATTCTACACCATTTTGTTACATCCCACTTGATTCAACTCACTTGATACACCCACTGAGATTGTCCATACTCGTCTCACTCGAATATCAACCATATTCGACTTCTAATCACAGCAATTGGACCCTGCAACTCTTTGCGGTCATTTTAGTAACTCTTGATGTTTCCCTTGGTATCGCTTCCTTTCTACTTCTGCATGTGTATCTGTTGTTAACTGATTCAGCACATCATGTTGAGCTCGTATAGTTGGTTGTATAGCGAGATGAACGCCAATTGTCTGATGCACAATGATATACGACCAAGTGGTCACCTCTTTGAACGCTTCTCTTTTCAACCAGTCTCTTCGTCCTCTTCTCAGCCTCCCACCTACTACTACAAGTACCCCCTTACCCCTTTGGAGAGCTCATTTCCAGCTCCTCAATCCCAGACAAGTCATTCCACAGTCCAACAGCTCTCGGAGTGTGTAATTAAAAAAGCACACTAAGCCTGAATCAGTGTGATCTATCTACAAGTAGACCGAGCCCTAGACTGAGTATGGAGCACGTGATTACCTACAACAGTGACTAACCACAATAGCGACTCAGTGGTTGCACGTCCTCCAAAGTCATTCTCGCACAGCTGAGCCCCACATGTTCATCTTTGACATCGATTAGTCAGCTTTCTTAGCCACCTCATAGCTCACCCTGAAACATAACCCCTATTAGCTTAATAGCAGTCTAATGTGAAACACGAACCCTGCACGAGATTCATGACAGATGTGAAAGACACTTCCAGAGACAGTATAGGTAATCCAAGACTATTGTTGGATTCTGCTAGGCCCAAAAAATAGATCCCCGCTTTCAAATTCGCCATTGGCCCACTTTTGCGAAATGTGCCCTATGGCTGTCAACACCACTATAAGAGAGGGTAATGGGAGAGAGATACATGTGAAGTTAGTTAATTGCTGCGGGGATGACATCATCACGGGACCCTCCTTTGTAGCACGTGTATTCGGCCTCCCCGTTCAGTCACGTGCCTCTGTTTCACACCCGCACACCCATCTCCATACTCATCTCTCGCCCCCCTATCCTCCCCTGCATTCTTCATTCAACCGGTCAAAGTCTGTTTTGCAGGTAGCCCCGTGTGAGTCTAATAACGTCAAGGTTTGGGACAGACACGTACGAACTAACCTAACCACCTCACAGACACCACCACGCACCCAATCTCTCATCATCACATCTTGTGAGTCCTTTCACCTTTTGTAAGAGCGACACACACACAGACAACCGACATTTCGCCATGGCTGAAATGATGAGTGATATCGGTGAGTATAGAGCGGGAGGAGGGTTTCTCGAGGGCCTTGCACCCCTATGACTGGGTCAGGGGGTGAACACAGACACAGACACAGACACAGAGCCAGAAGAGGTTCCGTGTGAAGAACACAGAAGAGGGGCCGGTGGACACAGACGATAGCAACAGCAACAGTTAAACTGGACACGTGACATTGACGATATCAGTTTTGATGCGACGTCTTTGTGTCTGTGTGACGATGATGTGAGGAGCAGGTCGGTGGAAGAAGAGTTGGGATGGCGGTACAACATAAAACTAGCAATTGAGAAAACGCGTCACCAGACCTGCTCCCCAACTCCTCACACTGCACAACGCGATTTATGTCACCCAATGCCTTTTTCACCAGGTCAGGGAATGACATGAGATGACTCCACCTCCAGCCGCGATGGACGCGTGATTTGGTGTATTATGGATCTCATGTAAACGTACGCAACCAGCGAACTATTCTCCTGCCTTTGATCGCGCTCCTCCCTCGACTGCACCCCTAAACACATTTTCATGGCTAACCCAGAACCTATCCACGACGAGGCCAAGGTCGCGGAGCAGGCTCCCTCCATTGCGCCACTGGGACTGGAGCCCACCACAGACAAGTCGCTCGGCAGCAACGCTGCGGTCTCGTCGGCCCTGCCTGAGACCAACATCATCCGCAAGAAGCTGAGCGGCTACGTGGGTTTCGCCAACCTGCCCAACCAGTGGCACCGAAAGTCTATCAAGAAAGGCTTCAACCTCAACGTGCTCATTGTTGGCGAGTCCGGTCTCGGCAAGTCCACGCTGGTGAGCACGCTCTTCAACAACGACCTGTATCCCCCCAAACCGCGCAAGGACCCTGCCGCGGAGCCTCCCAAGACTGTGGAGATCCAGTCGGTGACCAAGGACATTGAGGAGAACGACGTGCGCCTGCACCTGACCGTGATCGACACGCCCGGCTTCGGCGACTTTGTCAACAACAGTGACTCGTGGAAGACGATTGTGGACTACATTGACAAGCGGTTCGACAACTACCTGGACGCCGAGAACCGGGTGAACCGAACGTCCATCAACGACACGCGGATCCACGCCTGCGTCTACTTTATCCAGCCCACGGGCCACTCGCTCAAGCCCCTGGACATCACCGTGATGAAGAAGCTGCACAAGAAGGTGAACCTGATCCCTGTGATTGCCAAGTCGGACACGCTGACCGACGAGGAGATTGAGAACTTCAAGCGGCGGATTCTGGCCGACATCCGGCACCAGGAGATTGACATCTTTGCTCCTCCGCAGTACGAGAACGACGACGCCGAGTCCGTCACCGAGACGCACGAGATCATGTCCAAGGTGCCCTTTGCCATTGTGGGCTCCACCCAGCAGGTGCAGACCGCCGACGGCCGAACCGTGCGGGGCCGGTCCTACCCCTGGGGAGTGATTGAGGTGGACAACGAGGAGCACTGCGACTTTGTCAAGCTGCGTCAGCTGCTGGTGCGAAACTACCTCGAGGAGCTGCGGGAGAAGACGGCCCACACACTGTACGAAAACTACCGAACTGAGAAGCTGTCGTCGCTGGGCATCCAGCAGGACCACTCTGTGTTCCGGGAGGTGAACCCCGCGCTGCGCCAGGAGGAGGAGCGAACACAGCACGACGCCAAGCTGGCCAAGATGGAGGCCGAGATGAAGTCTGTGTTCCAGCAAAAGGTTGCCGAGAAGGAGCAGAAGCTGAAGCGGTCTGAGGCCGAGCTGTTTGCCCGACACAAGGAGATGAAGGACCAGCTGGAGAAGCAGAGGCTGGAGCTGGAGGAGCGCAAGGCGCGGCTCGAGGCCGGTCGAAACACCCAGGACGACCGGAAGCCCAAGAAGGGTTTCCTTCGGTCGTAGGCACCCGGCTAATTTTGGCCAGTTAAGTTAATGGGGAGTTGAGAAGATGCTTAATGCTTGGTTTTTTCGAGAGATATAAAGGTAAATGGATGGGTAACGTAACGCGGAGTAGAGTGGCTGAAGGTTGCGAACGACCAACCACTGGTAGTAGCGTATTTGATGCACAGATAAAAGCACCATACTCCATGGTTAAGAGTGAGACACCAGCAATGGGGATGAAGCCTTGAGGTAAGCAAAGGCTTAAGACGTGCTCTTTTCTTGTGTGTTAATGAAAGCAATAGGGTGGTACAAGGGAGCATACAAGTGCGAGTATGTTACTGTATGACGATGTTACTGTATATGGAGTTGTAGTCATACAGTTATATGTAGCATCTGGGCCATGATATACGGACCATTCGCACAAGGAAGTTAGAGCCGAATTGACCTTGGAAGATCTCTCGAACGGGTAACTGAGGCAGCCGTGCGAGCGTAGAATCTGAGAGGAGACTGGGGCATATTGTGTGACGATGGCTGCTCCAGTGTGTACAGTATCGATACGTGCTACTTAGCTCTATTGATAGCTTGTGTGGAAAGTGTATCTTCTGTTAGATGATGAACTATGGCTTGACTACTTGTAGTATTTTAGCCATGGGTGGGTTGAGTTTGTGATAGTAGCAGTAGGAATGAGAGTATCTCAAGCGTCTTTGACGTTTATAAGTCATTTGTTCAATATCTGGTCGTATGGTATAGACAGACATACTTGTAGATGGCTTACTCAGTTGTATACAGTATGTACTATAGGACAAACACCTGGAAGACGGTTCAACACCACATAGGGTGGTTAGAATGTTTTATTTTCTATGTAGGGTACGTTGGATATCTCTTGATTTCCTTTTCTTCATCTCGTGTACATGGTGGTATTGATTTTTCGTATTTTTTCCGAGATTGTTAGGATTTTTCCTTTGACGTTTGAAAAATCCTTGAAATTCGCAAGAAATTCAAAACTGCCGTGGGCAACGCATTTCGGTTCAAATTGAACTTCTTTTTTTTACTGGCCTGGCGCCGATACCGCCTCATTTCCCTTCCACCACCTCGTTTGTTGCTCTTGGCCCACTCACGTTGCTTTCACGCTGGTCATCGCGTGAGCAATGCACAACTCCATTGTTTCAAATAGACTCACAATGGCGCTAATATAACCGAACCACCAGTGGAGCATGTCAAAAGCGGGATTAAGTGGCGACTAAACGAGCGGGGAACCGCTGCGGCGGGGCGGGGCAGTGACTTACCGAGAAGATATTTAGCCACACGGCCAAAAAAATGCCGTCCTCCAATCGCATCCTGTCTACTTGGGCTTGTCTTGTCACTTTTCATCGTTGCTCTCGCTTCTTGCTGCACTTCCTTGCTACAGCTGGAACCTTGTTTTTTGCTACTACGGTGCATATGGTCCCAAGAGAGTCGCCGCCTTCTTCATATCGTCTTTGAAACCAACCCTCTTGACATCTGACATCACCACGGAAATCGCAAAATGTCCACTCCTGTCTCTGAGCCCCTTCATGCCACTGGCCACGCCGCCGGCACCACCGCCACTGGAGCCACTCCTACCGGCACTGCCGGTACCACCACTTCTGCTGGACACACCAGTGCCACCCCCGGCGCTTCTTCCACCGGCCCCAAGAAGGGTTTTGTGCAGGCTCTTGAGCCTCTGTTCAAGGTGAGTACGAACGTGTGCCATTTACGGGTAATTGAGCTCAACTGCGAGCGTTAGCGAGCAGCTCTAAGAAGAATTTAACAGGCAATGAGTCGTGGTGGAATGACTCCGACCGGCATTGAGTCGTGGAATTGAATGACTCCGACCGGCATTGAGTCGTGGTTATTGAATGACTCCGACCGGCATTGAGTCGTTGGCCATTGAATAAGCATTGCAACCACTCGGTTCTAGTGTCGGCTGTTTTGAATGGCCCGTGTAAAGCACAGTGAACTTCCACGGTCGTTGCTGCTTGTGCAATTGAGCTATCACAAGACGGGGCCAGCATTGAGAAATTGATCAATGTGCAAATGAGCGCTAGGAAGCTGCTGCTGCCCGAGATCTTCTGCTAAATGCATGCTAGTCAAACGCTCCCTCAGTTCTGCTCTGTCGTCAGCCATTGCTCGGACCCGGTTTCCAGCTCAATCACAACAGTGTCGCCACCCTCAATTACATACTAACACAGACCCCCCAGTTCATCTGGTTTGTCGGTAAGTACTAACCCACTATTTCGGTGGATTTCTCAATGAAGCCCTTATCTCCGAGCACATCTCCGAGACCAACCTGTAGGCGATAAGGATGAAAAATGTTTCTGGGAGTGACAGGTGAAATGGAAGCACGATGCGACTGTTTTCTGTACGGTTGTGGTGTTGTTCTGTGCTACGTTCTGCTGTGTTGTCTTGTGTGTTTTGCCGGCCTACGAGGTTGCCCAATGGCATAACATCACCAACTTAACAGGAGCATCTTAGCACAAGCGGCTTAACACGGGCCGCCTAACACGAGCAGAACTGTACGATGAACTTCAACTGTCCAGATCTTCAGTCTGTATTTTTTTTTCCCCCCACCGTTGATCAACATGCACTATCCATGTACTGTCACATGACGACGAAGAACAAGGAAGTGAGGTGCAGATAGGAAAAAGATAAAGGACTGTGGCTACGTTCCAGTTTCTTGTCATCGTCACTAATCGACTTCCATCTCATTTTTCTTCTCTTCTCCGACATGGCCTTGCATGGCTTGACCATTTGACATGCGCCTTCCGTGACCCAAACGACACAGCACAGAGCCCTGTGACGATTCCTACAACAGCCGATATTAGCACATATCTCAGCTCTCAATGCAATTGTCACATGAGTCGTCTTGATTCTTGCTCGAGAGCTGTTGCTGAACTTTTGTCCACTCGTTGCGCGCTCATTCATTATGCTACGCATAGTTTCGTTTACTCCCACTAACTCAGGCCACCTTCTCGTCCTCGTCGGATGCTTTTTCTACGTCCTTGCCACCCTCCCCTTCTTTCGAGTTGGCAAGTTCTCCATCTTCTGGTACCGAGAAATTTTCCTCTCTGTCATCGCCACCTTTGGAATCATCATCTTCGAGACCTACAAGGGCAAGCCTCTGAACCCCCAGGCTCTCGCCCGAGACGACAACGTCACCTACCTTCTGGTTGCCTTCCTGTGGCTCGTCAGCAAGCCCACCTACGGCACCTTCCTGCCCTTTGCCATTTTCTCTCTCTTCCATGTTCTGACCTACGTGCGAGGCTTCATTCTGCCTGCCCTCGGCTACCCCGGCAACGCTGGCCTCTCTCTCCAGATTGACAACTTTGTCAAGACCTACAACGACAAGTTCATGTTCACCGCTGCCAACTTGGAGTTCATGATGTTCTTGGGTCTGATTATCAAGGCCATCACCTTCCAGCGAGGCTCTTGGATCAAGCTCATCATCTTCTTTGTCTTCCTGCGTCTGCGATACGCCCAGTCTCTGTTCACCCGATCCGTTGTCGGTTCCTGGGAGGTCCGAGTCGATGGCCTGCTGTCTCACCCTGCCGTTCCTCCTCAGGTCAAGCAGACCTGGGTCACTGTCAAGCACCAGCTGCGAAAGACCCTCGGAGGTGCCGGTGCCCCTGTCACCCAGGAGCAGCGAGCTCAGTAAGCGGCTTTATGGTAAGCAGTAAAGCGTTATTGCGACTTATCTAGGTGGGTTGTATTGTAACAAAGCGTCCACGCGATTAATATATTATCACGTAACTGCTCAGGAGGGCCCAGCTTGAGTTTAGTAGAGTAGACGGGTACATACTGTACGGTATGTACAAGTAGTATGTAATTATTACGTAGTAGAAAGTATAGGATAGGAGATCGACAGCTACTCTCCTATTGCGACTGGTTCTAGAATGAAGTGGAGAGATTAAAATGTACAACAATAGTTTAACAATAATAGTGTGTATACCTCTAAGAAGAGCTTGTGAATCGCAGCGATGTATTTACCAGCCCTTGTACGGTACAGTAGGAGCACTCGTACTTAGACATAGCCGAGTCAAGCAACATTCGATACTGACGATTGAGGAACAAACATGACTAAGCCGGTTATATTAATGACCTTCTGTTTTGTTTCACAACTATTATATCATCGGAAATATCTCTTCAGGCCAGTACATACATACAGTATGTACATACAAGGTGGATGGTCAGTAAATATCTCGTTATTATTGTATGATAGAGAGATTTTTTATTATGTAATCCTCTTATAACACGTCTTTAGGGTCTAAAACAAGTCTCCATTGTCTAACACAAGTCTCCGCTTCTTCTTTCCTCTTCTCTACCACCATCCATACTGTCTCTTCACTCTTCACTCTCTCCGTGCGGCTCATAAATTATTAGAGTTGAAATTTTGAAGGGGTACAGTCCAGTCAACATCAATCCAAGCTCCATCTCGACAACATCTGATAATGGTAAGTACAACAGCTCCTGCGGGCTTTCCAAGGATGAACAATGACCGCGTGACTGAGCTTTTTTGCTCCGAAAGACGAAAATCTTCTAATCTTCTCTCTGACGGTTCCACAGCAAGTACCACCCTTCTGGTCCTCGACTAACCCAGCTACGACTCCCCAAACGAGTGGCACGGGTCCAATTGAGACCCCAGAGCCTTCGGTACTATTCCAACGAGGCGGCCGACTTTGCCAACCGAAAACAACGCATTGCCGACGACATTAACGAGCACAAAAAGACATGGTATCCGCTACTGCAACAGGTGCAGGAGGAGAAGGACCATGTGGTGAGATTGAAGGACTTCAAAGAGAAATTCCATCACGTGACGCTTGAAAACCCCCATCCGTCTCACGTGACTGTCAGAGGCCGCGTTACCAAGCTGCGTCGGGCCTCCAAGGGTCTGGTGTTTATGGATCTGGTGCAGGACGGAATCAAGGTCCAAACGGTCGTTAAGATGCACGCCATGGACCCCGAGCTAAGTAAACAGGAGTTTCAGGAGAAAATTGAGACTTTTCGGCCCGGCGACGTGGTTTCTGTGACTGGAAAGCCCGGTAGAACTCCTGCTGGTGAGCTTAGTTTGATTGCTGTGCGTCCTGCGGAGCTTCTCACTCCGTGTCTTCATCCATTGCCCAGCAACCAGTCGGGGGATGTGCACAAGCGCCTTGCTAATCGTGTTGTTGACTTTTCAACTTCTCCCGAGTCTCGAGAAATGATTTATGCCAGAGCTACCGTGATTGCCTATGTCAGAAGATTCTTTTCCGATAGAGGGTTTCTCGAGGTTGAAACGCCCATCCTGAGTGATGTAGCTGGAGGTGCTTCTGCCAGACCGTTCACCACGGAATCCAATCACTTGACGAGGACAAAGAAGAAGTCAAAGTCCGATTGCAAAGAAATAACAACTCAGATCGCTCTGAGAGTGGCTCCGGAGCTGTGGCTCAAACGTCTGGTCATTTCTGGGTTTGATAAAGTGTTTGAGGTGGGTCCGTCATTCCGAAACGAGTCCATTGACTCCACGCACAACCCTGAATTCACTACCTGTGAGTTCTACTGGGGCTATGCAGAGTTGAAAGATCTGACAGACACATTGGAGGAATTCTTTATTGGTCTTCTAACAACCGTTATTACTAAACATCCCAGTTATTCTGAAAGACTAACTCCCTGGTTGGAAGAGTTTAAGAAGGGTATCAAGCATGTGGACTTTCTGAAAACTATTGCGGACAAATCTGGTCACGAGCTGCCACGTGATCTCACAGACGTTGATGGTTTGGTCAGCATGTATAAATCACTGGGTCTCAAGTTACCGTCTGTGTTGTCCCCCGCCAAACTGTGGGACGAGCTGGCAGCTGAGTATGTTGAAAAGTCCGGCCGGGTGCTTTTGATTACGAACCAGCCCGAGCTCATGTCTCCGCTGGCCAAGTCATGGACACGTGATGGATACGCTCTGTCCAAGCGGTTCGAGTTGTTTATTGGCGGCATGGAGTATGCCAATGGCTACGAGGAGGAGAACTCGCCGTTTGCGCAGATGGATAAGTTTGTGAGCCAGCAACAGTCACGTGACGAACATGCTGACGACGAGGCGCATGTTCAAGATTCTGGATACGTGACTGATATGGAGTGGGGTCTTCCTCCGACTGCTGGGTGTGGAATTGGTATTGACCGACTGGTCATGTTTATCACTGGTGCTAAGAGTATTCAACAGGTGATTCCGTTTGCGGGGTTGAAGATGGCAAGGTAGGAGCACTTTGAAAAGTCGTCGATCAGGAGTTGTTACGTAAGTAACTCCTGTTGACATCCAGGAGGAATCTTTTCTCTTCGCTGTGGGTTGCTGTCCCCTCTAGAAGACTGGGATACAGCGGTCTAGGTGTATATGTACATAGATATGGTATTGTTAACTTTTGATAGTCGAATAATGGTAACTACTTGTAGGTGAACGGGTTCTACAGTACTATGTGTCCCACAGGCAAACATGCACGGAGTTTTCATTTCCACGATCCACGATTTTGTGTGCTCCAAATGACCCGATTTAGTTGTCGATTTAGTTGAACAGTTACTTAGGAAACTTTGGTTAAGAAAAAAACATGTTGAAAAACATCAAAACTTTTCCAAAGTTGAGAAATCGAAAAAAGATACAACTGCCCATTTCCTCCCTTATTCAGCCATCTATTTTCCGGTTCCATATCTCCATCCTTTCTTCTCAGTAAGTTCCTCCCTCACCTCTCTGACGCACTCCCGACGCGTTAAATAAAATAAAGAACGCCATTACGCGTAAACAATTTAACCACTACCACCACCACAATGACTGTCGACACGCCATTTGAAGAGTTTATGCCGCCTTCTGTGCCCCAAAAGAAAACTCACACAACTCACACGCACTACAGTAACGTTCCTCATGGTGTTTCACGTGACCCCCATAAACCGTGCATTCTTGGAGTTGATGAAGCCGGACGAGGACCGGTACTGGGATCCATGGTCTACGGCCTTGCCTACTGTACCAAGGAGTTTGCCGACGAGGAGCTATCGAAAACGGGGTTCGCCGACTCCAAGACTTTGACGGCCGAAAAACGAAGCGCTCTGATGCGCGAAATCTGCTGTGATGAGACTCTGGTTGAGCATCTGGGGTGGTGCACTACGTCTATGACTGCTCAGGACATTTCGTCGGCCATGTTGCGACCCATGTCTCGTGGTGTGTACAACCTGAACGACCAGGCACACGATACAACTATGGCTTTGATCCAGGGTGTGCTGGATCGAGGTGTTCTTCTGACAGAGGCGTACATTGATACAGTGGGACCCCCCGCCAGTTACACGGCCAAGCTGAGCAAGCAGTTCCCCCACATCAAGTTCACTGTCACCAAGAAGGCCGACTCGCTGTTCCCCATTGTTTCTGCGGCCTCCATTTGTGCCAAAGTGACCCGTGACATGGATCTCAAGTCGCAAGATCTCAGTGAGGGCACATGGGGCTCGGGGTACCCATCTGACCCCAAAACGTCTGTCTGGCTCAAGAGTCACGTGGACCAGGTGTTTGGATGGATGCCTGTGGTGCGGTTCTCCTGGCAGACAGCCAAGGATCTGGTAGAGAAGGAAGAAAAGGGAGGTGTGGAATGTGTTTGGGCCGATGATCTCAAGAGAGACTCAAAGAGCGTAGAGGCGTACTTTCGAGCTGCTGCAAAAGACAAGACAAAGAGTAAGCTGGTGGTGAGTAGTGAGTGGTATGGAATGAGTGTCGGAAGCGATGTCTTTTAATGTTCGGATGAAACGAAGCAGACTGTCCGAACCCAGCAGACTCAAAGGCATGAACGGGTACTCGCTTCAATGCAAGAGGCCCGTTCTGAGGTCTCACCAACCAGCATTACTGGACTGCCGTCCAAGAACACAATGTGAACTGCTGCATATCTTTCAAGACGATAAATTATCGAGAATCAATCATCAGATACTGTACCGGCATCATAGAAGAAGAAAGGAAAGCCTGTAATTGTAGTGTGTGAAATGACCTGGAGATGTGTTTGTCAATTGTAGCTGCTACTGTCCCTACATGGGTCGCAGCAAAAACCAACAGTAGAAAGATCGGGGCTACTCTCATTTCTGTGGAATGTCATTTCGTCGTTCCGGATGCTCTTTTGACTGCTGGTTGTAATGTGCTGCAATTTCAACTGGATTTCACTCTGTGTATGGCATCTACAAGTACATACTCTGGATCATGGAATTCAATTGCATGTTTGGCGGTAGCAATGGATAGTCCTGGTTCTGCTGGTTTCAGAAATGTACTTTTTCCACCTATATCATCCAATTTTGCGCCTCTTATTCCCTTTCTCACCCTGCCTCGCTATGGACCATAACATCCCCCACCTTCCCGTTCTCTTTCCCACATAATCTGCACATGTTCCAGTTCTCTCCCAGTTCTCTCCCAGTTTTGTATCAGATTCACTTGGTCACATCCATCCTCTCATCCCTCCACGTCAACGGCCCAACACTCAACCAATCCTGGACGTCTTGCTATGATTGGGTCAAAATCACTGTCCCAAATCGCTTACTTTCAAACCCCGAGGCGCTTCACCAAAAGTGCTTCACTCCCAAATCGACTGCCTCACATCAGCAGCAACGAAATCGGTCCGTGTCGGCCTACCGCAATAATACCAGCATCTCCTGCCTGCAACCCACCCACTTGTCAGCTGCTTTGTTCAACATGCACTTTCTCCTTGTACGTAGACGTATGTACTGTATGTATGTGCGGTACCAGAGTACATACTGTACTCAGCCGTAGTTGAGTTTTGTCACACGAACTAAACCAATACGCCCCCGGCCACAGTTGGTGCGGCACGTGACTCGCTCTTTCTCTCTCTCGGAACATGCCGGTTCTACGTCTACTGGTAACCCCCCACTCCCACTTCCACTCCTACCTACCCCCCACTGAAGGCTTAAAAAAAAAAGGTGGTTAATTTTTGGTTTGTCAAAAAAATCCTCGACCATGGAATTAAGGTTTGGAGCTAGTGGGCTTTGGGGGCTTTGTTAGGAGGCTGTCTGGGGTGACATTGGGCGGGTCTGCGGGGCGAATAGGGATGCCAAAAGACGGGTTGTAGTGGAATTGACCCCGTCCAAGGTCTGATGACCACTCATCTCTTCTGCCGGTCGCAGATTTATGTCCACTCGTCGCGGTTGCTGCACTAGTTTATCCGAAATATGCAAACTTTTTCCGGTGCGGAGAGTGCTCCGTGTGTTGGGACTTTGGAGGAGCTACGGCGAACCCAACATTATTTCGCTCATCTCGGATTATCCCACGTCTGATTCTCACTTCAACGCAACGCCACGCAACGACTCTTGAGAAAACATGTCTGCCCGATTTCTTGCAACTCGATTGGTTCGAGTGAGGTGAGTATGGTGAAGAGCCAGAGGCACGGATGGAGTAGCGAGCGGACCCCGACAATGGGTTGCTGACGTCCTCCAAGACCAGTGCAATGGTGATGCGAAACCGACTGTCGTGTGTTTTGTGTGGTGTGGTGGGAGGGTGCTTGTGATTGTGTTTGTGTTTACAGTGGCGTGGCAGTGATAGAATGGTCCGCACAACTGCTAAACCAGGCTGGTCAGATGAGCGGGCTCCATGGACTCGCCCTTGCCTCGTCACCAGTACTGGTAGTACGGACATGCACCGATCATCATCGGAGAAGCGTGAAAAACGAGGAGACGCCAACGATAAGAGCCTTTCAACGAATCCTCTTGTCTGTTCCCCCGATGACTCCTTTTGATAGGTGTGTCTCCATGTCATTTTCTCATTGCTGTGCTTAACTCCGGTGGTGCCTCAACACTCCAACAGCCACAATGATCACAGATGCAATTGACCCGGAACGGGTGAGGGGAATAACGTGATGATTCAAGAAAGTATACCGCAAAGTCCGATTGTCGAGTTTGACAACTAAATTCCATGGCCGAGCTCGGTGGTGTTCTTTGTTATTGCCACCATACAATCATTTATCATTTGCAAGCTACACCCAGCAACAGTTACCCACGCACTGGTTACTCTATCAAAGCGTCACTTGCACCTCTGAGATCCGCCGTGAACGACATTGTCGCTTCCCACCCAAAAATTCGTTGTATCACACCTGCACATCCCACACCTACAGAGGACAGCAGTTAGGCAACCCAGCTCAAGGCAACACAAGTACAAAGTCCATGGAATGGTCGTGTTGATAGTGATGTTGTCGCCTCGAGTCAGTTACGCAATTGCTATTTGTGTGGCTCCCTCAAACAGAGCACTGTTGTACACTTTTGGAATCCGCCGGTGGCTACCTGGTCCACCGGCACGTTCAGTCACTTGTTTGTGTTTGCTCAATCCTTTCGCTCCAGCGCTAACCCAGACCAACATTCTCTTCCTTCTCTCTCCCCACCCTCACCCGATGCTACGCCGCCAAGTCCTGGCCTAGCCACACAGTCATCGACATGCCCGCCCTGTCCCCTACCATGACCCAGGGTAACATTGGCGCCTGGCAAAAGTCTGTCGGCGACGCTCTTGCTCCCGGCGAGGTTCTCGTCGAGATTGAGACTGACAAGGCCCAGATGGACTTTGAGTTCCAGGATGATGGCTACCTGGCCAAGATTCTGCTCGACGCCGGAGCCAAGGACATTGCCGTTGGCACCCCCATTGGTGTCTACGTCGAGGACGAGGCCGACGTGGCTGCCTTCAAGGACTTCACCATTGACGACGCCGGAGGAGTCCCCAAGCCTCCCAAGACCGAGGAGCAGAAGGAAGAGGAGGAATACGAGGCCGAGAAGGCCGAGAAGGCCGAGAAGGAGGCCGAGGCTTCCAAGGAGACTGCTTCTCCCGCCCCCTCTTCTCAGTCCTCTGCCCCTGCTGCCCCCACTCCCCCCTCTTCTCGAATCTTTGCTTCTCCCATGGCCAAGACCATTGCTCTGGAGAAGGGCATCAAGCTTAGCGAGATCAAGGGCTCCGGTCCCGGTGGTCGAATCATCAAGCGAGACGTCGAGAACTGGACCCCTCCCGCCGCTCCCGCCGCCAAGGCTGCCCCTGCCAAGGGCGCTGCCCCTGCTGCTGCCGCTGCTGCTGGATCTGCTTACACCGACATTCCTCTCACCAACATGCGAAAGACAATTGCTTCTCGACTGACCCAGTCCAAGAACACATCTCCCGACTACATTGTGTCTTCCACCGTGTCTGTGTCCAAGCTGCTCAAGCTGCGAGCTGCTCTCAACGCCTCCTCCGATGGTACCTACAAGCTGTCCATCAACGATCTGCTTGTCAAGGCCCTGGCCGTGGCCAACACCAAGGTCCCCCAGGTCAACTCCCAGTGGCTCGAGTCTGAGGGTGTTATTCGACAGTTCACCAACGTGGACGTTTCTGTCGCCGTTGCCACCCCCACTGGTCTGATCACCCCTGTGGTCAAGAACGCCAACCTCAAGGGTCTGGCGGAAATCTCCAAGGAGATTAAGGCTCTGGGCAAGAAGGCCAAGGACGGCAAGCTGGCTCCCGAAGAGTACCAGGGCGGTACCGTGACCATTTCCAACCTGGGCATGAACCACGCCGTGTCCTTCTTCACTGCCATCATCAACCCTCCCCAGGCCGCCATTCTCGCTGTCGGCACCACCGAGCGAAAGGCCATTGAGGACGTTGACTCCGAGGCCGGCTTTGTCTTTGACGACGTTGTTACTCTGACCACCTCTTTCGACCACCGAGTCGTCGATGGAGCTGTTGGAGGCGAGTGGGTCAAGGCTCTCAAGCAGGTGGTTGAAAACCCCATTGAGATGTTGTTGTAGGATGATTAATAGATTGTAATTAGCAGAATGTGAACTCTGTGCGAGAAGTAGTCGCTAGTGTGACCGTTTAAACCAGTCAGTAGTACGACTGTATTGGCAAACTGATATCGACATTCCCGGCCCTGTAATCCATTGCCTTCGATTTGAGTTGTTTCATAGTTAGGTCTAAAGTCAAAACAAAATCCAAGTCATTTTGAGAATATAAAAATTTTAAAAGCTCATAGAAAAGGACATTTCCTGTCGCCCAAGTGTTTTCAAGCTTATGGGATTGAATGAGAATTCTCTGCTCTTTACTTTATCAGTATTTTCTTTCTTCCGACCTTCTTGGGGCACCTTTTCTAACTCCCAGGTTACCTTTCTTTCAAGTAATCTTCAAGTAATTGGACCTTCTTAATGACATACAGTACCGTCTAGAGCATGGGAAATCGTGCCAGTTTTCACGCCAATCACGCTCAATCATCCTCTTTGCCGGTTCAGTTGAAAGCTCCATCAATGTGGAGTTACAGGTATAATTGGCATGCTACAAATAATCCACCAACATCTGTATTTGAGACATTACCATGTATACTCACGTGTACATAATGTACTGGTGGTAAACAGCCATAAAATTTGGTTCCATGAGTCAGCTCATATTTCCTGCTACATCTGATGGTGTGGTTACTCTGTCGGGAAGACAAGCACACCAATCGATACTGGAGCTCAGTGCGGTCATTCTGATCTCCAATACATGTCCACATTCATTCTCTCGTGTTTTACAAAGTGGAACCATCCCTTCCAAGACCACCTCCCATCTCACATGCACTGTTCACGCGAAATATTTTGGGTGCAGGTGTGCTTGTATGGTGTCATGTTAGTGTGGGGAAGTCCATCAAAGCAGGAAATTGCAATTTAGAAAAATGGAAAAAACCGCTAAAAGTGTCTATAAATCACTCTGTTGACTCACGTGTTTTTTTCCGATTTCTCTGCCCATCTTCGCACACCCCAATCACGTTCATGCAAAGTCCACCGTGTCTAGTGTGCGCCATGATAAACTTTGGTTCGAGGCTACAGTAGCTACAACTATTACGCCAACACGTCACCACCATGGAACTATTCGAACAATTCGAGGAACAGGACGGCGTGCGGTTCAACTGGAACGTGTTCCCGTCGACGTCACGTGACGCCAAAGATGTCGTGCTGCCCATTTCGTGCGTGTACAACCCTCGACACAAGGCCCAGACGGTGCCGGTGGTGCAAGACACCATTGCCATCTGTGGCAACAAGGATTGTGGTTCGATCCTCAATCCCTACTGTCATGTGGACCTGGCCAGCCAGACGTGGACCTGCCGGTTGTGCATGTCTCGAAACCGGCTCATGAGCTCGGTGGCGGGTCAACTTCCCCCTGCATGTGATCCGGCCAACTCGACCGTGGAGTACAACACTGCTCGCACCGCAGCAACTCCTCCGGCGTTCCTGTTTGTGCTCGATACCAACGCCGAGCCCGAGGAACTCGAATCGCTCAAAGATTCGCTGACCCAGGTCATTGATCAGCTCCCTGAACACTGCATTGTGGGTCTCTTGTCGTTCGGATCGTCGGTGCAGTTCTACCAGCTGGGCTACCCCCACTGTCTCCGGTCGCTCGTGTTCAACGGAGCCAAGAGCTATGCAGCCAAGGAGATTGAAGAAGCGTTTGGATACAATGGAGGGGTGCCGGGAAACCGGCGCATGGAGATCACCAACCAGTTTCTGATCCCCCAGACAGAGTCTTTCGCCATTGTCGACGCTCTGCAGCAGATCAAGGCCAACAAGATTGGACCCAAGGAGGGAGATCGATTTGCCCGAGGCACAGGCACTGCCATCAACGTGGCTCTGTCGTTTGCGGAAACTGCTCTCAACCAGGGCTTTGTGCGAATCGGCGTGTTTACTGCTGGCCCAGCTACCATTGGACCCGGCAAGATTGTCGACATGCCTCTCAAGGAGCCCATTCGAGGCCATCACGACATCCAAAACGGCTCAGCTCTGCACCACAAGGCTGCTGCAAAGTACTACGGCGAGCTGGGCACTCGAGCAGCTGCCGGAGGCTTTGCCGTCGACCTGATTGTGGGTTCCTACGACCAGGTCGGAGTGGCTGAAATTGGTACTCTGTCCCACCAGACTGGAGGAGTCATCATTCTCTCAGACTCCTTCACCACTTCCATCTGCAAAGAGTCCATTCGACGTCATTACTCGTTTGGAGACGAGAACGTTGGCATGGCCCACGCTGGAGCTCGTGCTGTGGTCGAGGTCAAGACCAGCAGTGAGCTCAAGTGCCAGGGAATGATTGGCCATGGAGTGTCTCTGGCCAAACGGTCCAAGGCGTTTGCTTCGGAGGACAAGTACATTGGCATTGGTCAGACGTGCGCCTGGTCTCTGGCATCCATCTCTCCCAAGTCAAACTACTGCTTTTACTTTCTGAACACCGCTGAGACCCCCACCCTGCCGCCTTCAAACCAGTCTGTTGCCACGGGCGTGATTCAGATCATCACCCACTATCTTCACCCCTCTGGAGTGTTCCGGGTTCGAGTGTCGACGCTGGCTCGAAACTTTGGCCCTGCCCATGGTCTTCTTCCCTATTTCGATCAGGAGGCAGCTGCCACAGCCGTTTCACGTGAAACTGCGTTCCGAATGCAGCATGGCGAGTCAGCTGACGATACCATCCGATGGCTGGACACGGTTCTGGTCAAGTTCTGCAACAAGTTTGGCGAGTTCCGAAAGGGCGACACACGGTCGTTCATACTGCCTCCAAACTGCACCATGCTGCCTCAGTTTCTGTTCCATTTGCGACGGTCGCAGTTTGTGCAGACCTTCAACAACTCGCCTGATGAGACCGCGTACTACTGGCACTACCTGCTGGCCGAAAACGTGTACTCTACAATTGTCATGATCAACCCTGCGCTTCTGGCGTTTGAGCTGGACGCACCGGAGGGTATTCCCGTTCTTCTAGATTCGATTTCTGTCACTTCTGAGCGAATCCTTTTGCTGGACACCTTCTTCCATGTCATTATTTTCCATGGAGAGACAGTTGCGGCGTGGAGAAACGCCGGGTACCATGAGCAGGAAGAGTACGGCAACATTGCCGAGCTGCTGGATGCGCCCAAGGAGGAAGTGCGGGAGCTGCTCAGTGATCGGTTCCCTCTGCCTCGATACATTAACTGTGACCAGGGCGGTTCTCAGGCGCGATTTTTGCTTGCTAAGCTGAATCCTACTACGCAGAGCATGGACATGGCTGGAGCTGCTCCGGGCACGGTGGTGTTGACTGATGACGCGTCGTTGCAGACGTTTATGGAGAGTTTGTGCAAGTTGGCGATGAACCTATAATATCGAGCGTAGCGAGTTATTATAGAATGGAACAACTGTGAGTCCAACCTATGGCAGTACCTAGTTGGAGATCATCGTGCGTTAGTCATTGGTAATAGGTGGATGTATGTAATGTATAGATAGATGGATATGGAGAATTCTTGGTGCAGCCTGTTCAGGGTCTATGTCTACTGTAACCCACGTGAACTCCTGGGTATTGAACTTGACAGAACAAGGGGTTGGTTGATTTGATAGAGAAAGCGATAGTTCCATTCAGCCATTCAAACAGATGGCTTGAGAGAAACGTCTTACTCCTGGTACATGGCTAGGGAAGGTCAGAGGCCATGTAAAGCGGTATGTTTGGATCTCTGCAAATAGGCTGGGGAGAAAGTCGACAGCTCCAAGATATATCTAGGTGTTTATTTGGTATGTTTTTGTATTTCAGCTTATACTGTCTAGTCTGGAAGAGTGGTGATATTGGTTCTGCATCACAGCGGTGTAGTTAGTACTTGAGTACATCCCAACTAAAGGTCCAACTGAGGGAGCGATCATTTCAACATAAATCACGAGACAACTCGAAATATTACTAATGGAGAAGGAGTTTTTCTTATATTTTAGTTTAGTTATCAAGTTATCTTTATGGATTTGTGGAGTATTTATTTAATTATCGCTTCTGGAATCCCGAGGTAGGACCCCCAGCGAGATTCTTTGATCAACTACTCTCAACTACAGTAAAGTAACTTTTTGTCTTTTCAAATGGTCGAGGGAGTACGAGTACGGGGTACCGACAAGTAGTGTACCGTACTTGTACAAGTAACAGTGTATTTGAAAGTACAAGTACAAGTACTGTACTGTACATGTACCCTGTTAAATCACCTCATATCCCGAGATTTGTGCAACTTTTTACATCTCTATTGGGTGCCCTAAACGTCATGTGTATGCCGTAAAAAACCTGTAATGATATCCCGTGAATTCTGCTATGCAAACGACTCCGCGGCTCCAAACGCACCTCCGGCCATCCTCATGACATCAATATCCGATTCTTTACTCGGATATCGCTTTCGGAGCTCCGTTTGGTCCATAATATCTCTTTACACACACTTGATGACCTGGTCACGACGAAATACTCCGATACTCTCCGACAATACTCCTGAGGCGCGGCTGAGCCCACACGGCAAAATCATATATGGCGTCCAGCCTACATCAATTGAGGCATTGTCGGAATCTTCATGCTTTTCGAGTACGACATTTACAAGTACTGTACGCCTGGTACAAGTGCCGGCACATGGCAGTTGTGTTTTGACGCTCAATATCGACAGAGATTCTCACTTCTGCTGTCGAGTTTTGATCGTAGAGTATCATAAGACTGTCCAAAAAACATCATCACACATCATCACCAACCATATCATCGACCAAATCACATCGAAGCCATCACCTCAAGTAAATCACGCCGACCAACTCTCGAGACACTCCGATATTACTCTCATACACAACACTACAGCGAGGGCACGTGGACACCTTTGAGGCATTATGGAGCGTCTTCATGTCTATTTTTAGCCTGCAGAAAGAACCGAAGAGATCAGGTGAAAAGTGAGACAGAGAGAAGAGACGGGAAAGGACAGGGGACCGCGGTGACCGTGCGATATTTCCGGGTCACGTGACACCTCGCCCGCCGCTAGAACCCCCCCGCTTCTGCCCCTCCTCATCTATTCACACCATCGCTTCCTGCTAATATAACACCAATTAACACACCCGCTATACGGCTTGTTTTGAACTCAGTCTACTGATTATTTCAAAGTCTATCTTTCTCCAGATTGGACCAACTGGGACAGAAAATAGAGGTTCAAAATAGAGCTACTATTGTGGAAGCACTTTGTATGGAGCTAGGCGGAAAATAACATTTAGCATCTCCCAGTAGGAAGAGGCTGTGCCCTGCGGAGGGTGGAAGGAAGTGTATAACATGGCGAGGAGGGAGCCGATTGCTGAAATGAAGCTGATAGAAGCATTATACGGCAGGAGTTGGCATAAAAACGTGCTTTTCTGGTCCAAATCGGCCATGTGGAACGTACTAGACAGACCCCTCCATCTCAACTTGCAACCACTTGAACTTTGGAGTTGCTAACCTTGTTGCTACCAACGCCGTGTCTTCTGAGACGTGTGTTAGTCGTGTGCGGAAGTGGTGGAGACGAGCGGGAGGGCAAGCAGCTTGGACGGTCGCAGTCCTATCACGTGCCCAACTAGTCGCCCCACCACGTGTGCCCATTGTATCGCCGCTGTTTGGCTGAGTCAGCTTGTCCCCTCCCGCAGCTGTTGTCCACTGTATCGCCGCCCTGCATGTTCACTTACTCTATGTACGATTGTAAGACTACGTGCTGTCTCATGTGGGCAATCTCCAAAGATCTGCATTTTGGGACGGCGAAAAAAAGCGACGAAAAAAGGGGAAAAAAAAGCGAGAAACAGTGACCAAAGGCGGTTCGATAGGAACAAGAAAAGAGTGTCAAACGAGCCAGTAATGGAGGCCTCATCATTTCTGCTGAGGAGTTCGGCCACAAGATGGTAGTTATCCCCCTCCACATGGCCGTTCATAGGAAACACGCTATAGCACGTACCAAGTGTAGACGGACGCGGTTGCTGTAGGGTAGTACGAGTACGTGCTGTAGCATGGTTGTAGAAACTGGAAAAAAAAGCAGAAAAAAGGGAAAGAGAATAAAAAACCAATCTGACACGGAGTCTTCAGCTCGTCGCCAACCACATTATATTCTTTCTCCCCGCCTCAAACCTCCCACCACCCATCTGGTTGGACATCCCATGCTAGACCAGACTTGCTGCAAGATATGCAGTCTTGTTTTGCGGGCCGATGTGCTCTTCTTCTCTGACCACCACCACTTGTCACGGCCCCCGAAACCCGCCCACAATGGTCAGCATGCGCTGGAGAAAAGAACCGCCGTCTCCGGACCTTCCCGACCATGATTCCAGTGAGTATGAGACCCCACAGACCCTGCTAGCTACAGTGGGCGATGCTAACATGGTGTGACAACCCGGACACAGAGATGATGTGGTACAGACAATCGACACAAGAGCATGGTGACGCTGCAACCGACACTGAAACCAAGTCCTCGACATGTGCATCTACCCACCAAACAACGCCAGCACATATATAGTAGCGGTGCTGCCATTTCAGTTGTGATTGTGTTTTTTTTCTTCTTTCCTCCCGCCGTCAAATCAACGCCACGGCTAAGCTCCCGCTTATGGTTTTTGCCTTTAGGCCAGCTGACCTGCTGACCATGTATCTGCATGCACGTTGGGACTAGCCAGAAAGTGGTAAGACGACAATAATCCTATAGATACGGCATTGACGACGAGTTCTACCAACGACATTCGCACACCTCCACAAGTCGACACAAAAGCTCCACATCCACAGCAACAGCACACACACACATACACTGCATATTACTGCATACTGCATCTCACACAGCATCGCCACCACAGCACACATCTAGTCTCTGTATCCACCACCACCACCACCACCACCACCACCACCACACCACAACCCCCTCTCTAACACAGACGAACCTCTGTCTACAGAAGAACTGGCGACCCTGGACCATGGACTAGGAGCCTCACACCACGCATATCCCACGCCGTCATCCAACCCGTCTCGAGACCAGCTCACCAGCAACAACAAGACCCCCCACACCATCTACTCGGTCCCCAACGCTTCCGGCTCTCTCACGGTCAACTCCCTGCTGTCAGTCCGAGCCCCCGAAACAGTCACCAAACGCAAGTCGCAAAACTCGCTCGCCAAGTCCTTCCGTAGGGTTTCTTCCGCAGTGTCGTTGTCAAAAGGAGACAAGGAACGGTCGTCTTCGTCAGCGTCTGCAGCAGCTTCAGCATCAGATACCTCTCTGAGTTCTCCTACGTACACAAACGGAAGCGCAAACGGCTCCAGCAGTCGAACCAACCTTGTCGGTGTACCTGAAACAAAACCCAAGAGTAGACAAAGCTCTCAAGTGAACATTCCTCCTGTTCCTCCGTTGCCCAGCAGTAGCGGTAGCAGTATTAACCTGAACGGTAACCAAGGCAGCAGCAACATCAATAGCAGCAGCACCTACAACGGCTACCTCAACCCCATCTACAGCCACACGTCCGACATTTCGCCCAATACTTCGACAGCAAACATCCCCACAATTATTCATCCAAACTCGGACACAAACACAGGCGCAAACCCGATTCGACCCACTCACTCTAACATGTCGTCTCATAGTGTCATCAGTGCACTTAGCAATGCTAACGAGAGTGTCGACTCGTTCCAGTCAGTCACCCAAGACTTTTCCGAGGTGGTTCTTGTGCCGACCAACAAGAGTAACGGCACTTCTCCGCTCCCCACTTCTGCTTCTCAATTTGCTCGGTCGGTTAACTCAACCAGTTCGGCCAACACAAGTCCCGTCAAGGCAAGTCCGGTGAAGCAAGAGCCGCACAAGCAGTACCAGGGCCAGCCTATCCCCCAGCTTCAATTTCAGGCCGGACAATTTCATGCTCGACAGTCTCATCAGACTCAGCAGCCTCGAGAACCTCAATTTGAGCCTGCCCACCCACAGGTCCCGTTGGCCCAGCAGCTCCAGGATGCCCATCAGCCTGCTCCTGTGAATACCGTCCAGGAGAAGGACCGTGATATAAACGGAGTCAACAGCGCCGACGACGACTCAGTGTCAGTCGATTCTCCTGTCGATGACGATCCTGCAGTGCAGTCTGCAGTTGAGTCTGTCCAGTCGCGTGTCGGAGAGTCGCAGCAAACCAGGGTTCCTCAGTCACTAGCACAGACTCAGCCATCGCTGGCACAATCTCTGGGCCAGACTAACAACCAGGCCATTCCCGTCCGATCGGCCAATAAGGAGTTTATGTCTTCGGTAGCCCCTGCGGCTCCCACCGTAACAGGCTCCTCTTCGCGACCCTCTCTGGCTGCAGCAATGAGGGGTGGTCTAAGTGACACACCTGCGATCCCCATGGCTGCCGCGACCACCGCAGTTTCGTCCATGTCGCCCAAGAGCCAGAACTCGATGACCGAGTCTGTTTCGGCTCTTTCCTCGCCTGCCTCTTCCATGATCTTTGAACGCAACGTGCAGGAGTTTTCTGTGGCTGCTACGAGCGCCGGAGCATCATCGTCCAAGATCTGGCACAACCACGACAATACCCACTACCACGGCGAAGATAGGGTTGCTCCGGCTCTGGATGCGTCCACGGAGGCCATCATCAACTCCAAGGTGAATCCCGAGGACATTGATGTCATTTCGCTGCGTAGACCGTCGTCAATTCGAGCCAGATCACCCACAGAGGCTTCTCTGAACTCTCTGTGGTCTCCTGGCAGCCCCACAATGCTGCAGGATGCCTCCTCGGGCGGTCCTCGAACACGCAACAATTCCATGAGCGTACATCCACTGACTGCGAGCCATACGGGTGGTTCCCTATCTCCCGATAAACTCAACGGAGGAGACGGACGGCAGGTGCTGTCGTTCTGCTCGTTTGCTGATGTCGTTCATACAGAAAACGAGGAGACTACGGCTTCTAGTGATAGACTGGGCCGGTTTGATACGCGGTCTCAGTCTGCGCTGAGATCTCCTTCTCCTCTGATGCGTCAGCACCATCCTGTCAGCCCCTCTATGGCGGAGTCTGTGGTGGCAGATTTGAAGTTGACGATCCCGCCGTCCCGAAGTGCCACTGTGGATTCCTTGGACTCGGAGAGCCCGATTGTGGTTTCCTCGTTTGGAGAGACGATTAGGAGGAGGACGAGTGAGCTGGGGTTGTAGGCACGGGCCTAGCGAGCTGTCTGCAGCTGATTTACTTTCTAGTCCTGCTCGCATGTTCCCCTTCTTCTGGACCTTTGATTCCGTAATCCGTTTAATTAGCTTATTTATTCTGTGAAATTTGACCAAGGCGTATTGTAGTTTGAAGCGGGATGCAAGTTGGAGCAGTGTATTGCGTATATATACAGTAACGCATGTGTGTTCGATACCGTTTACGATACTGCATCCTCGCACATTCAATACACATTCACACCAATGTCGGTCTGTCTCCTGGCAGTTACTGGGGGGGGATGAGCGCTGTCACTCGAAATAACGGGGATGCACGGGCACTCAAAGTCACAGCAATCAGACGTTTGTCTGTCTGCTCGGACACAAATGAGCGCCGTGCAGACTTGCAGGGGTGATTGATGACATCAATTCAGATGCATCTACTATTTGGAGAAAGAGACACGGTGGAGTCTTGTTTAGTATCTTTGGCAGTAGTGTGTTGCTGTGTGTATACTCAAGAGTCAAATGAAGACATGATGTGATGGAGGTGCTGCGATGAGGACGAACCAATCAACTAATTGTTGCAGCAAAGCCAACGGCTTGCTTGAGCGTCTTTGAAATCGTCTTTCGGTGCTTTTCAACCTTCCAAGGCACTACTTGTTGGTCCTGTCAACGTGCCTCCTCCACCCTATGCATCCGCCAAGAGTCTACGGCACATGTTGTACCTTTAGCGTAGGAGCAGTATGAGATCTACAGCCGAGAGAGACACGTAGATGTGATTGATTAGATTGTGGCGGTGTGATCCAGGGCCCTTGTCTCAGGTCCGAGTCCCGCGGTGGCTGATACAGGGCCAATTGATGAGCCACTGTAGTTGTTCTTGTAGGTCTACGACATGTCAGAGAGACAGTCATTGCAGCTCCGGTCGGGGACACGGCAACAACGAACCGATATAAGGGTTTGATATGGTGCCTTAATTCCCCTAGAACGTGCTTGAATGGTGCAGCCACCGCTTTTGGCCTTCTCTCTTGAGTGTGTACTGGTATGTACGTACGTACTGTACACGTCGGTGGAGTCACTGTCTCACTACAGCATGTACACTACAGTGATATGTACGGAGAATGTTTTCCATGGTAAATGCACCAATTGGCCGTTTAGAGTCCACATTAAGCACACACTCAATCAATCAAGCAACTATCTGCCAACTTACCAATGGCCTTTGATTGGACAATATCTCCTCTTTCGGCACGGCATCTTTGTCCTCGAAACCTTGATGTTATCTCGATAATCTAAGATATGCACGGAGCTACTTGTAGGGGGAGTCAAAGGGTCCCAAGAAGTGCAATTTGGGAAAAATATTGAGGGATAATAATACCAGGCTGATTGAGTGGAGATGCTAGAATTTCAAGCTATTCGGCCTTCCCGTGATGGTGTAGCTACTTTGGGTTGTCTTACTGGGCATGATCCACTCAATGTCATGCATTCATACCACCTCTAATGAATCTCTGGATAGAAAGGGAGTTGAAAAAGTCAATAGCACCGCCACAACGGTGACGTTGAACGTTGTCGTCCTCGGAAAAGCTATGACTTGACCGTTATAACACCATTGGGGGTAGCAATTGCTACCAGTCACACAATGTACAGCATCAATTGATCATGGTACAGTTCCAATTGATGTCATGATATACAAGAGTGGCACGTTCAAACGTGGCACGTTCAAACGTCAAAGCCGAATGCCGTCTCAGACTTGCCGATATGTGCCCCCTCGCGCCAAGAAGCCTACGTTACATCACTCTGAAACCTCCTTGTCAAAAGTTAACATCTGTCTTGTCTAATCAATCAGATCAACATTGTGTCAACTCTATCTACGGTAATTGACAAGTATATAAACCCCCAAGTTTCCACACAATGCTCCTTCCCAATACTCTTCCACCGCCCATCTCTCCACCATGAAGTTCTCTCTCTTTGCTACCGTTGCCCTCCTGGCTGCCTCCGTGTCTGCCCTTCCTGCTCCTGCCGATGAGGCCTCCTACGAGTGCCACAAGACTTGCGGAACCATGATCGAGGACTCCCGAAAGTGCGCCGAGGGTGATTCCTGGAACCAGGACTGCATGTGCAAGCCTGGAACCCCCTTCTTTGATGCTCTGGACCCTTGTCTCCAGTGCGGAGCTGCTCTGTGGGCCGACTATGGCAAGTACCTCGAGCCTCCTCTTGGTTTCTGTGGTCTTCCCACCAAGCCCTACTAAGGGATCTGCTCGATCGAAGAACTGCAAGGTGCTATAGCCAACCGACTACGCTTCTTGACTAGAACCATCTCCACCAAATGTCTAGGGTCAGTTCAGTTCAGAGCCACCTCTATAACTATGATGTGATGATTAATGACTTATTGAAATGTGTAGAGCTGAATTGAGAGTAGATGTCCACCAGCTTCATGGACTCTGTTAGGCCTATGGAGCTGTGACAAGAATGAGCAACTTTCCTTCTTGGTACTAGGTGGGTAATGTAGATCAACCACCATATTTTTACATTCAGGATACCAATATACTGAAAGTAATTGCTGAGGATTTTTATAGCTTCAATCAATCATTTCCCTAAGCTCTCAAAGTTGTAACGAACTTGATCAACTTGGCCATTTGAGATGGGCCACCAGAATAGATACGAAGATGGTAAATGTAAATCTGCTGACTAAAATATACAATGACAGACAGAGTCCAACCCACTCCATCCCGATCAACGGCGTCAAGAATCCACCACTGTGAACGGCCGTTAGGGCTTCAACTACTTTAAATAGTTAAGACTTTTGTTTAGTGGAAACAGATCAGGACTGGTTCAGCAGTCCCAAAACAGTAGAAGGGCCTGAATAATCCAGATAAGAAAACCATCTCTGTATTTATAGACTTGATAAGAACACCATACCCAGGCTGTAATTGTTATTAATCGGCAGGAGGTCATGTTTTGGTGTTGAATCCAGAATCTTGATACTTGCAACATTACTTGGAACTTATTGAATCTTATAAAAAATTTAAAAAATACCGAAGTTATAATTAAATGAATGTATATGCAGAAAAAAACAAAAAAACAACGGTGATTGACATTACTGTGTCTGAAAATACCCAAAAAGTAGTCTGCCTGGCATAAACTACAATAAAATGCGGAAATAACCCACCCACATTACCGATTTTTGTCCATTAGTGGCCGTCGATAACTTCTTAGCCGCCATTGCCGAGTACGGCCGGTGCCTGAAACATGCAGAAAAAGTGTATGCGTGATGGGAGAGCGTGGAGGGGGTGCGGAAGCGAGTCATTTGGTGAGTCATGATCGACTTCACGTGGATGAAGTGAAACAAAACAAATTCAAAGTTGCTTTTCGGGAAGTATACGAGCCACGTGACCAAACAATCGATAATACTGCTGTGTGTATTGCCCAGAGCACGCCCGGGACAGCCTTTGTTCTCCGAGCAGCATCGGAGACTGGAGACATGATCATACCTGATCTCATACTGTCCTTCAGAACCGTAGCAGACACTGAAACGGTTATAGACAATTAGGACTCTTCTGATCCAGTGTATCCATAGCGTTAGTCTCTTGTTCCACAAGTAGTGTCTCAAGCTGTCGTCGTTGTATGACAGTCTCTGATTCAACTTGCGAGATGTGCGTCCGAGTCTAGATTCGCTTATATTCTACGTTCGTACTCTTTGATTAAAGACGGGAGAGTAATTATATCTCAGAGAACACACAGAGAGACATGATAGGATATCTAGAGATGAATTACAAGTACCGCACCCTTTTACTCGTACCGGCCCCTTACTCGTACCGGCCCCTTACTCGTACCGGCCCTCTAACTCGTACCGGCCCTCTTACTCGTACCGGCCCCCTTACTCGTACCGGAGCTACAGCAAGCACTGTCTTACCCTTCAGTAGCACAACGGCGGAAAAAGTGCTACCAAGAACCTCCTCCTACCAATGAGCCTTCTACTCATATGTACTCGAACCTCTAACAGCCACCATCCACTCACAACCTTGGACTACACGGCAAATTAGCACCAAATTGAATTTCAAAGGGCTCTCTGACGCTTGACATTACATGTACCAGTCAGTAGTACAACTATGTACGGTACAGTAGTGTCATTGTCATCGGGTTAGAATGATGACAGTCAGTCAAAACAGGCGAGAAACCCGCTAACCACCCACACTTGATTGACCATTCTTTCTCTCGTCAAATTTTTCCACACTAATGTACCATACCGCTACAAGCACACTTCCCTGTTTGCCCTCCACTGACCTTGGGTTTGGTTAAACTTTCAAGCCCACATATTTTTTGGGGGAAAAAATAAACTTTTGGAAACTAAGCTTTCTGAACCGGCAGTTTAGATGCTTGGGGCAACCACCAAGGTGTCCTTCACTGTATCAGAAGACGGCACCGGAGCTGAGAGAGAGGAACGACCGGAGCTGAAAGAGGCGCAACCAGCGAATTTAAGAGCCCCCCCACGCACCGACACATTCATTATTGGTCACGTGACTCTGCCAACCGCGCGCGCCGATCTTTTTTTATCTATCCGTTCTTTCTACTGGAGCCAAACTCATCGTTTCCATCTCTCTGCCGCCTACAACTCAACTCAGTCAAGTGGGTTTTCGCGACAAGGATACAGAGAGGTAGACGTACAGACGCAGTGTGAGACTCTTTTTTGAGAGACGTGATCGATCGTCTTTTCACTTTTACCACCCACTCCCGACACTAGTTTTTGTCGCATCACCGTTCCAACATGTCACACATGACGGACAAAATGAAAGAGGACCTGGCATACTACTGCTGCGATCTCAGCGACTGCTCCGAGACCAGCGACTGCGACTCGTGCGATGACGACACAAACGACAAGACCAAGACCCTAAAGGGGACACAAAAGCGGACCCGGTCGTCGGCGCCAACCATCACCAAACGGCAACGAACAACTCGGGTCAAGAACGAACATGCCGACTGTGCCGAGTGTTTGGATGGCCCTGAGGACGACGAAGACTGTCCGTGCGACGACGGCTGCGAGGTCCTGACACTGTCCAACCAACAGGAGTTTGAGTCCTACATCAAGTCTGTGTTGGCGGTTGACTGGGAAGGGGAGGGCACTCAACAACAACAGCAACAGCAACAGCAACAGCAACAGCAACAGCAACAGCAACAGCAACAACAGCAGATACAGGCACAGACACAACCCCAACAACAGCCACAACCAATTCCTCAAACACAAAACCAACACCTCTACCTCGACAACAGCGGCGGCAACAATAACAACCACTCTTCGAATATAACTCCTCTAATGGACATCCATAGCCGTCTCCATGAACGCATTCCGGAACACCTCCTTCACCACACACACTGCGACTTTGACCCTGTTTCGGACATGGACAATTTTTTGTCGCATCTCAAAAACGAGCACTTGACGGTCCCTGAAAACTTCCCCTTCCAGCTCTGCCAGACACATCCTGACCATGCCCATGGTGTCCACCATGCCAACGGAGTCCATGATCATCATATGGGTCACGTTGGCCAGCAACATGGCCACCTGCAGCATCTGCAGCAGCATCAACACAGTCACGTGAACAATCACGTGCACCCACAGGGCCACCAACACAACCACTCTGGTCAAATGGGCTCATCGTTCACACACATGGCGGCACCGTCAATCCCAACACCCACCAGCTCGTCAAACACTCCGGCAGACAATGTTTCGTCCTTACGCTCCACCCTGAGCATCCCGCAACCGTACCTGTCGCCAGCAAAAATCCTGCAGTGCCATTGGGGCAACTGCAACTACAACACAGACTCCGCTGATGACCTGGACTGCCATTTTGTGAATGCTCACAAGTATGACTTGAACCGGTACTCGCGTCACCAGACGGCTTGTGCAAACGCCATGAAGGTGTATCCCCAGGAGAAACGGCCTCCGGTAGGCATTTCTCCCTTTCAATGTGAGTGGAACCATTGTCATTTCCGCAGCAACGACCTCACCGAGTTTGTGTCGCATTTGATGGAGTCGCATCAGCTGCATACGTTTGAACACACTTGTTCTTCCAATAACCATTACCCTGGCAGCTTTTTGGAGAATGTGTCAACTATGCTTCCGCTGACGTCTACTCCGTCTTCCGAAGGGTCCCCCCTGAGTTACACGCCTCCTAGCACTTTTGACAACGACTTTGACTCTCCAAAGTATGGCCAGATGACCAATCCGACGCCCAGTACGAGCTCCTCTACCAGTCCCAGCGTCAACAGTGCCGCCAACAGTGCTGCCAACAGTGCTGTGACCTCGACAGTAGCCAGTACGCCACCAGCATCTGCTGCCCCAGCCCCAGCCCCAGCAGCCACGGTGCACACGTGCCAGTGGGTGTTGGAGAAGGACCCCAAGCATGTGTGCAAACTGCAATTTTCGTCGGCCAAGGACCTGTCTGATCACGTGATCGAGAAGCATATTGGCTCGCGGAAACCCGAGTACTCGTGCTCGTGGGACGGCTGTGAGCGATGCGACAGACCCTTCACTCAGCGGCAAAAGGTGGTGCGTCATTTGCAGACCCACACAAAGCACAGACCTCACCAGTGTCCTGTATGTCATTACCGGTTTGCCGAGGAGTCTGTGCTCAAGCAGCATATGCGCATCCACAGCGGCGAGAAGCCCTTTCAGTGCCAGATTTGCCACAAGACGTTTGCGGCGTCAACCGCGCTTTCGGTGCACATGAGGATCCACACTGGAGAGAAGCCGCTCACCTGCAAGTGGCCTGGGTGTGGTAAGCGGTTTTCCGAGTCGTCCAACTTGACCAAGCACATGAAGACCCATACTTTGGAGAAGCCGTTTGCCTGTCCTCATCCGGGGTGTGACAAGCGGTTTGGAAGGAATGATCAGTTGCAGAGACATGTCAAGACGCACGAGGTGAAGGAGGAACCTGAATGGAATGCTGGGTGGCAGCAAACCGTGGTTTAGGCAGTGAGGAGTTGCCAACAACAGCTGTGGCTACAAGACGGGCCTCACAGTTTTAGGGGAAGGAAAAAGTCGCGTGAAATACCGACACTAACAGCTATTTATAAACGGAATCTATTTACGACGTAAACAAACAGGTGAACTATAGAACAACAGGTTGACTATGGATCAACAAGAAGACAGATTGAACGCGAGTACGAGTAGCATTCCCCTTACTTAATGGAAAAAGCTACTGCCTACGAGCGCAACACTAGGCTTTTCGTATCGCTGGGCTCTCTGGTGCTTGACTATGGCAGATCAGACCGAAGCCGTATTTTCATTGTTTTGGAAGGTAATGGATGGAAGTTTTGGTATCTGTAAAAGACCAAATACATTCAATTGAGTTGATAGAATGCAATGATGGAGTCGGCTTTGTATGTTCCAGAGAGGTATTTTGAGAATGTATTTTTGTGATGTTGGCAGTAGTTCAGTCAGTGTAGGCCAATGTTTTAGGTGTTAATGGTACGAGTACGAGTATGTACTGTATGTACTGTACACAATAGGTTCATTAAGTTTTTCTTCTTCTTTCTTTCTTCTTCTTTCTTTTATTTCTTTTATTTCTCTTGTTTTTCTTTTGTTACTTTCTTTTGTTTTTGCTTACGATTCGTTCACTTGGTTTTCAGATTTATTCAATAAATACCTAGGACTCAATCTTCATCTGTCCAATCTGGTCAGCAAGGTCGTCAGCACTCTTCTGAGACCTGCTGTCTTTTCTCACGTTGATGGGCTTGTGACGGGGAGAATGGGTCTCCAAGACCACTTGGCCCCATCGAGCTCCATCCATGTCGTACAGTTGGAGCTCGACAGGAAGCTTGAACCCAACGCACTGAAGCAATCGCAGAGACAAGACACAAGCGAGCATCTTGTTGTAGATTCGCAAAGAGGTGGGCGTCATGCTTCTGCCTCTATCTCTATGATAGATGTCTCTTCGACGTTTATCCACTGAGTCGACAATCTCGTTGAGATACGCCAAGGCTGCCTGCTTTGTAATCTCGGGGCTGTATTTGAGAATCCCGTCTCCACTTAGAGTAGTGAGGGCCGTCTCATTGTAAATGGCATTCACGATATCCTTCTTCGTTTTCCACTGTTTGATCTCATATGTGATAGTCTCCCTGGAGCCGTACTTGTAGTCCTCCAGGCGGTCAGTCTGTTCTCTGCTTCCGTCCGTGATGGGGATCTTTCGCTCTCCAAGATTCCACCCGTTGCGTCCGTACTCGGAAAAGTACATGCCCTTGCCTCCCGCCTTTTGAGCAATGACCTCGTAGGCCAGAGATCTCCATCGGCGTCCGGCATCAAAACAAAATTCAGAATCGCTAGGCTCACACATGATAGGCATCATCATGTACAGCTCGTTGGAGGCCACCAGGCCATTGATGATGCGGTGACCAGCTTGATCGAACGAGTTTTCTCCAAGTACCCTGTAACTATGCATCATTTGTTCGTTGTTGGCAAACTCGTCATGGGTGGAAATCGAGTTTCTCTTGAGAGTGTCCATCTGGCTGGCGAGAAATTCGAGGTACCTAGGGTTCGTCTCCACGCTGCTGTATCTGATATTCTCTTTGATCATGTAGGCTGCTGCCGAGGGCAGGACACCCTTCTTCTTTCGGACCTGGGGAGTGAGATTGAGGGCACTGTACATACCGTGGCGCATCTGGGGGTTCACAATGGTGACATTTTCGGGGAAGTCAAATGCAAAGAAGTCCGAGTCGCCAGTGAGCAGGTAGGTCGGGGTATCGGTATGATTAATGGCGTAATTCCACACCATGCTGGCGAGAATGTCGTCGGTTTCGCCAGGCGCAATCTTGCAATTGATTTGGGGGTACTTGTTGACCAGAACTGCCTGGCACACGGACGCACAGGCCGCCGCCAGGTTGAGGGAGCTTGACCTGGTGGCAGTTCGGATGCGCTCCGCCACCCGTTTGTTGATGATCCCCATTTTTTCTCGGGGAGTGAGCCCGTCAAACAGCACAATTTCAATATTCCAGCCGTCTTGGATCCATTGGTTCATCACCCGTTCCATGGTCAGACCTACTCCCCGCCAGTCGTACATGGCTCCTTCGTTTCCCATTCGCGCCACCTGGTGAGCCATGGCGTGGCCGTCGATGAACATGGCGCCGTCCGCAAACGACTGCGGCGGTCGTTGCACACACAATGGTCGCAGATATCCCGTAAGTCCTCTAATACCCATGTGTCGAGCGTGAGTTCAACTCTTGTTTTACGTGTCCTGCAAAATATATAGACTAAAAAAGCCGAGATTGAATTTATAAATTAATTTAACTCGTTGTAGAAAAAAAAGCCAAATTAGAGGCTCAATATTTCGGAGTTAGGCGGTTGCCCCTGGATCAATGATTTTTTCGACACATCTTCACAACAACTCATACAAGTACTGTACTTATATTGGTTGTATCAAGTCAAGCACAAGAAAATATTGCCCTTGAAGCTGCATATCGTTGCATGTCAGGAGTATGGTATCAGGTGCCGTCAATGTTACACCCCACTCCGAAATTGTTAAACCCATATCACGTGATGCGAATAAATGTCGCTACTCGCAAAAAAATACATCTACGCAGTTACTGTACCTTGTAGACTGATATCTAACGACATAGACTGTTGTTTCCAGAGTGATCGCCGTGTATGTATCACGTGACCTCAAGTGCTTAATCATACAGCGTACTTGTAGATCTCAAGGGATCTGTAGGTACGTTATAGAGGTCCCTTGATGCTCACGTATTGTCCAGTATTGACACTGAGAACAAGCTACAAGTATAATACAGTTGAAGTTGACTGAGTCTTATACATTCCGATCTGATCAGCCTCTCTAACGAGTCTTATACATTCCGATCTAATCAGCCTCTCTAACGACTCGTCGTACATCATAATTCATTATCATTACATCATTGCGAGAGCGAGAGAGCAGCAGCGGAAGCGAAACCCAGACTAGATCGTAGCCGACTTTGTCAGGAGCATCCCAACAAACTCACTGCCCTCATCGCCAGCTCAGCCTCGGCGTAGATTCGTTCAACCGTCTCGGCTACTGTCTGTAGAGAATAATCTCCGACTGCTTGAAGTACCGTCTGGCGTCCTCATCAATCAAGACCAGCGACAAAAACGTCCGTGCGGAAAACTTCTTGTTCACGTCCCGCATGGTGGGTGAGAGATCAAAGCCGCCCAAGAACAGCCGGATAGGAATGGTCTCTCCTCTCACAGGAGCTCCATCCATGATCTCAAATCGTACCAGCGTCTCAGACTCATTGACCTGGTTCGGCGGGGCTCCCACAGTCTCTCGACGGATGATGCTGAGCTCCATATGCTTGATTTTCAGCCGCACCAGCAGAAAGTATATTCGGCCCACAATCACGTCCTTGAGATGGTAGCGGGACTTGGAGTACTCAAACTCAATGTGCAGACAGTCCTCGATACCCACGTCCATCTTGATGGTCGAGGTGGAGTCGGGAGACTGCCGGTACGAGTAGACCCACACATCCTTCTCCCGGGTGACATCATTCATCCGACGCACCACCGTGGCCCGCACAAAGTACCGCAGCCGGACATTGAGTCCATTGTAGCTCTCAAACTGCTTCTCCACGTTCTTGAACTCGAACTCAAACGTCTCAGGGTGGCGCAGTTCTCCAGGAGCAGCCAGTTCCTGGGCCATGGACAGAAACGCCTCTCCCTCGCCTGGCTGGGCGCCCTGGCCCGCTCCCCGATCGTTTTTCGTCTCGATACAGCCAATGAACTGCACCTTGATGCCCGAGTGCTCCAGACGTTTGCCGTCCTTGGGTCGAATGGTGACGGTTCCCTTGACCGACTCGCCGTCGAGATACAGAGGCACCTTCTTGCCCTTGTCGGGGCCCCGCACCTCGACGAGCTCGCGCGAATCCTCGCCGTCCAATCGGATCTCGATATCCAGCGGCGATTTGAAAAACAGACTCATTGGTGTGTGTGTGTGTGTGTGTGTTGTTCAGTGCTGGTGATGGTAGATTGATAAGGCATTCCACTGATGATACGTGGAGGTGTGAGTGAGGGTCGTGGGTTCGATCCGAGGTAGGGTGAAAATTTTATTTTATTTAGGAAAGCCCAAAGAATTGGAGGAATTTTAACAGATCAAGTTATAGCATACGATTCAATTTGTGAATTTAAAACGTCGAAGTAGTTTCACTATGAGCTATGATGTTGGGTCAGGTATATACTATTTTATATTTTTCTGATATGATATTTTGTTCTGATTATTCTTTCTGATTATAACTTTGCATTGAAAGATAATACATTAAGTAACATCCCCATTCTCTCTATACTTGTAGTGAAGCACCCAACTAAAAGTTTCATGGGTTGTCCAGACGACTACGATCCATCTCCGAATTACCGATGGTAGTTAGTATTGGAAATATGTAAATATGGGAAGAAAATGACGTTTTCCCATGTAGTTATATTATATTGGATCTTTGACGACAGCGTTCGATTATTTCTGAAATATATTGAATGGAATGTTTATGTATTAGATGAAATTAACCTTGTCAATCACTCCAGTACATACTCCAGGAGAACAAAGTTTCGACTGTTTGCTATTCATCATCAGTGAGTCCGATTACTACAATCAGAGGCAACACATCCGATTAGTCAGGCAACTCATTTATGGAGATCCTTAGTCACCATCTAGTGACTAATTTCCTTTCAAGTCTAGAATACTGGATTATCTGTCCCGTGCATTCCCAGTTCTCAACTGCGAGGAACTACCAAGTGAGAATGTCCATGAGTTCCAGTTCTGCTCCATCCTTTACTCCTTGGGAGAAAGGTTTGTGGGGAACCATGAGCCGATACACGGGCTGAGTAGCAGTGAGTCGGAAGAACTCCTTGCCAGCAGACTCCTCAAAGTCACTTCGGTCAAAGTACAGTTCTCGGGTTAGAGGCATTTTTCGCGACCGCTCGTCATTCTTGCTTGCCAAAGAGCTAACTTCTCGAAGTGGTCCTCAGGCAGGATCTCAACTGGTATTAGTGGATTCATTACACTCTTCACAATACAAAGATGAAGTTCGTTAAGCAAATTGGTATCATCTGGCGTTTGGGGGCGTAGTGGAGATGGGCCTATCTGAACATACAGACTGCTGTTCGATACAAATGCTACAATGTTGTAATTGAGAGTGTAACTGGTGCAGTAGTGCGATTAACGGTATCGTACAGCATGTACATACAGTAATCATCATAAGATGCTCTAGACACTACGACCCCCATCTTACCGTGCTGTGGGAAACCCGCCCCACTACGACTAATGGTTACCAGAAGAGTTCTGTGTATTGTTTATAGTACCTTGAAGATATTATAGAACCCTGAATATCTGAATATCTGAATATCTGAATATCTGAATCTGAATCTGAATCTGAATCTGAATATATAAACACTATTTACAGGAAACGATTTCCAACTAATGTCCCAACTAAAATAAACTCTATCAACTACAACCAAACAAGACATGACACCTTATCAAAACAGCACTAGAATGGTCAAAATCTTCAGGAAAAAAAGGCCCCCATCTTCAAAAAATGCTCCAGATAGTATTTTAACATCCTCCAACGACCGTTATATCACAGAAAAACCGCCCAGAGTCTTGCGCTCACCCATTTTTCGTCTGCGTCCCAGCTGCACAAAGTTGTGGGGAAATGTGTATTCTCCTCCGCACATTGTCCGACATCTGGCATTTAGCATGCGGGCAGCTCAACAGAAGTCAGACAAGAGGAGAGACAAGGCAGAAAGAATTTTCGGCAGAAACGAAAAGAGAGAATCGCGGTCTGACTTACTGACTAAGCCGGATATGGACACCGCGCAGGTTCGGTTATGGTCTCCAGGCTTCGTACATTATCGGGCGGTTATACTAGGTTATGGTATGGTATGGTGTATGGTAAGCGGCTATTCGCTGAGGCTCGGATTAACGCGGTCGAAACTGGTCATGTGACTTGGTGCGATCCATATGTGGCACATAGATGGTTGAACTAACCCGTTTCAGCTTCTTGTGTTCAGAAATATCCTCTGAATATCGCCTTTGAGCCGTCTTGTCATTATGTTCTACCCTCTCCCCCTCCCAAAGCCTTCGTTAACCGACAAACTATAATAAGCTCAAATCCGGGGTTGTTAAATATAAAGCGACCCAGACAGACCCTGCCCCAAGACACACCACTTGTTCCGCCAGTCTCTTTTCACAGCGAATTTCACCATCCACATGCTGAACCAAATGGCTTTTCGAACAGCTCGCGTCGGCGGTGGCTTGCGGACGTCGTTTCTGCAGCGGCGAGCTCTCCATGCGTGCCACATTGCCCGAGCGGTGATTCCGTTCAAGTTGGCGGACATTGGAGAGGGAATCAAGGAGTGCGAGGTGATCCAATGGTTTGTAGAGCCCGGAGCCCGAATCAACGAGTTTGACCAAATCTGCGAGGTGCAAAGCGACAAGGCTAGCGTGGAGATTACGTCCAGATACACTGGAGTGATCAAGAAGCTCCATTATGACGCTGGTGACATGGCCCTTGTGGGAAAACCCCTAGTCGATATTGACACGGGAGAAGGCGGAGAAGGTGCATCTGAGGTGGCTGCCGAGTCATCCGATGCGGCCCCTTCCACAGCAGCAGCTACCCCAGCCACACCCCTTACGGCGTCCGCTTCCGTGGCCTCTTCGACAGCCACCACAGTCTCCTCTGACCCGAGCAAGGCCTACCAAAAAGCGCTGGCCACCCCAGCCGTCCGCCGACTTACCAGAGAGCTCGGAATCGACATTGCCTCGATCAAGGGCTCCGGAAAGGGCGGCAGAGTCATGAAGGAGGATGTTCTGAGCTACCAGAAGGGTGGCTCTGCAGTCTCTGACTCGGCAACAGGTTCTGTGACTGCTGCTACAACCACTTCTACGGCTGGCTCTCGACTCGTTCCCCTCACACCTACTCAGATGGGAATGTTCAAGACCATGACCAACTCTCTGTCCATTCCCCACTTCCTGTACACCGACGAAGTGTGCCTGGACAAGCTCATGGAGCTGCGAGCATCCGTCAACTCTCTACTCGCCAAATCGCCCTCCAACGGCGTCTCAAAGATTTCCTATATGCCCTTCTTCATCAAGGCTCTTTCTCTGGCCCTGAAGGACTACCCCATGGTTAACGCCAAGGTCGATCTTTCAGGAGACAAGCCTGCCGTGCTCATGCGAGATTACCACAACATCTCCATCGCCATGGATACCCCCAACGGTCTGCTCGTGCCCACCATCAAAAACGTGCAGGACAAGACCATTGTGGAGATCGCCGCGGATCTGCAGCGGCTGCAGGAGCTCGGCATGGCAGGCAAGCTGTCTCGTGACGATCTCACCGGCGGCACCATCTCTATCTCCAACATTGGCAATGTGGGAGGAACCTATCTCTCTCCTGTCATTGTGTCTGAACAGGTGGCTATTGTGGGTCTTGGAAAGGCCCGAAAGCTGCCTCGGTATAACTCCCAGGGCGACATTGTGCCCGAGCAGATCATCAATGCCTCTTGGTCAGGTGACCATCGGGTTCTGGATGGAATGACCATGGCGTTGATGGCGGATAAGTGGAAGGCGTATGTGGTGGACCCTAAGGCGATGTTGCTGCAGTTGAGATAATGAGTGCGAAGCACGGAACATCTCTTAACTACAACGGGTGCGTACCGCAAGTTGGTTTCAGAATAAGCGACAAGACTGTGTTCTAAATCACGTTATCACATAACCACCACTCCATCACAAAAGTAATGCATTATATTATTAGGATATCTGTACGGACGCTAAGTTGAGATGCTGGACAGGGACACCCACCTGAGTCAGATCAGAGTATGTTATTGAACACATCTACGTACCCAAGGCATGAGGAGACGTCACTGTAGAGGCAGAATGGGAGATCTAGTGAGTTTCTTGTCGCATATTGTAGTACAAAAGAGCCATCAGAAGCTGTATATCAAAGTTGAGCTTGTACAAAAGATGGAATATACGGATCACTGCTTTATCAGCTGTGTTCCGACGTATGTCGAGATATCTACAAGTCGGTTCAGATTCAAACCAGGCAGTCCATGAACGATGCAGGATACCGGCACTGTAATTATACCTCAGGTTTGCTGGCGGCTTCTCTTCTCGAAAACAGGTGTCAGTCAAGTCTTAAAGAATTGTCACATTTACCCGAATATCTTGTCCAGAACACTTCTGAAGGCTTGTGAATTCACTTGCACACTCTGCTGCTCCTGTGCCAAGATGCCAAGAGTCTGGCGATTTTAACCGAAAGTTTATCTCTAGATCCTTCCAACTTCAACAACTAATGGGGCAAAAACTATCGCATAAATTGATCATAATGGATGCAAAGACGATGTTGCAACTTGCCTTTACGGTATCTGAGTTTGGTTGCCGAACATCATGCAGTGCGGGCTAGGTATTCTGCGGGTTATATCCGTGCCTCCCTTGTCCAGAGGCAGCGTGGACGATGCTCGCCGAGCGATTGCGTCGTTGCTTGTGTTGGCTTCTTTTTGAAAGGCTTGTTCCGTCACAGTAGCAGATCGCATGGTCGCTACTTGTAGTGACACCATGTTATGTACGTTGATCGGTTGATATCTTGTTCAAGGCTCCACAATGTTGAACAACAATCCGTCTAGCGGGCGCGTTAGAGCCAAAGATTTCGATTGATGAAACGTTTGATCTATGTCCTCATGCTATACAGACTAAGGGCCGATGTTTGGACAGCAGACAATAATGCTGGCAAATAAGTCATGGGCAAAATCCCAATGCTACAGCATCAATATTCAGAAGATAAAGCACGTCTACATTTATCCAGAGTGTCAAGTTAAAGAAGTACGGCTTATGTATTGTTAGTTGAAAGTGACTTGGCAGTCAAGTAAATACCGGTGTAGTCAAGTACCCCTAAGTAATCATCTTACAGGGTGAACTCGAGGACCCCCAGTGTGCTGGTTGAGGGCCGGGTTAGAAGGCACCAGAACAAGAGAGGCAAACTCGGCAGCAAAGAGTGCGAGTGAAACCTCAGGAACACCAATGACCGGCAACTTCTGCTCCTTCTGTCGTCTCACCTGATGTCGATAGATCCACACACTGAGAGCTGAGAAACCAGTGACACCCGAAATCCAGGTAACGTAGTCTCCAATGAGTCCAGTGGTCTCCAGCAGCTTGATAATCGAAGGAGCGTCCTCTCGAACGAGTCCTACCATGTTAGTCCACACAAACGAGATGATTCCCAGAGAGTTGGCGGAAAATTTGGTGTAGAAAAAGCCGACGGGAACGAGAATGGAGTACCACTCAGTGAGAGTCTCCAGATTGGTGTTAAACTGTTTGAGAGCCTTCAACTCGATCTGAGAGGCCTTGAGTGGCTTCTGGTTAGCTCCTCGCTTGGCATAGAGGCCAGTCAAGAGAGGGAAGGCAGCAAGAGCAAGAGCATGCTTAGCAAAGTCGGCGGTAATGGTGATCTGCTCGTAAGCCGTAGGAGTAGGGACAATTGTGACTTCCTCAAAAACAGCGTATTGGTCGACGAGTTTGGGCATGGCTGGAGTGATTGGTGATTGTGAGTAGCAAGAAATCAAGTCGGAGGCTGTCAATCAGGGCAGTCGGATAACTCAGAGTTTGAGACACAAAGTTGGTGCTGAGGGAGGAGGAAGGATAAAAGAAAGAGGTGGTCACGTGATGGTGGACTTTGAGACACTGGTTACATGTCACGTGACGTACGGTGGTTTTCGATTGGGTTGTTTTGTCTCAATTCTCATCTATTCACGCACATTGGTGTAGTGCATGCATGATAAGAGAGATCAGACCGCTGAGATGTATGATGAGAGCATGCGTAGAACGAGACACTGTGTGTCTCCATGAATGATCCAAATACGTCAAGAATTTTGGAGGTAATTATCAATCAAACGTTCTGATATAATAGAGTATTACGTGACTCTTGAGAGTATACAGTAGTATGTAGCAAACTATTGAAAGGTCAGCAACGAATACCGCCGGTCTCGAGGGTAATTTACTGCAGGTTATTGGTATTGGCCACAACACGCCTGTAAATCACCCTCGAGACCGCCATCCTTCTCATGTCAATTTTATAACCCCTACCTACGAATGTTCGTATTATGCCAAGACTGCCAAGACTCTAAGCGAGGCTACTCAAGAGTTTATCGGAGGGAGTACAGTAGTTGCAGGCATGTATTGATGGATATTCATCCTTGTTTCCTAATTGCTCTAAAAGCATGAGTTGTTTTGCATCTAACGGTGCTGATAAGAAGAACCCCATTGGATGATCTAGGGTCACATTTAGTCCTTCATATGATGTAGTTCTACAGAAAGAAGGCACCACAATATTTCTTATATTCCAGTCTGAAAACATACCTATTGCGTCAAAGTCCCCAATCGAGGACGTAGCGACAAATCTATGCGGATCCGGTCACTTCTAACACCTTTCGAGAACAGGTTAGAAGTGAAATCTCAGGGGTGGAGGAAACGCACGACTACAGTACAGTACAGTACACAACGGATAATGGTCCAGGCGTATTATGGAACATACCATTGGAACGAGCAGAGTTTTGCGATCAGTCTGACACCAATTCTGGGCTTGTTAGAGCATTTGGACGATGCTGAGGTTCAGACGAAAAACACCTCCGAACCTCGTCCCAACATTCAAGAACATCAAAACCCCACTCTTCTGAAAACTCTTCTGGAAACTGTACGTGGAGCTTTACTTCTACACTCTGTCACTATTAATATGCTCATAAATACTATATCCTTTCTATCAGTGTGTATGAACACACAGTATTGTGTTGAAGCCAGCCGGTGGACAGTCTGATGTCGAGTCAGCGTGAGAAAGGTGGTTCAGATAAAACCGACTCATTTTTTGACATTTTATCAAACTCCCTGTATTTCTGTAACTGCTTTCCAAAAGCTGTCATAACCGCACAAGTGCTGACAAGATATTACTTCCTCCAGCGATCAATAAGTCGTCCAGTAGGCCTTCATCGGCTCTTGTCCACTCAGACCTTCAGTCTTGCCACTTAAAGGTAATCCTTCTTATTGGCAGTTCGCATAAATCCATGCATTCTCCACTCGACATCGGCATCCTTGTTCTCCAGAGTGCCCAGTCTCAGGTCATAGAGTCTCATTTCAAACCGCGGTCCGACCTCAGCAAGCTCAACACCCTCCCGGGTTTTGACGTAGACATGCTGCCGGACACTGATAAAGTCGCCTCGGTTGGCAAATGTGATGACTCGAGCTGAGTCCTTCTTCACTCCGGGAGGAAACAGATGCTTCAAAATCTGCACAACTCGCTTACCCAGGTCGGTGGTGAAGTTGTCAAAGATGAGATGAGGGTGCACCTCGCTCATGTTGCCGGTATCGGGCAGATCGTGTCGAAGAACCACGTTATGAAGCGAAAAGTAGGCGGTGGGGCCATGGGGGAAATGGGACACCGTCATGGCAGTAGGCACACCTCGATGCTCGTGCAAAACAATGAGATCCGATGAAGCAGACGTCTTGCAAGCCGAAACCAGCGACGGCAACACGGTTCCTCCTCGGTTGAGCCGGATAGAAGTGGGGAACAGCAATTTCACCTCCTTGGCAAACTGAGACAGACGGGTCGACGGGTCTCGAGAAGTCGTCACCACCACCTTGGGATCGGTGATGCCACTCATGGCGCTATATTCGTCGTCAATCTCATCCTGCACAGACTCGTCGTACGCAATGGTCTTTCGAAGCTCTTCGTCGTCAGCCACGTCTTTGGGCAACGGCTTACCGGAGGCCAGCGCCGCCTTCAACTGCTGCCGCTTCTGGATCTTGGTCGCCTCCTGCAGCTGGAGCGACTTTCGGTAGAGATACTCTCGCCGTTCTCGGGCCTGTCTTCTGATCATGCTGGGCTTGTGGCGGTGATGTAAAGGTTGTGGGAAGACTGACAAAAAAAAAGATCTGTATGCATAATTCTTTTCCACGAAAAAGCTTAATCTGAAAACTTATTTCGATGGCCACAGGGATATCATGTGGCCAATAAAAAGCTATATGTGACACTTTAAGAAGTGAAAGGTCCCGGATAAAGATGTAAAATTCACCATTGTATCATTCTCCGCTTTCTCCGGTCAAATTATGAACAGTTTGGACCCATTTATTGCCATTTGTTGTGTTCAACTAACTGTTGGGAGTGCTTGTGAGATGTCTTCACTGTAGACCAAATGGCCTTCAATGTCAGGATATGCTGGCGAATGGTGGAAGCACCTCAAAAAGAATATATGTAAACTGGTGATTTTCCGGTCGATAGTTTCCTCTGATACTCCTCTACTTCTACAGAAACTTGCTTTCGAGAATTGTTGTGGCCCCGTCCAACACAATGACAATCGTTGTAATCCTTCCACCCAGTGACAATCAATGTAATTTTTCCATGGAAAACGAATTATACGGAGACAGTGATGATCAGAAAGACCTATCGGATTTGGGAGCTCCCAGGAATCAAAAAAGAGTACTACGAAAGTATTGTATAATTGACAGAATATTTCGCCAGGCTCCGGGTCTGACTTTTCCCGAACGGCTCAGATCCAACAGTTTGAACATGCTCTAGAATGCTGGATAAAAGAAGGGATTGTCACTTGAAGTGGAGAGACAGACTAAACATTCTATTTATCTTCTTTTCAATAATTCCGCTTCACCTCAAAACCTCTCCCTTCTCCGTTGCATCTCCGGCCAGAACCCACATCACCGAACAGGTCGAGATTTGGGTCGATTTGAACTGGGTCGAGGTGATTAGTTGAAAATTAAATCAATTAAAATTTATCTTGAGATTATATCAAGTCTTCATTATCATCTCTTCGGCCTTTCGTTCAGTTCAGACAGAAGAGCAGGAACAGGATTGTTATAGAATCATGGATATTCTTCCGATTTGAACGATTTCAACTCAAGTGTACAACAATAACCCGTCTAAATAGATCTTCTGATACTTTCTCCGATCTACAAATCGATCGCAAGAGCAAGTCGACGAGCAAGGGCTTGTACTGTAGGTACTGTAGGTACTACTGTAGTTGAACTTCCTACCTTTCTAATGAGACGATAAATGACCAGATTCGGGAAAATTAAACGGGATCCAAAATAACATGCTCTCCAAAGATCAAATCATTTCTCAAATCAGCTAGTTTTAATATCTGGAAGGACCATATCTCAAACACTACAATACACCACCCTCATCATTCTACTACAACACCCCATAGTAACCCTAACCAACTCCAGCATTATCCTCCGCCAACAATGCCGATCAGTTCCTCTCATACAGACTAACCCCCATCGCTTCTCATTTACTCGCAAAATGACCTCCTATACCTCCTACTGTAGACCTCCTTACCTCAACTAAAATCCCAACTAATGCTTCATATAGAACGAGCACAATGAAGCCCATAACTCCACTTTTTATCACTATACACCCCATAATATCTACACTAAAATATACCGCGTAACCCCCAAGACTCCATTTTTCCAAGACTCATTTCACTAGACCTCGCACAACCCAAGAGCACCACCCCCAGCACCCCTTTTTGTTCAACTAATTCCCAACTAATTCAAACTACCATCCGATAAACTTTATGTCGCTTAGTCAGCATGAGTCATAGCGGGCGACTTTTGAAAAAAAAAACATACAAAGAACAAAACAGCCGTTGATTCGTAATCAAACGACTCTTTCAACGCCACCAATCCTCCGTTATCCGGTTCGAGACTCCCAGCTACAATTTGCTACATAATTATGCATGAAAATTCAAATCAAACCTCACATCTACACCACCATGAGTTACGACAAAGAACTGGCCGGGCTGATGGATCTCAGCGGAGAAGACAGCGAATCCGAGTTCGAGACTTTGTCGCTGACGTCCGGGCGCGAGTCACGTGACTATGACGAGTTTTCCGAGTACGACAATGGGGATAACATTGTGATTGGGGGAGGCAAGGCTCGTCCTGCCCATGCGTGTGTCTACTGTGGCGAGAGCTCTCCGGCGTCGGTTGTGCGTTGCCTGACCACCAACAAGTGGTTCTGCAACGGCAAGGGTGGCTCTTTGAACTCCTCCCACATTGTCGCTCATCTTGTCAAGTCTCGAAACAAGACTGTGGCTCTTCATCCGGACTCCGAGGTCGGATCGGACGTTCTGGAATGCTACAATTGTGGCAACGAGAATGTTTTTGTGCTTGGGTTTGTCACTGCCAAGCTGGAAAACGTGGTTGTGCTTCTGTGTCGCCACTGCATCCAGCGGTCGCCCAGTGACGCCAACTGGGACATCCGGGAGTGGCAGACGCTGATCGAGGACCGGCAATTCTTGCCGTGGCTAGTGCCCATTCCGCGGCGAAGCGAGTCACGTGTCACCATGGCTGATGTGATCAAGGCCGAGGAGGCCTGGAAGACAAACCCGTCTCTTTCGTGGGAAGAGGCTCTCTTGGGTAACCAGGAGGAGCAGGACGAGGAGGAGGAGATTGCCGAGGTCAAGGCCACTTATGAAGATGCATATGAGTACCAGCGGACGTATGGACCTCTTGTCAAGATCGAAGCCGACTATGACAAGAACATGAAGGAGTCGCAGCGTCAGAGTGGACTCACAGTCAGCTGGAACCGGGCCCTCAACAACAATTACCTGTGCACCTTTTATCTGAATCTCTACGATTTGACCGGAACCAAAATCACCGTTGGCGATGAAGTCAAGTTGTATTTTGAAGGTTCGGAGTCCTCTTCTACGCCTCGATGGAGCGGCACGGGAATTGTTGTCAAGACCCCGGACAACTTTTCCGAGGAAGTGACGCTTGAAATCAGAAAGGGAGGCGACGAAAAGCAAATCCCCACAGGAGAATCGCATCCCTTTGCTCTGGAGTTTGTCTGGAACGATATCACGTATCGACGGATGCAGCAGGCCCTCAAACTGTTTGCCACAGACGATTATTCCGTGTCCGGTTACATCTATCACAATCTGCTGGGTCACGACATTCCCGAAACATTTCTGGATGTTCCTCTTCCCGAGCAATTCAGTATCTCGGGGTTCAACGAACTGAACGTGTCCCAGGTGAATGCAGTCAAGCAGGTGCTTAGACGACCATTCTCCTTGATCCAGGGACCTCCCGGAACAGGTAAAACTGTGGTTTCCACCACCATCATCTACCATCTCGCAAACATTCGACGCCAGAACCCAGAGAAGGGTTCCAAGATTCTCGTTTGTGCACCGTCCAACGTGGCGGTGGACCAGCTGGCTGAACGAATCGCGTCTACTGGAATCGATGTGCTGCGACTCACCGCTAGATCACGTGAATCCATGTCTTCCTCTGTCGAGCACCTGACCATTCAGCATGCTCTACGACACGGAGATCACGGGTTCACTCGTCTTCAGAAGCTGTTTGAGCTCAAGGACGAACTGGGTGAGTTTTCTGCTGCTGATGAGAAAGAATTTGCAAAGCTCGAGAAGAAGGCCTCCGAAGCCATTATTCGAAAAGCCGAGGTCATTTGTTGCACGTGTTCCACCGCAGGAAACTTCAAGCTGCAAAACTTGACTTTTTCGGCCGTTCTCATCGACGAAGTCACCCAGGCATCGGAGCCCGAATGTCTCATTCCCCTGGTCCACGGCTGCAAACAGGTTGTATTTGTCGGAGATCACCAGCAGCTGGGACCCGTCATTCTCAACTCCAAGGCCGCCAACGCGGGACTCAACAAATCTCTGTTTGAACGACTCATTCTCATTGGCCACGTGCCCATCCGGCTAATGGTCCAGTACCGAATGCACCCGTCTCTGTCCGAGTTCCCCTCCAACATGTTCTACGAGGGCTCGCTGCAGAACGGTGTCACCACTGCCTCCCGTGTGCTCAAGTACGTCGACTTCCCCTGGCCCCAGCCGCAACACCCCATGCTGTTCTGGTCCAATCTCGGCCAGGAGGAGATTTCCGCCTCTGGAACGTCTTTCCTGAACCGAACCGAGGCCGCCAACTGCGAGCGAATCGTCACCAGACTGTTTAAATGTGGCGTTGCTCCGGACCAGATCGGTGTAGTCACTCCTTACGAGGGCCAGAGAGCCTACGTGACCCAGTATATGGTATCCAGTGGCTCAGTGGACGAAGCCATGTACAAGGGAGTTGAGGTGCAGTCTGTGGACGCTTTCCAGGGTCGAGAAAAAGATTTTATCATTCTAACCTGTGTGCGATCGTCCAAAACGGGCGGTATTGGGTTCCTGTCCGACCCCCGACGTCTCAATGTGGCTCTGACGCGAGCTAAGTACGGATTGATCATTCTTGGTAACCCCCATGTCCTGGCTCGACATCCTCTGTGGCTGCATCTCATCACTTACTTCCGAAGTAAGCGGTGTCTTGTTGAAGGTCCGCTGTCTGCTCTGCAGCCGTGCAATATCCAACTGCCCAAGCCTCGGCCCTGGAGAGGAAATAACCGGTTTGACAGGAAGGAAAAGAACACCGCTTCGGTTGCCGGCGACGATTACTCAGTTGCCTCCTCTAACGTACTGTCAGAGATCAACAACGACGCCGACGAGCAGTTTCACGACGGCTACTCGAGTGTATTTACCGGAGGGGGCTACCAGGTGGTTGATACTTGGGGCCAAGAGAATTCCGGGGAGACGTCAATCTCAGAGTCCTTGTCGCAAAGACTGGATCAGATTTCCCTCGAAGATAAGAAGAGCAGTTTCTTTCCAATGAGATAGTCGTATGCGTTCAATATCTACACAAATGACTATCCAGGAGAGACATACCGGCAAATGGACCTAGATCACTGTTTCAGGAGGTGACTGTCTAGGTCCTTTTATCTCTATTATGAGATACTGTCTTAAATGTGTTGGGGCCATGCTCCAGTGGACTTCTCTTCTCTTCTCTTCTCAGCAAGAGCCCAATCTCAAGGGTGCTGCTGCAATGCCACAAGTGGCGTTATTCAGCTACTGTAGCTGTCGATACAGTATGCTTGCAGAGGTTCTTGGGAGTAGGACTCCACGTTACACACACCTTCCAAGGTTTTCTGGTGTCAATACAATATTTCATAATGTTGTTGTAAGCAGTACAAGTAGTTACTATTTGAGTAATAGTAAATGTTTGTATTGAGAAAGAACTGTTGTAGATCATCCGTGAAGGGTGATTTGGTAGGTACTGTATGAACTGAGCGAGTATACTACTACTGTACTAATATCCAACAAATTAGCCAGTGGAAACAGAACAATTCTTGAGACTACAGCTTCTGCTGGTTTCTGGATTTTACGGTTCTTGTTGGTTTGTCGGTTATATGAAGTCATTGGTATTGATTCGATGACGAAAAAGACCGGTAGGATTTTGGGGAGGCAATGGATATTTATTACTATCAGAGACTCTGTTCTAAGACCACTGGGGAACTTTCGACTGCTGGACAGGTCCAGAACCGAAGCTCTGACACAACTTTTCATACTTCAGATTCGTAAAGTGCGGTAGGGCACGACACCCGTCCTTCTAGATGGCAAAACCCGCTCTGTCCGTAGACTGTATATTCTTATGAAAACTACTCCTCCGGGTATTCTAGATTGCATTTCAGCAAATATATTGATTGTCCTGTTGAGCTGGTTCAGCGGATATTGTCAAGACTGACTACTTTCGTCGGAGGAATCGGATAGTGAAGAAACGACCATGGAGAGTGGGAATGCGTCCAAGCCGATCCGCTGAGTGCGCAAAATACTATTATGGGCTATTTCTGGATTTCATTGTTCTTTCTTGAGGTATTCCCAGCTCAGCTAACTTCCAACTACAGTATAAGTAAAAGCACACATTCATCAAAGAATGATGAAACTTGCAAGATCTCAGACTGCTGTTTGCAACAGTCATCCAATTAAAGTAAAGTACAGTACCAGTACAGTATTGTATTATCCCACATAGTATATCACATGTACTTGTCTCAAACTCCAACATCAATGTAGTGGACTTTGCATCCAAGTAGTCCACAACTAAGTACGGAGATTTTCGTCATAATCAACAATTCCATTGAATTGCTGCATCGAACTCCACTTTTACGGTATTCAATTCGACTCATCCAAGCAGCACGGACAGAAATACTCTGACAGTTCGGAGTGGTGACTAAAATGATGACAAACACAGGTACTGTACTGTACCCGGTCACGTGACCGTGACTTACGTAATCGTGACTTACACATCCGTGACTTACGTAACCGTGACTAACCGTGACTTACGTAACCATGACTTACGTGACCTGATTTCTTGTCCGACTTCGAAGTCAGTCTGATTCAATGAGGACCTGTCCATAATCATAGATCTATAGCTGACGGTAGTTGACGTACATTGCACTCAACCAACAGGGATCACTTTGTACCGGTACAGTACATACTGTACTTGCACAACAACAGATCAACATTGAATGTTGCCATTGGTGACCTACGAATATTCACTCCCACACCTACCTGTTTCGCATCTGAAACACGTCGCCAATCTGACTCCAATCTGACCCAACTGGCTGTGCTAAAATATCGTATAAAAAGTAGGAGAGAAAAAGAAACGTCCGAAATCGCACCTTGCAGATGAGCGTTGCAGCTACAGTGACGCATAAACATTTTATTCCTGTTTGGTGAAGCCCAGGCCACTGACCACAGTAGTCACTCTACCCACAACCGCTTCTGATTACATAATCAGACCCCAAAATAATGATGCTTTCTGAAAATTCCCAATTCTCAATTCTCAAATCCAAAATCTCAAATCCCTTCCACTCGTGAGCAGTCTCACCTCGCGTGGTGCGCAAACTCAGTCTTACATGTCCCAGGCAGGGGTTGCACTATGGCTGCCTGGGAGTGAGAGTGGTGATTGAAGGTGTGTGTAACGGCGGGGGACGAAATCAAAATGTTAAAAAAAAGATACCTAAATGGTGTATGAAATATTCTGTCAATTCTGGTATATTTTTGTGAATTATAAAAAATCGTTTTACCCCTTTAGATCCACTTCTTCCTCCATCCCCGCCCTCCCCACAGCTTGCTGTGTTCACAACGTCGAAGTATAACTTTGACCAACTCTTGACAGCTTGAATTCAACTACTTATACAAGAGTTGGAAGCTCCATGGCTCCAGAAATAATATACCAAATTGGACTACAATACTGGACCTGTGTTTGTACTACTGGATTTGTGGTTGTACTAGTGCTGATCTAGTCCGAAGGGTCCCACGCCAACGTTTGAAATGCGGTCTAGTGCGCCAAAACAGCGCCAGCATACCTTCAGGTGTGCATTTGGGTGCATGGAGAGTGTGAGGAATGGGGCGGAAGAAGAAAAAAAAGAGTCCAATTGTGGGGTGTCACGTGACGAGATGAGACGAGGCGGGAAAATGGTCAACAGTCGAATATCACAAGATATATTTCTCCGACGGACAATCTGTTTGTCGGTTTGTCCGGCCTTCTTGGTCCTTCCTCTCTAACTGCATTGCTCCTCTTAGTTCGCTGCTCAAAGTTACTCCACTTTATACTCGGTTGACACATCCAACTACTTGGAGCTATTTCTACAATACTATACAGTCTTGTTCACGTCACCACATCTCCTTCTCGCCCGAAATGACCGAACGAAAGGTGAAACCGTCGGCGTCGTCACGGTCTCTGCGTAGCGCCTTTTCGTTCATGAGCGCCAAACGCGACACGCCCGAGCGCAGAGTGGTCTCGGGACCCCAACTCGACATCTACCCCGAACACCAAAACACGTCGCAGACGACGCTGAACGCCGAAACCGACCCTCGACAGTCGCTGAGCGCTGGAAGTGCGTCCGCGGGATCGCGACACCACGCAAGAGCGTCCTCGGAGTCCCACAACCCCGCCCCAGACAACCATCCCCTGTCTCTGGGCCGAACTGCATCGACCCTCGCCACCAACTCCACCCAGGCCAAGTACCGGCCCCGGACGCGCGCCAGCTCGATTTTCTCGCTCAACTCCATCTTCCGCGACTCACAGTCGTCCCGCAGCATCGCCTCGAGCAACAGCATCAGCCGCCCGTCGATCCACGAAGACCCAGCAGCAGTCCCCCAAGACGCCCAGTCAGCAGAGTACACTCGCAAAATCAAATCACACATTGCCAACGACAAGGGCATTCTCAAGGGCAAGGTTGGATGGCGACGCGGAGTGGATCCGCGCAGCGGCTGGACCCAGGGAACCGTTTGGATCTCGGACGAGAGTCTCTGTGGAGCATCTCCCGAGTCGCGGCTCACCGAAACCCTGATCCAGGACCTCAGATCCATCAGACTCAACGCCAACAAACAGACATCAGTGATTGACATTGCAGCCATCAACGGAAACGAGCGGGTGTCCTTGCAGCTGGACTCTACGGACGGCCTGCTTCGGTGGATCGCAGCTCTATCGGTATGGATGTGTCTGGCGGGTACAGGCATTGAGAGCAAGCGAATCCAGCCAAAGGTGGTACCGGACACCTGTACTGGCCAGGATCCGATCCTCAGCTGCTCTCTGCAGGTCATGGGCAAAATCGTTAAGAACAAACGGCTAAGTCGGAGCATTTTCAAAGCTTCTCCTACCATGCTGCCTCAATCTTTGCAGGCCCCTACATCATGGGTCACTGCCCAGGCCAAATTGCGGCCGAATGGAGCATTGGATTTCACCACAGAGGACCAGACGTACTCGTTTTCAACGTCGTTGGCGGAGTTGACGCGCCAAGATGCATGGAGAATCCACTGGAGCGTGTTCCAGAAGCACCACGTGCTGTATCTCGGCTCGTTACGAAAGGAGGACGAAAAGGTGGTTAAACTAGACATTTTTGCACTAGGCTCGTCGCCTCAAAAGATTAGAAGACCCATAGACCAGCTCACAGGAATCTATCTGGCATTCCCATCCGAACACGAGTACAAGAGGTGGCTGTATGTGCTGGGGAACACGCTTAGACCGACGTACTACGCGCTGGCGTCCCGTTCCTTCTCACAGACGCTCCGTTCAGCCTCCCGTCTGGATATGAGACTTTTGCATGCTCGATACAAGCCCGCCCAGAAGGGTACAGGTCACGTGCCGCCTCCCACATCCTTCTTTGAGCTCTCGTCTCGCGGTATCTTACTAGGAAGGTCTTGTCTCGGTCGAAATTCACGAGATCCATTTTTCCGCGACGATTTCGTGCTGGATTCGGTTGCCGATGTGCTCCCCCTTGAGCTGGACTGTCGGTTTGTGAACTTTGACGACCAGCCGTTGGTTGGACGGGTCCGAATCACCCGGGAGCTCGTTCAGGGTCCTGCAGTGGAACAATGGGTCAAAATATATGACGTCAACGACGGGTCCACTCTGGGCGACGTGTGCATCAAAATCTCGTATTTCGGCTCGAACGTGTTGGCGCCCCATCAGTACGAGCATCTCGAGGCTATGCTCAAGGACACAGATTCACGGTTGTCGGCCAAGATCTCCGAGGCCCGAATGTCGTTGCCTGAATACACGGACATGTTTGTCAAGATCTACTCGTGTCTTGGAATTTGCGATCAATGGCTCATGTCGTTGATTGATGGTGAGATTGGTAAGCTGGCGGACAAAGTGACTGCCAACGACCGATCCAAACAGGTGTCCAACTTGTTGTTCCGGGGCAACACGCTCATGACCAAGGCGATTGAGAAGTACATGCAATTGACTGCCCACTCTTACTTGAGGGATTTGGTTGGAAAAGTTGTCCGGCAGGTTCTTGATCGCGACGAGAAGCTAGAGCTGGACCCTTCACGGCTCGACGATGGCCATGGAATCACCCCCGAGATTGAGCAGCTCAAGGTGCACAACCAGGAGCGACTCATGGCGCACGCAGAGACAATCTGGGTGAATATTCGCAACACCATTGCCGATATTCCCCAGTCTTTGGTCGTTGTCTTCCAGTATTTGAGACAACAGCTGGAGGGACTCCATCAAGATGAGGAGGTTGTCTTCAACGGCATTTCTGGGTTTCTGTTCCTCCGGTTTATTTGCCCGGCTCTTCTGTCCCCAAAACTGTTTGGGTTGGTGCACAATTCCCCTCAGCCCGAAGTTCAGCGTACGTTGACTCTGCTGGCAAAACTGATGCAGAGTTTTGCGAATCGAGCCAATTTCACCGCCAAGGAGTCTTTCATGATCCCCCTTACGCCCTTTATTGAGAACAATAAGAAGGAGTTGTGTCAGTACTTCCGGGTGATTTCCAACCAGAACAAGTGGGACGAGATCCGTATGGCCAAGCCTTCCAAGCCCCAGTACAAGTACCAGCAGCACGATATCCCCCTGCGGCCTCTCCCTGATGCACCAACACTGCCGTATCTTTACGACAAGTACGCCTGTTACCAGGAGTTGGTTGAGCACTGGCTCACCACCGTGCCCACGTCCAGGGTTAACGGAGTAGGCTCTCCGATCATTGCTCGGGCCATTGGAGACAAGGGTGGTCTTTATCAGATCAACTCGCTCGAGTTTGAGCACACTACCGACTCGTTTGGCCAGGATCTTAAGGCTTTGGTAGGCTCTGACTCGCCCAAGCTCGGTGGAAACGCGTTTGGGTCCGCTTCTACCGTCGACCCAGTCATTGAGGCGTTCCATAACGAGTGTCTGCGCATCTACACAGCAAAGACTGATCTGGAGGATGATCTGTGTAAAGCAGAGTCTCCCCTCACGATGGAGAAGCAGGGCTGGAGCCGATTTGTGAGCCGTATCCATGTCAAGTGGGACTATGGACTCACTGGCCACGTGGACGCCGTCAACCCCATGACCATTGATGTGGGTGTTATCGACGACGACGACGACGACGACGACGATGGGGCGACCGCTACGGCGACCAAGCGGGCCAGTGTCCAGTCTGTGGGAAACGGGACCGGTAAGCGAGCATCTGTGCAGAGCAATGCCACTGGAATGCGACCCAGCAGTGTGGCGTCCGTGGCCAGTATCAAGCTGCTGAACGTCAGAGGAAGTATGGTGTTGGATGACGACGACAGGGGGAGTATGAGTCGGAGTGAGAGCAAACTGGGCAAGTGGTTGAAGAAGAAGTAATTTATTCAAAAGTGCGAAATTGCATGCAATTTCGAGCGGCTATTAGACTGACAAGTGAGTGTGTAGAACTAAGAGAGTCTCAGATATATAGTAGATGAACGTGATCTTTGAATGTCCGGTTATCTGATGAAATGTGTAGGCAGCGACAAGCGGCAGGAAGAGAACAGAGGTCCGAGGGGTGTTTAACGAGGCTTCTGATTCTCCTGGTCTCAAGTAATATCCTGTGATCAGATTTTACCCTCAGTTTCTGGACGAGTCTTCCATATTCCGGGTGGAAGGCTTAAGCCGTTTGAGTACTTGTATAGATCTCAAGATGGTTTTGATCGCAGTCAACAACCTTTCAGTCAAGCACGTTGCAACTAATCACATCTTAGTCATCACTTTATGCCGGACTTGGCCATGGACTCTCAAAGTCCCGAGAGCCGAATGAGAGTCGTGGGGTCACTACAGTCATTGAGCTGATTGAGTCGCTACAGAGTCCTTACAGGGGTTGCTACAGAGTCCTTACAGAGTCGCGACAGAGCCGTTTGTTTGACTTTTGAAGAGTTGGTGATCTACACACGGCTGGAACCAAAAAAGAATACCCGGATACTCTGGATACGGCAGGAGGTAGCACGTGCGAGACCGGGGTTCTGTGTTGGTCAGCATGGGGACGATTCAATGGCCTCGAAACTGAAAGAACAACCGCCTTCGTCAATACCATGGCTCTTATTGCCGTTGCAGCAACCGTCCATAACCGTTGCCCATTGTTTTAATTGTTTTTGTTTTAATTGTTTAGAGGCTATACAGTAGAACGGCCGTCCCTGGAGAGATATTATCGTCACAGTCACAGCCAAAGCAACCATTCACCAAAGCCCTCAAAATAGCAATTGTATCATCCAGAAATCAGGCAGCATTTGCTACACTATCGATTGCCCTGTTGTTTTCACCACGAAAAGAGAATCGAACAAGGCATAGTTTGCAGAACAAAGACGCACACAAGAATCGAACCGAAACTCAACGCGCCTGTGAGACCTACAACTGTGATTATGCGCGCAATTTAATTTAGAAAAAATAAAAAACAAAAATTAAATGTGTGAAAAAATTAAATGTGAGAAAAATCGGGAAATAATATCGCGGCGGAAATAGCTAATATCAGACGAGCATGTGCCATGTGACACAAAATGGTGGGGCATCATGCATATATTAGAGGAGCAATGAAAGCGTTTTTTACTTTTATTTTAATATATTTTTAATTGTATTTTTATTGTATATTGCTTATTTGTATTATATTTTAATTGCAATTTTATTGACTACTCAAAATCAGACGAATATAGTTATCTAATCAGATTACACATCTCGTCATTGTCCAAATACTATCTGACGTCATACAACCAGACACCGCTTACACATGATCCCGTTGTAGTGCTGGGATCCCACACGACATATTTCCCACGTGACATACTTCCCTCGTGATCAAATCCCCCCACGTGACCAAATCCCCCACGTGACAAGTCCATCTACCTCATGGGACACAAACGTCATCCCATTCACCCGATCCGGTAATCACCATTATTGTATTGACAAAAACTGTAAACACTCGGTTGACCCCGGACAATTAGAGTTACGATAATAGCCGGGCCGGAAGCCGAGGCTGCGATTGGACATGAGATCACGAGCACATTTTCGGACGGGTACGAGGACCTGAAAATTAACCAAAACAGTCAATTTCGTTTTCCAGCTTGTTCGGTATTCTTTTTTTGTTCCGATTGGGCCAGTTTTCCAGTCTGTTCAGAACTTTCTCAGAGTTAGTTGAAAAGCTACTTCGGACCCACTGGCAGTAGAAGTTGTAGTGGAGATGCGGCGATAAAAAGTGGATAAGTATGTATCTATAGGTGTGGAAAATATGATGAACCGGCTTCCGCAAAACGTTCGCTATCAATATTTCGAGGTATCTTGAGTCTTTCTATGGAATAAGCCTGTTGTAGTCTCTGGCTGATTCATCGCTTTCAACCAACTCGACCGTCTGAAGCCTCGTCGTGATATGCTCCAGGTACGATCTACTGTACACAACCCGGATATTAATTAATGCAATAAATTACTTGCCATTCATAGATGGCTGAATATATACGGTCACGAGCCACGGAATGTTTAGAGAACGTGGTACTCACTATGAGCCCGTTACCACCCTCTGGCATGATAATCGAAATCCGCCGGCTCGTCCGCCTCCTTTTTCCACTCCGGCTTCTCCCCCATCTTCTTCAGATCAATACTGGTATGCCGCCGTTTCAACGCCTCCAGATTCTGCCGCTCCAACTCGCTCTGGTTCATGAGCGACTTTTGCACACTCTGCGACATTTCCGATGCCAACATACTGTGTCTGACCACGTCGGAAGGCAGAATCGAACCATAAACAGGCTCGTGCGTCGCCACAGCCACTGGGGTGGCCGAGAGAACTGTGGCAGGCGTAGGACCGACTCCGGGGAACCGCGACAGGTCAGCCACAGAATTGTTCTTACTGGGCCGCTTGTTGTCCTTCTCTCCAGCACTCTTGGCACTCTTGACCCCCAAAGAACGAGCCACAGAGGCGTTGTCTCGTGCAATATCCTCACCGTCGCTGTTTAGACCGCCATTTTCAACAATATAGTTAGCCTCAGACAAGTTGGTGTAGGTGTTTACCCGCTTTGCCTGGCCAGAGAACATGGAGCCGAGCTTGGAACTCACAGAGTTGGACTCGTCCGGAATCATGCCCTTGGAAAAGATGCGTGACTTGTCCTTGCTCTGCTGTATCTGCTCCTGCAAACGATCGGGGTTGTTGAGGAACATAGACGACAGAAGCGACGGACGGACGAGATTGTGGCCTGAAAGGTTTTCCTCCCGTGAAAATGTGGGCTCCTCATTTGCAGAAGAACCATCACTCTCCACAGAGTCCCAGTCAGAGTCGTCGTCGTCGTCGTTGTAGTAGTCGTCGTACTTGGTGGAGTCGAGCTTAGGGGGTGACTGTACCGACACATGTTTCTTGACCGACTTGTCCACCGACTTTTCTACCGATCGGTCCACCAAACTTGATTTGGAGGCCGCATGACCGCTCTGCCCGCTCAGTCGGGGTTCCATCTTCAGAGGCGAAAACGAACAGTCGGATTTCGTCACAGACTCGCCAAATCCGTCGCTCTCCGATGGCGAAGACTCGATGAAAAACATCTTCTGCTTCTGCCGAGGCACTTGCTGGTATTGGGAGGAGGCTGTAATCGAAGTGCCATTGACAGAACTGCCGTTGACGCCCGCGCTCACAATGCCAGCACCGCTACCAGCAGCCCCATGCTGCTTCATCTCTGACGACCGACCGAGGAAACTGACGGACGTTTTGGACGGCGAAAAACCCCGCACAATCGAGGTTGACGTATCCGAACGTCTCAGGTTCCCTCCCGAGACGGACCCGGAGCCGGACAATTCACGAGCCACGCCACGTGCGCCCTCGTCGGCCTCCATGTCATCGTCGTTATCAGTCTCATCTGTGAAATCAGACTCATCGTCTTCGTACGAGTCAGAGTCAGCCACTGCGGAGGCTGACGACTGCGGAAGAGCTGCGGCCGAGGATCCCGACCCGGAAGAGACACTGGTGTTGCGTCGGAACAGTGACGACACCTTGGGCTGCTGCTGCTGAGCGGTTCGGGGCGCCACAAGCACCGGTTTCTCCCGGTTGAACGAGTCTCTGTGGCGGGACGAAGAGCGTCGGGACCGAGCAAAGAACGTGGGCGCCAGAGTGGATTTGATGTGGGCGTTGGAAGAGGTGTTGGACGTCACGTCCTTGGACAATGTATCCTTATCCTTGTGACCGACTCCCGCACCTGTTCCGGTAGACACCTCTCTCGCTGCTGTTGCTGCTCCTGTCGCAGCCTCCTTTTTGCCCTCCTCCTTGGTCAAAACCTCCCTGGGGAGCATCACATGGGTGGTATCGTTGGTGCTACCACCACCCACATGGACGTGACTTCCTACACTGTTTGACGACTCGGATAGCTCGTCATGTTCATCGCCATGGTCGTCGTCTCCCTCCCGTTCCTCCTCCTCTCTCTGTTTCCTCCGCTCGTCCCTGAGGCTCTGCCAATACTCCACTTCCTGGCCGACCGGCCTAAATAACTGCATTAACTCGTGCAGCTTTGCCGGAGACAGCCGCTTGCGTTTCATAGAGGGACGCTTGCGGTACAGAGAGCGGTAGTCGGAGATGCTTTTGTTGCCGCGCCGGATCGTAGGCCGTGAGTTTGTGTCGTTGCTATTTACAAGGGTGCGCAGCGTGGGTGGCGACGAGATGCGCGACACGGCGGGGGTGGCGGTGGTGGTTGAGAGGGTTGGTGTGGAGGCTGACGAGGCGAGATTGCTTCTGTTGGTGTTCGATCGGGTAGAATGCAGGGAGGAGAGGGCCGATCGATGCTGGTTGTCCACGTGGGTCGAGGCGGTGGACGTGGTGGACACTCTCCTGGAGGCGAGTTCGCCGATTGCGTCTCCGTCAAAGTCCGAGTCCGAAATGGCGTCGGAGCTGAGGCTGCTTGAGAGCTGTGGTGGGGAGACTCCTCGGTCATGTCGGTCGTTACGGTCTTGCGAGGCATCGTGTCGGTGCTGCTCTTCGGCGTTGGACACGGACAGTGCCGACAGCGACTTGAGCAGATCGTCCGGTGGCGGTTTCTGGGGATGCAGGGTGTGTCGTGTCTGGACGCTGTTGTTGGGTGTGGCGAGGGCGGAGGGGTGTGTGTTTGTGTTTGCGTTTGTGGTGGCGGTGGTGTTGACGCCGGTGTTGTTGCCGGTGTTGCCGTCGTCGGTCATGTCTTCGACCAGAAAGATGGAGTTGTCGCAGCAGTAGAGCAGTTCGCGGTTCCATAGCCGCCACGACAGGTTTTCCAGCCGGCGGCCGTTTTCCAGCGACTCGGCGCACTTGGAGAACACCGTCCACAGCGACGCCAGCGACTCGGGGTTCCACGCGTCAATCTTGCCCATGGGGTTGGATGCCAGCGACAGAATCGGCGTTGTTGGAGTCATCCTGAGAGGGTGTTGTGGGTGTGGATGTGGGCTGGTTGTGGTGCTGGTTGTGGTGCTGGTTGTGGTGCTGGCTGTGGTGCTAGTTTGTCTGTCTGTATCTTCGTTTGTGTCTCCGTTCTGAATCTCGTGTGAATCTCGTCTGAATCTCGTGTGAATCTCGTCTACACCTGTTTTGTTCCTGTTTTGGTCCTGTTTTGGTCCTGTTTTGGTCCTGTTTTGTTCCCGTTTGGTGGTTTGCACTTTTACCGTGGTGTGTCAGTGGATGAGTGGGTATATCTACACTTTTGAATTTTGCTTTTATTTGTGAAGTTTTTGAACCCAGGCTATTTGCCCGAGTCTGTTGCAACGCCGCCATGGGCGAACTCGAGTCCCTTTTGCGCCCCAAAATCGGTCACCGGATTCGAGTGTAATAATTAATCCCGGCCCGCCTCGGATTGGCCAAGTTCGCAACCCCCATGCTCACCCAGCTCACCCCCCATCTACACCTGCTGACACATGACGTTGAGTTGAGTAGAGTTGAGTTGAGTTGAGTTGAGACGAGTTGAGTTTACAGAAAGTCGTCAAGAGACCACCAGCTATAGAAACAGTGGACCGGGGGCGGCTGAAAGAGATGTTAACTCCGGCAAACGGAGGGACAGTGAGTCGTCGGTGAACAGTCGGACATTTGTCGGAGAATCCCAGCCGACTTAGTCATCATCGAGCCCACACTCCACCACCCACATAACATATGCCAAAGTCACGCGGTTTTGCGGTTTTGCGGGGGACTAGGCTGTGCATGATCAGAGGACGGTGTGGAGATATTTTGCTCCCCCCCGTGCGGGACAAAAAAACAACTCGACGACGACCGCGTGCGGCCTCCACTGGCGGAGTCTGTGTCGGGGGTTTTCCCGCCTCGCTGCGCGCCGACAACCTCGCACCATCCCCGTCCATCTCCAGCTCTCTCTTTGGTCCACTTTCTCGGCCTGAAAAAGCCGTTTCCAACTGGGGAGAGTTTGCCGGCGAAAAACTAATTTTTAGTCAAACCCAGTTTGGCCAAAGTCTAAATCCGAGCCAAAAAAAAAAAAAAAAAAGACAAAAAAGACCGAAAAAGAGACAGATGACCAATACCCAAAAGTGTAATCAGGGCCAGACCAGACACAACACAGTACCGGTTCAAAACAGAGGTCAGCTGGCAGATTGACACGATCGAGATGATCGAGAAATGGCACCGATTGGGACAGAAGGGAGCTCTTTTGGGTCTGTGCTGGGGGACGTGGCATTACACCCGGAGAGCTGAATTGGAGGAACATTTGTAACAGTGTAAAATTAAAATAAAAAAAAATGAAAAAGTTGCAAAAGTTGAAAAAGTTGAAAAAGTTGAAAAGTTGAAAAGTTGAAACAATTGAAAATAAAAAATAAAAATAAAAATAAAAATAAAAATAAAAATAAAAATAAAAATAAAAAATAAAAAATAAAAAATAAAAAATAAAAAATAAAAAATAAAAAATAAAAAATTAGCAAAATTAACAAAATTAACAAAATTAAACAAAGCCACTGAGGAATGGGGGAGATATTTGCGGTCAGAACAAACAGAACTGAGCTGATGGCGTTAAACACCTTTACTGTCAAAGATACACTGGAGCTGTTGAGCGCTCACACATACCAATACTTGTATTATCGCAACAGTTGCATCGACTAATGCATCAAGGTGGGGGTACCCTCACCATGAGATGATTCAGGATTTGGGGCTAAATGATTATGCTGCCGGACCTAGAGAGTGATATGATTGTCCAGATCCAGTTTCCAGTTTCCATTTTCCATTTTCCAGTGAATTTGCGTGAAATTCTAAGAATTTCTGAGGTTTTTTTTTTTTTTTTTTTTTTTTTTTTTTTTTTTTTTTTTTTTTTAAAACAGTAGCTTGCAAATATCCCTCCAATTCTGAGCGGTCAAGGTCACTACACTGCACGATTGGGTTTGCTGAGCCGCAGGAGAGAACGTGTCAAAAGAGTGGTAAATTTGATTGGACAAGTGAGAAAATGGAGTAAATTACAATGTTTTGAACTGGTTCTGATTTCGTTGTTTTCGATTTTTACAACGCATTGTCGGTAGGTATTTTTTTTTCTTTTTTTTTTCTTTTTTTTTCAATTTTCATCTGATTTTCTCAACTTTCTCAAAAATACTTTTTTTCCTCCTCTTTTCACCCGTTGGAACCCCCTCGAAAGGCTCACAAGGTTGCTTGGCACATAGTGGGTCTCCCTTGAGACAGTAAGGGCGGGGGGTCTTCCAGCCCTGTTTTTGCAATCAGGCTGCGCCTTTTGGGGGCCATTTTGTCGTTGGTGATTGTGGTCACGGGACCAGACTAAAACGGGCCCGAAATGAGCCTTGTTCGTTTCGTCTCGGCCACTTCTGACCGTCGCTGTCGCCTTGGCAGTGCGCTATATATGATATGAGGGTCCGGTGACTGTAGGTTTGGGGTTTGGTTCGGCTAATTAGTGAATTTTCATGGTTACGGAAAAAGTAAAGATACGACCATCTTTGGTGGTTGCACTGTGACCGACTGGACCGACGTCTTGTACCGTCGCGAACTTACGGACCTGTTGTCGCCGATATATCGTCGCTGATCTTTATTGCCGACTACTCGCACCCCTATCGAAGCTCGGTAGTTCTATAGGTATGTCCTCAACATCCCCGAGAGTTCAAGCGACATTCTTTTTATTTTTTATTCTAATGGTTCTTTCTTCAACACCGCAGACGTGCAATGAGACGGTCAGAGGTCGCTTCTGCCAGTCGCAAAGCGGTGGTTAGCCGAGGCAGAATGACTGTGACGGGTACAAGTATGTTCGGTACTTACAACAGCCATGAGGAATCAAAGAATACAAAGAAAGACCGAGAAATGGTTGTGTGGACAGCGTTCAATGTGGACGGCGTTTCTTATTTCGCGCTTTGTGCTCTTGTCGTTCATCTGACCTCTGGTGTCTATCATCTGTCTATCTCCACTTATCTCCGTCACGCTAAACCCGGTTTATCAACACCAGGAAACGTGGGAGTAATAGTAGCGGCGTTATTGGTCTCGCCAAGTCAGATGTCATGTTCCATCAATGTAGAGTTTGGTTTGACAACTGGCCATAGAGTGTAGATGAGCGTGGAACGAGCACTGTTTCTGCCTGTCTTTCTTGTAAACGATACAAGTCCTTCATTTATTGCTACGCCCCTTGAGTCAATAACTTGTACGTACAAAAATGGTTACTCCAATAGGAGTGGCCTCGAGGAACACGTCAACAACACGTACTCAAACCCGTACGTCCACGTAGCCGCAGTCTTCCCAGGACGTATGGACGTGAGACATGTAGTGCAACAGCCACCACCTATCTCCTCTATAAATAGAAGTGGCTACAGTAACATCAGACTCAGCCCTATACAAGGGCAGACTCAATCCAACTCAGGGTCAGGCTTTAACCGTCAGTCTCCGGCGGCCTTTCGTAGGCTCCCACGCTGGCTCCCATGGAGGATTGGTCAAACACAATCCCATTCTGAGTCTCCGTGGAACATTGACAATGTTGAAACGAAGGAGACGGACGAAGGAGACGGGGACGAAGGAGACGGGGACGAAGGAGACGCAGGAGACGCAGGAGAAGGACGGAGACAAGGAGACGACGCCCTTTGGAGAGACAATGTTGTCCATCATCAAGTAGCAGCAACTGGAGGGGACCAATGAATGTCACGTTATGATCAGACAATGCTCAGACAACGCTCAGACAATGCTCAGAGCTGAGAACAAGAGCACAGTCTGTATTGTATTGAATTTCGGGCTAAAATGGAGCTAGCGACGAATGTGAAATTTCACTTGCTGTCTCACATGGTAAGGGGGGTGGGGGAGGGGAGGAAAGCAAGAAAAAATAAATAAAAAATAAAAAATAAAAAATAAAACGAAAAGTTAACTCAGATGTATCAGATAGACCTCTGGTATGAGCATTAGATTTCAACTCGACTTGTTGTAATTGACTTCATTGCTGACTTCAGTACTTGCGTGATTTGTTATATAGTTAGATAGCAAAACACAGTCAAACTGGATGTCCTCGCTTTCGCTCATGAGAATTAAAATAAAAATAAAATAAATAAATAAATACTTGCACCCTGCAGTATCATGCATGGATAACGCAAGCTCTCCAGAACAGCCCTCAACCGAACCTACAGTGTCGTGCCGCGCGTACACTCTGTGCGGTGAATTAATGGATTTCATTGAACGTCCGTTTTCAATCACCTAGAGCCTGCCAGATTTTGTTCCACCCTCAACGTCCCCATATACTGTGTAAAAAGGCTGGCCAAGTAGGCTGCATTGCAGAAAGGGTTTGTCCTTAACTGAGCCCATAAATATATGCGTGGGTGAGCACAGGCTCAGTCTTTCCTCTTACCTTACACTATTAACACAAACGGGACAGCCCAAAGTCACCCAACTCTGCGATACTCCTGTCAGATATCTCCGATGATACTCAGACACAGTACATACAGCCCTGGTGGTGCAGTCAACTGGGGTGACACAAACGCACTGACACAAACACACAGTACTGACACACAACAGCTATGACAATACCAACTGAAACTGTTGCCACGGTGGCACCAGCATCCGAGACACAACTTGATGTCGGTGCCAGAGACATTCCTGTTGCATGCCGAGATTTCCACGATTAATGTACGGTCCTCTGATTCACAACAGTGACCGGGTCGTTAGCCAAGCCCCTCATTCACAATCACCGTCGCCCCATCTTCTTCTCTCTTTGAACACAACGCCCGCCGGTGGTCTCCGTACGGTCGCCAGAGCCAGTGTTGGTGGTGTAGGAGTGGGCAAACTAAACGGGAGACGACCGAGGTTCGGCGGGCGGTTGGTCTGCTAATTACCAGGTCACCATTATTGGTCTCCTGATACAGTTCATATCGCTCTGAGTGTGACACCGCAGTTCTACGCAGGCTCCACTACTACGTGAGTATATTCGAAAAACAATCAATGAATACTTTATGTGGTCGGCATCAGTTGTCAATCAACCTTGCCAAATGAGGGTCGGTGGCCTTTGCTACGCAATTATCACCTCCAGTGCTGCCTTACTTTCCAAAGACGGAGTTGACCAGTCCCTTGTTCTCCTTGGCAGTCTCGGCGGTCTTATCCATAGCCTGGTTCCACTTCTTGTTAGCGTCGGCTCGGAGATCGGAGCCCTTGTCCTTGGCGTCACTCCACTTTTCGGCAGCAGCGTTGTCAACGTCCTTGGCAAACTGCTCGCCCTGGGACTGGAACTCGTTGACAGACGACTTGAGGTTGTTCCAGGTCTCGTTGGCAGCCTTGTCAAACTCCTCGGACTTGTTGGACAGAGTCTGGCCCAGCTCATTTGCCTTGGCTTCGGCATCGTTCCAGGCCTTCTCGGCATCCTTCTTGAGAGAGTCCCAGTAAGTCTGAGCTTCAGCATCGAGCTCCTTGCCCTTCTGGATGGCCGACTCAGAAGCACCCTCGAGCCACTTCTGCGAGTCGTCGACGGCCTTCTCGGTGTCGGACTTGAAAGAGAACCATCCCTTCTTGGCAGACTTATCGAGCGACTTGGCCTGGTCGGACGCGTCCTGGGTCAATTGGTCAACCTTCTTGGAGGCGTCATTAGAAGCCTTCTCCACGTCGGCCTTGAGAGATTCCCAGTACTGTCGGGCCTGGGTGTCCAGGTCCTTACCCTTCTTGACAGCAGCGTCAGAGTAGCCCTTGTAGGTCTCGTACGCGTCGTCCTGGGCCTTAGAAGCATCCTTCTTGAGCGAGTTCCAGTTATCCTTGGCGGCCTTGTCAGCCTCGGCAGCCTTGTCCTGAACAGTCTGGCCAACCTCGTTGGCCTTGTCCACTGCATCGTCCTTGGCCTTTTGCGCGTCGGACTTGAGAGAGAACCACGACTTCTTGGCGGCGGCATCGGCCTCGTTGGCCTTATCCTGAACAGTCTGGCCAACCTCATTGGCCTTGTTGACAGCATCGTCCTTGGCATCGGCGGCGGAGGACTTGAAAGAGAACCACGAGTCCTTAGCAGCCTTATCAGCTTCCTGGGCCTTGTCGTGGATGTGCTGGCCGGTCTCCTGGGCCTTTTCGACAGCCTGGTCCTTGGCATCAGTAGCAGACGACTTGAGGGAGAACCACGAGTCCTTGGCAGCCTTGTCGGCCTCGGCAGCCTTGTCCTGGACGGTCTGGCCGGCTTCCTGGGCCTTCTTTACAGCATCATCCTTAGCCTGTTGGGCGTCGGACTTGAGAGAGAACCAAGAGTCCTTGGCAGCCTTGTCGGCCTCGTGGGCCTTGTCCTGGACGGTCTGACCAGCATCCTGGGCCTTCTTCACGGCATCATCCTTGGCGTCCTGAGCAGAAGACTTGAGGGAGAACCACGAGTCCTTGGCGCCATCAACAGCCTCCTGAGATTTGTTGGAGACAGTTCGGGAGAGCTCGTTGGCCTTGTCCTCAGCCTGCTCCTTGACCTTAGCAGCGTCGTCCTTGAGGCCAAACCACGAGGACTTGGCGGACTTCTTGGCCTGGTCGGCCTCGTCGGAAACGGCCTTGGTGGCAGTGTTGATCTTGTCCTGGGCCGCATCCTGGGCGCCCTGGATGTTCTCCTTGACATTGGCCAGACCCTGCTGGGCCTCAGTAGAGACCTCGCCGGCCTTCTTCTTGGCGTCCTCCTTAGCCTCATCTGCGTAGTTGGTGAAGCCGAACCACGACTTCTTTGCCTTCTTCTCGGCGTCAGTGGCCTGGTCATTGATTGCAGAAGAAGCATCGTCGATCTTGTCCTGAGCGGCCTCCTTGGTGTTCTGCAGGTTTCCCTTGACGTTCTTCCACTCCTGGTTGGCAGAGGTGGAAATCTCGTTGGCCTTGGCCTTGACGTCGGCCTTGGTGGTGGCCAGAGACTGATCGGTGGTCTTGGCCCACTCGTTGACAGTCTCAATGGCGTTCTCCTTGGCGTTGGCAAGCTGCTTCTCCACCAGCGACTGGTTGTCCTGAACAGACTCCCGGACTCCGGCAACCTTCTGGTCCAGCTTCTTGCCGTAGTACTCTCCGAGGTGGTCGTTGGGGGCGGTCACGCCGGCCTTGGAGGTGACGGTGTTGGCGTCTCGCTGGGCGAGCAGCTTGGCCTTCTGGGCGTCGCCATTGGCCTGGTAAAGGTAGTAGGCACCTCCAGCGGCGGCGGCGCCGGCAATGATTTTCACGGCTTTGCTCATTGTGATGTCAAATGTGTATATAGAGGGCAGGTTTCACAATTGCCAATCCTTTTATATACTGCCCTGGGGTTCATGCCTGAGAGGTGCATGGATATGTAGTGAATATATCCTATTTGGGTATATCACTCTCCTTATAGGGTATATTGCTTTCTCGAACGGGGAAAAGAGCAATGTTAAGCGAACCTAGTCTGCCTTGATGCGTCTACATCATTGCTGTTGCAGATGGATGACGGGGCGCAATGAGACGAAAAATAGCTTGTGGCGAGACACGACTTGCGTCGGCAACCTCAATTGAGTGGTTTTGGTCAGTCTGTTTCTAGTTTTTCGGCCGCTTTCCCGCCCAAAGAGGACCTCTCTTATGGTTGCTCTTTTCAGACTTTCTGCAGGCAGCAATATTACCATGTGTGGAGACGAATACGCGCTTCTGGCGGTGTTTCATTCTTCCCGGCCACACATGGTTGGCACAATGCGTGTATTGAAACCCAAGGTTGAAGACGATGGGTGTGGCTTACTGAGCGGTGGTGAGTAAGAGCCGGCGAAGAGAAGCCACGACGAGTATCGTGCTCGACTACATGTAGTGGAACCCAGCAGCGCTAGGCATGCAGCCCAGCAGATGATGACATTGCTCGGTTGCATGCCGAAGTGCAAGGCACTTGTTTGTTGGACTACAGTACCGGTCGGAGTTGAGACAGGTGGCGGGATGGAAAGTGTGTGTGAAATGTCGACTTTGGGCACTCATTGGTCCGAGTAGTAGGTTTCACGTGAAAATTGTGTTTTTTGTCGGAGATGTTGCAAATTCTGTGTGTGCGGGCAGATTTCATGCGATTGCTGACTTCACCGAAGGATTTTCTTACCATGTGACTGAGTTCTACTACTTGTTGTACGATATCTACGTCAGAAACTCCACCGAGAATGTTCCAGTGTGGTACCGTAATTCATGGCTGGCGCGACCATTCTTGCATAACTTTATTTTGTTATCAGAACTTAATCTTTGAGCTCCAGCAGGTATATTGGAGCTCCAGCAGGTATATTGGAGCTCCAGCAGGTATATTGTCGTCCATAGTTGTTCTGTGGGCGATTAGAGATCTGTTATTTTTGATCCACCAATTTTTAAGGTGAGATTAACGTACTTTTGGGTGATTTTTCTCTCGTTTTGACCATTTTCCGCTAATATTGCAATTTTTAGGATCCCCAATATTATCACCATTTTTTTATAAAAAAAGATCCTGTCAATAAAAATTGCGGTAATTTCAATAGTGCATTCGAACCGTGACATGTTTGCGGCTCTATTGACACCAATTCCCGCTTTATTTTCTTTGTAAAGTGGATTTTTTTTCGCCTGGTTCCGTTCATATCCTCCGCCCCCTTTTATATATACATATATGATCTAATTGTTTCACGAGATGTAGAGATTCTCAAACATCAGTATCAAGCCCGGTTATAGTTGTCCACCATCATCTCAACTTCGCTTACGTAAGGCTAGACGAGTCGAGAGTGGTATCAGAATGGTCGTCATGACTTCTTCTACATGATGCCATTTCTGCCTAAGCGATATCTTTTTGTATATTCACGATTCTACAGTTGTGGTCGACGCGTTAGATGTATGTCAGTAATATAACAGTAAAAAAAATTATACCTGATTCTAGCAAAGACTTGAGATCATTTGAGTGATCGATTGTACGTAATCCGTCTTTGACAAAAGAGTTTCTGCAGTATTATTTGGGTATTTCCTGAAAATTCCAGAGCAATTGGCCCCATGAAGATGTCGGATGGGTTTTTTTGTGGTTTTTTTGTGGTTTTTTGTTGTTTTTTTGTTTGTTTTTTGTTGTTTTTTTTGTATCAAGTATCTCTCAACTAATTATCCACAGATTATACTTGTATTGAGAAATGGAAATGTCGCCTGTTTGAAATATCAATATTACACAAGATGATTCTATTGAAATATTGTTATTAAACCGAGTATACGCTATCGTTTGGTCCCTATTTTATATCTCTAATATTCCTGGAATCCCAGATAGATTCCCCCAGAAACTTTTTTCTCAACAATTCCCAAGTAAGTAAAGTCAACTAAGTGATATACAGACAGTACATTATGTGGCTGTTGGATAAAGGGAAGCTGAAAAATAGGGAAAAATTCTTTTCCAATCACACCAGAAGCACCACAATATCTGTTTCAATCACTTGCAGTTTTATGACTATTTATTTCTATTTACTTCTATTTATTTCTATTTATTTCTATTTATTTCTATTTATTTCTATTTATTTCTATTTATTTCTATTTATTTCTATTTATTTCTATTTATTTCTATTTATTTTCATTTCTTATAATTTACCATTATCAATTCTTCACGTTGACCGTTACCATGGCAACCGCCCAATGTTATTTCACAAACTCTAAAATACGCGTCTCCCACACTTGTCTTTCACGACTACCAAATACTTTTCTGTTTCTCTACACACAACTTTTTTCGGACGACTGAACAGAGAATTCCACGAGAGGTGAGTATTTGAAGCAAGGCGCCAGACGCTATGGAATGCGCAGTGGTAGGCGAGGCCTACTAACGTCAATCGATGCGGGGAGGCGGTTTTGGAGAGCATCGTTCTCACGCGACTCTTCATGTGGTGACTAGATGGACCATGTGGTGACCACAACAAGGCTGGTATAGTCACTATGTGGAGAGTCTTCGACACAATTTGCAGCGAGCTGTGGCTATTTGGGGCGCCATATGACACGACCGCACACACGTCCAACTTGCTGCTCGTTCAGATCAATGCTTTGGTGCTTTAGATCTCGACCATGAGGTGACATTTGCCACCGTAGCAGATCCATGAAGTGTGGTGCTGGTTCCTGGCAGTGCGGTTGTTTTCTGGTTTGTCAAGTGTGGTTCTGTGTCTCTCCTGAGAGCTCAGCTCACATCTGCGGTGGCAGCTCTCCTGGTGAGACACCGCCAATGGCGCACACCAGTGATATTGCACGCGCTGCCCCGATCTAGAGCTTTTCTGCTCGCTCTGACTGTAACACATTCGGACCCAGATCTTCCTCGCCACCTTTGTGGTCACTATCGCCGCTCGCATCATTCAACCTACATCTTCGCTCCGTTCAGCTCCTAACCCAGATGGCCAAACAATCCACCCTCTTCTCTTCCTTCGCCTCCGACGAAAACACCCCTCCTCGTCCTCGCGGCAAGTCTAAGCCGAAACCCACCATGTTCTCCGACGACGACGATTCTTTAGTCATCTCCGACGATCACTCCGAGTCGGATTTCGCCCTGAGTGACGATGAACCCAAGAAGAAACCCGCCAAGGCTGCCGCCAAGCCCAAGGCTGCTCCCAAGTCCAAGGCCAAACCCCTCCAGGAGGTTGCCAACGACAATGCGCCAGTGCCCTCTCCCAAAGGCACCCCCAAGGGCAAAAAGGGCTCCGCCTCCGAGCAGTACCAGAAGCTCACCCAGCTGGAACATATTCTCAAGCGTCCAGACACGTACATTGGCTCGGTGGAAGCTACGGCCTCCCCCATGTGGGTGTGGAACCAGACAACGTCCGCCCTCGAACACAAGATGGTCACCATCGTGCCCGGTCTGTACAAGATCTTTGACGAGATTCTGGTCAACGCCGCCGACAACAAGATCCGAGACCCGAAAATGGACAGTCTTGAAGTCACAATCGATGCCGACAAGAACGAAATCTCGGTCATGAACAACGGTAAGGGTATTCCCGTTGAGATCCACGACAAGGAGAAGATTTACATTCCCGAACTGATTTTCGGCAACCTTTTGACTTCCTCAAACTACAACGACAATGAGAAAAAGGTGGTTGGTGGCCGAAACGGTTTTGGTGCCAAGTTGTGTAACATCTTCTCGACCGAGTTCAAGCTGGAGACGGCCGACCAGAAGAACGGCAAGATTTACACCCAGACTTGGTCCAACAACATGTCCAAAGTGGACAAGCCGAAGATCAAGGAGCTTAAAACCAAGAAGGAGTACACCAAGGTCACCTTCAAGCCAGATCTCAAGCTGTTCAATATGACCGAGTTGGACGCTGACACGGTGGGCGTGTTGATGCGACGTGTCTACGACATTGCCGGTACCACCCACGGTGTCAAGGTGAAGCTCAATGGCACTAGACTGGCTTTGAAGGATTTCAAGGCGTACGTCGACTTATATTTGAAGAGTCTGGTGGCCGACGAGGACAATGAGGTTGTGCAAAAGTCGAAAATCGTGCATGAAATTGTCAATGATCGGTGGGAAGTCGCGTTCGCGGTCTCCGACGGCACGTACCAGAACGTGTCCTTCGTCAACTCGATCGCCACCACCTCTGGAGGCACACACGTCAACTACATTGCCGACCAGCTGGTAGCCAAGCTTACCGCCACCGCCAAAAAGAAGCTCAAGGACGCGCAGGTTAAGCCCGCCCAGCTCAAGGCCAACATGTTCATTTTCATCAACTGTCTGATTGAGAACCCGGCCTTCACTTCACAGACCAAGGAGCAGATGACCACAAAGGTGTCTGCCTTTGGCTCTAAGTGCGAGCTGTCCGACAAGTTTATCAAGCAGGTGACCAACAACACCGACATTATGGAGCGGGTGCTGAGCATTGCCGGCCGGAACGCAGATGCAGCTCTCAAGAAGACTGACGGATCCTCCAAGAAGAAGCGAATCACCACGTTGGTGAAGCTGGAAGACGCCCAGCTCGCTGGAACTAAGCGTGGCCATGAGTGCACGCTCATTCTCACTGAGGGAGACTCCGCCATGACCATGGCGAACGCTGGACTGTCTGTGATTGGTCGAGAACGATATGGCGCCTTTCCTCTGCGTGGTAAGATGCTCAACGTGCGAGAGGCGTCCACGGACCAGATCATGAAGAACGCCGAGATCCAGGCTATCAAGGAGATCATCGGTCTGCAGCACAAGAAGCACTACACGAGCTGCAAGGACCTGCGATACGGGCATCTGATGATCATGACCGATCAGGATCATGATGGTTCCCACATCAAGGGTCTGATCATCAACTTCTTGGAAACTATGTTCCCTGGTCTGCTTCAGATCCCCGGGTTCCTGCTCGAGTTCATCACTCCGATTGTTAAGGTGATGGTGATGCGGGGCAAGAAGGTGGTCAAGACAATCCCCTTCTACAACATGCCCGAGTACGAGGCGTGGAGGGACTTTGAAGGCCAGCAGTGCACGTGGACGAGCAAGTACTTCAAGGGTCTGGGTACCACGCCCACTGCAGACGCCACAGAGTATTTCAAGGACCTGGATCGTCACATGAAGCAGTTCCACGCGGTGACTGCGGAGGATCGGCCGTTCATCGAGCTGGCGTTTTCCAAGAAGAAGGCCGATGACCGAAAGGAGTGGTTGCGCAAGTACAAGCCGGGTACTCACCTTGATCCAAAGTTGACGCACATTCCCGTGTCGGATTTCATCAACAAGGAGCTGATTCTCTTCTCTATGGCCGATAACATGCGTTCCATTGCTTCTGTTTGTGATGGATTCAAGCCTGGACAACGTAAAGTTCTGTTTGGTTCGTTCAAGCGAAAGTTCACCGTGTCCATCCGAGTGGCGCAGCTCGTGGGATATATTTCCGAACACACCGGGTACCATCATGGTGAGGCTTCTTTGGGAAGCACTATCATGGCCATGGCCCAGGATTTTGCCGGTAGCAACAATATCTACCTGATGAAGCCCGATGGAGGATTTGGATCGCGATCTCAGGGAGGTAAGGATGCCGCCGCGATGCGATACGCCCAGACGGAGTTGATGGACATCACCAAGGCGATTTTCAACAAGCAGGATGAGCCGCTGTACAACTACGTCACTGACGACGATACTCCGGTCGAGCCAGAGTATTATCTTCCTGTTCTGCCAATGTTGCTTGTGAACGGCTGTGAAGGAATTGGTTCTGGATGGTCCACCAGTATTCCTCCTTACAACCCACTTGACATTGTCGACAATTTGAGACGCATGTTGAAGGATGAACCTCCCGTACCCATGATCCCCTGGTTCCGAGGATGGCATGGCGAGGTGGAGCCTGTGGGAGACGGCCGGTACAAGGTCAAGGGTTTGATTGAGCAGGTTGACGAGCGCACGCTCTGTATCACAGAGTTGCCTGCTCGAATGTGGACCATTTCCATGAAGGAGTTTTTGCTGAGTTCGCTGATTGACTCCAAGAACGAAAAGGGCTGGATTGAGGATTTTACTGAGGACCACGGTTTCCGAGTCAAGTTCAACATTACATTGTCGGAGAAGGAGATGGAGAAGACACGTCAGATTGGCCTGAGAGAGCGGTTTAAGCTGATTTCGTCGCTATCAACCTCTAACATGGTGGCGTTCGACCCTGAGGGCCGGATCAAAAAGTACGACTCCCCTGAGGCGATCATGAAGGAGTACTTTCCGGTGCGGCTGGAGTTTTACCAGAAACGAAAGGACCGGCTGGTTTCTGACTTTGAGCAGCAGCTCGAGAAGCTGACGGCCCAGGCGCGGTTCATCAAGCTCATCATCGACAAGAAGCTCAACATCAACAACAAGGGCCGAAAGGTGCTGATTGCAGAGCTCTCTGAGCTCAAGTTCCCGCGGTACGGCAAGAACGGCGAGCGGCTCGCATCTGACGCCAAAGCCGCCATTGCCGAGGACGAGGAGGCGCCCTCGGATGAGGTTGCTGAAGATCTGGCCGAGGCCGAGGAAATTCACGGCAAGATCCCCACCAACGGATACGACTATCTTCTGGGCATGGCGCTGTGGTCTCTGACCAAGGAGCGGTACGAGAAGCTGCTGCGGGAGCGGGACGGAAAGGAGGAGGAGCTGATTGAGCTGCTGAAAAAGTCCGCCAAGGACATCTGGATGGACGACCTGGACGTGTTCATGGAGGCTTATGAGAAGTTTGAGGAGCAGGACGTGGAGAAGCAGCAGAAGCTGGACAACTATACTGGTAAGAAGGGCGCCACGAAGCGGAAGCGGGCAGCCAAGAAGAAGGCTGGAGATGACGACGATGAGGATTTTATTGTTGGCAAGAAGGCCAAGACTGCTGCTAAGCCCAAGACGGCAGCGGCCAAGTCACGTGCCAAGTCGTCTTCAGCGTCGGTTGAGCCCGAGGTGGTGGATTTGGATGATGTCAAGGTCAAGAAGGAGCCAGGAATTTCCAAGACCAAGCCCCGTTTGTCCGACACCGCCACCTCTCCCAAGTTCAAGAATACGTTTGGCTCACTTGGTTCCACTTCCATCTTTGGCGACTCTCCCGTCAAGTCTTCTCCCACCAAGATCAACCGTCTGGGAGCTGCCGGTGGCAGGCTTCAATTTGGATCCGGCAAGCTCGATTCTGAGTTTGAGATACCCAAGAAGAAGCGGGTGTCGCTGTTTGGATCGCTGTCTGACGATGATGACGATTTGGACATGGGAGGGTCCATTGAGGAGGTGCAGGATGTGGCCAAACCGGTCAAGAAGGCCGCCCCCAAGAAGGCTGCTCCCAGAGCTGCTCCTAAGGCCGCTCCCAAGAAGACTGCCCCCAAGAAGAAGTCCATTTTTGACGACTCGGATGAAGACATGAATTTGTCAGACGATGAGGTGGCCGAGGTGGCGTCTTCCGCGTCGTCTAGAGCGTCGTCTAGAGCGTCGTCGGCTCGACCTCGACGTGCCGCCGCCCCCAAGAAGTCTGTGTACGTCGATTCGGATGATTCGGACCTGGATATTGTCGATGATGAAGAAGATGTGTCCATGTTCAATGATGATGATGAGTAAGGTCGGGCGACCATGATGGTCACTTTTTGAGAAAGTAATTTATTGTTTGTGATTATGGTGGATGGTGGTAATGTAGTGTCAGAGACTGGTATTGTAGCTATTGGATATTGTATTTTAATTCTCGTATCTATTAAATTAATTAAATAGTTTTTTTAGTCAGGAAGACATCAAGTCTGTACATATCGTTGTCAACTCCTTCGATTCTCAATTAGAAAAAAAAGTATGAAATTCTACTTTTTAATTCTCCCATATAAACCAATCTATATTTTCTTATTACCACTCTCAAATGTTTCTATTTAGTATTTCCCCAAATTCTAAGTAAATACGTCCCTCATTAGTTGACTTATTACATCTGGCTCTAACTCTCCCAGTATAGATCCGATCCCCAGAATTTCAGCTATAATCTGCTTATCTGTGGCTCACAAGCAATTTTTGTCCTTCGAAAAATCCAGCTAGTCTCCCACAGCCACCCAAATGCCCACTCTTTCGTGCCACACTCCATAAACGTCTCGCTAAAAAGAAATTGACAGATCTAAACTTTCGTGATAGACCCTCTCGTCATTTTTCAACTATTCACAACTCTTGATATAAAGGTTCAATTGTGACAATGTGACGAATTCAACGCCAAAACGACCATTTAATCATCAGAAAACAGGTCTTTTCATACATAATACCGCCAATAATGTCTTGAATCGCCTCGATTCGTCACTTTCTGTTCAACTTTGTCAGCACTCTACACTAGCATCTACAAGTACTTGTATCTCGCTCAATAATGATCATATTCAACCTATCTCTTCTCAAACAGATGAGACCAAATTCCCCCTTTCAATATTTGTTTCACAACCTCCAATTCGTCTTCTTTTCCGAACATGCAATTGTACTCGTACAATAGACCAAACTGTACAGGAAGAATCAGAGTCGTATACCGGAGGAATTGAGATGTTTTTGAAAAACCACCAAAAAAAAAAAAAAAAACACAACAAACAAACAAACAAACATACAAACAAACAGAAGAAGCAACCTTCAGTCTCGCGACATAAACTGGAATCCCAAATATTTCCCCATCTACCCTCGATTCCAAGCTCTTTTTAGGTGGAGATGTCGTGGTGCATTCGCTTGATCTCCTTCACAAAGTGGTTCAATAGATAGAAGAGAAACATCAAAAGATTCTCCTCCAATATCTAAAATGAGCACGGTTTGCTCGCCAGTCTCCTTATTGACACCCAACAATGGCGGCGGAAGTAGGCTCATTCTCTGAACATTCAAAAAAAACAAAAAAAACAAACGTCCTTGGTGGTCTAGAGGAGATCTCTGTTGAGGTCCCGGTAAATATGTACTTTTGAAATTCAAGATAATTGTTTGTATCTTAGTAAATGTCCAATATTCCCTTCGTTCGTCCCGGAAAAGTGCTATCAAATTGTTCCTGAATGGGTAGGGCAGTTTGTTCTGGTAGTTGTAGTATTGAAGATATTAGTGATACTCTGCATCACTCAAAAATGCTTCAATCAATTTGGTTGAAATTCCAGCAGATAATATATATCATTAATATCCCCTCGGGTCTTTTTATTCGATCGTTCTGATCTTCAACTATTTTTTTTTATTGATTTTTTTCTTTCTTTATAATTCCATCAATCAGAGCGTGTATATTTAGCGTGAGCAGACCTCACGAGGACGTCATGTGTACCAGCCATCGTAATAGTGCCCCTAGAGTAGAAAACAACTTCGGCGCTCATTCCTCTCCGCGCTTCCGCCTCATAGCCACGATCACCATGTCGCGACGATATGCTGCAGAAGCTCGGGTGAACAAGTGAGCGAAGTCTCGCTGGACCACGGGGTCAGTACCCACTCGGCCAGTTTTTCGCATAGCTCGCTCGAACTGCCACAAAGCATGGGCGAGCTCTCTAATGTAATTCAGCGGGCCGTCCTTGGCTTCCAGTAAGATCCAGTCCGCCATCTTTGATGGAAGGGGGACACCAATCTTCTGGCAGATGGCCTTGGACGCTGGACAATTGACAAAAAGGTGCTCGTGGAGGTAGTTCTTCTGTTTGAAGAGTTGACTAGAACTACATCCAATGTCTCTGTACTGGACAGATCTTGATTTGGGGTACCACCGGGTGAAGGGGAGGCGGCTCAGCCGCAACATGTGTAGCGTAGCAGCGCTCTTATCATCTCGTCGGTAGTGCTTGCTCAGGAACTGATTTGTCTTAAGCCAGAGTAGGTGGTTCGGATCAAGCTCAGATGGCAGTGTCTCCAACCAGTGCTTGTTCTTCATGACCTTGAAACGATCTCGCCAGCTATCCTTTGCCACCTTGACAGGGACATCGATTTGCGACTCGAGATATGCAACTTGCTCCCGAGACATGGTTGCGATCGGGTTTTCACGACGCTGGCGTTCGAACAGGTCAACTTTCGTCCTCTCACTTGACCACTGCGCCCTAGGGCGCAAGTCGGCTGGAGACTCCGCCAGTACAGCTATAAGAGACAGCCTTGCAAGTCCTCGCAGACATCGGTCCATGGAGTCAGATAGGAAATGGCGCTAGTGCCAGTTTCCCGTCTCGAACCACCTAATCTTGCTCATTCTCGTAGCAGAGTGGGATTGGAGCCCGTAGCCCAAGTCTACTGTCTCACTAGCAAAGAGAAACATAGCGTTTTGTCTTGCAGCAGTATCATCCCTGAAGAAGCGAGCCGCTCGCGTGGCACGGAGACTCTTTGCTTGCTCAACAATGTTCAAAAGGCCAATGCCTCCTGCTCTGAGAGGCTGATAGATGAGCTCGTCGTTGAAGGTGCGCTTGCCGTCCTTGTTCTCGCCAACCAGTAATCCGTTGATCTTGTCGCTGATTACTAATCACACCTCTTGAACTAGCTCATCAACTTACCCAGTCTACACATGGCATCCTGGCCGAGCGGTTAAGGCGAGAGATTAGAAATCTCTTGGGGTTTCCCCGCGTAGGTTCGAATCCTGCGGATGTCGCCATCTTTTTGTTTCCTTTTGCCTGTATATTTCTCCGTTTCATGTAATGTGGTTGAGAAAAGAGAAAAAATGAAAAAATGAAAAATGTTTTTTTTTTTTTTAATTTTTTTAATTTTTTTAATTTTTTTAAAAAAGAAAAAGCAAAAGCAAAACATCAATATGACCAAAAAATGTCAAAAAATGTCAAACATAGATAGCAACGCAACGAAAAGAGATAGCACCAACCAACTACTCACCCTCTATACGTATCACGTGACATCGACCCTCTCCCAGGAATCTGATGTCAATTGTTTGAGCAGACAAATCCACCTGGGCTACGGTTGTATATTATATCCTCCTAGATACTGGTCACGTGACTCCAACAAGCCTGTAGAGTAGGTACGAGTGTACTGTTCAACTACGGTACAGTACTTGTACTGTAGTGAATATTGAGGGGTCGATTTAGGGATAATAAGTTTAAATAAACTATGAAGAAATGTCGAGTAAAACGTCAACTAAAAGTAGTTAGTCATCCGGATGAAAGAGGTGTTAAATTGGAATTTTGTATGACAATATATTCAGACGACGATTTAGTAGTTATAAACTTACTCATTACTTACTGATCCATACACTTTTCATTTCGGCGACATCTCAGCAACGTTCAAAATGAACCCCCAGCAGGATTTAGTTTTCAACTATTTTCAACTAAAGCTTTTAACTAAAAAGAAGTTGTTATAGAAAAACACTTAGAAAGCCATATTGTATTTTGTTAGTATGAAATAAATAAATAGAATGGATGTTTTATCCGCTCTATATTCTTTTCTTCTCTCTGTGGCATTTTTTTGAGGCTCCACGTTCCATTTTGCGCATTATATACGATACTTGTACAACGATATTAAGGAGGGGTTCATGATGTTTGGGAGAAGGAGAATCGGCGATTTGGACAGGAAAAACAACAAAATCCGAGAAAAATAAAAAAAACCGAGAAAAAAAATACAAAATAACAACAGACATCCTTGTGATCACGTGACCGAGACCAGCCCGATGCCGCTCTTCTTTTAGCGCTCCAGTTCGGGCCCGGCTACAACGCCTGGTGGATTTTTTTCGCGCCAAAATAAAGTTCTCCCACCACATTCACCTCCTCGCATAACTGGCGACTCCTGCAGACTTGGCCAGCTAATTACACCACGACGAAGCGATATTGGGATGGTGAGTAGAGCAGGAGAGGGGGGAGAGAGATTATGAGGTCATGTGGAGGTCACATGGGCACGTCTGGGTCACGTGGGTGCCTACTGGTCACGTGGTCTACTCTGGGGAGAGGCTGGGGGCGGCAAGAGCACCAGTCTGGCTGATTCAGCGGTGGGGGTAGGGAGGGTATGGGGTGGAATGAGATATTCAGATGTTTGTTTGGGGGATGCGGGCAGGGGTTGAGTCACGTGACCAGCGGTTGGGTCACGTGGCCAACCGTCAAATCACACGACTGATTGTGATCTCCTTCTCCTCACCATCCCGTTAGCATTGCTGGTCACACCAGTTGGGGTGAGACTAGATTGAGGCCACTGTGGCCAATTTGGGTTGCGAGATTCTTTCAGAGGGCGTTTTGCGACATTGTTAGTGTCAGAGGTTATTTGGAGGTTGTATCCAGCGTGTTTCTGACGTCTTGCGGCCCCACCAAGTTCCACCGATGCAGTCCCAGTCCTGGTGTCACTCAGATCGAGCAATTGACATATCTTCATCGAGACAGTGATAGATAGATTACGGCACTTGAAGAACGCGGGATGACGTGGTCTCATTCACATCAACTCTGTCGTAGTCATAGTCGGGGCATTTCAGTGGCAGCCCATTCTAGTCTCATCTGCGTCATGTCACCTGTGCAACCATCACTGACGTGAGATTGTTTGCTATTGCTACTTGTCAGACTACTTTCCGCGCTACTTGTCAGACTATTTGTCTGGCGGGTCACGGTCTCTTTAAAAAATCTCCGCACTACCGCTCCACCGACCACCGCACCACCACTTCCACACACTGCTAACCCAGAACGAAATCACAATCCCAGACCTTTCGTCGCCGGCCCAAATAGCCATTCCCACGTCACTGGACACTCCACCGGTACGTGTGGACCGACCTGTGGAGGAAAAGAAGGAGAAGAAAGACGACTCGAAAACGCCGAGTGAATATGCCTTGCATATTTTGTTTACACAGGTGAGTATGGAAACGCCCAAGTACGGTTAAAGGTCCGAGTGGACCCAATGAGCTGGCAATGAATGACCTGTGCTATGAATGAGCTGATACTCAGAAGCAACCACACGAGCGACAAAGAACAGTAAAATGGGGACAGTCAGGAGTCGAATCGATACTACTGTTCCACTGAGATGTCTCTGCTGACACGTGACCCTTCAGTAATGGCCATGCTTTTCTCGAGATGGCGCAGTCCGACACACTGTAGAGGTCTACGACTGTCGTGTCCTTTTGGCGCTCTTTGGCGCCTTTGGACTCTGGTAGAGGCGTGAGTGAATCTCGCAGATATCACGATGCACCTCCAAAGTCTGCTGGTAGGGCCATCTCAGGTTATGTGACTCGTCGCTAAGCTACGTCAAGACCAAAGTCATGTTCTACAGATTCGTCTGGTCACAAGGAGCCCGAGATACAGTCGTTCACATGACTAAGTAATGGTTAAAATCATGGTCAACACTCTGGTCAGGCTCTGAGAATGCAAGAACACGTTCACGTGCTGTTCGCTGTTCTCCAGATCCACTCATGACTTGTTTTGTGCCTCGTCAGGCTCTGATCAATTGTGTACGTGGCTACGTCACGGTCTGACTCCTCTCTACTTCGCTAACCCAGTTTGTCCGTTACGCAGAACGCAAACTCAACCTCTGCATCTCCACCCCCGACTCCGACCCCAACATCACCGACATTCTCGGCGAGGGCGCGGACCCCGCATTCGATAAGATCATCGTCTCTCTCGGCTACATTGCACGCCGGGAGCCGAAACCGGTGATCGACAGCGTCATGTTCTGGCGCAAGTCCAAGTCCGAGGTTGCCGTCAACTCGGCCGCCGCCGCTCATACTGCCGCGGCCTCCGCATCTGCCGTGACCGGCCATTCTCGACAAAACTCGCGTGCCAGCGACATGGGCAGCGGCGGATTTGGCAGTGCCCAGCTCCAGGAGCACGCCAGCAGCGCCAGAGAGGCAGCTCTGGTCGCAGACAAAAAGTCGCTCATCAGTATCTACATTCTCTGCCGAGTTTTAATTGAGGTGGTCAAACAGACAGACACGGACTCGTTGGGTGAGGATCTGCGTGATAAGCTGGAGGAAATTGTCTTCAAACAGCTGCGAACGACGGACCCGGCGGTGCTGGCTACCAGCCACGTGCGCCACGCCAACTGGAACCTGTTTGCGCAGCTTTTGGGCCAGATGAGCAACACCAACTTTGTTTCGGTTACGGACCGTTTCCTCGGCGATCTGGGTCGGGCCGGCGAGCCAACCTCCAAGGAGAAAGAGACCCAGCTGGAGCTCGTGATTCAAGGAATGTGCCATTTGCAACTGAAAATATACCCCATGGACCAGCTGGACGAGTCTGCGGACTTTCTGCAGTCTCTGGGACAGTTTTTCCTGCGCTCTCATCTGCCCAGAATTAAATACGCATACATGGACGTTTTCAACAAGCTCTTGTTGCCGGTGGTGTCTGTGGGTACTGTGGAACTTAACCATCCGGTGTGGGTGCAGGCCATTTCCGAAATCTACCCCAGAGTCATTGCCAGCATTCCAAAAACGTCCAAGCAAGGCTCTGGAGGCCCGGCCATTGTGGCGGCAACGACTCTTTTGACTGTGTCTCCTCAGGAATACTTTGCGCAGAATTGGTCAGCACTACTCGATGTCATCATATCACGGTTCAAGGAGAAGCAGTCGCGAGGCCATATGGCCGTTTGTCTAGCAAGATTATTGTGGGTCTATGTTTTCCGATGCTCCGAGTCGTTGAACCATACAACCAAACGTCTGGAGGGAATCACACGACAAATGTTCCCTGCGGGGTCCAAAAAGGGATGGGCGTCGCTAGACCCGTCGATACTACACCCCACAATCCAGGTTTTGCGGTTCATGGGCTTCTCCAACCCCTCCTACACCATTGACCAGATTTTGTACCAGCTCATGCATACCCAGTTGCTGGAGGGATCGGCCAGTGTGGGGCTAGAGAGCCTGTCTCCCGAGCGACTTATTATTGGCATGAAGGCGTACATGTACATGTTGCATGACTATGAGCAGGACCAGAAGCCGACGTTTTTGACCGACGATGCTCTCAACGAGGTTGTACGGTCGCATTCCTATGTCGAGGGCCCCTTCCACCGCCAGAAGACCAAGCTGCTGGAGGAATTTCATGACACCTTTTCTCAAATTCTCGGTAAGCTGTTTTATCTGTGCGACACGTATTTCTCCACTAACAAGGACGAAGAAGTCAAGAGAAGCTACCAATTGCCCAGTGCTAAGACGCCGATTGCAGTTTCGTTCCATTTTGGCGCCAACGACAGCACCACTCTCAATCGCGGGGCGTTTCTGGACCTGCTCTGTTACACCATTGAGTGCATTCCGTGGTGTCCCCCGTCCAACCTAAAGTTTTCAAAGCTGCTGGAAATGCTTTGCCGAAACACTTTGTCGGTGGCGCCGGTGAGCCAGGCGGCCAGCAACGCCCTTAAAAAATTTGTCGTTGCCGGAAAGGAAGGCAAATCAGTCATTGAGGTGTTTGCCAAGTTTATGTTTTCTTTCGAACAGCAAAATTTCTGCAGCACCGAATTCCCGGCTACCGCCACGGACCGGTTCGAGTCTCTGCTCAAGCTGTACGTGACTCTGTTGGAGCTGTGGCTCGACACCATCAAGTCCAAGAACGACGACTCGGTGGACTTCAACTCGGTCTGGGCCGTGGTGGAAGAGGTAGAGAGCAACGGGCTGTTTTTCCTGTGTTCTCAGAACCGCAATGTGCGCCATTTGGCCCTCAAGATTCTGCGGCTGACCGTGTCGTTTGACGAGGTGTTGTCGGGTGTGTCTGGATCACGTGTCATTTCGCTGCTAGACTCCACCTCCGGCAACGACCTTCTCAGCCAAGCCAACCCGGCGATTGAGCTCAACACCCCTGAAAAGACCCGGCTCAGCAAGCTGACCAGCAAAAACAAGGCATCGCTGGCCCAACTGTCCGACTCGGACTACGGAGTCGACACGTCCATCTGGCTCAAGGTCTTCCCCTGCTTCATGCAGCAATGCTTTGTGGCCTATCCCATGCCCGTGGCGCTGTTCAGAAACATTGTCTGCCTGCGCCTAGTGCAGATGCACGACGCCGTGGTCTCGTTTGCCGAGCAGCAGACGGCGGGACCCCATTCCTTCAGTCTGCGACACCCAATGCGAAACCAGGCGGAAATGCTCATTGAGCAGTGGCAGATCTACCTCATCGTGGCCTGCTGCACGTTGACGTTGACCGACGACAAGACCAATGACCAGGCGGGAGTGCCTACTTCTGCTTCTCACAACCGCAAGAGATCAGTGCCCCGGATTCCAGCGTCACAACAAAAGATTACGTCTGCCAAGTCCGTTTTCCGAATGGTAATCCCCCTCATGACCGTGGACCACCCGTTGATTCGTGACTCGATCATCGCCGGGCTCTCCTGTATCAACGTGAACATCTACGCGTCGCTTTTGGAGTGCCTGCAAGCCTGTGTGGGAAACTGGAAGGAAGAGCGACGACGTTTGCGTCAGATGAGCCACCATCGGCGAACCAGTTCCGAGGTGAGTAATCCGGACACGCTGATTATCGAGGTGACTCGAATTCTGAGGCTGACGGCGCATTTCATCCAAAACGATGAGATTCTCAAGGACGAGTGGATTCTTGAATTTCTGTCGTCGTACATCAAGGACATGAAGGCGTTTTTGTCGCTACCCGAGGTCCAGGTGGAATGGGACTATCAGCGTCTGAGGCGGTATTTCTGCGGGTTTCTGGAAACCGTCTATCTGGGCATCATCAAGACCCCGAACCCCGCCAGATGGCTGCCGTTTGAGGGCCGCATTTCGTGTTTCACCGTTATTGAAGAGTGGTGTGGACATGGCCAGCACTGGGCCTTGTCCAAGGACCGAGAAATGCAAATGAGGAGGGTGGTTTTGGGCCGGACCCGGGAGAGCAAAGACCAGTCTATGATTGTTGCTTCCATGGAGCTGGAGCGACGCAAACTCGAGCTGGCGGCGCTCTCGTGCATGGCTGTGCTTTGTTCGGGACCGGCGGTTCAAGCGGTGGAGAGCAACGGCGAGACCCGAGCGGTTCTGGCCTTCAACATCACCGGGCTGATGAAATGGATCGACGCCATTCTCTCGTCGCCCGGTGAACAGATGAAGAGAATCGGCACATTGGCACTGCGAAACCTGCTTGTGAATAACTCTGACCAGACCGCCATCACCGACGAGGCCGTGGCCCATTGTTTCCAGGACCACGAAGACCCCGTGCAGAACCACTGCTACTTTCACACCCTGGTGGACGTGATTCTCGGCGACGTGAATTACCCGGTCAAGATCCACCAGCTGCTGGTTTTGGCGCTCTTCAAGGTCGGAGACAGCGACCGAACCACCCGCTGTTTGGCCATCAAACTGCTCACCTTTTTGGAGCGCCAGTATTTTGCCACCTCGGTTGTGCGCGAGTTCCAAATCTCCGTGTGCGACACGACTCAGGCGGTCTACAAAAAGGCACTGTTCGACCTGTCCACTCGGTACGCCCAGGACCACGCCAACAAGGCGTACTACGTCTTTTCCGAGCTCACCCGGTACTTTCACAACGTGTCACCTTCTTCTCGAAGAGACATTTTGGCGGCGGTTCTGCCGTGGGTCCAGGCTCTGGAACTCAAGCTCGATTCCAGCAACATTCTGTGCCCATCGAGTTATATGGTGGTGGTCAATCTGCTGGAAATCACGGCGCGGTTCTCTCAGGTGATTCCCCACGAGGTCCAGGCTCTGTGGATCGCGCTGGGCAACTCCAGCCAACATGCCGGCAACGTGGATCTCATTCTCGACTTTGTCATGAAGGAGTCCATTCGCCGACGAGACCCCATGTTTGTCGAGTGCTGCAGACAGATTGTGGTGTATTTGAGCATGACCACGGCGTCGGGCCAGACGAAAATTTGGGACACTCTGTTTTCTCACCTTTCTCCCCGCTCTATGATCCCTCAGTACCCCCATGAAGACCCGCCTTACGAGATTGACGATGGTCTGTATGTGGCTGATCTGTTGCAGGTGTTTCCGAGACCGTCCAAGGAGTCTGGGTTCTCCCACGGGCAGTTGGCGCTCATTTTCCTGGTCGATCTGATCACATGCCGGTCGGAAAAGCTCCAGACCGCCATTCCGCTGCTGTTGCAGGTGTGTTTTGTCCTGCTTGACCATTACCACACCCTGGTGCACGTGCAGTCGCGTGAGATGCTGGTACACGTGATCCAGGCGTTTGTGGAGTCGTCCCCCGAAGAGGAGCAGCTTGTGGAGCTGTTGCAGAGCGACTCGACGCTGTGGGCCTACGACGACATGAACAGCGACAAAAATGGAGCCAAGACCCCCATCAAGATGAAGGAGCTGATCCGGCAGCTTGTGGAGCTGTTGTCAACTGTCTGTCCGGGTCTACAGTCCGAATGGGCCCGCCTCTCGCTCAGCTGGGCCACAACATGTCCCGTTCGTCACGTGGCTTGCCGGTCGTTCCAGCTGTTTCGAACTCTGGTCACCGATCTCGACCAGACCATGCTTGGCGATATGTTGGCGCGGCTGTCCAACACGGTGTCCGATGAGCTGCCCGACATCCAGGGCTTCTCCATGCAGATTCTCATGACGCTGCACTCTCTGACCGAGCGTCTGGATGTGACGCAGCTGGAAACGTCGCCCCAGCTTTTTTGGGCCACGGTGGCGTGTCTGAGCACCGTCCATGAGGCGGAGTTCAACGAGTGCTTGGCTGTGTTGCAAAAGTATCTGCTTGTGGTGGACATTTCTCGCCCCGAGGTCCAGCAGAGAATCATCGCCGCGTTCCCTCCGGGCTGGCGAGTGGCTTCAGACGAGCTTTCCGAGCAGGGCAAGTACGCTGGAGTCGGGCTGAAGCGGTTTGAGGCGGTGGAAGATGGCGCCGTGGGTGTGGAGCGGTTTGAGGGGCTTCAAAGGACCATTTTGGTGGGTCTTAAGAGCTGCAACTCGTACCAGCTGTCGCTTGACGTGCTGAATCTCCTCAACAAGGTGCCGGACTCGATTCTGGTGGGATCAGGCACCACCCGGCTGCTGTTTGGACTGTTGAGCAACCTGCCGTCGTTTTTGCACGCTCTCGACGATTCGGAGGGACCCATCTCCGAAGACATTGTCAGTGCCGCGTCGCAGCTGCAGATCATGGCCGGTGACGCTCCCGAACACGCTGGGTTGGTGCGGATTCTCGACTCGCTGTGCAAGAAAAAGTTCCGCACCAAACTCGACTTTCTGCGTCAATCGGTGCAGATCATCTCCAACAACTTTTTCCCGTCGGAAGAGGCCCACGCCCTGGTCTTCTTGCTGGGTCTTCTCGGCAACAAGACCGACTGGATCCGACGAGAGACGCTGGACCTGCTTCGGCTCATGTTGCCTTTGGTGAACATGACCAGACCGGAGTTTACCGGCATTGGCGCGGATCTGATCAGTCCCTTGCTGCGACTGCTCCAGACGGACTACGCCGAAGCCGCTCTTTCGGTTCTCGACGAAGCCGTGTGCATTTCAGGGTCGCAAATGGACAAGCACGTGCTGCGCATGTCTCTGGGCAACAGATCCATGCGCAAGGAGTACGAACGGTATATTACTCTGTTTGGAATTCCCGACGAAAGCGGCTGGGCCATTCCCTGGCCGACATTGAGCCACACTCTGACCCGCCACAATGTGAACGCTGTGTTCAACACGTGCCAGGTTACCAACTCGTCCTTATCGTCGGTGCCGTCGTCGCCGGCCGAGGAGTTCAAGTTCCACCAGGAAGACAACTTTTACGAGGAGGACAACATGTCGCTGAGCCGCATGGACTCCGTGTCGGTGCAGGAGGAGCCCGACGGAAGCCTCAGCAACATGTGGCAGGCGCTGGACAATCTGGACTCATTTTTCCAGAAGACTAGCATCCAGCAGGACGGCGGCGGCGGCTCGCGGTCTCGGGCTGGCCACATGCACAACCATTCTGTGTCGGCCACCTCGGAAATGACCGACACCACCGACCACGACTACGTGCCCCAGCTCTACGACAAGAAGGTGTCCATCATTCTGAACCGGTCGCTGCAGAGAACCGCGTCCAGCACCTCGTTCAAAACCACACTGGCAGACTCCTTTGCCAACACCCAGCAGAGCTACGGGCCCACGGGCTCGGCCACGACTGCCGGTGCCGGCTCGTCGGGCTTGTCTCCAGCGCCCTCTCCGGGCTTGTCTCGACACGCCAAGCAATCGACTTTGGGCGGGTCTTCGGACTTTGGCGGCTTCCAGCTTGTCGACGAGCCGTCTCCCGGCCACACGCCGCACTCTGGCCACCCAGGCTCGGGTCACGTGCCTCTGCACACCCGCAATCTTTCGTATGATCAGGGCGGCGAGGTGCTGTCGCAGAATCTGTCGCCGGCGGTCTCTTTCAAGTCGCGGAAGGCGTCCACCTCCAACGAGTCGAGTTTCCGGCTCGAGAGTCTTCTTCGGGGCGCCAGTCTGGGCAAAAAGAGCACCAAGATGAAAACCAAGGAGTCTGCGAGCCACAAGAAGAAGCCGTCGGTGGCGGAAACGCCCAAGAAGGAGAGCAGCAAATGGGGTCCGTTTTCGCCCGCCAGCAGCTCCAGTCCGCAGCAGCGACCCTTCCGGCCTCAGCGTGAGGACGCCAGTAGTTTTCAGTTTCCTCCTCCGAACTGATCTGGAGATAGATAATATTGCATATCATGATGACGTGACTGTAGCTAGTGATATTCCCTGGATATTGTACTATGACGACGACGAAACAGTTGCCTAGACGAATAGGCAAAGATCAATGATGCTAAATAGTAATTTTTTAGTGATTATAGTGTTGCAATAGTTTTCTGCAAATAGAAGAATCTGCTTAATAATCAGATTTCAGTTATCTTTGAAAATATATGGCGGGAATTTGTCCACGGGCGCGTTTAATAGTGTGGACCACATGGAATTGATTAGCTAGTTACAGTGCAGTAACGAATTTTTTTTGATTTTTCTTATGTTTTTTTTTTATGTTTTTTTATGTTTTTCTATGTTTTTTTTTTAATTTTTTTTTGTTTCTTTTATTTTTTTATAATTCTCTTTATTATTTATTTTTCCCTCTTCCATCACTCGGGTTCAGCAAACTTTTCACACGCAGCTTAGTTGAGGTTGGTTGAGAGTTAGTTGAAGAAGGAGTTGTGCTGGGGGTACCTATTTCAGAGATCCGGATATGCAATTACATCGAAATGGAGATTAATATATAGCCAGAGCCAACGTTCCTAACAAATACTTACAAAAATCCACCCCTTGTAATACGATTATTTCGAGATATCGACGATTATTTTTTAATGTTCAATTAGAATTTGTTCGGATTTCGTTTAAACTTACTTAGTATTCAAGCCATAAGGGAACTATTTTGGACTCTGTTAACAACTCAAATGCTGCGGGCAGAATAGCGAGCCGTAGCTCATTTACGGGGTCACGTGAGCGTACGAGATACAATCAAAACTGGGGTTTACATTGTTTGTGACTCCAGTAACCCGTCCTTTATTCTCAACTAATTAGTTGGATAACTCCCTTTATTCCCAACTAATTAGATGGTCAGTAAGACATCTGAATGCAATGAGAGAGATAGACACGTTATTTGATGATAAATTGATGCGTGACACCAACGGAAAGGAGTCCAATGAGATCCTGTCGATAGGACCGTAACCCGCGGAGTTGAGGTCTGAGTGAGTCAATGACCCCAGACTAACTTGGCCTGTGCTGACTCTGTAGAGACAGGATATGTATCATTGTACTCGTTGCGATCCAGGCTTTCATATGAGTCTAGTTTCGTCTAGTTTCAGCTTGAATGGGCGAATATTTGGGGCTGTGAATACCGGATATGAATGAGCATTAACTCACGATCTAGAGTGACTGATATTGGACTTGTCCTACTGAAATCGATATCATTGGAATGGTGTAAACGGTAAAAATCAAACAGCCAAGTTCCTGTTTCTCTAGTCCAAGGACGCTGGTGTTATTGCCCGTATCATCGTCCAGCAAATCATCAACAAGCCTACCAAAGCTGTAGAGTGGAAAGGACTGGTTGGAATAACCCGAACAGTATGCAGAGAAACGGCGGAACAATCTACAGACATTCAAAGTGAGGCCCCCCAACAAGTTCGCTCCAAGCTCTCCGAAACCACTTCCAAAGAAATAGGATCAATGTCGGGCACCCCAAGGTTAGGTCACCCCAATGTCGATCACCTCAACTAGTATAGTTGACATTTTGTTAAACATGAAAATCACCAAAACAGTCGGCAATGTCTCAATGGTGGTGATCAAGTGACCAAACAAACAAACGCGCAGCATCACTGCTGTGTCTAAGTAACCACAGAAATGCCTGGTATCATTGAGTCAAAGCCAACATTTCCAAAATCGTCCACAAATGTATAAATTACTAACCCGAGATTTCAGAGATTGGTAATCACGTGGACACGCGCGACACACAACGGTTGAGATCACATGACTGCATCCACGATGAGCCTCCCCCCCCCCTCCCCTCCACTAATATCCCATCCGCCTGGATAACTCTCCAAAAAGCGAAAAACCCTCGGGCATGGGAGACGACTCCTTGGTAGAACTGGCGACCGAAGACTCGCGCTCATGACGGTCAGCCCGATCATCACGAGACACCTCCACACTATCGCGTTTAGTGATTTCGCGCTCAATTCGCTTTTTGGTTGCCATAATGGCCCGCACTCGGCTATTGTATCCGCCAGTGCCCTTCCACACCTGGGCGAGCTGGAGGGCCTCGTCGACAAGATTAAGAGCCTGGTCATAGTCCCCAGAGGCTATGAGTTGGTCGATTTTCGTGTCGAGATGCGATTGGTCGAATTCCTTTGCCTTTCGGAGCATGATGATCACAGTTTCCATTTTCCGCCGCGCAGAATCGTACCGTTGAAGCTGCTCGGTGATATCCGAGGAACCCGCACCGGCGTCAGGATTCTTGTCACGAGACTCCGGGTCTGTTCCGGACTCCGGGTCTGTTTGCTTCTCCGTTTTTTCATCAACGTTCATGGACTCCACCCTGTCTCTCAGAGAGTCCAGATCGCCCGTGAGCAGTTCAATCTGGTATCGGATCTTGTTTTGGCTCTGGGTAAGTTTAGTCAGCAGTCCATCGAGCGTCCACGTGAGGTCCTGGCTGTGGTAGTCCAGTTGTGACAAGAGTTGAGATGCACTTGACTGCAGCTGTTGGATGTTTTTCTCTTCGCATTTCGGCAGCGACTGGTCCAGGTAGCTGTGAGACACGAGGTCGTCGTTTGAGAACTGTTCCAGAACCTGCTGGCGAGTCAGGGTCATTTTTTTTCGTGGTTGTGAGATGCAAAGTACTGTCGTGACAAAGTGGTGATGTGTTGTGGAGGTTTGGTGTGACGATGTAAAAGTTTAAATGGGACAGAGGGGCGGTTGATCGGGGACATGGCGGCACAATGAGACTCAAAAAAAGGATATGTGGTTGCCTCTGAAAAGGGATTGTGTCGATTGCAAGTTTTTGGACACAAATCGGAGCAGTTTTGGAGGAGTTGGAGAGTGCAGTTTTCATGGTATTATGTTGAGTATAGCCCCAACTAAAGTAGGTTGTATAGTTGGAAGATGGTTAAAGGTGTCGATGCGCATGGAGGCTCGCGCGTAGAGAGCTTCTGTAGGGATTTTAGGGCAAATTGATCATGTCACAGCAATGGAGGCATACATTAGATCTGCTCTGGGTTGTCTTTTCTTCAATATTTGTCACATTTGGACGCGTAAACCCCTGTAAGTGCAATACCGGAGATTCAAGTGAAGAGCAACGATAAGACAATACAATACCTCAATACTTCAATACCTCAATACCGCAATACCTCAATACCTCAATATCTCAATATCTCAATATCTCAATACCTCAATACCCCATACATCTCATGTCCAGTTACCCTTGATCTTCCCCCCAACTAAGTCCAACTAATCTCAATTAACTTCCCACTAAATCCAATTTAGCCCCAAGTAAACCCAACTACGTCGTATTCCGTCCATCATTAAACTCAATATCTGACCCTCTAAACGTGCCTGAAAACGCCTTCAAACGGCTTTCTAGCGAAAATAATATCATTCGGAAGCTCAAAAAGACGCCAGAAATCCCCACCAGGTCTCAGATTTCACTTTGGTCAAGCCCGCCTTATTTCGCCCCTCACCAAAAACCCGGCCAATCTCTCTCCACATCAACACCACCCACATTTCAACACCACCATTCAACTCGCCAGCCTCCGGCCATCAAAATGAATACCCCATCAGCCTACTTTGACCCTCGTTTAACCTCGATACACCCTTATTCTCCCCCCACCACCGCCAACCCCTGTTTCATAATAAACTCACCCGCCGAAAATACCCCCAAAAATGATAAACAACCCTCAAACCAATGCCCGACCGCCCCCAAAACCCGCCTCCTCTCCGGGTCACGTGATGACCCCCCCCCTCCTCCTCTCCTCTCCCGAGTCGGTAACCCCCGCAAAGCGTAACCCCGGCAACCCCGGACTAAAGACGGATTTCCAACACGACCGTAAATATTTAACCTTCAACTCTGCATCCACCCAAGCATATACTTATACACCCCGAATCCACTTTTCAACGTCACCAAAAGACGCCACAAGAAGCCCAAAGGACGATCTCATAACCTGTTAGTCAGAGGACGATCTCAACGTGCCCCATAATTCTCACTCATAACCTGCGCCAAACAACACCATTCCACCCACTCTCCCCCACCAGCTGACTCATGTCACAGCCTCCAAGGACACCTCTGCCGTCAGGAATCCCACTCAGACGAGGAAAAACAACGACGACACGTGACCGGCCCCAAAGCCACATTCGGACTCTTAGTCAGCAGAGCCTACCGTCGCTGTCACTGTCGCTGTCGCCGGCGTCGAGCCCCAACGTCAGCCCCCATGTCAGCCAACTCAAAAGAGCAGGGTCCGTGAAACAAGCGAGTCACGTGGCGCCAGGTTCGCCGAGTCACGTGATCCAGCAGCAAGGTTCGCCGAATCACGTGAGCCAACCGCACGTGAGCAAGCCACACGGTTCGCCGAGTCATGTCTTTGGTCACCACCACAACAATGTTCCAAATCCGGGTTCGCCGCTTACAGGGCCTGGTCCCGGTCACCTGAGCAGTCGCGTGTCTTCCGACGTGTCCGTTTCCCTGCCTGTGCCCGTGCCCGCGTCCGCCCTTCCCCCTACGCCCATATCTGTCCATGCAGTCATCCGAATCAAGCCATCGGTGGCCAAATCGGCCATCACCGAGTTCTCCAGCAACTCCATCACTGTCACGTGCGCCCCTCAAAAACGCACGTTTCTCTATGACCACGTGTTTGGGCCTCAAACTACCCAGTCGGAGATCTACGCCCACTTTTCAAAGTCCACAGATCAGTTTGTAGCCGGTTACAATGTCACCATCATGGCGTACGGCCAATCTGGCTCGGGCAAGAGTTACACCATGGGCACCGAAAGTGTGGATGTCGGTTCACGGTCGAGTTCCCGAATGTCCACACGTGACCTGGACGGCGGATTCGCGTCTGACCCAGTCAATCCCGACCCCGACCACGAGGGTCTAGTCCAGCGGGCCTCGGCAGACATCTTCGCAAAGCTCGAGGACAAGTTTGACAAGACAATGTCGGAACTGACGGTTTCCGTCAGTTATGTAGAGCTCTACAACGAACAGTTCTGCGACCTGCTGGACCCTAACCCAAAACCCCAGCCCATGGTGCGTGAGGACAGCGCCGGTAACGTGGCCATCTCCGGCGTGGCGCACGTGACTGTCTCCTCGCTCCCCGCGCTGCTTCATCTCCTGCGCTCGGGCTCCGAGCTCCGCCAAAAGGGGTCCACGGCGCTTAACTCTGAGTCGTCGCGCTCCCACGCCATTTTCACCATCACCCTGACCCAGAACGGCGCCTCCAGCAAGTTCAATTTTGTCGATTTGGCTGGCTCGGAGCGACTGAAGAATTCCGAGGCCAAGGGAGAAAGAGTCAAGGAGGGCATCGCCATTAACGGAGGTTTGGCGGCGTTGGGCAAGGTGATTAGTCAACTGTCGAGTGCCGCCCAAACTGCGGCAACAGCCACCAAACATATCTCGTACCGAGACTCGAAATTGACCCGCTTGTTGCAAGACTCGCTGGGGGGCAGAGCGGTGACATATCTCTTGTCCTGCATCACGTGTGACGACGCGTTTGTGTCGGAAACACTCTCCACGCTTAGTTACACCCAGCGAGCACGTGCCATCCAACTGGCTCCAGAGATTAGCCAGAATGAGGAGATGGAGTTTGACCAGATGAAGCGGGAGATGGAGTACTGGCGAGGGCGAACGAGAGAGCTGGAGCGCGAGCGCGAGCGAACACGTGACTTTTCACGCGACTTTTCCCATGAATCGCCCTCACGGCTGTCATCGCGGGACTCTCCTTCGCGCATGTCGTCCAGCAGAGACAGCCCCACGGGGTTTGTACGCGAGTCGCCGACACGGACGTCACGTGACCGGTCACGTGACTCGCTGCGCTCCTCGCGAATGTCTCCCACGCGCCACCACCGCCACCAGCGCGACTGGTCCCACGATTCTCTCAGGCATGCGGACTTTGATGTCATGTCACCTGACTCTACCTTTTCCCCACGGGGCTCGACGACGGACGTGTCGCGCACATCCCCCGACTCACGTGAGAATGGGTCCTCGCGGCTCAACAACACCACCGAAATGCACTCTGCGGTGGAGGATATGATCAAGCAGTACGATTTGCGGATTCTGGGGTTAGAAACCGCGCTGGTAGAAGAGCAGCGCGGGCACGCGGCGGAGCGGGAGAGTCACGTGATCGCGCAGCAGCGGATCGGGGAGCTGGAGTCGTTGCTGGAGCAGCGCGAGGACGAGATTCGTGAGTTGAAGGCCAGCCACAGGAGCGAGTCTCGCGCGACAGTGATGTCTGAGGATTCACGTGACGCGTCTACAGCGGGGAGTAGCTCACGTGCGCCCCTCGAGTCGCGCATCTCCGTGCTGGAGTCGCATCTTGACAACTCCCGGGTGCAGCACCGGCGGACTCTGGACGAGCTCAAGCGGCTGTCGTCGCACTACGAGGCAATGTCTCGTGATCTGGACCGGTCGCGGCGGGAGGTGGAGAAGGAGAAGCAGCTGCGGTATGACGTGATTGCTCAGATGAAACGCACGAGCGTGAGCGAGTCACGAGATGAGGCGACTGGCGTCGGCGGCGGCAGTATACGGTCTCGAACTGCGGCGTCGTTTACAAGCAGTTTATTTGCCAGTTTGCCGCGGGTAGCCGATAGTGCCGATGACGAGCGGGAGACCGGGTCATCTGTCAAGCTCTCCAATGGGAGCTCCGATTCGAAGAAGACGTCCATCTCGTCGGAGGTTTTGCCGAATGATTCGTCACTGCCGCATTTTCACTGAGCGGGAATGACCATACAGCAGTCATTCTCGCTGGAGTTTTAGCAGCTGTCTTTTGCTTTATTTGCTCGTATTATAGCCTGGGAAGGCATGTTGTTATCTATTAGCTAATTTATTCTATTTATTGGATTTTATATTTGAGTATTTTTAGAAATAATCTTTCCGCAGTGCAACTAAAAAAATATCATAAATATATAATAATAGATAAAATCAAATCAAAATAAATAAAATAAAATAAATATGTAAAAATCAAATCAAATCAATTAATATATTGACGGTATTTTTATATATTTTCTAAATAATTTAGGTTCCTAAAAAAAGTAAATACGAAAGGCATTAATTAATTGGAACTTCACCTAAATCGGCTGACTAAATTGTTTGATGACATAATGTTCGTTCACAAAAATATTCCACACTGGGAAGTTCTAAAAAATGCCCATTATAAGTGAGACTAACCTGAAAGAAGGTCTATTGGTTAAACTGGCAAAACTAATTAGTGTTATATATATTTTTTTCTGCATAACACATTTATTACAGATGGTGTTCTGTCATAGGCACTGACATCATGTTCCGTAGAACCTGCTGGAAATTCGAGATACTGGGATTCGGATCAAGTTAAGACTTATAAATGGTATTATTAATGCGTCTTTTCGAAAGATTGCGACGCTATCTTGTGATTTGAACTATTCATTTGTGTCTGGATATGATCTGAATATTGTATGTACTATATTAGTTGAATGGGATTCGGAGTAATTGTCCAACAAGTTGAATACTGCTGTTATTCAGTCCGAAAAAAAGGGAAAGGGTTTTTCACGAAATGGAAAATCAAGGTGATGTATATTTCTTGGTCTCAAGGCTTGGGATGTGGTTTGTAATGGATTTTATGTCGCCTCAGAAGAACTTCATAATGAAAGTCTGATCATGAGACCAAAAAGAAAAATATAATCAAAGGGACTTGGGAGAGATATTTGAATTTTTTCATAATCCAACCTTCTTTTTCTTTGATTGATATTCATGGACTCTAGCTGTCTCCTTCTTGATGTTCAAGGACTTGTCTACTGCTCTTTTTCTGGGGTTTCTCCAGTTGTGAGTTGTGGTAGTCTAGGAGTAATATGGGTCAACAAAAAGTATGGTGAAGGTTCTACAAGTTGAAAAATGTATCCATCAGAATGCCATTTTCAAGTTTCCGCTTCAATTCCACCTTTTCTATGCCTTTCAGTCTCTCCTCAACGCTGTCTCAACGGCGTCATACAAAACAACTCCAATAGATCCACAATTGAATAACGTAGCCAATAATAGGTTTTCAACCAATAAAAGATATTCATAACTTGAAATTTTATTACTAATACTTCTTTCCCAATCATCATTCCATTTTAACGTCATTAATTCCACATGGGAAGGTCAGTATTGTACTGTGTCCTATGATTGAAAGAGGTGTCAGGGCGAACAATCACTGCCTGTTGTAGAGATTTCAGGAATACCAGAAATATTCATTATATAGCCATTAGGGTATCACCTCCTTTCTCAATCTGAAGTTCAATACTTCAATCGCACAATATTGAGGTGATGGGGATAAATATACGGTAATAGAGATTCTTCGTGGAGACCTATTTTTGATACCATGATCGAAGTCACCTTTACCAACATCGTAACGCAGCATGCACCACGACAATTAGACCAATTCATCGGGGTATTTAGTTGAAGTTTGGTCGTGATGATCCTGTCGTTTCCATCAACTAATGACCGATGCCATCTCACCGACTATCCATGGTTCTGGAGTGGTCACATGTTGATATTGGTTTAATAACCGACGCATACAGATGCGAATATACTTGACGACAGAAGCGGCAAATAATGTTTCGATCTGCTTCAGCTCTTTGTCTACTGCTCGTTTTGGGCTCGTTCTTGGCTCATTCTGGGCTCATTCTGGAGTTTTGGGTCGATTCTGGATGCTTTATGTTCGATCTGGCCCTATAAATCTGCTTTGGAACACTCAACTTTGCCTTTTGGCCTTTTTGTGTTCTTCCACCCATTCTCAACCTGCTAGTCCACTCGTAGTTGTTCAAGTAGTATCGCATTGATGTCAGTCAAACAAAAAATTGAAGATCACGATTCTAGAGAGATTACCGGCAGTATTCACCAGCCCCACCGTTGGATCACCCTTTTTCACTCATTCCTGCTGCTGGCGTTTCTGGTTGATTAGTAAATGGAGAGTCAATGCAGTTGATTGTGTGTTATCGCGTTGCCGTGAATCTCAACTGGTTTTTACCATGTCCACAACTCGCAGTCGACGAACCCTTCCAGGACTGCTTGGAATAATACATTTTCAATGACCACCTGGCTCGTGACCTCACGTGATCTGATATGTTTTTCCACAACTACACACTTTTGTACATCTCTCTCTTATCACTCACCCACCAACGTTACAGGAACCCATACTGCTAGCTTGTCAATTAAGTGATTCCTCGATTCGCAGCATTCCGTCGGAGGTTTTTAGTCACAAAAATCGTATCATTATGACCACACAAGTCGACTCTTTCTAATTATATGATTATTGATGCAGTCAGATTAAGTGGCTCCAAGATTGAATTGTTCTTTTATTTTTATATTTATATATATATATATATATATATATATTTTTGTCCAATGTTAGATGTTTCCAGATGTGAGGGTCTCCAGAATTCGCCCAGTTATGAAGAAATTAACGAGGCTCTTAAATAAAAACTTCTGATGGCAATTGTTGGTCACGTGACCATTTTTAATCACGTGATATTGTTGTTGAGCGGGTTGGGGCTCGTGAAACCGTCCGTCCGTTGATCAGATGTAGACCACAGTTGCGTCATTCTCTCCAAGGCCATCACTTTTTACTCGATCACACATCATCTGTGCATTTTTTCACTTGTCTTGCTTCTCATTCTGCAAGCCATGGTTCGCGACTCCCAGCAATATATAAACTCGAAATTCCCCTGATTTATCACTCCCAGGTTCCACGATTATGCAGCGGTTCACATGCTAATGCGGCTTAAATGCAGTCTACATGCAGGTGCATGTAAGCCGCATACAAAGGTACATATTATGGACAGTATATGCACGACCTGTATGTCCAACTATACCATACAAGACTACTCACTACGCCATTACCTGACAATAAATACATTCCTAACTAGAATCCGCCTGTCGCCACATGCTCGATACACGCACGTGACCAACATAAGGACTTTGCACCACTCCTGATGATGATCTCCTCATTAACTTCCGGTGACCATCTCTGAGGTGAGCTACAATCCACGTGCTCTGGTCTCTCCTGGATCCCTTTCCTCATGTGATGTTCTCACGTGACCTCTCTCACGCCGTCACCCCTTCTACTCAAACTCCTCGCGAATCCATTCCCAAACATCGGCCTTTTGCCTGATTGCCTCCATCTCCCCCTCATGAGCCTTACTCATCTTGTGGGTCTCGTGATACCTCTTGAGATACTCCGGTCGATAACAAGCGCCAAAAGTTGTGGGTTCACCGTTTTCCCTCACTGCCCGCTGGTCCACATTCTCCTCAATCTGTAACATTTCACACTGGTCCTGCTGAACCCACATTTTGATAAACTTGTTCCAGAAGTGGCCCTCGAACCGGGTGTTCACCAGCGGCGCCTTCTTGTACTCCTGGTTCAAAATGGACTCGAAATTGTTTGGAATGTAAGCCTCCTTGCCCTCAAACAGCGTCCGACGCAGCGGAGAAACGCTCTCCAACTCATACCGATGCCAGTTTTTGCAGTGGAACTTTTCCTGCTGCTCGGCATACGCCAAGGCGGTAATGTCAATGTACATGCCACTATCAACGTCGATAAACCGAGCATCAATGACATTCTTGCCGTTGCCTCGGAGGCGCTCGACGTAGGAGGGACCCACATCGACATAATACCGGCCGCCGGCTGACTCATCAATTACCAACGACTGATTATAGAGGCGGGCAAACCGGTCGAATTCGCGGATCGGCATCTGGACATCACCGTCGAAATCCCACGGCAGAGACTGGCCGTTCCAGTACCAGCCCAGCAACGTGCCATGCGCCAGCCACGTGATAATGCCCTCACGTGACGTGAAGTCGAGCCACGCACGCACCAATTTACGCAAGATGACTCGTTTCTCGTCAATGGTGTTTAACTCGCTGAAAAATCGCCAGTCGTAATGGACTCCGGCTGCTTTGGTGTCGCCCACAACCCACGCTTCGGAGAAATGCTTGCCGGACTTTTTGATGTGTTTCCAATGCTGACTAAGAAACTGCGAGTGCGCAACCTGCTCACGTGACGGGTCGTCTGAGTCAACGCTCTTCTTAGTCAGTCCCTTGTCAATCTCTTCGTGAATGTCCCAAGTGAACAGCTCGCGCGGCAGCTCGACATATTTCTGGCCACGTGACCAGCCGCTTCGCAGGTACGACTTGGCGGCCGCGTCCTTGTCTGCGTATTCCTGGAGCTCCTCCTCTGACTCAGCCGTCGGCACGAGAATGGTTCCGTTTTCGTCGTCGTCATACGAGTCTTCGTGCACGGGGTCAGCCTCGGAAAAGGCAATGTCACGCGCGGAGGCTCGTGCGGAGTCACGTGACTGGCCCTCGTTGGCTGACTCACCAGTCGCCTCCTCAGTCGCCTCCCGCTTAGCATTTTGGATTGACTTGGCGTCACGCGATCGGCTAAAGTCGCCCAACTCAGGCTCCCGAACCACCGGAACATGTGACTCTATCTCGACGGGCTCCTCCCGCTTGCCACGTGACTCTTTCTCGGTCAGATAAATCAACTGTTTCGGCTTGGGCATGGTCTGGTCCAAAAACACCTTTCCGACCCGGTTGAAAAACGCCTGGGGCTCCACCTGAGTCGGGGGTCCGGTGACCTGGAGCTTACTAAGGCATTGTTTGTTTTTGCCACACGAGCCGACCTCGATGGCTCTGAATAGACCCGTGACCTCGGTCAAGTCGACCCAGTCTTTCCACTCGAATGAGTAATCCGACGACGAGTCCAGAGCCTTCTTCTGGGCCCACTTGGGGTTGAATTCCTTTTCGTTTTCGGCAAACTTGATTTTCGTCAGTGGCACGTGACTGATGCGCACAGACGAGTTGCCGGCCATGGCTTTCGAGCGGGCACCGCCGCTGACTAAGCCCACGTCGGTCATGTAGGCGACCCGTGACTTGACTCCGTCGGGCAGCTTGTCGGTCAAGTTGAGTAAGCTGCCGAAAATCAGACAGGTTATGAGAATGACGACGAGCTTGCTCACAAGAGATGTGCGCAGCAGGCGAAACGGGTGCAGCACCATGCTCAGTGCTTTCGAGCGGTACGGCGACCGATGCGTTTGTTTTTCAATGTCCCTGAGTTAGTAAGAACGTGGGCACGATACATGACAGTGTCTGCGGCTGGGACTGACGACGTTATGTGGGTCCCAACATAGTCAATGTCTCTCGCGACATGGTCTCTGTGATCACAACATTGACAATGGAGTGTCCACCCTGACCAGGCCGTCCCACCACACGGCTCTGTCGCACGGCTCTGTCGCACCACCACAAGGCTCATGTCGCCCCATCACATTGGCCATCTTGTCACCACACTGACCATGTCGTCGCTGCCATGACACCAATACTCACATCTCGCCGTCTATCTGTTAGTGTTGCGGTATCTTCTTGCATCCGTCTCCTTGCCCCTCCGTCTATATATCCAGGAAAAAGGTTTGAAAGCGCAAAACGAAAAGTGGTCAAAATGAAAACACAAAGCGAAAAATCAAACCCTGTCTCCGATGGTGTGTTGTGGAACCGACCGTGCCTGAAAGAGTCCAATTATTACCAAGGCGGAGGTGATACGGAGAAAGAATAATATTAGGGCGATAGAAGAAAAAAAGATGAGTCCCTGAAGAAGACCTTATTACTAAGATCCACACACCACGTGATCGCGTATTACACAATCCAACCATCAGTTGCCCGACCCCGTCCTGCCAGAGAACCCACCCCCGCGATCACGTGACTCTCATCCCTGCAACTCCGCCCGCATTCCGAAACAGGGCTGAAACGCGCGCGGGGCAGTGTTTTGGACCGCTGCAAAACCTGCCCACGCGACGCAATCAGAATGCTGAAAATACCTCTGTCATCACGTGACCGCTACGATTCCAGCGCGCTGGTCCACGAGACCGCACGACCTCGACTCGGCGTGTTCCACCTCCTCCGCGCCACCGACGGACTCCACCGGGCAGCTGCATGTGGAGCTGTTGCCAAGCCGCCAAGCCCTGCAGCCAAGACCCACTCTAGAGCTTATATACCCTAAGCTTTCGACTGGTCGTGTGCATGGTAAAACCTTCAAACAAGTGGGGACAAAAAAGAGACGCAAACAGACTGACGTGCAAAAAGCGATACAAAAACAACCAGACCTAAATATAACAGAGTCCAGAGGGACCGGAGGCGAAAGGTCAAACTGTGAAATTTGCTCAAATCAAAACAAGTGTCTGGAATTCTCGACTTGATTTTGGCAATGTTTTGTTTCTTGCTACAACTTTAAAATAGCCCCTTGGAGATAAGGATGGTAGAAAAAGCGACTTTGACTAGTGACAGGATATCGCGGCGTGATGCTGGGCCCTGTGACTTGAATGGATTGGGGTGGATTCCGTGGAGTTCTGGTCACGTGAGTGCCACTACCGATACCAGTACCTGGTACCTCCGATCTTAGTGATGGCCATAAATGTACTTCTCCAGGAAAGAATCAAAGATGGCGATGTGGTCTGCTGCTTTTGGGGGTCGTTGTTTTAGCAACCTTGGAAAGGTCTCAGTTAGGCTTACGTGTTTGTGGCGTTTTCCGGCTCGTAACCTGTGTTTTGTGAGGTGGGTTTGGCGGAAACGGTTCTGGCGAAACGGGGCCAGTGCAGGGGTTATTCCAAAGAGGTTATGACTTGTCGGACAAGGTCGGATTTTACTACTTAGTTGACTAAAACTCCTCATAGTCCGACTCATAATCTGACCATTTTCCAGTTCTTTCTAGCACCACACATTACTAACACTATATTGTGTGGAAATTGCTGAATAATCACAATGGAGGTCCGGCATCTTGAATCTGGCGCCTTTCCTCGCTGTTTATCCACCTTTTTGTACCCCACACTGACTAATACCGGTCTAAAATCTGACTAATCGTTGTTAGTAACGAACTAACCTGGTCTTAGATCCATCATGAAGGGAGCTAGCCACACAAGCTAATCTCTGGATGATCACACGACGCCGGGAAAAGGCATCTCCGAGGAATTGATCACGTGCAGTATTAATAAGAATTTCAAAAATAGGTGTCGACTATACGAATACGAGGGTCAGCATCAACTCAGAGCTGGGGGAGAGCGAGGGAGGGTGTGTCAGGATTGGGTGGATGGTGAGCCGTCGTCACGTGTTATCGCGAACCCACGTGACTCAACTTATCACCTGACATGTCACGTGGCACGCCCCGACTCGTTCCCCCACCGCCTACTATATGGCTGCTTAACTATAAGTCTGAGTGTCGATCTGTCAAGGGTTAGATAAGCGCGCAATGGGGGGTGGGGGTTTGGAAATGGCAATCACGTGATAAAAGAACGGCCCACGCGACGTTGAGATTCCGGGCACGTGTAAGTCAAGTGATATCTGTCGTCGTCTCCGGCAACCGACGGGCATATCTTTACTTGACTCGATTCGACCGTTTTCAACGGTGTTCTGATCGACGGTCCAGTAGATGATCGCTGAGCTGAAATGAAACCGCGCCGATCTTTTGGGGTCAGATTCAGAGTTTCCTGTATGTCTTATGAGTCGGTAGAACTTGGGTGTGTAGAATCATGATGAGAGGAGAAAACATCAATCTGTGAAACCATGGAGAGAGTTAAAGAGAGTAGCTATAGGATACATACTTATATTATATGAATAACGAGTGCTGAAGTCCCTTCCAGTTCACCCAACTTGAAAACCCGCTGTCACGTGTTACCATGCCGAGTTTCCGATTCTGGGATAATCCAAACGACATTTGTGACTCGTAACACTTCAAAATGACACCAAATACGTCTGTCTTTCCGTCATTTATCTATTCCCAACCATTTCCCAAGTAACTACTTACTAGATTTTTTAACAAAAAAAATAATAAGACAGTGCATCTTATTCACGCACATCCCTTCTTGCTGCAACCGCATTGTCTCACCCCTGGAACTGGCATAATTACTCCGAGTATATTATAGATGTATAATCTCCATCTCCATTGTTTGTTTGGTCGTGTGAGCAATATAATAGGGTTAGGGTTAGGGTTCGTTTATATGCTCGCGTGCGCACTCTAACTTAAAATTGAAGATGAACTACAGCTCTTAGAAATTTAACCAGGACTCGTAATTATCCATGACTAGTACCAAAGGGTTCCCCGGGACTCAAAAGTACTATTAATCTGTTTAAAATCCCGTTTTGGCCAATATTTACCCGTTTTTACCCATTCTCCGTCCCATATACATGATGCATTAAACATGCATTGTGCTGCAGAGATGCACCGCATTGCACCCGCAGGTAGACAGCCTCAAGCCGGTACGGCTCATGTCACGTGGACAGTCCGAGCCGCGAATTATTATTCTTGTGCAGCCGCACATTACCTTGCATGTGACTGGTCAATTCGACTTGTCAGTCATATGACTCAATTTGGGGCATATTTACTTGATGTTTTTTTTATATATAATAATAATTTTAAATAATTTAAATACTTAATAGTATAATTCGGTGGAAATTTATTTGTTTTTTCTCTCTTCTAAATTTAACTTGCAAACTAAGCCAAGGTTAAAATAGCCGCTTGTTTTTTGGGGTGTTTTTTTTTAGGACTCCGAAGAAAGATAAAGGGAGGAATAAGTCAGGAAAATGGAAGAGTGCGTTTTGTTGATCTCGTCATTCCGATTCCAACAGCATCTCTCTTTTTCTTGTAGCCCCAATTTGCGGCATATTTTGAGGTCTGTATTTTTTCCAGCAAACTTTCGGCCGGGTAATTTCAAGGGGAAGAGGGGGGAGGTGAAAAGATGCCGCCGAAATTTGCTCAATACAAGAGCTAGAGAGACGGACGGTTGTGTGTGGCGGATGAAACACTCACTGCAACTGGTTGGGTCACGTGACTGGACCGGGATCTGCCTGATGTCTCCTCATGTGACCTGTTTCTGCCGTCGTCTCGGACTCTTCTGACTGCCCTGATCGTCTGGCAGCATGGTTCATCGCATCTCATCTCATCAAACAGGCTTAGACTTGCTCGAGCGAGCGTCAGTTGGGATTTGGATTGCGTGCGCATTGCCGAGAAAGCAGGGGAAAGAATGCTGCCCCTCTTGGCGCCAAGCCGGGAGGTCTTAAAGGTGGATTTGCGAAAAAATGCAAATTGCGACACATTTTTGTGAGAGTGTATGGGGATATTTTGATATGGTTGAGCCCGTGAGATGGGGACGAATCCAACGATACCATTAATGAAACTCCCCGATATCTGCAGCAAAAGTTGGAAATTTCGATGCAATTCTCGTCTCTTTCTCTTTTTATAATCTGAGGCTGTGTTTTGAAGGTTGAGAAGACGCTCTTGGTATGAGTGAGACCGTCATGTTGCGGAGAATCCAATTCCGTTGCTATTTCAGTCGCCAGGGCACTGCATCGAGTGTTGGCTTGTTTCGATCCTTCATGCTTGCTATCATAATACGTATAGTACATACATAGCCGACAGAGATGCATGTTTGTTCCGTTTCGATACTGACGTTCTCTTTGACTTAGACCTCGATTGTGTCGATGACGTATGATCGTCGGTACAAATCGAGTACAAGTACTGTACAGATGCTGTACTCGAACTTGTAGTTGGTGGTTGTTTTAGTTGGTATTCCGGCAGGTCTCTGAAGGTCGAAATGGGTATCATTGGGAAGCCGGAGAGGCGGTTACTGCGAGACGGTTGTTGCGAGACGGTTATATTTCGGAAATACTCTCCGTCAAGTAGTGCTGGTATTGCGGATATTGCGGAGTTGGTTGCATTCTTGATGCTGACTAATATGGTCGACTGAATTTCGACTTTGGTGAAACTTTGAAACAGAGATAATATGGAATAAATTGGCATCAATGGAATGCTGTGGAGTCGAAGAATCTACTGGTGCAGCTCCGGCATCTCTGGCACTACTGTGACACGAGTTATGAGTAATTTCGTATCCTGAAAATATTTTAGTCGCCAACAATGTTGTAGTCTAAAAAGTAACCGTTGTTGGAGCTTTTATAACTATTTAGTTGAAAAATCAACCTCCCAACTAACTCTTCCTCTTACATTTCACTTGTTCCAGATACCAGAGAGAATAATACGGAAAGCAACTAATATAGTGACACAGACACCGCTTCCGATACCGCCACTGATACCTCTCCTTTTCCACCTCTTCTGCGTCACCATCTGTGTCCTTTCTGTCGGAACACAGGCACCGCCCTACACAGCTCGACTCTCGTCGCGTCATCATATTAAGGATTGAACAGGGGCTCAATCGCAGTGGCAAAATGCCGTGACCTAATCTGCTATTGTCGGCCGGCCACTCTGGTGGGCAGCGTGCCAGGCATGGACGGAATCGTGCTGTTAGCCGGGAGATCTGTTGTTGCTGCTGGTTCAGCACTGGTTCTGACCCTGACTCTGGTTCTGACCCTGGAGCTTCATCTTCATGTCTCCAGGGCTAGCCCCAGCGGCATCTTCATCCGCCACCCACAGCTCCGCTACCCTTCAACCAGACTCTTCCACCAGTCACGGCTTCTGTCGGCGACTTCGGGATATGGTACGTACACACTGCTGGCACAATATCTAATGACAGAGTCATAATCCCCTCTTATTGACACAGCATGGTGACCTGAAACCAACTGGCACGCCACTCACCGTTCCGCACATGGTTTCCACCCGTGAAAGCTGTCATGAAACTTCCTGGCTCACCTGGCTCGAATCCAAGCGGCATTGCCCCCGCAGACAGGTCTCCCAGGGTGCATGTACATTTCTGAGTCGATTGTTGTCTACTCTGAACCTCTGACCATAATTCTAGAGTCACCCTGTTGAGATCTTCCGACCCCATATGGCCCAGACTTTGTTCTCCTCTCAGGCCGAGCATTTGGCATTAAGAACTCCATGGGGCGCAACAAAGACTGTCATCAGTTCGCATTGAGGGCGTGTGTAGTTCTACTTCTGGCTCGGACAGTGTGACCATGCCCCAATCAGTCCTAAAGTCACCACATTCCAAAACTCGATCGCAGTCATTCCTGCCAAGCAAAGCCGTGGCTGTCCACAACAGAAGTTTGTCCTACTTGGCCTTGCTACGCGACCATGTACACTGTATACATTTGTATTCATTGTATCTTACTCCATCCACAACTGCTCCCAGGTGAGGTCCCGCCGGACAGCGTTGGAGTAGCCCTCAAAGTACGACACCCACGTGTTCAGCGTGTCTTGTTGCTCCTTGGCCTCGTTGCGGACCACCTGCGACGGCGTGATCTCGACCGTTTCCTTGATAAAGAAGTCCAGCAGGGTGGACGACTTGGATGGCTTTTTTGCCGTTGACGAAGATGGCGGGGGCCCGCCGCGCGTCCTCGGATCCGGGTCTCGTGCCAGATCATGTGCCGCCACGTGTCTCTTGTTGGGTTGCACCTGGGAAAATTCGCCTGGCCGCTTGAGGGTCGGGTCCGGGGTGAGGATCTTGTAAAGGGACTCGAGGAACACGGAGTTTGTGTCCCGGGGCTGGCCATCCGGGGCACGTGACAGGTCGCACACCGGCGGCACAAACACGTACACGTCTTCCCTCTTGGAGGAGATTTCATTGTACACGTTCTCCTTCTTGAGGGACACTCCCAGGGAGGTGAGAGATTCTGCGAGAGACGCCATTTGTTCCGGGGTGACTCCTCTCTGTTGTCGGGTCATAGTGTCCAGGAACATTCCCAGATCATCTAGCAGCGTTTCTTTGTTGAGATACCGCCTTAGTTCGACGGGAATGTTGCTGTAGATGTCGTTGAGACGCAGCTTTTGGGTCTGAGTCTGGTTGGTGAGGGAGTAGTCGGTTTCGACGTTGGTCACGTGGTTTTTGGTGGTGGATCCAAACATCAGCGAGAAGGCCGCGAGCGTATACGGGTGGTAACTGTCGCGGGACCCCAGCGTGTTGGCGAGGTCGTACAGGTGGTACCAGTCATCGAGTTTGGCAATGTTGGTGAGTTGGGTGAGGTTGCCTGCTCCCGAAAGGCACGTGATGTAGGCTGAGAAGGCTCCAAACACAAGTTTATTCCATTCTCCGCATCGCAGCGATCTCTGGCACAAGTTTTCCACGTGGTTAGCCCGGTCTTTGCCCACGGGCACGTGACTGAAGAGTGAACTGACAATGTTGTTCCACAGCGCCGACTTGTCCACCAGATTGGCCGTGTCGGCCTCGGGGGTTCCAAACTGCAGAATGTTGATGGCTTGTCGAATGTCTCCGTCGGTGGAGTTGCAGATGTCTGCCAGGAATCTGTTTTGTTTGGAGGTGAGTTTTTGCAGCTTCATCTCCGTTCGAAACACGTTTTGCACGATTCGCAGCGATTGAGCTGGCGACAGTCGGCCGTAGTTGACGATTCGACAATGCGGCCGGAGTTTGTACAGCAACCCGTGGAGGTTGTTTGCGATGCAGATGATGGGTCGGCTGATGAGGGTGTTGAGTTTGTCTTTGGCGCTGGTCTTTTTATGTCTGTTTTTCCGCTCATGCCATAACTCCTCCTTTTCGTCGCGCTGCACGAGCTTGACCAACTTGTCGATGAAGATTGGGTCCGCTCCGTCAATCTCGTCGAGAATCACGCAGTTAGGACGGTCTTTGGAAGTGACGGAGTGGGTTCTCATGGGACCCAAAACGCCCCGTCGGAACGCTTCGCTGCCACGGTCGTCAGACGCGTTCATCTCCAGCGTGTTGAACCCCAAATTCCGGGCCAAAACCCCACAGGCGGTGGTTTTTCCGGTTCCGGGCTCGCCGTGCACAAGCAGGATCCGCTTCTGGGGGCGGTCACGTGCCTCGCGCTCCTCGTAGACCCCACGTGATCCTGCGTGGACAGCATCTTCGATTCGTCCGCTTTTTTTAAGCCATTTTTCCCGCTGCTTGGCTTTGAATTGCACCGCCTGCGACGGAGTCTGGAAAATGAAGGAGTTCCATTCACTCAGCCAGTACAAAATGTCCTTGTGGCGGTCGGAATGGCCGTTCAGATCCAGCAGCTTTTGCGGCCGCAGTTTTTCCACCCAGAGGTGGCCGTCCCGTGACCCAATTCCAGACACGAGCAGACCCGCACGATGTCTCGAATCGCTGAATGCGTCTGCCGGAATTTTGGACGTATCGCAAGATGCCGTTTTCGGGCGGGTATTTCCGGTATCTCCAGCGGTAGGATTTGGCGTATTGCAAGTTTCGCTGCTGTCGAATTTTTGGCCCACCAGCTTCTGTCTGATGCCGCTCACATCGATTCCGTAGTGGTTCTTCAGCGATTCCTCCTCCTGTTGCATTGTTCGGAGCCGGGTCGTTTTGATGTACTTTTTCGCTCGCGAAAGGGTCATTCCGGAGTAGAGCGTGATGTATCGGGTGGGCGAAGTGCGGTCACGTGGCATATCACGTGACGGAGCGGCGGAGGCGGCAGAAGCTGGCAAGTCTTTGGGTTCGTTGGCTCTCAACATTTCCGCAATGAAGTCATCTTCCTCCGCCGCCGGCGACGGGAAGCGCGTCATGTGATTATCCAGGTCGCACATCTGGGTCACGTGGTTGGTCATGGGATCGCTGGTCGGTTCTACCTCCTCACCTCCCCGCTCCCCCTCCCCCTCATCCTCTTCGGCAGACATGGATAGATCAGAACCTTCGGAAAGCTCCATATCGGACTCGTCACGTGGAAGTTCACGTGACCGCGTTCCAACGCGCTGCAGCTCGTCCAGTGCGCTCCCGGACCCAAACAATCCTCCTCCCCAGTCTAGAGACATGGTGTTCAAAGGTGTGTCGAAGTGTCGAAAAGTGCTTAAAAAGTGCGTAAAAATGTGTTTTGGGCGCTCGGTTGGGTTGTCACGTGTCACGTGAGTGTTTTGTGGCGGTGCAGCAGCGGTTTTGAAGGTGTAGAGGCGTCCTGTAAAAGCGTCCTGTAGAGGTGTATCAGTGGTTGTAATTTGAAACGCGAAATTTCAATTAACGTAGAAGCGCGTTTTAGGTTGATGTTAGGGTTGGTTGGGTTGGGGTTCGTGGATCAGTGGATACAAAATACAAATACTTACAGTGTACCACAATATGTTACAATAGTGGTTATAAATTTATTTAAAGAATTCAATATAATAAAATAAAATAAAAATTAAAAAAAAATTAATAAAAATTAACATCCACTGAACAGCAACGATTAAGTATGCTCGTGTTATTCACTCACCAAATCACCCCCAAAACGCTTGAAACGTCCTTGGATGCATTTTACTTATTTATATTGTATTTTTATTTTTTATTTTATTTTTTATTTTTTATTTTTTTATTAATTTATTAATTTATTTATTTTCCAAGAACAAAAAAAAACACAAACAGATGTTCTTGTTTAGGTGCTGTTAATATTCTAACAAAGGTCTCAACAAAAATACCTGCTTGCAATTTTATGACCATCTCCAGAATGAAATTCTGTTGATGCCAAAATAACCACAATTTAGGATCAGTTAGAAACTCATTTATTCTGTATCTTCATGTATCGAAATATATTCTATTCAATTTATGGAACATGGAAATGCGACCTCAAGCCGGTTTTTTGATTTAACAATTCTTAACTATTCACTTGGCAATCCCATCAACTGACAGACTGGAGACAGCAGCCAAACACGGTGGGTGTTTGAGTATAGAAAGCAATTTTTGATAGTATCGATCGGTAAGTTGAGGTCCAGATAATACAGCGGTTCTTGTAAATATCGATATTCGGTATTTTATGGATGTTTTTAAACAGAGAGACGAGGAGATTTCTCATCAAAAGCTCAACATCGTTAACTGTTCTAATTCAGTTACTTGACAGTTTATAGGGAAAAATAAAAGAAGAAAAAAAAACACTGACTCCAGGACGTTCTGTGATGTGGAATTGAGCTTTTTTTTTTTTTTTTTTTTTTTTTTTCACGTAATGAATATAACGTGAGTGGAAATTGTCCATTCAAAATAATTCAAACAAAATCGTCTGGAATTGACAGACTTGACGCAACTGACTGACTGAAAAGTCTGTCAGTTTTATACATTTTCACGTCAGACAGACTTATCAATTTCACATAAACCTGTTTATGGCCGTTAAATATATCATTTTACTCGCTATCATCTCCACATTCCAACGGTACCACTAAATAATCTATATCTCTTGGTTCTATGGTGTTGTGACGGAACGGGTTTAAAAACGCACTGGTGAGAAACATACCACCCCAGAAATAACTTCTGGTGCTCTCGTGAACCTACCAAGGTTTCACTGAGTGTCTCAGGGGTGCGAACAGGTACAGTATTCAATACCAGGGTCTGGTACACTGTAGTATAAGATCTGACTGGTCGAATTGCACTGTACAACCACTATAAAGTTGATTTGTTTTTTTTTTTCTTCTCTTCTTACACTCCACTTTATGACAGCTCGGTAAGTGTTGTCAGTGACACAAAAGGAATGTGAGGGCGCAGCGCGTTAGGTGGACTCCGGAAACTCTCTTCTTTTGCTGCTGATTGGAATGCCGTCTACGTGCTACGTGTACTGGGCGGAGACTGCGTAATTACTACATGGACTGTGTGGTATTGACTACATGGAATGCGCAGTGACTAATTTGGCCTTGTGATGACTACATTAACTGTGGATTGTCACTTCAGACTAGAGTGTCTACTTCTCTTCCTGGCGGTAGGTACGAGTGCCACCGCCACGACCAGCGATATTGAGCAAATGATTGAGCAGAGCTGGTTGAGCGATATGGCTATTTGCTGTTGTCTTATCGTTGATGCTTGTCCTGAGTGAGTTGCTCCGACTCAACGACTGCATCTCGTTCACGGCTGATCCTGTGACTTGTTGCACTTTTCAATGGTTGCAGCGTTCGAGGTTTAGTGGGTGCGGCGTCTATGGTTCGCGCAGTCGACGGCTGTCTGAAGACATCAATTGTGGTAGTGGCTGTGGCTGGAACGAGTGATTTGTTTCTGATCAGGGGTTTACAGAAGCAATCTCTCAGATGTCGGTCTTTTGCAGATCTACAACCTCTGTCGATGGTGTCTAGATTCCCCTGGCACGTGTTCCAGGGTCGGACCGAGGATCAGCGCCCCCTAGTTCGTTGCAGGTTGTCAGAACGACTTAAACTGCTGGTCTTCATGAACCCGGACGTGAGTCACGTGGAGTCTTTTTGGAGTTCATTTCTTGACTCTGGGATGAGTCATTATTGACCGTATCGTTCGCGGCCTTGGTCCTGGCATTCGGTTGTTCTTCCCCTTGGCAGCGAGGAGTGCATCTTCTTGAAGTCAGGAGCCCACAGCTGGTCTTCTACAACATTCCCTACGGCGCTGTCGCAGGGGAGTTGAGTCCGGCACTCCTGCGGCAGCTTGAGAAGAACAGTGGCTCCTCGCACCCGCGTTCACAACCATCTCTAGTTTGTACAAATGATGTGCATACTCAGGTTGTGGGAGAGATGTGACATTTTCCCAAGAGTGTAGGGGGAGCATCCAGGCTCTTGTCTGAGTGGGTGTTTCCCAGATCAGGGAAAGTGCTGCTCTATTCGGCAGATTTGACTTACTAGCGCTTGTCTCGCGCAGGTTGTAATTCGGGAGTAATATTTGGCAGTCGAGTTGTCAGTCTGGTTGTCAGTCTGGGTGTCAGTTTTGGGACGCTGGCTAGAACTTCCTGTCTCAGCAGATTGACTTCTGCCACTCACCTCCGCTTTGTGTTTCCTGGCGAGATCTGTATGCTCAGATTGTCTCACTAAGAGGAATACAAATGCCGCATGTCACCTTTGACCAGCCGTATCTGAGCAAGTGATGGGTTGGGTGTGAACGCGGTGGATTGGCGGTGGATTGAACCTGGATGGATCCTCTAGCGGTGGATCCTCGGCGGACTCTCTAGCGGCAGGTCCTCTAGTGGTGGACCCTATAGCTGTTGGCAGAGCTCTTATTTGCTGCCAAATCACCACCCTAGATGGTTTGGGTCCACTTTTCATTTTGTGAAACTGCCCAGTTGAGGTCGACTTGGTACAACTCTCAATCAGGGTTACACAGTGTCAACACAGCATAATCAATGGCAGCGTCAATAGGCAAATAAGTGCAAGTAACTGCATGCTCACTCAGTAACTTTTTTTAGTTCAGAGTTGCTCAGAACTAGTTTTGTAATAATACATTGTTATTTTTTTGGTTTTTTTTCGTTTTTTTACAATTTTTCGGTCGTTTGGTCGTTTGGACAATATACCAACTATACAACGAAGAGTATATATAAATATATATATAAATAAAATGTCACGTGCGTAATTGTACTCTCTGATCACGTGACAGTCTCTAGAGGAGCTCCGTTTGTTTAGTTTCTCTTGTTCGATTTTACGGGTATTTGTTTCGGATTTATCAGCCAACCTTGCAGCCGCTCCAGAGGACCAAAATGGGAGAAAATCAATAAACATTTCTACAGTTGTATTCTGCGCAATCGGTGCCCACTTTTCGTCAGGTCCACTTTTCGATACCTCTTTTTGTCCAGGGTTTGGTCAGGGTTTTGGCATGTTTTACTGGTTGCTTTTTTTTGCGCGGCACGGTCCAAAAACTGGTCCGAACGGCTGAAAAAATAGCTCAATGGGGGAGAAGGTTTTTAAAAGCGGTTTTTGAGCGTACGGCAAATGTATTTGTCAAGTTTGAGAAGTCCTGGTGTCGCTTCATCGAGTTTTATGGACGTGATAATGTTTGCAGAGGGGGAGTAGATAGATAGATAGGGAATAAGAGATTCTAAGAAGTTGGATAGTTCAATAGTGGGGTTTATTGGGTGCAAGACAGACCCTGGTGAACTTCCAGGGTGAACTTCCAGGGTCGATATCTTTGCTGGTTCAAATTCTGTAGAGTATATTGCAGATACATTATGTTGCAATCTGACCTCGTCTAACTTGGTGTGGGGGGATTCTAGGATGATGAGGAGTTCGATGGGCCATTTATTGGTCTCTATTTGCGTATTTATTCAAGTACCCGCTTCTATATCTCTGGAATGGGGCGTTTTTAGGCGTTTTTGGGCACTTGTGAGCGTCTTGGAAACTTTTGGACGTTTTGGGCACTTTCGAAAGTCGTTGATGGAGTCGAGAAATACCCCAGTGGTTATAGAGCAATGTTGGGACTTTTGAAGGGAAGAAAAATGCGTTTTACGGGGAAAGAGATCATTACTGAGGGTATTATTGGTGATTAAATAGGCTAGATATTGAGTTGGAGAGAGTGAGTGAGTTGAACGGGAAAAGGGGAAAGGAAATGAACAAAGAGTAAGTGACATGGAGGTAAACACGGAGAATCACGTGATGATAAACACGAGTCGTCGTTAGTGGTCCCAATTCTCACTCCTCGCGAATTGCCCTATGCGCAATGAGGCGCGGTCAACGAATTTGTCCAGGTAAAACTTCCCAGAATCACAATCATCAGACTAAATCCGAAAAAATTGGTAAACCAGCCGTAGACATAGGCTCTCTTGTAGCTCATGTTATAACATTCGTTCACAAGATCACTCACGGTGCTCAGGGAAGCGCAGAAGCCGTTGGCGATTCCTCCGATGATTTGGCACTGGACCACATTAGTCACGAGCTGCGAATCGCCAACAAATCCCATTTGCAGAATGACTCCGACGCTCAGGATGATGGTGCCGATCATATTCGATGTGAAAGTACCCCAGGGGTTTTTTCCCGAGCCCAGTCGGTTCATTCGGGAGAACTGGAATCGAAAGTTGGCGCCAGCCAGAGCCCAAAGGCCCAGGTACATCCAGGTTCTCCAGGACTTCCACACGGCGGCAAAGATGATAAAGAGACAGAAAAGAGCAATGGAACAGCAGCCAATCACGAACGAGACCGCACGCTCGAATGGCACAGACATGCACGGAATCGGCAAAAAGTCGGCGATATGGTGTCCGATTAGTAATCCAGCAAAGCTAAGGGAGTAGTGAATGAGCCCGATTGCCATGACAGACTGCACTCCGTATCCGGCGTCAGGGTAGTCCGCTTTGGGGATGTTTTGATTGGCTCCGAAAAGGAACGCCTCGAGCATAATCGACGAAAAGGAGGTGATAGAGCCGCAAAAGCCGGGGCCAATGCCCACGTAGAGGGGGATCTTGCGTTTTTCAACCCCCTTTTGCTCCTCAATGACGGCGAAAATGTCAGACTCTTCCAACCAGCCCATGATGATACAGCCGCCAAAATTGCACCATAGAAGCCCCGAAGGAGAGTAGGAGCCCGTGAAAACGGTCAAAAGAGTGATTCCCTGACGCGCAATGGCGCCAGCCATGGCAAAAACTGATAGATTGAGATACAGCAGCACCTGGGTCAGCCACTCGGAGTCCAGATTGGGCATGGTGGGTTTTTTGAAGCTGCGTTTTTCGTGGCTCACGTCGGTGTCGGAATGAGTAGACATGGTGGATGTGGTGATATAGAGAAAGAGAATGCCCTTTTTCCAGAATTATTCCCCCAGTTATATACCGACTTGTGCGCCATTATCGAATATGGCGTGTTGAAAAAGAAATCATGCGAGGGTTGGGGTGAAAAGAGGGCGTATGGTCACGTGAGAGGTATCATTATGTTCGCGGAGACGTTTAGAATTTAGCTGTTATGGTCAAATTCAAATCTGGTTCGATTTGGTCGAATTAACTATGTATTTCTGCCACGATTAACATTTCGATAGTACGGTGGGGGAGGATAATTTGCGAGCCAAAAGCGATTAGAGATTGAAAGCGTCATCCATGTGAGGTAGATGGAACTTTGGGGGAGGTTGGCAAAATATCATTTTGATTTTTTCCAACCTTTTCGGAATATTTAAATATTTTGCCTAATATTCAAAATATTCGGTTAAAATCAAAAACAATTCCAGGTGACGAAACACAAACGAAAAACATAAAACTATCAAATGGTCCAAACCGAGTCTTCCTCCAGAACCTCTTTCACACACCTCCTTGGACTCCTCAACCCCTTTGGGAAACATAATGACATGGCTGTGCAGTTGAAAGTTGACTGTAGAAACTCTAGAAACTCCAGAAACTCTCCTTCTAGCCCGATTCGCTCCAAACTCTGCCTAGCGTGAGTTTAACCTACGCAAACCGCTCTGATCCCACCCTTCACGTGATGCTACACTTTGCCGTATAATTCGCTATACAGTTTTGATACGAGCGACACAAAGGGGAGTGGACATATCTCGATGGAGAAGAGTGAGGGAATTATACAAACTTCACCGATGGATTTGGACGGCGATTTTTCACGTTCTGATACGTCTTTTATTGCACTGACATTTTTCCCCATTTTTCCAGCTAACTTTTCGATTCCGAATTAGGTTGCCTACTGGAGGACGAAAAGAAATACGAAAAGAAATGTGCCGACTCCAATTGGGTCGATAAATTCGGGAAAAAACAAATAATACATCTTCCCAAGGGGCATCTTGTCGCTCGTTTAATTCTCCAACCGAAGGGGTTAAATTTGAGAAACATTTTTAGAACAAAACAAATCCCCCCAGAGCTTGCCATGATGCTGCTCTAAAACACGCAATATAAATACCGTTTCTTCGTGAAATGGCTCCTTCTGCTCTTCTACGTCACGTGACCGTTATTATGCATATTTCGGCCGGTTTTTATCTATTTTTCCCCTTTATAATTTTTTCTACTATTTCCGATTTTATTTCTGCGGCTTTTTTTTTTTTTTTTTCAAACTTTCACACTTCAACCACACCACTTCTCGAAATGACCCGAATGCAAATTGGTCGATCTAGAACAGACTCTGATGTCATGATTCATCTCAGACACACTGGTTGAGACAAAATGGAGGTTTTCCACACCACAGAAGCAATTCTGCGGCGGAAAGAAAACCAGATGTAGGTCGTTGTTGTTTGCATGAATCAGAAACAGCCCCGGCGAGCGAGCCCCCGTCGCGTGTCACGTGACTGCCACCCTCCACGTGAGGTTTAACATGATCTCCTGACTTCCCCGGATCGTCCTGCATCTCCTGATTTTTACAATGTGGGGTGGTTGACTGTGCGAGTGGACTGAGACTTGAAAGATTAAAAGATTAAAAAAGATTAAAAAGATTAAAATTTACATTGAAAATAAATTAAAAGAATTAAAAGAAATTATGAGAACTAAAGTCAGACCTTTGAAGTCAGAAAACGGCAAAAGCACTCCTATAGTGCGGGTGGAGTCTCGGTAAGAATCGTATTTGTTGTGTTGTAAATCATGTTCAAGTTGTATTCATCTCCTCCTTCGTTAGTGATTGACTTACTCATCTCAGCACTAGTATGTACTTATGAATACGCAACCTAGTCCCAAGTGGCTCACCGCTCTTCTCTTACAGATCACATGATTCTCCTCGTTCTGGACAGGCGGGCATGACAACCCGCAAGTCCAGTGGATGGAGTCAGGTGACCGGAACCGCAGCGGCACGGGATTGTCAATATATATCCGATCACGTGTCAATCATGTGTTAGCCAGAGTTGGTTACCGCTCTGTCACCACACGTGTTGTCGCACGTGGTATTTTGTTCACGTGACTCCGAACATGTCCTTGTTCCGAACCCAGTTTTAAGCGAGAGTGTAACCGTTGCAACGTTGCATCAGCCCATTTTACAAACCTTGGGCAGGTGATGATGTGCCGCAGGAGTTATGTAAGCTGGTGGAGGGAGGAGTTGGCGTTATCTCTCTTATGGCAGTCTTAATCTGTCTCTCTAAGACTCCATCAATATGTGATTACTCGATTACGTTCTCAACCGAGCTGGATTTCTTACGTAATTATGTACCGGGATTCAAAGTCAACTAGACTGAATCGTATCACAGTCCATCTATAACAATTACATTACCATCTGAAGTCACTTTGGCAGGTCACTCTGTAAGTTGAGTCACTTGATCGATTTGCTCGTATTCGCTTAGGTTCAGTGCATAATCTGCAGGTGTGCATCTTGCTAAATTTGTGGGGACAGGAATTACTTGCATTACTTAATTACTCGAAATACTTAATTACTTGGATTATTTAATTACTTGAATTACTTGAATTATTTAATTACTTGAATTACTTAAATTTCTTGAACTATTTAATTATACCTAATTACTTAATTACTTGAATTTCTTGAATTAATTAGAACTCGAGTTAGTTAAGAGAGATAGACGTTATATCTCGACAAATTTTGGTCTGTTTTCAATTTTCTCAATTCAAATTGCCTTTTCATGTCTGAATAGTCATCTTTTCTCTTACAAACTACTTGGTATCTCTCCTGAAACCAAGACCAATGTGGTATAGAATTTTTTTAAATGATTGCCCATTCTCACTCTCCACTGTGTCCATAATCATCACTCCAACTCCACCATCTACTGACCAATGTTCTCTTTTCCACTTTTCACGTGTTTTCCATACAAACTCCTTCCCATCTTTTCTCCAACCGCCTCAATATCCCAACTACTTGTAAGTCCCCGGCTATCATATCTCCAACAAAAATACGCAACTAACAGGACCACAAAATTATAATAAAATAAAATAAAATAAAATAAAAATAAAAATAAATAAAAATGCTCCAATTTTCTCAGGTCTACCCGAATCAGACGAGGACCCAACGTGGATCAACTCTCCACTCAAAACCATCCCATTTTGTTCGATTTCGTAAGCTCACCTTCCATCCAACACACTTCAATCTACCCCCACCTTTCTTCTCCATTTCTCATAACAATCCAGTCAATATTCACCCAATCAAAACGACACCAGCTCAAATGCCATTCCCCGATCTTTCTTAAAAGTTCTCTCTATATTACCTAATCTCTAGCACTCCTCAAATACCATTCAAGTTCTCACCCAATTCCAATTCATGTACAGTACCTTTAAATCTTCAAGCATCCCCTTTTATCAATCTATTTAGCTGACTAATACACTAAATAAAACCCCGAAACTACAAATCTACTCCTCACATGACCAGCTACAAAACACACCCTCTCGTTGGCCGCCTCTGCCAACTTTTTTCATCAAAAAGTGCACAATCCACTCCCCATACTTACCCCAATTAAAACCCACAATCACAGACTTAAAATTCAGACTGAAATTCCCACTAAAATGAATACCAAAAAATAAAATACTCCCACCGGTCGAGTCACGTGACTCAACAGTACCCAACCGTGCCCTTCCAGCTTCTGCCGACTCAGTTCCGCCCGGCTGACTCCTTCTATTGCACGTGATCATTCCAGCCAATCACCTGACCCCAACCCCTCACCTGACATAATTACCCGGCCGAACTGAGAACAAATCCAAAAACGCTCAAAACGGGGCGAGTTCAGAGGAAGGATGTCACGTGATCGGTACCGTTGGACTCCAAATCCCACGCTCACTCCAATGCCTTCACTTACATGACCCCAACCTCTCTCCTGCTTACAACAAAAACCCCGTCCAAACACCGCACGTGCAACAAGGTTTCAGGAATGTAAACTCTATCACGGCAGGGTAAGTCACGGGTGCCCCCCAATCCAAGAGTTCGTCACGGGGTTTTCACGTGACCAAAACAAATATAGGGCAAATCCCCGACGACGGCGGGACCCCGGGTTCCTCGATCACGTGACCCCCACTCCTACGGGGCTGCTCTCTCGCTCCCCGCGGTCACGTGATCGAGGTCACATTGTCAGCTCATTTAACTCCAACTTAACCTTGTCCGATTATATATATATATTGGGAGTCACGTTATGATAACGTATAGTCACGTTATTTTTTGGCCAGATAACAGAACACGACACAAAACACGCCAGAGAACTAGTACGAGCAATCCGCCGCCGTAATTTTGATCACGTGACCGAGGAGAACCCGCCTCGTCTTTTCAAATTTCAACTCCCCGCCAAATTCACCGAGCTCCCTATTTGGCTGTACACAGCACCCTCGAGCGCCACTCTGCAGTCCAATCAGCAGAGTCAGCAGTCAATTCCTCAGTCAATTTCCCTGTTCCCCGAATCACGTGAGTTCTCGACCGTCGAATTGCTTCATATCAACCGCCAACTAAAGCTGAACTAGGTTTGCTCCAAGTTTCGCTATTTTGACCAGAGAACATCCAGTTCAACAAAAGCTCATTAAATTCAACCAACCCCAACAAACACAATGTCCGCCATCCGAAGAACTCGGTCAACCACCAGCGAGGACGAGGCCATCACCAAGCGCCTCAAGCAGGAGGTGATGGTCTCCGAGGAGGCGATTGACGACAAGGACGAGCTCAACGAGAGCGATGCGGCTGCCGCCGTGGCCGCCGTGGCCGCAGCTGTCCAGGAAAAGAAGGACCACGACGACAGTGTCAAGGCCGCGGACGTGCTGCGGCAGACGCTGGAGCACGTGAATGAGCATGTGACCGACGACGCACAGGGCCATGTGCCGCAGCAGCAGCAACATCAGCAGCAGGAGCAGCAGGGCCACGTTCAGCAGCAGCAGGAGCAGCAGGGTCACGTGCAGCAGCAGGACCAACAGAGCCACGTGCAGCAGGACACACAGAACCACGTGCAGCAGCAGCAGCAGGACCCGCAGAACCATGTGCAACAGCAGCAGCAGCAGCAGGGACTGGGCCAGCACGTGAGCCAGGACCAGGGCCAAGGGCTTGACTCGCACGTGCACCACGGCATGACGGCTATCAACCAGCACGTGCCGCAGCAGGCACACGTGACGCAGCCCTACGAGCTCGATCTCAACCCCTACAACCAGGCGCCCAACTCGGCCAAGCCGCCCGTGGGCTCCGAGCAGTGGCACCAGATGCGGCGCGACAACCACAAGGAGGTGGAGCGGCGACGGCGCGAGACCATCAATGACGGCATCAACACGCTTGCGGAGCTCATTGCCACGAGCGAGAAGAACAAGGGCCAGATTCTCAAGAACGCCATCGAGTTCATTAAGCAGCTCAAGGAGCAGGACGACGCGCGGACTCAGAAGGCTGCCATGGACAAGTTTAGTCTCATGAACCAGGTGACGGAGACGTCGGCGCAGAACAACCGGCTCAAGATTGAGCTGCAGCGGGCCTGGCGGGAGGCGGAGACGTGGAAGGGCAAGTACCAGGAGCTGGAGGGGAAGAAGGAGTGAGGCGAGCGGCAGAGCCATGGGTGACATTGGTGTTGGATGAGCGCTGTCATATGGTGGGTTGCAGGGACAATATCGCGAGTGACGTAACCGACCGCCCGTATCTTCCATGGTTCTGGTCCGGGTCCCCTGCGCTCTGTCGCCTCGCCCCACTGTCGTCGCAATTAGAGGTAGATGGAGAGAAGAAGAGGGAGAGAGATGGGTTATATATTGTAATTTTATGTTTGTGTTTTTAACCAGAAAACCGAAAGGCGAAAGCGAACTAAGGAGGAAGAAACGAAGGAAGATCAAGAAGGAGACCAAGAAGGAAGAAATAAGGACAAAGAAAGAACAAAGAACCGTATAAAAAACAATTTAAAAAACGATCAAAAAAATTGAACGATTTAAACACACACAAAAAAAAAAAACACTTCTCCCCACGTTTCACCTGATGTCTGGAGTACGCCAATTATCAATAGAATCTATTCAGACAGAATTTTCCCCGTATATCTTGTATTTCGTATGCTACATTTAAGGTAATAATATTATGCGATAAGACTGCATATGCAGGGTGGCTGCATCTTTCCAAACTCTGTTTTGTCAATACTCATCGTAGTCGAACGTTTTCAGTCTAACAATTAGGCGTGACGTCGAGGGAGGCTGTATTTCGTGTCTTTGTGTGTGCATTTTGCCTCTCGACGGCGTGGACGGGAAAATTCGCCCATGACTAAACTCCCCGGACCGGGGCGATCCAACGGTACCACTTTTGAACTAGTAGCGGCAGTATTGGTGATGACGAAAGAATTGGCATATCGCTGAATAGACGAGTTTTTTTGATGTGCCTCTCTCTTTTCTTTCTCTTTGCTTTCCTTTTGCCCTCCTTTTGGTTTCCCTTTGGTCTCCCTTTGGTTTCCCTTTTTATTGGTCTCCCTTTGGTGCCTCTTGATGGCTCCATTCGGACTACTTCCCCTATCTGCCACAGCTCAGCTATAGCTCATAGCGCTTAGTCCCACACAACGGAAACCCGATCCCATGCCACGGGCGTCGAAAGGTCCGCAGCTCACCGTGTCGAATGTGGCAGTGAGCAGTCGTGTGATGAAGCAGATATGAAGGACAGGTATGAAGCCGCAGGGCTGAAGTCTGCACACTGAATGAGACACCCCGATACCTTGACTGAATGCAGTACACCGAATGAGACATCACGATACATGACTGAATGTCAGCACATGAAGAGGAGAACTCGTCTTGGCTTTTATTTTCAGAGACTATGATGAGGCTTTGAACTCGATTGAGTAGTCTGAGTGAATATGCGCACCGATCATTAGCAACTCCAGACATCCGGCGTCATGTCTGCAACGTAAAGTCTGTATTGCTTTATGCAGAAAGTCCAAAGACACAGTCATGACCACGCACAGACGCCCCAGCATTCTGGTCACTGCAGACACCCAACCACACTCATTTACGATCAGAATGAGTGAACCCACGGACATGCTCGCCCTGTCGCCGGTATCTTCAGGAAGAATTGGAAAACAACTGCTCAGATGGGGTCCTCTCACCATCTGTCAGTCGGAGTGTCATCATATTGGCCAGGTGACGCTCCGTGTCTGTCACCAGCCCTCGGTCCTTCGGTTCACCTAATGAGCGATGACGTTAGGAAATCACAACCCTGAGACCTATTCTGGTTCACTCTAAAGCCAACCATTATTTCCCAGCGTCGAAAAACCCAAAAGTCATCTGCTGTTATTGACCGTCAGCCCTCATGGGTCCTGCATGATCGTCGGCCAATCTCATGCTCCCAGACAACGTCCGACCGAGACTCACATGTTTCCTTGCTGAGCTTGGAGCTGGTGTGTGACACGCATACTGACGTAAGTGCGACAATGTGTTACAGATCCACGGTTTCGGTCCGTCTCACGGATCAGTCTCCCGTTCTTGTCTCACGGATGGCCTGTCTCAGTCTTCCGAGACACTGGTCTGGTCCACCAGTTCCCACCAGTCTGGTCGTCCAGCGTCCAAGCCGTCACACTGAACCGATCTGTCTGCGTGTATGGACCACTCTCGCAGTCCGCGTGATCTTGCCGTTTCCCTGACCTGCAACACTGGCTTTTTTTGACCACCCCTTGTCCACCAAATTTCAAACTCTAAATGTTGCCAAGTGCAATTATGATTACGAGAGACATGAGAGAGAGACATGGTTGTTTGTCACATGACACCCGGCCACTGAGACCCGGACCCACCAACCCAAAAGCCACAACCCCCGGATTCGTTGTCACGTGACATACCACCGGATCACATCACCTACTACCGGATCACGTGACCATTTCCACCTTGGTGGTGAACTCTAACGCCACCATGGACCAATGGAGTCGGCTTTAAAGATTCTTAGCCGGGGCCGTTTGGGTCTATGTGCGGTGGAGTTGATTTGGGTCAGCTGGAGCGGGGGTCGATGAGAAGGAGCTTAGTAACGGGCTTAGTAATGGTCTTTATGGGTTCATGTGTGCCATCACGTGTTTTTTTCCGAACTTCGTTATCGTTTTGGTCGTCCAGCTCTGTCCCAAAACTGAGACAAGGAACCTTCGCTGTGGATCAAGGTTCAATATAGCAATAATGGAGATGGAGAGGAGATTACGGAGAACCCAGAGAAAATCGGAAAAATCGGGGAAATCGAGAAATCATCGCCGCAATGACAGTCACGTGCTGGAAATAATTTTCTGATTGTTGCGACTGTCGTTTAGTCCGACTTTTGCGTGGGTTTCAGTCAGAGTCCGATGGGATAAAAGTTGGGAGGGAAAGAGCAGTTGGAGGGACAAGTGGGGAAAGCAAAACGCAGTCTGACTGCTCTGAGCCAAGACCAGTTGAATGGGTAACGTGGTTGCAGACGGCACGGCCGGTCGGCTCACATTCTGAAGGCCATGTCTCCTCCCGTTTGCCGCTTCCCGTTTCGTCTGGTTCAAACTTTGGTTCTTATCAGCCACTTTGGCCTATGATATGCAGCTGGAATGAACTCTAGACAGACCTGGGGGCGAGGAGAGGAATTGACTTTGGAGATGTCAATCGACCGTAGACCGTGGAGAGTCTCGTGGTCCGGAGTCCGGCTGCCTATATCTCCATTTCCCATCGACAAGTCCCCTTGCCCAACCCGTACCTCCAAACGGCGCTAAACTAGTCGTGTGCAATCCTTTGGCACTAAAAACGGGATATGTCCGTCCCAGTCGCCAAGTCCGTCGGCCTGCCCCCGCCGGTAATACGACTGCGCCGCTTGTGACACTACGGCACGGCTCGCCGTGCTAGGTTTCGGACTCCGACAACAGTGGTTTGTAGAGTGTTGTAGAAGCAATGATTCTCGTGGAGAATCTTAGTCAGCGGAAGACAGGGAGGTTTCACGTGACTTTAGTGGGTTTTTTTGCTGGCTTCGTTTTTTTGTTGCAATTTTCCTTGCATTTTTTCGTTGGTTTTTTTCTTTAATTTGCTGACAAATGGACTTTTGGTCATATGCAAGGCTCGACAAATAGGCTTTCGGAGATATGTCCGGGGACACTTGGCTGGGTTGGTGAATATTGGGCAAAATGTCGATTTTGTTGCATATTTAGAGATATTGAGGGAAGCTTAGCAAGATGCACTTTTCGGATTTTCGATAGGGGTTCTTTTTGTGTCGTTCGATGACCACAGTATAAAAAAAGACGCCCCATCGGACCCCGATCATCATCTCGTCCCAAAAAAGTCTAACCTTATCAGTTTGCTGCAAAGTGCCGTTTGTACTTATACTAATCCCAGCTGCTGGGGCGGACGGTTTTTCGCTCCAACAAAAACCTCGACAAGACCGGCTCGACAAATGCGCAACTTTCGACTGTTGTCTCCGTTCGTGGGCACCAAGGTGCCGCCGTTTCGCGACGATAGCGAGCGGGAGGACTTTCCCGAGGAAAAGGCCGGGTGGTACTCCAAGGCGACCTGGTCGTGGCTCAATCCGTTGATGAAGGTGAGTGTGGAACGGGGAGGGAACGGGGAGGGAACGGGGAGGGGGAGTTATTTTTTTGGCGCTTTTGGCGTTTTGGAGGGTTGGGGGGTTGGAGGGTTGGAGATTTGGACGGACAGAGGTTGGCATTGGTGATATGGTGGTGGCTCAGAAGACCGGTGGCAAAGAGCGGTGGGGCATTCTGGATGAAGAGTGATGGCATTATGGAAGAAGAGTGATGGGAATTTCCTGCTCCGTTCACTACTGGTGGCAAGTGGTGGGGAGAGATGCAGAGTCTGATGTGGGTCTGGATCAGTTCTGCGGTTCTGCGGTTCTGCGGTTCTGTGGTTCTGTGGTTCTGTGGTTCTGTGTTAATTCCAACTTCACCTGTTATGAATCAGGGTTTCAGATTTTGGGCTGTCACATGACCACTCTGGATTTTCCGCCTGCCAGTTCTGCCACTGCCAGTTCTGCCACTGCCCATAGCTCCGCAACTCGCTCCGTCTGCTGGTCATGTGTCTGAAGTCTCCAACGTGAACCGTCTGGTTTCAATCTCGCCATCAGCTTATCAGTGATATTGCCGTCTTTCTGATTGCAGACATTAGCTGATAAGTACTTGGACATTTAGTTCACTCCCTCAAATCTGCTCGCCAACTAATCGCGATCTCAAGTTCTCGCTAACCCAGGTCGGATATCTTCGCCCCGTTAACCAAGAAGATCTGTGGAATATTACCGGCTCCTACCGAGCCGAGGAGATGACCGACAAGTTCCAGGCAAACCTCGAGCGCATCGTGGCAAAACACGTGGAAAAATACAAGGCCAAGCAGCGCAAAAGCAACCCCGCTTTTGACGAGTCGGCGTTTGTCTTCGACCCCAACGACCCCGACCAGGTGCCCAAGTACGCCATCATTCTCGCGCTCCTTGCCACCTTCCGGTTCCGCTTCTGGTGGTCGGCCATCTGCAAAATCATCTTTGACTGCGCCCAGACCCTCAACCCGCTGGTGTCCCGACAACTCATCAAGTTTGTGGGCGACAGATACACCCACGCGCCGCCGAGCATTGGCAGAGGCGTGGGGCTTGCCATCGGCGTCACCCTCATGATCGCCGTGGCGTCCTACTTCATGAACATGATGCTCTACTACTCGATGATGATGGGCGCCCAGTGCCGAGCAGTGCTGTCCCACTCCATCTACAAAAAATCACTCAATCTCAGCGCAAAGTCGCGACTCAAGTACACTAACGGCCAGATCACCAACCTGCTGGGCACTGACTGTCACAAGGTGGATTTCTGCCTCGGCTTCTTCCACTTTTCTTGGACCTTTCCCGTCTCCATGGCCATTGCCATTGTCATTCTCATTGTCAATCTGGGCCCCGCGGCGCTGGTAGGAATCGCCGTCATCATCATCTGCATTCTGGCGGTGGCTCGAATCTCTCGAACAATAATGAAACAACGACGAATCGTCACTGCGCTCACTGACAGACGTATTTCCATGATGAAGGAAATTCTCCAGAGTATGCGAGTCATCAAGTTCTACGCTTGGGAGTTGCCGTACAAGGACCGAGTCATGGAGATTCGAAAGGAGGAGCTCAAGGGCGTGAAAAAGCTGCTGGTGATTCGAAACGCCCTCAACGCTATTTTCGTCGGTGTCCCCACCATCGCCTCCATGCTATCGTTTGTGGTCATGTACAAAACGGGTCGGGACCTCGACGCCGCCAAGGTCTTTTCGTCGCTGTCGCTGTTCAACCTGCTGCGAATGCCACTCATGCTTCTGCCGCTGTCGACTTCGACGTCGATTGACGCGTTTGTGGCACTCAAGCGAATCCAGGGGTTTCTGTTTGCTGGCGAGCAGGTTAATTACGTTATCACGGACCCTGAAATTGGAGAGAAGGGCGATGCCATTGTCGTTGATCAAGCGAGTTTCATTTGGAAGGATGAGACCGAGGAAGGGGGCGAGGGCGAGGAGGGTGAGGGAAGCGAGGGCGTCGGCGCCAAGGGGGCCAAGACAACGGTCATCGACGCCAAGACCGGCGCCATCGCCAAGGCCGACGCCAAGACCTTGGCGGGCATTCCAGACGCAATCTCCCAGGACTCTACCTCCGACGCCGCCTCCGACGCCTCCTCCAGCTCCTCTTCCGTCCCCCAATTCGTCGGGCTTAACGACATTTCGCTCACCGTCAAGTCCGGTGAATTCATTGTCATCACCGGCGCCGTAGGCACTGGCAAATCGTCGCTGCTTTCCGCCATTGCGGGCCTCATGGTCAAAACCGCCGGCTCCGTCACCGTTGCCGGAGAAATGATCTTTTCGCCTTCGCCTTGGGTCCACAACGCCACCATTAGAGACAACATTCTGTTTGGACAGCCGTTCGACCAGGCGCTCTACTCCAAGGTGATCCACGCGTGTGCTCTGGAACGCGATTTTGAAATCCTGCCTGGAGGAGATGCCACCGAGGTGGGAGAGCGAGGTATCACGCTTTCCGGCGGCCAAAAGGCACGTATCTCGCTGGCCACCATGGCGTACCGAAACCCGTCCATCATTCTGCTGGATGACGTTCTGTCCGCTGTCGACAGTCACGTGGGCAAACACATCATGGAAAACTGCATTCTAGGCCACATGGGCGGACACACGCGGCTGCTGGCAACTCACCAACTTGGCTTGATCGACCAGGCGGACCGAATCATCTTTCTCGACGGCTCGGGCGCCATCCGTGTGGGGTCACGTGACGAGCTGATGCGGAGCGAGCCCGGCTTCGCTCATCTTATGGAGTTTGGTTCCAAGCAGGAGGAGGAGGAGGAGGAGCTGGCGCCCTATGATATGGAGGCAGAAGAGGTGGTGGTGGAGGGAGCCACGTTGGACGCTCCACGTGACCTTAAGGTGCTGGAGGAGCAGGCCGAGACCAAGCGACGTCACTCCATCGACCGGATCAGTGACTCGTCCGAGTCGGTGCTCGACGAGTTGGTCAGGGCGGCCACCAACACCTCGCTGCAAGAGAAGGACGCTAAAACCACCGTTGCCACTGTGGCGCAAGTGGATGAGGACAAGGCCAAAGACGGCAAGCTGATTGCCGCCGAGGGCCGCTCCGTCAAGGCCGTGCCTCTAAAGGTCTACCTTACCTACATTAAGTATGGCGGAGGCATGATTGGGTATGCTGTGCTGCCCATTTTTCTGACGCTGCTGGTTGTCTCGGTCTTCGTCATGCTCTTCACCAACGTGTGGCTCTCGTACTGGACCGAGGACAAGTGGCCGCAGTATGGCGACGGGCTGTACATCGGCATTTTCGTCATGTTTGGCTTCCTCACGTGCATTCTCTTTTTTGCCTGTTTTTACACGCTCACGACCATCGGCAACAACGCCACCGCAAAAATGCACATTGAGGCCGTGGACGGAATTCTGCACGCTCCCATGTCCTTTTTTGACACTACTCCCCTGGGTCGAATCATGAACCGATTCAGTAAAGACACCGACACCATGGACAACGAGATAAGTGATCAGACGCGACTGTTTCTGCTGACACTGAGTCAGATCATCGGTATCATGATTCTGTGCATCATCTACCTGCCGTGGTTCGCTATCGCCGTGGGGCCCTTGCTGTTCATCTACCACTGCATCTCCTCGTACTACAGAAGTACGGCACGAGAGGTGAAACGGCTGGACTCCATCAACCGAAGTCACGTCTTCTCACACATGCAGGAGTCGCTCACCGGAGTCTTCAACATTGCTGCCTACGGCAACAAGACCACGTTTGTCAAGAAGAATGAGTGGGCCATCGACAACATGAACGCGGCGTACTTTCTGACGATTGCCAACCAGCGCTGGCTGGCCTTCCGCGTCGATCTAGTTGGCTTCTCGCTCTGTTTTGTCATTGCCATGCTCTCTGTCACTGGCCAGTTCAGTATCAGTCCGTCTGCCGCCGGCCTGGTGCTGTCGTACATTCTGCAAATCGTCGGAATGATGACGCTGATGGTCAGAGAGAGCGCACAGGTGGAAAACAACATGAACACCGTTGAGAGAGTCTTTCAGTACTCCTACGACGTGCCCTCAGAGGCACCAAGCCACATCCCCGACACGGCGCCGCCTCCCGAGTGGCCCACTGGCGGTGGAATCGAATTCCAGGATGTGAGCATGTCGTATCGACCAGGTCTTCCCCTGGTGCTCAAGGACATTTCCGTCAACGTTCTTCCTGGCGAGCACGTCGGTATCTGTGGCCGAACTGGAGCGGGCAAGTCGTCCATCATGAATGCCCTGTACCGGCTGTCGGAGCTGTCCCAGGGAACAGTCACCATTGATGGCGTTGACATATCGACCATCGGCTTGAACGACCTGCGGTCAAAGCTTTCAATCATCCCCCAGGACCCCGTTCTGTTCAACGGAACAATCCGCTCCAACATTGACCCGTTCGGCCAGCGAGACGACGCGGCGCTGTGGGACGCTCTGCGACGGTCGTGGCTCGTCGAGGAGGCCGATCTGGGCAAACTCAAGAGTGGAGCCACAGACTCGAACCACGTCAAGTTCCATCTGGACACCCAGGTGGACGAGGACGGCTCCAACTTTTCGCTTGGAGAACGGCAATTGCTGGCGCTGGCTAGAGCTCTAGTTCGCATGTCTCGAATCCTTATTCTCGACGAAGCCACCAGTTCGGTCGATTATGAGACAGACTCCAAGATCCAGTCCACCATTGTTCAAGAGTTTGCCCAATGTACGATTCTGTGCATTGCTCATCGGCTGAGAACCATCCTGAACTATGACAAGATCATGGTTCTTGACGCTGGCAGAATTGTCGAGTACGACACTCCGTATCGGCTGTACGTCAAGGAGGGAGGAGTGTTTAGGGGAATGTGCCTGCAGAGTGGCATCACTGACGAGGATTTTCCCGAGGAGAAGAGGGTAGTGTAGCACTTGGGGGGTACGACGAGAGTGCGTCTTGTTGGACCACAAGTGTTGCATGGAGTTACTCATGTAATTGAGTCTTAATTTTATAGCATAATGCATTGTTTTGATTGATTGGAGAGTGTTGATTTCCAGGTATCGGTCTTGAACTGTGCATGGGTTTGGGCAGAACAGCTTCATAGGGAATAGTAGCCGATACTCCTCACACGAATTCACCAACAGTCCCTGTAAAGGGTCCGGATCTCGCATGATTATGACCTTTGATCACTGATGGGTGAACATTGTATCCAGCAATTCATTTTCGGATACAGTCGCTTGTCTTATGGCTGTGTGTAGAAAGACACAGTGAGCACATAACAGACCGGAAGAGCCCTGGAGTGAGGACTGGGAAATCGCCGTTTAAGCCATGGCCTGAGACGGAAGAGGAGTATCTCTGAGCAAGACTAGACACAGTCGAACCGGAGGCAGTTGTAGCTGAATGAGACCTTTAGAGACATATCTGACTTGAAGGCAATCATCTATTAGTCCCCACAAAGGGTTTATCTGATAGTCTCCAACCAGTCTAGAAGGAAACAGACAGCATCCCTGAGGCCAGCAGAGACGATAATAGGGACAAGTCCGGGGTGTTGCAATAAAACCGTCCACCGGGTTGAAACACTCTAGTGCGGTTGAAACACTCCAGTCCGGTTGAAACTCCAGTCCGGTTGAAACTCCAGTCCGGTTGAAACTCCAGTCCGGTTGAAACACTCAAGTCCTGACAAATCTCGCATCTCATGGTACCAGGCAAGATGGAACAGACAGTATCACCCGAGTACGCGCGACAATTATACTACCGGGTAAAGTCCTTTACCCTCGAGATGAAGCGACCCCTGTGAGTTCCAGGTATACGTCTACAATCACAAGGACATCCAAACCAGTAAGAAGTACAGTAGGTTGGTTTCATTTCATCAACATGAAACAACCTCCCTACAAATCAACTACCCATTTAAGATCTTGAACACTCGAATCAAGCACTTGGACAGACACCACGTTCTGCCAACGTCAGCACATGGCCGTCCGTCGACACTTGAAGTCAGCGTGCTAGAAGTTATCTCCACAAGTTATCTCCAGCATAGCCCTGATCATTCTAAAAAAAATGATCTGAACTGGAGCCTTCTCCACTCCCTCAGGCATCTACCAACGCACCGGGCTCGGTGAAATGGGGAAAAGAGGAAAAAGGCAGTGAAGGTGGTTGGGGGTTACATTGGGTGCTGATCTGCTGGACTTTGTTGGAGTTACTGGGCAGCTGGAATACTGGAAGACTGGACTCGCCGGACTTTCTGGACTCGCCGGACTTTCTGGACTCGCCGGACTCATCTACAGAACCTTTGGACTCCTTTAACCCTTTGGCCCTTGGGGTTATCGGTGAGGGTCGATGAGAAGAACCGAAAGTAAATGAGAAGGTCGGGGGACGCAAAAGATCCGCAACTAGATTTTTTTTGGCCTTTCAAGCCCATTATGACATCAGACTGCTCTATGACTACTGTATATACTCTACAACACCTCGGACATTCCCTCTCGGCAAGAATACTTCCAGTACTTGTACAAAGAAAACACGTACGAGTAGTTGAGAGCACAGTTTGAACCGTACGGCTGTGATCAATCGCCTGACTGAAGGGAGGAGGTCTAGAGACGAGGCTAAAGGAGCGATTGCCGAAAGAGAGAAGCCAATTTGGAGAGGCAAAGCGGAAAGAATCGTGGTCAAGAAACAGCTCCTCGTTCCACGTGGTCACGTTTGATCACGTGACATCCTGGCCATGGGTTGTATTCGTTATCGTATTCGTTAACTCGTTTGGTTCAGACTGGCAACGTTCCGAGCTGAGTTGAACCAGCACATGGTCAGTCGCAACTTCACGGATAAGCCAGTGAATCGACAAGTTCAACAGATAACGCCAAGTCAAATGCAATCACTTCCAGCCGATTCAGCTGATCTATTAGTGCCCTCAGAGGCCATCACTCACCAACTACTCTTCTCGGCAAATAGACCCGAGAGGTCAGCGAAAGCCACCAATTCAGCTTCGGAGATGAGCAAGGATTGTTAGGATAGGTCTGAGGGTTGGGGCAAGAGACCTGAGTACCAGCCGGGTTTGGGCTCTGCAACGACTGAGCAGGGTACACAGGGTTGGGGTAGACTAGTGGCCCAGGGCTGGAGAAGCAGGGCAATGGATGGCTTCCTGGGGTGGCTACGCGGCCTTTGTGCCTCGTCAGATGAGCACCTCCTAATAAAAAACAAAGGCTTGACCTCAATAGATCGTGACAACGTCAACTGGACAATGCAGACTTGGACCTTTTGGACTGTGTCCCACTCTCAGTTTCGGCTGCCTGGGTCTTGGACACAACCCAACCTGGTCAAGGCCGACTCTCGACACGTCCTTCTGTGGTCCACACGCATTACACTTCCCTTGGTTGTGTTCGTAGTATAAGGTATTCCTTTAACTTTTTATATCCATTTATCAATGATTTCTTCGAGTTGGAGACGGTACGGAGTCTGCGGCATAGTATCGTGTGTCCGTGTTGGACTGTGAAGCGAGATAGTCATGGTGCGTGTTTGATCTAAGGCAGGTGGTGGGAAGTTCGAGGTGGAAGACAGGATGAAGAATACTGATGGTCGTTAGTCGGTTCAGCCCCAACTTTGTAGCTGAAAACTGCTGAACTGCGCTATCGTTTGAGCCCGATGGAGCACTTCCAGGTCTGTTTTTTTTTGGACTATCTGCATAAAGCCCTACATGAGTCATTCAGAACGCATTTTAGAGTGATTATAATTGAATATCCATGTAGCCCTAGTATTTCTGATCCCTTACGGGCCACTGATATCTCTCTACGACTTGGTATGCTCGCAATTATTCAAAGTTCTGTCTCCCCTGCACTTCTATGTACGATTATGCATGGTGTGCATGATGATAATGCACCTTAAATGCACATTTTTGAAACCTCCTGCAACAATCTCGCCACATTTTTCTTCTCTCGCTAGATAGCCATCTGGTCGTCTGAAAAATGGCACCGATCGAAAGCTCTCGCTTCAAATGGTCGCTGGCTGACCTCATTTCTGTTCTCTAGACTCCCGTTGACTATCGAGGTGAATGGGTGGAGTGCTTGTTGGTGCATCCCTGGTATATGTTGACGTGGCTATGCACGGTTCCAATCTACCACTATGCAGTGCAAGGTGACAGGTCGGATGCAGTGTATAGATAGGTCTCATTCGGTCATCCGTTTCTCAAAAACTCTTCCTCTTACAAATCTCAAAAACTCTTGCGCTCACAAATCACATTCTGTCAGAAAATCAGCACAACCGCAAAATTCAACAGCTAAACACACCAAAAAAACAGCCAGCGATGGCAGCGACAACGCCAACCCCATAGCATATTCCATGACTGACCAGATAGGAGTATTATTACATCTTTGATGATCACCACATGGTCACCTCGTAGTCGCTGTGAAGACTTTAAAGGACACAACAGGCGCTGTGAAGAATGCAACAGGCGTGGTGCATGACAACATTCTGTAATATCTCTCCCACCGTCATCCCAACTCTGTTTAATTGCATGCGACCAGTCTCATCTCCCACTTGCTGACCTAATCGACCCTGTTGAACCACACCGCTATCACTTCTACCACTCCACCCAAAAACTACGTACCATCGCCTCGAGCCAGTTTCGGTGTGGTTGTGTTTGAGGGTGTGCAGGAGGAAAGGTTAGTCTAGTGATGTCTGCTACTCTGTCCTGACCCGTTTGGCGCTACCTGTGTTTTCTGGCATTATGGGATCGCTGTTCGTTTCGTCGCGCTCTACGGCAATTGGCACTGGAAATGACAGAGCCAGTGCTGCTACAAGTGCTGCTACCCTCACTCGTGCAAAACGTCTATTGTCTATGTGTGAGTCCTCTGAGGCTTCTCCTGGAAGTCTCCATGATTCATTTCCCGCTACCTCTCCGTGGCTACTCTCTAAACAAAGCCCGAGTTCTTCTTGCGCTTCGCAGATGCAAAAATGTTGTCAATATCGGCCATCTTTCGCTGCCCCTTGCCAGTCTTCACCACGGGCTTTGTCACCTTGCCAGCAGCCTTTGGTGTTCCCATGGCGACGGATTTCGGGCCAGACGCCGACTTCGACTTGGACGCCTGCGGCGTCAGACGCTGATACATGAGCATGTACGCATCCTCCTCCTTGAGCGCCTTTTTCTCCGACAGCGGCTCAATGAGATCGTCATCATAGGTGGCCCACTTGCCGTTGGGCTGTCTCACGTGAGCAATATAATGGCCCGAGCCGGTTGTTCGGCCACAGTGGGCAATGACACCAATGAGCTTGTACGGCACCACACCGGCCCGCTGCTTGTCCCGTGAGTAGTGGCCCAGATCGAGGTCGGCCGGGTAATCCAACGGCGCGCCCATCTTGCGGGGCTGGTCGTTGACAAACTTGAACCGTTTCACGTGGACCACGAGGTGTTCCGGGAACTCGTGGATTCGCGAGGTTTTCTTGGCGCTGGTTGTCTTTTGGCACTCGTCGCACTTGTATCCGTCCTTCTTCTGGATCTGCTCCTCCTCAAAGAACCGAGTGATGCATCGTTTGAGAGAGATTCGTCCCTCGGGTTTCTTCTCATCCAGGTTGACCGAGAGGTCGTAAAAGTCCTGCTTGGTCACGGACTCGTTGCCACAGCCTCCACAAACTACCACCTGCTCCAGGTTGCCTCCAAACATATCGTAAATGACGGAGCTGTTGAGCTTCTCGCCTTTGGGGGTGGAGTCTTCCTGCAGCCGGCTCATGAGCGACATGAAGTACTCGTGAGCATCTTCCTGGTTCCATTCGGACATCATGCAGTTGATGTCGTCGAGTCGGCCGATGAGTTGGCGAGGGAAGATGTTCTTCTTACCGCCAAACAGCTTGCCGTAAAGCTGGGCAAACACCTGAGTCACGGACCCCGGGTACTTTTTGGCCAGCAGAATATCAGCGAGGTAGTTGCTCATGGCGGGCATGTGCATGAGCAGCTGCACCGCCGAGTTCATGTAGCACGTGACTCCCTGGTTGATGAGACCAGCCGGCGAGGGAGTACCCTTCTTCCACGCCTTTTGAATCTTGCTGGGTGAGCGCGATCCAGGATCCAATGTGGCGCTCAGAGGGATGAAGTTGGTCGGAGTGGCGGCGGACAACGTTGTTCCAGGGCTTGTGTCCTCCTCTTCTCTTTGCTTGGGCTTGATGAGAATGTATGACGCGGGTTTGATAGCGACTGGCTCCGGGTTTTTGGCACGCACAAAGCTGATTGGCTTGTCTTTGATCTGAGTCAGCAGTCGGTGCTGTTGGAACGGGTTCCCGCCTCCATTTTGGCGTTTCATCACGGAGGTCATGGAGTTTGGAGTTGGAGCCTGGTGTCATATGCATGATGGAAATATTTTTAAAGTTTCACTATGGTAAACTTTATTGAGTTGAGGATAGGGTGGTAGCACAAGATGTTCATGGTGGGTGGATTATGTAATGCGGTCAACTGTCGGAATACATTGCTTTACTTTAGATGATGACTACCATTTTGATTACGTAAACAGTAAGACAGGTTGAGTTGCAGGTGCTTGTGGATAGTTTCGTGCTGACATGATGGATATATTTGCGGAGTCAGCAGATATTGTGTTGCTGTATGTACTTTACCCTGATTGTTTTATTAATATTGTCATCCCTGTCAGTGATTGGGTCACTCTAACTGACATGTTTGCTTACTAATCATTCCGACGTGCCCATTTTGGTATTGACCGTAAAGTCACGTGACTTTTGGAGATAATACTAAAGCGCCGCCCACCACGTCCAAACTTAATGTTATTTATGGTTTATCACGTGATTTATCATGTGATGGGAGAGAACCCAGCGTGCCCAAACACCACAAGTAATATATATTGTTGGAATCCTCTCAACCAGGGTTACGCAATGGTTAGGTCGGTTTTATTCGTTAGTCTCACAGAATCACAATGTATCTTAAACAACAGACTTGAGATGAGGAATTGATTAGTAAGAGAAATCACAGACTGTAGCCATAATCGAAGCAGAGAGCTGTATTCCCCATAATCTGTGTGATCACGTGACCGAATTTTTGAGTTCGATCGGGCAAAGATTCAGATTCTCAGTTGAGTTGGCTAAGGGTGGAGGAGTGGGGATATCAACTCGGCAAGTTCAAAGTCGTATTCTTCGCGTCATTTCCCATCACGTGAGTGTGTAGTACCCACTTCCATCGTGACTACATCTGACTACATGCACAAATCAAATCTGTGTATCATTTTTCTAGCTATCTAACCATTCTCTGGGGCAGCAACAAGGCACTCAGCATTCCCGGAGAATCGCCAAATCCATCTTCAGACACGACTCCGTCGAAATAGAAGCCCACCATGACCACGCACCACGCAAGCACCAAAATGGAGCCCTTGAAGTAGTTGCTTTTGCCCTCGGCGTAAATGTACGAAAACAGAAAGACACAGATCATCACCACAAACAGATCCCACCGCGGGAAAATGAGAGTGAACATGTGCGCCGTGTCCATGTCGACATTGTTGTTCCACATGGAGTAGAGCACCAGCGCCGGGATTTGCAGCAGACAGACCTGGAGGGCGTAGGCGGAGCCGATTTCCATCGACAGCGCGATATTGCCACCCATGGCGAACGAAATGGCGTTGAGAAACTCGGTGGTGTTGGGCACGAGGGCGAAAATGGTGATTCCAAGCAACTTTTCGCCGATCGCCGCGTTCTCCAGAACTACATCGACGGTATCTACCAGCATTTCGGCAACCACAGCATAGAGCAGAGTGGCCGAGAGCAGAATGAAGGTGGACTTGGAACGTGACCAGTTGGCGTCAGGGCTGTGTCCCGAGGGGGCCTCTTCGACGGGGGCGGAGACCACGAGCGGAGTTGCCAGGGTGACGGTTGGACCAGAGCCAGGGTTGGGGTTACCAGGGTTGGGGTTGGGGTTGCCAGGGTTGGGGTTACCAGAGTTGGGATGTCCCGGGTTGGTGCCCGGACGATGCTTCAAACCGGCGGGGTCGTCGAGAATGGTAGCCGGAGTGGCGCGATGCACCGGAGTGGCGACGGAAGAACTCCGGCCCCCAGCACCAGGGTTGGGGTTAACCTGGACCACCTCCTTTTTCTCGTGAATCGGCGTCTGCCAAATCATGGCCGCGTGGGTCCGCAGAGTGAACCACAGCCCGATTATGTAAGACACAAACAGCAGAATGGCACAGATGCCGGAAAGCGGCTTGAGAGCCTTTTGATAGAGGTCGTCGTAGACGAGCGGGACCTGGAAGAATTGGCAGCGCGAGCAGAAGCTGGCAGCGGCGGTGGCTGACTCAGCAAGCACCTGCTGGCCGTTTGCGAGCGCTGACCCAGCATGACTAATCAGGTTGCGACCCATCATGAGATTAGGACCCTCGCACTCGCCATCGCACCGCAGCTCATATGACCCATGAATCTGGTAGAAAAACGTCGGCGCAAACGTGCCCAGAATCGCAAACAACAACATGGTGGACGAAACGCCCGCAGACTTGGGATTGTACCGCTGAGTCTTGCGCTTGATCGCTCCCGTGCACATACTGAGGCCTGGCAACAGCAAGACGCCGGCCAAAATGCTTCCAATGATACTGCCCTCCACCAGGGCTGACTTACCCTGTTGTAGGGCGACACAGTAGAGAAAAACCTCGACAATAGTGGAGAAAAAGGCGTTAATGGCGGCGCCCATTCCCATGGAGGTCTGTGCGGAGATGGAGGCGACGGCCTGGCCAATGAAGTAGGCGAGGGGGATGACGCTGACTAAGCTGACCAAGAAGATGAAGAGCGGCTGAGTAATTAGCAGGTCGAGTCCCAGGTGGAGCCGTAGAAAGTAGTTTGAAAAGATGCCGAAAAACACCACGCCAATGAGATTGATGAAAAAAATGTTGGTGCCGTCAATGGTGTATTTGTAATACTTCCAGCCAAAGGCGCGGTATGTGCACAGCAGAATGGCCCCGGAGCCGTCGCCGGAGCCGTTGAGCTCATAATATTGCGAGTCGGACTTGAACTTGAGGGCTAATGGATGCCGTCGCAAATGGTAGCAGAGCACATTAGTCACCTTGCCCATGGGGATGAGAAAGACGAGGAACCAGCAGATGAGGGAGACGGCGTAGATGACAGGGGTGATGATTACGTAAAACCACGTGTAGAAGAGAATTCGGCCGAGATTCCATTCGCCCCGGCCAAAGAACCGTCGCTTACGTGAGACGCCGGTTTCCGAGTCTTCTCCGAGCGAGTCTTCGGACGCGGACGACAGCGACGACCGGTTGCGGCCCAGCAGGGGGGTTCTCACGGGGTCTACGTGGGCGCCAGAGCTGGGGTCGTGGTGGTTAGGGTGGTTAGGGTGAGAGGTAGGGTTGGTTCCCTGGGTAGGGTGGCCATGGTTCGAATCCGGTCCAAAAAAGAGCCGGCCATGCTCCAAATCACCCGCCTGCCACCGCTCATACTCTCCCAGAGTCCTACCCTCGCCCTCATCCTCATGCAGATAGTTTTCGTCGGCCGCGAGCTGCACAAACTGCCCAAACGGATAGAGAAGATAGAAGCCCGTCTTATGTAAGACACGGCCGTACTGGCGGGCGGAATTGGACCAGAAAAACAGCGAGCACGTAATAAACCCTAGCCCACAAACCATGTAGAGCAACAGGCCGAACGACAAGGTCCACAGCGCATTACCTAAGAAAATCCGCCATCCCACCGTCTTTCCCGGAGTCATGTGAATATCGCCTTCCGCCTGGGCCTGCACAGACCGGTTTTTTTTGTAAATTGCGGGTTTCCAGATTCGGATTCCGAATGGGTGGGTGGTGTTGATGGCGGCCTGCCGCTCCTTGAGAGTGAAGGACTCGTTGGAGAGGACCGACGCGTTGTCGTCGGCTGAGTCATCTGCGTCGGCTGAGTCATCTGCGTCGGCGTCGTCGTCGTCGTCGAGGCCGGCTGAGTCAGCAATTTCCGTTGAGTCAGCGTGGTCCCCGTCGGCGTGCGTCACGTGGCTGCCCGCGGGGTCGTGCAAGTCGTGGTCCCCGTCGACGTCGCATTGGTCAGCATCGTGGTCTGAGTAAGCCGGGTTGAAGTCCTGCTTAATGATCGGTGACGGCGACTCCCGCGGCACCGAGTCCCGAGAACGTACGTGACTGAGCGAGTGGCCACGGCTCGCGTCGCGCTCACGTGATCCGCCGCTGATGCTGCCTCCTCCGGGCACGTGACTCTTTTTCCGTCGCCGTTTTCGCTCCTGGTCCTTGATGGCCTTTGCATATCCCTCCAGAAACTCCCGTTCCAGATCGGCTTCGAATTCGTACTCGTCGTCGTCGACGGAGTACTGGTATCGTCGCTCGTGAGAGGTCGAGGTGCCCCGGCTTAGGGAAGATCTGGGTTGGGGCAGAACCAGCGACGGCTGTTTGGGGTTGAGACTGGGCGAGGGTTGCGACAGCGCCGTGAGGTTTGGGCTGGGCTTGACGGCGGCAGGGCCAGGGTTGCTCGATCCGGAAGGCCCAGGATTGGGACCGGGGTTGGGGGTCGCGGTCGAGTTGGGGTTTGGCGCCGTTCGAGGGCTCACCGAGCGGAACTCGCCCGGGCGAATGGTATCTATCGAAGACGAGTAAATGTCGTGTTGCGGGGCCTGCAACGACTCACGTGACGGCTCACGTGAGTGTTGGGCGTCTCCCTTGGCCTTGGTCGAGTCACTTTCGGGCATGTCACACAACCAATGTTGGGGGTCACAGGAGCAATGTCGGCAGTTACAAGCAGTGTGGTGAGTGAGGTGGTGAGTAATTGATGTCGACGACAGGTTAGGCGAGGAATAGAGTTCAGGGTTGGGAGCGTATTTAAGGTACCTGCGCTGAGGCGGTTTAGGGGTGATAGGGGTTGGGGAGGGGAGGGCTAGGTGTATTGAGGAGGATTGTAGCTGGAAACGAGCTGGGGTTTGGGTTTAAATGGTTGGTGTGACTTGATCACATGCAAACCTTTGGAACTGGGATTTTCCGTCGTACCGTTGCGGACTCGCTAGTCAGACTACTGCAGAGCTTAATTATTAAACGGGGTCGTCTTTTCCGACAGATTAATGAAGATTTCAGCGGTTGAGAAAGTTAGGGTAGGGGTATCTGGGCTTATGGGTTTGATTTCTCAGCTCGGTTTGGAATTAGGGGTAATATTTAGGGAGATATTAGGGTATGTTTGTTTGTTGCTTAGGGACCGAGGAAAGCTTAAATTTGAGTGCGAAATTAAATGTTGTTGTAGACAGATTATGAAAAGTATTAAGGGAGCGGGAAGTAGCTATTATGCTTATTAAAGAAATAATTTTACATCAGCGGAAATTTGTTTCCGTTTGATGATTCATAGGTGATTTTCGGGAGGGTTTGTTGTGGAACCTTAAATCTGCGATGATGTCCAAATCGAATGTTAGTTAAATGGGTTAGGGGAGAGGTATGGTCACGTGAGTGGATTGTGAGTGAAATGGCCGTGATTGGGACGCCGCTCTGAACGTCCCGACTTCAATGGTTGTTTCGTTGTGGCATTTATGGAGCTCCTTATTTGGGCGTCCAATAGCCCTTTGCTTTTGTGTGGGGTCAGATCACTCGATATATCATGTGACTTTGAACCTTAATGTAACAGCCAAAGTCCGTGCAATGTCGTTGTTCATGTCGCGGTTATGTAAGCCATGAGAATATCCCATAACTTTGGAGTCACGTGACCGAATTTCACTCGTATCAGAGTAATATTACCTAAGCTACAGTAGGTGCATCTGGAGTCACCAATTACCGTAGAATATCGCTTGCTATTCGAATGTTCCAAGCCACGTGCTCCATATGATAGCTCGGACCAATTGAATTACTCATTTACAGGATTCCACAAGGAAGTTGAAAGCTCTCAATATCACCTGTTTTCATCGGATTATGATCAATGATCAACTGATTCCTTGAAATGTTCAACGCAGGATCCTCCGATATTATTATCACCTATTTGACAATCACATGTTATTCATCCCGAAATTCTCTTCACACTCATATATCTCTAGAGCGTCTAATGTCAATATCCGTCGATTTTTTATATTTTTTATATTTTTGTTATATTTTAATGATCCATTACAGCTAAATATCTGATAAGTCGGTTGTTGGCGTTTAATAAATCATAGTCATGATCGTTGCTTTTGTATATATATTTAATTCTAGTAACTATATCTCATCAATAATACTTATGATCTTCAATAATATCAATAGTTCCATGTCTTATCCAGACTCGAGGTTGGTTTAGTTTGTTCTCATAAAAGATCGTAGACGGTGTAATTCGGACAGGGATCGTGAATATGATTCGTGTGTGTCGTGTTTGAGTTTTTGCGCCATCGGGGAGTTGAATTTGGAGTAGCTCAGTGTTTGGTTGTTATGTTGATGGTGTTTTTTGTTTTTTTTTGCAGACTGACCTAGGAAAACTGCTGAACAATGTCCATGTTGGACCCTTACAAGCACAAAAACAGGGCGTCTGGTGTAGTTGGTTATCACATGCGCTTAGCATGCGCGAGGTCCCCGGTTCGATTCCTGTGTCGTCCAAATTTTTTTCGAAAGAAATTGTTTAATTTTGGCATTTACCCTTAGCTATAGTTTTTTGTTGGGCCCGATTCAGGTCGATAAGGCCAATTTCGCACCACTACGCTCTTTACACGAGTTTTGAGATATCGATCACCTCAACTCGACACGCGCGTCCAGACGTTCTTTGTATGCTTCTTTGTTGGTGTTCATTTACGCGTCTCTTTTTGTCGCACGAAAAATGAGTTTAGTCAAAAATACTTGAAGTCGCGTTCACGTGTCTCCAGTGGAGAATTATGTCAGATTTTTTGCCATATTTTATTGGCAGATAAGCGGTCAGATTTGCGGTCAGATTTGCGGTCAGATTTTCCTGCATATATTTTTCCTTTTTTGTTTTTTTTTTTGTTTTTTTTGTTTTTTCACCACCGAAAATACAACTGAGCATGCGGCCAAGTATGCCACCAAGACACGCATCGTACCATCAAAAACGGCCACATCACGGGACCTCGGCGTCTCTATGACGCGATCCCATTTCGATCCCATTTCGATCCCATCCCATTTCAATCCCATTTCAATCTCGCATCATCTCGCCTTATGCACATATACGACCCGACATGAAAGCGACCTAGAAAACGCGGTAATAGCCGCACTGCAAAAATGACGCCCTTGTGATGCTCCCGCAGACTCGGCACCCCAGACTCGGCGGCACAGGGCTTCTAGACAAGACTGAAACATTGTGTGTGATACCTTTTCGGATCTTTTTATAGCCATTTCTGCGGCACGGTCCAAACAAGCTTGTTTAAGGGTGCGTCAACGTAACTGTGAAACTGTGAGGCTGTGAGGTTGTGATACTGCCATCCAGTTATGTCTCCATGTCTCCATGTCTCCATGTCTCCATATCTCCATATCTCTACACCTACAACTCCTCGACGATTCCCTGCTATCACACCGCCTTTCGTCGTCTGTTTTGGCGACACAGGGGCATTCTTTCGAGTGCTCCGCCACACGGTCTCCTCTGCAGCCGTCACCAGTCCCCTCCCCCGTAAACCTTATTTTTCACTGCAGCAGTGCAGTTTCCTGCAGCTTGGTGCAGTTGTGCGTCTGCTTCTCCCAACATGGATCAAAAGTCACCCAATACAAATTTTGGTGCATGTGCGGCAATGGCGGGAATGTAGTACCGAAAGATTTTGAAGCGTAAATATTACAAAAAAAGTGCATGTGAACAGCGACACGGATAGGCAGGGTCGTTTTTTCTCTCCTATTTCTCTCCTATTTTCCCTCCTATTTTCCCTCCTACTTTTCTGGTTTTTGTCTATTATACCTCCTCCTTTTTCACCTCTCTTCCCCTATTTTACATTTTACCTCTTTTCCCCTATTTTACTGATTTTTGTCTAATTAAAATACTCCAAATTCTTTTGGTTTTTACACGCAGCCAAGAATGTCGCTTCGGCGGCTGACAGCTATCTGGCGTCTTGCACTGACCCTTTTCTACCCCACCCACCCTATTGGACAAACGTCATTATTTTAGCCCCTTTGGCCGTTTTAGTGCGGGTCTAAAATGTGGGAAAATGAGCTAATATTACCGACAATGGCGCGGAATGTGCACTGGGCTCGGGAACGCCCTAGAATGTCTGGAAACAGGAGTAGCGTGGTGCATGGATTTTGTGCGTTTTTTCGTGCGTTTTTTCGTGCGTTTTTTCGGATACAAAATGAGGTGTCAAAGAGATTGAAATTGTGAAAATAATCGCATAAAATTACCAGCCTCGGCTTTCGTTAAAGTTGGTTGCTGTACGGACGATTTTTACTTCAGCCGTGGTGTTATATGGGCGCGAATACAAGTACAGTAATTGTATTTTTATTTTTATTTTTTATATTTCTTATTCACACCTTTCAACCCAATCACACATGGAATTCGTTTTCAGTCTAAAATTGGCGATATTGAAAAGTGTCTAGAAAATCGATGGCCGACAGGAAAACCAGCCGGAGCCGAAACAATCGCCGAATTGCTGCTGCCACATGTTGCTCAAACCGATCTACGGATCGTCGGATCGCCAAAAGCAGGTTGGTGATCTACAAGAAGGTACTGGTACGAGTGGGTGCATGGATATTACTGAAAACCAATATATAAAATAATAATGATAAAATAATAATAAAATGATCAGAACAAAATTAATGCTGAGTGAAACGGAAACAGAATTAGACAAATTGTTTTGTATAGAATTGACGTGGGTCAGACCGCTGAAATTTTCCCGAGCATATTTCCGATTTTATTGACGTCGAAGAAAAAATTCGGCCCTAGAAAATCAGAGTTGGTATAAAAAATAAAAAAAGCAGGAATAGCTTTCATCAGTGGCTCCCATTTTATTTTTATTTTTTGTCGCTTTCTCTCCATTTTTCGGGCCGTCATTCACCTATTTTCCACCACTTTCTCCCCCATCTCTCACCTACTGCATCTGCTCCCACCTGCGCTGCTAAACTCTATTCGGAACTCTATTCTGAACCTTATCGTTTCTAGTCCCTGACAAAAAAGCCTTTGTTAAAAAACACAAAACCATACAGTAGACCACGACAATAAATAAATATGTCCTGAAATCCCGTCTTCCCCTTTACCTGTTACACAAACCTGTTGGTGAAAAACAGCCGACAAAACTCCGTCGAATCGTTCCCTCTGTGATACCTCCAGCGACGTGCCATTACGCACCAGACATCTGTCACACAAATCAAACGGCACCATCTCTGGGACTCTTTACACCTTCTCGTCCTCGATCGTTATCATTACATTTCTGCGACTCTCACGCCATTTCTGTGACCCCACCACGCCATCTCTGTGACCCCACCACACCATCTCTGCACCACACCATCTCTCTGACCCTCACACCACTCCTGTGACCCTCACACCACTCCTGTCACCACCTCTGTGACCCTTACATCACTCCTGTCACCATTTTAATCATGAAACTCCTCTTTCTTCTAATCGCCCCAGCTCTCGCCCAGATGGGTGGAGTGGCCCCTGGAGGCCCTGCCGGAGCCGCACAAGTCGTCAACGTGCCTGGCCAGGCGCCTCCCCCCGCCGCAGGCCCCGGGGCTGGAGCGGCGCCAGCGGTGCCTGCTCCTGCGCCTGCTGTTCCCGCGCCAGCAGCTCCTGTAGCGGCTGCGCCTTCCCCTGTGTCACTGGACTCTTACACGGTTACAACTGTGATTGGAGGCGCAACAACTGTCCAGGTTCTGCCCATTTCCGCCACCACAGCGTACAGAACCACCGTCATTGGCGGTCTGCTGACCACCCAGCCATTCCAGTACGTCCAGCAGTTCCCTGCGCGTGCCACCAAGGCCGTGGATGTTCCTGCCGGCTCGATCGGTTTGGGCAAGTTGAGCAGCAAGGGTACGGTGGGTACCACCAAGGAGCCTGTTTATGTGACCATGGCCACGACGGAGCAGGCATAGTGCCCAGCACATGGCCAATGTTATCCATTCCACAGCCAGTTATACCCACAATATCACGACGACATAGTCCCACCTCCCTCACCCCCATGTCGTCCCTTCACAGCCACCACACCTACGTCCACCACATTCACCACACCCACGTACGTCCACCACATGCGCGGCGTTGCCCCCCAACAGCCTCTCCACCGTACCAGCGCTCGCCTACTGCAACGCTTTGTCCTAACATTACCCTTTTGGGCTGCTCGCATGTGCATGGCAAAGCTTATGTTTACGTTGTGGAGTCACTGTATCGTTCGGCTTTAATGTGCATGGGAGAAAATGACGGGGCCTCGATTTGGCCTGAAATACCCATAAAATCCCCATAAAATCCGGATTATTCCGTTGTATATTACTAATTTATTCGTTTTATTGATTGACTTACAAATCTGACCCACAGTAACATTTTTATTTTTATTTTATTTATTTTGTTTTTTTAAAGCACATGTGTTGAATTGAAAATATCCAAACACCTCATTTTATCGCAGAATCATTTTCGTAAAAACAAAGCACTCTCACAACCATCTAATCTGGGTATTATTGATCTCATCCTTCGAATCAATTTATTGGATTTTTTATTGGATTTTCTCTATTCAAATTAATTATTCAGACGGTCTGCTCCACATTAAAACTCTAAATAATTCCGATTTAACCGAAAGTCCAATAACCTTGCCAACTATTGTAAGACTGTCTCACCAATGGGGCTGAGCTTACATTAATTAGTTTAATTAGTAATATTCGTGTAAGCGTACATTCATTTCAAAGGTTATTCTTTCACGGCAAAGTTATAATTAAATGAATGTATATGCAGAAAAAAAAAAAATAGGGGGTTGGAGGGCGGGGAAACGGCTGCTGAATAATCAAGCAAAATCGGGGAAATTACGTAAGATACGAAAATAACATCCCCTTAGTCAACTGGTCACCTTGCTACTTTTTTTATATCCCTCAGCTCTATAATCGAGCTAGTAAATTCTGTTTAAGCCAGCGTTGCTTATTTTTAGCAATCAGAAATGGAAAATTTTTAAAACCGATATTCCTGCTTCAAAACCTGATAGAAAAAAATCTTGAAATTCCTGCTGACCCATTCCACGCTGGACTATCGACTGGAATTTTTAGATGATTTTTTCCATCATTACCCAGCATTCTGAATGCTCTCTTATTCTCCCCAGATTGAGCAAGATTAACGAACCAAGTCTAACCTTTTCGTGTCTCTCATTTCCTGTTTGAGTAAAACAAGGGCCCACCAACAAAGAGCAAGCACGAGGGGTTTCAGCTTGGAAGAAATACGGTTGCTGGCACCTGACGTGCTGAGTAAGCCCGGTGTGTGGTTGGCCATGACTCAGAGGGGCAGACCGCAGAGTAAGCGGGGTCCGTATGCCGGATCTGCGGTGTTGCGCCGCTGAGTAAGCACGACTAGTCTCTCTTCGGCTCCGCCTCATGCATCTTTGTCAGGGGATACGACGTTACGTTTACGCAAACGGAAACTCAGGGGCTGTGTTGTTGTCTCTCTTTTTGTTGGTGCCTTAATATTATGTACCTCTGACGTTACGCTTAAGACGGAAAAATAATAGAATTCCACGAGCAATGGGGACGAGAGAGGCATCGTTGGGACCAGGGCGACAAGAGGAGTCCGTCGGTGAGTTCGAAATTTCTTTTGGGGGCATTTTTCGCTGGTTTTCCGGACATTTCCTTGCTCATAACCTATCTTCCCATTTTCTTATGCACATGCAATATACATGCACATTGTAGCGCGCATCCGTGTGACGATGAAACTCGTCTTGACTATCGGTTCACATGCGGCCATGCATGACGTTGGAGATCTGCAGTCGTGGTGTTGATCATGTGACGTTGATGAGGTGGGTTTGAGTTTGCTGAAGGTAAGTGGAGTGGCTTAGTAGGCTTAGTAAGGCGTCTGGCCGTTACATAATCGGCTTGCGCTTAGTAATAACACATGACTAAACGGATGTACAATGAGGGGGATGAGGACTCAATTGGCACTCACCACATCTGACCAACCTCATATGACCAACCTCATCTGATAGCAAGGTTTATCGCAGATAACGTTGTGGATAATCTGGGGAAACGTCTAACATACAGTTACAGAGTAGCTAAATGGCGTTGCAAATTATATTGGTGGAATCTCCAGACCCAGTGCAACCTTTTGACACCAATATATCGTCAACTGCCCTCTCGTAGAAGCCTTCAGAGTCAGCTGAAGCGCTCACAGATGGTCACGCGCACCGTAATGGGGCTGATAAGGCAAGTGGTATGCATGGTGGGGTATGTGGGGTAGACATGAATACAGCCAATATCCGTCAGGTGCTCGAGACCAAGACATTCCGATTATGCAGGTGCATTTCAATACGCCCTTGCAGTTACGCCCACTTACTTGACATGTGCGTTTTTCGTCTTCAGCGATCCAGCAGATTGATGGCTCAATCCACTCAGGCACACTTAACTTCTTACCGTTCACTCTCACCATAGTCGCAGACGACATACTCACCACCAAATACTCACCACATACTCGCAGACATCTTCTGTCTTTCGTATTAGTCTCATCAGATTCTTTATCCCTTGCACGATACTCGCCGTGTCACATTTGTTACCACTTAAGTCTTGTCCGTCCACTCATAACTCAACTCTGGACCTCTATCTCGTGGTTCCAGAACAAACCCCCCTCAGCCAATACAAGAGGCCCCTCGGTTAATTGACTCGACGCCAACATCACTCACTCCTGTGATACCATCCCCAAGGTACGTACAGTCGCAGACTACTGACATGATAACCTACAAGATACCACTACTGACACAGCCGACGGCTCACCACCACCGCCGACTAGCGCCCAGACGTGATACCAATCACCACCATTCTGCATGACACAATCATCCTTCTCGTGGCCCATGTGGGGCAACTCCAAGTCGCCCTCCTCGACAGGTGCAACCACAAATACCGACTCTACTGCATCCCGGCCATGGTCTTGGGACGACACCAACAGCGCCGATACTCTCGAGTCAACATCCTTTTCCACGTCCATCGATATCAATGATACGCCGTCATCTCCAGAATACACGGTCCTTGCCGGAGTCACCGATGGCGGCTTCCACGCCCGAAAGTCGTCCCTCGAAGGAGATCCCGTCGAGTCTGCCATTGCCGAGTGGGAGATGGATCTCGGCGAGAGCACTGCCAGTGATGTTACCGCAAGCGATGTCGCCAACGACGTGAGCTTCGACTCAACTATGTGCACTTCTGTTGATGAGTCCATGCTGAAACAGGAAGATTCGTTTGTCCTCAACGAACGGCCAGTCAGGGCGAAGAAGGGCCAGACGAGGCTGAAGGCAAAGGTGACAAAGCCGGGGTCACGTGAAAACCATGTGAACGATAAGTTGGAGTCAACCTCCGAGCCCCGCGCTCTTGTTCGAACCCGAGGATCCTCCCAGGGTCGTGCTGTTGCTCGTCCCATTGGCAAAACTCGGTTCTCACAACGTCACTCGCCTTCCTCGTCCTCTTTGCAGCTCACACGGACCTGCATCACCTCCGAGGCGGCCTTCCACCACCGGTTTCTGGAGTGCGAAGAGCGGCTGCATACTCTGGCCGAAGCGTATCTTCACTCCAAGCGTCAGGACGTACCTTGGACCAACGACGCGTTGATGGACCACGCGTTGTTCGACTGGGCGTTTGTGTCCCGCAAGAGCGGGCTCCCGAGAGCTGCAGCTATTAGCAGCCTGTGTACGGCAAACGCTCTCTCCACCACCAAGCGTCCAGTGCGCTGGACACCCTGCGACGACAGACTCATTATGTATCTCAAGGAGATTGAAGGCCTCACGTGGAAGGAGTCTGCGCTTATGATACGGTACCGGCACAGCTGGCAGGCCGTACAGATGCGATATCTGCGGACCCTATGTCGGTTGACGGGCAAGTGGACCAAGCAGGAGACCGACAAGCTGAAGAGCGTTGTGGCCCGTGACTGGGCAGGGAGGTGGAGGCGCATTGCCACCGAGATGGGCCCGCAGTTCCCCGCGGAGAGGGTCTACCGGCAGATGATGGGGCTGGCCGGGATGGAGGTGGATCTGGAGAGATTGGACGGGGTGGAGGGGGAGGAGCAGGGGCCCAGTGCCCTCGGTTGGGAGGAACTGGTGCAGCTCTACAATCGGTAGACCCTGAGTCTCTGGTCTAATTACGTCAAGGGTTCGTCCGGAACTACCTGTGCTCACGCGGAAATGTATCATAGCTAGAATTTGTTAGATTTGAATAGATGGTTAGATGGCGTAGGTGTGTACCACTGTAATGTAGGGCTGTGACTCGGGGGAGAAACGAGTGCTTTGGAGATGGGTTGAAGTCAGAATGAGTCGGACTTCATCCAGGACAGAACAGGGTCAGACAACCGAGTCACATCAAGTGGAGTCGATGTTTGAGAAGAGGGTGTGACTGTCTGAACACACCGTTGTACCATCGATGCAGCTCTCTGAGAAAAGTGTCGGCAATAGTTTAAACTGCGGCGGTAGTAAGGCCCGACAACCGACCGGACGCAGCCAAGCAGACTCTTACCGTACCGTTGACAGGTCAAGACACATCTCAGAGCAAGATTACAAGTACAGTATGTATAGGACATATGGTACCTACAGTACATACTGCAGTCTCAACAACGGAAGCAGAAGAAAGAGCCTGGAGACTCCGAAATTCTAGCACAGGGTGTAACTGGCCAGAGACCCCTGAATCCTCAAAGGGATGGGTACAGGCTCGAGGGCGAACTTCACTCTTCGTTTCGACAAGTCGCTCTGTCCAGGTTCCATTCACCATGGAGATGATCTAGGAATTGCGTGGATTCTCGTCGGTGAGAAGAGAAGAGTTGACTCAATATCGGAGAAGATATTCAGTCAAAGTCTCATAATCTGCTTTGGCTCTTCATCGCACGCCCCACCCAACGACTGCTCACTTCCATAATTGACACTGTGAGTTGGGGACCGTACGGAGCCCGCGGCATGGGATTGTGTTTCCGTGTGTGTGACTAAATGCGCATCCAAAGCGCTATGTGGCATATATGAAGTAGTCCGACAATGCACGCCGAATGAGGTCGAAGCCGTGGACTCGGTGGTATCCATCGAATGAGGGAGTTCCGAGACGGACGAGTAGCAGTCAGTACATACAGTAGGGGAAGGGAATACTGTGTGGGTGGATGTATTGAAGAGTGGCATCGTGGTTATTGTGACAGTTGTGATACAGCAGTCATGTGACATCCAAGAATCACTTTGTGTATCAATACCGTCTGTCTGGTTCTAATCCCGAGTCTGTTTGACTGATCACCACTGAACTAGGTGAAGGTCGCGATTTATCCTTAGCTTGTCCTGACAGCCTTATCCTGAGACAGTTGATGAAGTGAGCGGTAATCAATCTGCTGAAGAACAGTGTCTGTGTAATGTGATCTGTCGGAGATTTGTGTTAGCAGCTGGGAGAGGAGAGCTGGGAGAGGGGTGGTTGTGTCAATGACGGACTGTTTCAGCCCCCAAAAAAAATGTGTTTTTGCGTCACTCTTTGTGTCACTCTTTGTGTCACTCCTGTGTCATTCGTATTGTTTTGTTGCGACAGGGGCTACCGGACGCAACAAGTGATGAGTAAGAAGAAGAGAGCAGAAATGGGCACTCTAGAGAAAATAATCAGAGTTTTTACAGTCCAATCTGACCGGTCAAAGGTCATAGTACAGTGCATTTGACCAGTCACATCTAGTACAGTATGCACTGTACTATTGACATTTGCGACCATTTCCAAACCGCTCCAAATTGACCAATTTTGATGTCATCGACGTGGGATTTTGTTCATCCTACTTATTGATTCCTTTATAGCAATATTTTCAATACAACCAAATTCCAATCTCTGTTCCAGCAGCAGAAAATTCACCTTTAATTTCCACCATTACTCCATCTGGAATTGACGCTCTTGGACCCCAAAAATCGAATATAGACAAACAGAGTCGATTTCAGTATTCCTATGATCCCATTATATCTTCTTTTCAACTCGCAAAGTCCACTGATTGACGCATTATCGAGTTATGGCAAAACCATCTGCAGCACATACGGACTATGTCCAACTTTTAAAGACGCATTTATATACCGCTGCAGAAATGCTAGATTTATGGGGACTTTACCATTGGGTTTCTTGGACTCGAAATATTCTATTTCATTTGTTTCCATATCGTCAGATGTCCTGGAACAAATTCTGGAGCAGTTTCTTTGATCCTAAACCTGCTTTCAAAAAAACACATTTCTCAGCCAAAAACCAGACATTTAGAGACCAGCACTTTGATTTCTTTTCCTTTTATCCCGTTAAAACACTCTCCAATTCAAGTTATCAACTCATGGCCTTTCTGACAGATTCAAGCGCCGGTATTAAAACACCCCATACCAGAGAACAAAAAAAAATTCAGAAAACACGGCACAAAAACTAATTGAAATATATATGATGTCCCAAAAGACGATTTCCTGACCCCCCCCCAAATTCACTGCTATCACGTGAACTTTTTCCAGTCCCTACCAATATTACCCATCTCCCACCCATCTCTCAGTCAACTATCTGATTATTACTAGACTCTTGTATAGACGTTCCAGAGACACGTGACCAGTAATAATATCCACAATACATACCCTATATACACCTCAGCTTAGAACAACATCCTCTAATCCTTTTACCACTGCTTCATTACGCTCTGTGTTTCCCAGGACTTCTATGTTTGCTTGCCACTATTTAGTTAGACTTTAGTTGACAAAATTTTCACTGGATGTCCCTACACGGCCCTCCAGATCTTCTGAAGAAACATATAATATATCCTACTGTAGCTACAGACCCCAGAATTCACTTGGTTTAAACATAATCCACCCTCGTGAATTCATATACACGATATCGAACATTCTCCAAAAAAAAACAAAAAAAATTACTTGGATTTTGTTGAGAGAAATACATAACATCAAACCAACACTACTCTGCGAATACAAGTCGGAATTGAAGAATTGAACCCCATTCGTTTCGTCATGATTCATTTCCCTCGTTCAAACTGTCTCTATCTGGTCTCCTTTGACTAAAGGAGACGTTATCTTTGACCTTTTTTCTCATGAGAAACTTCAACTAATTTTTTCCACAATAGTTGGATCGTATCCCCAACGCTCTAATCGGCAGGTCACGTTACGTGCTACAACTAACACACTTTTCTACTCCACACTTTTCTACTCCACACTTTTCTACTCCACACTTTTCTACTCCACACTTTTCTACTCCACACTTTTCTACTCCACACTTTTCTACAGCTGCTTTCACTCTCGCATAACTCGCAATCATTCGCATTCAGATCGCTCTTGCTTGTGATGTTAAGGATGCTCGTGATGCTGCTCTCTCGCGGCCTTCGTTGGCCATACATTACTATAATGCAGCCCGCCTCTCAATAACTTAGGTCTCACCTTTTTCATCTCTCACTCCAGCTAAACCGCCAGTCTGGTCTTGCCCTGCGACTTGACGTTCTTGGAGGCCGACTCCTCATGGGACTGGAACTGGACCTCCTCCTTCTCGGGCAGACGCAGCACCTGCTTGATCTTGACGCCCATCTGGCGCAGCTCGTCGGTCACCTCGGAGGTCTTGGTCCAGACGTTGAACCGCACACCGGCCTTTCGGATGTTGACAAAAATGCCGTTCACGTTGGAGGCCGAGCCGTCCACGTTGTTGTACTTGCCCTCGTGCTTGGCAATCTCCTCGTCGGTCTCGAGGCTCTCGCCAATCACAGACAGCACCGTGTGGAGCCAAATCTCGTCAAACTCGTTGGCAGACTTGGGCTTGAACTGGTAGAACCACTTGCCGCCGGCCTTGTTGGAGTCACACTCCCACTCGGGCCGGATGCCCTTTCTGAAAAATGCATAGTCCGACCGGATGGGTAGCTCCACCAGCTTGGGGATGTTGTTGTACACCGCCCAGAAGCCCTCAACGGTGTCGAACGACACCACCTCCTTGATCAGATCGTGCCAGGCAACCGCGGGGGAAGGGGGCTTGATGTACCACAGAGTCCAGGGGGTGGTCAGCTTGTGGACGGTGGCAAACTCAGTCTTGGAGTCGAACACGGTGCTGAAGGGCTCCGCGGGGGTCACCTCCTCCTCGACTGTCTCGGTCACCTCGGCAGGCTCGGAAGCAACGGGGGCCTCCTCCTTGATGTTGAGGTTGGCGACAGCTTCAGTCACGTTGTCAGTAGTAGCGGCCATTCTGGGTTAGTACGGAATCGGCAGTTGTGAGCGAGAAGCTGGTTTATGGCGATGTAAGATACGTGATACGTCTAAGTCTATGCTGAACAACATAGGCACTGGAGGAATCACAGACTGGGACAATTGCAAGGCGATATCTGTAGAAATCACTGAGACATCCGTCTGGATTGCCATTGTAGACATGGTGATTGTGCCCTTGATGGAGACAGATTTTCGACCGACAGACGAGCAGACAGGTCGATATTTAGTAGTCATGGCCATAAGGACAGCTCATTGATGGCACACTTGCACAGAACGAGAGGGAGGAGATGGACATCAGCAGAACTGCAGCAACAGTAACAGCAAACATGTGTAGACGGTAGACTTAGACTGAAGACAGAGACAGGCACCGCAGGGAAGCGAAACGTGTCGAAGAGACATATACTGCTCACCTTACACACCATCGATGAGTGCACGCGACATGCCACATCCGCAGTGTCGTCCCACCACTTTAGTAGTGTCGTCCCACCACATCAACAGCGTCTTCCCCATCACATCAACAGTCTCGTCACCACATCCACAACATCGTCGCCACATTCACAGTATCATCAACGCCACCATCGAAATCACATCGCCGAGTCCTCCCCCTATCTCTTCTCTACCATCTCCAACCCCTCATGTCTGAGTGTGCTACCACTTTTTCCTGTCTGTGCGACTGTGTATCCATCTGTGTAACACCGCCAAATCGGGGCCGATCCGGGCAAAAAAAACGCCACATGGCATCGCGCGCACCACGTGATCGCTTGTCACGTGACTTCACCCCCTTGCGACATACTCACTTTCCAATCAAGTACTGTTGTGCGATCAAGACAGAGCTCGTTTGTGGTGGATGAATTGTGCAAGAGGAATTTTGGGTCCTGCAGTGCCGGGTAACCCCCCTGCTGAACTGAAAGTGTCACCTAACCTCCTTTTAGCGTTTGTCTGGATTTGGCAGTGTGGGTAGGGACGGGTCCTAACCCTGCCATCGATTGGGAGGGGACCCTAACCCAGCCTCTTCCTGTCTTTTCTCATTGGAAGTAAGAAATGGGAACTTCACCTAACCCTGATTCCCAATTGGAAAGTTTCCAAAATTAGACACCCCTAGCCCCGTTCGCACATGAAAGATGCACTCCAACGCACTTTGTGTAACTTGGCATCTCCATCATCACCTCCACACATCACCCAACGGCGGACTTTTGACCCAATTGGCAAGCTGTCGACCCCCAAACCCCGCCATCGACTCTCTGCTGTGTCACGTGACCGCACATCTCGTCTTCTGCGCCCCCTGATGACCTCTTCCATCCAGCGGTACGCCTTTTATCTGTTTGGGCTGGGTGCCGCCATCACGGCGTTTGTGGCTGCTGGGCTGTACATTTTCCAGTCCAAGCTCATCTATCCGTCAAATTTCCCCGCCGGGTCTCGAACACACGTGGACACGCCCGATTCTCAGGGCATGCCGTCATACAAAGATGTGACGATTGAGACTGCCGACGGCGAGAAGATCAAGGCGTTTGTGGTTCTGCACGACGAGTCGGAGCCCAACTATGTGCCCAAGACGGTTCTTCTCCTGTGTCCCAATGCCGGGAACATGGGGCATGCTCTGCCCATTGTGCGGCTGTTCTACCAACAGATGGGCTACAATGCGGTGATTTTTTCGTACCGAGGATATGGCTTGAGTACAGGCACGGCCAGCGAAGTGGGCATCAAGACGGACGCCCGGGCGCTGTACAACTATCTGCAGACCCATCCGCAAATCAAAAACACCTCTCTGGTGCTGTATGGGCGCTCTCTGGGCGGCGCAGTGGCCATTTACATGGCGTCGCAGTTTGGCGGCTCCGAGGGCTCCATCATCAAGGGTCTGATTCTTGAAAACACCTTTCTGAGCATCCCCAAGCTCATTGGGTACGTGCTTCCGTTCGCGGCGCCTTTTGCCCGACTCTGCCACCAGAAATGGGAGTCGGAGAAACTGATGCCCCTCATCAACCCGCAAATCCCCACAATGTTCCTGTCGGGGCTCCGAGACGAAATAGTGCCGCCTCCACACATGAAGGGACTCATTGGCATGTGTCCGGCCGACGTCAAGGTCGTCGAGTACTTTGCTAACGGAACCCACAATGATACCATTGTCCAACCCGAGTACTGGGAGAAGCTCGTTATGTTTATCCGAAAATATGTGGTCCCGATTGAGTCTCACGAAAAGGAGAAGGAAGAGCATCTGCACTAACGTTGACCAATATATCTTCTATTAACTATGGAATTCCAGTTAAAAATCGATGATGGAATAGAAGAAAGATACCAAAAAAAGACAAGAGATTCAAAGTGGCCTAGAATAGAGACAGTCTGGGAGATCCCACCTTTTTTGTGGTCATGTGGTCATGTGACTCATCGACTCACTGACTCACCAAGACGGTGCAGTGTTGAATTATGTTTTTACGTAAGTAATTTTTGCAGAAAAGTCATGATGACATCATATTGACAGTTGTAGACTGGGAAAAAAACTGCTCAGATTTCGGTCTAGAATTGGAATTCGGATGGTTCCATATTTCTTATTGTCACGTGACCCATATTGAGGTAGTTGTCACTTTTTGATAAAAAAAATAATAAAAAAAAAACAAATTCAACTTTTTCAACTGAAAATGCACCCGATCTGGCCCCAGAGTTGACTGTTGTAAATCCCTGAACAAGGGCTACGCAATGGTACCGATTTTTAGTCACGTGATTCATATTGGGGAGGTTGTTGCTGTTTCTCTGACTGAAAATAAATTCAACTTTTTGCGCTCAAAAATGGTCAGATCGGATGTCAGAGTTCATTGTTTGAAAGCCAAGGTCTGGTGCTACGGGTCGGTATATTTTTTATTGTCACGTGGCCTATATTCAGCTAGTTTAATGCATGTATTTCCAGGTACGGAGGACTCTGCTAGACCAAGTAGAGTAGGTTGTATAGTATTTCAAAGTTGATCATCACGATTGTCAAATCCAGGGCTGAAAAATGATGTCCGTTTTATTATCACGTGACCAATATTGACGTTGTATTTTCCTGGTCTTTTTTTTCTGGCGAAGTGACCATATTTAGTTAATCAGGAAGAGATAGTGATGGTTTTTGGAGTTGTTTAGATAGTTTTGGGGATGCTGATTCGTGTTTCTTGTGTTTTTTCGTGGTTTATGAGTGCTTTCGCGAGTTTGGTGTGTGATTGGCAGACTTTTGGGGGTTTGTTAGTCGCCATCACCTTGGCCGACGCCTTCTACGTGCTGCGATGCAACAAGGACGCGGTTGATGAGGCCGATAACGGGGACGAAGACGGTTTGTAGGAGTTGTTGAGCCATTGTGCGAAATCTCCGACCCCGTTCGGTCTAGAGAGTGGCTGCTCGACTGCTTCGTCTACATCTCGTCCGTCAACCGACTCGACTACCTGGTTGGCGGCGTCACATACACTCTCACACTTTTCGATAAGGTCAATTACTTGCTTGGCTTTATCTCCGAGGACTCGGGCTATTTACCTGTGAGACAAGAATGTCAATGTGTCGTCGTATCGATTGTGTGTGGCTCTCGTTGAGTGCCAGATTGTTGTTCTGCGAGGCGATTTGGTGACCTAAATGCACCAAAATTAATACCTGTAGAAATCTTTAAAGGTGAAGATTTCAATGGTATCTTTTTTAGCTTGTTTAAGTGGATATTACAAAAGTTATTGGTGTAATAAGACTGGTATGGCCCCCGGGTCGGTTCAAATGCCGTTTGTGTCTGTGAAATATACAAAACTGTAGATATATTTGTACCAAAATGTAGCTGTTGAGATAACTATTCCAATGGTTGTCTTTTAGTATTTCTAGCGCCTATATTACGTCGGCTGGAGACACTCCTAATTCGAGTCCTACCACTAAGTGCCGTATAGTTAGAAGTTGTCGACTACTTCTGAGTAATTCTCAACTAAATGAACTTGTCTTCTTACCCAACACTGACAGACTCAGACAGACACTGATCTGAAACGAAATCAGACAGAGATACCAGAAGAAGAGATATGGTCACGTGCATATTTGAATTCACGTGGAATTTGGAGTCACGTGGAGTTTGGAGTCACGTGTAGTTAGGAGTCTCGTGGAATTTGGGGGACACGTGATCGTTGTTGACTAACCCTGACTAACCCGTCACATGAGACAGATTCACGGACAGAGTCACAGACAGAGTCACGGTCACTGAAGGGTACAGCTCGCACCACATCACATCACACCCGGTCTGTCATTTCCCAGTCGCGAGACAGAGGGAGACTGGCTGATTCCGATGAGACAACAATACTGGTTGATCGAACAAGACTTTGTCGAATGTCTGCACTGAATTAGACTATCCGAGACTTCGCTTGAATCCTTCTGCGTGGGTCATGATAGTGTCTTCATTTAGGTGTTTGTATCACCTACGCTGTGTCTACCTGGATGCTGTGCCAACAGTCAGCCTTGCTCTCGAAATCAGAACAAGTTCCCAACATGAGGACAGGGAGCACCACTGCTTAAGATGCCGCGGGTCTTCACCAAGCATCTGTCCACCTCGGACCAGGCCAAGTCCAAGGTCTGGCTGCTCCAGCCTGCTATCAAAGTGCCAAACGTCACAGAAAGTACATGGTCCAGTATGCCACTGGAGCTCCAAGCTGTCCGCTTAGTGTGGTACAGTTGCAGGTGTCTGCACCATGTCTTTGCACAAGAGTGTTGGGTGTGGTGCACTAGGGTGGAACATGGGAGTCGGAGCTAGCCTCAACAATCTGGTTCGACTCTCGATCTCATTACGACCCCTACCCTGGCACCTTACACATTTGTTTGACACCGCCCCCAGCACTGCATGTCAATCAAAACTTTTCTTGGACTATTTACAGACCCACTTAGAGCCTTACTATATACGATTTGGGAGGATGGATGGGATTACAGCCAATCCACACGTTACAGCTCTACTTGAGCTCAGACTCGCCCTCACCTTTGGGCTGGTACACCTTGACCTTCTCCATCACTCTCTGGTCCACGACCACCGGCTGAACCCACTCACTGCCGTTATCCTGGCCCTTCTTGACCCACTTGCTGGGCCAGTCATACTCCTCGGACACCAGCAAATCGGGGTCGGTCTTGACGTCGAAAGGACGGGTGTCTCCGGTCACAGCAACCACGGTGGCAGCTCCCACCTCGTCGGCCACGGCACGCTTGTTGAAGTACCGCGCAATTCGCAGAGGGGTGTTCATGAAGCCCATAATGTGTCGGTGGGGAATCACGGCGATGGGGGAAAAGAAAAACTGCTCGACAAAGGCAGTGCCAGATCCGGCAGGCGAGTTGAGATCATTGGGCTGTTGGTTGATGTTGGACGAGACGGTGGAGTGCGCTGTGGACGCGTTCTCAAAGCCAGACGCGTAAAACTCGGACAGCTCAGCCTCGGAGTACTCCTCTGGTCGAATATACGGCTTGGGCACGGGCTTTCGCTTGATTTCAGGCAGCGGCGCCTTCGGGTCCCATTCGGAGGGTGACATTTCAGACAGGGGCTTGGGGGTCTTGTTGTCGGAGGCTGCGGGCGTGTCGTGAGTCGAAGCCGTTTCGGAGACGACATCCACAGGTCCTGCCGCGGTCTGTTCAACGTCAGTGACGGCGGTCACGTCTCCAGAGTGAGAAATGGTCTCCGAAACGTCCTTCACCATCTCCGGGTGAGAGTTGAGGTGTTCAGAGACAGATTGAACATTCTGAACAGCAGTAGTAGGCTCTTCGACTGGAGTTTTGACTAGACCCAACGCATCATCGTCATCCTTCTCTCGGTTGGGAAACTCCTCATAGACCTTTCGATTATCCTCGTCCGGTCGAGGGTCCTCCAGAGGCCCCAGCCAGCCCTCGTGCAGACCGGCAAGGTACTCTTTGTAGGCGCCCCGGCCGACGCAAATGACGCCGGACTCGGGGTTGAACTCGAGCTTGGAGGTGATTTCCTTGTCAAGCTGCTCCTGGGCAATGGTGCCGGCGACGGAGATGGACATTTGCTCCTCGGGCTGCGAGTCGGGAGAAGAGGGTGCTCCGGGTCTGTTGTTGATGGAGTTGAAGGCCTGGAACGTGGGGTTGGGGTTGGTGTGTTTTTCCCGGCCGGCCTTGAGTCTCTCGACCTCAGCGTTCTGCTCCGCCACCGCCTTGTTGTACTCCTCCTCGTCGACCATGAGTCGCGACGGCACCTTGGGCAGGCCCATCTGCTCCCGTCGGTAGTTTCGAATGCCCTCTGCGACCACATATCGGATCTCGCCCTGGCGCGACTCCTGCTTCACCTCAAAGTCCAGCGCCGCGGCCGTCAGAATCGGCTTGATGTATGCTCGAAAGTGGGTCAGCACATGGTCGAGATAGTCGCCCGGCGGAGGCGCCACAAAGACGGTGATTTTCCGCGGAATCTCCAGCCCACCTAGAGGACGCTCTCCGAGATACGCCACCGCGTCCTTGTACTGCTGGCGCACCTTTTTCCGCTCGTGACGATCGTAGTAGATTCCACCGGAAATCGTGCCAACCACGGTCCAGAAAATCATCCAGTTTCGCGACGGCAGCCGCAGCTGACGGATCCCCATAGCTCTCAGGGCCGGGTTGGTGTATCCGGTTTTTTTGGGCGCCGCTTCGGCGGTCGGTTTCGACGACTTTGGTGCGGTTTCGTCAGCCATGTTGAGGTGGTGTGGAGGAGGGAGAAAAGGCGAAAAAGCGTGGAGCTTATTTTGGTGTATAATTTTTGGGGTGGGACATTGGGGGGAAAATGTGGGAATGATCTGGGGGGCTGAAGGTATGTTGAAGGGGGTATTTCTGGATATTTTGTTTTTATTTGTCGGCCGAGTTGATGGGATTTGCATTGTTTACGATTGCATCAAAATTGAGCGAGTTGGACTTTTCAATAATTCCAACAAATATGTTAAAAAGTCCAGTACTTTTGTTGGAGATGAAGAAGGAAGTTTTTGGGGACTACAGGAGTTTTGGAGGAGTTTGTGTAGGGAATAGTTGAGGGGGGTGGTTTTTGGTGGTTTGTGGGTGGTGGTAGGTCGATGGACGATTGGCGTTGAGTTTTGTCGGTATATTGAGTGAATCGTCCCGTTGTAGTGGATTTTGTAGTTTGTCAAGTAATATTTCGAGTAGTTAGTTGGTGTGTTGTGGAAGGTAAATATATATAGTTATTCTTTCACAGCAAAGTTATAATTAATTGAATGTATATGAGAAAAAAAATATAGAAAATATATAGAAAAAAAGAAAATATATAGAAAAATATAAAAAAATATAAAAAAACAACTTTTCGCTGATCAAGTAGTTATACCGCCTATATATATAACAAACTGAGATATTTTTGTCGGTTTATTTATATTTCGTTGGTTATTGGAGGAATTGTGGTGTTGTCGCTGGGATTCTGGACATGTTGGCTCTGAGGATGTTTGAGGCGTAAATGGTGACTGTTTTAGTGACTAATCTAGTCCGTTTTTTTATGCTAAATTCATGGGCACGAAAATCAGAGCGATCGGATCAGTATTCATGGAGTTGGGGTTTCTTCAGAAGTGGTGAAGAAATTTCGAGGAAAATATTAGGATTTTCCAAGGGAGATACAGATGAGTTTGTATGGAGATGAATGTTTGTTTTGGTCATATTAATAGATTGTTGAAGACATATTTCGGATATATATATTCGTCGGTGAGTTGTGATCCAACCGAGGTGGATGAAGTGGGACAAAAAGCTGGGGACGACTTTGGACTGAACATTTGAGGGGGTTTGAGAGGAGAGGGATAAAAGTATGTAAAGAAATAGTTGTTTGTTTCGTTCCGTTTGTATATATCCTTTGAGTCTATGGAAATCTGGTTTATATTCAGCGAGTTGAATTGAGTAGTTGTGTGCATGATTTGACATGAACACTTGGCAAACCTGGAGGAACGTTGTAGATGGTTTTTGAAAAGAAAAAGAGGGGTTTCTATAAATGATATTGTTATTATTATTCCTTTGATTAAAATAAAACTACCCCGGGCTCAATAGGACTGATATTGAGTAACTTAATGGTTTCCGATTCTTTAGGCGTAGTGTGGCAAGTGTCTTTTTAACGCTTCATGTGATTGAGAGGGGCACTTTTCCCACATGTTGAAAAAATGGATATAATGGCATTATTTTTCTCCAATTAGTCCGATTTCAAGGAGTTTGGACAGATTGGTTTTGTATTCGATTAGTTGTGAAGAATCTAGATATCCAGATAGTGTGATACTGTTATACGAAGCCAAACATACTCTCGTTTGCTGGGTCTTCCAGGAATGCTGGAGCTTAGATGAGTAGATCAAAAGTTGTGTATTTTGCTTCTCTACTCAATTGCTTTTGAATATTGCCATCGACCAAATACTCATTCATTCTGAGTAGGTTTCTTTCTCTGAATTGTCTGGCGAACACAACCGGCTGCCCATTTGGGGCTCAGAGGATTGGAATGCCGGTTCAAATATATGATGACGGTTGTTCATTGAGTTCAGCAGGTTCATATTAAACCATCATTTAACTGATCGGCTTGCCAACCAGCTTGCTACGGGAACCAAACGCCCCGCTCCTCGTTTTATCAATCTCTAGATGTCCATGCATAGATGTATTTGATCATGCTGCAGTATTGTATATGATCATGCAGTATTGTGCATTATCATGCTCAGTCTTCCCCACATTAGTTTAACCACAGCGGTTCAGTCTTCTAGTTCTTTTCCTCTTACTTATTCCTTGCAACAGACACAGACGGAGCATTAACAGTAACACCGAGAGTTCGAACACATGCAGAATCCGAACACCGACACAGACACCGTCGCTTTGTGTCACACTCTGCGTTTGTCACGCTTTGCTTCTGTGTCATGGTCCCCTTCAGTATCTGGGCCACATTGACAAGCCACACCAACACTACCCCGTTACTCGTCCAGGGCAACTCCCCATCGTCGGCTCGCAATCGTTCTCTGCTCTCTCTGAGGTATCTCTGTCACCCAGTGGTCCTTCTGCATCCTCCTGGAGCTCAGCCACCCACTAATGGTCTGCGCACCTCGTCCTTGCACCAGCTCCAACTCCTCCTCCTCAGTCGTCCATCCGATGGCCTCCGCACGGTCGCCTAGTTGCCAGTGTTGTCTGTGGACGATGTAGGTTGGACAGTGGAATGTGATAGAGTAACGCGACAATTCTCATGTCCTGTTCCAGTTCACCCTAGCTGCCATCACCCATCTCACAGCTGATCTTGTGCAACATCTAGATCACTAATTCCTGAAGACAATGTCACATGACTCTTAATGCTCTAACACACCCTCGACTCTCACCTGACGCGACCTCCACGTTCATCTGGCGCCTTTTTACTTCACTCCGAATGGCCACGTCTTCGAAATAACACGTCCGAAGACATCACTCAGCCGTGCCAGTGCTTCCTCTCCTGTGACTACACACGAAGCTGCTGTTTCATGTTATACTGTGGGTGCTTTCCAGACCAAGCGTAGAAGTACTCGCACTGTACAAGTCACCCCCTCCACTCCCATGTGCTCGCATCTGCCATTGCTCTGGAACTCCGTGTCTGTTCCACGTATCTACACTGTGACCTGTTAGTCTCGTTGAGAAACTGAAATATGTTAAAAGCTATATACGAATGCCGGATTAAAAGTGGCGTCTAGAGAACAAATAAATAAGAGCCGTTGCAGGGCTAGCGGGCAGACCGGCTGCAACCAAGAGCTACTGCCGCATGGTCGGATGGTCTGCTTAGATGAGCAGAGCGATGCAAGAGAGGCCGACAGCGCCGATTGACAGTGAGACCATGGAGGCGCCGTTGGACTGGCCGTTCGAGCCGGAGGCAGAACCAGAGGCGGAGGAGCCAGAGGCGGAGGAGCCAGCAGATCGAGTTGCTGAGCCAGAGGCGCCGGATCCAGAGGCGCCGGCAGATCGAGTGGCGGAGCCTGAGGCAGAAGCACCGGAAGCACCACCGGAGACGGCAGAAGTGGCGAGGCCAGAGGCAGAGCCGACACCAGCAGCTCCAGAGCCAGAAGCAGAGCCGGTGGGGGCAGCAGAGCCAGAGGCGGCAGAACCAGATGCACCAGAACCAGATGCGCCAGCGCCAGTCTCAGAAGCAGAGCCGGAGCCAGAGGCAGCGGATCCAGAGGCGCCAGATCCAGTGACGGCGGCACCGGAGCCAGAAGCGGCAGAGCCAGAGGCGGCGGAGCCAGAGGCAGCAGAGCCAGAGGCGGCGGAGCCAGAGGCAGCAGATCCAGAGGCCTCAGCGCCGGAAGCAGTGGCGGTGGCAGCTCCAGAGCCGGAAGCGCCGGAGGCACCAGCTGCGCCAGAAGCTCCAGAGGCGTCAGCACCAGTAGCGGTAGCAGCTCCAGAGCCCTCAGCACCAGAGCCAGAGGCTCCAGAGGCCTCGGCACCAGAGGCAGTAGCAGCGCCAGAAGCGCCAGAAGCTCCGGAGGCACCAGCACCTTCAGTCTGGGCGGCGCCGGAACCGGAAGCCTGGGCAGGGGCAGAGGCACCAGAAGCACCGGCAGCGCCCTCGGTCTGGGCACCACCAGAGGGACCAGCAGCACCGGAAGCGCCGGAAGCACCAGCAGCACCCTCAGTCTGGGCAGCGCCAGAGGGACCAGCAGCAGCACCAGAAGCGTCGGAAGCTCCACCAGCAGCCTGGGTCTGGGCGGCGCCGGAGGCCTCAGCGGCGGTGGTGGCAGCGGCAGCGCCAGACTCTCCTCCACCGACAATCTGGGCACCTCCGGAAGGACCGGCAGCGGCGCCAGGAGCGACACCAGCGGCTCCATCAGCTCCGCTCTGGGGGGAGCCGGCCATCTGGAGAGCGTCGACGGTGGCCTGCTGGGCGGCGTAGGCCTGGGGCACGAAGGATGCGGTGTCGTAGAGAATGGGGTTGGCGGTGGCCTGGGCGGCGGCGAGGTTGCCGTTACCGACAGAGACAGCGTTTGGAAGCAGAGACATTGTGAGTATGTGTGTGTGTGTGTGTGTGTGTTTTGGGAGGTTGTTTGTTCGGTAGTTTGATGTGGGGATTTCAGCGACAGATCGACGGGTTTATATATCTTGTCTCTCAACGCCAGTGGCTGCCGAGACAAGCTTTGTAAATCAGGTACATGGTCTGAGCAGGGGTTATTGTGAGGTTAAAAAAGACAAAGTGGGCGAGTGCGGGGAGGGTAGAAAACGTGGCGGTTGGTGAGTAAAATGGATGTTTGAGTGGGCAGAGGCGGCAAGTTTGGAGATGGCAATGGGTGGGTAAGTGGGGCAGGCGTTTTTCGGGTTTGGAGGACGACGATTGGGTGAGTTGTGCCAACTTGTCCATCCCAACTTGTCCAGGTTGAGCTCTTCGACTTTTCGTTTGCTTTGCTTGGCATAGCCACGTACTCTGATACTCGACGTACATGGCCGCCAGCCCAGTATGTGACATGTGTTTGGGCTTCTATTTTTGCAACAATTCGGTTGCCTTCTTCGGCGTGTTTTCCTGCTCGAGAATTAGAGTTGTCGTGTATTTTTTGTGTTGTTTAGAGGAGAGACGGTAGCACGTTTCTTTCATCGGCGACAAAAGTGGAATGAGGATGTTTTTGTACCCTAACAGCCATTCTCTATTTTCTCGAACTCCCTCCGTTGTTGTGGCACGTCTAATTGTTGAGATGTGATTTTTTCTTCTTTTTTTTTTTTTCATTTGCATTTTTTCACGCGAACCATGTTTAGCGTGATTCATGCAAAATGACACTTCCAAACAGGGGCCTGCGCAAGGTACCATCAAACCCTGTTGGGTGTCTATCACTTGTTTGTTCGTTGGCGGAATGATGTCATTGTTGTTGACGGGCGAAAAGGGATGGGGACTGGATGAGAATTCGTCAGTCTGGGTAGTGAGCTTAGATGGAGAAGCCAGGCGGTGAACCCAGGCGGTGATAGAGCTGGAATCTAACCACAGGTATGCTCCGAAGCTCGCATTAATCATTAATGGCTCAGTACGTCGCCCTTTTGCTAATTACAGTATACAGTGCATGCCCCAAGTGGGTTTGAGGGGTTGGAGAAGGGATGGGATTTTTTCCGGTGAGTATTGGACCTGTTGAAACGATAGATGTACCGATGGAATTGTGAGATCTGGCCGAGTCCAAATCTGGTCTCAGAATTGCAATTTCATGTGTTGTCATTCCGCTGCGCCGCCTTGTTCTATTTTTATTGTCCAACTTTATTTCACCCGTTTCACGACGTTTCAGGCACCCGGATTGGCGCTGCAAGTGAAGAATGTGCTACTCTGGAGACAAAGAGACGTCGGGGGACTAGAAGGGTCACAGCCCTGTGCGCTGGGCCTTTTGCCCTGTTGGTTCGTTCTGGACGAGCCGCCGGGGACCCAGTCCAGCAGTGACCAGACGGCGTTTCTCGGCTAAAATACTGGCTCAAATCTCTCAGCTTTATTAGTTGTAGGATTCTGAGGGTTTGGAGCAGAAATACGTCTTGTTGAGGAGGTCTCCGTGTATTCTTTGGGTCGCTTGGATCTCTTGGTCCGTTTTGGATCTCCTCGGAGACTTTTGACAGACACTACCAAACACCTCCATCGTTACAATGCACAGCCCCGCGTTTGTCTGAGGCTACAGTGCAAGATACAGTACGAGTGCAACTGCTCGTGCAAGGTACGCTCAAGATACTGTACAGTACGTGGTTTCGACAGTCTAGAAACGCAAAGATTGCGCCATTCAATTTGTTCCTGCGTTTTGCAGACTGCAGGACAATGGAGCTGTAGGAAACAGTACAGTATGTACCAGTACGAGTTGATAAGTCCAGAAAAAGAGCCTGCTGTTTAAACTGGGTAAGTCACGTGAATGGGTAGGTGGGGGGGGACAGTTTGCATTGATGGTGGTCACGTGTTCTACGGCGTGATCACAACTCTCTGTTGGTCATGTTGGCGGTTCAGACTTGTTTCTCTTGGAAAGACGTAAACAAAAGGCGGATTCATTCGGGAGCGGCGAGTTTGTGGACCAGCCCAAAAGTGAAACAGGGCCGTTTCAGCCGCTGAATCGGGCTTTTGGCACCGTATCGCGCAAAAATGTGGCAGTGTTGAAAGATGCATAACTCAAGTATAATGGGGAAGAGAGCAATCAGAGTTGGTCTTGAGGAGTTGGTGGTAGACGTTGAATGGAGGTTGACGGGGTGGCATTCAGGTTGACGGGGTTGCATTCAGGTTGACGGGGTGGCATTCAGGTTGACGGGGTTGCATTCAGGTTGACGGAGTTGAATTGAGGTTGACGGGGTTTTTTGGAGGTTTTTTGTCAATTTGGATCTCTGTGGAGCAGCCTGGAACAGCCCGAAATAGCCAACTGACTAAAGCCTTCCTTCAGTCACCTCAAATTCCCCATAGCCTCCTTTACTGCCCGGTCGTTGCCTCAGATGACTCGACGAGGCTGTACAAACCGTCGACTATGTTTCAGATAGTCTCCAGGATGCTCAGAGCTGTCGGCCATGTTGGAGACCAAGCAAGATATTGACCGACAACGAGAGGAAATTCAGAATGATATAGTGATACTGTCCTCGCATGAATCATTTCATTGGAGTTTCTGACACTCCGGAATCCCAACCAAATCTGGGACTAGTATATATGATGTATTATCTCGTCATATATCAAACTCTGGCATTGTTCCAGCTGATGAATTTCCAACTAATTCTCAACTAATTTTCGACCAATTACAAACTAGTTATACAACCACTTGGAGCGGCTAAAATACACACCTGAACAGATCATTGTTTGGTCATTGATTGGTCACGTGATCTCCAGAGATGCTTCGTCCTCTTTCTCATTCTACAACACCTCTCTTATCTACGTTGTACAAGACTTGTATGTAACATCCAACACCCATCTAGATTGCATATGCCAGAGCACTGAAAAAGGAACAGTCCAAGTGCTGTACCCTTTTAACGAGCGATATCCGGTCCCGCCTTCATTTCATCACGTGATATATCGTTTTAACTGCTATTTTCTGTCACATGACATTTATAGGCGCCATTCCTAGCGTTTTTTTCCACTCACTCCAGAAAGTGATGAGAAACGGGTTCCATGGTCTGACAAGAAGCCATCTTTTATTTCTAGCAGCTTCTGGAGTTGTCACATGAGGTTTCAATGGACTCTTTCTACCAATAAGTCGTCTGGGCAGAGATGCAAGTCGCTAAGAGTCATTGAGGGTTTGAAGTCATCAAATGATGTTTGACTACTCGATTTTTCGTGAACTGCGGTGTAAACATGAGTTCATGTTCATATCTCGGCAAGTCGTCATCTGACAAGTACACGGAGACTTTTTTTGTATTCCACTGATTCATTTTAATCCATTTTGCAACTCTGGATGTTCAGGATACTTCTAATCGTGTCTATTTGGTGTGATTTGCTCCCACTCCAACCTGTCTCGATCTGCTGGTGATGGACAAGTGCATTTGTCTCAGTTTTACACAGTTCTATTTATGGACTCTGAAACATGAGGAGGATAATAAGCATCAGTGATGAAGGGTCATGAGTTGCTAAGCCACGTGCCCAAGTCACGTGTTCTTTAACATCTTCAACCAAGTGATTCCATCAAGCAAACACACTCTTGATGGAATCACTTGGTGTCTTCCTACCATTGAAGTGACCATACAGAAGTGCACAGTAGCCGACTCTTGGTCGAGGGATATACATATCAATATAATAAATATATTTCAGCTTCTTTTGAATCGGTTTTTGAAAACATCTATCAACTTTCCGCCGAGCTGCGCTCAAGTCGACCCCTTTGAGGTGGAAGGCTCGCAGGGCTCTGTTAAATGAAGATGAAGAACATCCACTCCTCATTTTCTCCACCATTCCTTTCAATCACGATTTACGCACGGTTACTTTTCAGGCCAGATTTTACTTAATTTTTTTGCATTTTCCAATATATTTAAGTCCACAAAATCAAGACAAAAAGCTTTGAAAATTCAATTATCTTATTTAGTATTATTTTTATTCTAGGGAAATTGCGAGGAAAAATATGAGTATTTTTTGGTCATCCCAAAATCCCACTCGTGCGACTAGGTTCACTAGAAATGACATCACGTGCAACCCTAACTCCTGAAACCCTATCTACCCTAACCGCCACCCCAATCGGGCATTCCAACTCCCAACTCCCACCTCCCACTCCCAAGTGAAATATCTTCCCACCCTTAACTCTCCAAGACAACAACAATGGGCGCCTACAAGTACCTTGAGGAAATCCACCGAAAGAAGCAGTCGGACGTGCTCCGATTCTTGCTCCGAGTCCGATGCTGGGAGTACCGACAGAAGACCGGTATCCACCGAGCTTCTCGACCCTCTCGACCCGACAAGGCTCGACGACTGGGTTACAAGGCCAAGCAGGGCTTTGTCATCTACCGAGTCCGAGTCCGACGAGGAAACCGAAAGCGACCCTCCAAGAAGGGTGCCACCTACGGTAAGCCCACCAACCAGGGTATCAACCAGCTCAAGCTGCAGCGATCTCTGCGAGCTGTTGCCGAGGAGCGAGTTGGCCGACGAGCCGGCAACCTGCGAGTTCTCAACTCCTACTGGGTCAACCAGGACTCCACCTACAAGTACTTTGAGGTCATCCTGGTCGATCCTTCCCACGTTGTTATCCGAAACGATCCTCGAATCAACTGGATCTGCAACCCCGTGCACAAGCACCGAGAGTCCCGAGGTCTCACTGCCGCCGGCAAGAAGAACCGAGGTATCAACAAGGGCCACAAGTACCACAACACCTCTGCCGGTCGACGACACACCTGGAAGCTCCAGAACACTCTGTCTCTCTGGCGGTACCGATAAGTGGATCGCTCTGTGCGGTTTGCTTTTAAAAATAGTATAAAATTGATTGTACCTAACAGTGAGGTTGTAGCAGCAGCAGTGAGAACGTAGCGAGCACTACCAGTAGTAAGTCTGCTACTTATAGAAAGCCTGCCCTATCATTGACAATCATTAAACCTGCCGTAATTCGCTTCTGGCGAAAATTTTCACGTCGATATGCGTCCCATTCTGCCATGTTGAACAATCCAGTCTTTTGAAACTTTGTTAGATATCAACAAACCAGTTGAACTCCCAATTAAACCTTGAAAAAGCTGCACTGGGAGAGCCTAAAAATAAACAAATAAATAAATAAAATAAAATAAATAAATAAAAGAGACTTAAAAAAGAGAGAATTGGGAGACATTATATACTTCAGAATTCTGTTTGTGTCCCTAATCTCTTGAGATCATGAAATTGGCGGTGTTGGGTGACAATCCTGGTGTGGTTAAGAGGCCATTGGTTTCGTTGCTTGCTACGAGTATTTTTACTTGTAACATATGACTGCAAAAAACCAGTCTCTCGTACATAATTACTGTACACAACTTTGAGCTGGGACCATGGGGATAATCACGTGATTGGTGTATAATACTACGAATCTGTCACAAGGCGCGCATAGCCGAAGCCTTTTGTAGCAGTTTGGATGTTTTTAAGCAGCTATAGGACCATTTTTGGTGGAATTGGGATGACATGTGTTTCCCAAAACACCCACCACGATACCAGAGACATTCTCAAGTAGAGGGATTTCGGGGCTCCATAAAGATTTTATGGTATCAGTGAAATTCATATGATCCTCTGCGTAGATTTGAAGGCTCAATGAGTCCACGTTTCGTCTTCTCAGCGCTCTCAAGTCGTGTATATCCTCTACCACGTATTTATGCAGGTCTATGCGCTTCTATGCATCAATATGCACGACTTAGATGCTCACCAACCGTTGACCAAAGAGGATGACGCGATCGGACTTTCTCTTTGGATCGTGCAGCATCATTTACCGGAGCGGGAAAGCCGTTCTATGGGCCCGAGATCGGTGTCGTTGGGGTGCCCGCCCTCAGACAACCACCACGGAGACATGTCTATTCTCGCATTATCTCCCCTGCACACACCGTCATGTCATCATCACATGTCAAAAAGGTTTTCTTTGTACGGGGGTCATACGACTTGAATAAGCGAGCTGTGTCACTTGTAGATTGTCCGTATTGGCACTTGCCTTCTTGACCATCACAGAAGACACAATCAGAAGGCACAACAACACGACAACAATCGACACAGTTATCGACATGATGGAAGACACAATCTGTGTACAATAACAGCCATCGGCCCAATCACTGAGCTAGGCTTATTCGGTTGGCATGGACCGACACGGACATCCGGACTGTCAATCACTACCTTCTGCCAGTATCCACACTTTGGCTGTGTTCCGGCGCAGTTCATCTGATAATGATATTCTACGACTGCTGCTCTCCACCGGCGTGTTTCTCCAGAGACCTGTCTTCTGCTCTCCCACTCTTCCCCCTCCCACTCTTCCCTCTCCCACTCTTCCCTCTCCCACTATTCCCTCTCCCACCATTCCTCCCCCTCAGAAACACAGAACACAGCGATGCTATCCATACGGTCGTCCATGCAAGTCTTGATGTGGATCGGAGGTGGAATCAGAAAAAGCATGTGGGAGGTAAAGCCCTGGGGAGGATGAGTGGCATGTTGTCGTGTTTTCTAATTACCGACGTTCTACAACCATGGCAGGCTTACCGCGTCCATGGTCTGGGCTACATCCACCTTCCTCGGCATTGGTTCATGTTCCTGTGTCGATACGTTCAAGGATGTCTTGTCTGAACCATTGTCATTGTTGAAGTCATCGATGCGGCTACCGTTTCGAGCCCCCCTGCCAGCTTGTTCAACGTCAGCCAATTGTTATGTTGTCGAGCTCTGCGAACTGAGTTGAATCATTCCGATCCATGGTAAAGGGTAAGGTCGGTCATTTACTGTTGGTGAGCTCGACTCCGCCGCACTAACAGCCTCACTAACTGTCTCAGACGCCCCAGCTATTGGTTGGTTACGTGCTCTTGTCTTTCTAGGAGCTGTCGCTGTGTGCCATCCGTGTCTGGGACGTGCGTTTCTCGGTGTCCTAGTTCTAGATGTTCTAGGGTTCTAGATGGTCTGTTCAGGACTTTCCGAGACTGTCATTAATCACTCCGTGAACGTCTGGGAATTGACCAGGTCTCTCCACGCCCCAGACAGTCAGATTTCTATGGGCGGATATTCTCAGCACGTAATTAGAACTTTTCTGAGTTGTCTCTAAGTGAGGATTTCTGAGACTCTAGGCTCTCTGGGAAGTTCACTCAATACTACCAGTCGGCATCTATAGAATATCACACCTCTCGCTACGCTCAAGATGTGATCGCAGACTCGATAAGCTCGTCTGCTCGGAATGTCTCGTCGATCATTGCACCAAGCGCCATACGGGACCACAAAGGGAACCCTTCAGATTACTCCACACTCGCTGCACCCAAGATCGGCTAATTTTGTTCTCCAGTCTACCGTGTCAAGATGGCTTATCCACATATTTCCTGGGTCGAGCCGCAAGGGCTAACCTCGTAGAGATGCTTTTGCCATGGCAGCTGTGAATTTTGCGTTAGCTTTTTACCACTGGGTCCGTCTGGTATATATATTGGGAGCCCGCGGTAGGGTAACCCAATAGGGTTTTACGTGATGAGATGTACCCCAATGGAGGGAGGTCGTCGATGTGATTGAGCAGTTTTTTGGTCAAGTGTTTTGGCGAGTTTTGGCGAGTTTTGGCGAGTTTTGGAGAGTTTTGGCGAGTTTTGGCGAGTTTTGGCGAGTTTTGGCGAGTTTTGGCGAGTTTTGGCGAGTTTTGGAGAGTTTTGGCGAGTTTTGTCCAAGTTTTGGCGAGTTTTGTCCAAGTTTTGGCGAGTTATGATTACTTTCTGTCTTAACTAAAAGTCAAGGATTAGTTGGGACATTAGTGATATTAATCCAGCGTGTTCTGTTGTAGTATTGTTTGTTTTTTTTTATGTATGTATATGAAAGTCACGTGAGTATATTAGTCACCAACCCCACGACTGGCTGCCATGTCTCTCTTGTTTGGGTCGTCCATGCATTTTTTTTCTGGGGAGCATGGACGATGCGTCAGATGACTCGGGGAAGGCGAAAAAGTGAGAGAAAAAATTGGAAAAAAAGTAGGAAAAAAAATAATGAGAAAAAGTGGAAAATAAACTGGAAAAAGAGTTGGAAGAAAAAATAATGAGAAAAGGTGAGAAAAAAAATGGAAAATAAATTTGAAAGAAAAAAAAATTGGAATAAAGACTATCGGGAAAAGGTGTTTTCAGACCTTTTGGATCACGGCCAACTTTGCAAAGAGTGAGAGGAGGGTGCGAATGGCCAGAAACGGCTCATAATCCCTGTGAACTCGACATGTGTATTTATTCCCCGTGTCTGCAATCAAGTGTTGGTATCCACCACATGCAGGATTGGAGTCATGTGGAGAGATAGCCAGTCGGGGAAAATGGGCTCATCATCTGTTGGTTGAGGTTTGTAGTGTCCTATTACGAGTACTGTACCGGTATGAGTGAGTACGAGTTGTTCGTTTTATCCTCATTTCAGCGAGCAAACTTTTTCTTGCCTGTCGGTTTTTTCCTAATTTTTTTTTGTCGCAAAAATCGTCGCAAAAAAGGTGACTCAATCCAGCAGACGATAACCGATGTGCAGAGTGCATGGAAATGCCGGAGTCAGCATGCAAATGCCGGCTTCAAACTCGGTCCATGCGTCGATAGAGAAGCGACAGACGGACGAAGCGACTCAGGGCGGTCGGGAGTTTAAAAGTGGTGTTATGGCCTCGGTTTTGGACATGTGCAAGCAAGGAGTGGATAAATCAACTCTTTGGGCAGTTCTCTATCTGCTGTATCAATTTCAGCTCGCAAGACCCACTTTTTGAGCGTCTAAACAACGTCATAAAATCGGGATCGAAAGTAGTGAAAAGTTTAAAATTTTCAATGTGAAAATTTTTGACGGAACATTGTGGATCGGGGATAGATGATAGAGATGATGTTGAAGCTGAATATTGCAGCTGAAATGCGTGACAGTGGGATGACAAAAATTGGGCACATTTGGGTCTCGTATAGAGCGACTTTCGAGGCTTCTGGCGGGTCAAAATCGCTCCAGTGAAAACGCCCCGAGTTTAATTGGGGGATGGCGGGGAGTAATGTGTTGCTAGGAGAAGTCATAGTCGAGATATTGAGGTGGTTCGAGCGGAGAGTTGGTGTGGTCCCGGGTATGTGTATTCTGATACAAAAAAAAAATGCTGTCAATGCAACTCTTTCGGCTCTTTTAGGGCTCTTCAAACCGACGGTTACGTCCTGAGTTAGGTGCATCTCAGGAGGTTCTTTTTCTGGGGGATTTAGGGGGGCCAGAAATATGGGAAAAATTGGAGAATGTATATCTGATTGGTATCTACAGCTTGGAAAATGTTTTGTTCGAATAACTCCATGATTCCCCGACTTTTGGCACTTTTCCAGCCCTCGTTCAGGCTGCAGTGGCCCGGGTGGGAACCTTAAAATGATTTGATTGTGGGGCAGTTTGGGGGGACTGAGAATATGGATGAAATTGGGTGCGTTTTTGTGCGGAGAAAGGCGGGAAAAATTTAAAAATAATATAAATCCCACAAAATATTATTCATATTTTTGCCCATTTTTTAACATATATTTTGGTGGAAATAAAACTCCATTTGCCCGTTCACTCGGAGTGAAGGTTATTTGGGTGTCGTCATTATTGGGGGCAATTCGCATCTGGATCCAAAGTGGCCATTTTTGGTCGTAGCACAAAAATGAAAATTTCCATAGATTTATCGCACTCCCCTTATCCTCCGTACCAATTCTCCGTCCGCTATCTCAATTACTCATCAACTTTGGCCCTATGTGTGATACCGCCCAATAAACTCAATTACACCGACCATGTCACTTTGTCCCATATCCAAACTCTTCCTCTGCAACCCAACTCATACGATGTCTGAACGTCAGAAAATCGCCATCCTTTCCGTCTACGACAAGACCGGTCTGCTGGACCTGGCCAAGGGCCTGGTGAAGAACAATGTGCGGCTTCTCGCCTCCGGCGGTACTGCGAAGCTGGTGCGGGAGGCAGGATTCCCCGTGGAGGACGTTTCGGCCATCACCCACGCCCCCGAGATGCTGTCGGGCCGAGTCAAGACGCTGCATCCCGCGGTGCACGGTGGAATTCTGGCTCGAAACATCGAGTCGGACGAAAAAGACCTGTCTGCGCAGGGCATTGACAAGGTGGACTTTGTGGTGTGCAACCTGTACCCTTTCCAGGACACGGTGGCCAAGATCAACGTGACGATCGAGGAGGCCGTGGAGGAGATTGACATTGGCGGCGTGACTCTGCTGCGAGCCGCAGCTAAGAACCACTCGCGAGTCACCATTCTGTCCGACCCCCGAGACTACCACGCCTTTCTCAACGAGCTCGACCACGGCGCCATTTCGGCCGAGACCCGAAACCGGCTCGCCCTCAAGGCGTTCGAGCACACCGCCGACTACGACTCCGCCATCTCTGACTTTTTCCGAAAGCAGTATTCGGAAGACCTGTCCCAGATGCCTCTCCGATACGGAGCCAACCCCCACCAGAAGCCCGCCCAGGCGTTCGTCCAGCAGGGTGAGCTGCCCTTCAAGGTCCTGTGTGGCTCGCCCGGCTACATCAACCTGCTGGATGCGCTCAACTCGTGGCCCCTGGTCAAGGAGCTGTCGGCCTCGCTCAACCTGCCCGCCGCCGCCTCCTTCAAGCACGTTTCTCCCGCCGGAGCCGCCGTGGGTCTGCCCCTCAGCGACATTGAGAAGAAGATTTACTTTGTCGAGGACATTGAAAACCTGTCTCCTCTTGCCAACGCCTACGCCCGAGCTCGAGGCGCCGACCGAATGTCGTCCTTTGGCGACTTTATCGCTCTGTCCAACATTGTCGATCTCCCCACCGCCCAGATCATCTCCAAGGAGGTGTCTGACGGAGTGATTGCCCCCGGCTACGAGCCCGAGGCCCTGGAGCTGCTCAAGAAGAAGAAGGGCGGCAAGTACTGCGTGCTGCAGATCGACCCCAACTTCACCCCCGGCCCCGTGGAGACCCGACAGGTGTACGGCATTTCGCTGCAGCAGAAGCGAAATGACGCGGTCATCTCCTCCAACTCCTTCAAGGAGCTCGTCTCCAAGAACAAGGAGCTGCCCGAGCAGGCCATCATCGACCTCACCGTCGCCACCATCGCCCTCAAGTACACCCAGTCCAACTCGGTGTGCTACGCCAAGGACGGTATGGTGATTGGTCTGGGAGCCGGCCAGCAGTCCCGAATCCACTGCACCCGTCTCGCCGGCGATAAGGCCGACAACTGGTGGTTCCGACAGCACCCCAAGGTGCTGGCCTTCAAGTGGAAGAAGGGCACCAAGCGACCCGACAAGTCCAACGCCATCGATCTCTACGTCTCGGGCCAGATTCCCCAGTCCGGTGTCGAGAAGGAGGAGTACGAGGCCAAGTTTGAGACCGTTCCCGAGCCTTTGACGGCCGAGGAGCGAAAGGAGTGGCTCGGCAAGCTCACCAAGGTGGCTCTGTCCTCCGATGCCTTCTTCCCCTTCCCCGATAACGTCTACCGGGCTGCCCGAAGCGGAGTCAGCTACATTTCCGCCCCCAGCGGCTCTGTTCAGGACGAGGCTGTGTTTGCCGCCGCCGACAGCTTTGGCATCGCCTACGTGGAGAACAACATCCGACTGTTCCACCACTAAGATGGATAAGTGCCGAATCAAGTTATATAAGAAAATGTTTTGTTTGTGATTTTGATGTAGGGAACCGCCCGAAGTATTGGTCATGATACTACAAGTAGGACCATCTGACACGTGACTGGGTCCATTTGGCTCGTGACTTTGAAATCATGGTCTAACGTACAAACTACACTCTGTAGAACCACAGACGCTAATTGGAGCGGGAAAGATACCGACTGAAACTGGTGTCACGTGATGAAGACTGGAGTCATGTGACGAATGCCGATGTCACGTGACACGGGCCTTTTCATTCCGTGCAAACTTGTTTTCGGTAAGTCTTGTTTGTTTTCTAAGAGTAATCATCGTTGGCTAGATTGAGTGTATTTGTTGGCTTGCGATTGCATTTTTGTTGGACAGTATACAATTATTCAAGCACAGAGGTATTTTTGGCGACTCGAGCATTGTATCTTTGAAGAGCTGGTTCGATTCTGATGTATATTGATGGAGTTGTTGTGGTTTTATGGCCGAAACTCAGAATGTGGATTTTAGGAGGAAAGAGTTGGCATGAAGAGAAAGTAAGATAGATGAGTTGTGGTTATTTTGTTTAGGTATTTCATAGCCGTTTAGTACGTTCAATTCTGGCTCCTTTTGGTAGCTATCTAGGGGCATTGTGTTGTGTGTAAAGTATTGTTGAATTTGGTTGGTATTAGTTGAATTTTCTAGTAAGTTTAGTTAAGTTTAGTCGATATATATTGAGAAAATACAAGAGTCTTCTTCTTCCGCTACACTATGGACACAAGCACAAAAGGCACAGACACAAAAGGCACAGACACAAATGGCACGTACTTGATACCTTCTGATACCCATACTACCACAGATATCTACCATAGGTGCTTTTTCAATGTTACGTAATAGCTCAGAAGATACATCCGCAGCGGAGTCATTAGCTGGGTGGCACATGGCACGTTTGATCGGACGTGGACATACTCCTCACGCGGCGCAGTCTGGACACAGACTTACTCGTCACCGCCAATCAGCCATGGGCCACGTGGTGGCAGTCGAGGGTCCCTCAGACACTATCCAGCATTAGGTAGGAAGCACCAACTCAGGTGAGTTCCAGATGAATCCTCGCCGTGGCGTCTCCTGAACTCGCAAGTTTGGTCCTTCCCCGTTGTCGCATCTCTTGCGCCCGCCTCACGGCCTCCAGAGGATGTCTCGATGTGGATCGAGGGCAACTTGGGTGAAGCGAATGCTTGTGTGTGACAAGGTGAGTATGCGTGAACTTGGATGGTGCAGACACTTCTCCGGTGATTGGCTCGTCTCGCCAGGAGTATGGTCAGTGCAGTGCAGCCGGCGCGTCGAGACTACCGTTCACCCGCATTCATCGGTTTGTGGTCTTCCCCGATGTCTCTCAAAATTCCCTCCATGTTCCAATCGAGGGGTGCAGCCCGAACTTCCCTTTGAAACCACAGGAACTGGCAAGGAGACTGGCACTCTAGCAACGCGGTGACGCCGTCAGACTTGATCTGAACCTCCCACTTAGTCCGAGTGTCCCACCAGTGTGGAGAAGCACCTTGTCACCATGACTAAGCTGGCCAACCCTTCACCACGTCTGATACACTGCCTGCTTCTGTGGTTTGGATTGTCTCGGAGTTGAGCAGACCCTTCATTCACAATCCATTAAATATTAGCATGGTCAGTTCCATCGACCGGCTTGGAGAGGTTCTGAGTAGATGTCAATGTGCGCATGACGATTGAGATCTTGTTGGGTGTGTGTTCGTAGGGCCCAATTGCGACATACTGGTTCGCCACTATTTCACAGACATCAGCGACTGGTACTGGCGAGATTGGTTGGTATACTTGGTTCTGGGGACTTGGGGGGGAGGACGCTGCCGTGTTTTTCGTCCTCTGATATGTTTTGATCACCAATCGTGCGGGTTCATGATCCTCAGTCAAAATCCGACCATTTAATAGATCATTTCGTTGGATTTCCTTTTTTTTAAAAAAAAGGAGGGAAAAAAAGTATTAACGACAGCTCACAGCCTCGGTATCTACAACATGAGGTGGCCAAAAATTGCTATTTACACATCTCCTCATAGTCTACTGCTCGTACAGGAACTGCAGAGGTTGTAAATTTGGAGTGCACGATAAGTCATATACAGAACATCACATGATGTGCAACCACTGGACTGTTTCTCGGGACTGTTTCTCGTGCTATGTCAATCCGCCGACGCCGATATCGGTGCCACCAAAGTCCAACCTAGCTCAAAGAAGAAAAAACAGAGATTGGATGATCTGCCGATCGCACGTGACTTCCTGTCACGTGATCCCAGGTGATGGAGCTTATGTTTAGTCAACTTACACCGACTGAATGATGGGAGTATGGCCAAAAGTAATCACACGAGCAAATGTACGATACAAGTACAAGTACAAAGTACAAAGTACAAGTACCGTACTCTCACAAGAATTATAAACCCCGACTACGAGTGTCGGTTTTTTGTTCATGTGACCCCGTCCGAGCTTGCTCATGCAACTGTAGATCACGTGATAGGTCGGTTGCTTCGGTTGTCACTGTCGGCTATTTATGATTTTCCGAACCAAACTTTTTCGTGAGTCATAGATCATAGGTCGGGATGGCCGTGGAACTATCTGACAGAATTCGCCAGAAAAAGGGCAGAAATAGAACCGTTTAATTCCGCTGTGTTATAAGGCGAGCTAACAGGTGCCAAACGGGACCGGGAGAGCGACTTCCTTGTTGTTGGGCTGCTATTATAGTGCGTTGACTGAATGGAGCTGTACGAGTAGTGTAGAACAGGTTGAAGAGACGGGAAGACGGCATTGAAATTTCTGTAATTTGAAAAAAAATCGGAAAAAATAAGGGAAATTCTCCAGGAGAGACAATATGCCATTTTCAAATTGTTCCGTAACTTATCTCTCTGAAATCTCTTCCATTGACCCCGTTTTGGTCCCCATCCTGATGGTTGCGATTTTGACCCATGCATATTGCTGCACCCTAATGTACCCGTCTGCACCTCCTGCAGACGCACTTTACCTGCACCTCCTCTCCTGCAGCTCGCTGAGAGTACAGAAGCTATTTACGCACATTTTTTTTTAACGGCGGCGATTTGGGGCTGAGAAAAATAGAGTTGCGACGAACCCGAAGGATAAGACGTTAGCGAGAGATAGCGAAAAGGGGGTTTGGAGCGGTGCAGAAAATCGGAGGAAATTAGGGAAAATCGGGGAAAATGACGACAATTCGAACCGAGGCCAATTGAGCACGCCGAAGCAGTTTCAACGCAATCGGCCGCGATTCGGACCAGTTGGGCCGCTCTTAGGCAGTCACCAACCAGATGTTCTGCACGGATTTCCCCGATTGTGGAAATGAAATCGACGCCGGCGTCATGGCAATCGACAGTTGGGGGAGAGATAAATCGGTGGTCACGTGTACACCCCCCACGAGCGTCTCCCGTGCCACTTTCTCCCCAGCGACCGTTATCTCAACTCACTTCCCCTCTCTCAACAGTTAACCCAACCCTCAACCAAATTGACGTGGTTAGCGGTTTGGCAGGCGACAAGCGAAATTGACTTTTCCAACAAACTCAGCACGCCACCACGCCCGTTCGCCATGCATGTTGTACCCCTCACCGAGGCCACCAGGATTGGGTCAAAGTGAGGGGGAGTATCAACAAGAAGGAAAAAGGGTCTTTTGGGAGCTCCAAAATAGTTGGGGAGGCGGACCAACAGAGACATATATAGACTCGAAACCAATGTCACAAATCCATCTTTACCAAATAAAGTTAGGGACACAAAACCGCTCTCCAAACAGGATATAATTGTCCCACCACCACCACACACACACACCACCCAACCCAACATTTAGCCTCCGTCTGCTACAACTTAATCAGGCACGACTCACTCTTCTTTCTACGTGACACAAACAGAGCGACACCTACGGAGCGACACCCCCCTCGACCGACACAGAAACAGCGTCGATCACACACACACACACACACACACCGAATCCGACACTCACCAGATCAATCATGTCAGCGAAATCCATTCACGAGGCCGACGGCAAGGCCCTGCTCGCACACTTTCTGTCCAAGGCGCCCGTGTGGGCCGAGCAGCAGCCCATCAACACGTTTGAAATGGGCACACCCAAGCTGGCGTCTCTGACGTTCGAGGACGGCGTGGCCCCCGAGCAGATCTTCGCCGCCGCTGAAAAGACCTACCCCTGGCTGCTGGAGTCCGGCGCCAAGTTTGTGGCCAAGCCCGACCAGCTCATCAAGCGACGAGGCAAGGCCGGCCTGCTGGTACTCAACAAGTCGTGGGAGGAGTGCAAGCCCTGGATCGCCGAGCGGGCCGCCAAGCCCATCAACGTGGAGGGCATTGACGGAGTGCTGCGAACGTTCCTGGTCGAGCCCTTTGTGCCCCACGACCAGAAGCACGAGTACTACATCAACATCCACTCCGTGCGAGAGGGCGACTGGATCCTCTTCTACCACGAGGGAGGAGTCGACGTCGGCGACGTGGACGCCAAGGCCGCCAAGATCCTCATCCCCGTTGACATTGAGAACGAGTACCCCTCCAACGCCACGCTCACCAAGGAGCTGCTGGCACACGTGCCCGAGGACCAGCACCAGACCCTGCTCGACTTCATCAACCGGCTCTACGCCGTCTACGTCGATCTGCAGTTTACGTATCTGGAGATCAACCCCCTGGTCGTGATCCCCACCGCCCAGGGCGTCGAGGTCCACTACCTGGATCTTGCCGGCAAGCTCGACCAGACCGCAGAGTTTGAGTGCGGCCCCAAGTGGGCTGCTGCGCGGTCCCCCGCCGCTCTGGGCCAGGTCGTCACCATTGACGCCGGCTCCACCAAGGTGTCCATCGACGCCGGCCCCGCCATGGTCTTCCCCGCTCCTTTCGGTCGAGAGCTGTCCAAGGAGGAGGCGTACATTGCGGAGCTCGATTCCAAGACCGGAGCTTCTCTGAAGCTGACTGTTCTCAATGCCAAGGGCCGAATCTGGACCCTTGTGGCTGGTGGAGGAGCCTCCGTCGTCTACGCCGACGCCATTGCGTCTGCCGGCTTTGCTGACGAGCTCGCCAACTACGGCGAGTACTCTGGCGCTCCCAACGAGACCCAGACCTACGAGTACGCCAAAACCGTACTGGATCTCATGACCCGGGGCGACGCTCACCCCGAGGGCAAGGTACTGTTCATTGGCGGAGGAATCGCCAACTTCACCCAGGTTGGATCCACCTTCAAGGGCATCATCCGGGCCTTCCGGGACTACCAGTCTTCTCTGCACAACCACAAGGTGAAGATTTACGTGCGACGAGGCGGTCCCAACTGGCAGGAGGGTCTGCGGTTGATCAAGTCGGCTGGCGACGAGCTGAATCTGCCCATGGAGATTTACGGCCCCGACATGCACGTGTCGGGTATTGTTCCTTTGGCTCTGCTTGGAAAGCGGCCCAAGAATGTCAAGCCTTTTGGCACCGGACCTTCTACTGAGGCTTCCACTCCTCTCGGAGTTTAACTTGCCCATGAGCGAGCGAACGTAAAAGTGGTAACCACGATAAGTAATTAGATATAGCAATGGCATATAGACTGAGATGAGCGCACGAGCGCGGACGAGCGTAGCAGTAGTGGGGTTGCATGTACGAACACGAGTGCTCGTATTTGTATTCGTATTCGTATTCGTATTCATTTCAGGTTTCATTTCAGATTTGTCTCAGTGGGGCTGTTTCAGAATCTGTTTCAGAAACATTGGTGTAGTTGGACGCAGAGGTTGAAATGTTACGTTTCGAGGATACCTGTTGTTTTTGGGTCATTTTTGTCCAGGAAATTGTTGGTTTATGTTAGCTGAATTGGTTCCTGTTTCGATTTCTTCGGACCAGCAAAAATTGAAGGAGTTATTTCAATGTTGTGGCAACGAGTCTAGAGTCTGGATATAAATATGCATTTTTTAGGATGATCCGAACGGAATAGCGATTAGTTTTTAGGAGAGAAATTGATCTTTGGTGCGTGATTCTTCATTTACAGCTGAGGACTTTCAGATTGGGGTGATATTGACAGAGTTGGAGTGGTTTGGAGTATCTACTGTTGGTTACGTGGGGGGACAACCAACTGTGAATACTTCGGATGGGGGGAATTGCGACTTATTTTGGATATTATACAAGGTAATTTGTATGATAGGGATGGATTTTGCTGGCGGAATTGATCTCTATTTAGATCTTTTTGATGCGAGCAAAATTGAAGGAGTTGAGGAGGAGTGTGAGAAGAAGATATAAAAGTGCTAACAAATTGGGCAGTCTTGATAACAAACTCTGTTGATATTACATGGACTGGAAGGGAGGGTTTAAAGGGTGGTTTTGAGCATATTAACGTAACAATACGGTCCGGTTAGTATGAGACGATTTGTTCGTCATGGTCGAATAACCCTTCTGGAGCTGAGATATCTTATATCAAGACTATTTTCGGGCAGTTTAGTGCCCTCTCCAAATCGGTACAGTATTTACCCTGTTCTCAGATATCTCCAAAAAAAAAAGAAAACTTTTATCCCAAGACGTACTTCCAGAATATGCAAAGAATGACGGTAGCCGAGTGTGTCGGATCTGGTCCTCAGAGTTCTGGACCGGTAGAAAAGTACCGGTACAAGTACTTGGAGCCTTGCAAGTGATTGCAATGCGTGGTGATTGGTGGTCACGTGAGGACCCTATACGGGGACTAGATAATCAGACCTGTCAGAGGTATACACCACCAATTGGGCATGTACAGGAGCATGTACAGTAGGTATGTACATACTTATACAGTTAATTAAAAGTATGAGTTGGTAGATTTAGGAGAAGTCACGTGCCGGGTGCCGAGGGTGCCGCCGCAGCTGCATTTTTTCACCGGTCACGTGGCTCTGCGCTGACTCACCGTGCCATTCTGCTTAGTAACCGGGATTATACAACTCAGATTGGTGTCAACTTTTGCCTCCACTAATGCTTGAAGCAGGGAGTAAAAACATGTATAAACCGGGGCCAAAATGGAGCAAACGAAGGGTCAAACGCTGAGCAACAAGCGGCAACAATGGGCAACATATAGAGCAAAAACGGAGCAAAAACGGAGCAATAGTGGAGCAAAAATAAATAAATTAGGCTACTTGTAGAATATAAAAAAAAGGGTCTAATGAAGAGTCAAAGAAAGGAAGAGTCGAACTTTGGACCAAAAAAAATAGAGCAAATGCGACAGATAAATGGAGCTAAAACCTGGTAAAACAGGACAGCGTAGTACAAACTGACACAGAGAGCCTCGAATCCTTTCCCAGGAATAACAGAAAAAACAGCCCCCCAAAAAACAGCGTCCCTCACAAGGTCTGGGTCACGTGCTACTACTGATGTCGTCAAAATGCACGTGACCGCCCCACGGTCGCCTCGACGGCCGCCTCGGACACGGTTTCCCAACCAATAGAAACTAAGACAGTTAACCAAACGAGCAGGTGGTAGGTGCTGTAGCTGGGAGCAGATGGCAGTGGGTATTGTAGTGGCCGGTGTGGAGAGATTATGAGTGAGATTGGCGGTGCCATGGGGTTGGCTGAGGCGAAGTAGTGGAGGCGGGGAGAGTAGTAGGAGGGCGGGGGGATACGACTTGTACTGGTTATGAGTAGAGTCATGGGAACACGTGATGGGTCGTATGAACGGCAACACTAGCAAAATATCACGTGGGAAAAGGAGTCGCCACGTTCCCACATGTCTTGTCCAAACGATAATCCGGACTCCATAATCATCGACGTTGGCACTACTGTAGCATAACTCTGGACAAGTCGACTGTTGGACCAAGACGACAGACAGCTCGGTGACAAGAGACAACGGAGACAACCGAGACGACACAAACAACACAAACAGCCCAGTGACAAACAGCTCCATTTCCGCGGCAACACAAGTTGATCAAGTACAGTGAGTGAATTGAGTGAGAGAAGGATGGGGGAGGATGGGGGAAGAGGATGAGAGGAGAAGGGTTCTGAGCAGTCTGAAGCTGTCTAGAGCGGTCTTGAGCAGGTTGAAGCCATCTAAAGCTGGTCTGGAGCAATTCGGAACCACTAGGGCGGCTTTGGGTGGTTCTTAATGAGACAGAGATCGTCCAAACCGGGCCAGGGGGGCTTAGGGTGGTTCAAAATGGTTCCTAGTGCCAAGAGCAGGTCAGAGCAGACCTCAAGCTCTTCGGACCAATTCTGAGATGTTTCTGCACTGCTCTGAACAGACTACAAGTCCCTCAGAGCAGACCCGGAGCTCTTCAGACTAATTGCGAGCAGCCATACCAATCCAGATAAGTTCAAGAAACCCACGGGAATCCAGTGACTCAATCATGCCCTCTGAAGGGCTCCAAATGGCCCCGTTTCCCCTATGGCACTAGCCACGACGCCCGAGCGACCACACAAGAAGGAGCTATGGTCGCCAGTTACTCTTGTATCATTGCTACAGGTGCTACAAGTGCTACAAGTGCTACAAGTGCTACAAGTGCCATAAATACACTACTGTCTGACACCTACTCGTACCAGACACAACTCCAGGGAGAGAATTGAGAAGTAGGCCCAGTTCATCGCGTGACCCAAGTCTTGCAAACGATGGCAGAGCCGCGCATCACACATCACGTGATCACCCCATACCTTACCCCACGTGACCACGGACCCACCGCTCCAAACCGGCCAAGGCTCTCCAATCTCTACAATCCCTGCAATCGCTCGTCTCCCACCACCTCGTCTAATTGTACGTATACTAATTTAGGTTTGACGCGTTTCGTGAATTGAATTGATTGACCAGAATCGACCGAGACCAAGCCCGACTATTTTTCTTCTCCACCAATGAGCGGCGAAACGAGCGGCGAATCGAACGGCGAAACCAACGGCGTGAGCGTCAGCGGAGTCAACGGCGACTCGCGTGAGCACCACGATCACGTGCCCGCCCGTGCAACTTCAGCGACCGCAGACCCTGATGGCGATGTGACCATGGGCGATGTGGCTACGGGCGAAGTTGATCATCCGCCGTCTGAGTTGGCGGCAGATGAGTCGGCGGTAGATGAGTCGGCGGTAGATGAGTCAGCGACAAAGGCTGGCAAAACCAGGTCCAGCTCCAACACTGGGACCAAGTCTGATGACAAATCGGAGGTGACCGGGGCTGACGCTGAGGCGGCTACAGCGGCTGCAGCGACTCTGGCGACTCCGGCGACTCCGGCTACGGCTGCGGCGACTTTGGATACTGCAACTACCTCGACTCCCACCTCCGACGACATTGTGGAACCCCCCTCCAAGCGCCAAAAAGTAACTGATTCTGAGTCGACTGATGTAGCTACTAGTGAAATCGCCGAGTCCACACAGTCTTCAGACGACAAAGGTGACGAGAAGAATGTTCCAGATGACAAGGATGACAAGACTTCCTCAGTCCAGAACAATGACTCTACTACAACCATGCCCCCCACCACCGTAACCCCCGCTAAAACCGCCAAAACGACCAAATCGTCGGCAAAAAAAGACGGCAAAATCTCCACTTTTTTCTCCTCCACCAACGGCGACTCCAAGTCTAGAGCAACCACGCCGTCCAAAAAGGCCTCCACGCCGTCCAAAACCGCACCCAAGACCACAGCGTCCTCAGGAACCCCATTGAAGCTCAGACTGAAGACAAAACCGTCTCTCCCGGCTCTGGAAGAAGACCACGACGAGGAAAACGCTGGACCGCAAATCGAGTTGGACAAGGACTCGATCCAGAACCACCCGGACATTGCCTTCTGCGTCATGTTCCGCACGCGGTTCACCGACCTGTTTGACGGCTGGTGTCCCCCGCTCTCGCCCCAGGAGTTTGAGGCCGGGATCCAGCCCGAAGAGGGCTTCTCGCTGGCGGTGGAATCGTACCTCGTCCGCGTCATGTCGCTCATGATGAACCGTAAAAAACCCGTCGAGGTCGGCAAGTACTCCAACGCCCTGGAAACATGGTCTACCATGCCCCTGGCCCAGGGCTCCGTGTCGACCATCGACGCCATGAGCCTGCCGTGCGGGTGGAGCAGAAAGCTTGCGTCCCGAGACGTGGTGGCAATGGACTGGCGCGGCCGCCTGCAGTTGCTCAAAATGGCCACGGTGGCGGCTCTGTCGCTGTCGGACGCGGTCAAAAAGTTGATTGCCGACAAACGCGAGGTGTCCGGCCGAAAAGTTCTGTCTGAGCTCCAGTGGCTGCCTCTGGGCGAAGATTGCGCCAGAAACACCTATTGGCTGGCCGACGGCTCCGGAGACATTAACTGGGACGAAGATGGGAAAATCATCCCCGCCACAGAAGGCGCCTTTGACACCCAATGGAGATTGTATCGACAAACCAACCCGTACAAGGCGGTGGTTTCGTGGGTGCCGGTGGCGTCGTCGCCGGAAGACTTGGCCACGCTGATTGAGGAGATGCCCAAACTGAGTCCCGCAGACTCTGCAAAGTCCTACACGCCGCTGCTGGAGGCGCAGCACAAACGGCTGCTGGGTAAGCTGGAGGAGCTGATTCCGCGAACGCTGTCGTCGCGTGACCGCATCAGGGAGGCCGAGGAGCGTGTGGTTGCTCAGCAGGCGAAAAAGGCCGCCGCTGCACGTGCCCACGAGTACCAGAAGAGCAAGATTGGTGCCAATCGAGGTCGCACTCGGGGCAAGCGGGTGGACTACAAGCAGCTTGCGGCGCCTCAGGACTCGGAGGACGAGTATGAGCTGAAGGAGGAGGAGGCCGTCGCTCAAGGCCATCGACGGACTGGGCGAACCAGAACAGCCACCGTTTATGAACCTGCCTATGATGAGGGGGAGGACGGAGACGAGTTCGAGGTGACTCCTTCACCGGAACCGGAGCCCAAGCCGGAAACACCGAGAAACGCCGAGGGTAAGAAGATAAGATATGTGGAGAAACAGGGAGGAGGAAGGAGAGGAAAGGGATGGGTCTATGTTGTGGAGGAGGAGATTGAGTAGGCCCGAAGGCGTTCGATCTAGGAGCTTGCCACGAGAGTGTGTGCAGGAGTGGGCGTGACTGCAATTGGAGTGACATGGTGACTCTGTTCTACTGCTAATCAAAACAGTCTCATCTCTCTACTGCTTCTGAAGGACTCTAAATTATATACTGTATTGATATGTTTTGATATTCGACTGTGAGTACGAGTACAAGTAGGAGTATGAGTGATTGTTCCGTACGTCCCCAACTGTAGCGATGCACCCATACAATGCTCACCATCTGAACTGTACAGTACATACCCAGAGTGTCCAACCTGATCAACCGAAGAGACAGCAAACTGTTTTGGCTCGGGATGTGTCTTGGGACGGGGACGGAGTAGTTCAGTATATAATGGGGAGACACGGAATTCGAATCTCCGAGAGCCTGGTGGGTCCAGGGCTTCGAATCTGTGATCGCAATGGCAGAATCAGTGGGCGACTGGTATCGGCGAGTCTAGGGGAACCACCTTCGAGCATTATGGGCCTGGCGGAATTCGATCATGACCTGATCTCTCGTTTCAGTCGGTTTTCAGCTCCCTCACATGAGTTGACGATTCCGTTCGAAACGTCGATCGTCGGCCGGATCAACCACCTGTGGCAAAGAAGTCTTCGAGGCACTTCAGAAGGTGCCGATGTCGAATCCAGTACTCCGACTGAACTAGAAGAAAGGTCAGCTCCAAGTGACGGAGGAAGCGTCTCAGGTTGGAGTAGGCACGGAGTAGGAGCAGTACCAACAAGAGACTGGTTAGAGGGAGAAGGGTTCTTCCGTAGGCTTACTTGTCAAAGCTCATGGGGTCATCTCAGATCACCACAAGCCCAATTCGACCTGCTCATATGTTGCTCGATCTCGCCAAAAGTAGTCTTAATGGAAAGCTCTGGTTGCGCAGGTTTCAAAAATGTACTTTTCATGTCATCAGACTAGCTACATCAGGAATACATCAGGAATAAACTGATGCCTACGCCTCTTGCACTTTCCATGATTACTTATCAACAGTCACAAAAACGGCTGAACCAACCAGACAGTCTATTAAACGGCAGATCATGTGGGGTTTTTCAGCTACTTGTTTTCCTTCTTCTTTTTCTTCTGTTGAAAAAAGCAACATGATGCTCGTCCCTGCGAAGTTTTTTTCAAGTATTCCATGCATTAATTTAACAAATAATTGCCCAAATACTTAACCAATACTTGCCCGAATACTCAGCCAAACTTGCCCGAATGACTCAGACTCAAAGGAAATCAAACAGGCGCCAAATTCTGAACATCTCAATTCCAGTACCGTACTTTTCAGGTGACATGTTTCCAAGTCGTCAGCCTGGGTGTCAGTTTAGCTGCTGGCTTCCAGTCTCACCAGATGGACTTCATTGAATCAACATTACCATTACATAATAACAGTACATAGAGCAGCTAATATTGGTTCTTCGCCAAACGCCCCTCCAATCGAATTAGCACGTGAAAATAACCCCAATGTATCATAAAAGCTTCTCTCTAGCACTTCAATAACTGTCACATTATCCAATATACTACAACGGCCACTAGACTCATTATCTCGGGTCTAAAACTGCCAATATCCAACATAACTGGACGAGCTCAACGGAATCAGCTGAGTAATCACAAGTGTCAAATGGTGGTTGTGTAAGCCCCAGACGGATCAAACAGTGGTGCTGTAGCCCCAGGAAACATTCCAGAACCACGAATATTTCCCCAATTGGAAAAATCGAAAAGACATCTGATTTTTGGACCTAAATATAGCCATTTCCCTTTTCATTCTCTTGAAACAGTCTCAAAACACATTTCAAATTTGTGCTGCCTCTGACAAAACTTGACTGTAGAACCACGATTATGGGCCCTCCTGGAACGACTGAAACGACTGAAACTGGAATGTATTTCTCATAAGAAACGGGACAAAAGTCTCCATACAGATGTTTTCGAAAAACGCCCAAAAAACGCCCAAAAAGACCACCTCAAACAACCACCTACCAGCTCGATCCTCACATAAGAAGAACTAACGCTCCACCAAAAACCGCCAGTCAGAACCTCCCAAAAAACACATTTTCTTTTCGACATCGCGCAAAATCGCTACAAAAAAACTACAAAACAAACCATTAAACAACCTAGCCAGCGTCGGAGCACCTCTTGTGCTCGCCCACCAGCATATATTACGCTACGTCTATGTCTTATGTAAGCCTACTTGTACGGACAACTATGTAATAGAACTACATAACAGGCGCGACGTTGGCGTGAGTCGACGACAAGCCGACTAAACGGCTCTTCGAACAACTCTCACCATCCACGCACCCATACAGTACTCGCAAGAGCATCTGGATCGACAGGTACGAACAAAGCAGCTGACTGATGATGATGACAATCAAAGTTGACAGATGAACAGTTAAACCATTCAACCCTTAAACCGCTAACCATCAAACATTCAATCAGTCTGCTACTTGTAATCAACCAGTCAACAACTAAACCCGTTCGAACAAGTTCGAACCAGTTCAGCACATTTGCAGCCTGGACAACCCCATCGAAATCTTTTCCAGATTCTCGTGCGCACTTCGCTTGGGCGACACAAAGGTCGCCTCGCCAAAATGCACACTGTGAACCTGATCGCTACCCATCTTCTCAGCGTCCCGGGGCATGCCCAAGAAGTTGGAAGGCGTGTAGGTCTCGTGGGAGCTGTCCAGCATGATCGAGTCCATAAGCGACTCGTCGTCCGAGTCATAGGACGACGCGTCGCAGCCCGAGGGAAGCGCAAACGCCACCGACGCCTTGCCGCACGTGTTAGCGAGCGCAAGGTTGAGCGGTTCCACGTCCACATCTTCCCACGAGTGTGCACCCGGGGCCGACCCGGGGCCGGGGTCGCAGGTAACAGAGCTCGTGTGGCCGTCACCAGCTACACTGCCTCTGTCACGAGGAACCCCATCAATGTCGTGACTGCACACGTCACAACAGCACTCTGTACACACAGAGCAGGGGCTGCCGCAGAACGGAGCCCGGCAGGAGGAAATCACGTGACCAGGCACAGTTGCGTCGGCAAACGCGCCGGTTACGTGACCCGCTACCTCTTCCTCGTAGACGACACGGGCGGTGTCTTTCTCCCACAGATTAAGCGGGTCCATGTCCATGCTCAGGACGTCGAGGTGGTCCTTGACGTAGACTGGCGTCTGGGGAGGTGAGGGGATGACATAAGGGGTGAAGTGAGTCATCGGAGCGAATTCGTTGGTCGTTTCAAGGGTTTTGTCGAGTCGAAAGTCGCAAGTCGTTGGTCGAAAGGTCGGAAAAAGAAGAAGATATTTGTTCCAATTTGTTCCAATTTGTTCCAATTTTTGTAATTTTTTTGAGATTTTTTTGATTTTTTTCGGTCGAAGTGGTAATAGTGATATTCCCTGTTTCTGTTTCCGTTTCTGTGGCTAGAAGACTTGGGGTCTTCTAGGTACTGTTTCCGGTACTGTTTGCAGCTGGAGGAGAGAGGAAGGTCGCTTTGTGGAGTCTGAGATTAATCCAACGCCATCAGTTTTGTCGTCGTCACTTTCCGTAAGAGAGGGATGAAGACCGTTTAAGGAAGAAGAAGAGATTTGGTGGGGGCCATGATGTATATAAGTTGGGACTTGTTAAGGTTTGAACATAAAGTTTATGTGAAAGTGTATGAGAAAGTCTACTGAAAACTTATTTTTGGATCATACTGAAACCTTGTCAATTTGCGAACTTAAATGAATATTTTTCGCTTAGAGTTGCTGGAGAGAGATGAAAATCAGAAGGGGTCAGAAAATCACGTGATATGTGGGGGAGGTTGGGAGAGAGAGCGAGGGGCCATCATGTTTGGGGTACATCATGTGCTCTACGGTAGGGAAATGCCACAAAAATGCGGCAAATAGCAACGTTAAATGGTTGAATTGTTTCATTTGAATTATTTTCTCATCTTTTATTTATGTTTATTTACTTGGGTTTCTTTGAACTTTGTTGAAAGTTTAATTAGCGTCTAGTGCAATGGTGATTCATTCTTGCTCTTGAACCGAGGGAATAGGTGACGATTCAATTGAGCGAAAATTGGGAAAGAAGGGGAAAATCGGGAAAGAAGGGGAAAATGGCTGAAATCAGAACGAAAAAAACAAAAACAAAAACAAAAACACACACATTTGCCCCGCCAACGTGTCACGTGACTTCTGGGGCCTGGCCGGCCGATTTGTGGCATGTTCCAAGCGTGTCCTGAACCGCGGGTTAAGTTTATTTGAATTGGGCGATGGCGAGAAAAAAACAACTGTAGAATCTGACTTAGTAGAAACAGGTATATTTTAACAGCGCAAATAACGTCTCTGGAGTCAGTAGTATTTATTTTCGATTTTTCCCGATCACCTCCAACCTTCCTTGCTCTGTCTACTGCCTTCCCAAATCTCCTCGATGTTGTTTTGGTTCATTTTTGGGACTACTTGCAGGCGTCTTCACAGGGGCCACAAGTGGGTCTATGAGGGCGTTTGGGGTCTCAAAATGGAGCCCCCGGCGGGGGAACACGGTCGTATTTTCCGCTAAGCGAGGGTGTGATTGTCTATGAGTTTTATATATATATATATTTTTTTTATTCATTACAAATTTATTCCTCACAACCGGCGTAGAAAAAAAAAAAAAAAAGGAAAAAAAAAAAACAACCCCATACCAGAAGAATTTCTTCGTGCAACTCTTCACGCGACGTTTCAGATGAGTAAAAACGTAATTGGGCAATTTTATATTGCCAAGGGGACAAGAAGTTACCGAAAAATGGCCCAAAAAAAGACCGAAGTATGGCCCCCAAAATACCCCCAAAAGACTCGAAAAAGACCCAAAAAAGACCCAAAAAAGACCCAAGGCTCAAAAAGACCACCAATTTCTCCTTCAACACGTGCTGGGAATGGTTCTCCTGACTGTAAAGTTGGATCTACAAAAAGAACATAACAAGACGGCTGAATAGAAGTAGAAATATAAAATATAAAATATAAAATATAAAATATAAAATATAAAATACAACAAAATAAATAGACTAAAGTACAGCCTTTAGAGAGTGTCACCTTATAACACCAGCGATTACCCAATCACGTGATTCATTTTCGTGCACCGGCTTTTTCTCTTTTTTGCTAATTTTTTCTCTTTTTTCCTCTTTTTCCGCGTTGTCCCACCAAGGCGAATATCACGTTGCCGGAGACTTATTTTTACTGGAGGAGAAATGACGTGCGGTCGAGAGTCGAAACTTAGCACGCGCAGCTATATCATGGATTTGGACACGCAGGAGTTCAAGTCAGTATGGAATCAGGTTTGGAATAGTTGGGAAATAGTTGAGAAATAGTTGAAGTGCACTGGGGGTATGTATGTAATTTGGTGTTCCAGAGATGCTGAAGCCACAAAAAGGATACCAGACGATAGATAATGAAGGATTTGATGACAAAAATGATATTTCTGGTAATTTTTATCATACAAAATCTCGAGTTGTGGAGCATTTCTTATCCTATCGAAGTCAACGTTACTTGGTCATTTGTTGGGAATTACTTGAGAACAATTCTGGGTTTTTTTTATAAACGTGATATTCTAGTTTTATTTTCTATAGTGCAATGGGCCGTGGCTCGGAAATATTCCAGTCTCGTGATGAGGAGATGGAACGGAGACGAAACAAAATGTTCTCGTGACATGGTAGTAGATGGGTGGGTTTGTTCTTCAAGAGTGTGTAGAAACTTCGGCGAGTCGAGATTGGTGGTTGGTGGTGGTGGTGGTGTCAGATGTACATGTGAGATCAACTGCGAGCATGAGGACATGTGAGGTCAAACACTCATCATAGAAGTCCCCAAAAGAGTCACTAAACGACGCCCTCCAGAAGACCCACGTGACTTTTCACGTGACCAAACAAAAAACCACCTAACCAGCGACCTCCTCGATCAACCCCAATCCTCCGAAGACTCCTCTTAACGCCCTCCACGACCTCCTCCACGACCTCCACGACCTCCACCCCTGCCACCCCGACTCGGCCGGGCATTCTTCTGCTTGCGCTTCTCGGCCAGGATTCGGCTCTTTCGAACATCGGCGGTGGACTTGAGCTCGCTCTTGGGCTGGGGTTTCTGGATTCGTCCGTCTTCCTTGGCAGCGGCGACCTTGGTCTTTTGCTTGTGGAAATCGTCTCGGTACTTGTCGGCTCGTTTGGGGGCTTCGTTTTTGTTGTGTTTGAACTCTCGCGCAGACAAAACCCGCTTAGTGGCAGGCCCAGACTCCTCCAGAGCGCCAACCTTGAGATTGCCGACCTTGTGGGCGGCCTTCCACTTATCGAATCGGCCCGACCGGAACGACGCGGCGATTCGCTGGCCTCCCTCACCTCGAATGAACTTCTTGCCACCCTCCGAGCCCGCGTTGATGAACTTACCCTTCTTCTTGTCCCACTTCATGCCCTGTTTCTGCTGCATTTCCGAGCCGTCGTTGATGAGATCAAACGTGGCATTGGACGCAGCCCCGGCAAAGTTGCCCACAGCATAGCCCTTATCGTCGTTGGTGGGTGCGTAGTGGGACATGAAGTTCTCCGAGTCTCTGAAGGAGCGCTTCTTGGACTTTTGCGCCTTCTTGGCCGCCCGAAGATCCTCCTCCGTAGTGAACCCGGTGAGATCCGCCTCGGTAGCCATATCTTCCTCGGTAGACCGGGCAATCTCCGCATCCTGCGAATGAACCAGACCCGCCAGCCGCTCCTTTTCCTGAATGGCACGCTTTTCCGCGGCCCGGCGCTGGATCGGAGCCAGCTGGGCCCGACGAGTGGCCATCATCTCGGCGCCAGAGGTGGTTTTGCTCTTGCGGAACTCAAACACCGTTTCTCGAATGCGCTTCTGGCCCAATCGTGCCAACAACGCGTCCTTGGCAGACTCGCCATCCTCGCCAAACATGAGATGATGGTCGTCCCATCCCAGTGCCATAATCTGCTTTGACCGCTTGGCCGACTCCTGAGAAGCACTTCCCTTGGTCTTGTTGTACATTCGCTCGCCCTTGACCGCAACCTCCGACAGCTGCTGCAGCTCGTACGAGTCCTTGACCATCTGGGCGAGCTCCTCGCCGTGGATTTCGAGCGCCTGGCGCGGAGGAGCTCCAATTGTCAGAGTGTTGACGTAATCGGGCTCGGCCGAAGGGTCGGGATTCTGTTGCTTGAACAACCGAGGAGTCAGTAGCTTGCGGCCCAAAAACACCTCCAGATCCAACAGATACGGAATGTCGTTGTCCTTGATGATGGAATAAGCCCATCCGCGGTTGCCGGCTCGAGCTGTTCGACCCACACGATGGATAAACACCTTGGGGGACGGAGGAAGCGAATAATTGATAACATTGGCCAGAACAGGCACATCAATACCTCGCGCAGCCACATCAGTGACCACCAAGATAGACGTTTTGCCCGTGCGGAACCGATACAGCTGGTTCTTACGAGCATGCTGGTCCAACGTGCCGTAAATGTACGAAACCGCGTACCCCAGAGTTTGAAGCAAGACAATGACATACTCCACATGATGCTTGGTGGGACAGAAGACGATGGTCGACTTTTCCGAGGGCAATTGGTGCGCAGGGGGCAGCCGTTCTTTCTTGAACTTGGGCCGTTTTTGTTTCCGGTCCTCATCCCGTTCTCCGTCGTCAATGGCCCGTTCATCCAGTCGCTCGAGCTCTTTGAGCTGCTCCGGCGTTGCAAACGGCATCTGGATCACCTCCTTGAGAATGAAGGCCAAGCAGGCGTCTCGCTGGTTCTCCTTGACGGCAAAAAACGTCATTTCCAAATGCTCTGGCAACTTGGTCTCGGCATCCAGACGAACCAGAATCGGGTCGTGAAGACCAGCCTTGGCAAACTCCACCAGCGTCTTGGGAAGCGTGGCGGAAAACAGCAGAGTCTGTCTGTTGCTGGGCAACGACGCTAACAGCTCGTTCATCTGCTCACCAAAACCCAGCTCGAACAGCCGGTCGGCCTCGTCGAAACAAATGTACTCCACCGACGCCAACGACAGCTCCATCTCCACCTTGAGATGCAGAAACCGGCCTGGGGTGGCGATAATAATGTCTGGATTGGACATCATCATTTTGAACTGCTCCTCCAGCGAATCGCCTCCAACCAACATGGCCAGACGCAGATCGGTGCCGGCAGAAAAGTCCTTGACCACCTTGAGCGTCTGCAGCGCTAGCTCACGTGACGGCGACAGAATCACCGCCCGCGCGCCCACCTTGGCGCTGTGGACCTTGAGCTTCTCCAACATGGGCAGCACAAACGCCGCTGTCTTGCCACTTCCGGTTCGGGCCATTCCCACCACGTCTTTGCCCTCCAGAACCAGCGGAATCGTCTTTCGCTGGATCGGCGTCGGCTGCTTGAACCCCTTTCGTGCAATATTTTTAAGCACCAACTGCGACAAACCCAGACCAGCAAAACTGCCCGAGCTTTTTTTGCCCGTTTGCGGTGCTCCAAAGTAGCTTTCCACCGAGTCGTCCGTCTTTTTCTTCTTCTTCTTTCTGCCCTCGTCGTCATCGTCGTCGTCGTCATCGTCATCGGACAGTTCCAGATTGGGGAAAGTCATGGTGCCCGGTTCGCCCTGCTGGGGCCCGGTCTCATCTTCACTGTCCTCAATAATGTCGGGAATCTCGCTGTCGGACTCTGATCCGGACGAATAGTCGTCTTCCGAATCCACCCCCGGATTCAAAGACCCCGCAATGTCGTATTCAACCTCACTGTCGGACATTTTCGTGCTGAAGTGTGGTATGTAGTAGGCTGTGAGATAGGGATAGATTCCAGGTAGAATTTATTGAGATAAGGTTTGGAAAAAAATTAGAGGATAACTTTAAATATATATATATATATATTTTCAAGAAAAATCGAAACCTCGTCAGTTCGAGTTTGAGCACGACATTACTTGCAACATGCGAACTTGAAGAGAGCGAGAAATTGAACCATTTGAAAGAATAGATACAACATGAAACAGTCTAAGTGTATTTTCTTAATCAAATTTTGACCCGGTAGAACCCGAGATAGACGTGCAACCACCTGAACAGTTGCTTAGTTGGCGAAAATGGACATCGCAAGAGATATTGAGGAAAAACGGGTGGTTGAAATGGATTTCTGGAAGGAAGAGGAGTCCATTGGTATCTTCTAGTATGTTTCAGCTCAACTAGAACGCTCATTAAACCCATTCTCAATTCAGACCTCATACTGTTCGTAAAATGAGTAATTTTGAAAATGTAGAAAAAGTAATAGAATCAGTGGATAGCTTAGATCAAGAGAAATCCAATGGTGAACTCCATTTTCTTGTAGCTCTTCCCCATGGCTAGCTAAGTGCTTGTATAGAGACTCTGAGCATAGGAGACAATAAGTGATCGTTGCTTGAACTAGTCTGAAAGTCCGATTAAATCAATAAAAACTAAGACTAAAACTAGTACCAATGGTCAACCACAAACGCCACCATTCCAATCATATCATTATTTTCTCAATTTGATATTGTTTTACTATAGCTTGGGCAGATTCAATGATTTCTCATTCGCCACCGGTCTTAAACGTGTCTTATAGAATGTCTAATAGTGGTCAAATTTGTCTGATAAATTAACAGTTTCTCTATTCAAACCAGTATGATCAAATTAAGCCTGCTCCCAGCTCATTCCAGACAGTATTCATTATTCTCCAAAATGCCCCCAACCTCGAATCGAACCCACAAACACATTCACTCCCATCATTTCCAGATCACCACTGTCCAGATCACAGTCTGATCAACAACCTCCTCGACCTCCACAACCACCATGGGCTCTTCCGCAAGTAAGGCGAAGCGTTTCCAGCCCGCAGCCGAGGCCGGCAAGCGCGCCATCGATCTGTCCGTGAAAACCAAACATCAGCACATTCGCCAAGAGACGGCCGACCCCAATCGGTCGCAACCGGCTCCCATGCCCATGGCTTCGCAGACCAAGAACGAGGACATTGTCAGGGACGGCGGGGACCGAGATTTCGCGCGGCAGCTCATGGATCTCGGGGCCGTCAAACTGACCGAGTCTGAGGTCCAATACAGCAAGAGCAATCCTGTTTTGGAGGCTCTGAAGGCTCGCGAGGCCCTGGATGAGGCCGCTGAGGCCGAGTCTGGGGACTTTAGCAAGCCCCGAACGCTCCTGAACCCGGCCACCATCTCCGGAATTCTCGAGTCGCAAAAGGCTGGCGAAACAGACATCACTAGAGACTACAATCTGGCTCCCGGAGTGGCCGACAAGTTGAAGTATGTGAGTGTCCCCGAATACGAGTTTCTGGAGACCGCTGCGACCGAGGGAGAACGACACAGAGATACCTTTTCGCTGGACGGCGGCCGAGAAGACCCGGCTCTCAGCAAACTGGCCGATTCCGGCTTTGTTCAAGTTGAAGGAAGACATATTTCCGAGTTTGATAACGCCGATTATGTTCAGGTCGGAAAGGGCAGAAACGCTACTGCTGGAGGTCCTCAGCCTCAGGGAGTACCTGGAGAACTGCCGGACGACATTTTTGGAGATATTGCTCAGGCGTTCGAAGAGCAGAAAGACGGCGCCGAGGTGCCCAAAAGTAGACACCAGCAGGACCAGGACTTCTTCAACAGGGAAAAGGAAAGACGGTATCCCAAGAGAGATACAAAGCCGGTCACCGTGGAGCTTTGATTGTAGCGAGCAGCCGATCGACTACATCATATGACTGTTTGAACGACAGTTTCTGACCACAAGGCAGTCTATTGAAGTGCTTCTTGTGCGCCAATTAAGTGTATATATGTATATAGTGATTTATTGATGAGTGATTGTCTCTTGTGGTAATGTTTGAACTATTTTTACTGACTTTAATTGACTTTACTTGACTTTACTTGACTTTACTTGACTTTAATTATTTACTTGGGGTTATTTAGTAAACCGTCACCTAACGATCTTCAATTCACCCAGTTTTAGAGATATCGAGTCGGCGAAAAGTGCACAACAGTCCTCTCGCAATTCCAACAGCAGTTTCCACATCACTTTTCCAATATTCGGTCTATATTTACAAACCCGGTATTACTCTTGTCACTTATACAGTGAGTGCATTCTGACGCTGACACTTTACTCCAAACGCCCTCTAGCCCAACTCTTCTTCTCACACCTCACTCCAAACGAAAGCGACATATACACTGACACAGACGATGTCACACAGCCTGCATCCCGTCTGCCTGTCGCCCTACCACTCTCCCCAAACTATACAGTCAAACCAGAGGACGGAATCAGGTTCTGTCTCCAAATCTGCATTGGGTTGCGCAAATGCCCTCCAAGTGGCTCAAACGCGCTCGTGCTCGCCCAATTGCCCATTCCACTCAAATCAGAGATTGCAATCATGTTTTGTCTCCAAACCGTCTCCAGAGAGTATTTTGACTGAGGTGTGATTGTTTATGCGTCTGATGCTGATGTCAAGTCCCCACGCAGCCGCAGTGAGTATTCCGTTTGACCACAACTACCTACGACCATAGTATGCCACCTTTGCAGACATACAAAGTCACTTGTTCAACCACTACTTCACTTGAGCCGAGTCTCGTCCGGTGTCTGTGTTGATAGCGAGGACTTCACACCTCAGATCACTACGTACATCTTTCCGTATCAACCTAAGCTCCACTCCTGTCCCCTTGGCAGCCTTGTTACGATACCGACGCCACTGCTCTTCTGACTGCTTACTCAAGCAAACAACAAGGTAAGACCAGGGAGCAGCTCCTATGGCGGTACAGTAGGGCTGGAGTGCACGGCTAGTGAACATGGTTGTCAGATCGATGACAACTTCTATCCCGCTTTTGCCACTCTTAGCTCAGACTCTGCCAGTCTTTCTCGCGGCTGTACGTAGATCTGCGGTAGTACGACAGATGTACGACAGATGCACGAGTACGAGCGAGTACAGTCAACCAAAGCCTGATTGTTCCCATGGTACGAGTGTAAATTTCCATCTGATCTTTATACTCGCACAATACTGCGACTTTTACCGCAACAAGTCATGTTCTAGCCTGCCCTTGATTTTCTCGGAGGCAGTGCACATGTCAAATGCACCGGTGAAACAACCCGTCTCTCTTTCAGCTCTCGTTTCCCTGTTGAGAACCCTTCTTTCCTGTTTGTGTGGCATGCATGATATCTGTGGAGAATGTTTGGGAGTGGCTTGGGGAGATAGCGGGCCGTTTGTTCGTCTGGCGGTTTGGAGAGAAAATGGAGCCACTTTGGAGTGCAACAGGGGTCCGTTGAATCAAATGCAACGATCGGGTTTTCCCAGGGTGTCTGTAGCGTGAGGTGGCGTCTTTCTATATTTTGTGTGCTCATGGGTGCAGACCCATTAAGGAATCAAAAAAAGAAAGGTTTTGACCTCACAGAAAAAAACATTGCAGAGAGGTGGAGGTTGACACGAGTCCAAGAGAGAGGGGGGATAAGCGAGAATCGGAGGAGATGGTAGAGATCATATGACCTGTCATTTTATGATTGTATGGACGTTTCCCCCGTTTTATCCCATTTTCCCCCGTTTTTTCCCCGTTTTTACTCCTTTTTTCCGCCCTGTTCCTGTCCGCTCATTGCTTGTACTGCTCCGATGCACGTAGATCTGGTTGATGGCGGGGCACAGAAATGTGTCGGAAAACGGGATTTTGACTAACGAAGAAAATAACAGGTGCTATTTAGATGGCAGCAAAGGCGATTCCCATTTTTATGGATTTTTTAACATTTTCACCGATTTGCGTCGATTTTTCCCGTCGATATTCCGAGTACCCCATGTTTGCTATTTTTTGGTTTCCATTTAGCTTTTGGTGGGAGATGGGCGGAGAGCGGTCTGCTTGGGGCGTAAATAGGAGGATTTGTGAGATATTTATCAACATGACTGGATGTAGAGACAATGTGGGAGTTCAATGGCTGTTTCAGAATACCATTCGGAGTATTAATCAGCGAGATATCTACATCTCTCCTATTTCATGCACTCTGACATCATTAAAGTTGACCACAGTACCAAAGTTGGCACTAAAATGCCAGCCGGATCACCCTCACTTTCTCTTCCTCTTCAACCATGCCCAAACTGATTCTATACCAGGTTCTGGACGTCCAGGAGGACGCTACGATTGGTCAGATCGAGCAGGCGTATCGCACGCGGTCTCTGCAGTTTCTGACGACTCTTTTGGGCAACAATTACGACTACTTTTACTCGGTTTCGGACGCCTTTCAGATTCTGCGTAAACACCGCGAGTTCTATGAGACGAGCGGCGACTCGCCCGAGTTTTTTGCGCGCGTCGGGCCCGAGCTCCAGGATGCGGTGGATTTCTTCGTGCAGTGTTTTGGCGTACCGCAGCTGGAGATCTTCACCGGCCCGGTGCCGATTCTGTACTGGATCCAGGAGCTGCGGCGGTCCTTCCCGTTCACAGACACGTACAATCACATTACCACGGAAGGAATCACGGACAAGACGATGGAGTTGATGCGGCGCAACGCGTGGCAGGGAAACGAGACGCTGCAGAAGGAAAAGAACCGGTCACACGAGTTTGATATCACGGGCGCCATCAACGTGCAAGATGCGGCGCAGCTGATTGTCCAGCAGCTGTTGGACGTGGATCTGGAAGGAGACGACAACATCAAGCTGCAAAAGGCAGGCAAATTGGAGCAGGAAACCGGGGTCTTCCCCACCGAGGGCTTCTCCCCACAGTTCACCGACTCCATTGTGAAGAAGCTGAAGCCGTATTTCCGCATTCCGTTTGCCGTGGACGTTCTCAAGGCTCTGGGAACAATTTTCATGGTCCGTGCGGAAGGCTACGCCGCCAAGTACCGGGGCAAGCTGTTTTCGTCGGTGGTGTCCAACAAATCAGCCAACAATGCCTCTTCGTTGATTGAGAAGATTGTGTGGTCGAAAAACCGACTCCACGCCATCTCCAAGTACTTCAAGCAGATTGGAGGGTCCATCGACGACCAGGTCAACATCATCTACACCGAGTTTTTCTACCAGCTGGTGCGGGAGGTGTGTCTGGCAGCCAACTTGACGGTTTCGGAGATCTTTGAGGGCGAATGGGCCGCCAAGGAAGACAAGAAGGACAAGATGGTTCGTGCATACCGCATTTGGGAGATTGGCAACTTTCTGTGCATCGAGGCGACCCGAACTGCCGCCGAAAGAGGCATTTCCATCGAGCACAACCCTAACCTGCAACATGACGACGTGTTGGCCGGAGCAATCTACCTCACAGCCTTCAACGAGGCACTGGTGCTGGCCAAGAAACGCAATCTCTCGAATATCGACTATTCCAACGGAAAGGCGGCCGCTCCTTTCCCTCAGGGAGCCAGCTTTGATCCCTGGGCCGTGGGAGTCGTGTGGTCGCCATGGGACGTGGTGTCCGACTGCTCGGGCTCGGGAGGAGTGGTCACCACGGAAGACGTGTTTACCGGCGACGAGGACAAGAGGTATGATGTGGAGGTGACTGCTCAGGGCGGTACTGATGCGGGTTAGCGAAACATCAGGAAACGGGCTTGATGGGTTGTTAGTCTGTCGTCTCTTTGTACTTATATATGAATACAGTAATGATAATGCGGCATCTGGAGAGTAGAATACGAGAGTAGAATATGGAGATCATATGTTCTCCTAGACGAAAGGTGTGATTAGTTTCGTGTACGGACTGGTTATTACTGTTTTTTTCTTTTCATCTGGATTTGTTGAGAGTGTCTTTTAATAGTTGGACTCATCTAAAAAGGTCAAGTAACAATGGTCCGTCTGAATGCTCATTTGTCTCTGTTTCTGGCATTTCCAGGAAACAATTGACGCCAGAAGTCGAATCATAAGCCAAGATGATCACGATAAAACACCCTTTTTCAGATCCGGACTTTTTTGGACCGATTTTGGCTGTTATTATTATGACTCGGTCACACGTACGTATCAGAAATATCAGAGTACTCAGAAACACAGCCAGAAAAGTGAGATCTCCACCTATAGTTTTCTCGCAATTGTCTTGCATCTTTACCGGACATTACTCATGTCCTAGCTACCAACAATACATGGAACTGTTTATTAGAGAACGGTCAGATGTTGTTTCGCGTTTCTGGCGAGAGAAGGGGCTGGAAGTTCCGCTAGAGAGAGAGATTCCATCGGTGCAAGTTCTTCTTCAAGTTCTTTTTCAAGTTCCTTTTCAAGTTCTTCAAGTTCTTCTCTTCTAGTCAGAGCAGCGACACTTGGAGTCAGGTGTGACTACGGGGAAAGAGGTCCAGGAGGTCCAAGGGGTTCACGAAAGCCCGGGAGAGGTGCAGACCATTCGACCATGGGATCCATACGAGGTCTAGACGACTCGATCAAGGGGTTAATACTCGTATCGCACCAAGTGGCGACATGGCTGCTTGCGGAGCCGTGTGACACCAAGTGATGACATGGCTGCTTCCTGCGCAGCTCAATTAGCCGCCAATTGCGGGCACTGCACTCTGTTGGCAGCAGAAGGATGACGGACTTGTGTGAAACTCGAAGACTTGCGAGATTCAATTATCCATGTTTTTCAAAGTTTCCCTTGAATTTCTCCCCCTTTGCTTTCCCCTCAATTTTCCAACTTTTCCAAATAAATCCACTCTTCTATGTGCCGAACACGCTGTCGTGTCTCGCTAACCCTACCTGAAATATGCAAACTTTAATTCCCCAGGTGAGAGATCAGGACACGTGCGGCGAACAAGTATCCCTTCCTTCGAACCATCTCCAAACAGCCCACCAATGGTCGTGAACAAGACTCGACAGACCCCGGCCCAGAAGCGGGCCAACGCCAAGTTTGCCGCCAAGCAGGAAAAGAAAATGGGCAAGCCCCGGCCCGAGGAAAAGGTCGAGAGACCGACGCTGCCGATTTCAAAGTCGTGGTTGTGTGAGTACATTGGAGCCTGAGTGTCAGCGAGGGCTTCTGAGAGGACTCTGGGTGTGAGAGATTGTGTGCCCGGGAGCCAGTTGTGTCACGGTGTCATCTCTGGACCTGAGAGGACTCTGGGCGTGAGAGATGCTTGCCCCGGTAACCAGTGTGTCACGTGTCATCACTAGGAGAAGATTCCATACCTGAGACGCGAGTGCCAGTGGGGCAGAGCCCCGCAACTGCCTCGACCGTCTGTGGCAGATTGTTCGTCAGGTTCTGGATATCACGTCCAGGTGTCAGGTTGTAGATGTCGCGTTTTGGGTTCTGGTGACACAACCCCGTTTCAGTGCAATTTGACTGTGAGTCCTGACGATGAGCCCACTGACCTGTAACGCGCCCGATAAGGTGACCGACCTCAAAGATAACCGTCTGGGGTTCATACGACAGTAAAAACAGCAGACCGTTGGTACACAGCACACAACAGAACGGTCTCTACATAGCTGATCACGTGGGCGAGCCATGCGTGTTACATGACCTAAAGATTCTCATTTCATTCCGATTCTCACCTGATTCTGATTCTGATTCTGATTCTGATTCTCGCTTGATTCTGATTCTCGCTTGATTCTGGTTCTCGCTTGATTCTGATTCTCTGCTCATCTCATGGACCTCAGCCCTGTTATCCCATCGAATTCCCTCTACCATCTTACTAACCCAGTGGTTCTCATCTTCGTTGTCTGCGGAGGAGCTCTTTTCGAGATTCTCAAACTCTTTGGTCTTTTCTAACCGACTGATTGACTGAACGAGACCTGACAATATCTGTACACTATAATAATTATGCATACTTGTATTGGTTGTAGTGGAAGTAGGAACCAGTACGAGTATGGTACGTGCTGTGGATACTCGTGGCGGATGTGCGCTAGTAAACATCCAACTACAGCTACACTCCAGGTTGAGGCAACTCACGCAACGAGATTGCGAGCGTATACTTCAATGAAGAGATGGGGTTCGAACTGGAGAGTCTTAGCACCAAGTTTCCAAGATTCGCTCAAGAATGGTTGTTTGAACACCATGAAAAGTCTAATAAATATCTAACAAAATATACTTGCAGTAAAAATCAAAATTGCTCAAATATCCGAATATATGTATTGCCACAGGTATATTTTGTTTGAGATTTGTTAGAAACTTATATCTGGGCTATCGAAAGGAACAGTTACCCCCTCTCCATCTTGTCGGGAACATCAGATTGAGACCCCCAGCCAACTTTTGTTTTTAACTATATGTCAACTAATCCAACCATTCTGTAGTTGAACTGTTTAGGAAGATGAGACAACTTGCGAGGCATAGATAGTGAAGAATTGTGGGATATAAATGCGACATAAAAAATGATCAGCGCAAGTTAATACACCTTTTAGACGTTTTAAAAGTAAAATCTGAGCATTTTACGTGAAGTTATGATGCAACTTCCCTCCCTACAGTCGAAACCAAGATCCGCTCTGCACTACTACACTTCCATGGAGCCCAATACAGTCATCTCGGGCAACATTCCTCAATATAAATATATTTTCTATGTTTTACTTGCACGTGCGAATGATGTCACGTGATATTTCGGTACAGTTCAGCACTGTCTGTAGTACAACTCGTATTCGTACTTGTACTTGGGGCTATTGTACTGTACGCGGCATCTCCTTCTATTTTCCGATACCGGCTTTCTTTCCACCCGTCTTGAGATTCACGCCCTGGTTGAATTGTTTCATCAGATCTTTTTCTCTCTGGGAGTGGTCTGAGGTGGAGTTGGTGGTGACGGTCACCTTGTTTTTGGAGGCTCCCATCAGTCGCAGGAACTTGTTTTGTTGGGCGGAGTCCAGGCCATCCACGGCTATGGTTTTTGGGGTTGAGGTTGCTGCGGGGGAGGCGAGGAATGCGGGGGAGGCGAGAGATGGAGTGTTTTCCTTTTCAGTGTCCTTCTTTTCCTTCTTTTCCTTCTTTTCCTTCTTTTCCTTCTTTTCCTTCTTTTCCTTCTTTTCCTTCTTTTCCTTCTTTTCCTTCTTTTCCTTCTTTTCCTTCTTTTCCTTCTTTTCCTTCTTTTCCTTCTTTTCCTTCTTTTCCTTCTTTTCCTTCTTTTCCTTCTTGTCCTTCTTGGCCTTCTTGATCTCCTTGACATCATCATCTTCAGCCGATCGCTTCTTGGACTTTTCCTTCTCCTTCTTCTCCTTCTTCTCCTTCTTCTCCTTCTTCTCCTTCTTAGCCTCCTTGGCCTCCTTGGCCTCCTTGGCCTCCTTCTTGGCCAGCTTCAGCGCCTTGTCGTCCTGTTCAGTCATGGTGAAATGTACAGTACTGAAAAAATATACGTATCACCGGAAAAAATTAAGAGGAGCTGAAAATGTGCATAACCTGCATCTTAGACGCACCCAGTGCACAGGACAAAATCTCATAGGAGGAAAACGAGACCAGGATGGAGTATGTTACGTAAGATTGGAGGATGTTTTTGTGTCTTTTTGTGTCTTTTTGTGTCTTTCTGTGGAACCTCTTCCTGGCGTCTAATTACTGCTGAAGACCTTTAGTATTAGCGACAAGTCACTTCTAGGGACACCACGTCCGATAGTAACACCAGAAAGAGATTCTAGATCAATAGAGAAAACTGTCTACAAGATGGAAATTTCGTCTACGACCAATCGGGTTCCTCTCATCTTCATGTGAGGAACTGGTCAGGCAATAATACGGTAGTACAGTACCTTCCACACAACTGTGAGTGTCCTATAGTCTACACCAGTCTACATGTCACGTGTCCATGGAGTCTACATGTCACGTGTGGTTCTACTGAGACCAATTTACCCAATATATATACAAAAATGACCGGGGAAACGTGGCGGATATAATGGTACTACTTGTTAGTTGCTGAGACTACTGATTCTGAACCTGTAAGCAACATGACGTTTGGTCTCAGATGAGCGTATACAAGGAAGCCAATGATTCAGATGTCAATTGTAAGAGCAGATTACTAGGTTGAAGCAACCACAAAGAGTTGATTGATCAAGTTTTATCCCTGATAGTCCCACAGGAAGGGGATATCTGGGTGTTCTGGTCGTTCGACATCTAACTGGCAGATGACACAGTGGACAGAGGCAGGACGAAAGTACAATTTACAAGTGGTCTTAGGTATCGGAAGAACCTCTGATGAGGTTATACCCAATGTTCAAGTCCACTTGTATTTCGCTCATCATTCACGGTCGTAAACGGCAATCTGGTGACGTTTAGCAGTGTTCTAGGCGGGCTACCACGGACTCTCGGACCTCGTCACCGAGTGGGGACAGAAGACTTGTCCAGCTCTCGAGTTCAGAAAGATGCCGTGTATCTAACCAGTCTGGCCCGCAGGAAGTAATAGTTTTCACGCCAAGTCGAACTGATAACCGCAGCAGGTCTCCAAGGTGAACAGCCTTTGGAACTAGTTTGTCTAGAGATCGGGTATCGTTCAGGTAGGGAGAGAAAGAGATGTTGACAGTTGGACCATGTCTGACCCTATCAACTGGAAACACTTTGGAAACACTTTGAAAACACTTTGGGGCGTTTGGGCTGGACTGACAACTTTTGCTTCTTCCCCAGTTACTGACTATTAGTTGACTTGCTCACAAAACATTAAGTAATGTCTGGAACCCGAGAGCCACGATTAGGACCGATTGAGAGACAGTGAATCAACCAAAACACCTCCATACCAAACATATTTCTGTGCGTCCACTCATCCACTCAATGCCCAACAGCCCAACACAATAATCCAAGAGCTCTGTTGGAGTCGGACTCCTCGGTACAGTACCAGATATACGTTCACCTACCGACTATACGTGAACATTTGGGTCCGATACGATGCTCGAAAAAGTACACCAATCGAAAGCTCCAGATCGGAAGAGTAAAACTCCGACGTTTACCAACCTCTCAATCCTCTCCCAGAAGTCAGACCAATCGGTTAAGTGTTTCCCCATTCCCGTTTAGCCTTGCAACCTCCCACACTGTTCATCCAATCGGAGGACATGTAAAATCAAACCCAAACCAAGGGGGGACCATAGGAGAACGAAAATGTGGCGGAAAAAAACGAAAAAACGAAAAAACGACGACATTTTCAAAGCCCTCCCCAGTTGGACAAGTCCACAAAACCCCAGCCAATCACCGCCGTCTCCACCTGGTAGCCTGCGTAGCAGGGGGATATTTTTTCTCTCGCTTACTAAGCAAAGTCCCAACCCTCGGGCCAATCACAACCCGCACATTGTCCCAATATGCACCACCTCTTCACTCACCACCGCAGCAGCTGTTCACTAACATCACAACCACACAATGCTGCGAACTACCCGTGCTGTGAAGCCTCTCAAGGCCATCACCACCTCCGTGCGGTTCATGAACTCGTTCGAGAACCTGGCCCAGGACGTCAACATCACCCGGTCCGGCAAGACTCTGATTGCCAAGGGTACCGGTGGCCGGTCGTCTCGAACCGGCTACACCGCGACCGTGTTTGGAGCCAACGGCTTCCTGGGCAGCTACCTGACTGCCAAGCTGGCCAAGCATGGAACCACGGTGGTGGTGCCGTACCGAGAGGAGATGGCCAAGCGACATCTCAAGGTGACCGGAGACCTGGGCGTGGTCAACTTTTTGGAAATGGACCTGCGAAACCTGGAGTCCATCGACGAGGCGGTGCGTCACTCGGACATTGTGGTCAACCTGATTGGCAGGGAGTACGAGACCAAGAACTTCAACTACTACGACGTGCACGTTGAGGGAGCCCGACGAATCGCAGAGGCAGTCAAGAAACACAACATTGCTCGATACATCCACGTGTCTGCGTTCAACGCCGAGATTGACTCGCCCTCCGAGTTCAACCACACCAAGGGTCTGGGCGAGCAGGTCACCAAGGACATTGTGCCCTGGGCCACCATTGTGCGACCGGCCCCCATGTTTGGACGGGAGGACAAGTGGTTCCTGGACCGAATGGCCCGATCGCCCTGTCTGGTGTCCGCCAACAAGTTCCAGGAGACCTCCAACCCCGTGCACGTGATTGACGTGGCTGCCGCTCTCGAGCGAATCTGCTTCGACGACTCCACCGTTGCCCAGACCTTTGAGCTGTACGGCCCCCAAAAGTTCACCCAGAAGCAGATCATTGACATGGTTTCCGAGACCCTGCGAAAGGAGGTACGACACATTGAGCTGCCCAAGGCTCTGTACCAGGCTTACACCAAGGCCACCCAGGCCATCTGGTGGCCCACCTACTCCCCCGACCAGGTCGAGCGACAGTTCCTGAGCCAGAAGATTGATCCTTCTGCTAAGACCTTCAACGATCTGGACCTGACCCCCATGGAGCTGCCCGATCTCATGTTCAAGCTGATTCGACCCTACCGAGTCAACACCTTCCAGCATGATGTGTCGCAGCTGGAGAACAAGGAGAAGACTTTTGTTCATATTCTTGACTAGTGTGTGAGCGCACCGGGCGAAATGAACACAAGTTCGTGATTGAGCGAGCACACTGCATCACAGGACGACGACTGTGGGCTGTCGAAGACAGTATAAAGTATTAGAAGTTGTATTAACCAGCAGTGCAGCGCTGCAAGTGTAGTGGGCAAAGTGAGATGCTGTGTATTGTAGTTGTAGGTGACTTACGGAACGTCTATCCACATGTTCAACTCCGAAATGTGTGCTGGAGACATTGCTCCGTTTCTCTTGTCTACTGTACTCGTATTCGTTACTCGTATTCGTCTACTCATATAAATCTAATACCTGCCTAATGAACACTTCCAACAGTGGTCTGTTCGGAACGCCGCTCTCCGTAGACCTCCATCGCCTCGTCTTCGACCAGCTTGGTCTCAGGGCCTACGAGCTCTCCGACCACCATCTCCGCATTTCTGTTTTCGGGGCCCAGGAATGTGCACACCAGCACAAAAAAGAAGACGCAGCCCATGAGAATCGCCATGACCAGACTGTAGTCGTAGACTCCTGGCCGGGCGTTGCCGTGAGCGTCAGTCAGCGGAAACCGCTCTCCAATTTTCGCCTCGATGGTGGAGGACGCCGAGGAGGCCAGATTGCCCAGCTGGTAGGCCAGACCCACGAGCGAAGACCGCAGGGCTGGAGGAGCGAGCTCGGTGAGATGGATGGGGATGATTCCCCAGGCTCCAGCGACACAAAATTGCAGAAAGAAGACGCCGGCGTTGATTCCGGCGTTACTGGAGACAAACGCCCAGGGATAGATGAGAGCGCCTCCCACGACGCACGAAATCATGATGCACAGCCGTCTGCCGGCAAACGAGGAAATGTGACCCATAAAGATTCCTCCGGCGATGGCTCCGAGGTTGGCGACGCAGTTGGTGACGGTGGAGGCGTCGGGCGAGAACTCCAGCTGGTTTTTGAGCCGCGTGGGGTACAGGTCCTGGGAGCCATGGGACATGAAGTTGAATCCGGACATGAGAATCACCAGGTAGATGAACGTGAGCCAATAGGTGCTGAAAGTCGTTTTGAGACCGACAAAAAAGTTTTTGCCCGTATCCAGCACCGCTTCATTGTGCTTGGACTGGATATAGGTGTCAGTTTCGGGCAGGGCCATTCGGAAGATGATGATGAGGACTGGGGGGCCGGCACCGAACCAGAAAAGAGATCGCCAGCCGTGGGGAGTTGTGTAGACGAGAGCTCGGGTGAAGACCACACACAGCAAGTACCCCAGGGCGTATCCTTCCTGAAGGATTCCTGAGACGAGGCCTCTGGCATCGACCGGACAATCCTCCAGCGCGGTGGCTGCTGCCATGCCGTAGATCCCGCCCATGGCGATTCCAAACAGGGCTCGGACGGCGAGAAACTGCTTGTAGGTGGTGACGAAGCCCGTTCCGAGCTCCAGCACGATAAACAACACCAGGTTAGAGATGAAGGGCCACTTTCGGCCGTATTTATCACTCAGCACTCCAAACACCACCGCTCCGATGGATCTGAGCATCAGCACCAGGGTGATGCCCCACGTGATGTCTGTGACGGAAACCTGGAGTGTTTCTGCAATCTCCGAAGCCACCAGCGACACTGAAAAGAAGTCGAATGCGTCCCACGTCCAGCCCCAGAAGGCCACCAGCACGAACATCCATTGTTTGAAGGTGAGCAGACGGAGCGTGGGGATTGGATTAAGGAGACGTTTCTGGGAGTCGGAAAGCGGTTGAGGTTTCAGAGTCGTCACGCGACTGGCCAGGTACCTTTTGACGCTTCTCCAGGACAGATCTGGAGGCGGCAAGTTTCCGACTTCGTACGACTGGGTCATTGGAAGGAGTCTTCCTGTTTATGGGCTATTGGAATGCTCCAGACTAATCGTGTCGTCTCTATATACCTTCTGAAAGAGGGGTAGGGCAAATCTAGCGATTTTCATCGCCAAGCGACATTACTTCTAGTGTCTTTTTCAGCGAGTATCTGTATCTGCAAATGGGGGGTGGAGTGTTGCGACTTGAGCCGATTCAGGCCAAAGGGAAGAGGAGGAGGGGATGAGGGGATTGCGAGGCCAGGACGTTGAACCGTTTATAGTAATGCCTTCGGGAATCAACATCTTCGTACTCCCCAGATGGCTCAACAAGTGGGGGTCAAGATGGGGTACTGCTATCGTAGTGTGGCTGATAGTCTTCCCCACCTGTTAGCGCGAAGAGACATGCTGGGGGAAATTGAGCCGAGAAGGGGACCAGAGAAGTTGGAAGAAACGAAGAATTTTTGCAGCTTTCATCGTACTTGTTTTCCCCGTACTAGTTTTCTTCGTACTTGTTTCCCTTTTGGCATGTTCTCAACTGTGGCCTTTTCTGGAGATGTTCCCACAGCAATATGTGAGGCACAACGGCCTAGGCCCTCAAACGCGCCAATTTCCCGGCTACTGCAACAATGTGGGGCATGGAGCCAATCGTGGGGGTCACAATTGACCAGACTGTCGGTTATCAGACTGCTTTGATTGATACGTGGGGAAACAATCCGTTCAGTGGAGTTCAGTGGAGAGTGCAATTGAACTCAGCAGATGACAGAGCTTAGAAGACTCCAGCGCTCGGAAAGATCTGCATCCTGTGTCAAAAAGCAGTTTCAACTTGCCGTCATCTCCTTCAAATGTCGTGGGGTACACACACATATATGCGCTCGGTATTGTACTGTGTGTACTGTACTTGACCGTTCCCTGAACACTAGCTACAAATAGTTCATACCGGTGGTCGGTAATGAAACTACTAGAGACCCGTCAAAACAATCAAGTGCTTCTGAAAGGACGAATTCTGAACCCAGGTCCAGAAGAAGAACCAAAACCTCCTCGACCCAGTGTTTCGAGTGGTATTGTGCCAGCCAAGACCGCGCTCGACTCCCTACCACGACTCCCCCACGACTCCCCCACCCACTAGTTGACGCTTGGACCACTGGACTATAGTAGTCTCAAACTGAAAGACTGCTGAAGTTGCAGATCGAGTCATTGATGACGACCGAGTCTGTAGACCTCATGTTGCTTTGCTCAGAAGTAGTATACACACAGTGTACATACAGTCCGAATACCGCCAGTTAGATTACTCTTAGGGAGAAGAGAAAGACAACCTGGCTGACCACAGAGCTCCCACATGCTGACATCTTGACGAACTACCACTTTCGAGACCACGCACCAGTTACTCTGTCCATTTAAACAACTCTTAGTAGACAATACATAGTATTGGGCCGGTGTTGAGAAGGACGTCACATTTGACAAGCCGGTAATGGGCGTTTTTGTGTTGTGGGAAGACAATTGTGCAACTCACATGCAAGACTCTGTACTTTGAGGAACCAGTAGTCCGCAGGTCTCCTCATCTCTTCGGGTGTTCCTCTCGTCGTGTGGACCAGGGTCTCCTTTCCAGCCCTAGCTCGGGAGTCCTGAGGTAATTCTTTTCAGGGCAATCCATGACGACTGTTATCGGCGACAGGAGGAGTTAGGTTGGCGGGGCCTGGAGATGTCCACACTAGACTGGGCGGGCTCCTTCTCCAGCGGTCCAACTCAGCGAGGCTTCCATCATCTCTCATTTTGGCGGCTTTTGGGTCTCTCACCATCAGCGGTAACTGTTGACAATGTCTCAATCTTACTATGTGGGTCATTGGTGGTATCAATCAAACATCAATCAAACAAGTAATCTGTACAGTATGTACTGTACAGTACAGAAGTGTCGGCGCAGATTTCGGCAAAGTTGCTGGTTGCTTTCAATTAAAATGATGAAATGAATGTGAGAGAAGCGAACAACGGGTTCAGTTGTCGGCGTAGATCAGCCACTTGGTCACTGTAACAGCGGCGAGAGACTCTTACGGCGACTGTACCTGGATTGGTGACAAGAAGACGAGGAACGAAGATAACTAAAGGTAAATGAGGATGATAAGACCAAGTATTGTAAGTGCTTGAGACTCACTTATATACTTTGGCTTTCGTGTCTGTGTAACATGTGGACTATGGTTGGCCATGCAAGTGATTAGAAGTGAAGTATTGTAGCAATCAGCTTGAGTAAAAAGTGAGCATTACTTTGATCTGCAGTTTAAAGTATTCCAAAATTCAAGAAATTTATTTGGAATGTCAATCAGCTCAAAATCGGTCATTATAAGATCTCCAACGGCGTCAGGGCCGAGGTCACAATAAAACATCTGGGTATATTTTATTCCACCAAGTCTCCCGAATCCAATGATACCAACCACTTCCCGAACTGAGCAATATCTCCGCACCTTTGCTCTCGTCCCCAAACCTCTCACAGTTAGTAATCACAATTAAAGTTCAACCTCCCAACCAGTAAAAAGACGGCAATATATCCACACCATCCTCCACACTACACATTTCTGGAAAATGCTCCGACAGTCCGTTCTCCGTCTTTCTCGAGCCGCCGTTGCCCGGCCCGCTCTGTCGCGATCGTTCGTGACCGCCGTCGCCCGACCCCAGCTCGTGCGAGCCGCCCCCGTGTCGTTCATCCGACACTACTCCTCGGCCCACGTGCTGACCAAGGACATGATTCAGGAGCGAATCGTGGCTCTTCTGGAGTCGTTTGACAAGGTCAATGACGCCAAGAACATCACCGCCACCGCCAACCTGACTTCCGACCTTGGTCTGGACAGTTTGGATGTCGTCGAGGTGGTCATGGCCATTGAGGAGGTGAGTACTAGTGACTGACCGAAGATCAGGTTCGGACCCTGACGCGGCCACTGTCGCTGTCCGGTTGGAAACAGACTGCATATGTGACCTGAATCGTGGCAGAATATCGCGGCAGAATATCGTGGCAGAATCTCGTGATTGTATCTATACAGTTTACGATGGGCTGCATCAGATAGACTGCCGCGACCTAAGCTGTACCGCCCAGTCTGATCAGATGAGGTATGAGCTCAGGTTGGGAGTAGATGACAGTTGGTGAGGACCGCGTGGTGCCCTGATGGAGTACGTGAATGACTCAAGGACAGACAGACCCACTGAAACTAATTTTTCTGCTTGAAGTCAGCACTTGATCGACCCACTGAGTCTTAGACACGTCTTCCTGCCTCACCTTTATGTCTCAAAACGTGGGAAGTAGCTCTGGCGATCATTTCACCAGTTGCAATTGTGCGTCCCATGCTTTCAGACAACGCATTACTCTACTGTTTCTTCAAACATTCTACAGTCTATCAAACTGTCTGCTACAGTTGCTCTGGTCAACTAGAGTCTGCATACAGTCTGAGCCATGTTTAATTACCAAGCTGTTTCCGCTCGACCTATGAGTGAGCACCCAGTTCGGCTTACCGCCGACTTGCTGCATCCTTAGCGCTTTACTAACCCAGGAATTTGGCCTCGAGATCCCCGACCACGATGCTGACGAGATCAAGACCGTCCAGCAGGCCATTGACTACGTCTCTGCCCAGCCCGCAGGTGAGTATGAGAGATATAAGAATCATTGGGAAGACGCCATGAGGTGCAGTCACACGAAAAAGACGCGATAACAGCATGAGAAGATAGCGTAAACACCACGACAGGACAAGAACCGATAACACATGGCCCAGCTTGACACAGCTTGACCCAGCCTAACCCTCTACACCATGACACTGGCAAGATTCACGGTGGTTGGGGGATGGCAGTGACGGAAAGGGCGACACAAGTTAGTGATGTGCTATTTTTCTGGTAGAAGATAGCTTTATCACACCCACTGTGTTCATTTACCCGCCACTAGTACCCCAGCCCCTCATGGATGCACACGCTATCTCCATTCCGCTAGCTCCGTTTTCTTACCCCACAGCCTACAGCCCATCTTTACCGAATGGGGCATCTTAGTGCGACTGGCCGCGTACCCCACAGCACGTGTCTGACGTCGATGGACATCCGCCTATGCCTTATCGTGTGAACTTTAGATACCGCCTTGGTGGGGGGTTTGGTTTTTGGGGTGTTATATGAAGCGGTCTTGTGTTGTTATCCTTATCGTCATGCTGAGTCATGACTAAAAAACTATGTGCGATGGGTCCTTATCCTTATCCTTATCGCCAGGCTGAGTCATGACTGAAAACTGTGTTGCAGATGGGTTGTCCGCTCAGACATGTGTCGCTTGCTCTCGCCGTTCCCTACTAACCCAGCCGTTTAATCAACCTCAAACAGACTAAAGCCCTGTACATAAAAATACATCTCCACCCACAGCGGCTAAATTGCATCTCCTTCTGCGTCGTCGTCTCTTATCTGTCGTCTTCATAGAGTTGACTGGCGCAGAAAGTATCGTGTAGAGCTACTAATCGATAGAGCTTGGGCCGGAATAGCAACGTACTGTACCATGTACTGTAACCCACGCACAGTGGCAGAGAAGCGCATCAGCATGTGCATTGATTGCGACAGTCGATAGCCGATGGTAACACTTCTGGGCCACGTGACCGGGCGACTGGCAGACCGGGCGACTGACAGGCCGAGCAGGGCGCAACACCTGTTGGTCACCGTCTCTTGTGGCCCACGGCACATATCTCCCTTTTCGGAGTCCTAACTCTGACGTCTAAAATCGACGTAAAATCGACGTAAAATCGACGTAAACCTACCCTTCTGCGCACGCGACCGAATCTACAGTGCCTTCTGAGTTGAGGTTTAGTGCGGTTTGAGGTTTTGATGCCGCTTGTGTGAGGGTAAAAAAAAAGTTTGGCCAAAAAAATATGCAGTCTTTTTTTTTTACCGGTGCAAAATGAAAAACCGACTTAAAGATTTTGAAATTTGGGTTTGCGGCTAATTTTGGAGTGGGGAGTACGGCGTTAGAGCGAGCTGTGGGGGCGGTTAGAGACTGTCTTGGGGGGATGGACCCGTGTCTGGGGGTTGTAAGGAGCCTGGTTTATGTTTGCAGAGCTCATTTGGGGCTCTTTTTTAGCCGCTGTCGGTTTTTTTGGCCCGGCGTTTAAGTTCCATCCTGCCAAGTGCGTTATCTTGGTTTTAACTCAAAGTGCTGGGTCCCATGAAATTGAAAATTCTTTATTATCCGCCAGCCAGAACTTTTCAACGGGACATGGCCTGGAGACTGAGACGCTGAGACTCGACCGGGATTTCATTGGCGACCACAGACATCTTTGGAAGTATTTGCGACCACAAACAGACGACAGGCGGCCGACAACAGACAAGCAGACGACAGACAAGCAGACGGCCGACAAGCAGACGGCCGACAAGCAGACAGCAGACGGCAGACAAGTAGACAACCACCAGAAGACCATACGACCATTCGAACATCCACACGTCCACACTTCCACACGTCCACACTTCCACACGTCCACACGTCCACACAACCTCATTATGGACACAATCTTCCTCGATCCGGAATACATCCCGGGAACGGTCCAAATCATCGGACAGCATGACGACGACTCGATGCTGATCAAGGACGAAAAGGGAACGGTGCTGCTTCCCCAACCCACCTCGTCGCCAAACGACCCGCTCAAATGGTCGTGGAGCAGAAAACTCTGGCACACTCTCTTGGTGTGTTTCATCACCGGATTCACAGCAGCCACCTCCAACGACTCCGGAGCAGCGTCGGACGGACTGCTGGAAGAACTGGGAGTCGGATACGACGTGCAAAACACTGCCGCCGGCGTGCTGTTTTTGGGCATCGGCTACTGGTGTCTTTTCATCTCCCCTCTGGGCTCCCTGTACGGCCGACGACTGCCCTATCTGCTGGGCTGCATTCTGGGTCTCATTGGCGCCCTTTGGTTTGGGCGAATCAAAAACGTCGGCGATCTCATCTGCTCACAGCTGTTTGTGGGAGCCTCAGAGGCCGTGGCCGAGGCGTACTCCCAGGTTTCTCTGATTGACATCTTTCACGACCACCAGTCTGGTTCCGCCATCGGTATCTACGTGTTTGCCACATCCATCGGAACCTTTCTGGGGCCCCTGATTGCCGGGTACATCCAGATTGGCCAGAGCTGGCGATGGGTCGGTTGGTGGGCGCTCATCATCGGAGGAGGCATGACACTGTGTTTCTGGTTTGGCTTTGAGGAGTCGTACTTCCCCCGGAACCTGGTGACCGCGTCGGAACGAGGCCAGACGACTCTGGATGACACAAACGAGGCGCCCCTCGGGGCTAAGGGCTCAGAAAAACTCGACTCCAAAGACGACTCCATTCCCGACCGCGCCTCGTCCGGAGAGGGATCGCTCTACGAAGTGCGAAGCGCTATCCACCCGGCAGCCACCACCGAATCTACTAACGTGCAAACCAACCCCAAGGTGATTGGCTGGAGAGACACCCAACGGTCGTTCCGACAACGCATCCAAATCATCACCCCAGCCCCCAACCTCAAGGGCTGGGGCATCAAACAGTACTTCCAGCGATTGTGGACCACCATGAAGGTCTTTGGATACCCGGCAGTCATCTACTCGGGTCTCCAATGGGGAGCCCAAGACGCCTGGCTCTCCTTCTACCTCACAACCCAGGAAGACACCTACGGAGAGCCTCCTTATAACTACTCTCCAACCAGAATTGCCGTCATGAAAGTGCCGCTCATCATCGGAGCGTCCATCGGCTGTTTCTACGGAGGCTACCTCTCCGACAAGTTTGTGCACTGGATGGCGTCGCGACCGGCCCGGAACGGAATCCGAGAAGCCGAAGACCGACTCTGGATGATGCTACTCAACTGTATCATCTCCCCGCTCGGCATGTACCTGTTCGGAATCGGCACTGGCGAGATGTGGAGCTGGCCCGTTGTCTATGTGGGCCTGGGCTTCATTGGATTTGGCTGGGGCTGTGCTGGAGATATGTCCATGTCCTACCTGGTCGATGCCTACCCGGAAATGGTCCTGGAAGGCATGGTTGGAGTGTCTGTCATCAACAACTCCATGGGCAGCATTTTCACCTTTGTGTGCGACATGTGGATGGACGCCCAGGGCATCACAGACACCTACATCACCACCGGCTCCATTTGTGCAGGCATTTTGTTTCTTACCATCCCGATGATCATTTTCGGCAAGTATTTCAGAAAGAAGACCACCAAGCAGTATCTGGCATTTTTGAGGGAGCGAGATTCGTTGGATGAGTAATAGAGCGAGTGCAGAAGCGGCATCTAGTTCACGACCACCAACTGGATACTCAGTTCCATGGGTTTATTGCATTTTAATTGTTGTTGAAAGTTGGCTGTAGAAATCGCGAGAGTGTGTTGATCGTAGCTGAAATCCAGGTTGATGAAAATGACGGCCCAGAAAGTGCGGTCACAATGGACCAGGTCTTGTCGTCAGTCATGTCGAGTTAAGATCTGGTTTGGCAATGCTGGTAAGAACGTCAAAAGTGGCCACAGAAGCATTCAAAGTAGACAATTGTGTTCACAAGTCCGAGACGAACACAATGAACTTGCTTTTATCGAAGTAATAACAATATTCATCATTCTGTCCTCAAGATGCGTGTAGGATTAAATCAAGGTCGTGAACGTAGCTGGTCGTAGAATAAAACAAAACGCATTTCCGTTTTCACAAGGACAGGACAATTACATTGAACGATGTCCGTTTAGCTCTCTCGGTTATTGAATGTTCTTCGATTCTCCAGCCGGAAAATACCTCCGATCCAGGACTATTGCTGGTTCCAGATGTCAGCAGACGGGTCATTCCAGACAGCATGATCTTGAGTCAGTTGGCGTATCTATTGAACACATCCATCTGCTGGTTGCCAAAAAACTCCTTGAGGGGTTCAGGCATGTACTTTTTGACAAAGCTCTCGTCGTCCTCGGTCATCATAGTAGCCAGATTCTCTGTGCTGGCAGCAGTAGCAGCAGTGTTGATGAGATCCAGATTGCGCAGCTGGCCGTTGAGACCGTCATACAAGACCTCCGTGAAGTAACAAAGTGCTCACTGAACCCCTCGGGGTAGTCCAGGACAATGGCGCCTTCGACGGCCCGGGCCGAAAGGGACCGGTTTATAAGAGACGGCCAGCTACCATCATCCATAGACCCATCTGGGTCATGCAGCCCCGAACATGAGCTTCAGATAAGGGTACAGCTTGGCGTTGATCTCGCTCTCGCCAGCCTTTTTGATTTCCTCCTGCACAAGAGGGATCATCTGCTCCTGTCAGCTGTGTATTAGTTCCTGGAACTTGGATATTCCTGTAAACTGCTGGGACTGGCTGGTTTTGGCGGCCCAGAGCTCTCCAGCAGCCTCTCTCTCCTCGCATCTCAATGCCCAGCTGTCTGGCCCGGTTGAGCTGTTCGAGTCGCAGTCCTAACTCGGGCTGTCAAGTGGTGATGTCGTTCCAGACGTCGAGGAGAGGCAGAACAATCTGATTAGATGGCGATGTCTTAACGTTTCAGCGATCACAATATTACAGGGTTAATCAGTCGCGCCATTGGTCTTCAGTCAGTTGCAGTTGAAAACGTGACTCGGTTTCACGCATTCTATCGTTCCGAACTTGCCCTACTGTTGTTGCAATAGTTTTTGCAGAATGATTCCAAATTGTGATCAGAAGGTGGGCTGGAACTCATTCGGACCATATCGCCGTGATCTGGTCGATATTCACCGAGTTACCGGCAGTTTAGCCCCCATTGGTCGCATCTCGTGAAAAAACTGAAGACTGGCTAGGCACAGCAGGAATCTCTCCGACATACCACGTTCTGTTTCTCTGACCAGCTTGTGGCAACTAAGAAAGTCTCGAACTCACTCACAACCAGCGAAGACTAGTGTGGGTGTACTTGTCCCGACAGGCGGAGGTCAGACGTCTGACTCAAGCTCTGTCTCAGTCGGTTTGAACCAGGTTGAGACGGGTTTTCAGACATGTTCGCCCTTTTTCTGAGCAAATATCAAACTTGAGACTCATGCCTGAATAGCATACAGTACCTGAACCAGTTGAAGGAGCTATAGGAGATATTGGGTCCTAGCGGACTGCTCCTATGTTATCGATACATCGATGGTGGTTTATACTCAGTCCAAGCGAGTTCCTATTAGGTTGCTACCGGATTTTTCGCCAGTTCAACCGACTGAATTACCACAATTCGCCGTGCAATTATTAGTTGATATTACTTGGAAAAGTTGTTTTTTTTTCAGTTGGGAAATTACTTCACTTGAAAGCATACATGATTATCTGTATCCAACAGAATAACACAAGACACCATGCAAAGTAATAGATAGAGGATGCGGAGCAGCTCAATAACAGTCTGGTTATCGGTGTGGCCAACCGAAAGGGTCTGATTGATTCTGCTCTGATGCCACCTGGTCGATCCGAGGTCAAGATTGAGAGTCCCTTCCCTTGAAGGTATCTGCAAATTCTCGAGATTCACACCGCCCCTATGACTGTTGCAGGCAAGTTGGGCGGAAATGTGGATCTTGACGAGTTTGCCGGAGAGACTAAGAACTACCCTGGTGCCGAGATGGAGGATCTGCTCAACTCTGCTGCTTGTTATACCTTCACTCGAAACCTCAAGATCAAGGTGGAAGAGGCGCAAACAGGATAAGGGTGGAGAATTCATGCGGGAGGAGGTGCGTCTCACGTTTGGTGTCTCCGAAGAGGATCATAACATTGATGACACTATCAAGAAGGGAGAGATATTCATTGAGGGAGTTGGACAGGCTTCTGGTGATCGTGCTCTGACTTCTCTGCTGCTTCACGGCCCTGCTGGCTCTGGTAAGACTGCTCTCGCAGCTCTTATTGCCTTGCAGTCGAACTTGCCCTTCGTGCGACTCATCTCTCTCGAAGGCCATGTTGGTATGTCCGAGACATCTAAGATCACTGCCATTGAGAACTGTTTCCTATCTCCTCTGTCCGTCATTGTGATTGACTCTATTGGGATTCTCGAGTGGGTCCAGATTGGACCTCGATTCTCAACCTCTCTGCTGCAGGCCGTCGAGACTCGGAGTCGAAAGACTCCACCCAAGGCTGCCGATTGCTAATTCTGATTACTACTCACGAGCGACATGATCTTGAGCAGATGGTCTGATTTCTGTGTTTAGCTCCGAGATTGATGTACCTTACCCGCAGTCTCTCAATGAGCTATGCTGTTCTTGGACTCTCCCGAGGCTCGACACCGGGTTGTACGGTAGCCCATCGAGACCATGCCCTTCGATCCCATTCTCTACAACATGTCCTCAACATTTGCGTTGAGACAGCCAGTGGCCTCTGGGTTTTCAGACAACTTTTAAGACTCTGGCTGCGGACTTTGTAATCAGGCTCATCTGAACAGCCCATGGCAGATTCTGACCTGGAACTATCCATCATCTCCTGACTGGTGTATGTTTGTTTACCACGCTTAACTATACCAACTAAAGTCTAACTAAATAGGAGATTCTAGGAAACTCTTCAACTCAGACAATCCAGCTGCGGTCGGACTCTCTCTCAGTCGAATGCCGTCGAACAGACCAAAGCGAACAACATTGTCCATACAAACGATTTATCTTCTCCAGATTATCTTCAAAGACACTTGGAATCCGAGACACCTCCTCATAGGGTACTTCCATCCTGTACAGTAGACAAGAACACAGCTCCATCTCCCTCAATATTGCACCAATTACACACACACTCAACCGAATTCATTTATTTGGACCATGGCGAACAAATGTCTTTCAAAAATTTCCCCTTCATCTCGCTTGAAAAGTCCAAAAATCATCATTCACCACCCATTGACATAATCATGGCCAAAACTTTTGGAAAGGCTCTACTTATCCTCTCTGGTAAGATCACGTGACTGAAATCTATTGTATGCGACGCCTCCAAGCTCTAGATAGACCCTGTTTGAAATTTCAGCCAGATTCGCTCGAAAATGGACTGTTTTGGGACACTTGACGAGATTTCTCTCATGTATATTGACATCACATGATATATCACGTGATATAAACTTAAATATGGCATTTTCTGTAGAACGCTCTCAACCGGCGCTGTGAAGACAACTGGGAACTAGGAATATTTGGTGGAGTTTTACGGTATGGGTAGTCACATGACAATCGGTGTACCACCTCCACTTTGCTTTGAAACGAATGGGCATGCCCTTCAAATATTGCTTGGAGGAAGGTGGAGATCTACAAGCACCTCCTATGATCATCTAACGGTCATACATTTGTTAGTTAGGGGGAACTCTAGAGAAAGCTGTCAGAAGGATTCGTAGAAAGCTAGCATCGATTCAAAATGGGTAGCTTGGGCTCTCGCCCACAACTCAACTCCAGGCTTCGTCTTCCGCCGAGTTGATGAGTTCGTCAGCAAATCCTCTCAATCGGGTTATCCCCAACGCCCTTACCCTCCACCTCTCTCCTCAAATACTGCTGCAGAACAGGACCCCAGACATGTGCTCCCTTGTACACCTTGTCTTCAATTGGCAGTTGGTCAATGGCGTCAATGAGATCCGGCGCACGTGGCTCTTCTCGAATAACAGATACAGGAGTTGTGTAGCATCTGATGACAAAACACATGGCTCCGGTTTTGGGCAGTCGAGTCAAGACTTGTCTCTCCACCCGCAGGGCCCATTCGTTGAAATCCACCTCATGGGCCTCATAGGGCTCGTTGTCCTTCTCAGCGTCAAACCCCGCGTAATTCTCATAGTCAAACAAGGCGTCGTCGCATTGAATGCCCCAGTTTTGCCGCTGGACAAAATTTCCCGCCTGGAACTTGGCAAAGAACTTGTTCATGGACAGATCCAGACGCTGCTTGTATCCAGGCACAGGCCCATGGATGTTTCTCAAAGTCAGCCCAATCTTGTCTGCTGGATTGAATCCTGCCGGGAAACAGGAAGACACTGCTCGCATGCGGTACATGGGGGGATCGTGGGTCTCATCCAGAGTCATGAGGAGAAAGTCCTCTTCATGGGTAGACGAACAGATCATAGCCAAGTCACGTGAACCTTTTGCGAGCCCCAAATCCAGACATTTCTGGGCACTCATGGGGTACTTTTCGTCCCACAGACTATTATGGCACCATTCAACGCCATCAACAGTCTCCTTGGTGAAGTATTTGGGATACCGCTCGCTCAAATAGTACCACATGTACTCGTAGTACTCATGAACAGCCGCATCGACCTCGGGTCCTTCCTGAACAAGACAGGCGATCTCGGGATGTTCCTTGAGCTGTTTTCGGCGGTAAGCCGTTCGCCGTTTGTACGTGTTTTCCAGCAAGATCCAGTCGCTGGCGTCGCACTTTTGCAGACCCATAGTCAAGTGGTATTTGCCAGCCTTGAACGGACGGTAGGGCCGAGGAGCACAGGTGGCAATGTCAAAGTCGTCGGAAACCGCCTCGATGACACTCCATGTTGCGGGGGGATCGCGATCCGGGGTTCGCGTTTGGGTCGCGTGGCCGCCGCTCTTCCCGCTGCTATCCCCGCCGGCCTTTTCTTTCTCTTTCTGTTTGTGTTTCGTCTCTTCTCTCTCCTGTCTGGCCTTGTTGGCCCGTTGATTTGCGCGGTACAGCACGAACGCCAACACCAGCGCAAAGTAGAGATATTGTTTGATGGAGTCCATGTGAAAAAGAGAAGACGCAAAAAAAGTCGAGTGGGAGGCGACCGTGTTTGTGTCGTATTATCAAGTCGTATTCCGAGTCGTATTCCGAGTTGTAGCGTTCGCGGAGACGGTCTTTATCATGTCCAATTAAAGGATGCACAATCGATTGCGTTGGATATTTAGCCGCCCAGTTTAAGCCCGACTGGGAGTACAGTATATTTAAGGTTTGATAAGCGAAAGATAAGCGGAAAACGGCGGATTTTTGGAATAGGGTAAAGTAGAAAGACGGGCGTTCGGAGAGATGCATTGGGCGTCGGAGTAGGAGATCCGATGAGACATCTGTGGGAAGCAATAATTGATGGCTACTCGGCTTCAACACATGCATGAAAATCTGCGGCTCGTGGTATATCCGCGGGGTTAACATGCTAACCTGTTTAGGCAAGTGGTTCCGGTGAGGGGAAGTGGGGTGAAGCCGCTCATCGACCGACGCGACGCTACTTTCTAGCGTGGTATTAGGAGAGTGAGGAGTGGTGGAGTGGAGGAGTTGAGGAGTGGTGGAGGTGAAGTGGAGGCGAAGTGGAGGTGAAGTGGAGGTGGAATTGGCGGAGATTTGGGGCAATTCCAGCGGCTTTTCCGACAATTCACTAAAACTTGACCCAAATCTGTGGTAGATCATCACAGAATGGCCTGGAAGAGGAGATGGAGAATACATGTCACGTGTACGTGTCCTGAGAATGGATCGGTCACATGATCTGGGGAAAGATATGTGGTCACGCACGTGTATTGGGTATTGGATCATCATGTCTTATCGACTACGATCATACTTGACTTGACTGAACCTCTACTGCTCAACTCCAATGATGGCCGATCTGACTTGAATCCGAATCGGTTTTCACATGGCATTGACAGTTTCACAAGACATGACAACTTTCACAATTGCATGATGTCCACTTTCACAATTGCATGATGTCCTACACTATCGCAACATCGCATCGCAGTCTGATTGGCATAGATTGAAATCGTCTAGACACTTGGAATGCTCGTGAGACGCATAGAACGGACTTCTCGAACTTCCGTACTCCTTTTCCAAGCATCTATACAGTCATAGAATGTCGCATCATGTCGTATCATGTCGTATAAAGTCATATCAAGTTGTATCAAGTTGCACCAAAAGTTGTGTATACATGCGCTGCAAGGTAGACGCAGTAGAAAGACCTGAGTGCCATTGGAATCATTTTCTTTGTGTTACAACAGTTGTTCTATGTTACAACAGTTTATGCTCCAGAAGGATCAGTCATTCTACGTCTCGTGTCAACTCATACCATGTCACCTTTACTACGCTACATGGACCGGTAGATGACGGCAGCAATATCACCAACGTCTTTGAAGAGTTATACGAGCAGCCGGACTACTAAGCGCGCTCTATGATACTGCTGCCTTAACTTGTATGTTCATAATATCATAATCTGAACCCATAGTATACCATAGTATATCATAACTTGGACTATCTACGCTTGTGCATGGAGATACAGAGAAGCCTGAGTCTGAAGACTAACCTACGGAGTAGTATATGCGTAGACGGAGGTATTGACGGTCTGTTTACCGAGGGAGGGGGTTTTGGGGGTTGAATTGGGTGTGTTTGGAGCAATGCAGCATGACGCAGTATGATGCAGATGATGGATGTGGACTTTGCCGAGTCCACGATCTTGGCAATTGGGGTTGGAATGGATGGGGGGTACTCTTGGCGGTGATTTGAATGTCAATTTGAAGTCCCCGTTTTGATATCTCTTTTTTTCCCCATTCTGGCCATACCGATCCAAGTCGGTACGCCCGAAATTGCAATGCCGCCAAATCAGTACTGTACATACCGACGTGTGCCACTGAGGACTTCCCCTTTAGTCCAATACGAGCTAGCGTCGGAGGTTTGAAGGGTCAAGCCACAGTTGTGGCCGACAGAGATGCTAGTCAATTCGACTGTACACATGTGATTTCCATCCTGACCAAAAGATTCCATTTTTACGACGACTGGAAGCACATTTACGAACCCAGACAAGGAATGACTACTCGTACTCTCCCCTTGCATATGTTTTCTCACCCTCACGACCATAATCAACACTCACACACTAGTCTAGACCCACTTATCATATATGTTTTACACATGGTCGAACTCTCTAACCGCGGTGGAGGAGAGAGGACATGTGCAGGTGGAGCTGGCAGGGGGGGATTCTTTGAGGCAATGATTTTCGTCACCTGTGCCCGTCTTATGTCATGTCTTTTTAACCAGATCAACAACATTCCGCATGCGGTCGGAGATTGGAGTAAGACAGCAGTCTAAAAAACTCCAAATGTTTCGGAGTCGCTCTTCCTGCCCTACTTTTGTAGCCAAAAAGCGCTCCTAGTATACGTCAGGAGGAGGGGGCGTCACAGCCTTGAGCACTTTTCAGCCTTGAGCACTTTTTTCCAGTCTTTGCTGCCCTCATATTGGCATCCATACAGACTCGGCTATAACAGCCCTGCTTGTTCCATTTATAGGCAAAAGTTGCCCCAAAAATGGACAGATATGGACGAGAAAAACCCATACTCTTCGGCTATTGTTTCTTTGTGATGTGAAAGGGGCACTTTTAGCCGGATGGGCCGTTCCGGGACAGATTGGCCAGTTCTGAAAACCCCTTCAACTTGACCTCGGCAACTCCACAATGTCCACGCCCAAGCCTGATAAAGCCGTATTTGTGACAAGTGCGTACTAAAGTGGAAATGCGCTACTTGTGCCCGGTATTTGCCTGAACAACCGTGTTTGTCTGCTAGACCAGTGGCTAGTACACAGGGAACAAAAACTAGGGCTGTGCTACCGGTAGTTAGTGCCAATCTAACACTAGGCAGGAAATAAAGACCAAGATAGTTCCAAGACAAGTACCTAGTGGAAATACTTTGCTAAAAAGCTGCTTGTCTGCTTTGGAAGCTGGCTGTAAAGTTGCCTTTAGTCCCTAGATAGCAGCGAGTCAATTAGGAGCAGAAAGACCAAGCCGTGGAAACGAAAACATCGTGTGGTTGTTTATCCAAGTCTCTATAGTACTGTACTATAGTTGCAATCTGATCTCTGACAACTTACCAAATCCAATATGGCACCTCCATGCTCATCTACTGCACCCCACATACCACCCCGCCACCCCCCCCCCCCCCCCCTCACAATCACTCCAAGACTTTGCCAGTTGACCGTTTCATAGCCACTAGTGCCTATACACCTTGCATCTATAGCCTGATCCCCAAAGCCTGCTTCTATATCCTTCCTAAGACTGTATGATCTATAACACCCACTACAAGTAAGGTTAGTTAGGCTCTCTACGCTAGTGGCGGTTTAGTTCGGGTTAGTGCGTGTTTGTGGGTTGCGGGCGCCAACCTCTCAATTGCGCAAGGCAAGTTTTTGATTGCAGGGCAAGTCAAGCGAGGTCCAGGGGCCTTGGATCATGTAGCAGGCGCTTCGGATTTGGACTGCATGGACTGCATTATCTGCGTTATCTGCGTTATCGCCGTTATCGTGCATTATCGGTGCACTAATTTGGTGGGGGAAATCAGGAGCCCACGGAAATAAAGGAAAACTACAGAGACATGGCCTCTTGCTCGCTTCACCCCATCTCCCTCCCTACACGGGCGCCTTCCTCTGTTGTTTCACACTCGTACCTCTCGGTCTGAACAACTTGCAGGCCGCTATAGTATAGTCTAGCCCAAACAAGAGGTCTAGAACTAGTGTCTTTTTCTTGTGTGAGGATATTATGGTCATGTGGAAAGAGGGGTGAATGGGGGCGAGTCGAGGACGTGCGGAGGGCAGGCAGAGGGCCACAAATAGCCAGCGCATTGTCACGGTAGGTGTACATCTCAGTATGCCCATCTTTTGTCGTCTTATGCCGCCTTTTGTCATGTGTCTGGCCACTAGATTCGACAAAGACAAGATTGGACTGGAAACAAACAACAGTGTTTGTTGCTTACACAAGTAGACATATTTGTCCACCAGCTCTCAGCCCAATTGTGTGACTCCGCTACCTCTAACAACCATCGATACGGAATGTGTATCAAACTAGCGTGAAACCAACTTGTGACAAACCAGCGGAGGAGCAGCTGGCACGAGAAGTTTGATAAGGGATTTATCCGACTCACAGACGTCTGCTCCAACTAAAATCAGGGTTATTTTAGCCCCCCCAGAGATATTATCACAGGTGGACACTTTGGAGAAACAAGGACAAGCGGAAATGTGTCAAAAAAAGGCCTGAAAGCTGTCAAAGAAAAGAGCCAAGTGCTCGACCGTATTCAGATGACGCGGAAATATACGTCTCAGAAGCAGCCGAGGCTTGTAGGTCTAGAGATTGTGGGTCTAGAGAGAAAACTTTTGGACCGAGGCAAGTGGAGGTCTCAACAGAAAATGAGGCGATTGAGACATGGAGATCGTCAAAATGGAGGTTATTGTGGTAATAGGATCTATACAATTATGGGATTGTATCTTATAAGATCAACGACTTTTTTAAAATAAATTTGAAGATTGCAAAGATGCGTGATAGATTACTTGGATTTAGTTGGAAAGGTTCAACTAGTGTAGTGAAGATAGTTAGATAAGGGAACAACTTCTGACAATTCGAGAAGTGCCAGAAAGCTCTGGAAACTCTCAATTGACTTAAAATGGACACTTTTCGAACTAATTCAAAACCTCAATTTGTCCAACAATAGTAATATTTCGAAATACAATCATTCTCACCACTTATTTTCATTGGATATTACTTAGACCCTTATTTAGATTTTAGTTGACTTCATTTTCCCCCTCAGCATCACAATGAACTCAACACCTCAACCCTGACAGCTGTCAACCACCTTTTCCACAAAAAAAAACGCTCCAAACACTCTACAATACTTAGCCGCATTTATAGACAACTTCTAAGACATGTCCTGGTTCAATCGGTCCAGCTGGAGGAACGGTTCGACCCAGTCACGTGACACGGTTCTCTAGGAACTTTCAAATCTTGGTAATACCCTAATATGTATTGATTGGAGCTCATTTTCGGTCTCCAAACTGATTCTCTTCGCTGTGGTCTAGGCTGAGTTGGGGTTGTAGTCAAGACGGATAGTAATGGCAACCAGCGGCGTTTAACTATGACGAATGATGATGGAACCTATTTCATTGGACTCTTCTCCTTGTCGAGATTCGAACGGTCTACTTTTTATCACTATCAACAGTACAAATATCAAAATATGTCGAGATATCGACATTGTTCCATCTCCAGTTTAACCCCAACTTATCGAGAGTATTTGTGAGACACGCAATAAATGAATTTATACCAATCAAATCCATATTCTACGCTGTCTACATATAGATACTTTTTGTCATCTCTTGCCCTACTATTTCGTCGATATATGAAGGATACGCCAACCGAACCCATACTCCACGCTACACACGCGCCTTTTCACGCATTTCTGGGGAAAATAGACACCCTTGGTGTCACCTGAAGAATATGAAAGAAGATATTCATTGTATTGAGCTGTAGATCTGTGTATTTCTTGACCTCATCAATGACTTCTGGGCTCTTTATCTCGAATCATGGTGGTACTGTACCACATCTCAACACCTTGTAGCACACCTATGGGAAAATTGAGACTATGAATGGATTCCCGTGCCCGTATTACTCTACTAATTTGATCTTGGAACGCGAAAATACGTTTCTGGGACTCCAAAGAATGGCAACTTTCCTCTCTCAACTCCTGTCCTTACTAAATATACTACCCATAGTTGATGGTTTACTTGAACAGAGAGGACATGTTCACTTGACCCAAAGTTTCTCGCATCTCTTGGATATTTGAACAACGGCGTCCACTGACCGTCAGTTATCCAGTCACAAAACCCCCACATTCATACATTCCCATGTACGTTTACAAAGTTCTCAATTCCATCGTGCAAATCAAAATCACATCTATTCATTCATCATATATAAACCCATCATGTCTACTAACACTCACAACTCCATAGAAAACATCGACTCAGAACACACGCTCCATCTATTCCTCGTCCAGCTCGCAAATGTCGTCATCCTCATCCTCTCGGAACAGGAAAGGTCGAAGAGTGCTCTCATAGTAAGGAGGTCGGGGGTTCTGAGCAGGGTTCTGCTGGTTAACCTTGGCAAAGTAATGCTTGTAAACGTCACCATCGTAGTTTCCAATGGGAGCGTTGATGAACCAGTCAGACAGACCAAAGGCATCGGTGTAGCCGGCAACCTGGTCTCGAACCTCCTTGCAGTAGTGGTTCACCAGCTCAGTCACCTGGTCAATGTCCTTGGGCTGCAGGAAACCCTCTCGCAGGAAGAGACCAGAGTCCTCCTCAATGGACCACAGAGTGAAGAGGTTGGCGAGGTTGATGAGGTAAGGCTTGACGTCGGCCTTCGCAGAGGCGTTGATTCGCTCGTAGAAGGCAGTCACCAGGTGCTTTCGGGTGTGGATCTTGGCACACTGGAATCGCTGCTGCGACAGCTCCTCAAAGGCCTGGTCAGGAGAGAGGCCGCCCTTGGTGAGCTCGACAAATTTGTCAGTGGCCCGCTGGATGGCGCCGTTGGCGACCTTCTCCCAGGCCTCGATGAGAACCTTGGGGTCCTTGAGGTCTCGGCCGCTCAGAGTAGCCTGCTCAAGACCCTTGTTAGCCAGGTAGCCGACAGAAGAGCCCAGAGGCTTACCCTTTCGGTGGCCCAGACACGACTGGATGAGACCTCGGCCCATGGACAGACACAGGACGTTGTTGTCACCCTCCCAGGTGCACTGGACAACCCAGTCGGCGTAGGCCTGGCCAAAGCCGTTGTAGCCAGAGTAGCCGTGGCCACCGCAGGCCTGTCGGCACTGGTCAATGATGTTGGCACAGGTCCAGGTGGTGAAGGCCTTGAGACCAGCAGAAGAGGCAAACAGCTCCTTGAGGTCGACAATGGCCTTGCCCAGAGCGCCCTTGTCCTTAGGGTCGATGGTCTGCAGCAGATCGGTGGTCTGATCGTACTGAATCTGGGACTGGTCGGCGGCCATCTTCATGGCGTAGGTGAAGGCCAGAAGAGGCAGCAGACGTCGCTGATGGTAGGGGTAGTCGATGATCTTAGTCTCGGGCTGGCCGGGGGTGGTGCCAAACTGTCGTCGCACACAGGCGTATCGCAGAGCAATGGTGATGAATCGCTGGGAGACAAAGAAGGAGTCGGCAATCATGGTGACTCGGCCGCCAATGAGAGCGCCGTAGGTGAGCTGGGCCAGAGGAGGCTGCGACACCTTGCCGGTAGACGAGACCTTGGCGTACTTCATGAGCATGTTCTGTCGGGGGATTCGCACATTGGTGAACTGGATCCAGCCGTTGTCGATGGCGTCTCGGCCCATCTTCTTTCCAATGTCGCCGAGAGCGATGCCGGGCATGAGAGAGTGAGAAGAGACGTCTCGCAGCTGGACAACAAAGATCTTGACGCCGTAGTCCTTGCCGTCGACAAGCAGACGAGCAAAGCAGGCGGTGTGGGTGGCCGAGTGGGCGGCTCCTCCAATCCACCACTTGGTGGCTCCAGTGTTGGGGGTGTTGATGATGAACTCGTCCGTGTCCTGGATGTAGGTGGCGGTGGTCTCAAGACCGGCCACGTTGGAGCCATGGCCCAGCTCGGTCATAGCAAAGCAGCCGTAGAAGCCCTTGACGTCCGCGGCGCCCTTTCGCACCCAGTAGTCGTACTGCTCCTTGGTGCCGGAACCCCGGATGGCGCCCATGAACAGGCCCGTGTGCACACCGAGTCGGATTCGGGTGCCCATGTCCACAATGCCGTGCAGCTGGGACCGCAGCAGCGCCTCCTTTTCTGTGTCCTTCTTCCAGTGGCCGGACAGCGCCGCAATTCGCGCCACGGCCGTCTCTCGCAGCTGCTCCTTGGGCATGTCGTAGTCGCCCGACACGTTGAGCACGGGGTCTCGCTCGAGCTCCGTCATCAGTCGCTCGATCATGGTCACGTTCTCCTCGCCACCGTGCAGAAACTCCGTCATGTCCTTGATGGGGAACTTGACCTTGGCTCGCTCGCCGGCGAGCGCCTTGGGTGGCTCTGTGAAGGTGTTGTACTGCTTGCCGTCAATCTCGACGTTAGCTGTGAGGTTGGGGGAGATCATTGTGTGTATCGTAGAGGTAGTGACGTGTTGTCCACAGGGCGACTGTGTCCGTGTATATATATATTCCTCGGCCCGAGCTTATTTGTGTGGGGTTGAGGAAATCAAACCAAATCGGTAGTCAGAGAAATAAAACAAAAAGAAATAAAAAGAAATAGAGGACGCACAACGCCATCACCGTCGGAGAGACAGGAGAAGGGAAAATGGGCAAAAATGCCCTTATCACACCCGCCCGCTTTGTGCTCTCATTCGGCTCCCACAAGAGCCTCTTGTCCTGGTCCCCCCCCCACATTTTAACACCCCACACGACGTTGCTGCACGTGGAATTTTCGGCCGAAAACCTGTGGGGTACTTACTTTTGGCACTGGAGAGAAGCATCTGGGATTTTGGGAACCTAGGCAGAAGATGAGGAAAAAAATAAGAGGAACCGTTGTGAGCTTGCTTATCAGTGTCATATACTCCCCCCTCCTTGCGTTTTTGCGTCTTTTCCCCCTATTTTTCCGATTTTGCGATTTTTTTTCTCTTTTTTTCCGCTTTTTTCCGCTTTTTTTTTGGCCGGCTTTTATCCATTTCTCCAAGCCGAGGATCACATCTATGCAGCCCAGTCCGTTGGAGCATATCTGCGGTAGAGTTTCGGAACGGCGTTAAGCACTGTGTCCGGGTCGGTCTGGAACGATATTGAGCGGGAAATTCGGGGGAATAAGACCACCGTTGGACTCCCCGCAATGAGGAGATCAAGATGTGCTTTTCAGAATTCTGATTGGTCTATTTTTACCGTTCTGAAGGCCCCAGTAAAATTTGCCAACCTCGGCTTTGATACCCCACAACCACACCTGATACATATGAGCTACAAACATGTCTGAAAACTGTGTCGGTTTTTATTGGTCCAAAATATTTGATTTAAGCAAATAAATAAAATAATTAATTGAAATAAAATAAAATAAATATTAAAATAAAATAAATATTAAACCAACAAATCAAATAAAAACCAACAAAAACACTAGAAAACCCCCGAAATACAACCCAAAACGGAGCGGCTAAAGACGTTGAATTAGCGCATTAATACCGCCGCCGACCCCACCGTTCTCAACGTTCTATTTTCCTTGGTGTCGTACTTCTTTGTGTTTTTAATTGTGTCTCAGCCCACACAGCTCCGACTATCGACCGAACAGCCCAGGAATCGAACGCAGGCAAACAGGGCTTTTTCGGGAAAAGTCAACAAGAAATATGCACCGAACGTATGGAGAAGGGTAGATGGCGTATGGTCACGTGGAGAGACGGGGAGCAGCGGAGGGGTGGGGGGAAGGGAAGCGTGTCCGACCCGGAGGTCACGTGACCAGACCGCGTGTTCGAGTACCTACAATGCTGTAGTTGCACTTTGATGCCTGCTTTGTAGAACGAGGGACAGTCAGAACACATCTGGAGAGATGTTATGGATCTATCCTCTCTGAACAACGTCGTGTACTGTACCAATAGAACGATATCGACATTTCTATACAACCCACAATCTCTTGAATGGCATTCTGGGAAGGTAATCGGGAATGATGAATCTTCCGTCAGTCGAGTGTCGAGTGTCTCTTTCCTGAGTCTGTCTACAGAACTACAAGTAGAGACGGTATTGACGTTCTCTCTCTGGAGAAAAGTTGACGAAAAGCGGAGTACACGGTGAATGGGAAAATGGAAGTCCCTGTTCTGTCAGCTCTCGGGATTCGTTCAATGTTTGGTCTCGAGACATGGAAATTTAGACGACAGTACATACTTGTGACACATATTCTATGACTCCCTTATTAGTTGACAATTACTTAAGAGAAAAGTCAACTGCGGGTGCAAACCTGGTTTTCCAGAACAGTCAGAGAAAAAACAGCAATGTCAATGTTGAGATAAGAGCCTTCTGAATCAAACGGAACTTCAAAGACTGTATCTTATGTACAAGTTTCTGTCGTGTTGTTGTTTTCAAAAAAAATACCATCCAATACTCTACTTGACTTTTTAGTTGGATCTAGGCAGTTTTTACAGCATCCTAGTCGAGACCGTTTTGAAGAGCTTCATAGTGCCTGAATGGAAGCTGAATCGAGTGTGAACAAACTCGAACGTCCAATTAACACTTTACCAGGACCAACCTCATTTAATCAATAAAATATATACAAAAGCTGCCATGTTACACCCACAGGGCCAAAAAGAAGGCAAAAGCAATCCACTCTCCGAAACAAATGATCCAGAGAACCGCAGCAGGGTTGGTGTACACCGTCCAGGAGTACATGCGGACCAAAACAGTGCTGGCGGGAATCTTCACCAGTGTCACGGCCATCTCCAAAGCCCCCAAAACCTGTCCTGCGGCCGCCGAGGGCGCCAGGGCCATGGCTACGGACTTGTGGGGCGAATCGGCGACGGCTCTGAGTCCCAGAAGCACGTGGGCAACGACAAACGGAGCCACTGAGCCCGCCAGCGCCTTGATGGTCGCCAGAGAGGCGGTCCAGAATGCCGCGGTTCTCAGCACGTGGATATCTTGGGTGACGGGGTTTCTTCGCTTTTCCAGCTCTCGGAGAATGAAGGGAGCAATACAGACCATGACCAGCGACACGGCTGCCGACGCGGCCTGCATCTTGCCCAGCTGGATGCTGGTCCACTTGAATCTGTACTCGATGTAGAGCAGAGTCACGTACTGCGATGTCTGGTAAAAAGTGTCTTCCAGAGCACAAGCAGCTGCGAAAATGACCATGGCGATCTTGATGCGGCGATGCGCCGGGCTCAGAAGAGCCGCCAGCGGTTGCAGCGGGTTGCCGTAGTACAGCAGCGTCTTTCTTCTGGAGTCTGTCTTTTCGTTGTGCACTTCTGTGGCCTTGTCTCGTTCCGAGTAGGGCAAGGTCTCGGAAACAAACCACGTCCAGATGAAAAAGACTAGGTACAGCGGCACGTAAACGGCTGCGAGGGTGGAGAGGCCTCTTTTAGCCAGCTCGGAGCCTACGTAAGAACCCAGAGCTGTGAAGAGATAGGAGGCCACAAACAGATACGACGTATTGACTGTGCGTCTACAAGTGGAATCTGCAATGGCCAGGACTCCCAGCTGAAACACCACCGCCGACAGGTCCAGACAACCGGCGAGAATAAAGGTGGGTACAGGGAACCACCTCCAAAAATGCTGCACGCACCATTGTAGGGTCAGCGATACCAGGGTGAATCCGGCGGCAATTTTGAGGATCGGCTTGCGTCCCCGACGGTCACTCCACGCACTCAGCCGCGGGAAAACTATCAGAGCAACCACATTTCGGCACAGATTGAGTCTGCTCTGGTTGGTGCCCGCCTGCACTTGAAGGTGCGATATTTGGCACAGCGGGTTGGAAATGGTGAGGGAATCCGGGTCAAGGCCCTCCCGCCCGTCGTAGTAGTGTTTGCACAGAGTCGCCAGCAGAAAATTGGGGCCGATAACCCCGGCTATCGCGGTCGCCAGAAACGCCACAGAGAGCGGTCGGATGATCCGCCATGGCGACTGTTCTCTCCAGGGATTGTGGAACGGGTTCAGTGGCGTGGTTTCCAGCGCATTGGTCGGATCCGGCACGCTCATCGGGGTCAGAAGATTCTTATCAATCGATCAATCCGATAGCAAGAGGTTGGTGGTAGGGCTGTGCCGAAGAAAAAATCAAGAAAAAAAGACGTCAATGAATAATGTTGCACACGTGATATGTCAATGTTGTCAATACTACCGACGCGATGTTTGTGCCACTGCCTCTCTGTCGACAACAACTTCGTTTTATCTACTCTCTTGACCGAGCAAATTTACTGAACATGGTTGTTTGGAATCGGTGCGGATAATTGATAGGGGAACTCTATGCTGGAGACGGTTTAAGGAGAGCAAAGGTGATGGTAAAAGTGGCTGTAATTGTCGGGTTTTTTGCTTTATCGGAGAAGGTCCGGGTTTAACCGGTGCTGGCAAATTTTCGTCCATTTCTGACGGCCCGAAAATCTCCAAATTCTCGTCCGATTTTCCTCATGCGGCTTGTCAGAAAATCTAAAATTGAGATAAAATGTTATGATTTTAACAGAAATAAAAAATAAATTAAATAAAAAATAAACAACGACTTCTCGGGCTGGACTGTGAAATATCACGTGACTAGTTTAAAGAAAGATGGCGGTAAGAACAGGAGTGAAACCATTTCCGATTGGTTTGGTTTCCCTGATTTCCTTGACATTTGTTTATTGTTTTTATTATTATTATTTATTTTTGATCCGATTGATAAAATGGGCCAATTTGTAGACCTCGAAAAAAAAAGGGGCATTGTTGCACAAGTTAAACTGTCGGGATATAGAGATTTGGAGGGGAATAAAAAAGAAAAAATATAAAGAAAAAAAAAGAAAAAAAAAGTCCCGTGATGGACAAGAAATATTCACAGGGAATAGATGAATGAATGACAAAATCACGTGATCATCCCAGATGATGAATAAGCAGATTAGATCGTGGTTCACGGTAAGCTGAGTAATATCAGGTATAGGGATGCACTCCACAGAGAGAGCTACTACACTTGCCGAAATAACACAAATATGTATTATTAAGCAGATGTTACGGGTTAGCAAGTCCTTTCTGGACTTGACTTACAAATGCTACGGGCTAGGAAGTCACTTCTGGACTTGACTTGCAAGATCTACAACCTGACTATCAACCTAATGGAATGAGTTCAAAGCCACAGATTATGAGTTACAATTGATAAAAAAACACATTGGGGAAAAAGAATCACTTTTATCAAAAAAATAGATCCTATTGCTAGATTAAAATCACCGAAGAAGTCTTAATGTCTCGTATTGGTGCTACCTCTAATAGTCGGGTCCGAAAACAGTTTGAAACGTCTGATCTTTATGAAAAGAGCCGTGCGATTATTTCAAATGAGACATGTGTGAGAAAATAAAGTGCTTTGTGCGTACCAGGGATAGGGTAGGTAGTGAAATCTGAGTTAGTACATCAACTCTAGACGATGGGCGTCGCCTGTGTAGAAGAACAATAACTCACCCGGTAACTAACACTATTTCTCGGTGGTCAATGCGTCAGAAGATATCAAGACGGTCCGTTTTGCGTTTAAGCCGAGTGAATGTTGCCTGCCGTTAGTAAATTTATTATGAAAAACCCCACTATGAATACATCAGCCTATACTGATATACCAAGAAGTGCAAGGGAGGTGGTCCTGTTCCACCTGAACGCGGTTCCCGACAGGCGGCGGTACTGAAGGGCTTTGTGAGAGAGGTAACGCCGATTCTCTCTGCAGTCGTAAGACCCAGGTGGTGTGTCCGAGGCAGTATCGCTTTCCCAACTCTAGTAACCTCGGTAGTGTGAGACACACTACCCCTAACGGTAGGACAGCCGGACGACGATGGCGCAGCAATTGGCGAACGCTGTTATAAAACAATTCACTTACGTGCAATGAAAGTTGTTTGGGCAATAAACAATAAATGTATTAGAGCCAGACGATAGACAACAATCCAGCAGATGATGAGCAGGAAAATTGAGTAAGATCGACGTGGCAAGAAGAGTTACAGTTACGCAGAGTTAATAAGGTGTTGGGAGATTAGAGTTACCCTGTCGGATGACTAACTCTCCAGAGCGAGTGTTACACATGGCATTATTTCCTACTTTTAGTGAGACATGACATCCTTTCATACATTTCGTATTGGAAATGCCTCATTTTGGAGGGGAAATTGTGAATTCAACGACCACCATATCTCCAAGCCTGGAGGTCACGTGACGACCTCAAATGTACAGCAGGGAGTCTTTTTAGGAATATATTTTACTCTGGTCAAGTCCCCTTTCTGTTCAGACCTTTTTATAATATTCTAGAGCTATGTTGACGATGTACTGTATGTACTGGCACTTCTTTTGTTCTCAATTATCATCATTCATCTATATAAGTTAATGCAAGCTCTGGGAGCGGTCTAATATCCAAAGTGGATCCTCTAGTTGAACCAAGAGGTGTACTTCTTGTACCAAACGTCAGGGGTAGGGTGCTTGTGCTCGACGGCCGACGCTCGTCCGTAGGTGGCATGGTTGTACCACTTGTAGATGAAGGTCCAGGAGAAAAAGGTGAACAGAAAAAGGGCCCAGGGAACAATGTTTCCCACGGTTCGCTTGAAGTCCTGGGCGTGGGGAACGAAAGAAACAGGGTGTTTGACAAAGGGGTTAATGTGGGTCTGGACGGGGGTTCCTTCGGGCATCTTGGGGCTCTCGAACTTGAGAGAAACCTTGGGCACGGAAGGAGTAGTGTGTCCCAGAGTGGCAGAGGCTCGAAGCAGAGTCGAGGGTCGCATGGCCATCATTCTGGAGGCCTGAAGAGCTCGGACGGTGGTGGGCTGCATTGTAGTGGTTGGTGGTTGTAGTGGAGGATGTGTTCAAAAGCTGTTTGCTGATGAGGATTTGGAGATTGGAACCACGTCTTTATATACTATTCAATGTGTCTGGACCGGTCATTTCTTTTTGTCTGGTTATTCCACGGTCTCACCCCATTCATCATTCCACCTTTGGTTAGTTTAATTGTAACATGCAGGTTCCACGCGTTTATGATGCATAGAAACGCATGACCATGCAACCAGGACCAATAAAATGGCCAGAATTTCAAATAAACTCAGACTCTGCAGGAAAAATGCACCAAAAATGGGGTGAGAGACAGATGGAGACACGGGTTACCAAAACACGTCCAAGATGGGCTGACGACAGCATGAGAGAGGTGAGTCAGTAGCGAAATTAATCCGGTTAGAGGAGCTGCTGGGTGGCAGCAACAGGTTTAGCGAAATGAACGACTATTCAGCGATCAAGCCTCGTCGGGCCATTGTCAATCTGATTATTAATCAAAATCCCGCTTCTCCACTTGGGCTCTTCTCCACTTGTGCACTTCTCCACTTGTGAACTTCCCCACTTGTCAATCCGCCACTAGCTCAGACTTGGTGTTTGTCTTGTTGAATGATGGTGTGATGTTGCGGTGCTGGTTGACTGCCTAGGTGATCTCATCATCTGATTTTTGTGGTGTGATTTTAGCAACCTTGAAACTTTATTTTGGGAACTGAATTCTAAAAATCGGACATGGAAAATGGGAAATGGAAATGGAAAATGGAAATGGCAAATGGAAATGGCAAATGGAAAATAGAAAACAGTGGAAAAGGAATTTGTGGAGGAATTGGGCGATTATGTGTGTCTTGCGAGCTACAAGGAATCCCTTTAAGGGAGTTTTATTCCCAAAATAGGTATTGTGGGAAATAAACTTTCTCATTGTGTGAGTCGATTGATATTGAAGTAATAAGATAATAAAGATAAAAAATAAAATGAAAATGAAAATACATGAAATAAATGAAATAAATGAAATAAATGAAATAATAAAAAGGAAAAGAAAAAAAAACATTAAAAAGTGCCCAAAAGTGTGCCCAAAAGTGTGCCCAAAAGTGTGTCAAAAGTACCCCAGAAGTACCCAAAAGTGTGCCAAAAGTATGCCAAAAGCGAGCCCAAAAGCAAGCCCAAACTTGTGCCAGAGATGGTTCCCTTGAGTGGACCGACTTGAAAATACAGCAGCATGAAGGCCATGGAGACCTCGTCACGTGTAGTTGTTCTCGTCACGTGGAGTTGTTCTCGCCACGTGTATTTGTTGTCGTCACGTAGAATTCTGTCACGTGGAATTCAGTCATCTAAAAACTCTTCACGTGGTTTCTCCCCACAATTCCACACCGTGACTACTGCTTCACCTTGATAAACTCTTGTCGCTTCTAGATTTCGGGCATTCAAACATTCGATCTAGTCTGATGTTGAATCTGCAGACCGTGAACTGACTGGAGAGCCAGAGCTGACTTCAATGACGAGTTGAAACGAGAGACGAGTTGAGACGAGTTGAAACGACTTCAGATGACTTCAGATGACCTCATATTACAACTTGAGACCTCAACAAGGATCATCAACTTGCCTGGCGGTCGAAATGCTGACTTGATCTCAATTTCAATACTGGCTTGATCTCAATTTTAATACTAACCTGGTCCCGATTTCAATACTAACTAGATCCCGACTTCAACTCTGGACTGGTTCGCTTCCTGTGAAGTTTGCAGCCAACCCTTGAAGATGTTAAACTCGACTCCAGGAACCTCAGAACCGACACTCCTCCGGGTACTGCCTTCACCATACCGGCGAGAGCTTCTAGATGGGTCCTTTACAGTCAGTCTAGTAGATAGTGTCTCTGTCTACTGTGAACCCATCAAGAAGATGGAGCGTCCTAGTACGGAATAACCAGACAGAGATTCAACACCAACCTGTGGTTAAGACTCAACTAGCCTTTATCGGCTGAGCTGAGGACCATCACACCATCGGGCCCCTCTGAACTCCTCCAAAACCTCGAATGTCCCTTTTCCAAGCCAAGTGAATGTCTCGAGGTTGTGTGGATTACCCAGTCGACTTGATAACACCGTTCTGGCAGTCACTTGTTCCAACATCCAGATCTCGGGGAGTGGAAGAGTCTGGAGAATGATTCTATGGCAGATCAAATCCGTTGGCGGTGGGTCGTTCTTTGTTTGATCATAATGGATCTAGAACTAGACTAAATCCATTGACGGTGGTTTAGCTGTTTTTGTCCAACTAAGAACCAACTAATTGTTTATCAGGGCTAGAAGAGACTACCATGGGGAACTCACTTCTGATAGTGATACCGATCATCTTTCTTTTTGAACTTATCAACATATGACCAAGTATACACGAAGATAGACCCATTTTAACAGCCTCCCTGTTTTCCGACTCCATAATGAATCCAAACAGTTGACATCTGCTGCCGAAAGACTTACCGGTATCACATTAGGGTGTGTCTATAACTCTCCAGTCGACACAGGCATTGTGGGATAGCTCTACTAGGTGTTGGGCTATTAGAAAAGTGTTTCAATGAGTCATTCCATAAAGACTTGGAGTGTTCCTTCTGTCTTTCTTACCGATTGAGGGTGATTATGCCCCTTACGATACCATCAAGTGTTCCAACATCTACCTAAAGGATGTATCAGTTGAAACTGTAGTAGATGGATTCAGAAGACGAAGGGTGTATCAAACAGTCCAGTAAGTAGCTTCTGACGCGAAATATTCAGTAACAACAGGCGTGGGGAGTCAGACTAGACTACAATGTAGCAAGGTGAAAACTCCCCAAAACTCCGATATTGACGTTAATTCCATTCCAACATTCAATCATCTCCAGCTTGTGTGGGAGTCTGGGCCAAGGCGGTTGTTGCAGACAAGCGCGCCGTTAGCAGGTTTCAGTTCATGTTGAGACCAAGCTGTCGGGACCAAGCTGTCGAGACCAAGCTGTCGAGACGAAGCTGTCGAGATCTAAGCTGTCGAGACCTAAGCTGTCTTACGGACTTGTTCTTGGATGACGGTTTCCTCTGCCCAAGCGGCGTCCACTTGTTCTCCCGAAAGTTGGTTGAGCTGTGGCAACATCTCTGTGCTCTCAACCAACGGTGACATCGGATAGTGTAAGTATAGTAGTTAGACTCCAAAAAACATCTTGTAGGTCCTAGAACATTAATGGATATTTTTTTTAAAATTCCACTCAAGACGTACCATTTCCAACTAGCAGTTATCTCACACTGTTAGTCGTAGTTATGCCTAAAAAAACAATGAAGAATAAAACATATTTTCTTCAGCGATGTGCTCTTTACTGAGATCAACTACCCGCTGGCTTGTCGAGATAAAGAAGACTGCACTATCTAGATTTTTTTTTTTTTTGAGAGTTTTGTCAAATATCAACGAGCTTTGTCAATATCGTCAATATTCGTCAATATTCGTCAAGTCGTCAAATATCATCAATATTCGTCAAGTCGTCAAATATCATCAATATTCGTCAAATATCGTCAAATATCATCGATATTCGTCAATATTAGTCAAATATCATCAATATTCGTCAAATATCGTCAAATATCATCGATATTCGTCAATATTCGTCAAATATCGTCAAATATCATCAATATTCGTCAAATATCATCAATATTCGTCAATATTCGTCAAATGTCGTCAAATATCATCAATATTCGTCAAATGTCGTCAAATATCATCAATATTGTAATTCAGATCGCTTCCGAAGATACCTTTTTCGTTTGGCGGTTCAAGAGATAACTTGCAAGTTCCAACCTCACTTGCCGTCGGTTGGAATATCGTATTCGAGTGGCTCAGACTGGTGAGAGCGAGAGAGACTGCAGCAGAGATATATACAAAGAATCATGTAACCACAGTCAACGTTAAGACAGTGCAGTGTGTATACTACAATATACTCCTTTTTATACGATTAAATACAGTATTATATACAATGTAATCGTATGTAATAACATCATGATGAGAGGACGACGACCGACGAGTTATAATTTCAGCGGTGATTTGGGATCTTGGAGGAACTATCAAATGATGTTGGAGAGGAAACAATTGAATACAAAATCAGTAAATCAGGAAAATCAGGAAAATCAGGAAAATCGGGAAAATCAGGAAAATCAGGAAAATCAGGAAAATCAGAAAAGCTCAGAAAATCAGGAAAAACTCAGAAAAGCTCAGAAAATCAGGAGAAAATCAGGAAAAACTCAGGAAAAACTCAGGAAAACTCAGGAAACACTGGAAAACTCGGAAAAACTCATAAACCGCTTCGCAGCCTCCTCACCAATCACCCCTTGACACAATCCTTGGGCCCTGCTTATCGCCGCCTAATCTCGTATCCAACCTTAAAGGTTCTTGGCGATGGTGCATGGAGCCTCGGCATAATAATATTTGCATCAACTTGTGCTCGAACTCGAGCCGTCCTCCACGCCAGCATGTCTCTTTACACGGTTTTGGACATTTCAGAAGACGCGTCGGACTTTGAGCTGGAGCAGGCCTTCCGCAGCCGATCGCTGCAGTTTCTTCCGACGCTAGACTCGCGGGATCATAGGGAGTTTTACGCGGTTTCGGATGCGTTTCAGAGTGAGTACAACAGGGCGAACATGGCGAACGTGGCCAATTGTGTAGCTGTGAGCAGGAGATCTTGCGACAGGGAGATTGTTTGACAGAATTGGCATGATGTGAGCATATATCTTGTGACAGGGAGATTGTCTGAAGAGCAGGGAGATTGTCAGTGAGCAGAGAGATTGTCCGACAGTGAGCAGAGATATTCTGACAGCAGGGAGATTAGGGACGAGCAGGGAGAAAGCTGAGTTAAGATGGAGTAATCTGACAACTAGGACTGTAGAATAATCTCCGACTAAACTCTCAACACTTGGCGCAACAGGACCAATCACTGAGCGATCAACCGCATCACGATCTACCTACATCGGCCATCCCGCTGTCTACAGACTCCAAATGTTGTCTACAGTGTCAAAATGTCCACCCTTGACTCAAGACTTCATTGAAACCTCTCTGAGTTATTCGTAAAGAGAATCCACTCGCCAGAGTCCACTCAGAACCCCTGTTTGCGACTCATTCAGTCCACGTGACCTACAATCCCCCGTTTCGTACTAACCCAGTCCTCAGAAACCACCGCACAGAATACAACACCAACTCCTCCAACCTCTACTGGCTGTCGGATCAACTGCAACTCACAGTTCCCGCAGTCGAATACTTTTGCCTGCTATTCGGCATGCCGCAAATGGAACCGTTCATCGGCACCGTCCCCGTGCTCCACTGGATGCTCAATCTCGCGCCAGAATTCCCATTTGTGGACCGAGAAATCAAACGAGTGCCGCTGCACATTCTTAACATGCTGGACCGCGCACGTGATAAGCGGCCCTACGACTCGTCCTCGGCACGTGACCACAATTCCCGCTACCATCGCAACCGGTCACGTGACGCCCACTCGCTCTTTATCGACCCCTATCTCCGGCGCGTCTCGGCCCAAGCCTATGTTCTGGAGCGTGGTCAAGAGATTGATGTCAGTAAGCAGGTTGACCGGTTGAGGTTTCTGCTTGATGTTGATCGAGACGGCGACGGTAATTTCTGGGAGCAAAAATGGGCGTCGTTTGACCAAGTGCATAATAGAAATGAAGATAGTGAGGACGATGAGGATGAGGAGGAGGAGACGCAGGAGGAGAGAGAAAAGGTGAATAACGCTGAAAATAATCACGTGACGTGCCATGTGACTTCTACGGGCGCTACAGACTCCACAGAAACGCTGACTGATGACATGACAGCCCCCGCCAGTCCCACAACCACTCGTCGGTTTGGAGGCAGGCTTCGGTCGTTCGTCAAACGGCACACCCGGGGGAGAGAAAGATATAGACCCCATTCGAGGCAAGTGTCACGGGAAGGAAGTGCGACCGGTGAAAATGAGACCCACCAATCTAGCACGTCACGTGACGAAAGCACTACGCGTGCCTCTTCTCTTGACTCCAAACACCGGCCTTCGTCTCCGGATCTTGGTCGGTACAAGGTGCGAGAGCGGGGATCAGAGTCACACGACTCGAGCGAAGTGTGCGACCGGAATGACAGCCCACGTGATGGCGGCGGCGACGGCGACGACCAACCCGGCGAGATCCACGGCTTTTCCACAACGTTCCTTCATCGGTTTCAGAACGAGCTGAATCTCATCTGCGAACATCCGTTTGCGCCGTCGGTGTTTCAGGCCACGGGGACCATGTTCAAGCTGCGGTCCAAGGGTCTAGTTCGTCAATATCTCCCCAATCTACCGTTTCGAGGCTCGCATTTCGAACAGACCAAGCAGTCTGCGCGGGCGATTCTTCTCATGGACCGCTGCGTGGACGCCAAAGACCGGTGTCTCAAAATCAACGACTTTTGGGGCAAGTACGGACTGTCGCACAAGGACCAGGTCAATTTCATGTACACAACGTGCTTCTACGAGCTGATTCGCGAGGTGGCCATGAACGTCAATCGCATCATTTCCCAGCTGTTTGAAGATGATGAAGCCAAGGTCAGACGCAAGTTTAAGCGCCAGAGAGCCCATCGATTATGGGAGATGGGAGACTGGCTGGTGAAGAGGGGGGCGGAAATGGCCGCCAAGAGGGGGATTAACGTGACCCACAACCCCGCCGTCAAGCCCGATGATGTCGTTTCTTCGATAGTGGCGGTGGTGTCGTACATGGAATTTGTGGTGATTAATCATCGACCATATCAGACGCAGACGAGGATTAATTATGCGTTTGAAAAAGCTGCTGTTTCAGGTGATGGTCACGAGAAGAGTGGCAATGGAGATTTCCACGTGACTGGCGACAAGAGCAATCCGATCCACAAGGCGGCCGCTTCTCTATGGACTCCCTGGGCTGTTGCTTCCTGCAATCCTCTGGCACTGGCGGATCCCCAAAAGGCCGAGGAGTTTTCCAGTTTTGATTTCCGGTATGAAGACGTGTTCAAGAAGAAAAAGGACCAGTGCGAGTGTGGCGTTGCTTTGTTTCAGTGATTGGGGGAAAGAACTGAACAGGATTAACCGTCGATGGAGTGGTTTCATCGACTAGAGGAGTTGATTAAAGGAAAGAGCGGGCTCGAAAATGTATATGAATCGACTCTTGATGTCTCTATGGCGGTCTGTATGTTTGTTTCATCGTCGATACGACCCTGTGAATATAAGATTGCGAGGGAGGTGGAATTTTGTAATAGCTGGAGGAGTAGGGATGGTTGAACGAACCAAATGAGTTTACCAACGATATGGGTTGACCAACGAGACTTATAGACTGGCTTTTTGAAGTCTGAGATGTCTGGCTCTTTCATTATCCATCAGTTTCGTCAGAACCATAGATATTACCCTTTCGGTGGAGGTGCAGATCTTCTGGTGGCGATCGACTGTTCCGGAGGGCATACTTTTGAACCCATGGGGTTGCAGGGTACGGTACGAGTACATTATGACCCCTGGACGAAGTTTTACTCTGTTTCTGGTTTTAACGGGATTGCAAGCGACGATGGAGAGCAGCAGCAGCAGCTCAGTCCGGCCGGTGGAGTAGATACGAAGATACGAAGGAGTAGATACGAGTACGGCAGAGTAGGTACGAGTACGGAGGCAGTCGAGTCATGTACCTGTGGCTCTTCAGAGTTCATTACAGAGCAGGGTGGACCAAGGAGTGGACCAGGGAGTGGAGCGGAGTGGAGCAAGGGAGATGGTCTAGAGAAAGAATCCGTTTTGGAGTCATCAAAGTGCAGCAAGAAAAGGTCTAGGAAAGGATGTGTTTTGGAGCCATCAAAGAGCACTTTACAAAGAGGATTTGACTGCATCAAGTATTGTTCTCCCCAAGTACGTACAGTACATACGGTACAAACACTCGGATTTGTGCAGTCGTGTGTCCATCTCAGGTACAATCTCAAGTGGTATCTAGTTGGTTCCACGGTGCTCATCTCCAGTACAATCTCGTACAACCTCGTACAACCTCGTACAACCTGGTTCGCTCCCTCTTCTCGTACGATGTCTGAGTCCGCACTCAGGCACATTCCTGGAGATGCGATTCTGTTTTGCGATTTCCACAAAAAGCGTGCAAGTTTTTTGATTCCAGGAAATCAAAATGTTACATTTGCAGGGTTACATCGAGGAGCAGAGAGAGGCAGAGGATTCTGCATTGTATCGTAGGATGCCGTAGACGACGGTGGTTCGGACCAGCGGTTTTCAGGCGTCGACTTCAGATGACGCAATCACGCGGGGATGGTGGATTTGTCTCTTTCTATCACCCCTAGGTATCACGCGTGGGCTCTATAGATGCTGGCTATCATAGTGGTGTTGGTGTTGGTGTGTTTTTCGTTTTTTTCTTTTTCTTTTTCTTTTTCTTTTTCTTTTTGTCTTTAGCTTTTTTTGTTGCATTTTTCATTTTTCAAAATAAGATTTGGATTTATTTATTTTTATTTTTATTTTTATTTTTATTTTTATTTTTATTTTTATTTTTGGATTTTCTATTGTTTTTTAGTTTTGGGTCCCCTCAAACTGGTGCTAGCGACTTTCAGTACACGTGATAACACATAGGAGCTGTGGCGGAGACGGCAGTACTAGAAACGAAAAGCCAACAAGTGCAAAAAACCAAAAAAACCCACAAAAAACGACTGGGCAGGCTGCTCTCTCTGGCCAGAGTTTGCTTTTGCGATTTGCCAACCGTATGTGTGTTAACCATCGTGATAAGCGTGGTGAATCGAGAGTGGGGCGCGCAGCGATGGCCAGAGATCTGAGGTTGGCGCCGAAGTGCTTTTTGCAGATGCAGATAATCGTCAAAAGCAATTCCGAGAGCCACAGGAGCGGGGGTTGGGGTAGTTGGAGCGGTGGAGCGGAGGTTTGGGGGTGGAGCGCCTTGTTGAGATGATTACATCATCTTTTTGATTTCATTTGGTTCTTGTGGCTCTTTTTGGTGGCTCTGTGGGTTCTGGTCCCGGCAGCAATGTGGTTGGATCCAGAAGAGACCGAGCTTGGCCGCCGAAAAAGAAACGTGGTTGCTACAGGGTCTCCAGACGATGAGACAGGCACATTTGAGACATAGCGTGTCTTCAAAGCGAGTATGGCGATGGTTGGCTGACGACCATGTGTAGAACGATTTGATTGTTGGAGCACCCCATCGTCTCGCGACTGTTGACTTGGTACTGTTGACTCGCGACTGTTGAACCATCTCCCAGTTGTCTCCGGTTGTGTGTCCAGCTATGTCCCCTGCCCCTCATTGACCACCGTTAAACGGTTGCTGAGTTGTCTGCCGGTTGCACACTGCTAGCACCGTGACATTGCAAATACCACTCGACTAGCCAGGGCAAGGTGGTGGAGGGGTGATGGAGGGGAACCAGAAGCTGCGCGAGCGGTAGCGGGGCTGTTCTATACAGCGGACTGCAGCCCTGACTCGGTAGACAGCCCGCTGCCGAAAATCCGAGCTGTAACCGGGTCGGAGCTGGCCAGCCGCTCTTGACATCGGCTCGATTGACACCTTCCACTGCAGCTTCACTCGTTTGACAGCTGTCAGTGGCCAGGGGTATAATATCGATACGAGTGTAGCAGTGACATTGGAGGCGAGACGTTTGACAGCGAGATGAAGACTGCCACGTCGGACTTGTGGAGGTGCCGTTGGCAGATCGAGGAATAGTAGTGACGAAGTTGGAAGGTCAGAAGAAAGCCGCGGAGGAGAAGAAAGACGAGGAGAAGAAAGAGAAGACAAAGAAGGGCTGCTCAAGTCGATAGCGGTAACTGAGGGGAACTCAGAACGTGAACCATGCCCCGACCCACCGTATGAACAATGCTCTGAACTACTGTATGTGCATGCTCATGAAAAGGCTCGTACTAGAGTGACCAGATGAGAGGGTGGATACATACTGAGTAACTGGTGGATATCGAGTAGATGATACATCAGTCAGCTGACACCAGTGAACACAGCCAACTCAGCAACTCAGCAACTCAGTCGTTCAGCAACTCAGCAACTCAGTCATCGACCAACTCACCAGCTCACCAACTCACCAACTCACTGACTCACCAACTCACCAACTCACTGACTCACCAACTCACCGACTCACCAACTCAGTCTTCCGCTAATCACCAATCACATGACTGTGGCTTACTACTCATTTCCCTACCACTTGACCACTTTTTTTTCGTTTTCACACGGTGCTAACTCGAAACACCTAAGACCAACAAAGCCATCCTATTACTCATCATCGGCGCGTGTCTAGTGCCATTACCGGTACGGAAACTGCTACCAGTACTCATGGTCCATGATCTACATATGATGACAAATCCAACCTCCAACCTCCAACTCCAACTCCAACCTCCAACTCCCACTCCAACTCCAACTCCAACTCCAACTCCAACTCCAACTCCAACTCCAACTCCGACCGCCAAGAGCGCTGCTCCGTTCTGGGCTGCGTCGAATAACACAAAACCAAACCACGGCCATCTCAATCCACGCTAACCCCTTCTGCCTTGTCCACTACCGGCACATGCTCACTCCCAGAACCTCCTTCCGCTACGCTGGGAATGTTACATTGCAATACGAGTGAACGTGGAGACGAGCGCGGTTAACATGGCTGGTTGTTTGGCCGGTCTTTTGGCCGGTCGCTAGGCTGCTCCCCAGCCAGTCCTCCTCCTCCTGGGTCCTCCTTCTCCCCCCCCCATCCCCAACTACACAAACCACTAAATATACACGTTTATTTTACTGTTTAGGTCGCTATTTATGCCTCGCGATGTTAGTTTATCTGATGTTGCTGTTGTCATTCTTGTCTTGTACATCTCCAGCCCTACTCAATCTTGGAGAAATACTTTCGCGCCTCCTGGCCAGCCCCGTTGCCAACAGAATGATGAACCGCATGCGGCCGGTACACCACTTCGACTGGCGGCAACCAGTAATTCAGCGGCACGGGAAAATACTCGTAGTCCTCTTCCTTGGAGTAAATGGTGTGGGGCCTCGACGTGTCGCTGTTCGGCGAGCTCATTTCCGATGTGTCGGGAAGAATGCGCTTTTTCGACGAGTAATCCGAGTCTGACGCCGACCGCTTCTTGTTGGTGGCCGAGGTCTGTGTGGTCATGGTGGTGGTGGAGTTGGAGTCGCCCGAATCCGCCTGCCTCGACGAGCCATCGTTCAAAATGATGCAGTTTCGGTTGAGGTAGAACCGGGGGTTGCGGCCGCGCACAACCACGGGACGGGACAGCGCCGACGCCAGACACGTCTTGGTGCCGTTCTCCAGCTCAGCCAGACACTTGACCGAGACGTAGAAAAACTGTTGGTGCTTGGTGCGGCCATTGTGGGCGGTGGCGCCCTTGAACTGCAGCCGCTTCCACTCCACCTCGTCGTTGGCGGTGGGGTTGTCGGGGAAGACCATTTTCGCCTTGGCTTCGTCGTCGGCCGGCAACGAGGTAGCGGACTTGGGCGAGCAGAACAGCAGCCGCTGGGGATCCGAGTCGGCCGAGTTGTCCGTCACCTCCACGTCCAGCCACAGGCTCTGGGTCTTTGCACGCTCGCCAGACTCGGTCTGCACGTAGACAACCTTGTGATCGTTGTGGACCGATGCTCTCACCTGCAGCAGGTTGCGCCGGTAGAAGGTGAGGTGGTAGGCGTCGGGGTCTGTGTCTGCGGCTGACGACTGCGACAGAAAGAAGGTGCCGCCCAGTTTGGCCCGGATGCTCATTTTGGCCACGTCGCCGTTGTAGTCAAAGACGTTGGCATGCTGGGTGGAGGTAGCAAACTCCAGATAGGACGCTGATTCTGCCGCCGACGGGTTGGGCGACGGATCGTAGATGAGCGGCACCTTGTGGATGGGGGTCGATGGTGACGGCACCGTGGTTGGCGATTGGTGGGTGGGAGGATAAGTTCCGCCTGGTCCGATCGCCCCCGCGTTATGGGGGTGTGCTGGGTGAGCAGCGACATGGGCGTTCTGGTGAGCCCCTGGGTGAGTTGCTGTTGCTGCAGCAGCGGCGGCGGTATGTGCGACATGGGCGTTGTGAGCAGCAGCAGCGGCGGCGGCGGCGGCGTTGGGGAAGCCCGTGGCCGGACCGCCCAGGTGAAGGTAGTCTTCCAGGAGTGAGTAGGAGTAGACCTGGCCCTGCTGGACGGGGTTGACGGGGTAATGCAGAAAGTCCTCGACGTGAGGAGCGTCGTACAGAGGGGCGGTGGAGGATTCGTCATGGGGCTCGATCCAGTCGCGTGAGGACGGCGACAGAAACCGCAGGTTGTTGGCTTGTTGCAGAGCTGCAAAGCCGGAGTCATCAAAATGTGGTGATGTCATTGCACAAGTGGTGGTGGTGTTTGTGGTGGTGGTGTTTGTGGTGCTTGTGCTTGTGGTGGCAGTTGGTGGTAGTTGATAATGGTAGTTGACAGTTGACAGTTGATGTTGATGTTGATGTTGATGTTGATGTGTCTGAGTCTGTGTCTGTGTCTGTGTCTGTGTCTGTGCTGTGTCACAAGGATTTGGTCTGTGTCTGCTGTGTCTGACTGTGTCTGTCGTCAATATCTGCTGATCATGCGGCGGAAGAGCTCCTTATAACAAAGGTGTCGAGTCGATGAATCTCCCCGCTTGTACACACCCTTTTTTGTTTCTGGGCGGCTTTTGGTTTAGATATACATTGGGGCGCTGCTGTTAGTAGATTCATTTCACGTTTGGGACGTGGTCTTTTGTCTTTTTCCACTAACAATTAAGGTTTGTCAATAGCGTTTAAGGACCAACTTAGTTGGGGAAAGTAGGTTTTCTTTGTCCAAAAGGTGCATGATGGTACAAAAAATACAAAAAATCAAAAAAAACATGGAAAATACAAAATCAATGTTGGATGGTACAACTGGAAGAAGTTGCCAGAAGGACAAAAAAAAAATGCCCAAACGGCAATTCGACCCCATTCTGCAAATCTATCGACTCCACAACCCCCCAAACCCGCGGACTTGCGCCCCAGAGCCCCCAACTCTGCCCAAAAAACGCAAAAAGAGACCCCAGCAGACCTCCAGCGACCACCACAGCGACCACAATCCCCCCAAAAAAACACAAAAAAACAAACAATAGAGGCGCAAAAAAAACAAAAACCAAACTCGCAACGCACCCTTCACTATGGCCCGTAGTCTGGTGTTTTTCTACTACTCGTACAACTAGTCGGAGCTATCACGGTTGTCTTTGTTGTGGTTTTGACCCAGTGTTTGGGGATAAAAGTTGAGGAGTTTGGAGTCCAAGGCCCCCGAAAAAACCCATCTGGACAATCCTCAGGGTCCGTCTGTCCATCTGGCACGTATTGACAGCCGTATACGTCGGCCCTAGCAGCGTGGAAAGCCGCCAAACCGCCAGCTGACAGGTGCGCACAAAGACGGTGGACACTAGTGGGTCTAGCGCAGTTTGGGCTCGGTAGAAATGCCCAGCTTTCACCGCACCCCCCTAACCACGGCAGATTGGAGGCCCTGATACTCGCCTGCCTTCGCTTCGCAAGCGCCAATTGCTCTTCCATGGCAATCATCTAGAAGCAGTGAACTAGGAACGAACCGACTTTAGCAGACCAGACGAGATTGGCGCACAAACCCTGCCGCTTGTCGCTTGTCGCTTGTCGCTTGTCGCCTGTCGCTTGTCACTTGTCGCCTGCGCCCTGTTGGCCTGTCACTGTCATTTGTGACGTATGTGATGACTTTCCCACAATCCAAGACCCAAGCGTTTCGGCACCAAAACCGTACTCAGAACGTAACCACGCCGACAAGACGCCGGCCGGCCATCCTTGTCTTCGAAACCAACTTGCAAACACCACTCTCAAGACAAGCTGAGAGCCCACAGTAGCATCAGTAGCATCAGTGCATCAGTTGCATCAGTTGCATCGGTTGCATCAGTTGCATCAGTTAGCACTCCACTAACAGTCTACAGTAGTGGAACTCTGCTCACCCTCAGGTAACGGACTCTTTTAGCGTCGGTAAATACGGACAAGAGCTGCAATAGGGCATAGCGAGTTTTTTTTTCCTTTCGAACCTCCCGATTTTCTTCTATCGCCATACTATGATACACTTATCATATCCCTCAGCGTCATTGTGCATGCTAGTCTGTTAAGCGAGAAGCCTAAAGCGAATTAGGCAGAGTGCGTATTAACCATTTATCCGGTCTTGGATGTTACTCAGTTCCAGCTAATCATGTGACCATTACGTAAGCTGGGGGTTTGGTCAATGGTCGAGTCGGGAAGACATGGTGGGAGACAGGTCATAAGAATGGAAGTACAAGTACAGTATGTACTGTAGTAGTCGCAAAATGAGGGTGGTAACAACTATGTCGCCCCCATCGCCGACCATGGAAAGACCACCCCAACCATGTCACCCCCATAACCAACCGTGTAACGACCACACCAACCGTGTCACCTCCCCAACACCAACCGTGTCACCCCCCAACACCAACCATGCCACCCCCTCCAACCCCCTCAGGCCCGACATGTCGCCGACCGGTAGCAATCTGTTTACTTCAAAATAGAACAGGCTATTTGGAGACGCCGATCGGCACCGAACAATGGGTCACGTGACGTCTCGTGACGTGACCGCCCCTCCAGCACGTACAGTACGCACGTATGCACGTTCACCCGGTTAATCCGTGCAGCTACCGTTCCTACATGAGCGCATGCGTTTGCTGTCAATGTGTGCATAGGCGAAAAGAGGGTTTTTTGTCGGTGCATATTTTGTGCATATTTTGTGCATATGTAATGCATTGACCGTTGAACCACTGCAGGTGGGGGTCAGTCTGTGCGGGAATTCTGGACGACTTTTGTAGGGGAGCGGGGTGTTTTTTGGGTCTAGGGGAAAGTGGCGGGTTATATAAGCCGTCGAGATGGGGGTTTTCGACGTCGGATGTCTCTCATGGTCGACCTTTTACTCCATCTGATAAGCTTGGAGTCTATTGTTGAGCAATTTACGGAGCTTGGTCAGAGTCTGTCAGAAGTCTGAATCTTGGAGCCGTACCAGGGGGGGGCACCAGAGGGGAGTTTACCATCTAAGGCACGAGTCTAATGTGTAGTTGAAGTTTATTGGGAACAGATGAGGGAGAGATGGGTGCGATGGGGTTGTATGTGGATTGTGAGGGAATTGTTTAGATCATCTTGGCGGGTGAGTCAGCAATGGTAATGGTTGGTTGGTGAGAATGGCGGTAGAAGGGCTTCGGGGTCGTCAAGGCCATGTCCGGAAATTGTCTCCGGGTGTATAGGTTTGGAATTTCTTTTTCCAGATCATGTCTTCGAGGCTTAGCTAGCACGTCTTTCCTGATTAAGCGCTGGAGGAATGATGATCCCAGACCCCTGGGAACTCTAAGGGGGTGCTGAGGACGGTGAGCGCGCCAGCAGAGTTTGGATGAAACAGCTGGAGCAGATCGTCACGTGGCGGTTGGGCGATTGGGGGGATTTCTGAGCAGTTCAAGACCCAGTGCAGTCTCCTTCCATCTCTAATGTGGCCAAGATGGGACTAGGGTGGTGAACCTCCGTTGCTGTAGCACGAGTGAGACCTGCAGCGACTCCGGGAAGCATGTCGGTCACGCACGATGACCCCCACTTGTTGCACGTCCCCCGAAATAGCATTTTCGGCGCCATTGTCTACTCTCAGAGTTAGCAAGTAAGGGCACCAAACAATGTTGACTGTCTCAAAGGCTAAGCGGGAGATTCCCCGCAAAGAATCGTAGTTTAAGCACCAGCACGCAGCGTGCAGTCTTGGCGGGTCCAGGGGTCTTTGCTGGAGGTTTTCGGCGGTCTGTTGGCGGTCTGAGACGGAGGCGAAGAGATCCTGTTGGAGGTGGGTGTGGAGCTGGAGCGATGGGAGAGTTGAGTGGCTTGGGGGAGGGGGGTTCTAATGGAGTTCGCACGGCACTGACCCGGGTCCCAAACTATCCATTTCCAGCTCGATGGCACGGCGCTGGACATGGTTTGACGGCATCTCGATTGGTCCAGCGGTTAGGGTGTGGGCGTGTTGGCGGACCAGCATGGCAACTCAGTGGTCCCTGGAGTTGGTGTGGTGGTCTTGGGGGATTCTAGAGTTGATAAGTTGGGCTTCAGAGTTGATATAGTGGTCTTAGTAGGTCCCCCAAAGCCGATACGTCTTTTGGAGGTCAGAGCCGATACGTCTTTGGAGGTCAGAGCCGATACTTCTTCGGAGATCAGAGCCCAAACTGCGCCAGAACTGTCTCGATAGACACAATAAGAGCAATATCAACTCGGCCATATCAACTCAGCTATCTACTCAGAGCCCAGCAACGCCAACAATCGACATGTATCAAACTCCTCCACAATACCTCGTACCTGCTCCTATCGAGCACCCCTGGTACCCCCCCTGCCACCACCCTTGTGCCTGCCACCCCTGTCTGTGAGCAGGGTCTGGCCAAGCGCAACCGTTATCTGTCAGGCACGCGGTCTCACCGTCACGTGTCTGTCGGCAGGCACAGCACCGACCCAACGTGCAAAACGAAAAAAACGCCATCAGGTCCTCCCCGGATCTAGAGACCCGTGTGTGCCCTGACTATCGGGGCGCAGCAGTGGAATATCACACGAAAACAACGGAATAGAACCTCAAGCAAACTGAAAATCAAACAAGGAGCTTCGCAGTTAGCTTCTGGAATATATGGGGTCATGTATGATGCCGTTTGTACAGACGGGAATGCAGGGGTGTGAGTGGGCTGGGACCGAGACCCGGGAGGACCAAAGAGGACCAACGGGGACCAACGGGGACCAAAGTGGACCAAAGAAGAAAAGACGTCTGTTTTGAGACGGCAGGGGTGTAGTGTGGGTGAGCTGTTTGGCACTGGAGCAGCTGTGTACACGCTCAGTAGCACTGTACAGAGCCAGGGCTGTGCAGATCGACATGGTTTCTTTTGGCCTGATGGCTGGTGTCGCTCAAGTCGGCGTGCAGCTGGTAACTGAATATCACCACTGTCGATCAGGACCGATGAAACAGTGGAGGGGGGGCAGTAAACAGGAGATTTTCAGGGCAGAGATGAGTGAGGGGTGGAGTGAGCAGTATGGAGTGAGCAGTATGGAGTGAGCATACCTGTGTAGTACGAAAGAGCCAAGATATCTGGATAACTGGAAGGAACAGACCTCAAGATATCTGGTATGAACAGACCTCAACATATCTGCCATGAACAGAGCTCCAAGATCTCTGCCATGAACAGAGCTCCAAGATCTCAGCTATGAACAGAGCTCCAAGATCTCAACAATGAACACTCCCCGCCTGGATTCTCCAACCACCCCAAATTACCTACCTGTTTCCATTCCCCCACTCCAACATATCCCGACTCGTACCTGCCTCATCAATTGCTCCTAATCTCCTACCGCGATCTACAATCCACTCCTTGGTAAGTTGAAGTGGCCCCCTTGAAGCCAATCGTTCTTAAGCACCGTCATTAATGGCGAACCAGCAACCTAGAGTAAAAATAGACATGGACGGCACCGCAATGGAGTACGATGATCAGTTTGGGTCGGGTCGACGTCGAGTTGAGATGTTGAGGACAGGTTGAGATGTTGAGGACGAGTTGAGAAGTTGAGATCAGAGTAGATGATTGAGGTCAGAGTTGATGATTGAGATCCGAATGTTTGACAAGTTCTGGCGACCTTGTACGACACTGATAGTCATTCCTTTACCCTCCGACCCAATCACGTGGGCAAAATCTCGCCGCTAAATGACCAGAATCAGATTACCGTACCGACGGCACACTACTTGTGGACAGAGTTTTTCCACGTAGATTAGCCGCGGTGGCCTACAAGAGTTGACGGGTGGAGGGCCGTATAGTGACTTATCTCCAGACTCTAGGGCGGCGCGTCGAAGGATTACGTGTACTGTCGTTGCTGTTGTAGTAGTTGTAGTGTTGTAGTTGTTGTTCAACGTCACCTAACTAAATGAGAAAGGGTAGCAACTACATCTTCAACTAGACTCACCCAAATCCAACTATATTACTCTCGAGAAAATTAACTCCACTAATAATCAACAATGGCGCCAATGTGGACAAAAGTTAGGACCCGTATAGCGTGGTCCATGTAGGACCAAATAACGTGGCCGATCGCATAACGTGGTCGATCCAGGACCAAAACAAAACCTCTCAAGCCCAAATCCTGTTCATCTACACCTTCCACACGAGCCTCCATCTCCCCGACTCTCCGACCCTCGGACCCTCGGTCAACAAGCTCTCACTCCGTACAGTAGACGTAGATCTGACAATCGAGAGCTGCGTTTTTTTTCTTCCTACTTTGCTGTCGATCAATGGCAACTTCTTAACAGCATGTAAGTCGTATACTCGTCTTTCTTCGCTGTTAATAGAACCGCGCGCCGTGCCGTAGGCTGTGCCAAAAGGAGAATCAAAGTGAACGTCTAAAGAAGGCTTAAAATGGATCCAAGAGACGGGCGCGGACAGAATTTTGCAGTTTCAAGTGGTTGACGATCACCAAAGTCTTTTTTCAACTTTTCCCCCAACTTTTCCCCCTAGTCGAGTCATCTACAGTTCCGGTGGACACCAAAGGCTCAAGTAGCAAAGGCTCAAGCAGCAAGGGATCAAGCAGCAAGCGCTTCTGTAATTAGTCAAAATGGATAATAACGTCGATGGAAATATCTTCAATAACCCTTTCCCCCTTCTACCGACGCTTTGACCTCCTTTACCCGACACTCAGCTATACTAGACAGTGCTGCTAACACGCTCGCAGAACTATGATAACAGTCCAATTCCATGAACAAGTTTGAGAATATAAGCCCGCTGGCTACAACAATCCTTTTTTGAAGTCCAGGTTTCTCCACCTGTTTCAGGTCATATTTGAGCGCTGCAGAAATAGTTCATAAACGGGAGGTTGGTATCAGAGATAAAATGCATTTAGACGGACCAAATAGAGACGAAAAGTTCAGGGATATGTTGAGATATGTCCAAAGAACATTCTTGAAAACTTTCCAACGCCCCTTCTCCAACATACTTACCGACAACTGAGAGTGCATTGTATATCGAATGTAGAGACTAGAGAGACCTTGGAGAAACTTGCTGGATGATGGATTGGTGCAGATATTGTAGCATGAGTGAGGCAAGATGGTAGCTGATCGAAGCAAGATTGAGGCAAGAAGATTTCTTCACACCGTATGTTAGAACCTGAAAAACTCCATATTCTGAAATGCCAAGTGCTACATCTTCATTTAGTACGGGTTTTGAAGGGTAATGAAGGCGTAAATTGCTTTATTAAACCAAATATACTTGCTTCCATGAATGATCTTACAATTGACCCTCTCAGTCTCTTCTCAAAACTTCTAGGGTCGTCCCAATATGTGTTGGAGGTACTCTAAGAGTATGTACTGTACCAAGGATGGACGGTTGCAGTCCTTCATTTATCACGTTAGGTACTTGAAAAACTTATTCCTGTCAATCCAAACAACTCGAAATCTCTCTCAGAACCACTCTATCGTCAATATTACCGTTTCTGGGTGTATGTCTCTGGCTGAGGTATATCAATCAGAGGTCTAGAGTCATAAATCTCATCAGGAGTATATTCAGAGATTCAAGAGTCAATAAACATGTTAAAGGAGTGCCAGAGAATACACATTAATAGTTGGAAGTGTCCCATATCTCAATATGCCTCAACTCTTCTGTACCTTCCAGTTCTACAGCAGAACTCACAGTCTCACACAGGAAAAGCCACACCAGCGCGTCGACTGCCGCTTTCCGACAGGCCAAGCTTGGGGCTACGCAGCCTCCCCCACCATGCGAGACGCAATCAGAGCTTCTTTCGAGCTCAACAAGCCCCTCACCGCGGAACATGCCAACCCTCGAGAAGATCACGAGCCCTCTACAACAGACACAGTTAATCACAGAATCTGGGAACGAAACCAGGTGAACGTGAGAGCAGCAGAATCTTTCCGGGAAGCGCACGTCGACATCGCAGCCGCGAGACGATACCATCCGGTCAGAATGGTGTCCACAGCGGAAATCGACCACCTCCGGTGGAGCATGGGACCACTTACTCTAGAGAACTTCATGTTTCACAAGACCTCGTCTCCCGACTTGCCAAACTTCCCACACACACTTGCACGACCGAAGAAGTGGACTCAACGAAGCGACTACGGGGGCATCTCTGACGACATGGTCTGGCAGGAGGTAATGCATGACCTTCGAAAACACTACATCGCCGACGCCAACAAAGCACAAGTTCTTCACCTCATGCGGATATCTCGACTTCCGCTCGTGAAATGGAGATACCCTGACGACCACGTTTTCACCAAGAAGAATCCAGGATGCGGGCTCTGTGATAAGGCCATCATTCAGGATCTGCACGAGCATATCTTCTGCAAGTGCGAAGTTCTTCTTTCCATGTTGACCAGGATGAAGATTCCGTCAGTGGACTCTCTAAAGGACTGGATCTTTACCGAGTCGAAATGTGGAGTACTCCCCTCTTTCCCAGGGCATGTGAACAGTGACGCCCCCCGGAAACATCAACAAGTCAAGACACGCAAATATCTGCGGGAATTGGCTTATGGGATCTGGAAGATGGAGAGATCCCTCCGGTACTCAGGGGACGACGCCACCCTGGGACATGTCCAACAGGGTTTGCTTCAATTCCTGAAGGAAGCCCAGATGTGTTTCTACGATGGACAACCGCCAGCACTTCACGATGAGCGAGAGTAGAGACAGTAGCAAGCGTAAAAGGCGGCCGAGGCCACCGAGAGAACAGCGTAACAGGGCGCGTAGTCACCACAGGGGACGCAGAACCAAACCAATGACGAAGAAGAACCACAAGGAGACGTTTTCAAAGGCAATGCAAATGAAGAGGGCAATGGAAGGATTGAGATTAGAGAACTGGAGACTGGAGTGGCGTTTTCCCGATGAACGAACAAACACGCGAAGCTATGTGGACCAACATACAACACGGACTGAACCAGGTTTTTTTATGATTTTTTTACTGGAAATAGGTACGTGCCAAGTTGGACCATGACACTAAACGTGTTTAATTAGTAATATTCGTGTAAGCGTACATTCATTTCAAAGGTTATTCTTTCACGGCAAAGTTATAATTAAATGAATGTATATGCAGAAAAAAAAAAAAAAATCTGTATATCCGGATCTTTATTTTAGTTTACATTTCAACTAATCCCAAGTAAATGGTAACTATTATAATTGTTCAAAGCTCAATTAGTTGAGCATTTGTTAAGTCCTAGAGAAAAGTGTTCTAATGGTATCAAAAAAGGTATCATTGAATTGGTGGTGTAATTATATATATTTGGATAAATGATTTACAACATTATATATATCGATCCCTCGAAACTGTTGAAGGTAACAATACATTAAACAGTTGCTCTTTTTATTACTTACCATTACTTACCCTTTACTTGACTCCTAAACCCAACCAAACATAACATAACAAAAAACACGGGAAATCGGATATCTGGTTGCGGCCCCGTCACGTGACCATACATGGAAGGTAACGTGTCTTATCCATCGTTGGCCATGTCCTGGTGCTATACATTCAGTGTTTTAATTAATTGTCAGCCGCATATTGGTTTTGGTGTTTTTTTTATTTATTTTTTATATATACTTATATATATTTTTTATATATATTTTTGAATGATTTTTTAAATGAGAAAAAACACAACCACCCAGTTTGTGTCACCAAACATGTCTATATAATCCCCTCCAATCCCCCGCTACCTCCATCTGGTTCAGAGTGTCGAATTTCCGTCTCTACCTTTTTTTCTCGTCGGCTATCGGAAAGTATTATTTTCCGGGGCTGTGGTCCAATGAGATTGGTAGCAAGGCATGACACTGCATGATGATAGTCGGCATCTTTTCCGAGTCGGAGATGCGCGGCAGAACATGTGACCTGTCACGTGAACTGCGGCAAAATGCACACCACCGGCCACGACGAAGACACCACACAAACTCCACCAGCGGCACGGTTAGTCGCGTGACTTTTATGACCGTACCCCCCTCGGACTAACGCCGCCAGGTGACCGTGTCTTGGATTTATCACCTGTTTTTTTCTGATGCTCACTGTTTGCAATAGTGTGTTTTGGGCCCGCCCTTAGCATTTTGGTCCCAAAACCTTAATTTCCAAAGTCGGCATACACACGGAAAAAACACTCTCATAACACAAGTTGCTCCAGACACCATTTCACCGCCGCAATCCTCACGAAAATGTCCTTCAAATTCGACTGGGAAAGTCTGCGTGACGAGTCGTTCTATGAGCGCGCTAAGACGATCCTCGCGGACGCGCTGAACTCGGACTCCAAGCCGCCCATCATCGTGGACGACATCACCGTCAAAGACCTCGACCTGGGCGACGAAAGCCCGTTTCTTGAGATTCTGGAAATTGGCGACATGGCAGACGACCGGTTCAGAGGCATCTTCAAGCTGAATTACACGGGCAACGCCAGCCTGACACTGACCACAAAGGTCCAAGCCAACCCGCTCAACGTGTACCGACAGAGCTTTGACCAGAGCTCGTTTGTGGCACCACAGTTCCTCGCGGCCGGCAGCTCTCTGGCCATTCCGCTCAACCTGACACTCTCCGACATCCGTCTCTCGGGAATCATCATTCTGGTCTTCTCCCGAGCCAAGGGCCTGACTCTGGTGTTCCGAAACGACCCGCTGGAGAGTATCAAGGTGTCCTCAACCTTCGACGCCATCCCCCCGCTTGCCAAATTTCTCCAGGTCCAGATTGAAAACCAAATCCGAGGCCTGTTCCGGGAATTGCTACCGGGCATCATCCACAGACTGTCGCAAAAGTGGGTCACCAGAGACGAGACAAAGTCCAACAGCAACACGGTCATGTCTCCCCACGTGACCCAACCCCCCTCGCCAAAGCTCAAACCCGTGTCCATCATGGACATCAACCCGGACCTGCCTGCGCTGTCGCCTACTAACATGCTCAAGATCTCTGCGCTGTGCGCCTCCCAGCGAACCCTGTCGCTCTTTACCCCCTCCATTTCCGATGCAGTCTACCGGTCCAACCTGGAGCAATTTGACGTGGTCGACGAGGAGTCACAGTTCCAGAGCGAGGACCCGTACGATATTGTGCGTATCCAGAGCAGAAACTACTACCGGCATAACCACCAGGCTCCCAAGAGACGAACCATCAAGTACAAGCGCAAGTCGAAGAAGACTGACGAGGGCGACAATGCTTCCACCGAGGTCACCACTCGAGAAACAACCCCGTTGCCCACCTCCTCCACTCCGCTTGAGACGTCCACTCCCTCTAGAGAGGTCATTCGAGAAGTCAAGGAGAAGTTGCTGGCTGAGCCGTCCTCGGTGGTCATGTCCCCGTCTGAAGAGAAGACTACTCTGCGATCCATCCCGCCTCCCCTAGAACTATCTCCTCCCTCTCTGGATCTGTCCATTGACACTTCTCTGCGGCCCTATGCTTCCAGAAACAACACCCCCGAGAAGAAGGAGAAGCCGCAGAGACCTGCAGGGCCCAGCAAGAGAAACACACTGCCTGCGCCGACAAAGAAGGGTCCTGGGTTCTTTTCGTCGAATCTAGCGGGTTATGATGTGCCCCCTCCGGCCTATTCGGGTTAAGAGGACGGCGCTGTTTTCGAGCCGTGAACAGCTGGGAGAGCGACTGTATCTCCCAAGGTGAGGCACTTTTTTTTCCCAACAGTCGGGGTTTATTCTCAGCTGTTGCAGGTAAGTTCCATATGGTGGTCCCTTGATAGCGTTATTTATATATTTATTGTACATAGGTAAGGATGAGATTTTGTGGTTAACCGAGGGCATTGTAAGGTGAACGATGATGGCGAGACGGCAGTCTCAACGAAAGCAACCTTTTGCACGTCGACGTAAAAGCCGGTTCAAAAGTTTTCGTTTGTTCTCAGAAAACATCGTCGACAAGTCAAAAAAATTTGGATGTCTTTCTCAAACAACACTCTTCAACTCCGTCAATGCTGCTCCGATTGAAAAGAGTTCTTCGTATTTGAGATATTCAGACGAAAACAACATGACTTTTTTATTACTTTTGCTCTACGACTTTTGATAGGCATCTTTACTACAGTACAGTATGTATATACTCTCAATCCTAGGCATCAACATACTATCTTTGGGTATGACTACATTCCACAAGTCCGCCATTTTTCGTCAGATTTTAATGAGCTCTTTGAAAATTGATTGAGAAAGGGATGGGGATCACCACTATTTACTCATATTCTGGCTGTGATGTGGTCAAATCTCTTACCTGGGTTTCGTCAGAGTACGGCGGTGATTGGTGGTGATTGGCGGCGATTGAGGTTGATATACAGGTAAAAACCTGATGATAGATAAAAGCTGGCGATAGATCAAACCTGATGAAGTTGTACTGCCTTGTTTGTTTCTCTTCCGCATCGTCCACCCAGAGTATGTACAGTGCCACTAGAGTTGCTTCCAGTGTAGCGATGCAATACGAGTTTGTGGAGAAAAACACGGATCGAACAGGTAGTTTGTCGGAATTTGAGTGAATATCTGTCATCTTCATTCATGTGACCAACTGATAATGACCTAAATTTCTCAATCGGCTAGATATTCGTGGTTTTAGAGAGTCTTTTTTTTTCTTTCTTTTTTTTTTTTGGAGACGCCTGTGATGTGCATTCTATGGGCCGAATTTGGGGGATATGGACTTGGAATGTGAAGGCATCTGGTTGGAAATATCATTTTGGATTATTGATATGATTCTTTCCAGTTTCAATATTTCCAATCAGAAGAATATTCACGGAATTAAATCGACCCTAGGTTCAGAATCAGAAGTACCATCTGGGACCTGTAATTTGAGAGTAAGAAGCCAAGTGAACACGAGATTTGTTTGGAAACCTTTTCTTAGTGTGGTTTCAACAATGACCTAGACATCTCTCTGATTCGATAATTTTTGGCAGTTTCAGATGGAGTTTTACGGTCTTACAAGTCCCTATCAGCCGTTTCAACTCACTGAGTTGGGAATATATATGTGAGAACGAAGTGCTATCAAGTAGGTAGGCAAAGGTGAACTTTTTGTATGAGTAGTCGACAAGACCACTTTGTCATTATTCAGCTCACTCTTTTCGAGTCGATAAAACTACGCTGTCATTCGGCTCAATCTCGTCGAGAAGGTGCTCCGAAAGAGTAATAGCAAAAGAATAACAGTAGAGGGGAGCAAGAGGACCAAAAACTAGAATTATGGACTTTGTAAGCCTTGAATTCTCATGTCATTTTGCATTTACCAACCCGCCATCGCACATAATCTGACGCTTGACGCGCTGTCCGTTCTACAGTCAGTGTGTGTAATCAGCACCAGACACCATATAAAACGTCATGTTGACAAGGAGGAGTGCCGAGAACTTCAAATACCTCAATTAAGAGGCTGTAAAAAGAAGTAGGACGATGCGAATTCCAATACAGTCCTTCTTTTTATGGGAAGAGGGCATTGTGGCAGTCGACAGAACATCCCTGTGATGGGTGATGTTTTATGACCTTGGAATCAGATGTAAAGATGTATTGTTTTTCCGAAAGCTCTAGAATTCTCCAGACATCTCTCAAAATCAATCTTGTGTTTCTATGGTGACAGTTCGTATACTCAGTTCGATTGACGGAAAACAATATCACGGTAAGACATCAAGGTAAGACGGCAAGACCTGCGACATGATATGATTGCCTGATCCAGTCAGGAAGTTGAATTTTGGAATTGTCTGACTTTGAGCTCTCCAATTCAGTTACTATTATTTTCATTATTCAGTATTCCACAATCTGAAATGCTGTGTGGGTGACGTCGGCTACTGCAGCATTATCATTATCAAATCGGTGGAAAGTAAAGAAATCGAGATGATAGTTGGATTTACATCACCGTCTCGTGTAAGACTATAGAATGATCTAGCTCTCTTTGCAATTAATCACCCTTACTATAGAATTTCAAGACCACTTATCCAAAAACTACCTACATCATCTCAGTACAGAGCTCAAGTAGACCAAGTAATTTTAACAGTCTCTTGAATACCGATTTTCTGAAATCACGTCATTTAGTGAACCGCAATAGAATCTATGACTCGCACTTGAATGCGTAGCTTCCTCTCTACGTCATCCTTGTGTCTTGATAACTCTGGCAGCACACAGTATTGTGTGTTTTTAATAGCTCTGGTTAACTAAATGCTAAGTATTTAATACATCTAAAGTGCCATCCAGCAATGTAAACTCCGGATGCTAGACAGATGAAAGTTGTACCGATGAAATCGATGAGACTCGGAGTATCGATTGGGGTTGTTTTCTCTGCAATTGGGCCAATATTGGAACTGTCGTACAGTCATGCAATGGCGTTGGCTTTCCACGAGATGTAGATTCCAGAGAGCTCTGCCTGGTACAGCTTGGGCACCTTGTCGCTGAGGTCCATCCAACAATCAGAGTAGAGATACCGAATGGCCGCACACCACCTGACTGGGTCTATCGCTGCTGAACACCAGCAATGTATCGGAAGATTTACTGGACGGAAACTGGGTCTTCGACTGCGAGTCGGTGAGACTGAGTGTCAACTCGGGCCATGACTTGTCGACGAGGATTCGGGCGTAGGCATTCAGACCGGCAAAGACCAGAGACACATGAATGTCCTGCCTTGCAGATCTTGAAGGGGGTGATTCGAAAGTCCTGGAGCTTGAAAGCAGGCCGCTTTTCGCATCGCATCCCAGAATGACGACATCCTTGTCCTTGACACTGACGGCTGCGGTTACTCGCTTAAAAGCCTCCAAGGCGTACTCCACGTCTTTTCCATCTCCTTGGCGGTGGTTGTACCCCGGTCTTCAGTACTCCTCCAACCTCTCTTAGTGTGACCCCCTATGATTCTAGTGGGATGCCCAAAAAGGCGACGAAATCAAGTAGCCCCTTCTCTGTTCCCAGGAGATTTTCGCCTGTGAGCTCGTCGGCCGTTGTTGTCATTGCAGCGAGCGCCTACTCTCTCATGTGACACTCTCTCAGGATGCGGGACACGGTGATGTCCGAGTCACACCTGCAAGGTGGGGGACTCCGTATCTGCCGAGGTGGTTAGTTGGATTGTCAGCAACCGAACGGGTCTGGACGCCGTATTCATGACCCGGCACTGAATAGTGTCTGGCAGCTTGTTCGATTCCTTGAGCTCGGTTGAATGGCCCTGTAGTGGGAGCAAGATGGTCTCGCTCCGTCGTATGTCATTGTTTAGCTGCACATTGTCGACGATGGCTTCGGGATTATCCGACCTCTCTTCCTTGGTTGTCCAGGTTGAGCCTGTACTGGTGTCTGATGGCCCTTCTCTGGATCATCGCATGCCACTTGAGGCGCCATGACAGAATTGTACATGTAGGGGCAATAACTAGACACTACCCATACCATATACAAATAATATACACTGGTTAAATACTAATCTATTTGCGGAGTTCCAATGTCCGGAGACATGCCGATTGATAAGAACTGGTCGGTAAAGCGGGATAAGATGCAAATCTCATTTTCGCCAGACCCGCTCGTCTTCAATCACCCCCTGCACCTAAGCAAGAGCACCCTTCTTGGCCATTTCCAGAGCACCCTCCAGAGTCTTGTTGCCGCCAATGAAACCAGCAGCATGCACAAACACACCGCCGGGGATACCGGACTTCTCAGACAGCTCCTCGTCTCGCAGACCTCGCCACTCCTCGGGCAGAGGCTTTCGGGACTTGAAAGCAGAGTCCTTCTCGTTGACGGCCTGGACACGCACGGAATCGGGAGTAGGGTAGAGAACGTAGAGGAATCGGCCCTCGATGCCCTTCTCCTCCTCAATTGTGAACAGGTGGTCCTTCCACTGGCAAGACTCGTCAAACTCGAGGTATCGCTGCTCGTCTCCATTCTTCAGTGCAGCCTCAACCGCCATAAGAACCTTGGCTCGGGCAGGCAGCCACACAGTGCCGGCGGTGTAGACCAGGTTGTGGAAGGCCGTGCCCATAAGCTGGGACGCCACGTTGAACTGGGCGTCTCGCTCGGACTCCTCCTTGACGAGCCCGTTGAGGGTGGACACGAGGGCAGGAAGAGTGATGCCAAACTGCTTGAACTTGGGCTTCTCGGCAATGGGCTCCGAGTAAGGCTCAATGCCGTTGTCGTTGGCGTCAATGGCCTCCACAAAGTCCTTGTAGATCTTTCGGTAGAGAAGGTCAATGTCGGCATCCGACACAGAGGCGTCCTTGAGAATAGCCCGGATCACGTCCTTGCCAAAGTGCTTGTACACCAGTCCGGCAGAAGACAACTTGGTGACAAACTCGCCGTCGAGATCGAAAATCTCCTCAAAGCCCCGCTGGTGGTGGTCAAAGTATTTGGTGCCGTCATACTGGCCGCTCACGTCGACCACAATGTCGCACTTGTCGAGGGTCTCCATGTCTCGGGATCGCACCAGATCGGCGTCCTTGAACTCGGGGAGCTGCTTGAGCATGAACACGGCGAGCGACTCGTCCGCGTGGAAAGCACCGCTGTGGGTGCCGATGGTCTTGGTCATTTTCGCTTTTTTGGCAACAGACATGAACGACACTGTTGGTGTAGTGAAACGTGTTAATACCAGTCTCTGTGCTCGCTGTAGAAATTTTAGACTGTGCATGGCATAGAGTTCAGACGCCAGATCGAAGGGTCAAGTGTTGGCGGCGATGGTGAGATGGTGAGACGGAGAGTTGGTTGTACAGTCGAAGAGGAAGTTTCTCGTTGACGAGCTGGTAGTGGAACACTTGGCCTGTGTTACTTGTGAGGGGCGACTTGTGTCGAATGGAGGACACCTACTCGTAACCTGAAAGACTTGCATATCCAGACAACTTTAGATTGCCTGACCTGACCTGTCATGTCAGACGTATTACACATCCCCAGACACATTCTCAGAAGGTGTATTTGTGTGACAAACGGGTACTTGTAGTCACGAGGACGGCACAAGTAACGGGGAGAGCACACCCAGTGCGAGGTTTGCCACGTGTCACCACTCCGCTTCTCGAACCATGCTCGCTGCGCTCACAGGCCGAATTGGAGAACACGATTGCGTCCACCGCGGCGTGTTGTGCTTGTGCACTACCAGTGGTGGACTACAGTGGTGTAGAGGAAGAAGAGTTATTTTTGGGGGGAGGCAAATATTTAAAGTCGTCTTGATTCTGTTGTTAGAATCTATCAGTTACTTAAAACTATGGTATACTACTTAGACTTTAGTTGGAAGAATAGTGGTGACACGAAATCCACACAACTCTCGACATTGTATAGAAAGGTAACGGATTTTATTACATAATCAAATTATTGAAGCTTATATCAGCTGATTTATCATCGGTTTGCCCCTTCTGCACCCTCGCAACGGTCGAGGAAACACATTTGTCTAAACTCTAGCCCTTGACTCAGCTGTATTTCCATCTCCATGATTGGTGCTGAGAGGATATCCATTGTGCCTCCTAGAGTGGAGAAATCAGAAAAAGAAAAACACAATTTTAATCACCAAATTCAAACTGTTCTTTTGATACTACTTTCATCTCCACATCATCCCTTCTCACACATTTAGATGGACCCCACACCTCCTCTCCAAACATCTCCAGCTCAACTCAAAATTATTAGTAATAATAATAAAGTTCTGTTACTAAGCAAAAAGACAAATAAAGTTTTATTACTAAGCAATTACCAGAGCAAGTCCAGAGAACAATGTAGAATATTGGGTGAGACGGAGCTACTTGAAGCATGTTTCTCGCAGAAGTCTGCTTAGTAAACCTTTTTTGTTCCCCTCCCCTGCCTCTCACGTGGCCCTTAATCCTCCACTTCCCCCGCCCCGCCCCAGGCTCAAAGGTCTCACACCGCTTTTTGGTCAAACCACCACCCTAACCCTAACCCAGATGCCTGACTTCTCTTCACCATTACGGTCCACAGCTTGTTCTCTGCACCACACCACACATTGTCTTTCACACCACCCATGTCGGCATTACTGAGGCGATTTCGAAACTGGAAAATCACCAACTCTCAGCTCGAGGTTGGAAGAGTGAGTATTTGAGAGGAGGAGGGACTGGTCCGGAGTTGTGTTGCGGGATCATGGAAGTTAACTGGCAGAGGAGTGTTGGGGGGATTCGTGTGGACGTCATGAAACTGAACTTTTGACATGCCATTCTGTCTGTACAATATGTTTGTGTTTGTTTCGATTGATTTGGTCCACTCGTTCGCATCCTGTTGTCCCTTTCTTCTGCCGTTGCCCCAGCTGTTTACTAACTCAGTTCACCATGTATCTCATGTCTCCCATTCTCATCATGTTGTACATTGGTATCGACACAGACAAAAAGCTGGGCGTGCCTGGCTTCTGGCCCGACCCCGCACGTCTCAACCGAATCCCTAAGGAGCCTGCGGAGATCTCCCGCGAGCTGGAGCGAATGAGACAGGTGCGAATCGCCAAGCGAGAGCGACTCACCGAGCGAGCTATGGCGCTGCTCAACGACGAGGACAAGGAGGAGCTCAAGAAAATTCTCGAGTCCGGCTCCGTCAAGGGCTCCGTCTCGGAGCAGTACTACTACCCTCCCAAGAAGGATCTCTCCCAGGCCGCCTTCATGCCTGTCCCCGAGAACGCCACCCAAGCCGCCGCAGAAACCTCGGCCGAGCTCGCCAAATAATTGTATATAGTAAATTCCACTGACATTGCTCCTGTAGCTCCACACACCGCTGTGGTTGGTATCGTGAGATTTTGGTATCGGGTTTTTTACCTTCCGTCTGATAACGCAGTTCGGTGGCTGGTGGCTGGTGTGGCGTTGTGGCTTAGCCGAGGGAGAAGAAAAAAAACCACTGCAACATAAGGTTTCGGAACCACGGACGGGGACTGGCGGAGGGTGTGAAAAGTAGTGCGCGTGTTGGCTCTGTGAACCTGTTGAGTGTTTGAATGGATTATTTGGACCATTTATATTCAAAAAGTACTTTTTTTTTTCTTGTGGGGTGACTTTTGGGTGAGATGGAAGTGTCGAGAGAGATTAGTTGGACATTAGTTGGATTATGTAATACGGTAGGATTGATAGAGAGAGGTGGAGACATGATTAATACATATGAATGGTATAAGATGAAAGCTACAGAGTGGGGGAGTTTTTTGATACATTAGAAGTCCACTTTTCCCTTTCAAATATGTAAATTTAGGCTAGTTTTATGTACTCCGAAGCTTTTAAATTACTTAGACCTAGTTGGAGGCCATACGGCAGTAGCCGACAGGACTAGACCAGAGGACCAACTTTGGAGGAACAGGGGACACGTGATCAGGATAAGGTCACGTGATCAATATAAAGCCACGTGATCAATAAAAAGCCACGTGACTTGGGGCGGGACGAAGTCGAGACCTAAATGGGGTCGATGGGGTCGGGGGTCATTGGAGTCCTGTCTCGGACTTGGTTGGTGATGGACACCTTTAGCAGGGTCCGATTGTTGATGTTTCCCACCCGAGCGGAATCCAGAGAGAACAGATTCACCCATCCCTTGGCAAAAAGTGACATAATATTTGATCATCTATTGAAACGTCTTTCCGCGATACCGGCGTACAATGGTGCGCAAGTGCATTCCAGGTGGTGGCCAGCAAGAAGGACTTTTAGTTCTTGGTGGTTGATACCATGTTCAAAACCAGCACCATATCAATACCAAGACCGTATTCAGAATGGTTACCTGATGATTTTGGTGGATGTAGACGGGTCGCTGCCGTTGTATTGCTCTTGTGCCAATGGTGGTTGTTTTTCGGGCTACTTTGTCCGACACAAGAAAACAGAAGGCACGGCTGCTAGTGAGACCGACGATACTTCTGGGCTAACTGTCACTTGTTCTACTGCCAGTGCCTTGTCTGGAGTCCTCGTTCCTGACCTTACCCATGGTGATGGAACGTAGCCTAGAGCCGAACCAAGCCGACGCTAGTGGCCCAGGGTGCACTTTTCGATACCTGACCGAGTCCCAGTGCAAGATTGCAACCGGGGGAGGGAGAGTATCTGTACTGCGACCGGGCTAAAAGCGAGCTAGCACCACTTTAGCGCAACCCAGTCTTCTACATCTCCTTTGCGGATACGTCAGACGTCAGATCAATGTAACATGAACAGGAACAAAAGAAACACAGGAACAAAAGCACAAAGTAACTCACTGTTGCAGTTACTCGGAGCGGTGACGACGACTCTGGTGTCCACTCTTTTGTCCACTCTTTTGTCCACTCTTTGTGTCAATCACTACCTTTGCAACCTGCTAGTCGGAACTAGCGGCCTTGGTAAGGCACGCATTTGACTGTCTTGGCTGCTGTAGACTCCACAAGTACATTGACGCTGTCGATTAGTCCAGATGGTCTCCGAAGAGGAAATCCAGCCGAGTGGAACATTGCCAGAACCCCCTTCGAACACGCTCCCCTCAGCCATTGGGTTCTAGATCTAGTATCGTCGTCTGAGTTCCGTGGACTGGCCGGAGAACTTGTGGACGCCCTGTGACTTGCACACGCTTGATTAGCACACGCTGTGACGTTGCCCACGTCGTTGAACTTGAACATCAACTGCCCAGTTCCAGGTGGGGGAAGTTCAAGGTGGAGTCTTGGCTGCTCACGTATACAGCAAAGTAGACCGATGTCTTCTACTGACCGTATTGCCGAGGTAGAGGGATTTGATGCTGGAACTATTGCTCTTTGGCACGTCAAGTCGACTTTGAAGGCTGTAGGTCCGAAAGTGCGATTCACTTCTGTCTTTTGTTGGCTTTTGTTGACCGTCAAATTATTTCCCTGACCATTAAGTTATTTTTGGCCCTTTTTGTTGGTTTTTGGTTCACTTTTTGTTAAGTTTTACTTGAACATTTTGTTTGTCTCAACACCTCGTGTTTCTGTGGATTGATACTATAGAAATTGGTACCAATGGACTCAATCTCAGTACCAGTCCACTCGAAATCGTCTCGCGGTGACAATGATGTTATTCGTTCCTCTCCAGCGTCTCTATTCAAACATATATAGTGCGCCTCTCTTCAGCGTCTCCATTCAAACATACATGGCTGTCTCACTCCAGACATCGCGCGACATCGTCTCCGTGTCTACATGGCCTGTTCAGGGTTACCAGACCTCTCCCTTCACTTCCGAGGGGACATCCGGAGCTACTTGTACTTGTCCATTGATACTGGTGTTCTCACTCTGGTGGTGTTCTCACTCTGGTGGTGTTCACTCTTACTGGCAGAACATGCGCTTCGGTCATGTTCATCTACGCTACTAAACTTGTATTGCTGCGCTCAATTCATTAGTCACACGGCCAGTCGTATAAATACAGCCGCAACGCCAGCATCACGGCTCGATCACTTTTTGCTGCGGTTAGGCAGAGGTGAAGGTGCCGTTAGCGGCAAAGCCGGTGGGGGCAACTGTGGGGGCAGGGGAGGGGATGGGAGCCGATTCGGAAAGGGGAACGGCAGACTCTCCGGCCTCAGCAGAGACAGGGGCAGAGGAAGGAGCCGGGGAAGAAGCCTCAGCAGAGGCCTCCGCGGTAGAAGAGACGGCAGCAGCTCCTTCAGGAGCGCCTTCGGGAGCGGTGGTGGAAGCAGGAGCCGAGGAAGAAGCAACTGAAGAGGGGAGCTCAGAAGAGGCCTCAGAAGACACTCCGGAAGACTCGGCTCCGGCAGCGCCCTCGGGGATAGACGAGGTCTTGGGCGCCAGAGTAGCGACCACGGTGGAGGAAACGTAGGTGGTGGAGGTTCCCTCGGGCTCGGAAGAAGAGGTGAGGGGAGCAGCGGCTCCGGCTTCGGTGGCGTTGGTGGGGGCCACAAGAGAAGTGGTCGACAGCACGGGGGTGGAGGAGGTCTCAACGGGAGCCTGAGTAGCATTGAAGGTTGCGTTGTGGGGAGCGGAGGTGGGGGCCTCGGCGGCAACCTCGGATGACGTGTTGGAAGGCTCGACCGAAGCGGTGGCCTCCACAGAGGCCTCGGAGGAGGCCTCGGAGGAGGTCTCGATGGAAGAGGAGGCTCCGGCAGCAGCCTCAGGAGCTTCGGTGGAAGTCTCGGGCTGGGCAGTGGACGATCTCACCCGGGTAATGGTGTTGGTCTTGGTGATGTAATGAGTTCGAGTAGACGTTCCCTGAGGTTCCTCAGAGGCAACGGTCTCGACCTCGGTCAGGGTCTCGGTGATGTCAGTCACAATGGGGGAGGCGGCGGCGGCGTTCTCCTCATTGGCCTTGGTGACAATAGCAGAGGTGACGGTGGCGGTGGGAACGGTGGTGGTGACTCCGTACTGGGAGAGGGTCTTGGTCAGGAACTTGGTCTGGGTGAGGAAGACAGTTGTGTTTTCTTCGTCGGAGGAATCGGAGGCGCCGGCGGGCTCCGAGCCAGAGTTGGCGCCAGCGGCGTCCTCGTTGGCGTTGAAGTTCTGGCCGGCCTGCTTGTTGGAGGGGGTTCCAGCTGCGGCGGCGGCGGTGTTGTCGGAAGCACCGGCGGCAGCCTCACCAGTAGGCGCGGGGGTGGGACAGTAGGAGACGGACACGGTCACGGTCTGGGGAGCAGGAGTCTCGGTGACGGTGACGGTGTTGGCGGGGGCGGTCACGGTCACGGTCACGGCGGCTGCGGCAAAGTCTGCTGCGGCGGCAGAAACGGCGGCACTGGTGGCTTCGCCGGGGGTATCACTGGTCAGCTGAGTGAGTGAGGCAAGCTGGGAGGTTGCGGAGGGGGCAGTGTGGTTGCTGAAGGTGCCATTGGTGAGAGTGCCGTTGGCCGCGAGGGCCGTGGCGTTGGTGGCAGCAAAGGCGTCGGTGGCAGCGACACTGGAGGTATCAAAAGGCAGGGCGTGGCCCAGAGCCAACAGGGCACCGAGAACGGAGGTGGACAGGTGCATATTGGGGGAACGAGTGTCGTGAAGGAACGTATAGGGTGGGTAAAGAGCGACTTGCGGCGCCCCACGAGCGCGTCCACCGGGTTATATACCGAGTCTAGCTCTCCATAGAGTTTGGGCTTCGGCGAGATGGTTTCAGCTTAGGTTTGGCGCACGAGGTGTGTCGCGGCGGCCATGTTGCCATTGGGGGTGCGAGGGGGCATGTATCAGGGTTTTGGGGTTCGATTTCTGGGTCGCAATTCGGCCGTGAGTCAATTTCCGGCGTCACATTCGTCATTGAGCGGCGTCCCGACGCCCAAAACCCGCCCCCAACCCCGCCGCACACCCTTGTATCTCGGGAATGAAGGGGCATCTGGCGTGCAGCAAGATGACATGTAGGGCCATCAGAGTTCGGATTAGCCTTGTCAAAAATGCAAGGCTGCGTCTCAGAAGCAGGAGGTCGGTGAGAACTTGGGTAGCGGTCGAGTTACGGGTCTTTACAGGTGGTGTTTTTTTGGCGTAGCAGCGAAACAAACCAGGGGTTGGACTTGTGGACGAGATGGGGTAAGCAGGGAAAGAGGTAGGGCCGGGAAAACGGGGGAAAACGGGAAAAAAGAAGATAAAGAAGAAAAAAACAACCAAGAACGACAAACAACGGATTATGTCTTCTCCATCATCCCCACAACCACATGTGACAGATACTTGCGACATAATATCCACTCTCGCTTCTGCTACAAGTAGGTTACATGTATGTTGTGTAATTATGCTGCTGGAACTTGTACCAGAAAAAGACGTGCTGATATTACAATCTTGTATGGACACCGGTACAGTACGAGTACCGTCCAGGAAGTACGACGGTTGATACAATCGAGACCATGGGAATCTTGTGATGGTGGTCGTCAGTACGACGTCAGTACGAGTGTTTTTTCCCCCATTTTCCCCCGTTTTTGGCCGGTTTTTTTTTTTTTCTTTTGCCGTTTTTTCCACTCCAACTTCTGCAACTTTTCACTTTTTAACTCTTCACACAACTTTTCACTGCCCACTTCACTCCCAGCCCGTCACAGCTGTACGTCTAATACCTCACAAACCTCCGAAACCTGAAACCGGAATGTAAACAGACAACTACATGGAAGTAAAATCAAACGAGAATCGAAACCAACGGACGGAGGCCGCGGTCACGTGACATCCTGACTGACTGTCGGACTCGCCTCGAGACCGCGTTTCTCACTGTCCACTGTCCACTGTCCCTGTCCATATACTGATACCCCAGATCGGCGCCCCTCCCCAGATCCATTCCGACGACAAACTCAACTGAAGTCATCTGAAGTCAAAGAACCCAATCTTGGGATCGTGCCTGAGCTATGCGGTGGTTTTGGCGAGAGCGTCGGTTGGCCATGTCGACCGGTTGCCCACAACGACTGGCCTCCCACAACGACTAGTCTCCCACAGACGAGCGTTTGATGGCTGGGGGCTTGGAATCCGCAGCCATCACGTCGCTCGCACTTGTGCCCTGCTACTCTCACTTGACTCTAGCTCGCTCAGCCGTGGATCGGTCGATCACTGTGGGTGCGGGCACCGGATCCAGCGGGTTGGGGAGCTGGGTGTGGCTGAGGTGCACATCTGGCAAGTCCGCTTTGGAGCTCCAATGGAGTCATTCGCCCAATCAACATTGTCGCAGACCTCCACCGTTGAATGCGCCGGTTAGGGCTATTTTTAGCCACTGTTTCAGACTGCTACGAGGGACCCATGTACAGGCCAAGAAGCTGTAGACAGCAGAAAGATAGGAGTAATGTTGGTCAAAGAAGCGAAAGCCCGGACATATTATGTCTCAAACGAAAAACCAATCGACTCCGTGCACATGCACCGTCAGGAATGTGGTTTAGTGGATGTGAGGACGGTAAAGGTAGGTGAGTGACGTCATTCACCACATCATAGCAGGTCATCTGGTCGGACCCATCCTGCTGCCGGCATATTGAGTGATTATACCTCCTTTAACTTCTCCTACTGATAATAATTACGTCACTCGAGCGGAGCATAGTGTTGTCAGCGTCATACCACTCTACACTCAAGTGCACTCGTACTCAAGATGATATCACTGCCGGGTACAAGACGGTTACATTGGCCAAGTTTCTACCCGGCGCGTCTCAAACCTGGCGCTACACACGAGAATTTCAGTCTTCTGTTTCAGCTGGTGTTTCAGATACAGTACGACTTCAGTGGAATGTGTCCGACTACCACGATATACGACCACCACGATATACGACCACGAGCCCAGTGCTCGTACTCCTACTGTAGTCATACTCCATCATCAACCTCCTCCGCCTCCGCAACCCTCCCAGCAATATGCCGCATGACCGGCTTCATTCTATAGCCCGTGGTTATAGACGCGCGTTTTAGACTCCACCGTTTTTTCGTTTTCGGTAAATTACTTTGCGAAACGCGACCCTACACGCGTCCGCGCATGAGGTAAAAATAGCCCATCGAAACGCACTTCCGCAGATGCAATGCAGAACAACGGGCGGTGAGGAGCGGTGGGAGGTGTCATGTGACCTTCTTGAACATCTGCTGGGCCACGTCATGGCTTGGTCACGTGACTGTTGGTGGGGGCCTCGGACCACTTGAAGCCCCCGAGCCGATTTAAGTTTTTCACTTGTCACAGACCTTTTTAAAAAAATACAAAAATTTACGAGTACAGTAGCTACAATAGTCCATCAAGGGCTAACCGGAATGTGCTAACATGAGACAGGGTTCAGGGTTCAAACTTTTGCTGGAGGTCGGCGGTTTTAGTTGCTATGGACATGGCGAGCGAGATTGGTTCGGGTGACTTGTGACCATGTACTCGCCTTATCACGTAGTACTGTACCATAGAAACAGTACCAGAGAAGGTGAAAACTTGACAACCATCGCCTGAACCGGGGAAGTGTACTCTACGCCAGGCTTGTACCGAGAACAGGAAACTCAATGGCTATTTATAGCTTCAGTTAGCTACCATATGTACTGACCCTATGGTGAGTGAAGTCACTGGAGACAATGGAGAACCACAGCTCCAACAGATATGATGGCACATGATTAATATGATATCACGTGACTAGTATGATGTCACGTGACTAATATTACGTCACATGGCTAGTATGGTTAATGATGCGAATGCCCGTTTCATTGCTGAAACCGCTCTGCCGTCCCACACTCAGCCCTGCATCGTAGAGTTGTCAGCTAGCGCATTTACTGTTCGAAAAGAGATTCTTTGTTGCTTATGTAAGCGATAACGGGGCCACCCCGCGGTCATCGCGATGTGCAATCAGATTATTCCACGTTGTAGCGTTTCAGGCTGCTCATGTTGATGTCTTCCGTTAATCTAACTAAATTCAAGTAATGATTCTTATGTTGAACCCCCAGGAAACGAAGATATCTCTACTTTTCGGTATGTAAAGTACTACTTAGTAATGAAGACTCATAACACCTCCAGTTCACTCTACAAATTTATAGCCGCTTCATAGATCCAACGACTTTGGAACACTGAATAATACCCCCCTGGTTTTGTTCTTCTCAACTAAAATGCTAATTAAATCATCGTCAGACTTTGGACATCTATCAGGGCACTTTCAATTCACTAGCTGAATATTGTACTATCTGCTGCTTCCAAAAGTACCGGCACTCACCTTCTATCTCCTTAAATCACCTCTACAACCACCTCAAATCTCCACGTAAACCAACATCCCAATGTCAACTAAATCCCTCCCCTTCGGTTGACAACTCTGTTAGCTTCATACTTCAGCACGCCACCCGAGGACAGCTTCATCTAACTCCACGCTCAGACCTCCTAAAGGGCCAATTCTTGGACTGTGTCATTATCTACGTTCCCCAAACCCATCTACCAACTCTTCCTTCCTTTTATCCCCATCATCATGCCATCTAGTCCATTCAAATACCCACCCATCTTCCACTTGTCCTACCCTAACCCTAATCCCTCACCTTAATGCCCAACACATCACCACTTACTTTATCTCATCACTACACTACCATGTCCGATACAATTGAGGCCGATGTGCCATTAACAGGAGGCCGAGCGCCGTCACATGCGGCGCCTCCGGTTGCGGCGGCAACCGTACAGCCGGATTTGGAGCGGAATGCGGCGCCCCAAGCTGGAGTTGGAATGACGCTCTGGCAACGTCTGTCCGAATCTTCTCATCCGGTGGCTCTCGTCTTTTTTCTAGCCTTCCGACTAGGAGCGCTCTTCACCTACATGTTTGGTCTGCTGTTTACAGACAAGTTTGTGCTCATGTTTGTGTTGGTTGTTCTGCTTCTGGCAGCCGACTTTTGGAACGTCAAAAACATTGCCGGACGGCTCATGGTGGGCCTGAGATGGTGGAACGAGGCGTCGGAGACGGGCGAGTCCGTGTGGGTGTTCGAGACGGCCGATCCCCAGCGGTACATAAATCCCATTGACTCCAAGGTCTTTTGGATGATGCTGTATGGCGCCCCTGTCTTGTGGGTGTGTTTGGCGGTTCTGGCGCTGCTCAAGTTCCAGTTTCTGTCTCTGATTCTGGTCTTTATTGCTGTGTCTCTGACCGTCACTAACGCCATGGCCTACTCTCGATGTGACAAGTTTGGCAAGGCCAATAACATTGTTGGCCAGGTCAGCGGCGGTCTCTTGTCTAGAGCTGCCAGAGGTACCTTCCTTGGGCGGTTCATGTAACTGATGCGGGTTTCCGCGGTGAATTCCACCCGCCACTGTCAAAGATATATATATTAATGAATTACGACTGGAAACGAATGCTCAGAGGCTTTGGCACTCAAAAAAAACAATAAATTCCTATATACAATGCGATTTTGGAAGGTACCGCTGCTATAGTGACAAGCTCCCGGTCTGTTACTCATCCTTCCGGAGGTCGTTAGCAACAGCCTGGTTGATCTTCTGATGCTCCTTGAGCACCAGAGCCTGGGCCTCCCGCTCAATGTCGCCCTGCTCGTTGAAATAGTCGGTGATCTTCATACCGCCGTAGGCCAAGATGCCAGTAAAAGCCGCAGCGATGATTCGTTGCGATGGGGGGATCTGCATCCACCGCTGGTAGAGGGACACTGCGTTAGTACGGAAATGAGCACTGAGGGGTGGAATACTGGAGGACTGATCCAGATTTGGTCCGGTTACGCTTCGTTAACAACGGAATGGCCCATTCTGCCAGCTCCAGCTATATGGTCCTTTCCAGTTTCCCGTCAGTCTAGTAGAATCAGGTCCATCTCGGCTATGGAGCTTTGGACAGACCGGAGCAGTTCAGAATAGTGAGGCAGCCAGCAGAAGAGGAACAGCAGAAGAGGAACATCAGGATCAAACTGAGTCTGAATTCTGCCCACGAGATACGTGGCTCAAGTTAAGTTCTGTCTGTTCTGTCTGTTCTGTCTGTTCTGATGCCCTACCACGGTACAGCCATGTCAGAGTCGATTAATCGGCCCAGATGTGCAAGTGGAAAGCAACTGTTGATAATGCACACGTACTCAACTTAGAGATGTACACATACTCATTCACACTTACTCAGTCACACGTCATCAGTCGTATTCAGTCTGTCTTTTCATCTTGACTTCAGTTCACTCTCTCTCAATACACAGAGATACCGTTCCTTCTGCGTGACTTCTATATCACATCTCCTCGTCTTCTCCCCTTCTCCCCTCCTTTCCCCTTCTCCCCTCCTCTCCACTCCTCGCCTTGTCACACTCACTGTTTGCGTCGCTAGTTTGCGTCTGGTGAACCAACGCTTCCACTTCCCTGCTTCACTTGGGGAGGTTGGGATATTCAGGGTTAGGGTTTTTCATTAAGTGCATATTTAGTACATAACTAGCAAGGAGTGTAGATGGAAGTAACAATAATGAGGACCCAGTGTAGAATGGCTTGGGGCGGAGATATCGTCAAAATGATACTTTCACGTGACTCCCTAACGCCTATTACCCCTCAATCCGCCTCCAAACTTGGAATTTGGTGGACCCTCGGGGCTACAGCGATACCCCGCTTCTCTTGTCCTCTCCCCCATCCTCCTCCCTCCTCTTCTTAGGTCACGTGACCACGCGTTTAACTTTCTGGCAGAGTCCAAATCACCATACATACATTACCGGCACGTCGAAGCGCCATCGTCATCATTCACACATTTACAGCACAGTACGCAAAAAAAAACACGATGTCTACGACTGAATTCGACGGCATCTATCTCAATCAGAGCAAGGCACACGGCCGTCTGCGGATGGTTGAGACGGGCCTGGGCTGGAAGGCAGTGCAGAAGACGTCAATGGGCGGATCGAAGGAGACCAAGAAGGACGAGCCGTTTCTACTTGGAAAGGAGGAGCTGCTGGCGGCGTTTTGGAGTCGGGGCTCTCGGGGATTCGAGATGAAGATCCAGACGAAAAACCGCGGGGCCGCCAACTTTGACGGGTTTGAACAGGACAACCTGGAGGAGCTGAAGAACGTGATGAAGCGCAACTATGGCATTTCAGTGGAGCAGCGCGAGCACAGCGTCAAGGGTTGGAACTGGGGCAAGACGGACTTTGAGCGATCCGAGCTGGTCTTTTCCGTCGCCAACAAGCCCGCATTCGAGATCCCCTACGCCGAAGTGGCCAACTCCAACCTGGTGGGCAAAAATGAGGTTGCTCTGGAGTTCCAGCAGCCCGCCGATGGACGGGCAGGCGACGAGCTCGTCGAAATGCGATTCTACGTGCCCGGAGTAACTTCTGTGGAAGGTGATGAGAACCCCAAGAAGAAGCAGAAGACGGAGAAGGAGGGAGAAGAAGGCAAGGAAGGAGACGACGACGCCGACGCCGACGACGAATCAGAAGAGGAGGTCCAGTCCACCGCCCAGATCTTCTACGACACCCTCAAGGAAAAGGCCGACATTGGAGCCGTGGCAGGTACGGCTGTGGTGTCTTTGTCGGAGATCTACCTGGTCATCCCCCGAGGACGATACGATATCGACATGTACGCCAACTTCATGCGACTTCGAGGAAAAACATACGATTACATGGTGCAGTACAAGCACGTGCAGCGGCTCATTGTGCTGCCCAAGCCCGACGATCTGCACAACATTCTCGTGGTGCAGCTGGATCCTCCTCTCAGACAGGGCCAGACTCGGTACCCGTTTCTGGTGATGCAATTCCTGCGTGAGGCCGAAATCAAAGTCGAGCTCAATGTCGACGACGCCGAGTTTGCCGAAAAGTACGCCGACAAGGGTCTCAAGCAGTCGTACGACGAGTCTGCTCACCAGGTGGTTGGATCTATTTTCCGCGGTCTCACTGGCCGAAAACTGACCGTGCCAGGCTCGTTCAAGACCGTGCATGGCCATGCTGGTGTCTCCTGTTCGCTCAAGGCGTCTGAGGGCCATCTATACCCCCTGGAACGAAATTTCCTGTTTCTTTCCAAGCCCGTTTTCATTCCCTTTGCCGAGATTCAAGATATCACTCTGTCTCGAGTGGGTTCTTCGGTAACCACCTCTCGAACGTTTGACATGACTCTCAAGCTGCGAAACGCCCAGGGTGAGTACCAGTTCTCCAACATCTCCAAGGAAGAGCAGGAGGGTCTCGAGGCGTTCATCAAGTCCAAGGGCATTCGTCTTAAGAATGATCTTGCTGAGGAGAAGGCGCTGCTGGCTGCCACTCTGGCTGAGGTGGACGATGACTCTGATGATGGAGGAGAGTTTCGAGGCTCGGCTGATGAGGATGACGAGAGTCCTGATGAGGACTTTCATGCCGAGAGTGATAGTGAGGTGGCGGAGGAGTTTGACTCGAATGCCGAGAGCAGTTCGGGAGAGGAGGATGACGAGTGATTCCGGCGCGGCTTCGCGCGTCGCGGGAAATTGCTTGTTGGGTAACAATAGCAGCTCCGGACGAAGCAAACTCGTATCTGATTCGAGACAGATTCAAGAGTGCAAAAGTCTCACAAGGAATTTGCTACTGGTAGATATACGAATTAATGTTGATTAGGTGAATGTATTTGAATGGGACTCATTCAGTTGGTAAGAATGTATTATCTGAGCTGCTCTGGAGTCTTGAGTGACAGATATTTTGTTTGAATTGGACCATTGTTAGTGTACTGTGCATTTCTGGAGCTCTGAAGTAACTATTACTTGAGGCCCACTCCAAAGTCAACAAAATCAGCACTCGTATTTCGCGTTGAAATGTGGATATCTCAAATATCTGTACTGCCAATATCTTGAAGATGAATATTAGTTGATTAGTTGATGCTTTTAAACCAATTCACACAAGTCTTGCGATTTCATTGGTCCCGTGACACCGAGAAGTGACCCACAGCGGGAATTCCTGTCAACAAATGTCAACAAAATCTGTTAACAAATCCGTCAGCCAAACAGAGTCCACACATCTATCGTCTGAGAGACCTCTCACGACACTGAAACACATCACCAGACCCTGTATCTCGGGAGGCGAACACCCTGAAATCGGAAACAGTGGAATCTCGGGTACTTCCAGCTATTGAGAATGCTCAGAGTTGCACACTGAGTAACTGCCCTGTGATGGCACGCACGGGGAGGTCTGTCGGAACTACGCGACTTGTATAGGACATTGAAGTTCTTGTACTAGTAAATGTCGATTTATGAAGAATCAATCGTCTTGATGTGTCACGTGACCAGTCTATCTGAGCCTTTGGATAAATTTCTGTCCCTGGAATGTTCTCTGAGGTCTAGAGTATATGTCCTCAATTTAGACGGGGTAATACGCATTGTTAAGAAGAGACCGAAACGGGTCAGAATGCGATCCAATGGTTAGAGAAAGCGCAAATAATGATCGTTTTTCATTTCTGACGATTAAGTGGTTACTCGTGGGATTTTTGGAGTGCTTTGATGAATAATTATCATGACGTCACCATCAATAATCATGCTCGTATTCGTATTCGTACTCGTATTCGTATTCGTATAGTTGTACCTCTAATATGCACAATTATATTCCATCGGCTTTGCGAGTGGCGCCTCAGTAGTTACAAGTACTTGTGAGCAGTACTTTGACCTTGGAAATCGTTGGCTCGTGACCATAGCACGTCTGATTACCTAATCAAGTCCAATCAATCTGGTGTCTAGTATACAGTAGATGCAAGTGTCATGACGTTCCCCAGATACAAAGTTCCCTTCTTCTGTGTCAGGCAGGTGGAACTCTGGCAGCGATTTGCCCGGTTGAGTATAGACGCGGTGGTACAGTGGAACTACTGAATAGAACCGTTGGTTGGAGTCCTTAATAAATGCTCCGCAAGTCCCATAGCTACACTTGAAGTTACGCAATAGCAGAAGAAATTGTAGTTGTATAACAAGCTACAAAGAGGTGTAGATAGATTCGGTTTATAACACTTTTCGATACAGTTTTCATTCCACTTGATCATGTCTGGCTTCAGCTCTGTCGTCGTACACTATGGTTCCTTTCTGGGGTGGTTTTAACCGAGGACTTTAGGAGCTCTAGATCTGAGGGACATGATCTGATTGGTAGAGTGATTCATGTGATGTTAATTCATGTTTCCCGTTTGATCTTTCTCCTCCGTGATCATTTTCGACTTTCGAGACTAGGACGCATTGTTAGTGCCCACTGGTAATCACTGATTATGCTGCTTGTGGTTCCTGGAAGTGACTTAGTAAATATCTTCTATAAGAAGAATGACATTCGCTTACCAATCAGCAGTTTCCCAGTTTCCTACGTACCAATGCCATGCCAGTGTGTAAAGGTGACTAGTACAGCACCCTGAGAGTAGCGGAAGGTCGGAATCACTCACCATCCCACCAACTCACATTCCTCCGGTACCAGTCGACCGTCCTCGTCAAACCGTCCTCAAATGATACCTTCTGTTCCCACCCCAACTCCCGAATCTTGTCGTCGTTCGTTCTGTATGCGGAATCGTTGTACGGACGATCAGACACAAATTGGGGCCCCTGATCGTACCCCAGCATTCCACCCAACGTCTCAAACACGCACCTGTTGCTTTTTTCCTCCTTGCTCCCAACATTGAACACCTGGCCCTTGAGCTCGTCGAAATGGTTGTATGTCAGTTGCACAGCGTTCACGCAGTCATCTGCGTAAATGTATCTCCTTCTGTGTTCTCCCGAGCCCTGCAGCATGCACTTGTCGCCCTTTAACATGGCCAGACAAAACGCAGGAATGATTTTTTCCGGATACTGGTATTCTCCGTACACGTTGTTGAAACGTAGAGTGACGCACTCCAGACCGTAAGACTTTGTGTAGGCGGAAATGAACATTTCGGCAGCTGCCTTGGACGCTGCGTACGGGTTGGAAGGGCATAGTGGCGAAGTTTCCAGGTCTTCGGTGCCAGTTAGATCAGCCTGATCTCCGTAGATTTCGTCTGTCGAGATGTAGATCAATTTTGGGAGGTTTTGTTCTCTTATTTCTGTGTCCGTTTCTCTCGCGTTGCGTGTCATTTCTTCCAGTAACGTCTGTGTGCCCAACACGTTTGCGGTCGTCACCTGAATCGGATCCGAGTACGAGCACTCAACATGACTCTCGGCTGCGGCGTGAATGACGGTGGCAATATCGTAGGTGTCGAAGACCCGACGGAGTTCCTGGGCGTCGCAAATGTCCACGTGTACAAACGCTTGCAGTTCTGCGTCCTCTAGGTTCTTTTTGCGACCGCTGTACCTCAGGGCATCCAAGCAGACGACTTTTTCCGTCAGGGCAAAATGCCGTGATATCCACGATCCTCTGGGTTAGAAGGCTCAATAGTGGCGAGACAATGGGATACTCACATGAATCCCGCTCCTCCAGTCACTAGGATGCTCATTTCATGTTGTTGACAGAGTGTGGGGAGTGGTGATGTAGCTGCTTGTACAGGTGCATGGTGTGCGAACGTGCATATTTAACTAAATGATAGCCCTGGGGGAAAATGAGGACCATATATACGTTACTGTAGGATGAGATAGAAAGGAGTGAACCAAATAAAAAAATTGAGAAGAATGTTATGAGTCGAATGATACAAAAATCATGATGAATGGACAGATTGAGATACTCTTTGCGGACTCCATATCTACCAGGGTATAGTTAGGTTTACTTGAGAAATTAGTTAAGTTCTGGGTCCATCAGTCCTGGTCACTCTACGGTGATATCAGCAGCTAGCAAACACGAAGGAGGCTCATTAAACAGAATATTAGGGAATTTTATGACTTAGTTACTAGTTTACGACTTATTTACGACTTATTTGACAGGATGCTACACTAGATTCTACTGTCATTATCTTTTACTGCTCACAATTCCACTCTGTTATCCATCACCAAGCTTCTATCAACTGCAATCAAGCCATGTGTGGGTGTTGAAAACACTGTCAACACACTTTTTCTGTTACCTCTCCCTCGGTGAATCTTTCTCCACACGAGCACACTCTTCTCCGCTGTCAATTCTGGTATCGAGGACATAACTGGACTCAGAGGTCGGTCTCTGCGCAGCAATAGAGCCAGATTCAGAATCGGAGTCAGAATCGGAGTCAGAATCGGAGTCAAAACAGGAGGCAGTACCCCATCTCATCGAATGTTGCTCACCAGTACCAAAAGATCCCTCATATCGCTCATTGGTCCGAAGCAAGTCCTCATATCGCTCGTTGGTCCGAAGCAAGACCTCACCTCGCCCATTGGTCCGAAGCAAGTCCTCATATCGTTCATTGGTCCGATTCAAGTCCTCACCTCGCCCATCTCCCTCAAATGTAGAAATGTACGCGGGGGTATCATAGGTGTGCCCTTCATAAGGGTTGCCTAGGTAAATGTACTGAGACGGATCAGAAGAGGGCGATGGGGTATCGGGGCGAGTTGAGTCGACCAAAAGGGGTGATGCATCGAGCAGAATATCATCTCCAGAGCCACCTCCAACTCCCCGCCCTTCAGACACTTGCTCGGAATCACTCCCCTCAGAAAGGTTCCACGATTTGTCAAAGTCGTCGTCGTTGTAGGAGTTACTGGTGTCGATTCCGCGTCGCATGGGATCGTTGTGGTCGACTTTCTGTTGCGAAAAACCCCAGCTCTCAAAAACCGGGGCCTGGGGCACTCTCAGGGTCTGAATCATGGTGCCATAGTTGGCCGTGGGCTGATTCAGAAACGATTGGGACGGGTTCGAGAATCGGGTTGAGTCCGATTTTCGGGCTCGAATATCGTGGTTTTCGTTGTTCATGGCAATCTGGTGGACATGGATGTTCATCTTGAAGGACCGTTTCTGTGAACGAAGTACTCAGACAGAGACACGGTATAGCTACTGGAACCACTACTTGTAGTCTAAACAACAGTAACTATGGAGATGGACAAAACAGGGAGTCGAGAGTCTGAACTTGCACTGATTTTACAGAAGGTGATCGTGACCCTTCCTGTGATACTGTGACAACTGCAACGGACGATAGAGTAGAGATGACGAGGAGTTTGTATGGAGACATTTGTTGTAAACCACGCCACGTGAGGATCTGTCAAGAGTCCAGGTCAATCAACCGAATACTCGTCATCCTTGAGGGAGGAGTGTCAGTCCCATAGTTACAGCGACAGCTACAAGTACAACTCAAGTCGTACTGTAGCACCGTACCAGAATGAGTAGCCGCGATAAACAGATCTCTTAGCCTGGGCACGTCGATCAGAAACAGGTACTGTAGTGAACCGAGTCCACAGGGAATCATTGGAATTACTTGATGCTCCAGAATCAGCTACAACTACATCGACTGACCTTGATATGCATTCTCTAAGTACAGTGCGGTGCCATGGAACAGCCACACCCACCTCACTGTCGCCGCTCGAAGTAGCCCCGTCACCTCTCCAAGCTACGCCACCTTTCCTCATTTGTCTAGGGCCAACATGGCCATCTTAGCACTCCTCACATACGCCTTGGCCAACATCTTGTTCTGCTTCAGCTGCGAGTACCCATCGCTCTGGTATGCCGTCACAGTGCCGTCAATCTTGTCAATCTTGAGCTTGAGATCCAGGGCTACAATCATCTGCCGCAACAGCGTCTCCAGCTCATCGGGCTCCATATCAAACGACTGAGCCAGCTCGTCCAGCCGGAATTGCGTGTATGGAAAAATGGCCTGAATCAGAGCCCGTTCACGTAGAAGGCTATCCACAGAGCTAACGATATCAGAAAAGACCAGATCAAACGGCAGCTCGCCCACAAGAACATTCCACAGCTTGAAAAACTGCAGAAACTCTGAATCCAGAAAGCTCTGGAGCATTTTCATAATGTCAGAATCGGCGCCAACGAGCTCAGAAAAACCAAAATTCTGATTCACCAGAGTCGACAGCTGGGCACGGGAAAAGGATACGAGGGCACACACGGCAATATATCTGCCGACATCTCGCCCCAAAGCCACATCGTCGTAGTGTTTTAGGTACTCAAAGTCCATGTCCAAAAAGTACTCTACAGCCTTTGCAAAAGCAGACGGTGCAATTGTGACGGTGGCAGGGCCCCCTGAGTGGCTGGACATGGTCGTTGTCGCCTGTAGCTCATGCAGAGCTGCCAGCAACAGCGCCAGGTTGAGATCCAGGGGTTTCAGCTCGTCTCGCGAATCCAGAACTTTGTGGATCGTAGTCACCTTTTCTCCATCCAGAAACTGCGACCGCGCCTCCATCACTCGCAGATGCAGCGAGTGTTCCCAGTCGTTGTTGTTGTCGCGACGAGCAGCACACGCCTTTCTTGCCTCCTGGAACCGGCCCAGCGACAAATAGAGTGCGATGAGGGCGTCAAATTTGGCCTGGGATCTGTGCGATTTCAGTTCATCCACCTGTTCCGCGTTCTCAGCACGCGTCCGGTCGATCCACTCTCGGTCCTCACTCGGGGCAGCTCCTTTCAGTAGTTTGTCGAGCCGTTTAAGAATACGTTCATAGGCCTCAACTTGTCGAGTGGACTGACGACAGATTGCCAAGGCCTTTTCAAGACATTGTTGCCGCAGCGGTTTGTGCGAGTCGCCGATGTGGACCAGGCGTTGTATCTGTGCTCCAGGAGGATACGACTGGAGCTGTGTGACAATTGTAGGGGGGAGGTCTGTGTTAGCACGAAACAAGAGGCCAGACGTCTCAGGTTGCAACTTCCACCTACACACAGATGACGTGACTCCAATCACATGACAAGTATCTCTCCAGTACTCTGTGATTGTTTTCGTGGAACCAGTCACAATTTCTTTCAAGTGCAAGTTCTGGATACGGTCAATAGATGGTTGGCCGTGTCTCATCGTTTGTGTCTGAGTCTGTGCTGAGTCTGTGCTGAGTCTGTGCTGAGTCTGTGCTGAGTCTGTGCTGAGTCTGTGCTGAGTCTGAGTCTGTATCACTGTGTGCCAATGCCTGTATCACTTCCATCGTACTCACCTTTCATAACGCTGGTTGGTGGTGCGGAGTTGTGGTGTGTGGTGGAGATATTGTATTACAGTAGAGACGCATCTTACCATGTTGGGATACAGTAACCTTGAGAGGTGAAACTAGGGAGTCTATAAAAGTTGACAGAGCTACTAAAATTGCAGAAAAAGTGACTGGAAAGAATTAAAATCTCGCTGAAATCACGCTTTTTCAATTTCTGCGCCTCAGAACCCACAATTGCCGGAATGGAGTGATGTTATGGTGTCAAGTATGATGAGGGCATTACTTGGCTTTGGGATGTTAAATCTAAGTAAAGCCAACAATGTTAAAAAATAGAAAAAGAAAAAAATATAAAAAAAAACTGATGTCTCGTAGACGATATCAGTTTTACAGAATGATCTCTGGATGGGTAATATCACCCTTATAATGTACTCGTACCACGGTAGCTACAGTATAATGCCACTGGTGACCACTTTTCACAATGGTTTGCTACCGGCATACCTTGGTTTTTATATATTTTTTATCTTAATTTATTTAATCAATTTATAATTAATTTAATTAATATTTTTTTCCTATTTTCCAATGAACTATGTTAAAAAAGGAAGGGACAACAGAACAGAGAACTACAGAACAGGACCCAATCATGCTATATATAACCAAAAAACACCAAAAAGAAGCACAAAGCCGAGCTCTACAGTCTAATACACCTTCATATTCACCTTGTCACACAAATACTGGAGCTCGCGATACTCCTAGTGCCTCTCTACAGTCAGTCAGTCATCACCAGTGATAATGATTAAGGTCGCAGGTTCGAGTCTTGGGTGGGACTTAATTTAACGTTGTGGAAAAAATCCCCCCAAAAGCTGATTTCTATGTGATGACAGTCCCGGTGAGTCATCCTGATCTCTCCCGTTATTTTGTTGTGTTGCCTCACACACATTCGGGACCCATGTCTGGACATGTCATCGCTCCCACTTGTGTCACGTGACAACCTAATCTTATCACAAATTATTTTTGTTAGTTCCAACTCGCACCAACCATCATGCTCCGACCCGACTGGTACAGGCTGGCCAAGGGGCCCACGACCAAGCGGTATTTTTCGGTCGCTCACGTGACGCTCAAGCCCCACCCTGCGGCCTCTTCTCGCATGGCAGCGTCCGTTCCAACCTCCAGAACAGATGGATACTACAAGACCAATGCCCGAGTCAGGGGATACAAGAACAGACAGAGTAAAGGCAGCAACAAAGACGACAGCATTGACAACGTGAAATTCATCAGCAAAAAATACATTAATCAGGCAGAGGTCTACGAACAAGCGTCTCCTTCACGACAAAAGAGTCTCCGTCACTCTGAACAGGTCAAACGGGACTATGACGCTTCTTTTCCGCCGTTGTATGCCCGGAGAGTCGATGTGGAGACGTCGAGACTCCAAGAACAGCTCTACAGAGAAGATCTGAACCTGCGGCAGAAACTGGCAAAGTTGCCCCAGCAACGAGCTGTTGTGGGAGGTATCATTATGAAGATTGAAGCCAGTGTGAAGACCCGAGGCAAGGGCTGGATGAACCACGGTCAGGTGATCGAGGAACTGATCATTCGAGGAGACGTCTTTGAAGCTATTCTGGTGTTCAAATGGTACAGAAAAGAAGAGAGTGTGAAGACCAACCTGGGGGAGATTCTCAAGGTTCTTCTTGCCAGCGAGTATCCCGGCTTGGCAGCCGATGTAGTCCAGCTGGCCCACCAGTGGCAAATTCCGCTTACATCATACCATATTGTGGCAGGTATCAAGGGTCTGAAGGAGACTGTGAATTCTGGGAATGCTGTGGAGAAGCTCAAAGCTGCCTATCAGATGTGCGACTGGGCTCTCGCTCCTTCTCCAGAGAATGGAAACGAGCCGCAATTCAAGGATGCGGAGTTTGTGCTACCCCACGTGCTGTTTTTCGCATGGAGAGTGCCCCACAATGCCAGAAATGAAGTTCTTCATCTCGTCAACAAAGTATGCCCTGCTTTCAAGGTGGACATTAGTCGAGCAGCGTTTCTGACACAGTACTTTGCGGGCGTAGCGTATCATGTGACTCCCAACGACGAGGAGGCTACGATTCAGACCGTTGAAGACGCTGTCAAGTTGCTTCAGAATGTGTCTCTTGTTGATGGAGGTCTGATGTCGTCTATCATTCTGGGTCTGAGAGAACAATTCAAGAACCCTGTGGACGACAGTCTGGATTGGGAGCACGAGATTGGCGGTCTGAAATGGAAAAACGTGCTTGAAATCGCTTTCCGAGCTGTCAGACCGGATAGAAAACGATCTGGACCTCTTGCCCACATTGATGTAAAGCGGGAGCTGGCTACGTGTTCTCAGCTGCTCGGCATTTGTAATGTCTTGAACGACAACCAACTGGCCAGAAACTGGTTCCACAATTACGTGCTTCCTGTGGTTCTTGAAGCTCCTAACAAGGAGCTCAGCCAGTTGGACAAGAATGGCAATGTGCAAGTTCTCAACATTTTCAACGTGTTTGCAGCTTTGGATAAGAACAACATTGCCACTGAAGACTCGCGAGACCTTTTCTTGTCTGTTATGAGTCGAATCCCCAACTTGGATTCTCGACCAGCTCTTTCTCGATTCATTGCAGAGACTTCGAGACTTGAGAGAATCATTCTGAGCAAGTGCCATGACGAGGCCACCGCCAAAAAGGTCCGTCAGACCGTCGACTCCACCCACAAACGAATCCTCGGAGGTCTTCCACATACTTGTGTCATTTCACGATCTCTGATCAAGTCCTGGAGATACGCCATTGGCGACGCAGCTCGAGACTACCATCGAGTCCCCTACTTGCGGTCCGTGGCCATCGACCAGCTGTTCATGTGGGATCCCAAAATTTCGCAGAACAGATCGTTCCTCAAGTCGCCTGAAAACCTATGGGCGGTGGCGGAGATCTACGAGCTGCTGCAGGCCGAGTATGTCATCATGCAGCGATCTAGTCCCAAAAAGACACAGAGCATCCAGCAGCTTCTTCACGTGATGATGCACAGACTGTCGGCGTTTGTGCCTGGCGGAATGACTCCCGAGATTATCGATCACCACCGAGCCAACCAGGTGCTTATGAACATCATTTCCAAGAAGGCCATTCCCATGCCGTATGACTCGGACGGAAAAGAACCCCAGTGGCTCATGGGACCGGAGTCCAAACCTGTCACTGCTGACGAGATAGCAAAGGCCAGAGTGACCAAGAAGTTTGGAGCCAGACCCAAGACCGAGCGAGCAGAAAAGACGGAAAAGAGACGCGGAACTAAACGACTGAGACACAAGCCTACCAAGGACAAGTCGCCAAGTGGAAACGAGATCCTCAACTCCATGTTGTCTATGCCGGACCAGTTCAAGCGATAAAAACATTGTACATAGGCTTGTAGCTGATGGCTACGAGCAGATGAGTGGGCAACTGTCACTCTGATTTATTAATATTGCATCTGATTGAGAGCGTATTTGTAGTACGATATGACAATAGGTACATACTGTACTCGTATTGTACATACTATACTACAGAAGTAGACATTATTAGACCACAGAGCCAACAGATCACTATCAATACAAGCAGAAGACGGAGTCGGTCTCAATGAAGTGCTTTTCAGTCACGTGACGTCACTTATGACGGACTGCAGTATCTCCAATACAGTATTGACAGCTTAGCACAGCACACTCGTACGTAGTTGTAGGTAGATAATGTTAGTCAATTTTCTTTACCATTTCTTGACACTCTGTGAGACTGAATACTTCTAGAGATAAGGACCATTTGGTTCCATACAACCGAGTTGTTCTGCTGACTATTTCCGAGACTAGGAGCCCCTTTCACGGTCAGTTGTCCTTTTACTTAGCGTCTCAACTACCGCACTTACCTTTATACTTCACCCCAGATTTTTACATTTTAACGTTACCAAGTCACTTCACCACCTCATCACCACCACTTCATCTCTACAGTACCAACTGACATGTCCTCCATCTCAAACCGCATTGAGCAGATTAGCAGCTCGAAACCCGGCGCCAAGGACTATATCAACTATCTGCACTCGCTGTCGGCCGCCGCCGATCTCATTTCCTACGCCAAAGCCATCATCCAAATTCCCGATGGTGCCATTGTGGCTCGCCCGGTGCTGGCGGAGTTTGTCAGCTACACAAAGGGGTTGGCGGACGCGCGAGAAGAGGTGTTAATCGCCACTCTCGATGTTCTCAAGGAAAAAACCATCATTTTCGAGGAGCAGGAGTTTCTGGCACGAGAGGCACTGGCCGAAGTGTACGAGCAGAAAAACGAGTTCACCAAGGCCGCACGAGTGCTACAAGGCATGCGGCTGGACTCGGGACAACAGCATATCACCGACGACCAAAAAGTAGCCGTGTATGTGCGGATTGTGCGCATGTTGCTGGAGGATGAAGACGACGCAGGAGCAGAGACTTATCTTAACAAGTGCGCCCTGCTGATCCACAAGTGCAACGACCCCGCACAAAAGGTGCATTTCAAGCTATCGCAAGCGAGAATTTTCGATACCCGACGCAAGTTCCTAGACGCTACACGAAAGTACTACGAAATGTCACTGGAGGAGGCCGTGGATGCTGACGACAGACTGCAGTGTCTGCTGGCGGCCTCCAAGACTGCCATTCTGTCTCCCGCAGGGCCCCTGAGACAGAGAGTGCTCACTGCGCTCTACAAGGACGAAAGAAGTGTCCAGCTGCCTACGTTCAAGGTCCTTGAGCAGCTGTACGAGAACCGAATTCTGGACCAGGAGGACGTGAAGCAGTTTGCCGAAATGCTGGAGCCGCACCAGCTGGCTCTCATGGGCGACGGAGTGACAGTTCTGCACCGAGCGGTGCTGGAACACAATCTGTTGGCCATTTCTAGAGTCTTTTCCTGCATCTCTTTTCCCAGAGTTGCAGCCTTGTTGGGCATGGAATTGACACAGGCAGAGGACACAATCGCCAACATGATCATTCAGGGCAGACTAAGTGGACGCATTGATCAGGTGTCGGGATTTGTCTACTTTGATTCGGAGAAGAGCAATCTTAATGTCAGACAGAAGGCGTTGGTAAGGTTGGATGAGGTAGCAGAGAGAATTGCTGCAACTAGCAGAGATGTTAGGATTTACTAGCTCTTCTCCAAGTCTTTTCTTCTTTGTTGTGATAGATTACTGGTTCTTGTGCTAATAAGCATGGCCCTGCCTGACTCGCTCCGCTGACATTGCCAACTAGGAGACGTACCAAATACTGGTACTGACTCATGCGTTGATTCCGATGTTAGTATCGGCGCGGATCTGCATAAGGACCTGGCATGGGCGGGGTACCCATCTGTCACAACGATACAGACGTTCCTTCGGCTTACTAACTGGGATGAGGCTAGCTTGGTAGAGATGGTTGAAAGAGGAGCTACATTTGGTCTAGAAGTACCTTCCGCAACTACCTCCGCCGTCCTCTGTTGTGGTTATGAAGATACAAAATAGTCACTGCAATGAATTGGGTGCTAAAAAGCTACAGATGTACGGTACTGCACTGTACCAGTACATGCTGGTACTACTGCACTGGGATATATCAAAACATAATAATATTAAAAGCCCCGATTTGGGCATTGTAGCGGGTTGGCACTACTTTTACGCTTGGAATGTTGGTCCTGGCCATACTTATGTCGGTCCAGGTGCACTCATGTTGGGCGCTGTGCGCTTCGTCTAGTACACCGCCTTGAAAGCCTGCTCAAAGTCAGCAATGATATCGTCGATAAACTCGATACCGACAGCAACCCGGATGAGATCCTTGGACACGCCAGCGCTCTTCTTCTCCTCCTCCGACAGCTGCTGGTGAGTGGTGAAGTAAGGGGCGATGACGAGAGTCTTGGCGTCTCCGACGTTGGCGAGGTTGGAGGCCAGCTTCAGAGAGTCGACGACAGCAGCACCCTTGTCGTCCTTGACACCGATCGACAGCACGGCGCCGTAGCCCCGCTTGAGCACCTTCTTGGCGTGCTCGTGGTAGGGGTGCGACTCAAGACCCGGGTAGGAGACCCAAGCAATGTGTTCGTTCTTCTCGAGCCACTTTGCGAGCTTGAGGGCGTTTTCGCAGTGTCGGTCGACTCGAAGAGACAGCGTCTCGAGACCCTGGATGATCTGGAAGGCGCCAAAGGGGTTGAGACAAGGGCCAATGTCTCGCAGCAGCACGGTTCGCACGTACAGAGCGTAGGCCAGCTCGTTGCCAAAGGTCTCGGCAAACTTCATTCCGTGGTAGCCCTCGGAAGGCTCGGTGAGCTGGGGGAACTTGCCGGACTTGATCCAGTCAAAGTTGCCGCCATCGACAATGAGACCAGCAACGGTGGTGCCGTGGCCTCCGATCCACTTGGTGGCAGAGTGCACGACAATGTCGGCGCCGTGCTCAATGGGGGCAACGAGGTATCCACCGGCTCCAAAGGTGTTGTCCACCACCAGGGGGATGTTGTTCTTGTGAGCGAGGTCGGACAGGGCCTTAAGGTCGGGCACGTTGTAACGGGGGTTGCCGATGGACTCGACATACAGAGCCTTGGTCTTGTCGTCGATGGCTGCAGCGAACGCCTTGGGGTCGTCTCCCTCCACAAACTTGACGTTGATGCCGTAGGTCTTGAAAATCACCTTGAGCTGGTTGTAGGTACCTCCGTAGAGACAGGAGGAGGCGACAATGTTGTCTCCGGTCTGGGCCAGGGCGGTGAGCGCGAGGAACGACGCCGACTGGCCGGAGGAGACCGCAATGGCGGATTTGCCGCCCTCGAGAGCCGCAATTCGCTTCTCAAGCACGTCGTTGGTAGGGTTCATGATTCGCGAGTAAATGTTGCCAAACTCCTGGAGCCCAAACAGCTTGGCGCCATGTTCCGACGAGTTGAAGTTGTACGACGTGGTGGCGTAGATGGGCACCGCTCGGGCGTTGGTGGCGGGGTCGACCTCCTGGCCGGCGTGGAGCTGCAGAGTGTCAAAGTGCGAGGGCATTGTGGATGTTAGTCTGAGGTGAGGTGGTGTCAATTGACTTGCAACACCTTGCGTGGAGTGTCTCACTCTATAAGTATAACCTCCTGTCGAGATTGCAATTTCACGTGACCCAGATAAGGTTCCGGATTTAGCGGGGAACAAAAAAATGTGGCTGGAGTACGATGCGATAATGGGTAGCGAGAGGGACACGGCTATACTAAGGTGGAGTTTGCAACCACGTGAATGGTCACGTGAGCATGGCGAGGGTCGGCTCTCCACTCTAAGCAGCACAGAAGCGAAAAAAACACCGTTTATTGCTCGTTGCGCAGCTCTCTCTTGCAACCCTGCTATTTCTGACTCACCAGCCACGGGCGCTTTTTGGCCGACCACGCTCGACGTGCAGGATCGGGGTCAATCCAACGTACTCAGGTCAATGCGGGGGGTGGCTGACGCTAAATGCGGCAAGGTTTTTTTATTTTTTTATTTTTATTTTTATTTTTATTTTTATTTTGTTTTTATTTTTATTGTTATTGTTATTTTCAATTATTTTTCAAGTGAAGGAACAAAAGGGGACCACCATCAGACTCGATCTGAGTGTGTGATGTTACTCAATTGAGCTGACTTGGTTGCTCAATGTGCTGGGGATCTCTTTTTCGGCCAGCTTCCATGGTGCTGGATCCGTCGTGTCTCCGGATACGCTGGTTGTCCACCACTTCAGTGCATGTGCTGCTCTCAATCTCGAGTTTCGTCATTTTTATTATGGCATTTCGTCATTTCGAGTTTATTTGCGAATTGGAACTGTGTAGCGATTCAGAAGCTAGTCATAAGGTGTTATGATTAGTCATGTGCCTTGGCACGTGACTGGACGATGATGACGTCCTCCGGACGTCATGAGTGTGTCATTATGGATGAATACTTGGTATCGCGTGGCTAGGTCACGTGGATAGTGACGTGCTTTAAAAAAATGTAAGGAAAGTTATGTTAATACGACTTCCGGAGCTCGTACTATTGGTGTATTGCTCTGTAGAGTAGGACGAGCGGAACCGCTCGAACCGCTCGTCCTACTGATATCTTGAGGATTGACCCATTACCGATCCGTTACAAACTGAGCGCAGTGAGTAATTAGTATGGTAGAGAGCACGGCAGGAGACGGGAGGGGCGGTAGAAGACGGTAGGGGCGGTAGAAAACGGGAGGGTCGGTAGGAGACTGTAGGAGGCCGAGACCGCTGAAGACCGTACTCATACAAGTTTCCAATATATCAACACAACTCGTAATTTACTCGACTTGTACTCGCTCACTCACTACTCACTCACTCACTAGCCGTAATCGAACCGACAACCTTACATAACCCTACCTGTCCAGTCTGTGATATCCTCTGAGCGTACGACTCATCCCACCCAACCCTCTCCCACAACTTACCCTGCAGTAGAGCCCATGTATAAAAATTGCACCGCCGAACACCACTTCTCCCCATCATAGCACAAGGTGAGTACTCCAGGAAGCCCATCATTTGATGATGAAACACTTACTCAGCTCACTCAGAGCTCTGCAATGCTGATAACCTTCCTAACAACGCAACAATAACCTGACCCTTACCAGAAGCAAGTCGTGGTTCTGTAAACACAACTAACCCAGTCTAGATAGGTAATTGTCGTTACTCAAGAGGAGCTGTAGACTGTAGAGTATTGGTCGTATTGGTCCATGGTCGATGATGAAACAAACATCTGCAAGTCCTAGCAATGGTCGCAAGACTGAAATGCGGAAAACTTGTCACAAACTTTTCTGAGGCTTCAAAACTCCGACTTCGGTCTTGGTCTCGCACTACCCAATCACTCTTGCTCTCACTGTTGATGTGCTCTGTTTTTTATGATCTTTCAATAATCACAACACAATTTAGTTGACAATTACTCGAATAATTGAACCCAAACCACATCGATGGCCATAGTCAAGTATACAAGTCCATCACACGAACACGGCCGCCGTGGCAGGCAACGCCATGTGATTGGGATCAGTCACGTGACCTCATAGAGACAATGCACATGATCTCACAGCTACCACCAAAGTGCACCCAAATTCACCATGCACCCAGCCTGGACCCAACATCCTCCTCTCGACAACGTCATATTATGTGCACGTGACTCATGTAAGCGACTCCTATTCGTTCCATAGAGAATATCAGGTGATCGGACAAATCTTCCTAATCAAAATGATACTCTGAAAGCGCAGTTTCTGTTTCTACCACTTTTTTTTCTGCATACCACTGGTTTCCCCGTTGTTCAATCTTCCTGTATCTTCACCATATTTACTTGATATATAGTTGGGTTTGTTGAGTCTCACTCAGTCAATAATGATCCTATTATTGTGTAACAAATTTCGTCACAGTCCTGATCACGTGGGGATTCAGATGATACCAGTTATGACATGAATCAAATGAATAGAGGCTACATAAGACCGAGATGTTTTAGATAGCGAATGTATGTACATACTGTACATATGGTACAGACATGAATGTAAGTTCAAGTCACGTGCAATTCACGTGACTTTCATGTTCAACTCGTGTGTATCGCGTGACTCGTTTTTCCGGTAGATCCTGGAGTGTTACATGGCTGTTAAATAGTACGGCGATCTCTCTTCACTATTTTAATACGGCCCATTCCTCTCCAATACAACTTCAGACTATTGCACCACTCAAACACGACAATCTATTAGTGCTATCCTCCTCCTTGTTAATTCTTTAGCCTGTGAAGATCCGGTAACAGTAGTTGGGTCGGTCTTCCAGTGGTGCTTTAACGGCACCTAGTGCCGGCACTGGCAGGAAGCAATGATACTTGAACCCATGCTCCCACAGGTTTTGCGGTTGATGCAGCTTACTGATGGTACTCGGCAAACCAAGGATGCTCAAGACTCTGTCTAGCCGTGATTCGGTTCTCCGGCTTGAGCTGCAGCAGCGACAAGAGCAGATCTAGCGCCACGTTATCAATCTGGGGGATGATGACTCGGAGGTCCTGGGGAGCATAGACCTGGAAGTTGGATCGGTAATTGGGCAGCGACGAGATATTGGGCCACGTGCTCTCGTTGGGCGTGCCCATGAGCTTGAAAATGTGTTGCAGCTGGTCGTCGTTGGAAGATCCGGGGAACAGAGGCCGGCCAGTGAACATCTCGGCCATGATGCAGCCTGCAGACCAGATGTCGATGGAGGTGGAGTAGGTTCTGGATCCAAGGAGCACATCCGGAGCCCGGTACCACAGCGTCACGACCTCGTTGGAAAAGGTGTTAACGGGGATTCCAAACGCTCGGGCCAGACCAAAGTCAGCCAGCTTGAGCTGTCCCTTGGCGTTGATGAGCAGGTTCTGGGGCTTGAGGTCTCTGTGTAGAACCCGGTTGTCGTGGCAGAAGAGAATGCCACGGAGTAGCTGGTACATGAACCACTTGACCTGCTTGGTCTCCAGCGCGCCCTTGTTGCCATTGGTGTCCATGAACTTTTTGAGATCCTTGTCCATGTACTCAAACACCAGATTCAGCTTGTTTTCCGTGTGGATCACGTCGTACAGCGTCACAATGTTTTCGTGCTTAAGCTCCTTCATCAGCGAGATTTCTCGGATGGCCGTGGAAGGCGTGCCCTCTTCACTGTCCAGGTTAATTTCCTTGAGCGCCACAAGCTGGCCCGTGGTTCGGTTGCGGCCCTTGTACACCGTGGCGTACGTGCCTTCTCCGAGCTTCTCCAGCTGCTGGAATTGCGATGACGTGTTCATTGGTGGTGGTGGTGGACGACTGTGTGTGGTGACGACTCAGTTGGCAGCTGTACTTGAGTTTTAGATGTTGACGACGTGCATGGAGCTGGTTGGGACAAGCAGTAGAGCAAACCGTGAGCAAAGGGGGAAAACCACAGGAGACGGACAAAAGGGTCCGAGTGGTAAAAAAGAAGAGAAAACAAGAAGGGAAAAAACAAGACCCCAAGCACATCTATATATATATATATATATATACCCCCACAGCTCTAAATTGCTCTCAAACTGGACCGCCGAAATCCAGATCCATTTTTCACCAAATGCACCATCACGTGTCAAGAAGTATAAAATTACTTGAACTATGAGTCAGCGGAGGTAGGAGAATGGTTCATTGTAGATGATAAAGTAAGGACTTATTTGAGTCCAAATTTACGCCAAATGGTACTGTAGTTGCTTCTCACGTGATTCCAATTCTCCGCGTGTTTCTGGATCCATTTCAACCCTACTTACAGAGTCGTCCTGTACCCCCATCAAATCCAACTAATATTCACTATTTACTTAACGGATTACTCGACAACATAGAACAATATTCCAAGGTCGGGTTTCGGCCCACGTGACATCTGATCCCTAAAGATCCGGTTTGAGTTGTATGTTTCGGATGACTCAATGGTCCTCTTCTTTCTCTTTCCCCCACGAATGAGTCATAACCTGTCTTTCCTGTTCGGTTGTGCGGCGGCGGTGACTCTAGGCGGGGTGAGTGGTGAGGGGTGGCTTGAAATGCTCAAAAGTGGGTCGAATTGGACATTTGAAATTCCAGTGGATTTCTCGTCCGATTGCAATCATATTTATGTAATTATTTCTTCACAATTCCCACTCCAACACCCACAGAGTCCCCCGTTTGCTCTTCCTTCATGTCCCCCTGGCGCATTAACTTTTCGCCGTGCATCACAATGGAAAATCAAATCAGACAGAAAAACAATAGCGACCCGTTTGACCCTCTACCAGTCACGCCATGTTCACACCCACCGATATCAGCGGCGAGCCGTCCGCGGTCGGCACACAATGGACGCCGTATCTGTCGCACCCGGTCGACTTTGGGGCCCAGCACTTTCTCGAGGCCATGCTCAACGTGATCAGCCAGCCCAACATCAACTCGTCGGTGATCATGAGAGCCGATATCATTTCTGACTCGCTCAACATGATGCCGAACATCATGGGCACGGACAAGGCCAATGAAGGGTTCATTTTCGATACCCATGAAGGACCTGTCGACGACGACAAGAAGGATACAGACAAGGACAAGAACACTCCAGTTCCTCCGAATCTGCAGGATTACGAGCCCCGACAAGTCGAGGTGACTCCCTGTCCAGTCAAACGAGTCATTGTTCGTCGAATCATCCCCCGAAACCCCCAGAACGACTTTTCCGTCAACCAAACATGCATCGTCCACTCGGACAAGCCGTTGTGGGACTCTGACGGCAAAGAAACGTCCGAGGGCGCCAAAATCGCCATTTCCTACATTTCGCACCACGACCATCCCAAGTCGTGTCCCTACTACCTGCCCTGTGTCAAGGCCGTATTGCTGTACTTTGACGGAAGTGCCATCTCCGTCTACTACGAAAAGTATACCGACTACGAGCTCTCGGCCGAGCAGGAGGAACGATGCGGTCGAATTGCCCTGCATCTTCTCCACACTGTGTTCCGCCACTCGTCGGGTCAAAAGGCAGGCTACAAGAAACGGGTGCATCACGACATGATCATCGACCGAATCAAGTTCCAGGACAGATACATCTACCTGAAGCAAAAGTACGCACATTCGCTGGTGTCCTCATGGGTCGAGTCCACAGACCCTCGCAAACACGTGTTTGAAGATCTTGCCATCGCCGCCTTTCTCATCGAGCTGTGGGGCCAGATGTACAAGAACAAGGACGATATTTATTTCTATGATCTGGGCTGCGGCAACGGCCTGCTGGTCAACATTCTAATCAAGGAAGGCTACGTGGGCGAGGGAGTCGACGCGCGCGCACGCAAATCCTGGCAGACCTACGAGCCCGAGGTGACCCAGAAGCTGCTGGAGAAAATCGTGGTCCCCACGGTTCTTCTGGACCAAATGGTGGGCCAGGCCCAATACCTGCCCCCTCACGCTGCTGAGAAGCGACTCGCAGAAGCCAACGGTCTGGCCACGGATCCCAGAGTGTTCCAGACTGCTGGGCTGCCCGAAAACGCATTTCTCATCGGAAACCACTCAGACGAACTCACCTGCTGGATTCCGCTCATGGACCGTCCCTTCATGGTCATTCCCTGCTGCTCCCACGCGTTGTCGGGCGAGAAAAAACGGTTCCCGCCCACCTCGTCGGATCCCGAGGAGAAGTCAACGTACCGGTCGCTCGTGGGTCACGTGGAACAGCTGTCGTCGAAAATCGGCTGGCAGGTAGAGAAGGAGTATCTGCGAATCCCGTCCACTCGAAACGCCGCAGTCATTGGCCGAACCCGCGTCGAGCCCCAGATGAACATCTTTGAGATTCTGTACTCGGAGGGAGGAGGAGAGGGCTGGGTCGAGAGAGCACGAGATCTCTGTGCAAAATCCCCGAGGAACCACTAGAGTATTTACTGCAAGTTAACCTGTGGAATAGGTAGACTAGATAGGTAAGAATGTACATAGCTGTTTCCGTGTGCCGTATGAAGGTGCAGAGCGTACTGAAGATGGAAAAAACAGAAGAGAAAAAAGGGGGAAAACGGTACCATTCGAAAGCCCCAGGTCAGGGGAGTGTCACTGTCATCTCATTGCCACTGTCATCTGATTCAGCTGTCATCTGATTCAACTGTTTCAGGACATGGAATGCCCACGATGGAGTCGAACGTTCAGTCGAATCTCAGAATGCTGAAAACTGCAAATGAGCAATAACAAAGTACACCGGAATACAGAGCAGATTTAGGGGAGTTGAATGGTATTATTTTTTTTGCAAAGTGACTACACAATATTCTGTGTTGGCGGTGTTCTTGTGTGGGCCATCAGCCAAACGGGATGAGAGAACACCAACACCACCAATATTCTTTCGCATGGAAAGACCGAAACGTCAGTGTATTAACGAGAGTCAGAGCAGCATATTCTTTCGTATAAATATTTCTCCAGTGTGTCTCCATCAGGTGTAAAGCTGGAAATACTATGGGGGCTGGAATCAGTGGTACAGTTCTTCTACTTGTAGACATGATCTATATGGGTCAGATAGTTGTCAAACCTCTGGGGTTACGAAATCGCTCACTGTTGCTCTACAATCCTTCCAAAGAGGTCCAAAATCATTGATCGTTCTATAGTACTATAGTATGTATGGCAAACTTTTTACAGAGAATATTGCAGTCCAGTGTTGAAACTACTCAGTCTTTTGTTTCTTGGATTCGGCTCCGGCTTCGACAACCGTCTTGTTGGCAGTCTCATTCTTGTCAGAGGTCTTATCATCCACTGACTGGGCTTTGGGCTCAGTCTGAGCTTCAGACCCGGTCTCAGTCCCGGTCTCCGTCTGAGCCTCTGTCTCCGTCTCAGTAATTCGTCTATCGCCGCCCTTCTCCTCCACCACCCCTGCCACTCCCGACTCGGTGTAAACATACTTGGGTCCCTCTTTCAGCGCCTTGGTGATCTCGTGTTCCCAGATCTCCTCCGGCTGGTTCAGAATCTTGTCCAGAGGAAAACAATTGTCCACTCCAAAGTCGCCTTGGGTCAATCGTCGCAACTCCACCAAATGTCCCGAGACGCCCAGCTCTTCGCAGATATCATTGGCCAGCTGTCGGATATACGTTCCCGAAGACACCGCAGCTCGGATCTGGAAGACCGGCGTCTTGGGTTGGAAAGAGCCCTTCTCGGCCTGCTCCTTGGCAAACTTGTTGAAAACATTCACCTCCTGCTGGGCCAGTTTCTCATTGTATTCTTTTTCGCGCTCCTCCAGCGACTTGGAGTGGGTGTGGGTCTCCTCAACTTCACCAACGGGGTCTCTGACGACGGCGGCGACTTCCTCGGCGTCATATTTACGCTTCTTGTTCTTCTTGAGCTGCTTTTTCGACACCGTCGGCTGGCCTTGCTTGCTCTTTTCGTACTCTTCTCGAGTCATGTCTCCCCCCTCCTTTTTGATCTTGGCCACTCCGGCGGCCACAGCCATCTCCTCCTCGTTGGCCCGCCCCAGAGGAGTGTATCCGTGGGTCGAAATCACCGGCGACACCAGCTCCAGCTTGCTCACGTGGCACTCCCGAGACGGAATGTACGGCACCTTGAGTCCGTTGCGAGCATAGTCCCAAAGCCGCACTCCGTCGACGCTGACGGACGAGTAAACCGGTGGGAACTGCTTGATGTCGCCACGGAACTTTGCCAGAGTCTCCTCGATCTTCTCCGCGGTAATATGGCTCGAATCGTCAGACTTGACCACATGGCCCTCACGGTCGCAGGTGGTGGTTTCGTGGCCCATAAACACCGTCGCAATGTACTCCTTGTCAGTGCTGTGGGTCATGTCGCCGAGCTGTTTGGTTCCGGCTCCGACCCCAATCGCCAGAACGCCCGTGGCAAACGGGTCTAGAGCTCCCCCGTGGCCGATTTTCAGCGGGTTTCGGCTGCCCCCCTTCTGCTTTCCTCCGGCGGCATTGATGAAGGTCCACTTGAGTTTCTCCACCACCTGTGTAGACCCAATATTCTTGGGTTTGTCGACGACAAACACTCCGTTGTACTTGAGCATTTGCGGCAGTTTTTGGAGCGGTTTGGGCGGTTTTTGAAGCGTTTTGGAGAAGCGTTTCATGACAGATCGGTACACCATTTTTTGTCAAACTTTGAGGTGTGCATCTAGGCTGCAGCTGGCGAGCAGATACTAGGAGGCGGTGATATGTGCGCACTGCTGTGCTTGTGGATGGCTTGAGAGATGGTATTCTTTCTCCTATTCTTTCCACTTCTTTCTCCTATTCTTTCCACTTCTTTCTCCTACTTCTTTCTCCTTTCTACTGTCAAATGATCTTAACTTTCTTGGAACTTTTGTTAAGAAGTTGTTTTTCCAAACTAAAGTCCCAACTGAATCACACAGTTCAACAAAAGTCAACAAAGACAATCTCATCTAGAATGCGGCATCTAGAGAAGAAAGTACAAGCGAAACGTGTGCATTTTTGTGAATGTGACATTTGAAGCGCTTCCAATACACAATTTCATGTCTACTGCAGTCAGTTCTTGGAATTACGGCAGAGACGTCCTGAGTAGACACTGGGAAAAGAGACGCTGAGACACTGAGACACTGAGACACTGAGACACTGAGGAGACATGTCTTGACTGAGCTGTGATAACTTATCCAGAGATATCATACTCTCGAGCCATGATGTAGCTCTCACCATTCCATTCCAATACCTTGCTTCTAGCGTCTCTATCCCCTCCACCGACCTCCAACTTGTACTCGGACTAGTTCCACTCCAGGAAGATTGTCAAAGGACAGATCAATCTTCTCAATAGCTTGAGTTATGAGTCAGAACCAGCTAGTTGAACAGAAACGGTCACTCAGAGGCTCCAGATGAAACTCGGATCTTCGAGTGGATCCCCTTCTCGCTCTATGCGCGCGTTCTACAAACCCCGATACATTCGTCATTGTAGAAAGGAATCCAACTACCGGTACGAGTGCTGTACTAGTAGTTGTGCAACCCCGGCGACAATCTGTTCGTATACCTCTTCCACGAAACCAAGCAGCAGACACGGAGCTGCGAGATCTTGCCCGGCAGTGTGTCGACCAGTATAGCGGCAACGATACCATCAGGTTCACCATCTACAGAAGTTGCCGGGCGACTTTGAAATAATGAACAGCGCTTCTCAGGTCCAGTTTGTGGAGGTTGAGGGCCGGATAACGCTGAACAAGCCGTGTCAACGAGACTTGGATTGACCACACCACGTTGAGACGAGCTTTTATCATGGTTATAGTCTACGTCGACCGAGAATTCGAACAGCGGATCGTCATCTGCAGTGAACCACAATTCTCAATCCCCATTCCCATAACAATTGCGAAAGGCATGTATCTGGGAAACCGGGCAGGTTTGAGATCAATGGTGTACATCTGGCCACATCATGGATGCGACACGGAACAGGTGGAATGGAAGATCAGTACTTTACGCAGAAGCCTCGGGGAAGCCGTGGTGAAGGCATATGATGACTTTTGGTACAGAAAACAGTGCTCATACTTATGCTCATTCTTGTATTCATCCTTTCACTCATCTTTGTGCCATCGTTTTGCCATCCTGGGGGTTGAGAGACACTTGAGAAAGGGAGAGGAAACTGGGATTCTGGGATGTAGAAGTCGGTAGTTCATCGAAGTGCAGCATTCGAAACACTGTACGAAGAGTTTGAAAGAGAGGAAGAAGACTGAATGACTGGCCGATCTGTTACTTTGAGATCTTTTTATCGTATTATACCTACAGTATCCAACTTTTCACTTCAACACCTCCTATTATGGTTGGCAATGAATTTCAAATTTATTAATTGCGGTATTACTTAGACTTTACTTGGACCTTACTTGAATATTTCCTAATAATAAACTATTATTCTCTGTATGCTAACTATTATATTTCTTATTGTTAAATCCTACTTGATTCAACTTGACTAAGATTGACAATAGAAAATGTCCCTCAAAATTAACCCCCAAGAAGAAAAAAATTAAATTACCAACTAAGATCCATTATATCTCCCTCTCATCCAAATTTTAGTCGTTTACAACCTCTCCAACCCCGTTTTGAACGACCCTAAAACACCACCCCCAGCGGTGCGGCTCGGAAATGTGACGACCTTAAAATCGGACAGAGACACAGAGGGCCGATCACTTGGAACCATCTTGTTGAATCGGTTCTTAACCACAACCATTCTATCCGGCAGCTCGTTGCGATCATTTCCATACCAATTTTGCTATGTTTTCGGTGCTTTTCAAAAAGCTCTGTATCTTGAGTGGATTTGGTGGATCCCAGACTCTCTCAGTTTTGGTACGATTGGCGAGCTTTCAGCAGTAATGAGTTCCTACAAACCCTTTTTCTTCATGATGGCTCATCTGAATCGACCATGGTCTCTCGAAGGCCCTTTCATCGGTCTGCCACCGTAGAACACTCGGAACATTGCTTGTCATACAAACGAGTCTCAGAAGTAACTGAAACTAGACACAGTCGGAATCGGTCCACCTTTGTCATTCCCAACTGTACTGTACTTGTAGATGAACACCTGTCTTCAGAGCTCCATGTACTATCCCCCAACCGAGCAATCTTGGTGTTTGGTACCCAACGCCTCGCAAAAGCTCAAGAGGGGAATGGCCCGCGGCGTTGGTAAACCGACAAGACTGAGTCGATTGGTAGTTGCATGTTGGGAATTTGGAGGGTCAATCACGAGAGATGGTACTGTTGCAGAAGTCATGGTGTATTCATAATTCAAGGTGATCAGCAGGAACTGGAGTCCTTCAATCATCCGAAAGAATGATCATGGTATATGTGAGACTCAGTCGGTTCATTATTCCTGTTTGTCTAATTCCCTTTCTCTACAATGATTCGATATCCGTCAATATTGGGCGAGTAAGAGAGGTTTGTAGTTCACTAGAAAGTTCCCCAGAAAGTTTCCCAGAAAGTTCCCCAGCAAGTTCCCCAACTTCAACTAGTGCAAATCTCGGTAGTATTTTGTCATTGTTTTATAAAAGAAAGCTCATCATTATTATGAAAGATTGCAGCATTTCACCGAGAGGTAGAGCGGCTTTTCAAAGAGTTCAAATCGGCTCAAATCTGTTCAAATCAGCTCAATCTGTTCAAATCAGCTCAATCTGTTCAAATCAGCTCAAATCAACTCAATTCAGTTCAAATTCGACAAGACACTCTCATCGCTCATTCGATGAATCCCTTTTATAATCCAGCAGTATTCATATGCTCTCCCGTCCACGTGGGCAGTTTCCTTCAGCTACAATACATCTGCAAAGACACTCTGTTCTATACCTCCCGGGTATCCGCTATGTTCAATTGCCTTGCTAAAACCTCACAAGCCTTGCTATGCAGTCCAGTCGAATTATCCGGGATTTGGTACGCTTCAACACGAAAGAGGATGTACAGTACAAGTAGACCGACAGACCTGCACCCCGCCTACTACAAGTAGCCGCTTTGACCCCCCACTAGACAACACACACACAGTGAGATGTAAACGGCCAGTTTCTAGCAGCCACGTACGTACTTGAGCAGTATAGAACCATGCAACTGCATCTCTCCCTCTGTGACCCCCAATTGCAAACCGTGTTTGAAAATACCTTTGCCAATCAGCGCAGGTTGAATGTGGGTGAACAAGGTCAAAACGGGTGAACAAAGGTCAAAACGGGTGAACAAGGTCAAAACGGGTGAACAAATGTCAAGCGCAAGACGGAGACAGAAGTTTCGGGGTCACGTGACTATCACGAGTTGCGATTCTACGACGCTCATCAGCGACGCCCTTGGATTTGCTCCATTCTCGCTTAATTTCGCTTATCGCCAATTGCGTGGGGGGTGTGGGGGGTCCCAACTTTAAAACACTTACCCAACATGTCCCCCACGCTCTAGATATATACCACCTCGAAAATCCCACTCCCCCACACATCGCTCAATTCCTCCACGCGTGCGCCAAATGACACAAAAAGTACTTTTCCTGGACGAGATCCACGACGCCACCAAGGACTACGCGGCTCTGGCGCAGAAATGCGATATTCAGCATGTCGGAACAACGTCGCGAGAGCAGTTTCTCAAGGAGTGCAAGGAGGGCAAGTACGACGGGTTTGTGGCCATCTACCGAACGTTCACCACGCTCGGCAAGGTCGGAAGGTTCGACAAGGAACTATGTGACGCTCTGCCGGCCTCCATCAAGGCTGTGTGCCACTACGGAGCCGGCTACGACCAGGTGGATGTGGCGCCGTTCACCGAGCGGGGAATCCAGGTCAGCAACGTCCAAGGAGCCGCTGACGCCGCCACGGCGCTGACCAACGTATATTTGATGCTGGGCTGTCTGCGAAACTTTGGTCATGCGGCCATTTCGCTCCGACAGGGCAATTGGATTGGAGACGTGCCGTTGGGCCATGATCCCGACGGCAAAGTGCTCGGAATCATGGGCATGGGCGGCATTGGCCGTCAGGTGAGAGATTACGTCAAGCCGTTCGGGTTCGAGAAAATCATCTACTACAATCGAAGCCGACTGTCTCCGGAGCTCGAGGGCGGATGCCATTACGTGACTCTGGACGAGCTGTATGCCCAGGCCGACGTCATCTCCGTCAACGTCCCCCTCAACGCCGCCACCCGTCACATGATCAACTCCGAGTCCATTTCCAAGATGAAGGACGGTGTTATCATCGTCAACACCGCCCGAGGCCCGGTTATTGACGAGCAGGCTCTTGTTGATGGTCTCAACTCCGGCAAGATCAGCTCCGCCGGTCTGGACGTGTATGAGCACGAGCCCAAGATTAACCCCGGTCTGCTGAAGAACCCCCAGGCCCTGCTGCTGCCCCACTTTGGCACTTTTACCATTGAGACCCATCGAAAAATGGAGGAGGCGGTACTCAACAACATTGAGACGTTCCTGAAGACCGGTAAGGTGGCCACGATTGTACCCGAGCAGAACGGCAAGTTCTAGCTCGGTTGCGCGGCGAGATTGTAATGGAAGTGCCCGGCCAAAGGTCAGGCACGGACCCGATAACCAGTTGTGGGAGAAGGACAGTTTGATTGTTCAACCAAATTCGGTCAATCTGCTAACCCTTTGATCCTGGTGAGACTACAAGTAGCCAGAAATAGAGAATGAAATGTTGACATAGAGCCACTAGGTGGCTGCTTGGATGACAGTAGTAGAATGAGACCTGGAAACTGGAGCTACAGCTGTCTGCTTCCATCTGAGAGAAAAGCTGGCGGCCTGACAGATTGAGATCAAGACCTCGGTTTCGTCACTCAACCTCATGTGAAGGACACAACGACCAATCATCTGCTGTCTCACGTGTCCCAGAAGAGACTCGCATCAGTCCCTGAAGTCATCCCCTGCTCGCGAGACGTCTTTTGATAAGATCACGTGTATTATGGGTTACATGATCTGCCGCGGACCCTAGCTGCCGGCGACATATTCCAACGTCATCTTGAGTCCATCCATTCTGTATCATTCGGCGTCCATTCTGCGAAATAATACGACCGTAGGAACCGCGAGCTCGGGAATAGTCGAACGGTGTATTTTTTATTGATCGATTCGTGTTTTTTGCTCAAATGTTGGCTTTTCAGTCTGTCCAATATGGTACCCGTGAGTTTTCCTCTATACTAGGTCAAAGTAAGCCCCCCAAAAATTGTGTCGGTGAAACTCCAGGAACACCAGAGAGTCAAGGGACATTGCAAAGGACAGAAATTCACTTCAATCATTCTTTGGTGCTTGTAAAATCGACTTTTAATCGCTCTCTGGCACAATTCCGCTCCTCGCTTCTTGCAACCTTGCAGTTCCAACTAAAGGCTAAGTAAAGTGTCAAATGGGTAATCGACAAAATGGTCTATAATTCTACATTGCGAGTGAAAAATATGGAGACGAATTATTTTATCAGAGACGTCAGTTCCATGGCTACATTTTGTACCCTTTTCATCCTATTATGAAGGTTCTAACACCAACAGAAAGACCTCCACAAGATTATTGTCAACTAGAATATCAACTAATGTTGTCAGATTAGTGCGAACATGAAAAGTTACCCAAAACTCCGAATAATCTGTCAAATTGAATCCAGACCATGGAAAGGGGTTTCTACATGCTTCCTAAACAACTTTTTTCGTATAAATCAGTCGTAAATGTGCTGTATCACCGACTTCTAAGCTCCTTCTTTTGGTGAATCCAAAAACAAATAGCTGTTTACATAAAACCACAAATATCCAGCCAATTTGAGAAAATCAAGCTCAACTAGATTGAGCGACGCTTTTTCAACAAATAACAAATGCATAAATAGAAACATTTCCCCAATACTTCTCCATAGTTCTCAAATAGTCATCATCTACCTACCTTCTAACTTGCTGATGTAAGAACCGCTCTAAAATCACGCGTATCAGTCCGATAAGAAACGTAGGAGCGGGGACAGTTTCACCTCTCTTCAATATACAACCCTCTTCTTACCAATATTTCCTCAAAGTTACTCCTTCACCTCTATATTCACATTTTCACTCTGGACAGAACTGGACCTACAAGAGTGATTCAACTCCATCAATATAAGTCCAATCAACTTGTTATCACAGGGAATCGAATTATACAGCTACTATGCTGCTAACTCACTCACTACCTATGTTTCGATATTACCGCAAGTGCTGTAACCCGGAGAATGGCCCGGCTGGTCTCCACCTAGACCCATACGAAATACACCACAGGTTATGATCTCACTCAGGCACTCTGACGCTCTGACGCCTCAGACGCCTTCCATAAAGTCAACGGATCGACACACACGGCTTCATTCCAGAGCGAACTGGGTTCGACGGAGTCTGCAGGGTGCCGAAAAGTTATCTCGATGATCAGATCAGATAAAGAGACAAGTGCGAGACAGAAAAAGTCAGACGGGTAAGTTGAACTTACCTGGGATTAGGTAATGAGGCGCATCTGCTGCGTCGGAAGTGTTGCTGGAAGTGGTAGTGTGTGTGAGGAGTGTCCAGAACGAGCTTCAGCCATTTCTGGCGACTATCAGGCATCTTATCCGAAAAAGTAAGTGAAGATACTCCATGAACTGTTGTCAGGTCAGAGACGAGTTTGGAGGGTGGAATAAACCTCTATGAAGTCATCAATGCAGTCATCCCGGAGATTGAATCTCTTTTCACATTCAAGAGTTGTCTGATATGAGTTCTGGTAGTGGACAGTCAGACATGACTTTATCAGTACAGTACTTCAATGGAGTGGCAGCATTGAAGTATTTTGGACTTCCAAGGACACCACAGATTGCTGCAATCGATTCGGGAGATTTGGCTGATTCTTTTGATATAATAATGTCCCTCATTGCCTCGACAATATATTGGACTTTGGTGGACCTTCCTCATTCGTAGAAAGTCCCTTCAATTCCAACTTTGAGCTTTGAGAACATTTTTCCTAGCAAAAGTAAATCAATCAACTCCCTTGATTCTGCTAAATCTAGTGATACAAAAATATCCACTGCTTGCAGTACAAAAATCTCGAGACCAGCCCATCTTCATCCGACTACCTACACCAACTGCATCGGCTCCATCGGCTCGATTCTTGGCGCCAAAAGAGTCCAAGAATTGCTTCAAACTTTTGAATTCACCGTTTCTCACCACATCAAACCGTCTTCTGTCGTCGGCTCCAGCCGTGTCCCTTCTTACCTCCCACCCTAGCCCCAGGTGCCCACCTTAGACGTCTACGGTAGGGTACTCACTTCTGGGACCTTCCATAACCGCCCAAAGACCAGCAGTTATTTGTAGACCACAAAAACGCCTCTAAATCAACTCCAAAACATTTCTCCGTCTCTTTTATGTCTCTTCTACGTCTCTTTTCGTCTCTTGGCAGAGTTCTGCTTCGACGAATACCTTCTGCATCTGCCCGTCGACTAAAGAAGTCACTGGACCCGCAACGCGCGACCGCTGCGCAACCAATCGCTAGAATAGAGCAAATAGATGACTACCTTGATCCGATCACGTGACAGGCAATTCTCCCCCCCCGATCTCGTGACTGACTAAGCACCCAGTGACAGTGACTGACTAAGCACCCAGTGAGCTACAGTACGAGCACCGGTCTTCACCAACCACCAACCACCAACCTGGTTCCAGACACCCCTCTCACCTCACGTCAACGTCGTACCCCGCGGAGACCCGGAGAATGTGCCACCCTGGAATCTGATAAAAAAGTGCGTCTAAGCTGCATCCCGAGGGATTTATCTAGACCATCTACAAGTCATATCTCGGAAAATACCGCCCGGAAAAACTCTGGAGGAGTTGCCTTAGCCTTGTCATGTGACACGGTCCATTCTGAACGCGATTTCAGTTATTTTTCATCACGTCCAAATTCTTCCTACTTTCTGGGTCACCTTGGCTTCTTTTTTATCAGATTAAAATAAACTTTTGTTGTGGCGCAAGTGAGTTTAACTTTATGGATTTAGAGTTAGAATTAACGTTCCGTCCATTCTAGGCGACCACCCTAGAATTTAAGACTAGGAAAAAAAAAAGAGCCGGTATTTTATAAGGGGATGTTTTCTCCCTTCTTTTCACTTGCTCCAACTTTGAACCGATCGTCGAAAATCGCAAATATCGAAAATATTTCGTCCTCGCAGCCCTAACCCCACTCGCAGCCCTAGCCCTCGGATTTTTGACTCAGTGCGCGCAGCCATAAAGCACAGAAGAGGATTGCCGCAGACAAGAAGGCAGTTTTTTGACCCCTCTCACTCAACAACCCTACACCACAGAATTCACATCGTCTAATTACCCGTGTAATCACCACGTCGTCACTACGTTCACTTCGCCACCACATTCAACACACTACCATGCCCAAACTCAGCCAAGACGACATCCTACCCCTGCCTTCCGACGTTGGAGCGCTGGCCAACCGAATCAACAAGGCCACGCGGGGCTCGCACAGCAAAATCAACAACTTGATCAACCTGAAAATCGTGTTTGCGCTGCGAGACGCGCGTATCTACCGACAGGGAATCCAGGCTTTCTACCACGTGTTCAAGACGTACGAGGAGGTGTGGCAGGAGGAGATGCAGCGTACTGACGAGTCCGGCGAGTACACCCGTATCGCCAAGATTCTGCAGCAGACGTGGAACCCGGCCATCACCCGAACCGGCCCTCTCACCACCGACCTGCTCTTCTACTACGGCTCTGAGGAGAAGTTCCGAGACCCCGTCATGCCTGAGCAGCGTGCGTTTGTTGAGCACATTCGAGAGGTGTGCCACGCCCAGCCTCACCTTTTGCTGGCGTACGGCCACGTCATGTACCTGGCTCTGTTTGCCGGCGGCCGGATTCTGCGGTCCAACGTGGCCCGAGCGGTGGGTCTGTTTCCCAAGGTGCCCGGCCAGAGCCAGGAGGAGGTGGCGGCCAAGGGCACCAACCTGTTCCGTTTCGAGGTAGACGACGAGGAGGCTCTGCGGCTTGAGTACAAGCGAAACTACGAGCTGGCGACCCGAAACGACCTGACTGAGGAAGAGAAGCAGGACATCATTGCCGAGTCACTGGACATTTTCAAGCGAAACACCGACTGCGTGTCGGAGATTAGCGCCAAAAACACCAAGGCTCTGGCCGGCAAATTTGGCTACAAGGCTGCCCAGGCTAGCTACAAAGTGGTGCTGGTCATGTTGGCTCTATTTGTGTTTTACTCGGTCTACTCGCGTCTTTTTTGAGCGTGACGGTCCGAATCCGAGATGTACCAACCGACACACCAACCCATCCCGACCAGCCGAACCAACCACAGACCCACCAACCACCAATACCACTTCTGTAATACCACTAGCATATACTGACGAATAATATTGAGCATTTCTGACATTGTACTGACTACCCGTTCTCCTGATTCTGGCGTTAGGGCCATTCAATATAACAATATCTCTACGACTTGTAATACAATATCGTGTCATTTTTGTGACATAAATACACACCGAAAGATGATAAAAATGGTACCATTGGATGCAGCAGTCTTTGATGATTCTAATGGTACTATTTTCAATCTATTTTAGTACAATATTGTCGAGTTGGAACCACCATTTGACTTCCACCAATAGACATTCCAAGATGAGATAATCAGACATTCTCTGTGTGACAAGTGGTAAGGAAGAGTACACTAATGGACATTCCAAATGATTCTCATTTTAATGATGTAAAAAACCCCACGAGTTCTCCTTCATTGCGTTCAAATTGTGTTCTCTATTGAACAGTATGACAGATGTCTGAAAAGGTCATTTCTGAAATATTTTCGGGACAAATTGTCCTCTGGAGTTCACCAATACTTTCTTAATTCTGTATAGATTTGATCAATGTAGAAAAACATCCGTACAAACCAAACAATTTCGTGGAATAAAGCATTATACAAGACTGTTCCGTAGTGAGTGAACATTATGTTTATGATCTACCCATCAAATGATGGCCAAAGTTATATGGTCGATTTCACTGCGCCTTGACGATTCCAATGATATGATTAACTCATCCTCTTTACATATATTTGGAAAGACATGTTCAAAACTAGTTCCTTTGGATGTCCCTATAAACCCACCTCTCTGGGCGTCTTCAGGAGATGATGGGTATACAAAAAGGTGTATCGATATGATACTAGCCACAATCTCATTTGGATCTTATCGTAACATCCGTCATCTTTACTACAGTATGTTAGTTATCTGGCCGGTATTGTTTTGGCCGGTATTGTTTTTTCCTCAGAGAATCAAAACACTACAAGTACCATCTATTCCAGCCAATTTAGATGTCCAAAAGGCAACAAAAGAAAATCATTGAATCAAACGAGTCGAATATAAAAAAAATATCATTTTTCCACCACGTGACTTACAAATATACCATCTTTCTGGATTTATCTATTCTCTTATACCTACGGACTGTCGAAGTTTGAAGCCGATTTGAGCAGCAACTTCGACAGGGTTGGAAAGAAGATATCCGGTATGTAATAGGGCAGAAGTTGTCTAGGAGTACCAGTCAAGTCCCCTAATCTTTTCTGACTCAATCAGAGCACTTTTCAATGAGTTTGAGTAGATTTTTCTTACCACATACTCAAAGGATGGGGTATATTACGGCTCATTTTGAACCTCCGTCCAAATGATGTCAGAACAGTTGAAAGAAGAATATGGGGTCATATTTACCATCCAAAAATGCTCCTTTGGAGGATTATAACAGAGGGAGTTCTAGAAATTACAATACAATAAAATAAAAAAAAATTAAAAATTACAACTAAAAAATAAAAACAAAAACAAAACGCCAAAAGAACCCTGAAAGTAGCCACTGAAGAGAAATTCAAAGCCTCAGTCCTACCTCCTCATCACCTCGTATCACCTCGTATCACCAACCTGACATCTGCCATCCCTTTTAATCTCCTTCAATTACCCCTTAGCGCCATTCTTAGCCGACAATATTTTTGCTTTCATTTTCATTTTATGTTTAAAAATAACCAGTCACGTGACATTTTTGGCCAGACAAATCCAACCTTTCCACTTCGCAGTCGCAATCGGCGGTTTCTTGGTCTAGTTGGTTATGGCATCTGCTTAACACGCAGAACGTCGGCAGTTCGATCCTGCCAGAAATCACTCTTTTTTGCTCCCCTCCGAAGCACTCGACTTTGTGTCCTCCCCCCTCTTGCTATTTCTGGTATCCTCCGTATATAATTCCAGGGTTAGGGTTATAATAATTGTTGGGATTTTCGATTAGAGTCTAACAATGACTTAATACGGATAATGGGTTAGGTTTATGTTTTTTGGTAAGTTGCAGTTCTGGGTTAGGGGAATCTCTCAAATGGAGACAAGCTTAAAAATTCTTGCAGGTCACTGCATAATCGGTTAATCAACGGCAATCAACGGAGATGTTGTCTTGTATTTACAAAAACCACATGGCTTCAGACTACTTTACGCAATCATGTAACGGATAACGTCACATGACATATATTTACGTCTCTATCCTCATATACCAAAAATGATCTATACCTCTAATTACTTAAGAGGAGAAAAGCTCAGAGGAACGAGAATGTTGGACTGCATCTTCTGAGTGAGCTCGACAGTCTCGTGGACCGTGTCGGACCAGCCCGGTAGCTCCCAGCACTTTTGTCGTGAGATTCGTCGGTGTTCGAGGTCAGCAAACTGCCACAGGTGCCGTACCTGGTGGATGTCACCCAGGTTGGTGAACCACGCGCCCACGGGCTCCATGACCTGCTTTCGGCACTCAAGACCACGCTTCCACGATGTCTCCCACTCCATGAGCTTGCCGGGCTTGAGGTCGTAGGTTCGAAGTTCAAAGATACCGCCATACTGTCGAGGAGAGGCGGTTCCGCCCCAAAAGTTGAACTCCTGCATGAGATGAGACTGTCGGGATCTCAGCAGCGGTCGCAGCTTCTGGAGATACTCAATGTAGAGCGGGTCCTTGTGGATGGAGACCTGGGAGTTGTGGAAGCCTGGGTAGCCCTTGAACTCCCAGATGTGAGTGTACGTGTCCTGGTCACCGACCACGTGTCTCCACGAGCCCACCAGGTTGACATTGTGCTCGGGGTTGGCGGCAATAAGTGGGTAGTACTTGGAGACGAGGTCCAGGTACTCGGGGGCGGCGGCAGGGATGACCGAATGGATACCAACCTCGTGCACGTACTTGCCTCGCACCAGTGCCTTGGAAAAGGACTGCTCCAGGTCGGCCATGTCCTTTTTGCCCTCCTCGGAGCCGTAGAGGAAGGACTTGAAGAGCCCCGAGCCTCCGGTCTGGGAGGCGCCCTGGGAGTCCTTCTGGAGCGACTTGTATGTGGGAGACGATTGTTCTGGGGTTAGTGGTTTATTTTCGTCGACTGTGAGGGAGGGAGACGGCTGGGACTTGATGCTGAGGGGGGAGAACTTGGGGAGCGCCGCGGTGAGGCGGGATGTGAAGTTTGTGATTCGTTTCATATTGTGACGATGGGTTGTGGTAATTACGTGGTGAGTGTGCACGACGGAGAAAGTAGTGACGGCGTTGAGGGTATGATGGGCACGACAGAGGTTATATGGTGACGACGTCGAGGCTGTGGTGAATTTGTCGTGAATGTGATGGGAACGACGTGGTGTAGGTGGTGACAATGAGGGTAGTGTAATAGAGGGCAAATGGAACGAGCGAGAAACACGCCATCCTGCGCCTTCATATACCTCCCATCTCGCAAATGACACCACGCCAAGAAGCCCTGCTCCGAAACGTCGACACCACAGACGCACCTTGCATCTTTCGCTAAGGAGTCGGCCGGATAATAGATCCCCTGCCCCCCGAAGTTTTCCCGACAGACAGCCCAAAAGAGTCGCCACCAACCGCAATCTCCGCATTAAACCCCAAACCACAAAACCACAAAACCACAAAACCGCAAAATCGACGCTTGGTCTTGCTTTCGCTCGCGCTGTCCATCTCTTGCTCTTTCTTTTTCTCTCTTGTCCGTCTCTTCCATCTGGTGCCTGTGCACCCATGCGCTGCTACGATACTCACCCAGGTCCTGTGTATATTTCTTCATGTCCACCGACGGAATGCCTGCGAACGAGGGCAGCCGTTTGGCTGCCGCCAGAGCACTGGAGGAGAATTGTCGGGTGGCGAAGTTCATGTTTTTGGGCGCAGAGTTGTGAGGAGGAAGTGTTGGTAACCAGTCACGACGAGCGAAATACGGTGGCTAGATATTTTAGGTTCTCTAAAGTGGGGTACGGAGTGGTGCAGTGCAATGCAATGCGTCAATATGCAGACTTACGTAACGGGGTAAGACTGGATGCATGTCTGGTGCAAGTCTGGTGCACGTTTTGTGCATACGGAGCATATGGTGCAGATGGCCATTGATTTGTTGCATTTTCTCCCCAATTTTTCCGAACCCCGCTTTTTCGGCGGCTCACAATTGCCTCAAAAGTGTGATGTGCTGTTACGCCGTATGTCAGTATGGGGCATGGTGCAGTCTGGAGTGGTGCAATGCACGGTTATTTTGTAGGCAGGATTGGGTTATTTGTGGAGGCCACATTGTGGCAAGTTTCGACTCAGCTGAAGAGTGGTAATCGATGGATGTAGATTAAATAAAATAACATAAAATAAAATAAATAAATGAAAAACGGAAAATACAAAGAAAAGGGAAAAAAAGCGGGAAAAAAAGAGAAAAAAAAGATAAAAACAACGCACCAAGTTACCAACCCTGCCCTTCAAGTTTCTCAAGCCACGGCAATCTGTAAGAATATAGTATCTCACTATCACAGACCAAATCACCCTTTCCTTACCCAACTCTATACATAAAGTCGGATGTTTGTTCCGGTCGGAGTGGAGCCGGAGGAAGGAGGTGAAGAACATGGTACGAAATACATTAGAGCGAGTGGAGAAGGACGAAAAAGAAGACCACAAACATCAATTGAGTAGACAGACAGCTATTGACGTTGTTTTGAACGTTGTTTTGAACGCCTTTTTAACCGTCGAAAGTGGAGCATCCTACACTCAACCTCAGGAGGGCGGCGTGGGGGGGGGGGGTTGAACCATACCACAAGTACATACATCCAAACTCTGGGAATTGCTCCGTCGTTCCTTTTGAACCAAGCGTTGCTCTTTGTTGGCGGCTTGGAACCAGAATATGTCACGTGACGTCATCTATTGGGCGCTCGTTTCTGATACCAAACTATGAGGAAAAGAGTCGTACAAGTATGTACATACTACATCAGTCTCCTACTTGTAGTGCGGTATTGGAATTATCCGTCGACAAAGTTCCGGATCGGATATTTGTGCATAGCTGCTGGTTGTACCTGTTCGATACTTGCTGATTGTCTGTTGGTATGAGTCCTTGTCCTTTCATTTTCGAACACAATTTTTTTTCCGACTCCGAGCCGACTCGGCCGATGGAGGATAAAGGGTGTTTTGTTGAGACTGGAGTTGGGCCTTTGTCTTCATCGAAAGGTGTGTTTCAGTTGGTAGAGTGGATCGTACCAGTGACCGAGGTAGGGTTTTTTGAAGCGGTACTTGTAGTCTAGCGGAACGGATGTTTTGATTTGATTTGATTTGATTTGATTTGATTTGATTTTGATTTTGATTTTGATTTTGATTTTGATTTTGATTTTGATTTGATTTTGATTTTTATTTTTATTTTGATTTTGATATTGATTTTTATTTTTATTTTTATTTTTATTTTTATTTTTATTTTTATTTTTATTTTTATTTTTATTTTTATTTTTATTTGTTTTATTTGTTTTATATAATTTATTGGTATGATTACATGCCTGAGAATAATATTGGACGGCCAAATCTCCTGGGGAATAACCGCCGCAAATGAAAGGAGAGTGTCAAACTCTTCTCTACTCTACCACATCACTCAGACACAGACATGAACAGAGATCCAAACAGAGATACCACAGAACCACCGGAACGATTTCGCCGACGATTTGAGCAATGGTTTTGCCCACAGTTCAACCACTGACGGTTTGGGCGACGATAATATGCATCATTTGATGACAAAATCATCGACAGACGCCGCCACGTCATCACCTGCTTCCAGGGATACACCTCAGACACAAACAGATACCGCTACATAGCTCCAAGAGCACCCACCCTCAGACGCGGACATGAATAGGTACTCGGCTCCAGTCCTCCTCTCAGACGTCCCTTCTCCTGAACATTCACTCGATCATGCTCAGTTCGTTTCATACTGTCGCCAGAGCCGGGGCTGATGGTGTCGCAGGGTGGACTGAAGCCATGAGAGAGGTACTAGTGGCACGACCTTTGCGTGAGATCATGGCTATGGGTATGACATGTGTGCAAGATGGCGACTGTAAGCCTGACCCGTGCGGGACAGTGACTGTGAACAGGTATCTGTGCCAGAGATATCATCTGTGACATCATTTCGTCTTCATGTTGACTGACACCACAACTGAGCTCTGGTTGGACTGCGATCAAGGTCTTGTTCCAGCCGTGTCAAATTGTCAATCGTCATCACCCCCGTGATACCACAGCTAAACTCCAGTTTGGTTCTTGTATCATCGCAGATTCCCATCGAGCTACATTCTCTGACAACCTGAATACCCTATCCCACAGACGAGTGAAACAACTGACTCGCCATCGAAAAGCAGCGCCTGTCAGGGACACCATCAAAACATGCAGTATGACACTTGTGGACCTGGGTTGGAGTGAAAAACGTGTGCTGTCCACCTCACAAAAGCGAAAGACTCAGCTAACCACCATTATTAGACAGACGGTTCGTTTCACCGGCGTTAGACAGCTCTTAAAGCAGGCTGGTTCAACACATCTTCTCCACTCAGAACCATTGCTATGACCTCTGTATGGCCGCAAAAAACAGTCCTCCTGCAACTGATTAATCGACCAACTCCTTTACTCCTTATAGCCATATAATACATTTATTTCCATTAATACAATCCTAAACACCGTGTTTTACCGTCGGGCCAACAACAGATGAGCAGACTCGCCCATGAACTCGTCTGTGTAAAAGGACGACTTTCGGACCTCCTCTTCGTTGAAACCTCGGTCGCCAGACAGCAACTTGAGGTCACGTGCCTGTGACGAGTTCCATTTGGACAGAAAGTCCGACGGGTTGGCAGCAAACTGCTTGAAGAACTCCCTCTTCAGTCTGGTGTTGTTGAGCTGCTGAATAATCAGCGCGATGTGCTCATCCAACTTGAAAATATCCTCCTGGTTGTCGAACCAGTGCTTGGTGATCTTTCCAATCTCGGCGTTGATGTCGTCGTCAAACTCGAGTGCCAAATCAAACACGGTTTCGCCCAGGTTGTTCTCCACGTCTGTGTCAATGGTGTAGTTGATGACCAGGGGTTCTTTGGGTAGAAGATGGGGCGTGATCAGCTCCATAATTTCCGGGAAAGTTACAGTGTTACGTCCAAACAGCTGTCTCAGCGGCTCATCACACTTGATGTTTCGCTTCTCCTCGGTCTGCTGCAGATCGTGGAACTTGATGTACTGCCACAGAGCTAGGATGATGTCAGACTTGGAGGCCTCGTCCAGCGCCAAAATTTCCGACAGAGGTTCCGACAGACGCGCTCGATCGGGGTACTCCTTGAGTTGGAGCACGATTCGCGCAGGGATCTGGCCCGAGCCCTCACGTGTCATTTTGAACACGTCGAAGCCTACATCCTTGCCCGTCACGTCGCCAGCCAGCTCCTCTGTGGGCGCAGGTCGCTCGCCCTGGGGTTCATGCCACTCAACAATCTCGCCGTTGACCTCGACGGAGATACTAGTAAAATACGAAGAGAACGGCTTGTCCTCGCCCTCCACGTTTCCCTCAATGTTGAGCGTCCACGACGGGGGCTGGAAGTCACCCATGTTGTCCGGGTCGATCTGCCACGCCTGGTGCGCCGCAGTGTTGGAAACAAACAGCCGCAACGTCTTCTTCTGCTTGAGCATACGAGCCTGCAGGTCGCCGAGGTCCAGCCGCTTGCGTGTGAAGGTCGCGTCCATGCGTCGTTCGAGGTCCTGTAGTTTCCGGTACACCGCTGTATCCGGCAGAATCGAGTCGAATTTGGCCGACAGATTCTTGTCCGTCGGCTTTTGTGTGTAGTGTTTGTCGATTGCGTTCATGTGACTGGCTGGAAGTGCGATATCTGTTATGTGGTGAACAACAGATGTGTGTGTTGGTGGTGATGGAATTGGGAGGTGGGAATTAGGTGCAGAAAGTTTGTGACTAAGCGGTGGTGACGAGCAGAGGGCGGTGGTAACGAAAGGGCGGAGATAAGAAACAGGGATGATAAAGGGAACAGGGACGGGGACACGGTGCTATATGTAGATTTAGGCAAGTGACACAAAACCAATATATTCAAGATTAATTGTATTTCTCAAAAAAAAAAACATTAAAACTCAATTTAAAATCTTTAATATTAAAAATATTAAAAATTCATTAAAATTAGACATCTTCATGAAACCACAAACAGGAGATGAGCTTCAGATCCAGTAAGAAACGGCGGTCGGGATGTCTTTGAGATTTTTTTTTTTGATCCAGACTTCGTGTTTCTGGACACAAACAGAATCGCAGAGTTACAACAAAAACATCACGAGATTTAGTCGCAGTGCTGTTGTCTATATTCTCGCTAAATAATCCTGCAACTCACCTTTGCACCTCACCACCCCTCACCGCCCCTCTCTTCACCTTATTTCGATACTTGGGTCTCATTTCAACTCTTCTTCTCCATCATCACTTTATCCTACTCCAACTTCTACTCCAACTTCAACAGCCAGCAGTTCAACCTTCCATCAGCGATACAACTGTTTTTCCAATCCTAGACACAATCGTCGCTCCAGTCGCAACAACTTCTACAATAGCACACACCGTCACCTGCCTAGTACCGGATAGAAGTGCTCTATCTCTGACAAAGATCCAAAAGCTCTAACAGCTCCAACATCTTGAAAACTCACTACTGTACTGGACTGAACTTACGACAGACTGTCTGATACCATCGGAAGTCTGTGACACATACCGTTCTCTGCCTGAGTATTTATTAGATACCTACGGTAGCCACAAAGACCAAAACGACTTTGTTCACCTAGCGACATAACTTACGTGATACCAGTTTACAAACGTCTTTGATTCCAGAGGAAACCCGAGCATTATTTCATCAGCTCTAATTCTCTACCTGTGATACACCTTCTCAGCACACCTCAGATACCGCTCAGAGACTCCTCCTACGACATTCAAGACGTAACCCACACTTGCCTCTGTTCATCTTCTCAAGGGCTTACCATAGCTTCAAGCCCCCATCCAGACATACCTCCTCCGTCTCTTGATACCTGGCACAGAGAAGTTCTATATAGCAGGATACTTCAGACTTCTGACCGACAACTTTCACGTCAGAAACACTCTACCACCACTTAACTTCACATCTCCCCGGCATGAACTACCCCAGTGTGTCCGAGCAGAAACATCGGGTATTCATCATCTATTCGGCCTACTTACGAGTGCAGTTTCGCGAGTCTGCCCGACTGGCGGTGTCTGTTCGGAATAAAAACTACAATCTTGTGCGGGCAGATCTCCACAATATTCTTCCTCAGAAGAACACTACCGTGTTTAAGGACGGCACTCTTGCCCCTCTGCTGATCCGTCTGGCGTGGCATTCTTGCGCCACCTATGACAAGTACACACGCACGGGAGGGTCCAATGGTGCGACCATGCGGTACCATCTTGAAGCCAGCGATGAGGGCAACGTGGGGCTTGAAGTGGCCCGTTTGTCTCTAGAACCCATCAAGCGCAAACACCCCTGGATCACGTACGCGGACCTATGGATTCTTGCCGGCGTGGTCTCAATTGAGGCGTGCAAAGGTCCCTCAATAAAGTGGCGCGATGGCCGAGTTGACTACGAGGACGACCTTCTGGTGCCCCCGAACGGCCGTCTACCCTTGGGCGGGGGAGATGCGTCCCACGTGCGGACTATCTTCTCTCGAATGGGGTTTAACGACCAGGAAACAGTCGCTTTGATTGGTGCTCATTCGCTAGGCCGATTGCACCATCATCGGTCCGGCTTCGATGGTCCGTGGACTTCTAATCCAGCCAAGTGTGACAACGAGTTCTACAAGTTGTTGTTAGGCAACGTTTGGACTCTGGTGGACTCGCCTACTGGACGGAAGCAGTACGTCAACAGCACCGGTCAGGTGATGATGCCCTCGGACATGAGTCTCATTGAGGATGCCAATTTCCGTTTCTGGGTCGATCAGTACGCCGTATCTGAGGAGCTGTGGCGGGACCATTTTGCCCTGGCTTTCGAGAAGTTGACCGAGTTGGGCAGATGAGGAATGTTAGTGGAGTACCCAGTAGTATTACAAGGTCTTGCAGTGATGCAATAATCCGAATCGTAGTAGTCAACAACAAACAGAACAGATCCTGTTCTATCCGAACCAATTGTACAAGGGTGCACAAGGCTTCCGAGAACAAAAAATCTGTTTGGGGTACCAACCAAAAGAGTTGGTTTTGTTAGGGTATAGTTGAGGAATGAATAACCGGAGGTGGAAATTCGAACAGCAACACTTTCACGTGCTTGGATTGTGGGAGCAGGCATGTTCAGCAGTGGTATGACGGTTTTGCCATGTTGATTCTGAGAGAAGATGTGGGTTATACTATTCTGAATTGTTTCAGGAATGGAATTATCTTCTCGAACCGAAATCCATGAGACTATACTTGGGTTAACTAGACTCTCAACTATATAATTGTAGTTCAACTAGCATGAAGCCTCATAACAAACCAGAAAGATTTCATCTGATCTGAAATCCCGAATACTTCACCGACCAAAATAATCCAAGTTTAATCGGTGAAATACATGTCCACAAAAGCTCATGTTTACACAAACCACCTTCTCACTTGTGCAACTCTCGACTTACATTTTATGTTGAAGGGGGTGGAGAATACATGTCGTTCTAGACTGATGGATATATATCGGAATAAAACAAATACAACGGGAATCAAATAATTGCGTCAAGAGAATCAATTCCGTATAATTAGTTTATTGCCAACTCCTATCCATCATATCCTGATTCCAGTCTCAAATCCCAATATAGGCAGAATGAGGATGCCACATGTCCGTAAATCAAAAATCAAAAATAAATAAATAAAATGATAAATATAAATAAATATAAATAAATATAAATAGATATGAATAAATAATATGAATAAATATGAATAAATGTAAATAAATGTAAATAAATTTAAATAAATGTAAATAAATGTAAATAAATGTAAATAAATAAAAATAAAAATAAAATAAATAAATAAATCAAAAATCAAAAATAAATCAAAAATCAAAAATCCAGAAGAAATTTCAACGGGTATTTGATAGTCAAGATTCTTCAAAAAGAAAAAAAGAAAAACATGACCAGCAACTTCCACCATACAAGAGTTTTAATTTGGTCTCACCAAAGCAGTTTTCTGGCCATCTCAAAACATCAAATCAGCCCACCTCCTGCTCCATACGTCCGAATATGTCAACTCAAATCTGTTAGTCACTATAAATATACCTATGTTAGTTTGTCGTGTTGCCGTTGCCGGCGCTGTTGCTACCACTGTCGGCGCTGCTACCATTGTCGTCTCTGTCACCACTGACGTCACTGCTACCAATGTCTTCACAGCCCCCACATAGAACTAATTACTCCTGCTGACCCCTCAGTATCACCAACCGTTTAGTAATACTACTAATGAACCGCTCCACAATTCTGCGATCCTCCTCGCCAAGTCCATCTTCGTCATCCTCCAGAAGCGCCTCCAGCATCCAAATGGACGTGGTGTAGGCCGACTCGCAGCCAGTGAAGTCGCCGGAGATCTCCTGAACAGCTGCGTCCCGTGACATTTCCAGGGCGCGGTCGAAAATCAACTTTTCGGCCGTGGTGTGTGTAGTTCCTGAGGAGACCTTCTTTTTCACCGTTTCGGCCCGCTCCAGTGACTCGTTGAAAGCGCTTCGGGTCCACTGAATGATTTCATTGAAGTGGGAAGACACCATCTTGTTGTCTTTGTGGTTATTGGACCACCAGGCTCCGGCTTGATCCATAGCGAGCGACAGCAGAGACAGTGTCTTGACGTACAAGAGCATGGCTTCTTCTGCAATGGAGGAAGAGACGGAGTCAGGCAGATTCATGTCTGGGTTGTCCACGTCGTCCTGGATCTGTGAATACTTGACATCTGCCAGGAGAGCAATTGAGCGGGCTTTGGCTGCGATTTCCTCGAGAGTTTCGACAATCTCGCGCTCCGACAGAGATGGGGTTGTTGTGGCAGGAACAGGAGGCGATTTGCCGGTCGTAGAGGTTCCAGAACTAGTTCCAGAAAGAGCTGCCCCTGCTGACAGCCTGGCGCCGTTTCCGGAACCATTTCCAGAACCATTTCTAGAACCATTTCCAGAACCGTGTCCAGCACCGTTCTTCTTCTCTCCCAAAAGTCTGGCGGACGCCATAGATAAGGCTCGAGCCATGGCTCCAGTGGGGGCTCCGTAAGTCAATGAGAAGCGCCGCTCGGAACTGGGACGTCTCTCGTCTGGCTCGCGTGCCAGCTCATCGGCCAAAGTGTTGACTTCAACCTGCCTCTTCTCCACGACAACGTATTCACTTTCAAGGAAGAGTGACTCGTTTTTGCGCGTGAGTAGAAGAGAAGATCCGGGAGAGGGGGAGGTGAGTTCCAAGAGAGGGTTCTTCACGGTAGAAGACAGTGTCTTATTAGTGGAGTTTTTGGGGGAGGATTTCTGAGTTGACCGCTTCTGGCTGAAGCTGTCCATCTCCCTGTCCAGATCCAACTTAGGAAGATCGGCCTCCTGAATGTACTCGGAAATGTACATTCTGGGATCCAGCTGAGATCGGTCCAATTCCTCCCCGGAGCCAATAACCTGCTTGTTGGCAATAATGGGATGTTCAAAGTACTCCTTGAAGCCGATTCTATCGGCGGGATTCTTCTTGAGCAAACATCGCACGAAATCTTGCATGTCTTCCGAGGGCGGTTCTCGGCCAAATCCGATCACGTCGTTGGACTGCTCGATTGTCTTCAAGAGTTCCACGTAGTTATTGGCCTTGAACGGCGGCTTGCCAACCACCATCTCATAGGTGACGGCTCCAACCGACCACAAATCGGCCTTGGCATTGTACTTTTCGTAGCGCAAAATCTCCGGAGCCATGTAGAGGGGGGAACCGCAGAGGGTCTCCGCCAACGCCGACGCCGGCAAAATGCGCGCAAATCCAAAGTCGGCAATCTTGAGAATCGGCAGCTCCCATCGTCCGTAGAGATTGGCGTTTTGGGCATCCATTTCGGAAAGCGAGGGCGGGCATAAAAGCAGATTCTGGGGCTTGATGTCTCGATGAACGAGGTTCTTTTGTCGCAGAAACTCCAGGGCCGCTGAAAGCTGATGAACGAAGTGCCGAACCAGCTCCTCATGGAGCCCTCTGGTGTTGGATGGATACCGTCTCAACAAGGACGCCACTAGCGGCAACGTTTCCGACAGCTCCTTCTTTTTCTTGAGAAAGAAACTGAGGTCGCCCAGAGAGCAGTACTCCATCACTAGGTGGAAATGCGTGGGGGTCTCCTGGAAGTCGAGCAGTTCCACCACGTGGGGGTGCTTCATCTGCTTCAAAATGCTGATTTCCGAGCCCAGGTTTTCCAACAACTTGCGGTTGAGCTTAGCCCGGAGAACGGACTTGATGGCCACCGGAGAGCCGCTGGCCACGTGCTCGCCTTTGTAGACGGTGGCGAACGAGCCGCGGCCTAGCTCGTTGCCAATAGTGTATGATTTGATGCTGGACATTGAAAGTCTGAGTGAGGGCGAACGGCTGTAGTCTGTAGACTGTCTGATATACTCTGTGAGACTGTCTGCTGTTGTCTGACTCTGCTGTGCCTGTGAGACTTTCTGTTGTAGTCTGTGTGACGGTCTCTTGTAGTCAGACTCTGTTGTCTACTGTCAACTGTATGTCGAACGTGGTGATCTCGACACTGTTGAAGTAGTGTCTAAGCGGACCAAAATGCTTTCCAAACCGCTGTCTCCAAACTGTCTCCAAACTGCTGTCTCCAAACTCGTCTGTAAACGTGTCCACTAGATGTCGAAATGTCTAGTGTGCAACTCGTGCTCGTGCTCGTGCTCGTGCTCGTGCTTGTGCTCGTAAAATCGTATGTGGGCTTGTAGTGTGTACAAGTACCAGTCTGGTAGGGTCTGAGAAGAGAGAGCGCTAACGTTAGATAACCGCTATCGGAGATAGAGTTTGAGTGAACGTAGCCAACTCCCATGTAACCGCAACCAGAATTGTGGTTATAAGGAGCCCAGCAGCCAGACAAGACGTTTGTGTGCAGTAAACGCCTGGCTGCTCCACGGTCGGTCATCCGCCGGTCGCCGCGGTCCCCCTAAACCACATATCGCCAGCTCCAGATGGACAAACACACTGCATATATGACGCAGGGGCACGTGACTTGCCACGAGAGCAGGAGGAGAAGAAGGAGGGGATAGAGAGGGATAGAGAGAGGCGCTATCCAACCCGGTAGACGTGGGCTCTCAAGTGACCTGGGGGTTTGTTGCTTAGTCATCGCAAATGTAGGGACGGAGCTGTCTTCAGTTATTTGTAGTCACCTGTTTTGAAGCCCCTTTGCTAATTATTTTTGGTGGCAAACGCGCGCCCTGCAGCTGGGGTTAGGGTTTGGTTAAATGGGCTGGCTCGTGGTGAAGTCGTTGGGAGAGTGGAGCCAAAAATTTAAAATGATATAAAATAGGTAGAGAATAATAGTTATTATATAATAATTAAATTAATTTAAAAGATTATAATAATAAAAAAAAATTGAACAAAAAATCAAACAAAAAATCATCCACAGGGGGTGCTTTGGTTGGAACGAACCGTGAGGCGAAAACAGCAGCAAACAACAGCTCCGTGGCTAAACTTATTGAAGATCATAAGTATTATTGATGTGATATAGTTAATTAACAACTTACAACCCACTTCTAGGGACACGACGTTCCGATAGTAGCACACACCTGAAGGGTGTGTGCTTGCTCATTCACCAGAAAAGAGATTCTAGATCAGTGGATAAAACTATCTACAGGATGGACATCTCGTCTACGACCCAGCTGATTCCTCTCATTACTATGTGGTGACTTCTCATCATTATGTGAGGAATTAGCCAGGTATTACCCCACCGGGTATTACCTTTAACAAAACTGGGCTTGTAAACTTGATTGTTCTATTGAGAAGCATATGTATATTTATTTAATATTCATCACACTCACAAAAGGCATTACTTTACACAGCTACCACTCACGTTAGTGTGAGGTCTTCACTATCTAATGCCCTCTACGGAATTATATTCAACATAGATTGGCTTGTAGGCTTGATCGTTCAACTGTCTCTGAGTATTTTTCCGGAAGGTTTTTGTTTTTTTTAATTTTTTTTCTAATTCATTTATCATCCAAGTAATGACGAAACACTGCTTAGATGTCCACCAAGTATATCAACAATTGGTTCGAAGAAGAAAATGTCTCAAGAGCCATCTACAAGGTATTTGTTTGAAGCTGAGAAAAGTCCAAAATGTTTAATGAGACAATTTACGACACAGAAGCTCTTCTGAGGCATACAGAAAGGGTCATGGTGTTTGCATTGTACTGTTTATAATGACTGTGATGAACTTGTACATACTGTCCTGTTCGTATCGACTGTAATTAACTTGAGTTCATCCATCAGGCGATGCAGATATTCTAGCGGCAGTTGGAACTGATCCGAAGATTCACAAAGAAGTAACTGAGATGGCTCATGGCGCTTGTTACCACATCTGCAAAGGCACCTTGGACATGATCTCGTGAGTCTCGGTGACGGGCTCGGTGTCGATGTTCTCATGCTGCGGAGGGGCAAAGATGTCAATCTCCTGGTGCAGGATATAGGCTAGAATCTTCCGTTTGAAGTTCTTTATTTCCTCGTTTGTCAGCGTTTCCGACTTGGCAATCACGGGGATCAGGTTCACCTTCTTGTGCAGCTTCTTCTTGACGGTGATGTCCAGGAGCTTGAGCGAGTAGCCCGTGGGCTGGATGAAGAGGAGCAGGCGTGGATCCGCGTGTCGTTGATGGACGTTCAGTTCACCCGTCCAGGCAGTTTTCGAACCGCTTGTGAATGTAATTCACAATCGTTTTCCACGAGTAGCTGTTGTTGACAGACACAGCCAGGACGTCATCATCAATCTTGTCTAGACGGCAAACGGGAGATTGAACCTCCCTACACAACTCCATGTGCCACAAAACCGCCGTGTTTCGGAGTAGGACAACGTCGAAGCTGAGTGCAGCTCTACAAAAAGGCATTCTCCAAGATGTTGCCCGGAAGAAAGACGACTGGGGCGTTGGTGGGCCCTAGCGATGGCGCTTACTCAGAACCCCGATAAGTAGTCTTGAGATTTACCTACATGACAAGTTCCGAGAATAGTTGACATTTGGATAGTTCATACTAGAAAACTTGACGTTTGGAGACTTGACACTTGGATACTTGACACTTGGAGACTTGACACTTGGAGACTTGATACTTGGAGACTCGACACTTGGGGGACCGACAGGGTTGCCGAAATTCCAATCCTTGAGCAATCTCAATCGAGATTCTCTAGGAAGGATGATTGTGATACTACGCCTTTACTGTCTGTCAGATATTGCGTCTACCACCAGTACCCAGCACTGAAGCAATGCAACTAATCTCAGTTGGTTCGGCAGACGTGAGATTTCTCCGCCATCATGTCCAACATGGACTCCTCCAATGGCCTGGTTCGAGGCTTGGATTTTTATCGATACCAGAGCTGTATTCACTGAGTGCAGAAACGACAACAAAAGCCCTGCCAACCAGGAGTTGGACCTAACAATGTTGGTCTGGTTCTTCACATAAAGTCTCCTTCTCGTGTTCATTCGGTCTCATGGCTCAAGAGATGCACAGAGCTGAGGAGTATCGAACATAAGTACGAGGCGACAGAGAGGAGACGGTTGGGAAATAAAAGGAAGACGTTTATGACCTTATTAACAAGGGGACTCAACGCTCAAACAATGACGGTGTTCCTGAAGTGTCTTCTGTAGTGGTGGATCCAGAGTCGCCCCTGGGTTCAACCACACAGTGACAAATGAGCAATCGTAAAAAAGAACAAGAATAACAAGATGAGCCACAGTATAGCAAGATTCATTCAAGTTGCCATTGTTGGTGTGTGCCACTATCGGAACGTGGTATCCATAGAAGTGAGTTGTAAGTCGTTTGATTAACCATATCTAATCGATAATACTTATGATCTTTAATAGCCATAATGTAATATCTGTGTGTTATGTTTTTTTCATGTTTTTTTTTTTCGCATTTCATAATGCATAAAACGTAATACACAATTTATTGTAAATATTCGGTGATCAGCAATGTCCCCAGTATGTACAATACCCTATCATCTTCGTTCCTTTTTTTTTTTTTTTATGTTAATGATCCATTACATCTATATACCTATTTAATTTATTCCAATATTCCAGGTTCTTGTAAATATATATACGGTATATGATTATTATTATTTTTTGAAAGAAAATAAAATACAGCAAATCATACAAATATCAGTCGTGAGTTCAATTCTGGTGCAAATATGTAGTACCATAGACAAGACAGGTTAAAATCGCCAAATAAAATATAGAAGCCAAGAAAAAACTTCTGCTTGAAATCAGACATTCACCCATCTACACAAGTACTAGGTCGCATAAAAAAAACAACTAATACCGACTCTCCGACGAGATCAGTTTAGTCACGTGACTCCACATACCAAATGCACGCATCACTTCTACCTGCATCTCATCACGACACATCACCATATTTTAGCACACGACACCGCAACTGCGCAAGATGAGGTTCTACGTCATCCTAGTTCTTCTGACCACTCTCGTACTTGCCTCTGTTGGCGACAGATCGCCCGACTTCCGCAACTGCGTCACCAATTGCATTCGACACACGTGTCAGACACAAAAATACGTGCCGCCGCTGATGCACCGGCTTCTGCTGTGGGACTGCCCTCAGGAATGCGATTATCGGTGTCAGCAGATCATCACGTTTGCTCGGCTCAACCAGGGCCAGGAAATCGTTCAATTCCACGGGAAATGGCCGTTTTTTCGGTTTTTCGGAATCCAGGAGTTGGCGTCGGTGGTCTTTTCTTTGGCCAACTTTGTGCCTCATTACCGAGGTTGGCTGATGCTCAAGCACCTCAATCAGCGAAAACCCAACCCGCTAATCCCCTACTACATTGGATTTGCGCTGGTGGGAATGAACTCATGGATCTGGAGCGCCGTGTTCCATACCCGCGATTTCCCCGTGACCGAGAAGCTCGACTACTTCTCGGCCGGTCTGTCTGTGCTCTACGGTTTCTTTTTTGCCACTGTCAGAATCTTCCGACTCGATCGAGACTCCAGAGAAACCACCCGTCTCGTTCTCGCCTCAGTCTGTGTCACGCTCTTCCTGGCTCACGTTTCGTATCTTTCCTTCATCAAATTCGACTACGGATACAACATGACGGCTAACGTAGTGGTAGGAGCCCTCCAGCTCATCATGTGGAGTGTTTACTCGTTCACCCAGTTTGCAAAGACACACCAATGGTGGTCGCTCATGCCATTTGGACTCTGTGTCACCATTTCGGCTGCTATGGGCCTGGAACTGTTTGATTTCCCACCATGGAAATTTTTCATCGACGCTCATTCGCTGTGGCACGCTGCTACCGTGATTCCCTGTTTCCTGTGGTACACATGGATGAAGAAGGATCTTCAGTACGAGGAGCGAGCAGAGAAACAGGAGTGAGGGTACAAGAGGGTTTAGCCGGTCAACCGGTGCAAGTGGTTCGATGGACAAGGACAAGGTCTAATTGATAACCCGGTGCATGAAGTCCAGCCGGTACTGCCTGGAGATGAGAGGATGTAAATATTGGAGTCAAGTAGTAACTCTGCTACTATACAACACCTGTAACATCAGCCCATCGCCGTTTGCTGAAATAGCTAGAAGAGGAAGAAGTAGAATCATTTGTATTTCTGCGAGCCTCCAATATGCTCCGGTTCCCTCAAATATATGTCAATTATAGATACCACTATCTGGGAGGTTCAACATGAAGCTTTTTTGCTTGCTATTATACAAGTTTAGTTGATGATTTAATGAAAACTGAGATCGAGGTAACAGTCAGTCCTAGTCATGCGATTCACGCGCAAATTGTCAGACCTTATACCAGTTAGAAAAGACGGCATCTGAAGGACTCTCCAGTACCAAATCAAAGTCTCAGGCCATGGATTAATGGGATTCCCCAGACACTCCAACTTTGAGTAGATCACGGCTCACTTCGGGCAATCTTCTAGAAGTACTGTACATACTGTATTTTTTAAATGGTGTTTATTTTGAAAGGAAACGAAGAATCCGCAATCATCATTGGTTTCGCTATAATCGATTTACCGCGATGGCGAGTCATCAGCCCGTTTGGACGCAGTCAAGTCTGCAATGATATCCAGTCAAGCTGAAACGATACACAATTGGACTAAAACAAACATTTTCCCAATATATTGCTATCATTAGAACCAAAAGACTTCAAGAAAAAGGATTCTGCAATTTTTTTCAATATTGACCCATTATTGGACAGTTTACGGAGTGTTAATTCTCGGTCAATAAAGCTAAAAACATCTCCAGGTAAATGGGAGAGACAATATTGCAACAACTACGCTAAAGTAATTATTGCAGTATAACAAATACACAGTTAATTTCCAATATTTACGTAGACTGGAGTGGCGTTTTCCCGATGAACGAACAAACACGAGAAGCTATGTGGACCAACATACAACACGGACTGAACCAGGTTTTTTTATGATTTTTTTACTGGAAATAGGTACGTGCCAAGTTGGACCATGACACTAAACGTGTTTAATTAGTAATATTCGTGTAAGCGTACATTCATTTCAAAGGTTATTCTTTCACAGCAAAGTTATAATTAAATGAATGTATATGCAGAAAAAAAAAAAAATACGTATTACTGTAAAATGAACCCAACTTGCCTATCAAGTAAATCAGCTCTTCTCGGACATATTCTGGACTGCTTTCTCTTCTCTCTTTTTTTTATAACATGGTACATGAATCTCTATAATCCTCAATAATGTCGCTCGAGTCCAACAATTCAACAATGTTGAGTACTAGTCAAGATTAATGGCCTCACTTTTTAATGACATGACCTTTTAATGACATGACTAATATGACAGGACCTTTTAATAACATCACTTTTGTTGGTGATCAAGAAGGACTGAAGAACCAAAAGTAACCATTGGATAGTTCCACTTTTCCAAATAAATCGACTAACTTCTTCACCTAGAATTATTCAACTTCAGTTCTCTGACTTTCTCAAATGCTCTTCCCGACAGACCTCCAAATGTTCCAGATCACATATAACATATAATGAGATATTAATGAAGTGAAATTCAATCGATAATTCCATTGATATCCCTAATATCCAATATCTACCATTTAAGAGTAACTGAGTGCTCATAAAAACAATCTCGTTACGACCAAGAAAAAACCAAAAGAAAACTGCAAAATGAAAATTGCAAATTGAAAACTGTCATTACAAGATACCTTTATATAACGACTCACCATTATTATACTCCCATAGTAATACCATTCTCGCTACCCATTTCCACACAAATACACATCAATATCAATCTGGTCTGGGGTATATTCCTCGTTTACCCATTGACCACTGGAATCCTCTGTCAATCCAAATCACAGCAGTATTAAGAGAAAAAAAAAACAGAAAATTTTATACCATTCGAACCACCATTCTCCATCTTTTGCTGTGTTTCTAAATCAATATCAGTATTATTGATATCTATAACTTCGTTCGTGACTCATAAAACTTTGAACCCTCAATTCTACTTGTAGTACTTGTAGAACACTATGTACTATAGTGTACACTACAGAACATACTAAAAGTAGTACCCCATCTACTTCCTATCGACTAGTTCCTATTGCCAAGTTTCGTAAAATCATGATATTATGCATGTGCTCTGTGCACAAAGTAATAGCAGCATCGGCAGCATCTATATCGCCGCGCCGACTGCACGTCTACCACCTGGTCCCTCACCTCGCCTTAATACGCTGCACCGCTTCCACTTCGGCAAGCTATTCCATCTCTTCTTCTTCACACGGTTACAGTAGCATCCTTCGCTGAGCTTAGAAAACTACTGCATGAAACGCTCCAACTCCCCAGCCGAGTTCCGTCGTCCCCAGCCGCTGGGTTGCTTCTTAATGAACGCACCCACAGCACCCAGGTACCCCTCGTGTCGCAAAAAGTAAGCTTGTTTACTTCCCTGACTCCAAAAGTTGATGGCGTAACTCAGAGTATGCATGGTTTGCAGGTGGCCCCGGATGTACGATCCGCCAAAGTAAATGTGCTGGAGATTGTGGATCTGCGCTTGCAGAAATGCAATCTGGCCAATGTTGTTGGAAATAGCGTAGAGAAGCGACCGAGAGATATCCTCACTCTTGAACAAGTCCCGAGAGGACTTGGGCGCGTGAGAAGATGCAGAATCGGTGGACGATGCCGAAGCTTCGCTCTTGGCGTCGACGTCACCCCCACTCTTGCCGTCGCCTCCATCACCTTCTCCACTTTCACGGTCCCTCTGAATCTCCTTGAACACTCGTCCAAAACTACTGGCAATAGTTGTCGCCTTCAGGCCAATCTTTGTGTAGTCCTGGCCATAAATATCACCCACAAGCATGTCCACATTCGAATTGTCTCCTTCGGCAGCCTTGGCAAGCATCTCGTCGTAAGACGTAGCGTCGGTAAGAAGCGACAACAGGCCCCACAGAGTGCCTCCTCCAAGAGAGGAGCCACCGATACGCACAAACTGTTGCGGACCAAGAACTTTGATCATGCTAACGCCGGAACCAATGTTCACCAATAGATACGGGTAGATGGACGGCTGGCGGGGCTCGGCAAACACCATTGGGTTCGTTTCCGAGTAGCAAAAGACCTCCTCCGGGATTTCCGTGATGAAGAAATCCAGCCCAGCAATCAGACACTCCATCTCGTCCTCACGAGAGATATCGGCGCCCAGCTCGTTGCGCAACCGCTCGTAGAACTTGTATGCGCCCCCTCCGGTCGCCATGATGCGCATGTTGGACTGTTGGGGCTTTGTGGGACTCGCAGCAATGGTGGAGTCGTGGGATGATGACCGGATCGACGAGCCGTCGGGGGTGAGTCGCTCGTTGGACCGGGAGCTGCGTCGATGATTGTCTTGAAGACGAGACATGAGGCCCTTGAGAAAGTCAATCATGTCATCTATCTTGTCCGTCTCAAACACTGTAAAGTTGAGACGACCACCCACGTCCTCTAGAGTGTCGCCGTTAGGCTCGTCGTGACTGAAGTAGACGATTTTGGCCAGTGAGCCGCCAATATCAATGGCAATGTGTGACACATGGGCCGTGTGGTGGGGAAGAACAATGTCTCGTGTGTCGGGGGGCGTTTCTCGGCCATTCTGATCCTTATTAACAATGAAAGCGCCCTCCACGTTAATCTGAATGTCACCGGCGTGGAGGAATTTGAGGGCAGAGGTGCGGGGAGAGTCCCTGGACCGAGCTGTGATATCCTTCAGTTCCTGTGTTGCTTGTTGCATCTACGTTAGTATTGGAGTCGACGCGCTCTGGGTGGCCGAGATGTTGTCTGCAGACCTAGATCCCCAGTGATTCTGTAGAATAGGGTGTGGAATGGCATTCGCTGTGAGGTGACAACAGAAAGTGTCACACTGTGTACCTGACTCCCGTTGCATTAGAAGTGGAACAGTAGATCGTGCCGCTGACAGCAAAGGAAGTAATAGCTGGCAACTGTGGCTCTGGGTAAGACTGTCGGGCAGAACAGCGTAGCCAGGGGACAACAACATGTTGAAGCATGACAAGCCTGTGACAGTCGTAACCGTTCAAGGGCATAATCCTACTGTACGAGAGCTTTAGGAGGTTGACTAAGGCCGTAGCCATGGCCCAGAGCTGACGACAGCAGGTGAAACTGGAGATACCAGTGACGTCGCGGTGAGCAGTGGTATCGCAGATCCGCAGATGCATGGTACAGACCAGAGCACAGCACCATTGTAAACTAAACATCACAATCACACCATACGTTCAATGTCTGGAACAGACATCAACTTCGGCCAAACCAGTCATAGTCTGCCCCTTTCCAGCTGTGCCTGCTCTCTAGTATCCGTTGCACTCCAACTGCTTCCATACCATGCCAACTAGCTCTAGCTCACCTCCCCCCAACTAGCTCACCCACCATCCCGATATCTTATCGCAGCGACCTTGTCTCAGGATGCCACCCATCTTCCCACCCCATCACACCGCCGTTAGCGGTTGGGTAATACTCACTGTCGTGTCTGTGTATGCTAGATGGCCCGATTCTCAGGGTCTGTGTCGTTCTTCTGTGTCTGTATCCGTGTCTGTGGCTGTGTCTGGGTCTGAGAGTCGTTCACTGTCTCGGTGCTGTTCCGGAGTGAGACGTTTGTGTCGGTGTAGTGTCCGTCTGTGTAACTTGCTGAGTCTGAAGCAATGGAGCAAAGTGCCACGAGGAAGAATGTGACGATGCCTGGATGTGTCGCGTCTGCGTCTGTGTCTGTGTCTGCGTCTGGTCGGCCGTGTTTGCACACAAATCAGTCTGTCGGTGTCACTTGCACCTCTCCACGTCCGGACTCTAATGCTATCTTTTTGATTTGCACAGACGCATTTTAGCTCGGAACCTTGGCACGAGACTAGTGGCAACCGAGGCGATGAGCCGGTGTGGGAAAGAGGGGCGCACAGTGGGCGTATCCACATAATGGATGAGTCACGTAGTCACATCATTCCGCCCCGTGGTCAACTCTTAATCTGTCGCTGCCTGGACGGCGGTCACCCAGACGTTGTCTAGCCGCTGCTGCTTACTCCGTAACCCCTAACACTTCTCCACACACCCGGTTACCTCGCACTGCAGCTGGCATGCACGGGTTTTTTTTTGTTGGGGGGCTGAACAAGCGAAACAGACGCCGAAAATTGAGCGTCTGGGGTTAAATGAGATGACGGGGCGTGTAGCCGAGGCAAGGCGGGAAAGGTGATGGAAAACCGGCACAAGGCGGGGCTAGGGGTCAGGAGAGCGTCTTGGATTTTTTATGGGGTTTTTATGGGATTTATTAGTATTTGTAAACTACTTTTTTGTCTGGTCCGGTAAAAGCAAGGCGAAAATGACGATCTAAAAACCACCAAACGAAAATCAAGTCAATTCTGAAAGTCTAGGAAAATGGGAAAATGGGAAAATGGGAAAATCTGAAAGCAACAAAAAATAGGAAGATAAATAAATCTGAAAGCAATAAAAAATAGGAAAAAATAGAGAGGAAAAAGAAGAAGAAAAAAAAGAAACACCGGGGAAAATCAGACACACGCGGAAACAGCCGAAAAAAACACTTGCTCACAATTGCACAATTGATACGCGCCCAAAAAATCTCCAGAACACTTCTTCATACAGTCACGTGACGTCGCTGAGGGCAATAAAAAATATCAACTCTATTTCTCCTTTCGGCCGAACCACTCCCCGAAGGAGGCTGAGTGGAGGTAAACCCTGTTTTATGCGGTGGGGTGTGTGAGTCTTGTGACGTCATTTGTTATATAGCCGCATTCTGAGACCATTTAGTTGAAGTTTTTGTTGAGTAGTGGAGCTGTCAGAGAAACTTTCACGTGGACTGATAAGTAATCGTGATTAGTGAAAGAATAGGTGAAGTAATAGTTGACAAAATCCCCGGGGTCGATATCTGAAGTCTTAGTGGTGGAGGGGAATGGGAAGGCATGAAAATGGAGCTCATAAGTCGCCAAACAATTTGGAAATGTCATCCCCAAGCAGACTATTCTTGAACATCTGTTATATACTCTTGTATCCATCTGTGTACACCCACGCAAGTTTCACCTCTGCTATTCACGATCATCCCACTGGGGGGAGGTACAGAGTCTTCAGAAACTTGAATAACGCTCATTCGATTCTTTCCATATTTCTCTGACTAGAACCAGAAGTGCTTTTCTGATTAGATAAACTCGATAGAAGTATTTGTATAGAAAAACATTTGATAAGACAAGTTGTACAGTTTATTGACTTCACATGATAGGAACATTGCATGTCTCTAGATTGTGCTAAAGAGACACCAGGGTGGTTGATGAAATTTGAATCAGGTTCTGAAAGCGTTCTTGACATTCTCCAAAACTCCCCATAGAGCTGTCATATTTGTAGCAAATTCTGAGAGCATATATCTACTCACTAATCTATATGCAGACATTCTTCTACAAGTCGCTACTAGAACGACACTAAAACACTGAAACTTGGATCTCAATTCTGGGGTCATGCTCTACACCGCTGTCATCTCCTACTTTGCACCTCTCATCTCTTTGTTTCGTTGGTTAACTTTCTATTATAAATATGTCTATAGACAATGTCTGTAGCAGACGGGACACGATATCAATGGAAAAAGACCTGTATCCGGAAGAAAAACGGTGTTGGGTATTCAGACGGTTCTAATTGATGTTCGAATATTCGGCTTCTTATGTAAAAGACGGAATATGAGACCTTGTAGCGTCATAGTAGCGGTTTCTGTGACTCCTCAAATTGTAGTTTTGGTATAGGGCTGTCTGATTGCGAAGTCTAGCAGGTCTTGCATCGCTCCTTCTCCTCCAACTCCTTGTCCAGCTTTTTGCTAATCTTTCTCCACAGCTTATAGAAGCCCACAGAGCCACTTGCCAGTCCAGTTACTGTCTGGTAAATGTTACTCAGACCCTCCGGCTCCAGACAGTCGATGGTGCAGAAGATAAAGTCGTTAGCGAGTTTGAACAGCGTCAATTTGGCATCCCAAATAGCCGCCTCGTCGCCAGACTTAGCCGCCAGCTGATAAGTTTCTATGCCGACCTTGATATTAATGAAAATGGCTCCGTACCATCCCCAGTTGGCCATGAGCTCTCCGTTTCGGCCGAGTCTCTTGCCCTTGACCACTCCAATTTTGCTGAGACAGTAAATGTCGTCACCGATAGTGTTTATGACCTCCATGAGCTCCGATTGGAACGCCAATGAAGTCAAGGGGTTCTTGGTTGTGACCAAATCCTCCACAGGACCCAACCACTCGCCTAATTTGATGATTTTTCGGAACTGCGAAAAGTTGGAAACCATACCATTCAGGCGCGACTCCATCTCGGCCAGTTTCCATAAAAGCATCATTTGTTTGTGTCGTGTGAACCACCCCTGTTTGGCCGCCCAAAGCAGAAGACGTCCTGTGTACTGGATCAGCTTGATGGTCTTGTCCAGACCGCCCTTTTCCGCAAATAGCGTCAGAAAAACGCGCCATGGCGACGCGTGCAACGGAGGACGAGCTGCGTCGGCAATACTCCGTTCAGCAATAGACATGGGCACCGGAGCAGGGATTTCTGTTGTGTTGTCGATGATCTCGGGTTTATGTGCTTGGAACTCCTTGATTTCCACTTTCTCGTCGATTCTGACAGTCTTCTGCGAATCTCCAGCCGGTTTCGTCCGTCCAACCAGCTTAGACACCATGTTTGGTTCCCCCAAAGTCGTCATTTTGATGAATACAGGTTGGATCATGCTCAACGGTATTATTATAACGGTTTTGACTTCTTACTGCAACTGTTGTCAACAACTTCCACAGGACTTTGACCACGTTTGGAGAAAGGAGAAACCTCAGAGATACCGAAAAAACTCCCCCTGAAGCTGTATAAATCACCGGAAAATTTCACTCCAACTTTTCGCTCTGCCATAAACCACTTTACCACGGGAATAATCCCCTTTCTGATTGGCCTCGGCTCGGTCCATTAAAGTTTCACGTGTGCTACAACCTGCACCAAACTGCACCACCAAAATGCGTGCATACTACACCAAGGGGTGCACTGCACGATTAGTAAGAGAATGGTGATGCAAAAGCACCAGAAGAGGGGGGTAGAGGCGTCGCGTGACCACCTTTCTTCTGGTGGCCGTCTCATTTCACGTTACCACCTTCTTTCACGTGACATACCCCGTCCGCTCTCGCCTTTGACAGCAATTATAATCGTGTGAATGTACAAGTACCCCTCCATACCACCCCTCATTTTGTGTGTACACCGTTGACGCATAGTTATGTCCCCTGGTGACCCCCCACGGTCCTGTGTGGGGAAACGAAGCTGATGAGGCAATTCTACGACGCCATATACGTCTCCTGACGCATATTCCGGCCTCTTCAAATAGGAATGTGGCTCTTTTATGAGTTTTTTCTTGAGTTGTTGAATAGCGTTGATTCCGCGTTTTAGAATATATATTTTTTGGTTGGGACTTTTGATTTGACTTATGTTTTATTTTATAAAAAAACATATACAGTTGCGGTTGGAATATATAAACGTCGGTCGGTTCGATTCTCAATTGTGTGCAATATGACCCGAAAATATATCTTGTAATGAGCGTATTACTTTGATGAGCGTATTACCCACTTGTTGAAAGCTCAGCGTGGGTAAAGCTGACACGAGAAGAACAATTGTTAGTGTGGTTTGTTTCCAGGGTGGCTCGGGAGTGGGCTGGATCGAACCCACGGCCTCCCTGGCCTGGAGTATGGAGTCACCATGACAGAGCTCTTTGAGGCCATATTAAAGAGACATGAAAAAAGGATAGAGCCAGTTTTGTATATTTAGGGAGTTTATATATCCTATTGTTACGAATTAATTTGTTCATGTAATCTCTGAGAGAGAATCTATAAGCACAGTAGCAGTACATACTTGAACGTTGCAGTTGAGTGAAAAAATCCAGATAGCGGAACTTGAACATATAGAAGAAAGCTACCAAGTTACAGTACAGTACAACAAAAGTGATAAAGACAAGTTATTTCACGTGATTATTTAAATCACAAGGATTTTGTTGCTTTCCGAAATACACTGGCTGTTTTATGAGCTCCCAGATATACAATATCGCGACGCGTTCACGGGTGTAGTATTTAAGATTTGGGGCGTATCCACGGCAACGGTATCGTGCATGAGTTTGTTGGGCACACTCAAGCACACCTCTACTCCGTCAATGTCTCTATCTATCGACAAATACAAGCGGATTTACCGCAAGAACCCACTTCCCGAGGTGGCTGACTACGCGGCCGAGCTGCAGCAGTCACGTGAGCAGTTCAAGAACGTCAAGTTTGCGTTTTTAGAGCAGGAAAACAAGGAAAAGTTCATTCGGTCGTTGACGACGAATGACAGGGTGCTGGAACAGGCTGATATTGATGCCGTAACTGCTGAGTCAGCCACCGGAAAGGAGCAGCTTCGGGTAGAGAAGCGCAAGGTGGAAGAGATTAGCAAGGAAGTGGAGGAGTTGGCTCAGGAGGTGGTAGCCAAAGACGGAGCCTTGGAGGAACAGAAGGAGAAAAAAAAGAAGCTCCAGAGTGAGTTGGCGGATGTGCAGAAACAGGTGTCAGCTCTCCAGGATGAAAGCCATAATCTCCCACCCCACCTGGCTGAAATGATGGGTCAATCTTTACAGGAGTTGGAAATTCAACTTGAACAGAGTAAAGCGGAATTGCAGACCAGTAAAGAGATGGTGACTCAGGTCGAGGAAGAACTGGTGCCACAACTGAATCAGGAGTTGGCGGACAAGAAGGCCGAGACGGGGGCCTTACAGGGAGATCTCCTGCATGCTACTGCAGAGGCTGATAGAGCTGTGGCCGAGAGAGAGAGGTTGAAGGGGAAATACAATGACAAGGAGCGGTTGATTTTGTGGCTCAAGAGTTCATTGGAGGTGATGGAGCAGCAGTAGTCAGATCAGAGGAGATATGGTGAGACGCATAGACTTAGTCCGGGTGTCTACATATGGTCACGGGTGTTCCGGGTAACCACCAAGGGATTCCTGATGTCTGAATGTGACCGTTGTCTGTGACCGTTGCCTGCGACTGTTTGTCTATGACCGCCAGCCTATGCTACCGGTATCTCGCTCCGCCTATTTTGTCTACTTATGGCCATCCGTTCAGGCCAGTGCGGCAACGGTTCAGACATCCGGTTCTAGATTTCAATCTGTTCATGGATATTTTGTGAAATGCACCATGATTAGCGATGTACTGCCATGATGTGTTGTGAAATTTGTTGGAATCACGTTGAAGTTGCTTGAGGAGTGTTGCTATCGAGAATCTGAAGTATTGCTTTCTAGCTTCTCAGGTGAATTTCCCAATTTGGTGTCTTCTATTGACTTCAGAAACACTTGTTCAATGTCTGTCCCTAAACAACGACCTTTTCAGGTTTCTGCCACATCATCGAGATATGTCACGTCTTTCTCTAGTCTCATACAGTTCTTGCAGTTAACATAACCATATTCTGCACTGAACTTGAGTTGATATCTGGCAGTATGTCTACTACTTGAACATTTAGTTGACGTCTGTTCGGACCAGATCATGATCAGTACCGATGGCACGTGACAGTTCCGTCTGTGTAACTAGATGATGCATCAGCAGCTATTCTGGTGCTTCTTCCAGTTCATTTTTCCTATTATCACCACATGATTACGGGGTTCACTAAGACCATCTGAGGAAATCTGGCCGGTGGAATAGTACAACAGCTAGGGTCACACGAGTAAATGTATTGACATCTGAAGTCACATGGTCAGCTGTATCTGCATAGAGATGCCGTTAAAATGGTTTCATCTGGCGAAACCACTCATAGTGAGTCGTTTTATGGCTCTGTCTACGGTGACTTACTAGTAGATCCATTTGGTCTTTACTCTAGCCAGTTAGCTGTATATAGCCCAAGTCCCATTGTTGGTGTCTCAGGTCTTGATAATTCCCCTAGGTCTCCGAGGACGTCAGTATTCCACTGGTAGTCACTAGTCTTAGTCTACTCTAGCGGAAGTAGCGTCTATCGCACGGCTGACGTGTGGCTGAACCACGTTGGCAATGCGCGTCCTAGACTAGCCGTTACCCCATCTACTCTTCGCTCTTCACCCTTCACCCTTCACTCTTCTGCTTCAACCTCAGCCGAATTACAGAGACGCCTATCGGTCCCCCAAAGCTACCTTGATCTACATTTACTTTGATCTACGTCCACCTTTATCTACACACCAGATCGATCCATCTACTCCAAGCCTGATGAATCAACAGGAATAATGACAACATTCATTTTATGAGCTCATTAGGGGCAACACGACTGGCTGAATCTTCACCGGTTACCTCTGAGAAATAGCATGGTAGCCCAGACCGGCTCCCACACAAGCCAGACCTCCCACCAGTCCAGAGCTCTTCTTCTGCTTGCTAAACAGGTTCGAGAGATACAGCAGCGTCTGTGCAGCCATAAGAATGGCCCACGTGATTGCCATGTTGATCTGCCAGTTGTAGACTTCGTTGCTGGGGTACGCAAACTTGATGACGGCCTTGATGGCGGAAATCAGGAAGGCATACAGCGCCATCTTGGTGAACTCCCTAACGGTGGCGGTGTCGGCCGCGCTTTCGGTGATGCCCGACACGGGGGTGTCTTTTTCACTCTCAGTCGTATCGCTTTTAACGGGGGCGTTTTTTTTTTCGGTTGGTGACGGCCATGGTGGAATGTGGGGATAGTATGGTGAGAGATATGAGTCGAAGGTTGGGGTTCGTCGTATGCATGTTATGCATAACATGCATTTAACCTGCATAATTTGTTTCAAGGGGATTTGTGAATGGAACAAAAATTGATGCTAATACTGATCCTAGGGAAAAACGGACAAAACTAGTAAGTTTGAAATCACTCCAACATCACTTCAATATGTTTCGATTTCTGATTGGACCCTTACTAGTCAGTTCAGATGCAACGTCAAAGTGTCAGAATCTGGGGTAACTAAACTTTAATACCAACTCACCAAATGTGGGGATACTTGATTGGCAGAAAATTGGTTATATCAACCTGAATGAAAGAAGTGTGGATGTGGAAGACTTACCAATCGAATTCCATGGGCACGCATACTCGAAACAAGTGACACAAACAAGAATATCGCAGTGATACTTGCACTTTCACCGAAGCAGATCCCCTCCGGAACAAACTCGGGGCCAGAAAAATGCCACAAAATTTTCGTATTTCGTAAATCATAGAATCATTATTTTTTATACATACACTAAACCGAGTCACTTCGGCCCCGAATAACGCCGTCCTGGACGAGCTTGTTGATCTCGGCATCAGAGTACCCGACCTCTCGGAAGACCTCAAAGGTGTGCTGACCAAGCAGAGGCGGGGGCATTCGAATGTTGGGCTGCGACGTCTTGTCAGAAAACTTGACGGGGACACCGACGAGTTTCATGGGACCACAAACGGGGTGATCCACAGTCTGGATCATGTCTCGTGCCACAACGTGCTCGTTGCTCAGCGTGGTCTGAATGTCGTTGATAGCGGCAAATGGGAAGTTGAAGACCTTGAAGATTTCAACCCAGTCGTTGGTCTTTTTGGTCTTGGTCACCTCGTGAATGGCAGGCACCAGAATGTCTCTGTTCTTGACTCTAAGGGCGTTGGACAAGAACCGGGGGTCAGTTTTCCACTCAGGCTTGCCCAGAGCGTCACAGGCCAACTTGAACAGATTGTCGTTGCCTCCTCCGATCATAATGCTTCCATCGGCGGTATCAAAGGCCTGGTAGGGGCAAATGGACGGATGCGCAGTTCCCTGTCGGCCCGAGTCAGGCTTGCCACTGATGAGCACCTGAGAGGCGATGTTGGCAAGAGAAGCCACCTGACAGTCGGCTAGAGAGGCATCGATATGCGTGCCCTTGCCGGAAACGCCTCGCTTAATGAGAGCTGCCAGCACGGAGTTAGATGCGTAGAGGCCGGTGGTGAGATCAGTCACGGCTACTCCGACCTTGGAGGGAGCTCCATCCGGTTCTCCGGTGATATGCATGAGTCCCATTTCCGCTTCAACCATGACATCGTAGCCGGGTCGGTGCGAGTAAGGTCCAGTCTGGCCGTATCCTGTGATGGATGTGTAGATGAGCTTGGGGTTAGCATCCTTGAGATCATCGTAACTGAGTCCATACCGTTTGAGAGTGCCAGGAACGTAGTTTTCGACAAACACGTCAGCAGAAGCAATAAGACGTTTGAGAGCAGCCTTGCCCTCGTCCGACTGGAAGGACAGGCCGACGGACTTTTTGTTTCGGTTCACGCAAAGAAAGTAAGCCGACTCGCCAGGTGCTGTGCCTGCAACCTCCACCATATCCCTACTGACTCCAAGAGAGTCATCCGTCTTTGTGTATGGCGCAAACGGCGGACCCCAGGCTCGAGTGTCATCGCCACGAGTCGGGTGTTCGATTTTGATCACGTCTGCTCCCAGATCAGCCAGCAATTGTGTGCAGTAGGGTCCGGCCAGAACCCGAGACATGTCCACCACTCTGACCCCAGCCAGAGGAAGCGACGAGCCGGAGTTCAGGGCACGTGACGTGCTGGAGAAGCTTCTGATGTGTGAGAACTGTCGAACGCGATTGATACGAAGCATTTTGAGCGACTGTGCGTGGTTCTGAGTGTGGTTCGGTGATCTGGGGTCGATCCGCCGTCTTATATATAGCAGACTCCATTGTGCAGATGCGCGGTAGTTATTACCCCAGCTGAAACGCTTAGAGTTGGCGACTAGCACTAGGTCCAAAGAGGCGGCATCTCTTGCACAATCAATTGAGGGGCCATCGGTTCGATTTCCACACCCATCAGATTGATGACTGCTGCTGCAGTACATCTATGTGGGGTATTGCCCAGTTGCGGGCACGTGACCTGTGTGAGAAGCAAATGTCGGGCGGCCCGAAAATTAGATGTAACCTTCACCGGACGGGGGTGAAAAAGTATCGCGTCACATGACCCGAAAAGAAAAGTAAGCGTCGAGTCACGTGACGAAACTGACTCTGGGGTCCGAAGCGATGGGAATAAGGCACAAATCTGGCTGAGTATCGTAGCAGTATCGTATCTTAGTCTCATTCTTGGACTGTCTACTCCAAGGTCCTAAGAGTGCAGTTAAGGTTCGTAGGCTCCCAAGTATACTCTAACTAGATCTCTAAGTATCTGTACTTCAGTAAAAATGATAATCTTGCCCCAGCTCGATATTTATAGAGACAAGTTGTTGATATTTGTGTCTTTTTGGTATATTAAAGCGTGTATTAAGTCATTGGTATGTGTTTCAAATTTCTCGAATCTCCATAATCCTGATTTAAGACCCCCAGCGGGATTTTGTAATAACTATTCGCCAAGTAAATTCCAACTTTTTTTGGCAACCACACTGAACATAATACTTCTTGCCTCATCGCAAATGTTACCCACATCATCTTCCACTTCCTACAATTCGGTCACGTGACTACCCATAATCCTCCTCCCACTCACCCTTCTGTCACGTGACCGGCTATTACCCCGCGATCACGCATCTTCCTGCTTGCCCCTCATTTAAACAAGCCGCATCATGTTTTTTCACTTGACTCCGACTAACTCCCAACGGCGGCTCGTACGTGAAAGAATCACATGACCTCCAAACCCTAACCCTCGACATGATTGTTGGACCCAAGACCAAATTTCACTCTCTGTACAACCACATGTTTTCACAGACGTGCCACAAGTTCTCCGGGGTTGTGGACTCGTTTCTGGCTTCTAACGGCGGCGCGCTCCGCAAGGCGACCCAAGATCACGTGAGAGAGTCGCTGAGGGTTTTGCACGAAGCCCTAGAAAGATATGAGTGAGTGATTTGAGGCGAGGGGGAGGGAGATCCAACACTATTTGGAAGATATTAGCGGTTTCTAAGTGGCTTTGGGTTGTTATTTGAGTGTGTGGAAAGTGTCAAGTCGGATTTCAACTGGATCTCAGCCAACTTGGGTTCGTTCTAGGAGGTTCTATATCGATCTGTCATATTATCTCGGTATGGAGATAAGTGTGTGGAGGTTGAACGGATTTAGGATCCGCAAGCTTCAACAAAATCTCCAGGTCCGTTAAATGTCTATCACTTTCTCAACCTCCCCGGTCCCCCCTGGATCATGCACATTGTCACGTTCCTAATCCTCAAGCTAACACAGTCTCAACCAGATATCGCTCTCTTACAACGGCGGAAAAGACTGTCAAGTGATGGTCATTCTACTTTTAGCCGCTCTCTGGCGCCGTTTTGGGGAAGATCCGGCTGTTCTCAACAACCTGGGCGCCTTCAAATCCGTCTACGTGGCTTCAGAAAAGGCGTTTGAAGAAGTGGACACATTTGTGGACAATTCATGCCAGGAATACGGACTGCAGCAGATCCGGCTGTCTGAGCCAATGAAGGCTGCGTTCGAGCACTTTTTGAGCGAAAACCCTACCGTCAAGGCCATTATTGTTGGCATTAGAAGATCGGATCCGTATGGACAACAGCTCAAGCCGTTTGATCCGACTGATTCGGGATGGCCAGACTTTATGAGAGTCCATCCAGTGCTGGAATGGAAGTATGTGAATATCTGGGACTTTTTGAGAGGAACAGATTCGGCCTATTGCTGTCTGTATGATAAGGGATATACATCTTTGGGTGGCACAGACTCGACTGTCCCGAATCCCAAGTTGTTGAAAAAGGGAACTTGTGCCGAGTTTTTGCCTGCTTATGCGTTGGTGAAGGATGAGGAGGAGCGTTTGGGCAGATTTCGCAAGTGACGCCCTAGAATTGAGGAGAGACTGACTCCAAGTCACGAACGGACAACATCAGGGAAATGGGTGTCATGAAAGGGCATCAACAGATGTTGTTGTTGTTATGATTTGGTATTATCCTGGCCATACATCCTTATGAATAACCCTCGCCTCGTCTCTCGCATCACGGCATCACTGTGACAAGCTACTTTCTTCTGTATGTCCAACTTTTTCGAGGTCTCTCAAAAGAAAAGTCGAATCGCCCCCTGAGCTGAAAACGGGTTAACAGATGGACGTTATTCGGGCCTAATGATAAGGCACATCTACTACAGTACGTACCGCCGCAGGTGTGTATGTACTGAAGAGCATTTATGACATTATGATACATGAATACAATGACAATGATTATTATAAAAGGAATGAGGGCCTTCGACTTGATTGTAGTATCTGGACGTGATCAATCGAGCTTGAACCTCCGGGAACATCCCCCATTTTTCTAACTAAAAACAAGTATCACCAACTAATGTAGTTGACAGATATGTCGGGCAATATTAATCCGATGTGGAATCTGAGAGCATGATTGGATTTGTTTTGTCGAGACAAGTCTTTTGTTGCCAGAAATATCAATTAAAATGATATTTTAAGCCCTGCAGTAGGAGTACTGGTTCGAAGATACTTTGTTGCGGTCTGAACAAAAATCAAGTAAAATTTCAAGTACACGGATTGTAATTCTGTCAGTGGAGTAAAAACTCCAAATACGATGAATACCAACAAAGACAATGGGATAATAATTGTAGATAATTCGATAGTATCCTGATGTTGTTGATTGGCTCTTCACTCATTCATGTGTGGTCAATTCAAGCTAAGTAGTTCACCAAACATAGTAAGAGCATCACAAGAGATACTTTTGGTTCTGTAAGACTCCGGTGATTCCTACAAAAGTGTATCAGCCTCCATTTAATAACTTATTTCTACTCTTCACTCTTCAAGAGACCATAGCTTTGAATCTCTACTGGACTGGGTTCGAGATCTTGACCCACTTCTACTGCCAGATCTGCTTCCCAGCCTTGAACTCGCCGAACTGCTTCTAGAAGAGCTGCTCTTGGACCTAACCACTGGACCTCTGGTGGTCGTGGCACAGCCCAGATATTCCCTCAAAAACAATTGAAAGCCATACGAGTGGCAAACATCCGACTCGCTGCCGCCAAACTTGTACAAATACTGAATGTACAGGAGCTGGATCCGCTGTGAATTCTGCCTGTAGAACAACACAAACTTGTCCTGGGGAAAAACACCCGCCATCCACACCGCCCGGTACAACGGGTCCACAGGAGGAAGGTGTGAGTTGGTGTTCATCAGCAGGTTGCACTCGTGTCTGATTTCCTTTAGCCGTTGCCGCAGCAACAGATTGAGCGTTTTGGCCTGGTTGAGAGCCTGATGTAGGTCTCTGATTGTATCTACTCGCTCGCGTGTCTCTTTAAATCCCAGAATGTGGTTGCTCAATGTGCTGAGTTTGTCGCAGATGATAGCGTGTTCGTTGGGGCTGATTGAAAAGTGAGAAGGGCTTGTTCTCATAGAGCTGTGCATCGTTGATGATACATGTTCTGCGGAGGTATCTGACTCTGGGTCTGCTTCGGTGTCTGTGTTGGTGCCTATTGACACGTGCTCAGAGACCGTGTTGGTGCCAACTGACACATATCCATTCACCGTGTTGGTACTAGACGACACATACGTTGCAGTACGCGTACTAATATGTGGAACGTGTTGCTGGACTCTGTCAGCCAGAGCTTTCTCGGGCGTCGGCGCGGAGCCGTTAACCGGATCAAAAGACCCCGCGGGAGACTCGCGAGTCACGTGACAGGAGGGTATCGATTTGCGCGCGGTGAAAAGCATTTGCAGAGCGTGGTAGGTGGACAGTGTGTCCCACATCATCTCCACTCTCTAGTGGTGAGCCCCATTCTGTTTTGCTTAGAGTAGGATTATGTACATCCCCTATACTGCACCGACATGCAGATGTCTGCACTGTAAGATTAGATAGTCGATAAGATCGAACGATATTATTGTTGGGAATAAATTAGTTGATGCAATTGGTAGGCTGAATGTGGTATCGTACAGTACTCACGATTTTGTTGCTGGAATGGTACAGTACGATTTCTTAGTGCGAATGTACATACTGTACAGCACATACTGTATGTTTCGCCTGCCTGTGAAGAAAGTATCTCCCAGTCATAATACGTACAGTACAGTACAGTACTCGTACTTGTACTTTAGCACCTCCATGCTGTGGTCTATGGTAACTTTCCATCATCAACTGACCTCTCAATCTTCTCGGTGGTTGCTTGCACCAGCTGAGCAAGAGCTCGTCGCATGGCAGTATCTCCATCAGCTAGAATGTATAGCCGTTCCACAGACCTAAGAAACTGCTGCATACTTTCCAGGTACTGAGGCAGGTAGTTTGACGACATGGATGTGTCTGGGTGCGGCGTAGACGTCATAATGGAGCTGCGTCTTTCATTTGCACTAGACATGGAGACTTGAGTTTTCTTCTTGGCAGGTCTGGAGTCGGTAGCAGAGGTTCTGGAAGAACCTACAGAAGGTGGGAAAAGGGCATCATCGTCCATGGTATAGACATCTTTTCTAGGTCTTCCACGCTTTCTTTTAGGTGCTTCAGTTGGAACTGTAGTAGAAGTTCCACCTGGGAGAGTCAGTTGATACATTTGGTCTGCATCAACAGATACCCTACCTGTCACAGGGTGTTGCAGTTCAACCAAGTCTCCTTGACCAGGTTCCAGGTCGGACACCTGCACACTTCTCGACCTGCGGTCGCTTCTTGACATGGGATCATCGTCAACCTCATCGTCCAAACGAACGCTGCTTCGCTGCAAGCGCGAAGAGTTGCGTTTGGTGGGACTGGGGCGCTCCTGGACAAAGCTGTGGCGTTTGGCGGCCTTGGGAGTGCTGGTAGGAAGAGAGAAGAGCTCTGCACGCGACCCGATATCGCTATCAGAGTCTGAATCGGATCGGTGCACTTTAGGAGGTCTGTATTGTCGGTCCATCGTCTTTGAGGTGGAATCGGGTTGATCTTTCGATTGGGATCTTGTCTGTTCCAGCTCCACGCCCACGTTCCTACTACCTACCGGTGGTGAAGCTGGTGTTTCTGAGGCAGTCTCCTTTAGTTGCGTTTTCTTTTCCGCGAGCGCGAAGATCGGGTCTTCATACTCATCAGACAATGCCATCTCAAGATTTTTTGACTTGGCCTCAGTAACTACGAGTCGCCTCTTTTTGCGCAAAAGGCTTCTCGACTCTGACTTCGAGACCGGCGTCTCAGACTTTTCAGATTTTTCAGACGTCTTGGTATCGGAATTCTGGTCATGTTCCTCTGTCTCAAACAAACTCCGTGCTTCGGAACTCTCCCTGCGCAGTCGGAGCCTCTCTTCTCGTTCTCTCTGGACTTTGGCAGCCTCAGCTTCCTCCCTCCGGAGAGCTTCCGCGGCAGAAACCTGGTTTTTCGGCCCAGACAAAATATCCTCCTCTCCTATCTGAATTGATTTGTCAGGAGCACTGCCCGTTGATGTGGGACCATTTTCAGACATTTTTTCCACGGTGGCACCTCCACCGTACCCGTCCAGCTTGTATTTTGTCGTGAGAGTGTCCAGGGGAACTCTATCGTCGTGAGCGGGTATTTTGTTGTCTCTGACCTTGGTCTTGTCGACAGGGACTCGAAAAAGTGGCTTTGGCTTAGTAACCGGTGGGGTAGAGCTCCTTGTCGGTTTCAACACATCCTCCTCGCTGTCCACAGCATCCTCCTTTAGGTCAAACGTCACTTGCAGACCAATAAGACTCTTTGGTAGGCGCTGGTACAGAAGAGCCAGCTTTTTGGAGTACTCCTCGTCGGCCACCGAAGGATCTCGTTCTTTTTCTCGAAGCAGAATCAGATAATCTAGGAAATCACGCTTGATTCGGGCTACCCGGCTCCGCACACGTGTCATCAATCTGGGCTCCACCTGGCCAAACACACCCATACAAGCCTGTTCCATGAAGTCTCCGAACCGAGCCCCAGGTCGCATCTTCTCGTTCAGCTCCTTGGGACCCACGCTGTCGAACACAGCAAAGAGAGCGTCGATCTGCTCCGTCGGCCACGCGTCTTTTCGCGACATTAATTGGTGTTGTATTGGTACTGTACTGATAGGAGTAGTTGTGTGGTCGTAGGCACGATATTTTAGAAGCACATGAGTGCAGGAACCTTATCAGAACGCGTGAGGATATACAGTATAGGTACCAGTGGAAGGGAGCCTGGTTGTTTACTATGGCAAGGAGTTGTAATTTTGTGGGTCCTTGATTATGCTGGCTTAATCGTTTGATTTATATATGAATATTTACCAGTCACCATAGGAAAAGTTGGGATATAAGAAAATAACCAGCTCATAGTACAACTTCAACTCCTGGGTGGACTTAATAAATCAATACCAAAAGTTCAGTTCATTGTTGACCTTTGCAGGCTTTAGTTGGAGGTTTACTTTACACTGAGGGTGACAATATCAGGAGTAGTGAGTTGTTTCCAGCATGGGGATGAAGGAGAATTTTTGGGCAATGAAATATAGCAAGAAATCAGCAGAGGGATATGGATTCTAACGAAGAAGTTCCTGTCCTTTTTCAACCATTCGCGCAATATCACGATAGTCGGAATGTACATTCTGTATACTAAGATCGTCGATGTGAGACTTGAAACATGTCTTGTTACGCTGATACAACTTTGCTGGACATTTTTACACTCATTCATCCTCCATAATATCACTCCGAAATCAACTATTCGATACAGACGTCATCCTGAATGTACAGTTTGAAACACGGACTGTGAACTGGAGGTATCGCGCCAGACTGGGACCCTTGCTAAGCCTGTAAGTGAACTACTAACACTGGTCTCTTTTTCTCGCCACCTTCATTTACTATTTAGTCATTATCATAATATCATCACACAGAGCATCAAGTTAGGTACTCGAGAACCTGTAGTCCTCATGGCCTTCAATCCTGGTACTGTACTTTCATCTTACTTGTAAGTGTCCAGAACGTATCTGCCGGCAATCTTGCCCTCCTCCATCAGCTTGTAGACGGACTCCAGCTGGGAAAGACCCACAATAATAATGGGAGACTTGACAAGGCCCCGGGCGAAGAATTCAATGGCCTCCTGCGAGTCGGCTCGGTTGCCAACATAGGAACCCTTGATCTGAATGGATCGAGCCACTTGCTGGAAGATGGGCGACTTGCAGACAGCTCCAGCGGGCAGGCCGACCAGAACCACGGTGCCCAGAGTTCGCACGTACTCGACGGACTGGTTGACGGCAAACTCGGAGACAGACACGTTGATAACGGCGTGGGGTCCGCCCTTGGTGGCATCCTGGACGTCCTTGACCAGATCCTTGGACTTAGCAAAGTCGATGAAGACCTCGGCGCCGAGCTCCTTGCACATCTTCTCCTTGTCGGCGCCGGTGTCAATGGCCAGCACTCGGTAGCCCATGGCCTTAGCGTACTGGACGGCCAGAGAACCGAGGCCTCCTCCAGCTCCGGTAACGGCGGCCCACTCACCAGCCTTGAGGCCAGCGGTCTTAAGAGCCTTGTAGACGGTGATGCCGGCGCAGAGAATGGGAGCAATCTGGGCGAGGTCGCAGTTCTTGGGGATATGGGCTGCCTGGACAGCGTTGGCAGTGGCGTACTGCTGGAACGAGCCGTCGTGGGTGTATCCCGACATGGTAGCTTTAGGACAGTTGGGCTCGGCAGACACCTGGCAGAACTCACAGGTGTAACAGGCCTTGTTAATCCACTTGATACCGGCGTAGTCGCCGATTTCGAAGGTGGTCACGTTCTTGCCCTTGGCCACGACAACTCCGGCGCCCTCGTGGCCGCCAATGAGAGGAAGTTTGGTGTCAAGAGGCCAGTCGCCCTTCCAGGCATGGAGGTCAGTGTGGCACACTCCGGAAAACTTGACGTTGACGAGAATCTCGTCGTCGGCAGGAACAGGCACAGGCACGTCCTTGTACATGAGAGGACCGCCGGAGGTCTCGAAAATGACAGCCTTCTGGGTCTTGGGGATGGTGGTCATGGTGAAGAGATGGTAGTTGGTAGTAGTTTGGAAAAGTGTTGTTGTGAGAGTAGCTGAGAGCTGGTGTTGAATTGAGGACCACTCAGCCACTATATATATACCTGTAGAATCCCTCACACACAACACTGGGTTCCAAATCAGTCTCTTCCCTACTCCCAGGCATCTCCACACTCCCGAGAGAGAGGGGAAAGAAATTCGACTGTGGGGAGGGGTGCATGACAAGTGCAACTGAGATGGGAGTCAAAATATGGGTGTACGGAAGTGAACAGAATGAGACATTGTCTACTTGTACACTACCACTGATTTGACTGTTTTTTTCATAGTCTCGCTAAAAATGCTCGTAATTCGAAATTATGACATTTTCTCTTGTTTTTGTGGTCATATCAATATATCAGCTCTGTTTGTTTTTTATCCGTTTTTTTTCTTCTTTTGTTTTCATCTGTCTTTTTCTTTTTTTTGTTCTATTGTTTTCCGGGTATCTTTGAGACAACCTGCACCCCACTCCAATAACGGCTCATGCGCATACTCGGAACGCAGTGTCGTAATTAATATCATTCTTGTCTGACCACAGCAAGCTACAATGTTCTCTCTACTCTGTCTCAGGGGTTGCTACACTGCAAACAATCCTAGCAGTTCCTCAAAACAGTCTACATAGTACAAGTAGGTGCTGTACTTGCACACCACCAAAATCTAATATACATTGATAAATATACAGGCTCAGATGAACCATGCGTCTTCCACATGTCCGCTGTACCCTTCCATGCACCATGATACGTGATTCCCCTCGATGCTTCCCTTCATCCATTGATTGGAGCCGAAGAGAAGGTCAGAGGCGCATTCAGAACCCTTACGCTGAAACAAAGAGCGCAGAGGTGAAGATGTGCAGAGAAAGTAAAGCTGGATGGTTGTTCAGAAACAGTGAAAGCACGAAGAATGTCGGTGTCGGTGCCCAGCGCCTCGCTTGGCTCGTACTCGGGCGATTTCGAACACTCACTCGCTCGTATTTGATTATGCTTGTCGCTCTGCTTTGAACATGACCTGCAACACATAATCCCTGCGATCCTTATCCCAATGGTTCCAAAACTTACTCGGATGCTGATCCAGCTCCTTCGCAGGAATCTTGAAAGCAATTGTCTCATACGGCTCAGCCGCAATCAACAGATACTGAAACCTTCTGTCTGCCGGAACGTCCACCTTTTGCTCGAACGCAGACATGAATCTGTATCTTGGGGTGACTCCCGTGCCAATCTCTGCAAAGTTGATCTGCATAAGCAGACCCAGCTGCTTGGTCAGCGGGTCCTTCACCTTGGTGATCTTGTAACCGGGACGGCCGATTTTGAGCGCAGATTTCTTAATGTGGATTTTGTTGGCTCCGGATAGTTCCCGGTTCTGCTCCCTGGGTCCATCTCGACTCTGAGCTCCTCTCTTGGCTAAGTTTTGTTGATGCCGCTTGCCTTGGGTGTGGGAGAGATAGCTACCGTCGGTCACATGACTGGTGAGGCAGAGGCGACATTCAAAGTAGCCCAGGTGGTTCTTGAAAATGTATGGGTCTTTGGAAATGTCGAGCTGTTCACTAGCGAGTTTTCGGAGCCGTTCTCGTCGGTGAAGATTGGCTTGAGATTCAGAGGCCATTCCGCCGCCTGAGTTAGTATTGCTAGTGAATGACCCGATAGACGGTGGTCGTTTTAGCACGGTAGGGGCGGACAGGACAGAATGTGTCATGTCCAGCTCTCAAATACGTTAGACGACCCAGGCCATCTCCAGCGAGATGGCTCCATCCGCATGAAAAAAAAAGCCAGAATCAACAGGTTGCATCATGGTGAACAGCTCCTGAATGGCTACCAGACATAAGTTTGAGTAGCAGCAAGAAAACAGTTCAGTGATCATCAGAGTCATGTCTAACACTGCTACACAGAACTCCAATCATGTCCAGCTGAATGTGTTCATCACGTGAGCCTTCCTCGCATCTCCATACTCACCTCCTTTTTTCGATCCCACTCGATTTTGCATGTCCATTTTGCCGGATGTTGTGTGCTGTCTAACGTGTACTGGTCGTACTTTTTTTTAAGTGCTGGTCTGCAGTCAGTTATCAAAAGTTTATTTGAAGGTGGAGGGTTGTTAGACGGTTGTTGGACTGGTGTTCCAGGAGAGTTTTGGGAATTATAAAAGTTGGTTTTTATTTTTTGTGGCACACACACTGCTCTTGAACTCTCACTTTCTCAATATATCTGGCATTACCAGCTCCAGGCCGATTGTCAATCGTCTGTTGTGGCCCTACATCTACTTATTAACTATTACAATAACTCTAAATATTGGACCAACATGAAACTCTACTTTTTTCCACCATACGCGGTGGCACTGAACAGACAGAAACACTCAGAGCGGATCTGAACGCCTCCAGAAACAACAAACGCATACGAAACACAACCAGGAGGATCACCCATATAGCACTTATTGCTGGAATCACGTGACTACAAGCGCCGCAACAATCAAGACCACCAGACAGCGTCACTCTTGAGCCGACACGACAGAAGCGGCTACAAGATCTCTGAGACGAGAGGTCCCGCTCAGATTACGTGAGAAGGAACCACGATACTCTCACAATCCACAAACGCGCACATTTTGAACACGTCGTCCGCTACAGTTATCTCGTCACTTGACTCAGAGCACACCAACGACCGCCGTTATGGACAACTCCCTCCTGGGCATCCACAACGCCTATGGCAAGCCGCGGGAAGAAATCCCGCACCAGGAATTCCACTCGGATCTCGATCTTACCGAGAAACTCGATTGTTATACGGACGACCAGAGTTATCGAGAACCGCCTCCAAATCCGCGTCTGGACCCAACAGTGAGACTCAACAAGGCCAGTTTCACCCTTCTGCCCATGGACGAGTTTGATCTGGACGTGACGCCCGCGCTGGAACAGATAGGATACCAGATGACTGAAGAGTTTACCTTGCCTGATGAATACATGCAAGAACAGCCCGAGGTGGAAGGGGTGGAATATGATATGGACGAGCAGGATGCTTTTTTCATGGATATGGTTACGGAACAGTGGCCACCCGCCGAAGATAGCAGAGATTTCGGTGAAAGTGGTGCCGATGGTGCTCCCGATACCGATCAAGCTGTTGCTTCAGACTCAGCTACTTCACCACCACCTTCATCACCCACATACAACGCCGATGGACAACTCATTCTCCGAGGATACACACCGCAACCGCCACAAGGACCGTTTCCGCCGACTCACGAAATGTTTGAATACGTGGTTACTCTCATAGAACGCCACTGGTTCTCGCTGGCATCTTCCATGCCTCCAAAGCCGCCCCAGACACACGACGAAATGGACTCGCTGGATGACCAAGCATGTTGCATCTGCGGCGAGTCCGAGTGTGACAACTCTAACGCCATTGTATACTGCGACGGCTGCGATATGGCGTGTCATCAGGAATGCTACGGAGTGACCCACATTCCTGAGGGCCAGTGGCTGTGTCGAAAATGCAGCTTCTCACGTGCGCGACGACGAAACAAGAAGGGAACGTGCATCTTTTGTCCTTCCCAGGTTGGAGCATTCAAAATGACCACGCAAAAGAACTGGGGACATGTTATTTGCGCGTTGTGGATCCCCGAAATCAAGATTGGTGGTCGTAACATGGAGCCCATCAGTCACGTCCGTGACGTCCCCCGTAGCCGCTGGAAGCTACATTGTTACATTTGCAAGCAGCGCATGGGTGCATGTATCCAATGTGCACGGGGCAGCTGTGTGCAGGCATTTCACGTGACCTGTGCCAGACGAGCAGGTCTACAGATGGAAATGCTCCATGGCGTTCAGGGCGCAATTTTTGACGCAGGATCTATGAGAGCGTATTGTCACAATCATGGAGGAGACGACGACACTCTAATGAGGATAAAGGCGCTGCGAAAGTGGTTTGCCGAGAGGTATGATGGTAAAGGTAGGAGGAAGGCCATTGAGGACGTTGCTACTACGACAGAGTCCTCTGAACTTGGTAGCGAAGCTCCTACTCCGAGAGGTGGGGAGGGAAATGTGGCTACGACAACGGTCGAAGACGTTGTTAGTACCCCTGTGGACACGCCTGTCGAAATGGGCACCTCACAGACCCCTCAGCCAGCTACTCCTTGTGGAGAGGAAGGCAGGGACTTCCCAACTCCCTCAGAAGCAGATCAAACAGTTGTTACTGAGGTCTATCCCACCTGGAAAACACCCGCAGGTACTCCTCTTCTGCCCAAAGTCATCATCGACCGCATCTGTGATGCTTTGGAGCCGTTCAAGATCTCGCACTGTCGCAAGTTTGTGACTATGGTGGCCCGGTACTGGGCTCTGAAGCGGGAGTTCAAACGGGGCGCTGCGCTCATCAAACGGCTCAATATCGCTCTGGAAAACTCGCAAGCTGTGGCCTCCACTCAACTCGAGTCTGTGGAGGACAGACAGAAGCGATACAGAGACATGATTGTCCTGATAAACGAGCTGGAGCGAATCAAGGTGCGGGTAAAGCTACTTGCTGAACGAGAATCCGTCAAGCTGGATTATCTCAAGGTCCAGGGTGAGCTCATCCGAACGCTTCTCCTGCCTGTTACAGCCCTATGTCTCAGGCTGTGCGACGAGATGACCGAGCAGGATTCCAATGGGTACTTTCTGGAGATTCCCGAGATTCCGGGTTACAGAGAGGTGGTCGAATGCCCCATGTCCATGACGGAGATTCGGGAAAAGACCCTGAATCTGGAGTACGACCATGTGGCCCAGATGCTGCCAGACTTCGAAGTCATGTTTGACAATGCGTTTGTCTACAATGATAGTGAAGCTCCTGTGTGTGTGGAGGCCACGAGATTAAGGGGCGTGGTGAGAGGGCTGGTGGAAGAATACACGGAGAAGGAGAAGGAGAAAGAGTACCAGAGGTGTTTTGGGGAGGGGGAGAAAGGGGAGGTAGGGAAGGAGGTGAGAGAGGCGCAGAAGAGGCCGTTCACTGCTATTGAGTAGACTGCGAGGTGAGTGTGCAGCTCTCACCGAACGGACCAGGGTGAAATGAGTGTGTAACTCTTTTGTATTGGACCTATTAGGCAAGCATGCGTTGCCGCTCTAACCGTCTACACTTGTACTAATATTATTTATGCGATATTCTGTACAGTCTACGTAGCCTCTGGGGTTGTACATCAGTGGCTACCATTGCTAATGATAAGAGACCTGAAAACGTACAACATAGTGCACATTCCCAATGACCAGGGTCCATGAAAAGTATCTAATCGATTCACGAGCTGGCGCTGAGTCGATGGTGTAAAAATCATGCAGCTTGCGATGGTTTACAATTAATACAACTCGCAGTAGCACCATCAGCGACCTACTCTAACTAATCATCAAGTAATAGTGAGAGTTGGATTAAGTAAAACATCCACTATAGTACATACTGTACATACTGTACTTCTGATAGCCAATTTTGTAGGGAAACTGATAAAAATCTCCCTAATGTCTATGTATCTAGCTAACTATTGCCACAGGCAGTTCTTGATCTCTACTTGTACTGTTCTATAAGTAATGGGCACCAGCTATATTTTGGTACAAGTACGATTGGGCGTGTCAGTGACTTCCGTTACTTTGGTCTCCGAAACAGCCACGTAGGCTGGATCTGGAGTACAAGTATGTACTTATATTAAAAAACAAGAATTTGGGGTCGGTGGGGGTTCTATGAGACCATGTGGAGCTTTCATCTTTCTTGTCAGTTCAAGTCAGTACAAGTACCATAATACAGTATGTATTGTAATTGAACTCGAGAATACACGAGCTAAAAGGGGTTCATATAATGGTGCCCAAAGTTGATGTCAAAGTTTCAGATTATGCAATAATAGGGAATATTCCGCTTAGGTTGCCTACTGGTACTAAATCACGTGATATATCCATTCACCTGATCAATATCGCATTTCCACTGACGTTTAGTCAGTTCATGCGCGACACTTGAAACAATGGAGTAAATTTCATGCATGTATATTTCACCTTGCATACAGTACTACACTATCACCAACTCAACAACACCACACAACATGTCTTCTAACGACGCGACTTCGGACGATACAGACGCCACGGTCGAAGAAGACTTCAAACGGGAGCCCGAGACAGCTGCCAACCTCGAGAGCAACCCTCCTAGCGATCCGCCGGTTGAGAATGAAGAGGCGAGTGACAGTGACGAGCCTAGTGGTGGATTTTCATACTCTTTGTTGAAGAAGAGTGTTCCTATGAAAGAGAACCAAGCGGAGACAGCAAAGCCCGAATCTGTGATGAAATCCGACCCGGTTGTCAAAGCTGAGCTGCTCACGTCCGAGGCAGGATCAGCCACGCCCTCGGCTACTGAATCGCCTCGAGAAACGCCCTCCGATCTGATGTCTCCCGACCCCGATCACATTCCCAGCAAGTCTTCCAAGCGGCGTCAACCGAAACCCAAGAGCCGTCCTGCTCCGAAAAAGAAGCTGAAAGTCGCCGTTGCGAAGGACTACAAGTTGCCCCCCGGTGCTCCACCCGTTGACACCAGTCACCATGGCGACGAAGATCACCAGGATCTATTTTGTGTGTGCAGACGACCTGACGACGGAAAGTGGATGATTGGATGCGATTACTGCGAAGAATGGATCCATGGAAGCTGTGTGGGTATAACTCCAGCCAGAGCAAAACTCATGCACAAGTTCTGCTGTCCTTACTGCACACACAAGGCCGAAAAGATGCGTCCCGGCGAAGAGGCCACGGTGGCCCATCAGATGACGCTGAAACACGGCACAGAAACCACCTGGAAGCGCGTTTGTCGACTGGAAGAGTGCCACAAGGCTGTCTCATACCCCAGCAAGTACTGCTGCAGAGAACACGGTCTGGAGTACATGAAGGGCAGAGTGGCTGCTCTCAGCACCAACAGCAACTCAAGTGTGGCTGACGACACTGAGGAGCCGTTTGGAAAGCTTTCCGAGGAACGTCTAGCTGCCATCGTCCAACAGACTCCCAACCTGGCTGCGTTCAAGACTCTAGGCTCGACTACTCCCGTCGAAGCGTCTCCTGTGACTCCTAAACAACCCTCCACGCAGCTCAAGTTTGTGGAACAAAAGCTCAAGTACATGACTCTGGTCAAGGACCGAACCAAGAGTCTCAGTGAAGAGGCCGCTACAGCCGCGGGAGTAAGAAAGAAGGATTTATGTGGCTACGATTCGCGTCTGGACAAGGATCATGACATCTGGGCGAATGAATTTGCTGCCCAGGATGAACTGGTGGGTATTGCCATGAGTGATGATACTAGTAAGACAGTCACTCCTTCCCACGACGCTCTACACAACAAGGAACACATTTGCTTGCAGGACAAGCGGAAATGCTATAACCATCTAGGCTGGGCTGCTCTGATTACCGACCGGCTGAATTTGCAGCTGGCTATTCTCCAGCGGGAAATGGAGAGAAGCGAAGGCGACGAGGCCGATCTGAAGGAGATTGAGCGGCTGAGAAGCGTTGAGAGTAAGACGTGGATCAAGTGAGAGGTGGGTGTGAAGAGAGTCTGATTTGGAAGAGGTCAGAAATGTACTTTTAGATATTATTTATTGGAGTTACAGTACTTGTGAAAAAGTGAATCTCAGAGAAGATTATTGGGGATACACCTATGTACTCGTACAACAACTCGTACAAGTACATAAAATGATGTCTGTCCAGATTCTTCTGGTGAGGATACCCCAGCAAAGGTGCTAACTCCTCACTCCAGATTCTCAGCTATTTGTAGATTTAAGCGAAACATATACTTACAATTATACTTAGGTTTAGTTGAGGAAGGAGCCACCATAAACATACACCAATTGTAACCTCAAATGTCTTTACAGAGAGATATTCAGTAGGAAAATCGTTACATCTGTGCCGAAAGTAGAGGAGCCACAAATTTACTTGTATTTGACAACTACGGAACACGATATGACATCTCTCACTTTGTCAGCATCTCCCCACCATTTCCGGATTCTGCAATTAAGCTTGCATGAGATCACGCTTCAGATCTGAATCAGTCACACTCACCACCTCCATCAACAATGAGAGCTGTTATCCAGAGAGCCAAGAGCGGATCGGTGACAGTCGATTCGAAGATTGTCAGTCAGTGAGTATAGCAGGCGAAGAGCCACCGGAACCGGGGAGCATGCTCTGAGGAGACGGCCCATATGATACGAGAAGGGCAACGGTGGGACTACAGAAGGACGGATAGACAACAGAAGGAAACAAGACGAGACAGCGGGTACCATTCACAAGGGTTTTCAGAACGGACGGAAACACCAATGATTCTACAGGCCCCCAGAAACAACGAGTTCTCGCCTCATATTCGTTCTATGAGCAGTCTTAATCAACTGCCTGAGACTCTTCACTTCTGTCACACTCCATTACTATTGGATCAATTGTTGTCCACTCGGATTCTCCATCCTGGCCACCGTGCTTTCGGGCCCGCTAACACAGAATCTCCCACGGGCTAGTTGTTCTTATCGGAGTGGGCCATGAAGATACGGCAGAAGACGTGGAGAAGGTCGCCAACAAAATCATCAAGACCAAACTTTGGCCCTCGGTCGATGGAGCACAGCAATGGAAACAGAGTGTGCTCGACGTTGGTGGAGAAGTGCTCTGTGTTAGTCAGTTCACTTTGTTTGCCAAGGTCAAGAAGGGCCAGAAGCCAGACTTTCACAATGCCGCCAAGGGCCCACAGGCTAAGGAGCTCTACGACCAGGTGCTGGCAAAGATCCAGGCTGCTCTTCCAGAGGGTCGGACAGTCAAAGATGGTGTTTTTGGCGCCATGATGGACGTTGCGCTGGTTAACGACGGGCCTGTCACCATTCAGTATGATACAAAGAATGACAAATAGAGGATAGATGATGAGCGACAGTACAGTAGTTATATATAGGTATATTCCATCAAGCTGGCTTGCTAACATGTTTAATTCGTTTTTTCTTCTATATTACTTCACTCCGCCTGCTGAGTCTGCTTCTTCTTCATCTCCTCGCCAATCTTCTGGCGCATGATCTGGTCAATAGCCTCCAGATTCTTACCCTTCTGCTCGGCTACGGCTGTCAGATCGCCCAAGTTCTTCTCCAAAGTCATCACCTTCTTCTGGTAGTGGGCAATGGCTCCTTCTGCGTCCTTTTCCACATAGTATCCCGTTCCCACGTCAACCATGAACTTGCCCACGTTGCTCATGCGTCCAGGCACGTACAGCGATGATGACAGCGGCACCATGAGTTCTGTATCGTCCTTCTCGGCGGACACGCCACGCACCGACTCCTGACAGTCCTGGAACTTGCGCTTGGCCTCAATGAGCTTTTGGAACGACGAGTTGAGAAACTCCACCTCCTGCATCAGCTTCTGCTTAATTTCGCCCAGCTGGGGGATCGAGAGCGTATTGAGGTCGACTGTGTTAGTTTGGGGCGTGGGAGATCTTGTTGCTCTCTGTCTCACTCACTCTGTGTCTGTTCGGCCATGGCGGTTGGATCAATGTGTTCAAACAGATCGTGGCAGCCTGAGCTCGAATGCACCTAAACCTAATGCGTTGGGGTTTGGAGATGGTTAATTGGGATAAGGGGGTTCGAACTGGGAAGTCGTAATTTGAGTCTAAAAACTAGGATAAAAATAATAAAAGAACATCAAAATCAAGAAAAAATCATTAGAAGAAATATATATTGACGGGTTCCCTTCATCCTGCTCATCAAAAATGATTACTAAGCCCCACAGGGCACCTGGTGGGGTTGATCTGGACTTTGCTTGACTTGTCAAGTCTTAGCAAGCAAGGATCTGCTGTACATACTGTATAAGTAGGATGCCGTTCATTTTATATATTTCAATTCAATTCTTGCATTTCATATCCGATCGTTCATATGTTTCAGCTCATGGCCAGAGAGTGGGCCTCTAATTTTTATCTAGAGTGTTTACTCTCATTCAGATACAGTAGGTCTTCAGCTCTGAGCTTGTCAAAGCCAACTGTCATGCCGACTTTTCTTGACAAAATTACTTGACCGTAGTTACAGTATGCTCAAGTTTCTGCCTCTGCAAAACCATATATCATATACCCCAACTGCACTCGGTGATTGCAGTGAGCGAGGCCTCGATGTTGGCAGATGTGATGGGTTGTGTGAGATACACACAGATGTCACAACGCACGCTAAAACATAGAGTAAGAGTCAACGTCGAGGTATACTGTCATCTCTGACCACGATGAACCGATTCTCAGAGCAACACACGTGATCCACACTTCGTGACCCATTGTCATAGGTGTCTGAGTGCACGTCTACTACAGTACAAATACTTGTACAATACTGTAATGTAGTTCTGTAGTTCTGTGTGATCACTAGCTGCTCAATCAGGTGCTGCTTATTCGCCTTCGTATGAACAAATAGGCCCTTGAACTGGCGACTATGCAGCTGTAGTCGCCACTCCATCGTAGCAGGCCTCTTCATCTGCTGTCATCTGTCACTCCGCAGTCGGTTTATAAATAAAAGGATCTCGCATCGTCTGATTCCATCTCTTCACCTTGGTCGGGCCAAAGCCGTTGATCTCAGAAATTCGTTCAGAATCGTCCAAAATGGCATTCTTCAAGCTCTTGTACGTCGTGCTGAGATTGAGAGCATCACTCTTGTTCAGCTTGACATTGCTCAACACGTCAGCTAATCGAGAGGTGTAGTCCTTGCTTTTGCTTCCCTCAATGAGCTTGACTGTGGCTGTCTCCAGACTTTTGAGCTTGCTGATGTAGTTACCACAGTCCTCGTTACTCCATGCCACAAGAATGGCCAGATCGTGTCTCATGGAAGCCCGTGTGAGTTCTCTGATAGCAGCCTCGTGATTCTCCTTGTCAATCATTACCAGCAACACTTTCAGGTCAAACTGCTGTTTCTGCAACTTGGCGATCTTACGGTAGATGTATTCTGGTTTAATCGAGTGGTACTTGATGGACAAGAATAGCACACACGACGTCGACCCTGTCACGTAGTCCGCCACCATATCGCCCGCGCCATACTCCCATGGCACGTCCTTGATGTAGTCCAGCACTTTGTTTCCTCGCTGGTTTTTGTTCACGAGAATGGCTGGGATACGGCGTTGACGCGATACCACAGGAGCCGTGGGTTCAGCCACAGCAGCGGCTTCAGCTCGTTTGATGTTTTCTCTGGCTTGTTGGATTGACGCCTCCAGCGATATTTCATTGTTGTTTTGCCGGGTGTTCACCGGTTGAGGAGCTGGAGGTGTAGCTGTTATCCTAGATACTGGAACAGACGATGTAGTTGTAGATGTAGATTTAGTTGCGGCTGGAGTATGCTCTTTGTACCCCGCCGGGCGCACAATTCTGGGCTGAGGGATCGCTGGTGGCACGCGTTTTCGCAGCGGACTGACTTGTGGCGGGGTTGGCTTCGGTGGAGGAGTTGTTGAACGGGTTGAAGCTGAGGTAGAAGTGGCGGCTACAGTAGAAGATGGTGCGGGGTCTTTCGGAGCCCCGTTACCGCTTGAACCCTCAACGGCGGACTTCTTAATACCCTGGTACTCCGCCACGCCCTTTAGAATTGCCGCAATGTCGCGTTTTTGTCCTGACATGGTGCTGTGTAGAGTTGCAGAGTGCCATGTCTAAAGTTCCATGTTGGATAATGCAGATGATGGAAATCTACACTGTGAGAAAAGCATAAACGACCTGAAAGCTCATAGCTCAAAGTTGAGATGATGTGAGCAGTAAAAACACGAATCTCGCAAGTTTTATGTTGCTTATACTCTTGATTGATATTACTTTCATGATTGTAATGTCGTTCTCGGGGTTGTATTGCGAAGTTCTTAATTAGTTAGCCTGGTTGGGATAGGACTTAATTTGGGTTGTATATTATTTAAAGATTGTTAGTTTTGATTCCGCCGTTTACATCATCAGCAGGTAACAACTCTGAGAAAGGGGAAAAAAAAACCTCACAAGCAAGAGCTCACGGTAAATGGCAATATTGGATGCGTTGGATCTTCTCCCTCGACCCCTCTAAGAAGCATTATTTATTGTGTTTTCGTAGGGTATCACCACGATGTTTTTGTATTTATAACACAACATGTAAGATGTAGGGTGAAGATTACTCCATAGAGACTAACTATTTTGCTTGGATTTTGACACATATAAACTAATTAGACCCACATGTTCCTCTATCTTCCCAAGTAATTTTCGAACCGCTCCTAAACCAACTAGTCAGTGCGTTCGCAGTTGTAGCGAAACGCGGAACTACAGTAAATAGCTGGAATTTGAAGGAATAAGTGACTCAATTAAGCTGTATTATCAAGCTTGACCAGACTGTCGTATCTACACTGAATAATACTCTTACGGTATCAACATTGATGGTGACACGCTGCTACTCACTGGGTCTCACAGTGGATTTATCTTCTTCCACTGAGCCTGAGAAGCCCCAAGTTTTGTCTCAAATGCGGAATTACATATACACCAGATGCTTTACTATGAACGACATTCTCGACTAGACAGGACGCCATTGACAGAATCTATCGACTCACAAGAGTGATTGAAGAGCTCGTGTCTGTCAAACAAGTCGAAGTCAGTCTCTGGATTGTCGACCAAACGGTTCAAGAACTCATAAACCGTAATATATCTCCATGTGCGAGAGTGTTCCTTTCTTTTCGTATTCAATCAAATCAACTCATTGACCGTATGAAGTTAAAAGAGACGGGATGACAGAAAAGCTGTAGAAGCCAACGTCTCATTCATTATGATCGTGATATATACACCGGTACATTGTACGAGTGCACCTCTTAGTGATTGGTTTACTCAACAAATGGAAACATCAGCCAGTATTCATCCTAATATGTCTCTTCAGAACCGGAACCTGGAGAATCGGAAGACTCGACCACCGACAAACGGTTATCACCAGCAACGGTACGTTAGTGGTCGACTACTCTGCAGAAATGGTCTTATTTGACCGGTATTTTGTCGTATAAAAGAGTTGTCTTGTATCTTAGTCTAGAGAGTTAGATGTTATTGATTTGATATGTACATTAGTTGTTGTTGTTGTTGTTGTTGTTGTTGTTGTTGTTGTTGTTGTTGTTGTTGTTGTTGTTGTTGTTGTTGTTGTTGTTGTTGTTAATCGGTTACAGAGAATTTCTCCGGGCTCTTCCATCCAGCCTAACATCTTCATAGCCCTGGTTCCATCCCGAGGGCATCACAGGAGCCTGTCGTGTCCCTATATCCGAGACCGTAGCAGCCTCGTTATACATGACCCAGTCACCCCCCTCAATGAAACACTCACCCCCACCTTGGAGCACCTCCATGTAAGCTCTCTTGTTTTTGGTGGCTCGCTTTGCTCTAGTTTTGGCCCGTTTCTGGTGCGGCTTCACAACAATGACAGGAATGGGTGAGTGCTGCAAACAGTATTGAGATACCGAGCCCGGAATCAGGCCCTGAAATCCGACCTTCTTGCGTCCCTTGGTGCCAACAACAAGAATACTGGGCTCGTAGATTTCGATAGTGCGATCCAGTACTTGCTGAAACTTGCCAATGGCATACTCTAGCACTATGGAGATCTTTTTGCCATACTGAATCAGAATTTGTTCCACCAGCGAGTTAAGCGTCTGCTCTGCCTCCTCACGAGCATCTGTGTCCACCGCTTGTAGAGCCACCACTTCGTCGCCGTCCTCCACCAGTTCTCCCAGCAACCAGTCCATAGCGTTCTGCGAGTAGCTATGGGTGTCGTAACCGCATAGAAACGTTCGTGAGTGGCGGGTGAAGGCGTACTCAGGGTGTTTCCATGAGTATGTTTCTGCAAACGGCAGGCGGAAAGAGATGCGGCCGGTCGATTTGTTTTCCAAAGGTCTGGGAGAATTCTGTCTGGAAATTGAAGGCTTTGGCGAGTGTCCTTTACCTGGAGAGTGTACAGGTCGGGGAGAGACGCCTCTGGAAACGGAGGGAGTGGCTCCAGGGGTGAACCCCGGGCTCTGAATGTACAGAGTGTCGTTATTTTCGGCCTCGGAGTTCTTGACCGCTCGTCTGGTGCCCACAGCCAAAGCTGCCACTGCTGCCCGTTCCAGAAGATCTTGATCTGACAAGGTTTTGGGGGTGGGTGGTTTCTGTGTTACTGAGAAGCGGACGAGTCGTGCGTTGGCATCTGTGTCGGTCTGCTCGTCTCCAGCCGTCATCGAAACATCCGGGGGAACGTCATATCGTCCCAGATTGTCCATGCTGTAGTTGCAGAGTGGGTGGAGATTTTCATGCGGCTGGATTAAGACTACTACAGAGTTAGATAACGTCACGTGGGGGTGAAGCGATTGAGTTTTGACGTGATATCCGGACCGAGCAACCATGTGAAGAGCAGACACCATTGCCCGATACTATAGGAGACTCTCTCGACTTATCTACTCACTCCCTACATGCACATTTCACCACTAACAGAAAGCTGTATATTACAATTCGGAACTGGAGCAAAAGACGTACATTAGCTGATGCTCGCTCCATACTGTGCTGTGGAGATTGGGCTGGCGACAATGCAAACTATACAGGAAGTGGAGTGGTCTACACTGTTCCGGTAATGTATATATTGTATATGTGATCACATAATATTCTCCATACACCTCTACAGGTGGCCAATTTCGGTATTTGTAGGTATCATTAACCCGCGTACAAGTCGGCACACAATCCAGCTTCGTAGTCAGTAATCTCCGTGTTCCATTTATAGTTCCTTAGTCCAACGCCCTTCAGCCCAGTTTAGATATAAAGTTGCATTGTGCACGCGTTTTTCGTGGGGGGCATTGTCGGATATACTAGTACATTCAGTGGGCATGGGCCTCAGGAAGTCCTAACCCTCGAAACGAGGTTGATGGTCGACATTTGTGGTACTTTGTCGGCTAGTGTTTCTTTCAGCTGCTTGAGACACACTCCATGTACTGTACGGCACATACTGTACTTGTACTTTTCGCACATCTTCTTCCTTTAGACTGTAGAACCGTGTAGGGTTTGACGCATTAAATTACAGAGTACGATTCCATATGTACAATACAAGTACAATTACGTGGCGACAAGTAATGTGTTTCCGTGTGTATGCTTTCATTTATGGACAGATATTGTACCGAGTCGGATCCAGTTTCCTGGATACACTTGTATGTACAGGATCCACCAGTTTTAGATGTCTGTCAAAGACCTTGAGGGGTTGCGTAGAGTATGTACATACTTGTATGTACTGTTCGCTGTAATCGTACTATGGAGTACAGTACAGTACTGGAACCGGTACGCTGAGGAGAGGTATGTTCGTTGCGACTTGATTTTATGATGTGCTTGTGGTCATACTGCCTCCATGTCTTGGATGGATTTTGGTTGAAAAGGCTACCCGTAGAAATACCATTAGCGACACTCTACATAAAATGTGAATTTCATGTCTATTATCTGATGGGTTTTCTGTTCCAACTTCCGTCGCTTCGCTTCGGTTGTATCGAAGAAGTACAGTGTGGTGAATCGCATAGTTGCTCGTCTCGACATTGAACGTCACATACAATAATCGAACCGACGAAGTCACAACGTTCAGCCGCTTGTGGTGCCAAGAGCTCGTATTCTGAGTCACCCCTTGTCTAGTCAATTATGTACTTATTGTACTTGTAAATAAATACCCTTTCAGTTACAGAACAATCAGCTGCCATGTTTCCGCACGAACTCCTCAGCCACGTGATCACATTCCTCTCCCCCAAAGATATCATTTCCCTGGCCGAAACTAACCGACACAACTACTCGGCCCTGGCTGATGTGCGCAGCCTAGTCCTAAAGAGCCCATACTGTCGTCTTGAGCTGAGTCAGTGGACTGGGTGGCAGGCTTTTGCTGACAACAGCGCTGAAAAGGAACCACATGAGTTGTTTGACCACGTGGAGCTCGTAAAACACGTGAACAAACCCCTTCCTGAAGACTTCCAGGCGCTGCAGGGAGATCTGGCTCGTCAGTGGAACTCAGAGTGGAACTCGTGTGACCATGGTATTTCTGGACCACGAGAGGACGACCAAGAGGCGGAGGTGCTTGATTTGACGAACAATACTAACACGGATAAGATCACGTGCTCGCCCACTGGCACTCCAAATCACTGTCGGCCCTATCGTCGCCTTTTCCCCTCTCAATTCGAAATCGGATACAAGTTTTCTCCTCAGGCTGAAGCCCTACTTGAATGGAATATGGATACCGACACTGTGACTCTATATACCATGTTCGGTGATGGAGCATGTCATTCAGTCATGATCAACGAGAAGAAGGGAACAAAGATGCATCATCTGCAACTCATCAACGACGTGGCCCTAGTATTTGTGCTTGATCAAGACATCAACACTACCTACTACATTGTTCCTGGAGGTCAGCTTACTCCCATTGATTTTGGAAACTGTCAGGTGCCGCAGGAGGGCCTGATGATGTTCAATAATCGTTTTTTCAAGGCTGTATTGGATGAGAAAGTTGATTTACAGGTCGCTCCTGTGTCACTACCCATGGGAAAGCCCACTACTATCACACCAGGAGCTGCTTATGAGATTTGTCAAGATTTGCGGTACCCGAGGTACGGGCTGGCGTACACCAATATGGACAAGAATCTGGCGCATGTAATTGATTTGCAGAAGCGTCAGATTTCGCAATTTTTCGGGCTCGATAAAGATGTGTGTCTTGTGGGACTCTCGAATGGGACACTGGGCGTTTGGAAGTACACCAAGGAATATTTGGACAGGGTTTGTGAGGAGAAACAGAAGCCGGAGTTTTTAGCAGTGGTGGAGAAATTGTTCGAGAATAATGAGAATTGGGAAGAGTTTCACAGAGATTTGGTGGATGCGTGGGCATAAAGAGGTCCTGGGGGAAGTGAGTCATCTATCACTGTAGTGTAGTACCACGAAGTAAATGATATAGGAAGCAAATTAACAGACAGTTCAATCCAAAAAGGACGTAATTGTTGACGAGGCCGCCATAGAAATGTACACACATGTGTATATAACAGTGCAAGCAGAACTAGAGGGTTGTAGAGAGTGTAATATATCGCAACCAATATCATGTCGACAACATCAGAAATCGGGCAATTGGACGATGACCTGACTGGGCAGATAAAAAGCAGCTTGGAAATGATGAACTGAAACAGCACAGGCAGATTGCGAGCCAGCAAGCGTGTCAACAACACCTGTGATAGACCACCAAGACTGATCTTGACATATTGCTATTGGACAAGACCTGATTCAAACACTGCGGTTTTTGTTGTGATTCCAATTGATCGGAAATATACCCATTGTGACTATCCTAGTAATGTATTCAGTGTCTGACTCTTGTTTGTCTTCTAAGCTCAACGGAGAAGGAGATTTTACGTGGGGCTTCCAAAATCTACACCTTCTGAAGCTCTGGTTGCCGATGAGAAGAAGTGCAATGTTAAAGAGTCATTTGAACAAGCAGTGGCTATGTCGCTAATGATTGAACTACTGAGTGTTGTCTCAACTAAAACCTGTTGAATGGAAAACCTTGACCTGGCTGACAAACCACTAGTTTCCATTCCGAGAGACAAATTCTCTCTGCTGAATGGTCAAACTGATGGCGTGCTCGGTTGAATCCTCCACTGGAATGCGGATAATCTCCCGGTGAGTCTCTCTGTTGGAGAGAAGTCCGGCGAAGTATTAGTTATATAAAGTTGTTTATATTCAACAAAACCTAAGTAAATTAGATAGCTGGATCAACCTTAACATCACAGGTACCGCGAGAAATTGTTACTTGAGAAGAGAAGGGCTTATATCATGCTGTTTCCAGAGGTATGGGTTACATTCTGACCAAAGTCCAATGTTCCTGGCATTCATGGAACCTGGTGCATGATTTCCAGCTGACTTCAACCTCTCAGTGATCCCAATTAAAGCAGAACGTCACGAGATGGCTCTGCCCAGTAAGTCATGACACACAGATGACACCGAAACTCCAACTGTAATCGAACCCATACTTCTCATATACTGTCCCCCCAATGCCCTTCAATTCCACTGCGCTTAAAACGCTGACTGGAAGTCATCACTGACCGCCGCCCATTGAGTATGTACATACAATATGTACTTGTACAATGGACAAGACATCGGTTTCGACCCATCGTCAGTCACGTGCAGCCAGTTCCACACAGCTACGGTGCAATACTCAGATATATCACGTGATCACCGAACCATTACCGTACCCTTTATTTGCGTGCTTCGAGTTCATATCGTCGTACTGGTACCTGTCGTTCATTTTTCAACGTACAGTTTCGTCAGTCGCGCCAAAGAGACCCAGTTAGTGGGTGGCACTGCCCATAGGCAGTAATTGGTTCAGTGATAAATGATAAATACCGGTAGCTACACCACCTATGTCGGTGGGACACAAACCCAAGCCGGGACTATAAGAAGAGTTGATTGCCCCGTTTGTTTTTTTTTTGCCTCCCATTTTCACTCCTCTCTCTCCTAAAGTTCATCAAGCAATCTCTGCTTTGTTGTCATGTCTCGTTCCCCTCGCTCGCTTCGCCTCGTTAACTTCATTACAGTGCAGCCAAAAAAATACGAGCAACTCTATTTTTTTTAGCCCCGGGTCTAGAGACGCATCTCTGGAGAGTGAGAGAGAGAGAGAGTAAATTAGACCACCGTGACACAGGATACTTGCCAAGCGACCCACACTTCAACCGCGTCCATCACCGACGACGACTACCACCGACACCGGACATGGAAAAAACAGTGACTGCGCAAGTCTCTCGCACGAGTCACAATGAACTGTCGTTCCAGAGCGTCAACCCCGTCAGCATCTCTGTTAGGGGGCTCAGTGTGACCGTGAAAGCCGAAGAGCAGAAGGGAGGTTTTTTCAGCAGGAGAAAGAAAAAAACAAGTGCCACAGAGAAACAGACAACAGCGGAATCGATAAGCATAGACGACAAATCAGCGAAGAAGGAGAAGAACAAGAAAAGCCAGAAGAAGAAAGAGAAAGAATCAGATGACGTCGAGCCCCAGGCTAGAGATATCTTGTCTAACATCTCGTTGGACATCCCGGCAGGCTCAATTATGGCCATCTTGGGCGGCTCGGGATCTGGTAAAACCTCCCTACTCAACATGATGGCATCCCGCATGTCTGGAGGCAACCTCACTGTCGAGGGAGAGACGTTATTCGACGGCAAGAGCATCGAACACGTGACCCACGCCTATGTGATTCAGCAGGATATCCTATCTCCACATTTAACCTGTCGGGAGACTCTCAACTTCGCCGCAGGTCTTCGTCTCGATAAGAGCATTAACAAGGTTCAACGGTCGGAGTTGGTGGAAGAGGTGATCAAAGAGCTCAATCTCAAGGAGTGTGCAGATACCATGGTGGGAAACTCGATCCATAGAGGACTTTCGGGAGGTGAGAAAAGAAGACTTAGCATCGGAATTCAGATGCTTAGTAATCCATCGGTGTTATTTCTGGACGAACCCACCACTGGTCTAGATGCCAACTCAGCGTTTGATTTGGTTAAAACCATGAAGAATCTCAGTTTGTCCGGCCGAACATTGATTATGAGTATCCATCAACCCCGAAGCGACATCTTCTTTCTGTTTGATCACGTGACCATTCTTTCCCGCGGTTTGCAGGTGTATTCGGGCAGTACTAAGGAGAGCATCAATTGGTTTGCTTCACTTGGATATGATTGTCCCAGAGACGTCAACCCTGCCGATTATCTGATTGATATCGCTGCTGTGGACACTCGGTCTGAAGAAGATGAGGAGCAGAGTTTCAAGCGGATCAACGCGTTTGTTGATAAGTACAACGAGTTGAAGATCGAAACGGGGATCTCTGACGTTTCAGGAACAGCTTCCAAGTCTTCTTCTACTGCTAACCTCCAAACTCGACTTTTCCGAAACTCATTCAAGACTGCCCTGTTCAGTTCGGCACCTCTGGGTCGAGAAATCGATGTACAAGTGCGTCGTACCTGGCTTATTATGTACCGAGATAAGCTGGGCATTGTTGGACTTACGGTGGAGGCCATTCTGATGGGTCTTATTTGTGGACTGGTTTTCCTGCGTATGAAACCCGATCTAGCAGGCATACGATCCATGGAAGGTGCTGCATACATTGCTATATCACTGCAGGGCTATCTCATGTTGTTGTATGAGACTTACCGGCTGTGTGCGACAGATCTGGCTGTCTTCGATAGAGAACATAATGAGGGATGTGCCTCAGTGTTTGGATTTCTCATTGCACGGAGAATGGCCAAATTGTTTACCGAAGATCTCATCGTTCCTATCATCTTTTCTGTCCTGACCTACTTCCTTTTCGGCTTCCGAACCGACGGGGCAAAATACTTTTTTATCTACTTTGCCCAGATTCTGCTAACCCACCATATCTCCATGAACTTCAGCATGGTATGTGCGGCCCTTTCACGTGATTACACCATTGCTTCGCTCGTGGCCAATCTCATGTTCACTCTTCAAAGTATGGCTTCTGGATTCTTTGCCAACTCCGAGCATATGAAGGTGTACATTCGGTGGACCAAATGGATCACCTATGTTTTTTACGGCTTGTCGGCTCTGCTGAACAACCAGTTTATGAACTTCTTTGGCGACTGTCCGTATGGAAACAAGACGGCCGACGACCCTCTGTGCAAGGACTTCATTGGGGAGAACTTTCTGGAGTCTGTGGGCTTCCCACGCAACTTTCTCGTTATCCCCACCATTGCTCTGCTGTGTTGGCTCATCGTCTTCTTTCTTCTCAGCTGGCTGCTTCTGACTATTATTCGAGTCGATGTCGGAGTGGGTAAGAATCTCAAGGGAGACTCGAACAAGGCAGAGAAGCCCGAGGCAGCTGAAAAAGTCACCACCATCGCATCTGTCAACAGAAACCCGCCTCTGACGGTAGCTGTTAGTGACTTGAAGTTATCTGTGACGAAACTAAGAGCCAAGGAAAAACCGATTCTGGACGGAATCAACGCTATTTTCCGCCCGGGATCCATTTCAGCCATTCTGGGACCTTCAGGATCCGGAAAATCGTCCCTTCTCAACCTCATGGCCAACAGACTCAACTCCACACTCACCCAAAAATACACTGCGTCCGGAGACATTTTTCTCAACTCCACTAGTATCGGTATTGGTAATCTGGGAGCTCTATGCTCGTTTGTGACTCAGGAGGATGACGGACTTTTGAGCACTTTGACTGTCCGAGAGACTCTGTACTTCTCAGCCTACTTACGTCTTCCAGACAACCTCACCCGAGAGATGAAACGTCGACGTGCTGATGAGCTGATTCTAAAGATGGGACTCAAGGATTGTCAAGACACACTCATTGGAGACGACAACGTCAAGGGTATTTCTGGCGGCGAAAAACGACGTGTTTCCATCTGTGTGCAGTTGTTGTCTAACCCAGATATCCTGCTTCTAGACGAGCCCACTTCTGGTCTAGACTCTTTCACTGCCGGAAGTATTCTTCAGGTGCTCCAGACTCTCGCCCAGGGAGGCAAGACAGTCATTTGTACCATTCACCAACCTCGAAGCGACTTGTTTGGCCAGTTTGGCAGTGTTCTTCTGCTTAGTAAAGGCGGTCACGTGGCTTACGATGGCCAAGCTAAAAACATGGTGCAATACTTCTCCGATCTAGGCTATCCTTGTCCTGACCTCACCAACCCTGCTGACCATGTTCTAGATCTGGTTTCTGTTAACCTGCAAATGCAGTGGAGGGAAGACGAAGATCGAGAACGAGTGGATAAACTGCTGAGTGAATGGCATAAGGTGGAAAAACAGCTCTTCAACGCCGGTCTACTGCGGGAGAACAGTGCGTCCTTTGACCCCAAGACTCTGATGCCCCGAAAACCAGCACCGTTCCAAATCGCCTACTTCATCCTACTGCAACGAGGAATTATCGCCCTCTCACGTTCCCCACAGGTATACATTGCCCGACTGACCCAACCTGTTGGTATCGGAGTTGTTCTCGTTCTATTCTTCACCCCCCTACGGTCCTCCTACATTGGTATCTTCAACCGGTTCGGTCTGGTCCAACAACTTCTGTCTCTCTACTTTGTTGGAGTCCTCAACAACATGGCTTCTTACCCGTTTGAACGAGACGTCTTCTACAGAGAACAGGACGACGGATTGTATGGAGTGCTGCCCTTCTTTGCGGTTTACACCACTCTGGAGATCCCCTTTGAAGTAGTGTCAGCTATGGTCTTCTGTATCATTGTCGTGCTTCCCCCAGGTTTCCCTCGAACTGCCGACTTCTTCTTCGCTGCCTTCTACCTCAGTTTTGTGGTCATCAACACTGGAGAGAGTATCGGGATCGTCTTCAACACGTTGTTCCGTCATACGGGCTTCGCACTCAACGTTGTGTCGGTCATTCTCTCTGTGGGAGTGTTCATGGCAGGCCTCCTGTCCCTTCAAATGCCTGACTTCTTCAAGGGTCTCAACTACATCTCTCCTTTGAAGTACGCCTGCCAGTCGTTACTGGTGATGGCTTTCAAAGACGTACCATTCCATTGCACTCCAGATACGGGTGGATACGATGCTATGGGCAATTGCATCTTCACCAACGGAACTCAGGTGCTAGAGGCATACGGTTTCAAGAACCACGTCAGGGTGTACCTTGGAGTAGCGGCTGTATGCCTGGTGCTGTATAGACTGGTGAGTTTGGTTATTTTGAAGCTGGTGAGACTTAGGGTAGGCTTGAGATCGCTCAAGTCACGAGACAATGTTTAGGAAAGGCGGCCATTTGCATATTTATTTATTGTTATTGACATTATTATTGACATTATGGTAGGCATCGGAATCAGTAAGTTATTGACATTATTATTGACATTACGGTAGGCATTGGATAGACTTGCCATATCTTCAACGAATTTTGGAGTTGCTGTGTAACGATGGGAATTAGTCCCTGTATATTCTGCAATAAATATCCCGTATCTACCTATTTACTTAGTTCTTCTGTTTTGTGTTTTGGGTCATGACTTTGTCACTGATGGTTCCTGGAGGCCTCTTCAGCTAAGGACAGCTCCAGAGCATACTTGAGATCCTCGTCCTCCTCCTCATAGTCTCCCTGGTAGTCATCATGGTAATCCTCCTCTTCTCCTTCAAATCCATTCTCATACGGCTCTTCGGAGAATGATTCGTTACCCGCAGATGAATTCTGTGCTTCTAATAACGAAGCCTCCAGAGCCCTGGCTAGAGCTTCCTCCTCGTCCTCTCTGATGACGTTGTTGTCTTGAGACATTAGTAGTGCCAGCTTCAGCTGTTCCTCTTCAGACAAACGCTCGCCTCCAGAGAATGATCCCATACTGCCGTTTCGGCTTCCGTTATACTTTTGCACAATTTTTTCTCGTTTCTCCACCTCCTGCTTGTCTTCCTTAATCTTCTCAACACCCGTGCTGATTTGGTCGTTGATTTCAGCTCGCTGGATAGAGAGCATTTCAGCCTGAGACAGACCTCTGGCAATGGTCTTCTTTTTGCTGCTTCGTTTTGCCTGTCGACGCGAGTTTCCGTCCGGCAAAATCTGCTCAAAAGACTCAATGCACACTCCACACGCCATGACGCCTCTATGAGATGTAGACAGCGGATCAATGGACAGATCTGTACACAGAGGGGCCCATCGCGTGCCAAAAGCGTCGCGATTCTGTTTGAATCCTCGATGCGACTCTGGCACAAATGTTCGCAGATGAGAACCGCTCAGGACATCAAAAACGGAAATGATGGACGAGTCTGTCACCGTCACCAGCACGGCAGCGTTCAAAGCAACAGTTCCAATAGACACCTGCTGTGAATCGCTGACGGTGGTACCACTTCCAGCAATCACATTGCCGTACTGGTTCATATCAATGGTGTAGACAAAGTCGGACGACTTGAGATTGAAGACATGGATAGCTCCTCGATGAGTAGCAACAGCGACATGTTTGATAACTGATCCGCTGGTAACGTCAATAACACATATGCCGTCCTCGCCTTCGGAAGGCACTGTCAAAGTCGACGTGTTTCCTGTCTTTGCATCCATCGTGTACACCTTCATTCCTCCCAGGGTAATTATGTACATGCCCGACTTTTCGTCAAACTGAGTCAGGTATTGCAGATGGTCCACCTTGGACGAGATGGTCGTTATCAGGGTGATATTTGGGGGTAGTCGGACTGGTTTGTTCTCTGCCTCAGAAATGGGTTCCACCTCAACCTCCTCCGCAACATCAGCACTCTGACCATCCCACTTGTAAATCTCTACAATCTGTTTGACTGGCCGACCCACAACAATAAAAACATCCTTACCGTCGCTGAAGAGGTCCAGAACGATTCCCGTATGGCCCGTAGTGACATCCGAAACCGGAAGGAGCATTTTACCGACCAACTTACCTCCTCCAAGCTCCCAATTTGCCACCCAGCCGGCGTTGTCAATACTCAGAGCACCCACCTTGCCGTCGGGGCCCTGGCAGACCTTGGGAGATGCCGTTTGGGTCATCCAGCATTGCACTATGGGTGCTTCATGGACCTGGGACGTAGCAAATTTCATAGTTACACGTTTTTTGCAACTGTTTGAAAGCAGCAGCACGTCGAGATTGGCGTCGGTGGCGTGCAGAAAGCCGTAGGGACTCATGGACGAGCAAATGAGTCCCACAATAGGACCCATGCTGCGTCCAATATGGATACTAGGCTTGTGTGCCTTCAGAGTGGAGAGATCAAACACTGTAAGAAGGCCAGAATGTGGATATGCGATCATTCCGATGCCGTGGTCCCAGAAACATCGCATGTTGGTGACTGTTTCTCTTGGTCGGTAGCATACTGCTGTTCTGTTGGCGGCTGCCCGTTTTCGGCTCCATCGGTACAGAGTGAGCATTCGGTTGCAGTATTCGCGTCTCCATGACGTGGGTTCGCCGCCCATCCAGCCAAATTCGCCCTCAGACACCCCAAAGACCCGCTGGAAACACGTTCGCCACACAAAGTCGTCCTTCATCCACTCGGTCCACTGCTGGCACACTAGTACGAGGTTTTCGAGCGACGCCACGTCTAGCGACGAGCAGATCTCGGCAAACACCTCCTGCGGAAGCCCCAGAACGGGCGCCTTCTTGCCTAATACTGTTCCCGACATGACTGTTGTGTTGGTTGGTTGGTTGGTTGGTTCGTTGGTTAGATGAAGATGTCTGCTGTAGCCTATCATGGTTGCATCGCTCATGCGTGGTGATTTGGTAGGGTGGAGTTTATGCCGGTGCTACCGCGCAGCAGTGGCTACAATACAGGGATACAGAGCGGCACATGTGGCTTAGTCATCGTGATTCCGTCATTTCTACAGCAATATTTAGATAAGTGAAAGATGATCACTTTCCTTAAGAAATATTCTCCAAATCACAGTACAAGTACAAGTGGTAAGTTTGACTCCCCAGACTCATTTTCAGGCGTCGAAACTCAGTTGCGATAATCGAGCTAGACTCAACAGAACGCTACAGACTGCAAGTATAGGCCCGACTTGTCTGATCTCAGCTGGAATCAAATGGTATCATTAAAAGTGAAAAACTACATAGAAATCCCATCTCATCATGTCTCTATCATCTTCAGAAGTACACTGTTGGCAACTGGCGAGAGAGTTTTGCATATTAGTCTCAATGGGTGGATTGTTCATGTACAGAACAATACCGATACAGTACTGTACTGATAGTTAAGCGTGGATATTCTCAAGTATTGTTTAACTAACGTTCTCAGCTGGGAACTCAGAGAAATAGAACATAATTTACAATAACACAAGATTTTTGTAGTGCAAGTGGGTATTTTTGAAACAAAATAGTTAAGGATCTTGATTATTAGTATACGAAAAGGTTGTTTTTTTGTTGCTTCGATTTTGATATCCTGGATATTGGTACCCCTAGCTCAACATCTACCTTAACAAGTATCCCAACTAATTAACATAGATATAGGGAAGGAGTCAATTTCCCCATACTCTGTTAGATGATATTGTAACACCCTTTCAGATACTTGTATGTTACTGATGAATATTTATTAATGGTGATGTACTGAATTTCTGATCATGCTGATGTTCTTGATGTTGATATTACTGATATTACTGATTGATATAACTGGCCTTTCCCTGCCTTGCCAGTGATAACCGTGTCTGCGATGACTAGTCCTTCTTGTTGTTGTTGGAAGCCCAAATTCCCACAGGAATGCACACAGCGAGAATGATAATGATGAGACAAATGAGAAGACACCACCACTTCTTCTTTCGAGCAGCACGAGCAAACACAACAGCCTTGCTGGTATGTCCCATACCCTGCTCCACATCTACCTGAACCTGCTCTGTGTGCTTCTCAACGTGCTGCACGGGAGCCTCCTGCTCGGCCACAAGCAGCTCCATGTCATGGAACAGCTGTGCCAGCTCTGCCATGGTCTGCTCAATTTTCTGGATCTCCCTGTGTCGAGTCTGAACCTCTGATAGAGCTGTCTGGGCCTCTCCTCGTCGGTTGGACGTCCTGAGAGCTTGAGAGAAGATTTGCTCGCCCTGAACATCTTCAATAGCAGCCTTGACTTCGGCGTCGGTGGCTTCAGGACGCACTATTCGGAACTGTCGCTCAGCCTGCTCTCTGTACTTTTGTCGGAAAGTAGCCTCGACCGTCTGGTACCGCTGGATAGCGTTCATGAATTGTCGCTTGAGATTCTCGGCTTGTGTCTTCTTAGTGGAATCTCGTGTAGATCGAGATTGCAGAGACTTGATTCTGTCCTTGAGAGACTGTGATAGGGCAGAAGTTTCGTTTGCGAGCGACCCAATCTGTTCTCGAGTGTACGTCTCCTGTTCCCCACTGATCTCGCTGAGGGCCTGCTTGTGCAACGACTCGATGGTATCGATATTTTGGTCGTATCGTCGAACTATTTTTTTGATTTCGTCCACCTCGTCAAAGAAGTCAGCGACATCATTGTTAGTGCCATAGACGGAAACCTCCTTTGTGGAAGCCTCGCTGATATCCGCCCTGGACTCGTAGGGGTTCTCACCGACAGCCTCCATCTCGTACGAGTTGGCTCCAGCTGGATTGGAGTAAGGGTTGCTATCTGTGAGAGAGTAGGGGTTTGTTCTTCCTAAGTCGCTGGGTTAGCATGGCGATTCAGGGATGAAGGGTTGCAACGTCTGGGGTGACAGAACCCAGGTGGTCTATACAGGTATCAAAGACCTATCCAGATGTCTACCCAGAAGTTCCATGAACAAGCTGAAGAGTTCTATGAACAAGCCGGAGAGGTCTGTGTTTCCAGAACATCAGTTTTGACGATAAGTTCGAACGACCTCGTGATCAAGGAATTGATCAATTCGATCAAGTAACTGGAACCTCAATTAGTTCTGAATCGTGCTCCAGAACTCGGTTACTCACCCGTTGTAGTTGGACATGTCGAATTGTTGATGATTCATACCGCCGGGAAAACGGCCCATTCTTGTACCTCCTGGTGAGCCATGTTGGTGGGCGTCGTATCTGCACGGCCAAACTCAGCCCGTTCTTCTCGTCCACCGCAAACACGTAGTCCTTGGTGGCAAAATAGAGTCTGATTCTCACGCATACCATCTGTAGCGGAGATCAACGGCTGCTGGTGCACCAACGAACCTATGCGGACTAACAAAGAAGGTCTATAAATAAACTGATGGAGATACTGCGCCTCGCCAACGTGACGAACCAGAGAGTTATATGGTACCGATGTTTGACAGTCCAGGCAGGGATACGGACAAGCAGAGTAGGACAGAGTTCTTCCCTTGGTCAAGTGTCGTATTTTACCAGTAGCTATTCATACTGCAAATGCCAAAAATTGACCCTCGCTATACGTCACCATGCATGATCACACGGCTTGTTGCGAGGCTGACCTACTACTCCAATAATGGGTGGACCGAAATGTCCGAGTGACGTAACCACCCAATCACGGCCGTATGACTTGACAAGTTCCTCAACTGCCGTTTCTTCTGTACGTAACTACCGAGTCAGTAACATGCACATCTCTGACGTCCTTTGGTGAGATTTTGAGTTGAAGATAGTTCTGGATAAGCACAGAAAAGAGAGAGCCTTGCAGGAGTTTGTCTAACTTACTGGAGCTATACGAGCACATTAAATTCGAAAATCTACAGTACGTTCGAGTAGTAACAATAATAACAAAGATGCTGGAGCTATGGTGTCCCAGTCTGCCTTGTCACGTGGTGGTGAAGTACAATGGGATTCTACCGAGTCTGGCGAGTCCGGCCGAGGTTCGTTCACAGTAATGCTCTCATTTTCTGGACGCAACCAAATGCAAATGTCCAGGAAGGTGTTTCCATTTTTAGACCCAAGTTGAGTTGAAGGTAAATGCTTCAGAACAGTTGAACGTGACAGTATCTGCTCCTACGACTTGATAAATTCAGCGCCAATTTATCACTGTTCGCTTGTCAAGCCACCATGTGCAGATTTGCGCAGAATTGTGCAGATTTGTGCAGATTTGTGCAGATTTGCGCAGAATTGTCTGGTCCCATACAAGTCGCACCTGTCGTAGTCGCACCCGTCGTACATCTGACTTCACCTGAACTCTACATTCTGTTCTCTGTCTGGACCTCTCATTCAGTCTCGACTGATAAGAGACCGGATTGCAACTAGCCGTAGTACCCTTATCTCGTCGCCCAATTCCATCATCAACAATCAGGTATCTGAGTTATTTACAGTACTGTGCTATAGAGTGTCTCCAGACGATTACTGTACAGTGTGGAGAGGTGGCCTGGAGATCTTTCTAATTGGCCCCTCAAATTTACTTGTACCAAATAATTCTCCCGAGGGTGATTCGAGGTCAGTATTGCTTGCTATCCATAGTGCTGTACGGTATATAATAATATTAGTTCTATTTATATCATTGGCAGTACAGTACATAATTGTACCAGTACTGTAGTACTCCTAACAAACCATCTTCAACTAGCAGTGCTTCGCTCTGCCTACAGTGTTAGCAAGTAGACATTTCAGGTATATATTGCGTTGTTAGTTACAATTCTCTACAAGCGGTGTCGTTCGAATCAGCGTGAAACTATGAGTCGATTGGTCCACTTTTTGGATACTCTTGTAATAATAAATTTTGCAGAAAGTCGTATTCTCATCGGAGAGTGGATTGGAGTGCTCTCAAGACGAGTGAGAACACGAACCAAGGAGCCTGGAGTGAGGAGAAGAGAATCACAAGGTTATTTCAGGTCATCTATATCCTGATCAGATCACCGTTTGCTGAAATTGAAAAATACAAAGAGAATGGTGGAACGGCTCATGTGTTTGCAGCTTCCTTGAATAGCACTTAAGCCCCCAGTTATCTGACTAAAGTTACAACTGATTAGTTATCACTCCTAGCGCTCACTTAAACAAATTTCATAACTAACTCACGTGAATGTGGTTGGAAAGTGGAAAAGCGGATTCATAGCGGCAAAAGTCATGCTACCAACACGGTATTTCATTCTCGTATCTCTTCAAACTTTTATTCGCCTTATCACTCTACAATCAATCCTTACTACAAGTCCAGATACACCAATTACACACCCGCTTCTTTCCATAGGGTTAGGGTTAGATCAAGAGCACGGTGCAGCTCTCAGGCGCCAGCTGAATCATGACATGATCTCACCACTACAGTAACATCACTCAGCACACAATGAGCAATACTGCTACGACTACCGAAACTGTCGACAAGAACAAAATCTGGGGCGCTCCTCACGCTACCGTCGAGATCAACGGCAAAATGGTGAAGCTGGATGAAAATGGCAAGATCTGCCGGTCTTGCAACTCCTTAAAGGACTTCCAGGCCGCTATGGGAGGAGGTGGCAAGGGAGGCAGCATGGCAGCCATGTTTGGCGCAATGCAGGCCCAGAAGAAGAAGGAGGAGGCACCCAAGGGATACCGAGACGATCCTGCCGACGTGGAGGTTCTTGGACGAGCCACATGGACGTTCTTGCACACCATGGCTGCCCAGTACCCTGACAATCCGTCTGAGACCCAGAAGAAGGAGATGACCGATTTCATGGGCATATTTTCGCGGGTCTATCCCTGCTGGTTCTGTGCGTCCGATTTCCAAAAGTGGATCAAAATGTCTCCTCCGGAGGTTGACAGCAAGGACATTTTGAGCAAGTGGCTTTGCAAGGCGCACAACGAGGTCAATGTCAAGATTGGCAAGCCTGTGTTCGATTGTGCCAACTGGAAGAAACGCTGGCTCGATGGATGGGAGTAAGCTCGCACATGCTAACAACCCATCTTGTATATATATATGTAAATAGTAACTGACTCTAGTTTATTGGGTTCTTATCTGAGACCTGTCTGATCTACTCTACATACTTTATCTTATCAGATTAGATCGATTATAATAAGAGTAGGAGAAGAAGAGCTCATCAGTAAAGGCTCAATCGGCAAGGAACTCACCAGTAATTGGCAAATGGTATTGTTATTTTGTCTGTTCCCCTTCAACTAGCACGAAAGGATCCATCTTCTGAACAAGATCAAGCATCAATTTGTTGCTAAGAGCCACCTCTCTAGCCAGACTCTCGACCTGGGCGGAAATCACGTCAAGTCGCTTATTAATGCCAGATGTATTTCGTTCCATCTGCTCAATCAGATACACGGGATTGGAAGCACTTCCAAGAAGTCCCCTTTCGTTCACTTGGGGCCACAACTGACCCTCCAAGTCGTAAAGTACAGGAGACGTTTGCCGCTTGAGCTTGTAGTTTCCATAGACGTTGATCCCGGTGCACGTGATCTTGAGATACTGCAAACAGTCTTCGTCCGTCTTCCAGCCTGGGTCTGTAGGAATTCTCAAGCTGTGGTATGTCTGTTCACGCTTGGTTGTGGCTCCATGTTCGTTGGAGTGCCATGAAATCACATGAAGAGTGTGGATGATGAAGTAGGTCATGATGAACGATTATGATACTAGTTTTTTGGCACCGGCAAAGGTGGCCATTATATAGAAATCAGAGGGTCTAGCATGTTAACCCATTAGAGACAACATCTAGACCTGCTAAGACACACTTGCCCCACATTACTATCAGCTGAGAGACTAAGGGCGCGCTATTGAGACGGTTATAGTGGTTTTAGTCAATAGTGAAATTGTGATAAGGCGGACAAAGTGGGTCAAGGCGGGACGTTGTAGGACTTTTCTGTCAGGCTAAGTGGTTGCATCTGTATGTTCACTCCCTTTCAAAGATCTGAACTCGTCACAGCTTTCTGACCAGCTGTATATTATAGTAGTGCGGTAACGGAGTGAATGTGGTTCTCTGTGATTATTTCAGATCTACTAGCGATAATGAAAGTCTCAATGGTTTGAACGTGAAATTTGGAGCATCTATTGTACTCACTGTAATTTCCGCATAAAGTTTCAAGTAATTTTCAATTATTGTCCTAACAAAATTCACTTAGTATAATGAACTAAAATGTATTAAATACATTATAAGTTCTGTTAAATTTTAACCAATCTTGGATTTCATTAAGAAGTTGGTAACTCTCTACTATTTTATTCAATCCCCAACTCTCCAGTATTTCTGCGAGCCCGAAAAAGGACCCCCAGCACAATATTTTTCTTAACAAAACTCCTAACTGGGTCAACCAAAACTTTAAGATGATTCGAAAATTTTAAAACGACCAAAATCGCGTTCATATCATTATATAGTCAATGGCGTCCTCACTTCTCACCAACTACACGTCTTTGGAACCTCCTTCTGTCCCTATAACACACCCCCACCACCCCATGTCAATTACGTCATAGACCCCCACTCGAAAAAACCCTAGTCATTTAGCCCGAATCGGAAACAAGACACGCCCCCTGTGTGCATGAAATGAAACTATTTGTGGGGCTAAAAGAATAGGGGTGTCAGTGAGTGAGTGAGTGATGCTGTGACACCATGGTCCCCATACACAATGTGGTGTAATTTACTCCCTGCCCTGTCAGTGCTTGCATTAGAGCCTGGCCACGTGACTTTCTGCAGCTAAAGGATAAATACTCCTGTTCCAATAGCGCTGCGTACAGCCCCTAGGGCAAGTTCTATTTTCTACGGCCATTTAGTTTGGTCGTCGTTGTTAGTGTACCGCCCCTGCTATTAATAGCCCCTGTAGAAGTATATGCATGTACATCACACATACGCGAAATAGAGTTGGAGTATAGGTGTGCAGGGTGAGTTTGGAGAAGTGGGTACAGTTGGTGAAGTTGTAGAGTATAGGCCGGGTTCTGCGGAGACTTTGTACATCTCCCACCACATCTGCTCTGTTGTAACCCGTCGTTTCTCGCTCCTCTCTTTCCATTCCCCTTCCGCTGACACGTCACTATTTATACACTACCTGATGCGGCTGCAGGAGAACTGTACGAGACTGAAAACCTCACGACGACACTGCCACAGAACTAGTCATTTGACGTTTTAAGGGGCGCGTTGTTTGTCTGATCTGAGGCATAGTCGTCCATTTTCACGAGATTTCACTTAAGAGTCGGCTTTTACTTTGCCACTCGACTTTCTGACTGGACTACTACTCACTTGTCTACTCTCCACTAACTTCTGATCAACCAGAAGATTAATTATTATTTCTCCCGACCCCTGGACAAGGCACAGACAGCAAACAGACAACCTAAGAAAGGACCTTGGACGGCAGACGCTCTCGTTCTCAACATGAGTCGCAATCCGTATGACGGTGAGTATGAGATATGGGATATTCGGGGCGCAGATCCGACTGGAAAGACGTGTTGTGCCAACATGGCTGGTCCAACATGGCTGGTGATCTTGACTGGCAGACTAGACTGCGATGGCACCACGACACACAGATATGGCCATAGGAGCCTGTGCACTGATATTACACAACCACTGGGTCGAACAGATCAGTTCTGTCTCACTGGTACATAACTGTTGTTGTCGTTACTACCGCCTTCCCAGCTAACTCAGAAATGACGGAACGCTACTACGCAAACGACAACCGGTCCCACGATCATCTCACAGATCGGTTCGCTACTCCACACCCTGCTCCTACCCCCCACGGTGGCCACCCTACCGAAGAGCTCGCAGATCACTACGGCTTCAGTGCACCCGGTAACAACAACTATGCTCCCGCCACTCCAGCCCCCCCGTTGCCGCCGAACCCATATCACAACGGTGTTCACTCTTCTGCACCAACTGCCCCGTTGGACTTCCCCGAGCAGCCTGGAGCTGACGACCATCATGATCTCGGCCACTCCGCTCATCAAAATGACCCCTTAACCCAAGACACATCATACTATGGAGCCGGTACAGGCGTGCCACCAGCTGATCCCTACGGCCCCGATCCGTATGCGCCTGCTCCCGACGCACACTTTTACGAAAACAATGCCATTCCTGCTGTTGGAGGAGCAAACCTGTACCAACAAAACTCTTACCAGCATGATCCTGCCCCGTTTGTGCCCGAGGAGGGAGACTCGTACCTGCTCAAGCCTTACGGCCAGCAACAGCACCACTCACTGGGCGTTTTTGACAACGGCAGCTACGTCAACGACGAGGCAGACCTCGACAACTTTGTCCCCTTCCCTATTGCCGGAGATACGTATGCCCTCAACACCTACGAGGACAGTGAGGAAGAGGAGCCTCCCGTGCAGATGCCCGACTCGTTTGCTGGCTCGCGCAGGTCGTTTGAGTCTGGTGACGATGACGACGACGACGATGATGATGATGACGACGAAACCATCGAGGAGCCCAGTGCGTTTGGAGCTCATGTGCCTCCTCCAGACGTCCAGCCTCGCCGACGAAAAACCATCAAGCGAGTGCGACTCTTCCGAGGCAATCTGGTGCTCGATTGTCCCGTGTCCAAAAAGCTGCTTTCCAAGTACCCCGAGCCTCGACGGGAACGAGAGTTCACGCACATGCGGTACTCTGCCGCCACTTGCGACCCGTCGGAGTTTGTGCCCAACCAGTTCACGCTGCGGCAAAAGTGCTACCAGCAGCCCCGACAGACGGAGCTGTTCATTGTGGTTACCATGTACAATGAGGATGATATCCTGCTGGGCCGGACCCTGCAGGGTGTATTTAAGAACATCAAGCACCTGACGACGAGGACGCGGTCCAAGGTGTGGGGTAAGGACGCATGGAAGAAGGTCGTTGTCTGTGTCGTTTCTGACGGTCGAGAAAAGATCAACCCCCGAGCGCGGGCCTTGATGGCGGCTCTGGGAGTCTACCAGGACGGATTCGCCAAGAATATCGTTAACGACCAACCCGTGGCGGCGCATATTTACGAGTACACGACCATGGTGGGCATTTCCAGCGTCGACAAGAGTGTCAAGCTGACGACAGAAAAGACAATCCCCATTCAGATGGTCTTCTGTCTCAAGGAAAAAAACCAGAAGAAGATCAACTCGCACCGGTGGTTTTTCCAAGCGTTTGGGCCCGTTCTAAACCCTAACGTGTGTATTCTGCTGGATGCAGGAACCCAGCCCGGTCACGACTCCATTTACCATCTGTGGAAGGCCTTTGATAGCCATGCTGATGTTGGCGGCGCCTGTGGAGAGATCAAGGCGATGCTTGGCAAGGGTGGCAAGCAGCTTCTCAACCCGCTGGTAGCTGCCCAGAACTTTGAGTATAAGATGAGTAACATTCTCGACAAGCCGCTTGAATCCGTGTTTGGATTTATTTCCGTGCTTCCAGGAGCCTTTTCTGCTTACAGATACACGGCTCTTCAGAACGACGTCAACGGTGTTGGTCCTCTAGCCTCCTATTTTAAGGGAGAGACTCTGCATGACTCTGGAGCAGGTATTTTCACAGCAAACATGTACCTGGCCGAGGATCGAATTCTGTGTTTCGAACTTGTGGCCAAGAAGAACTGCTCGTGGAAACTGAAGTACGTGAAATCTTCTTCGGCTGAGACTGATGTGCCCGACCATCTGTCCGAGCTGGTTATGCAACGACGACGATGGCTAAACGGATCCTTCTTTGCAGCTATCTACTCATCTGCTCACTTTTACCAGATTTGGCGGTCATCCCACTCGATTGGCCGAAAGCTATTCTTCCATCTGGAGTTCATCTACCAGACGTTCCAGATGCTGTTCTCGTGGTTCGCGATTGGCAACTTCTTTCTGGTGTTCCGAATTCTCACTTCGGCTCTTGGAGACCCCAGCATGCATTTTGCTCCTGGAAACGTGCTTGGAGTCGTCTTTCTGTGGCTCTACTGTTGCTGCATTGTGGCCACTTTTGTTCTCGCATTCGGAAACCGGCCCACGGGTACGCAGGCCTTCTACACCGTGGTTGTTTGTTTCTTTGCGGTGTTGATGGCGTATCTAATTTTTGCTGCCATTTACATTTCCGTCAAGGCTGTTTCCTATGCGTTATGTTCGAATGGAGGTAAGCTGACTCTCTCGTTGGTGTTTACCAACGCCACGTTCCGAGACCTGGTTGTGTCTCTGTGTTCAACCTACGCTCTCTACTTTCTCATGTCTTTCCTTTACTTTGAGCCCTGGCACATGTTCACCTCCTTCCTGCAATACCTGCTCATTTCGCCCAGTTACATCAACGTGCTCAACGTTTATGCCTTCTGCAACATCCACGATATTTCCTGGGGAACCAAGGGAGACACTGCGCAGAAGATGGATCTTGGTGTGGCCAAAACAAACCAGGCTGGTAAGCTGGAGGTTGACATTCCCACCCAAGAGCTGGACATTGATTCCAGTTACATGAACGAAATCAACACGCTGCAGCAGGTGGTCAAGGAGGAGAAGCGACAACCCAGTAAGGAAGACAAGGAGACGGACTATTATGCACTGGTGCGGTCGTCCGTCGTGCTTTTCTGGATGCTTACTAACTTTGTGGTCATTGCAGTTGTTCTGAACGCTGGAGGCCTGAGTATTGTGTCTACTGACCCTGCTCAGGCCGCGGGTGCTGCTGCTCCTGCTGGAGCTGGAGCTGCTGCTGTTGCTCCTGCCTTGAGATTCGTTCGACGAGGTATTCGGCACGTGCTTGAGACGCGACAAGATCCAGGCACCTGTGAAGCAGTGGGAGGCCCGACTGATGTGCGAACCGAGATTTATCTACGAGTGGTTCTGTGGTCGGTTGCAGCCCTATCTTGTTTCCGAGGCATTGGCGCCACTTGGTACCTCATTGCTCGACTGTTTGGACATTAAACTGACGAAAATGACACGATATATAAACTGATATACACCTGTACTTGTAATATTATGCTGAATTGAATGAATAATGAGCTATTTTGGATCTACAGTATCATGACGTATTCCACAATGTGGTATAGTCGGTATGTATTGTAAACAACACCTAAGAACCCATCTAGGAGAGAAGATGAGATATGTCATGAATTTGGTTATAAATGGGACTTGATATGTTCCAAGTCCATATATAGCCGGTTAAAGGCGGCTCGTGACTGTCAGTATGTTCTTCAGTCTTCCTCCGGATTATGATTTTTCAGGCTAAGGAAATAAGCTCATCGTATATGCACTGATATAGGCAAGGTGAAATTGAGATTAAAAAGAGTGAGAAATAGGTGGAAGGGAAGTAGTATCGATGAGACAAACTCCTTTTTATTCAAGCTTTTTCTTAATTGATTCAATGAGTCTTTTTTTATTTATTGTTTTCACTGTAAGTCGTCCTCTTCTAGGGAGTTCTATCCGATTCCCTTCTTTCAGGATCTGCATCCTAATGGATGGTCTGCATATGTGATGAATATCTGATGCATATGTTTTGTCACTAACCATGTCTAATAAACTGTATAATTAGCTAGACCAACAATATATAAACCCCCCTTGGCTCTTACTTTTCTCGTCAGAATCAGACCAGTTCATCCTGGGTCATTCTCAAGACGGAATGTGCCTTATATAGCCTGCAGGGATGCAGAGCTGATAAGCAGACCTATCACAAGACAGCTAACAGAGATATGTCCACAACGAGAACCGCTTGCCTAGCTGTGTCCGTTTGAGTTGTTTAGGGCAATGTGGAGAGATTCCAGAATCCCAATTTCGGTCAAGAGACTCACGCTATGACGCATGGAAAAACATGGAGGAATCTGATCAAACCTTTTATCTAGTTTTAAAGAGGATTAGGTGAAATATAGAACCTCTTGATTTAATAAATTCTGGGCCTTTAGTCCCATCCGATTTTGATTCGTAAAGTAGTGAGTGATTTGAACTGGAGCGAGTTGTATTGTACTTTCAATCTCCATTCATTCTCCATATCTATCGCTTCTGAAGAGCACGATATTCAGTCTCGTGTGTATACAAAGGTCAATACAGTACATACTGCATACTACAGTAATTATACAACGCAATCTGTAAACACACGTCCCATATGTAAACAATCGTTCCAACTAAACTCCCAACTGTAACTCCGATATAGTCATCTATCATACTCCGTTTAATTGCACATTCAGTCACGGATCTTTAAAAAACCCGACCCGTTGCCAGCTGTGAGATGAGCAGGTGTGCAGTATGTATTTATGTTTCCAGCTACCAGTACAAGAACTCTACAGTAGTTGTATATATTTCCACACTGTAATATCGTCACATTGTGCATCACAGAATGTAATTTCTCTACTTACATCTCATTTGTACGAGTGCCGTATCAACTCTATCCATATCAAAATCACCCCATTCCAAAGATACAATAGATATTATAAAGCCACTTGTACGCCACTACAAGTCGTACCTCTCGTCTCCTTTCAAGTTTCTCTCCTTTACAGTCATATATTTATTCATTCAATCATAACACTAGAGTCTTTGCACAAATGCCCCCCACTTAAGCAAGCTTGGCCTGGTCCAGCATGATTCGGACAGCCTTGGTCTGAATGTAGTTGTCCAGACCGTCCTTACCCATCTCCTTGCCGAAACCGGACTGGTTGAAGCCGCCGAAGGGAACGGCCTCGTGGAAGGAGTTGTAGCAGTTGATCCAGACGGTTCCGGCGTGCAGGTTCTCGGCCACGTAGTGAGCCTTGGAGATATCCTGGGTGTGCACACCAGCAGCAAGACCGTACTCGGTGTCGTTGGCCAGAGCAAGCACCTCATCGACGGTCTTGAACTTGGTGACACACACAACGGGACCAAAAATCTCCTCCTGGACAATCTTCATATCGGGCTTGACGTCGGTGAAACGGTGGGTCGGATGAAGTATCCCTTGTCCTGGGCTCGGCAGCCTCCGGTCAGCAGGGTAGCTCCCTCGGCCTTTCCAGCCTCAATGAAGCCCATGACTCGGTCAAACTGGAGCTTGGAGGTCTGAGCACCCTGGAAGGTGTCGGAGTTGAAGGGGTCGCCAACAACAACCTCGTCTGCCTTCTTCTTGAAGGCCTCCACGACCTTGTCGTAGATGCCCTCCTGGACGTAGAGTCGAGATCCAGCGCAGCAGACCTCACCAGAGTTGAAGAAGATACCGAGAGCGGACCAGGACAGGGCGTTCTCAATGTTGGCATCGTCAAAGATGATGTTGGGGGACTTTCCACCAAGCTCCAGGGTGATCTTCTTGAGGTTGGAAAGGGCGGCGGACTTGAGCACCTGCTTACCGGTGGCGGTGGAACCGGTGAAGGCAATCTTTCGGATCTTGGGGTGGTTAGTCATGGCAGCACCGACCTTTCCGTAACCAGAGAGGATGTTGAGAACACCAGGGGGGAAGCCAGCCTCCTTGACGAGAGAAGCAGCATAAAGAGCTGACAGAGGGGTGGACTCGGCGGACTTAAGGATGACGGTGTTACCGGTGGCAAGAGCGGGACCAATCTTCCAAGCCCACATGAGCAGGGGGAAGTTCCAGGGGATGATCTGGCCACAGACACCAATGGGCTCCTTTCGGGTGTAGGAGAAGTGGCCGTCGTTGCCCTGGATGATGTCTCCGTAGATCTTGTCGGCGTATCCAGCGTAGTATCGGATGACCTTGACGACGAGGCCAACGTCGCCCTTGGCGTGGGCGTACACCTTTCCGTTATCTGTGGTCTCAATGGCGGCCAGAATGTCGAGGTCTCGCTCAATGAGGTTGGCAAGCTTGTTGAGCAGGACGCCTCGCTCGGAGGGGGCGGTCTTGAAGGCCCAGGTCTTGAAGGCAGCGGAAGCAGCGTCGACGGCGGCCTCCACGTCGGCCTCGTCGGCCTCGGCGACCTGGCAGATAACCTCTTCGGTGGTGGGGTTCTCGGTGGCAAAGGTCTTTCCGTCCTTGGCGGCCACAAATTCGCCGTTGATGAAGAGGCCAGTGGGCTGGGTGACCTTGAGGCCGTTGGCCAGAGTGAGTTCGGTGGTCATGGTCATTGTGTGCTGTTGTGTAGAGGAGTACTCGTTAGTGTGATGGTTTGAGGTGGGACAGCCCTACGTATTTATATTAAGAGAGCTGAGCTTACAGAGGGAGGCGGGGCAAGTGCTTTTCGAGTTACGGGTATACGGATCTAGTGCGTAGTATTCTGCATGGGACTGCATGAGGGTGTGGGGTAAGCAGTGAGTGGAAAGATGGGGATAAGTTGAGGGAGCGGGACACACCATGTTGGGGGGGATTGATGCAATGGCAATTGATCAATTGAAGTGGTTATGTGGTCCTAATTCAGCCGTGTATCACTCGAGTTGATGTCATACTCCTCCAAACTCTCCCGGTATAGCTAAGGGCTGTCACTCCACTTACCCCCAACATTCTGTAGGGTGAAACCCTAAGGCAAACCCAATGGCAAACACACCTCAACCTAACGGACGTTTACGAGGAGATGCAGACGGTGTAACGGAGAAATAGCGGAGAGGTGGCGGAGGGTCAAAACAGGGTGTAACGGAGGAGGTGAAGAATGGCTCTGGCCGACCGGATGGGCGTCAGCATCAAGGCTCGGCCTGCTGATGGCGCTAATAAAAAAGTACGATTTTAGCTGCATTTTAGGCATGTTGTTTGGCGTCTGACAGCGTAGCAGAGGCTCCGGTTGCTTGGTATTCTTTATGATGATAAATCACCGCTCACGATACAACCAAGGACTCAGATGAGGCTCTACCGACTGGTGCACTCACGCACTTCCTGCCGTCTCTCCTCCTCCTCCAACTCTAATGTGGATATTCAACGGAATGGTGGAATCTGGAGGAACAAGAGGAACAAGAGGCAAGGCCATTTACGTCTGCTGCTGCATGCGTTGGATGCAGGTGGTTGTGTCAGTCGGTGGTGACGTACGGTTTGTGACGATAGTGTTGGATAGAGCCTCTACTGGGTACAGTCAAGAAGCTGTACTGGTGCTCACGTCCGTTATTGTGTCGTGCTTTCGTCCTCCGTCTGGACGTTAAATTATATAAACATGTGTCTTCCCCAGCTTCTCCCCACACAATTGCTTTTCTCCTCCTGAGTCTTGATTGCACTATGCGTCACCTGGGGCTACCGGTTAGCTCGGCTGGGAGGAGCCGTCAAACTCAAGGTTGGCTTGAGAATGGGGGCCAACATCTGGAGGCCCAGTGAGGCACTGGCATATCAGTACAGTATGTACCTTCGGCTTTCAGCCACCCCGGGCTTTGTTGGAATCACGATGATAATTATTAATTGCAGGCAATTTTGATTAATGATCGACGGGAACCTGGACAACTGTCTGTGGGTATCGGTATCGTACAATACAGATACTTCACGTCTCGGCAACCCCACACATTACAAATAACCTCAGATCTAACCATATGGGGCACGCAGGTCCTAACCGTCGCGACACGTGTCTCAGGTGGGGAGTTAATGCCGAGAACGCCTGTTACACACACGGTCATTGGTTTAGTTACTATACATTTCTTGTGGTTGGTGTTCCTATGGGACTCTGTGTTTTGTTGCTGGCACTGATTACAGTCTATTGAACAAGGAATTCAACTACAGTACAGTAATAGCTACGGGGTATACAAGAACATTCAAGTAAAGTACGATGCAGAGGTGTCGTTTCATGTCCTTGTGGTTTTGTCTCTTTTGATGACAGTTAACGATACAATATCATCTTAACATGGGAATTATCAATGTGAACCCCAATATGGTGCCTTCAAATGAACCCCAATATGTTTCTATCAAATGTAGCAGAGCTCTCATTATTGCTTATCAATTGAGACACAAGGGACTTGCGGTCTCTATTGTAAATCTCCAGACTGCTAAGGATCAGCTGTTGTGTATAGATACTTTTTATAGTGCTCAGAGTGTCCCAGTTCCACCA